AATAATTATCGTTCTAAAATATACTAAAAATTCACTTTCAATACAGTTGCGGAAGCTCTTGAATCAGTAGCCTTGAATGACTGGGAGTTCGAGAGAGCAAAACAAACACTAACACTCACGCCACAAGCCAACCTCTTTTGGAGTAACCTCGAGCCTCCTAATTTGTCGCAACATCTTTGCGCATTCTCCTTGCGCCTTTCACTCCCTATACATCAAACCTACACGAAACCGAGAACAATATGGCTTCGGAATACGCAGACAAGCAGATTCGCGCAGGAGCGAATCCCGCCGACCCGTACCTTTCGCAAACTCGCTGGCGACACGAGGAGTCTTCCGCATTTCGTCGTGCCAGTGGTGCGCCCCGCGAAGCCGACGCTCGAGATGGGAGCAAAGATCTAGCCAATTTCCTCAACAAGGCGCGCGTAGATCCTTCTGAGACGGCTGGGTTTGGAGCGGGTGGACATCAACCTTTGATGGTTGCTGGAAATGTACAGGCTGGGTCGCAAGTTCAGAACTCGCATGCGCCAAATGGCGCAACGGGAACTATGGGATCAGCCGGAGACAATACTTTGGAGGTCAAGTGCGGGCCATTGTTGAACTATAGGCGCATGGAGGATCATACATGGTTTGGGAGTGTACTTGTTGTTTCGAAGTTTGGAGGGTCAGGGGAAAGTCCTATCACTCCTCAGTTGCATATTAGAATTGTCGGACCAAGATCGCAAACGAACGGAAATTACACAATTCCCCAAGAAAATGCTGGTACGAATGGACATGAAAACCACGGGGTTGTCAATGGTGTGGATTATGGAAGCTTCGACGCTCCGGCAAATGCCCAATCGCAGAGCAATGGTCAACCCATCACCAATGGCGCAGGATCTGGAAATGCCGGTTCTTTCAAAGAGACAGTAACAGGCACAAGATTATACTCGGACCCTCAAAACACGTTCTGGAGGTTCGATTTGAAAGTACCAATGCAACAAGAAGAAATCCAATGCGAGTATCATTTGTCTGGCCTGAATTTTGTCAGAGACGGGAAGGGTGATAAGCAGAAGTTTTTCATACCAGCTATTACGGAATCTATGCGCATTATGTTCCATTCTTGTAACGGATTTAGTGTGGGAACGGACGAGGAGGCTTATAGCGGTGCTTGTTTATGGAATGATGTTGGAAGAGTTCACGCGAAAACTCCATTTCACGTCATGTAAGTTTGCCCTAAGAAGTTAAAGGACGAAAACTAACATTAGCAAGGCTCGGAGGTGGTGATCAAATTTACAGTAAGTTAGGCAAAAGTGCTAGAATAGCCAAGGCCATGGCATTTGATCGCGCACAAACAGTTCTAACGTTATCCTCTAGATGACGGTATCAGAGTCAACGGCCCCCTGCGACCCTGGACAGATATCAGTAATCCTGTCAAAAGGAGAGAATATCCATTCCCCGAGACATTAAGAAAGGAGTGCGATGAGTATTATGTCAACAACTATATTCGATGGTATGGAACAGAACCATTTGCCAGCGTCAATGGGCAAATTGCTCAGTTGAACTTATGGGATGATCATGATGTACGTTTGTCCTTAAACTTTTTGAATGCGTTGGCTAATTGCACATTTAGATCATTGACGGCTTCGGATCGTACGTTGACGAGTTCATGAGATGTCCAGTCTTCAGAGGTATTGGTGGAGTTGCCAATAAGTATTATCTACTATTCCAGCATCACCTTGCGCCACCAGTATCTACTTATACTACTGGTAAGTGAGTAAACGGTCTTTTTGATATTTTACTAACAATCCAAAAGATGCTCCTCAAACAATGTCCAAATCTGGAGCGGCTCCGGATCCAAGGCAGCTGGAAAACACCTTCGTCCTAAATGAAGAGACTATCGATTCAAGCTATATCATGGGGAAGAAACCTGGAGTAAGTCTGAAGATTGAACCAGGAACTTACGTTTACTAATTTTTCATCAGCCATACGTCACAGATTGCTCTCGAAGTATTTACGCACGTCTGGGTGCTAGAATTGCATTTTTCGGTATTGATGCGAGAACCGAGGTAACACATTCTCCGTTCTTGATCGACTATCAATAACTAACTTCTTGTAGCGAACTCGTCACCAAGTCAACTATCCTGAGACATATGAAATCATCTCGGATCGTTTGCGTCGAGAACTTAGTGCTGCTAAGAACTCGTCTTCCCCTATTCAGCATTTAGTGGTATTGTTGGGTATTCCGATCGCTTATCCTGTAAGTACCACGCATTTATTGATTCAAACTCTTACTGATTGTGTAGCGTCTAACCTGGCTTGAAAATATCTTCTCGAGTCCTTTGATTGCCCCTATCAAGTTTCTCAACAAGCGGTTTGGATTTGGTGGTGGCTTCTTCAATCACTTTGATGGAAGCATCGATTTATTGGATGATTTGGACGACCATTACACCGCTAGAACCCACAAGAAGGAGCGACAGATGCTCGTTCACAAGCTTCAAGAACTTGCTTCAGAATTCTCTGTTCGAATCAGTATCCTCGGTGGCGATGTTCATCTTGCCGCTGTTGGCCGTTTCTACTCAAACCCCAAGTTGAACGTCCCAATGAGCAAAGACCACCGTTACATGGTAAATATCATTTCATCAGCGATTGTCAACAAACCCCCTCCAGCTGCCGTCGCCAACCTCCTAGCACGCCGCAACAAGATCCACCATCTCGACCACGACACTGACGAGACCCTCATGACCTTCTTCGACAAAGACCCCGGCTCCGCAAACAAAACCAACAACTCCAACCAGCAAACCATGCCCTCGCGAAACTGGGCCATGATAACCGAAAACTCTGCTCACGGCGCCTCCCAATCCAACGGCCACACCAACGGCACAGCCAGCGGTCCCTACGACATCGCCGAGAAAGTCAAAGACGGCCACTCCTGGCTGCACAAAGGCGAAGTCGACGCCGGCACCAAACACAAAGCCGCGGCCGAAGCTCAACACGGAAAAGATCACGATGGAAGTCTCGATGTGTGTATCCGCGTGGAAATCGATCAGCATGACGCGACGGGTAAAACAGAGCCGTATGGTATGACGATCCCGACGCTGGCGTATGATGGACCGCCGTTACGACCGACGAGTAAGCGGTATGCGGGTAGTCATCGGTCGGTGGGTACGAGACCTGGGACTGCGCAGACGGAAAGGGGACATGAGGTTAAGAGTGAGCCGGTTGGGGGGCACGGGGGGTTGGTGCCGCCTACGCAGGGTTAGTTGGATGTAAATGGGGGTTGTATTATCAGTGTTGGTTTATTAGAGGGTGGGGGGTTTTCTTTATTTAATTTGTTGGGCAAGGGGAACAGGGGAGCAGGGGAAGGAGATCTAAGATTGTAAGTTTGGGTGTGTAATTTAGGATGGTTTTTGTTGGATGATTGGGGGAAGATTTTATATCCTGTTGTTTTCAGAGTGGGTGATTTGGTTAATATAAGCTTTTTTTAAGATGTCTTGAGATTTTTAGAATGTGAAGCCAACATTATCCGTTCGTATCGTGAGGAACATGCGATCATACATCTTGCTCAGCTGCAACCAGGTAGAGAGGTCACGTGTTATGTACACTTGGCTGGTCTCACTCTTACTCTGCTGTTAAACTTGGGTACTTCTCTTCAGACAGATTTTGTCACTTGGCTACTTGATGTTTACCCTGAAATCTGAATTCGCTCCTTTTGTCCATCTTCCCTTTTTGTCGCGGCTCTGCTTTATCGTTAGTAGCTTGGTCCGGGTCATGGGATTGAAAGATAGCTGAGGTCAGATATTATATTTGGTTCGACTACAGTAGTCAATAGGAGTCGCCAATAAATAATTCAAACACTGCACGAGCCAAGCCGAGGTAGATCGTGGGATCTGGGTCCTTGTTGACCAGAATTTTGGGAGGACCCCTGAAGAAAGCTGGAATCTCGCTTAATCTTTGGCAAGCAGAACCTGATAACTTGAGCTGGGCAGCTTCGTTCCAGAGAGAATAATCTAGACATCGTGAGCCATCGCAATAGCTTTCATTTCATATATGACGGGCTTGGTGATTCTGTGAGATGATGTGCTTCGTCGGAAGTTTTCATGGAGCTTCATAATCTTGAAGTGAAGGTTCTGCAAGTTCGGCAACCTATCGTGTCAAGACCTACCTTACAAGTTCGAATCATCTCCTACGCTGTATCGTTAGTAATTTTAGGCTGTGGGAAGATGATCAAACATTCCGAAGATTGCATTCTTTCAGGTAAATAGACCATGGTATCGATGAAGTGGTTGCTGCACGAAGTTAGGCTGTAGCCTCGCTGCACCGCAGAAGTATGTCGGGCATTCTTCCACACTGTCCGGTCGATACAGCATGCACTGTCACCCTCGAGCGTGATTATGGTCTTGATATTTGAAGGCATCCTAATACCATTAGCGATCGTGTTTGCTTTTGTGCTTCAATGATCAAGTGTTGATAATTCCTCATTGCTCAGGTCTCCTGCAACTAGATTACGTACCCCAGTCAGCCAATCATTGTTGCCGGTCGAGATAATCAGATGAATCTTGTGAGAGAGGCAGCATCGTCGGAGGCTCGCATGTACTGAGGTATCGTGAAGGTATCAACCAAGTTGTTGAGGTGTTGCTGTCTTCGAAGTTGCTCATGACAGGAGATCCAACCTCGGACATGGTATAAGTGAATGACGGAACTTTAGTCTCGTCCACACCGAAGGTCGTGTTAGTTTGTGATGTCTGTGAGTAAGAGAGGAGAGAAAATGTTGCACCGGGCGAGCTGTCATGCGATGATGCAGTGGAGAAAAGCACTCCCACGATGTGATCGATCAACGAGTCCGCAGGTTCGGGCCTGAACTCATGGGTAGAGTGAGTAACTGGACATGAATAACGAGGATCGGAGAATTACCCCAGACTGAGGCCATTGATGTTCGCCACTATCTCGCTCCAGGTTGAGAAGGGGATGGATTTGAGCGAGGTGCCCGGCGTGAGGTCAGCAGTAGTGCACTCTTCGGATCTGCACGACTCACAGGGCAGAAACACTGGGCCCCTGATAAAGACGCACGACCACAAACATCACCCGCAGAGCCTCAACCCGTTCGAGGATATAAAACAAATCGAGGAGGTTGCGACAATTCCACTGGCGAGGTGTCGAGCAATGGCAAATGGATCTATCGGATGAGCGGATCAAGCTCCAAAGCGATTGTTTAAGATGATTTCCTATAATCAATCTTCTTGCCAGTCACCATATGATATCTCTGCACAATCATCCAAACAAAAATCCGATAAAACATGAATCCAGAGAATCCGGATTGTCGATGTGGCTGCATTGCTTTTGCGGGTGGAACCTGGAGCGATCGCTGTGGTGTGTCTAAAAGTGGGCTTTTACTCGATGTGGTAAGCGCAGAAAATGCACCGGCCATGAGCGAACTCGAATCATTGAATTCCAGGAGACGTCCTCCCAGTTTTCCCACCCCTCACCACAACGACAACACCAGCGACCAGTCACTCGCTTGTGCCGAATACTCTCATTTGGAGTGCGAAAAATCAACAATCATATTGTATTGATAATTCTTCCCGCGGCCGCGCTGGCTCGCAGCGCCGTTCGCTATTTCGACCCCAAATCTTTCGCCCCCGCCCAACCAACCACCCTCGCATTTCACTGCCAGCACCACCGAACCGATTAAAACACATTGCGACTCAATCGCATGCGATAGAAAAATGTCTGCCGACACGATGATGGCAGGTCCGGCACCTGGCCCGGCCGTGGAGGTCAATGGCCTACATTCACCACCCGATTCGAATATGAAAGACGCCAGCGACAGCGAGCTTTCCGACCTCGAGGACGAACAAACAGCGGCACCAAAGCCCGAACCCGTCGACGATATAGGAGACATCGAGCCCGAGTATTATTCGGATGGCGGTGTCCCTGTATTCGTCCCTACGATGAAACAATTCGAGGATTTTACACTTTTCGTACGTTTATTTCGGCTTCAGCGACGATCAAGCTCAAGGCACTAACACATTTCTAGATGAAAAAGATCAACAAATACGGCATGCTATCTGGTATTGTCAAAGTCATTCCACCCGAGGAGTGGAAGGCAGCACAACCACGACTCGACGAACAAGTAAAGACAATCAGAGTCAAAGAACCGATTAAACAGGACATAATGGGTACGAGCGGTACATACCGACAGGCCAATATGGTCCATCAACGGTCATACAATCTCCCGCAATGGCGTCAACTGTGTGATCAGAGTGAGCATCAGCCACCAGCGAGGAGAGGAGAACGGCGAGCAAATCAAGATAAGCCCTCACGAGCATCGGCAAGGCCTAAAGCAGTTGCCAGTATTGAAACTCCTACTTCCTCGGCTTCCAAGCGTCGTCGCGGCCGTCCTTTCAAAGCCGCCGCGAAGGGGAAACGGGGAGTGACTGTGGATACTGAGGACGGAGGGCAAAGCACGCCAGACCGTCTACCAACTCCAGTCTCTCCTTCCATGCAGCAAGATGAGGGATCCGTCAAGGGCGAGGATGTCGATGATGACGACGATACGCCAATCAAGGGGAGAATGGGATCGAGGCAAGCCAAAGCAGTATCTGTATCATCTCGAAGGAAGAATAATCGTAGAGAAAGAGAAGGCAAGGTGGACGAGGCGGCATTTAAAGATTTCAACTACGAGCTTGAAGGAGACGAATACACGCCAGAACGATGTGAGGAGCTTGAGCGAGCGTATTGGAAGACGCTCACGTATGCTCCACCCCTTTACGGTGCAGATATGCCTGGGACCTTATTCGATGAACGGACTAAAGCATGGAACCTAGGAAAGCTTGATAATATCCTAGACGTTCTAGGCTCAAATATCCCAGGTGTAAATAGTGCTTACCTTTACCTGGGTATGTGGAAAGCAACTTTCGCGTGGCATCTGGAGGATGTCGACCTCTACAGCATTAACTACTTGCACTTTGGTGCACCCAAGCAGTGGTACAGCATTGCGCAACCAGACGCGAGACGTTTCGAAGCTGCCATGAAGACTATCTGGCCTACGGATGCTAAAGCATGCGACCAATTCTTGCGCCATAAGACTTTCTTGATCTCGCCATCTCACTTGTTGTCTAATTACAACATCAAAGTCAACAAGATCGTTCACAAACCGGGCGAGTTTGTCATTACCTTTCCTTATGGATACCACTCCGGGTATAACCTTGGTTATAACTGTGCGGAGGCAGTCAACTTTGGTCTTGAAGAATGGCTACAGTATGGCAGGGTTGCTAAGAAATGTGACTGCGATCAGGCGCAGGACAGTGTGTGGATCAACGTCCATGACCTCGAACGCAAAATGAGAGGCGAAGAGACAGAGTTCGAAGAATCTGATGAAGAAGAAGAGGAAGATGAAGATGACGAGGACGAAACCAATACCTCAAACCTCGCCACTATTCCTGAGCATGGTAGTTTGAAGACTAAAGTTCCTAAGCAGAAGCGTAAGCGACCTATCGACGACAAGGGTGGCAATGCAAGCAATAAGAGGACCCGATTCCGTATCAAGGTACCTGCGAAGGAGCCGTGCATACTCTGTCCAAATGATATCCCATCCGAGCCGTTGCTACCGACCGGTAACAATGGTGAGAAGGTTCACCGCATCTGTGCACAATACATTCCCGAAACCTCTATCGAAGAAGGTAAAGTCATCGACGTCGAGCATATCCACAAGGATCGAATGGCACTCAAGTGCAATTATTGCAGATCCAAGAAGGGAGCGTGTTTCCAATGCTCTCGCAAGAAGTGCACTCGGGCATATCATGCCACTTGTGCGGCTGCTGCTGGCGTGTTTGTTGAGCAAGGTGAGACTGCTGTGTTTGGCGAAGATCAGAAGGAGTACAAGGACTGGGGTATCGAATTTGGCTGTCGCTTCCATCGTGTCAAGCGGGACAAGAAACATGATTATGAGTTCCTCTCGCAATCAGAGCGTATTCGCAAAGCTGGAGCAGCATTCCAAGTCGGTGACGTCTGTCAAGTTCAATATCACAAGGGTGATATATGGGCCGGTTCAGTGGTCGAGAACTGTAAAGACGAAGAAATGCTTCTACTCGATGTTCTTCCGCGAGGGTACGTATCAAATGCGAGTTTTTCCAGCACATACAGGCTAACAGATTTCAGGGATCGTGTTGAGGTATCTTATACCTGGCTGCTACTACCGGATCCTGCAGATTATCATCTCACCAAACCATCAGCGAATGCTATTCCTATGCCCAAGAGCCGAAAGGACAAGGAGTTGCTCAATACGAGCAAGCGTCAAGCCGATGATAATCCACGAAAAGATGATCCTTTCGTTGAAGGTCATACGTGGGCAGAATTTGCCTGTCCGGGTGTTGCCATCAATCCCCACCAGGTCAAGGTCGACATGTCGAAAGAATACCAGACGTGGTTTTATCTGGGCAAAACATCCACTGAAGCCAGAGCACAATACACCGAGAATCCATTCATTAAACGTCACAATCCACGGGGGAACTTCCTGGATACGATTCCAAAGACTGTCATTGTTGCACCACGCCAATCTTACGCTGCTTCATACCCTACGAATGCAAAGAATTCCACGCCAACTCCTATCCGACCGCCTATGCCAACTACGCAATCGTATTCAGCATCAGCTTTCAAACAAGACAAGCCCTACGAATACAAGCCTCGAAATGAAGCGTATCGCGTTGATCCACAAGCGTATCAATCCCAACAGAACTTCCTTCAGAGATCGACTCCGCAACCGTACAGTTTTGGTACTGATCCTAAATACTCTACAACTTCCGGGAACAAACCTGGCTACAATCAACAGATGTCTACTTCTAACTTGCAGGGTCAGTTCGGACCGGTGCAGAATCCCCTCATAGCGGCGTCGCAATATGTACCAAAACAGCAGGCCAGCCAGATCCAACAAGGCCTGCACTCTCATCGTCCTGTGTCCGCTTATCAAACGACGCAATCTCAGTTTACTCCTGGGCCACACCATTCTCCATCACTTTCACAAAACCAATGGAGCCCGCAAGTACAGCAAGTCACTGCCCACACTGGCAAACAGTCTCAGATTAATAGCCAGCCTTCACGACCTACTCCAGTTCACCGAACTCCACAGCCTCAACAGAATGCACAGCCAGCACACCCAGGTCAGACCCATCAAGCAGCGCAACCCCATCACATTCAAGCACAGCGCACGCCGCAGGTCCAGCAATTTGCTCCACCCTCGCAAACGACCCAGCTTAACCAAGTACAGCAAGCACCTAGCACTCACGCTGGTCAAGCTCAGTATACGACCCCAGCGCAGTATCAAAAATCCTCTTCACAATTTGCTCCGTCGACTCAATACCGACAGCCTGATGCTGTGCCGGCGTCGTCGAAGCCTAATAATCCCTTTGGCAGTCGACCACAAACTGCTAGACCAACGAATGTCTTTGCCAAATACCCTTACTTACAAAAGGAGCACAACAGATCTCCTCTAGAGTACAAGAGCCCCTACAGACCAGGTGGTGGGTTCATGAACGGCTACCAAGGTAACATCGAGAAGCACTTGCAACAGACGATGTTTGCGAAACGACCCAGTTCAGGAGCCTCAATGCCAAGTCCAGCTTCATCGACATACAGCAGCAACAGCTCAGCACGGCCGCCTTACAATGCACAGAATGCGGCTCCAAGCCCGACCTACGCTTCCGCGTATGGTGCTTCATATAATGCCCATGCACCCTCGCCAGCAACTTCGTACGCACCCTCTCCTTCATTGCAACCTCAATCATCCAATAAGGCGCCGGTTTCGACAGCTGCATCTCCACATATGTGGGAGAAGAAGGAAACAGCACAGTTGCATCCTGCAATCCGTCAAGAATATCATAGTTCGATATTTCAACGGCCTTACAATCCGCCTCATCGCGACTCCCCAACTCCATCTCGCAGTTCTGTGCTTCAACCGCCGCCATTGTATGAGCGACCTCCCTATCAGCCTCCAGTGCACGCAAGTCAAGGCTATGATAGCTCGCAATCCACTCATGGTACGCCTGTGCAACCTCAACAGCAACCGCCATCTCAACCGATGTATCATCGTCACTCTGTTCCTCAATCTCTTTCGGCTTCACATCCACAGCAATATAATAGACCCGTTGAGCAATCAATTCGTCCTCCGAAATCATCCACCCCCTCGTATGCTGCTAGTCCGAGTCCACATGATTCTTCGACCGATATGCAAGCTACATTCAGTCATCAACCGATGATTCCACCGGTCAATACATCCTATGTTGCTCCAAATGTTGGCAGCAATCTCGACCAAGTCAAGTACGCATTGAACAAGTCGGAGAGCGCAACTCCCCCGGTGACTGCCATGTTATCTGATTATGAGCATACGCCTCTCTCCATGATCCAGCCCAATGCAAGTCCACAACCAAATTTGCTGCCTAAGCATGTTCAACAAGGGGCATCAAAATCATCTCCGAAGGGCTTGGGCACAGAAGTCAAACCCAGTCCACAGAAGATGGCACCTCAAGCCCGGACTGCAGCCAGTTTGGCACAATCCTTGACACTTCCTCCAAACTACAAGCCAACGACAATTTTACCCCCGCCAAAGGCATATTCAGTCTCCAAACCTATGGACTCTCAAAACAAGCATGTGTATCCACACCACCAGGAGCTCCAGCAAGCAGCTGCCCAGTTTCAATATGTCCAAGACGAGCAGTCTACAAATGGTCAGAACTTTGAGCCTGCAGATGTACCTCCAAACTCCACTGCTCTAGTTGAGCAAATGATGAGGAATTTGAGGAAGGCGAGAGCACGGGATTGATCGCACCTCCATCATCGAGTGCCTTTAGTGTTCGAATAGAATCCGATTGACCGGAGAGTTCACGCATGAATAATGATTTTGATTGATTTGGACTGAGGTTATCGGTGGCACATGGAAAACAGCATGTATGAAGTTGGTATGACGGCGTAATTACAATCCTCACATGACGGTTGATAAATGGGTTTATGGAGTTTGGGAGGAGTAAGTGTTTTGTCTGGTTTATTTTGCATCTACATTTTCTTGTTTTTGGGAGTATGGTCACACAGTTGTGGCCTACATTATCCTTCACTTTCATTTCTACCTGCGCATCTCGGCGAGAAGCCGAAGTGATTAGATTCGGAGTTCTGGGATAATACTTTTTAACTGGTCATATGATCACACAAGGCGTTTTGGGATTTTGTTATGAGGCGGTTTTATTGCCGGTGCAATTGTACACTATTGAGTTGGTTGACTTAATTGAAATTGAGTAATTCTCCAAGCGAAGTCCTACAATGCACAACCGTTCTCCTGCCTACGTGACTGACTCGTATTTAAAATTTACAAATTCTTCAGCTGCTTCGCCATCCACCGTTTTGAAACGATCAAGAGATCTTCGTGGATGCCTCGACGGTCGTTTGGTGGGCGATTGTGGCATGACTCGTGTACATCTGGAATTACTGCGGATGGTTTCCGCTGAACGATTGGAACTAACCAAGCCGAGACTGGAGTCCGACTACCCCACGATCTCCAACCTTCCCCGCATGCGGTATGAGCCTCCCCCTCCTGTCTGGATCCAGAGAATAATGGAAGGCGGGAATAACAAATGATAGTGTGCGTGGGTTGAGGCACGGTTTCCGTGTGGTGGCGAGACGATTGCCATTTTAAGTGGTGTAGGAACACCGAGGTGCGTTGTGTCATGCTACACAGGAATAAAGAATTTATTTTGATCACTTCTGAAGATATGGTTACTGCAAAATCAGAGCAATCTTCAGAGAAGCATAATCGCTCAAAGATTCAATTATTGTACTGTATTAACTCAACAAAACCCTTGAAGCTTCAACGTGTTCGTTTACGGTTCTGATCCGAAAAGGGACATCAAGGTTCGAACTAGTTGTGAGAGTGACCCGGAGACAGGGAGACACACAACCATGCAAAGCTACGGCAACTATATTCGTCGAAACCAGCTGTTTCATTGGTGACTTGTCGTGCTATTCTCGCTTAGCCACTGCGGGGGAGGGTTTGGGGCTTTGTGGTTGTGGAGCTCGAGGGAGTAGATAAGGGCTGCGTTGTATCTTTTTGGGTGTTCTGGTTCTTTGTTTTCATTTCTGATACAGAATCAACTTGAATTTATATTGAAATCAGTCACAATGTCTACATATAACGATTCCGTCGGAGAAGTCGACATCGTCTTTGCGGGTGGTGGTACGGCAGCTTGTGTTGCCGCTGGTCGTTTGGCAAAGGCAAATCCGGATCTCAAGATTCTGTTAGTGGAAGGCGGGAAGAACAATTTCAATGATCCGACAGTTACGAATCCGGCGGTTTATTTGAGTCATTTGGCTCCTGATTCGAAGACTGCTTTGGTATGTATTCCTGATGTTTAATTTCGAAATGGTTTAGATTCTAATTTATCATAGTTCTACAAATCCAAACAATCCAAACACCTCAATAACAGAGAAGCAATCGTCCCCATGGGCGGCATTCTCGGTGGTGGTTCCTCCATAAACTTCATGATGTACACTCGTGCCCAAGGAGCTGATTTCGACGCTTGGAATACCCCTGGCTGGTCAGCGAAAGAGATGCTTCCACATCTAAATAGGCTGGAAACATATCATCCTACTGGTAAAGATATTGATCAGAGTCGACATGGTCACGATGGTCCTATCAATGTTGGTGATGGCGGGTATAGAGGAAAGAGTGAGAATCAGTTTATGGATACCGTGAAGAGTATGGGTTATAAGGATATCACGGATTTGCAGGATTTGGATGCTATTGGTGGATTCTCGGTAAGTGCTAATGAACAGTACAGAAAGTGAAGGAAGCTAATTTGTAACAGAGGTGGCATAGATATGTTGGTCCAGATGGAAAGAGACAGGATGCTGCTCATCGATATGTGCATCCTCTTCTTCAATCTGGCGACTACCCCAATCTTCATATTCTCACGGAGACAAAAGTCATCAGAGTACTCTTTGATGAGTCTTCACCACCAAAGGCTATTGGTATCGAGTACAAGCCAAATGCTGACCATCAACCTGAACTCGCTCTGTCAAAGCCAGTCCACAAGACCATCAAGGCTAGCAAGCTCGTTGTGGTTTCTGCCGGTGCCTTAGGATCTCCTCAAATTCTGGAGAGATCCGGTGTTGGTAATCCTGAGATCTTAAAGAAGTTGGATATCCCAGTCGTGTCTGAGCTTCCTGGTGTTGGCGAAGAGTACCAAGATCATCACCTCCTTCTTTATCCATACAAAACCAACCTTGACGAGGGTGAGACCTTGGATGGTATCTTGAGTGGACGCAAAGACTTTGCGAAGGCTTTGGAAGCGAAGGATCCTATGCTCGGATGGAACGGAATTGGTGAGTTTTTCTAACGGCAATTAAGTACAACGAGCTAACATTTTCCAGACATCTGCGCCAAACTCAGACCTACAGATGCCGAGATCAATTCTCTCGGAGCAAACTTCCAAGAGGATTGGGATCGTGATTTCAAGCCATTCCCAACCAGACCATTGATGCTCTGTGGTGTCGTCAACGCTTTCCTAGCAGATCCATCGCTTGTTGAGCCAGGCCAATACATGACCATGGGAACCTACACCGCATACCCATATTCTCGAGGATCAATCCACATCACCTCCAAAGAAGACGTCATCAACGGCTACGACTTCGACGCTGGCTTCCTCAATCATCCATCAGATATCAAGAAGCAACTCTGGGCATATAAGATGTCCCGAGAAATCACACGTCGTCTTCCATATTACAAAGGCGAACTCGAACTCGGACACCCGAAATTCAAAGATGGCAGTGCCGCTGCTATCTCTGAATCTGCTAGCGCAGTCGACATCAATGCCCCAAATATCGAATACAGCAAAGAGGATGATGAAGCTATCATGGACTGGGTCCGTGATAACCTGAATACGACATGGCATTCTCTTGGCACGTGTGCCATGAGGGAAAGAGAGAAGGGTGGTGTTTTGGATGGCGATTTGAATGTATATGGTACTCAGGGCTTGAAGGTTGCGGATTTGAGTATGGTTCCCGAGAATGTGGGCGCGAATACTAATAATACTGCGTTGGTGGTGGGTGAGAAGGCTGCGACTATTATTGGGAGAGAGTTGGGGATTGAGGTTTAGATGTAGGTTATATGGAGTTGAGGTGTGTAATTTGGTCGTGGGAATTGGAGTTCGGGTTGTTTTTGTAAGATGATGATGGTGATGATGAATATCTAGTGTGTTAGATGTTATGGTTTGAAGATAAGTGTGAAGGTCTTACAGTATATGGGACACACATCTTGACTCTTGAAGGTACCATCTTTTATTTACTGTCTCTATTTGATGGTTTTTGAATATTTGAATTATTGTATGAATAGTCGGAGATGCTCAAGCTTCTACAAATAGAGTTGATCTCTTGACAGGGGGATACATGCACCCCTGATATTTATAATTACACTTATGATACCAAAAATCACCGACGACACCGCTTCTCCCACCCTTGTCCAACGTATTCGATATCACAACCTTCTGGTTTATATTATCGCAAAAGAAGCTTCCATGAAGACAAATCTTACTTCATAAATTGCCGCAGGTCGTCCAAGTTACGGATTCTCCTCTCACTGCATAGTATGAGCCGGTTAATAAAAAGCGTCAACTCCGGTTCGAGCAATTGATGAGCATCTTGGTTTACGACTTCTTCTACGTAACGAAACCAAATCTACTCATCACCACGACTTTAATGTCTTTATGAGTCTTTTAGGATCTGCATTTTCCTATCCCATTTTACCACGAGTCTTGTCACAAGATGGCATCAAACCTTGAGTCCGTCGCAACCGAGCTCGCAATAATAATTGGTGATTGTCTAGATGTGAACTCCATTTGCTCACTTCGACTCGCATCGCATTCAACTGCACGACTCTTCACACCTTCACTTCGACCATTTGTGAAAGGTCTTCATGCGGATTTGACCGAGTTTACTTTAAGTAGACTTTGCGATTTGGCTTTTAACACGGAGCTCGGCTCAGCCGTTCGTATTCTGAGGCTTGATTGTGTATATTTCCGCACATTTGACGAACCTTGGGTTTATAATATGGGAGGAAGTGAGTTCTCCGAATTAGCTGGTTTATTTGGATTCAATTGTCTAATCCTTGGTTTCCTATCCAGAAGATGTGCCGTGGACGGAGGATCAAGAACCGGAACAACAACAATTCGCAGGTCAGCCTATGTGTAAAATGTTGACAAAGGTATTAAACGGCTTCCCAAACGTCCGGGAAATCATTCTTGCAGCGTGTGTGGCTACGTACGATGATGAGCGACACGTAGATTTATTTGCATTTAAGTGGACCAAAGATTGGCTACGCGCATTTGCGGCGTACCAAGCACTTTTATCAGCAATCATCAATTCTGGAACTCAACTAGATAGCCTTGTTGTCTATCAGAAATTGAAGAAGTGTAGCATACCAACACACGCGATCACCATTGGCTTACTACCAATACTTCATACGACAGGGTTCAAAGCCTTCGGAATGAAGTTGAAAGCGTTTTCTCTTGACCTAGCTATGACAACTCAACCGCCGAGGCCTAATGAGACCTCTCTGTCTATAAGCAATGAAGAAGACGTACAATTGATGCTTAACCATGGCGCCTCCACCAAAAACTACAGAGGTGGATCTGAAATAGACATCGAAGGCGTTTCATTGCTGCTACGACTCATGCCTAATCTTGAATCTCTTGAGATCAATTTGTATCCAGCCGCGAGCCTGGACGAAGAGGCATATGGCGCATTCTTACCAACCTTGTTCAAAGACAACTGGAAGCTCCCTCGCTTAAAGAAGCTCACTTTCCTCGGCCTAACAACGACTCATGAAGCACTACAAGGTGTACTCACACGACATGCAGCTACACTCGAGGAAGTCAGCTTTGACCACGTAAATCTCTCTAGCGGCTCCTGGAATCAGGTCTTCGAAACGCTAAGTCAGCGGATGCCTTTGCTCTCAACCCTGCACCTATCGCTCATCGCTACTACATCGGACCCGATGGAAATGAATCTCGAGCCAGCTGACAGGCGCCTTGACCCAATAGAAAAGCCAGAGCCTCATAGAGTCTGGAACATGGAAACGGAAGACTATGAAAACTGTTGGGTCAGGAGAACTATCGATCGTGATGAAATCAAACGGGGATTACGTTTTCGCCCGTTACAGGTGCCACCGAGTGCGCCGGTACTTTCCTTGTGTCATAATTTTTATACACTGGATTGTAGTTGTTGTGATTGAGTTTTTTAATGGAGTACATATCATGAGCCTGATATATAATTTATTTTCGTATATTATGTCATGTATAGAATCAACACGCTGTCAAGAATATGTGCATTTGACTTACTGACGGATTTAACAGTATCTGTCTGTATACTCAGCAAGTCTTCTGCTCTCAGGTGGATTTTCAGCAAAGTTTTTCTTGTCTTTTCAGAACACTAATTTCCCGTCTTTGAACTCCATTGAAATCCTGCTCACAGTACAATAGTCAGGAGTCTTTCTTGGTATCTAAACCATCCTACACAATCAACGAAGCAGCGAGCATAACAAGCCCGCCAAACCCGTCTATCCCAGCGCACCACTCTTCCCACCTCCCAACATTCCTAGACGACGCCCTAGCATCCAAGGTTTGGTTGGACACCCACGCATCACTGCAAGAAAGTCGGTCATCACCCAGCTTGACAAGCTCACCGTCCGCCGCCAATCCAAAAGACGTCTGAATCCCAGGTTCTCTCTGGCTTTCTACCTTCCACGCAAACTCATCACTTGCTTCCCACAACTGCTTCTTCGCTGGCAGCGGTGCGAGGATCAGATCTGTCGGCATGTCACACATGGCTGCTGGCTCGAAATAGATGAGCATGTTTACCACTCGATATACCACGGCCATTCTTTCGTTAAGGTCAGTAATATTCTGTCTACTCAATGTAAAGGGATGGGTAAAATGTCTAACCTTCGCCTTGACTCCTTGAAAATCCACTCTCTCCAACTGCTTTCTAGTCCATTGTCACATCCCACGCACTGCATGTGGCAAGTTGCGTCGGTGCGACCGAACTGTTGGGCTATCACCTATGTACGTCGTTAAGCCTAATATAGGTATAGAAGTGCGAGAGCTAGACTCACGATCACGGTCGTTATCAACAGAAAATCAAAGTTATTGTTGTCGGTCTCGCCCTCATCCAAGCGGATAAGAACATAAATAGAGAGAGCTTGCATAGCGGCAAGGACTTGCCATTTATTCATTCTCAAGTACTGAAGGTTATCCATCAGCTTCTTTATTCATCCCTCCACACTTCGAACGTACTTCGCTAGAAAATCGTTCACATTCCATTCTCACGTTATTCCAGAACAACATACGACTCCCTCTGACCCCACTACTGATCATATGCACCATACTAATGCAATTACTCAACGGTTCCATGTTTATATCTTCGACGTCGGATGATACCAGACTGGCATGGATAAACGGCGGAAGAGTGTTGTAGCGCAGCATCATCAGTGGATAAGATTTTAGGTTGTGAAGGATGAGATTGGCGATTCTTTGAGCTCCGGTCTGCATTTTTGGTCGATGCAAAAGTAAGCGGATGATGGTGCTTGGTGCTCGCGGTATTGATGAAGTTGTCGAGAAGAGGTCTTGGAGTTGTTGGGTTGTTTGAGTGGTGGAAGGTGTGGAATAGTGGACCGAGGATAATGTTTCTAGTGCGAGGTCTGGATCATGCGTCTGAGGGTTGATGAAATCAGAGAAATCAATGCCAGGCTCGTTTCCGTCGAGGTATTCTTCTCCAAGGTTTGCGAAGTCTAGGTCTGGGGTGACAAGTGTCCCGTCTTGGATCATGTTGCAATCTTCACTTGAATTCTGAAGGTTGTCGACGCTAGGATTACCTGCTGTCATGTGAATCACTGCATCCTCTCGTTCAATCGGTGCATTATCATGATTTTCAACTCTTAGCTCTGTAGCTTTAGGTGTATTTGCAGGATAGCGGCACTCAATGGCTTTACTTATACATCTTGAGCATTCAGGCTGACCTTTGTCACAGCGCGCTTTTCCTTTGGCACAAGAAAGGCAAGATTGAAGCCGGACAGAAGTACCGATTCTTCGAGACCGACAGTAGTATCCATGTCTCTTTAGTGTGGATTCTTCACACATTTAATCATTAGTAAGTAGCAAAGTCTGGTGGAAGCACAACTCACGCTTGTTGAACGGCTTATGACACCGCTCACACCGTAGGATCGATTGCACGGTAGCGGCGTTCATTTCAACATTGACTGCAGCGGAACATATTGTAAGTTCACGTATGGTGAAATAGAAAGCGCATTGAAGACTAGAAAGAACAGCATGATTGAGTTTCTCCACAATAGTCTATTTGTAAGCATTCTCCAAATTCTAATAGGTGTGAATCTTAAGCGAAGCATCCCGGGCGGGACAAATTGTAAAGGGGTAAAGTTGTTTCGGAACGGAACATTTTGTAGATACATGATTTTGTAACGACGACACGAAATTGTGAAAGTAAGACATTATTTGAACAAGAAAATCTCCATAAAGACCGCTATGCTCGCTCAAAATGGATTCCTCATCAATACATCCCCACCAAACATCCATCCACCTTGAAATCTGAAATTAACCGCTCAAAATGACCGAATCCCCCCCCTTCCCATCCCCCACCAAAAAATGGCACACCAAAGCCCAACCCTCCACCTCCCCAACCCGTCCCGAACTCTCAGCCAAAGGCAAATCCATAATCATCACCGGCGGAGGCAGCACCGGCATCGGCGGCGAAACGGCCCGCTACTTCGCCGCCGCGGGCGCATCTCGGATCGCTCTCCTGGGACGCCGAGAGAAACCCCTTTTAGACAACAAGGTCTTCATCAACGAGAAATCTCCTGACGTCGAGGTATTTACTATCTGCACGGATGTTACTAAGAAGAAAGATGTCGATGCTGCGTTTGCGCAGTTCGCTGGGAATGGGAAGATTAACGTCCTCGTTCATGCTGCGGCGGTGGTTGGACCTAAAGAGACGGTCGCGGATGTGAATGGTGAAGAGTACCTCGCATGTATCCAAACAAACGTCGCTGGTTCGTTATGGGTTGCTCAGGCATTTCTTCGGCATGCGGCACCAGATGCAGTTGCCATTGCCATTAACTCATGGGGTGCGCATCTCAGTCTCAACGACGCGTTCCCTTCATACTGCGTCGCCAAGCTAGCTGTATATCGTCTCTGGGACACTGTTGCTCTAGCAAACCCGAATTTGAGCGTTTTCCATACCCAGCCGGGTGTGATACTTACGGAGATGAATTTAAGTGTTGGCGGTGCGGAGAGCTTTAAGGATGTTAAGACGGATGATGGTATGTTATGCCGGGTGCTGAAGAGTGTGACAGGGCTGACTTGGAGTAGTTTCGCTTCCGGCGAGCTTTAATGTTTGGCTTACGAGTCCTGAGGCGAGGTTTCTGAGGGGCAAGTTTTTGTGGTGTAATTGGGATGTTGATGAACTTATGGCTCAGGCTGAGGAAATTGAAAAGGGGACGAAGTTGAATATTGGGCTTGTTGGATGGCCGTTTGAAAGTGAGAGCTAAAGGTTACAGGCTGCTGGCAACAATCGCTAGACTAGAATTGATTCAAATTTTATCTGGTCGTTTGGCTTACGGGTCAGGTATATCATTACTGGTGCTAGTCACAATATCACAGGCACAGCAATAGAGACAGCTATGTTCACTTCAACTTCGACTTCTTCCGAAGCCTGTTCTCTTGCATTGACTGTAGCTATAAACAAGAATCATCCGTCGAACAACCAATCCCGATCCCAGACCCGTCCACCCAAACTCCTACCGCAATGCTATCGCCGAAAGTGCATCACAGCTTAGTTGACCTTGGCTTGAGAAAGGCTAGTGATGACCTTAGCTCCATCCTGGAGACCGTTGGCAACCTTAGCACGGCAAAGAGGCTTGCCACGCTCAATGATGCTGGCATCGCAAGTTAAGCCCGAGTCGGCGACACAGTTAAGCGCACCGTTGCCTGAAGAAATCAAAGTCAGTATTTCTCTTAGAAGAAGATATGGATCACATACAAGCTCCAGCACCACCTGGCACACACTTTCCAGTTTGTCCGTTGGTAGCAGTGCAAGTATCCTGCTTCACGCTAGTGGCAGCGACACAGCAATTTCCTGAAGGAACTGGACGGCCGGCATTTTGACGAGCGAAGATACTGGCATCACCAGCGACACCGGCGGAGGCGATGGCGGCAAAGCCGAGGATAATGGAAGCGATGGCGAACTGCATATTGATTGATTTATCGGTTGGATTGATTTGAACGATTGATGGTTGAACTTTGTTGTTATAGACGAGAAACAGAAATCGAGAAGTGAATGAACCGACCGGCGGAAATGAATGTGAAAGTAATGGTATACAGATGAACTGGAGACTGAGGCTGGAGAGAAAAAGAACATTAGAATGCGAAGCAAACTCACCTTCTTATACTTCCTCAGTCTCGATTCTCGACTCAACTCGGGTACATGCATAGTGCTCGAGCCGCTCACCACGATGGAAGCGAGGGGATGAGCCAAGCCCCTGAGGGTTCCCCTCAAACTCGGCTAATCCGTCTCACCAGCAACGGGTCTGACAGAATATACGCCCCAATCAGGACCAGCGACTCCAAACCTGGGGTCGAGCTTCCAATACGAGCGAAGCTGTCATTCGCTGGCAATGCGCTCAATGTTGTTTCGCCTCGTCTCATCTTGCATTTTTTGGCCTTTGCTTGAAATGCCATCTCGGTTAGTGGCTTTTCGCCTCGTCTCATCTGCCATTTCATCCCTTTATATGCAAGTGCCGTGTCCATTAGTGGTTTCCCGTGGACCTGGGTTCCTCCACTTCTGGTTTCTAGAAGTCCCTATACGGAAATACGGCTATGACGGGCGCGTGAGACCTTGTATATAATTCTCATCTTATGGAAGTCCCTTCAAAAACGGGTCGCCTCGCTTAGGTTCTTTTCGGGCTCCACATTTGGATGTTCCATGTATCAATAATACCACCGAGTCTTCAAATCCACTACATCCATAGAAAAACACCTCTTTCAGTCTTCCAAGGTAATGCTGCACTTTACGGTGTGACATTTCCTAGATATTGACGATACCGAGGCTAGTTGGACGACTAGGCGACAACAATAATGAGTACTTTTAATTTAGATTCCCCAAACGAAACTTCTTTTCGCTTCTCAAAATACGTCATACACAGACCGACATCTCCTACGACGCTTCCAAAGGGCCTGGATAACCATCTCGAAGGTTAATGACGCGCGAATGCAATAGTGAAGGTGTTTGTAATCTCTGTATTCCTTCTATTCTATATGTTCTATTCTATGAGGAGATTGTAAGATTCTACCATACGCCCGCTTTTGTCCGTATCTATACCATCAAATCCAAACCGTACTCCAGACCACAACTCCAACTCCACTAACAAAAGAAAAAAGTCATGATCATGACCCTATAGTCCGCCGATTATCTTTTCACCTTCGACTCCCACCATCTATCTTCTCATCGTCAAGACATCACCTCCGTTCTGATCGCCAGCCTGGAAGCTCGCCGTGTGGGACGACAAAAAGTACTCGAATCCATCGTCCTTGATCCTGCCAAACCAATCGAGGAGCTCCATCTCCTCGAGGTCAGCTCTCCCCTTCCTCACTCCAACAAAGGCTTCCATGTCAGGTTCCCTCAGACGAACGTGGCTCTCGTGGTGTAAGAACCGCGCGCTCGGCGAGTTACCAACAAGCGACTCGCAGAGTACCTCAGTTGCCTCGTCCATCTTCAGTAAGTCAATGTGACCTCTCCAGCCCGAGATATCTGGCTTAATCTTGTGCATCTCGCTGTGCTGAGCTAGCCACTGCATCGCTGGCGTCACTGCATCACGCGGAGGCTCCGGGCCGGGAACGAAGCGGTGGATGGACACGGGGATCTTGAGATGGGCATTTGCCTGCTCGAGAATGCGCTCGCCCACCCATTTGCTGGCGACATACCCGTTGCTTCCGTCAGTTGCGGGTTGGTTTTGAGCAACCGAGTCTCCGACTGGGGAGTAGGCGGTCGTGGGCAAGACGCCAGAGGATGAAATGAAGTGGATGGGAACACGGCGGCTTGCTGCCAGCTTGACGAGTTCTCTGATTGGCTGCACGTTCGTCTGGCGGAGGGCGTGGTAGTTGTCCCAGAATGAGCGGACGGCGCCGAGATGGATGATTACATCAGCTGTAAGTGAGAGTTCCTCAAACTCGGGCTGGCTGAGACCGAGCATTGGGTCGGACAGGTCGCCATGGTGGACTGAGATCTTGGGCGAAGGCACCACGGGCTTGTCACGGACAGCCACACAGTGAATATCGGTGATATTAGGGTCATTTGCAAACCGCTCCAGAAGGTGACGACCGAGGAACCCGGTGGCACCGGTGAGCACGACGACCTTGGGTTGTTTTCGGGGTGCGGTGTAGTGTTCAACAGGAGTTGGTGCTATAAAGGGCAAAGCCGTCTCGCGTTCCCAATTAATGGTTTCGACACCGACGCTCTCTTCGATCTTGCAGGCCATCTCACCAAGGGTGCTGCTATTCATGAGCTCGAAGACAGACACGACGACACCGAGCTCTTCGCGGATGCGACTTTGTAGGCGCACGATTAGGAGGGAGTTACCACCAACCGAGAAGAACGTGGTAGCAGGCGTGATGGAGATGTTGGTTACGTGCGTAGACAGTACATCTTGCCACAAGCGGAATAGCTGAGTCTCAGTATTGGTAAGTTCGCCGCTGAGGGTTGAAGTTGCAATGTGCTCTGGGAGTGGAAGCGCTTTGACGGCCTTCCTGTCAACTTTGGAATGGTTGTTCAATGGCAGGTGGTCAATAGGAATGGCCATAGCGGGAACCATATATCGTGGAACCGGTAAGTCCTGAAGAACATTCTGGAGAAAAGCGTCCTTATCAGCAATGTCGCGTTTGGTGTCGAAGACGACGTGGGCCACCAAGAAGTCACAGTCCTCACCGTGAACAGTGACGACGGCTTCCACAATGGCACCGTTGCCCGCGCGCACAATGTTGCTTTCGATGTCTCCAAGCTCAATTCGGAGACCACGGATCTTTACCTGAAGGTCGGAGGAGATACGGTGTCGGAAGACCAGTGATCCATCCTCACGAAAGTGCCCGTAGTCACCAGTGCGGTACATTTTTGTCCATCCGTTTGCCATATAGGCCGCAGATGCGAAGGGGTTGGGCAAGAATTGAGTGGAAGTCAAAGCAGCGTTGTTAGCATAGCCGGCAGCAACGCCCGCTCCGCCAATGACGATTTCACCTGCTATGCCAATTGGCAAGGGCTTGAGATCTTTGTCGACGACATAAGCTGTATAGTTGGGGTACTGGGAGCCGATCGGAATATCACCTTGCTCTCCATGACGGTAGTCGATCTCATAGAAGCTTGATCCACAAGAAATCTCTGCAGGGCCATAGCTGTTGATTAGACGCACATGGGACAGATTCAAGGCCGCAAACTGCTTTGCGACGGTGTTTGTGAGTCTTTCACCACCAGCAATGGCGTACTTCCAGTTGGAACATTGTCGGAGCGTGCTCATCCCGTACTGAAGCCACATGAGATATTCGGACGGTGTTGCCTGTGAGTAAGTGATATTCTCATCTCGCATCACCTTAGTGATCTCTAGTGGATCGCCCCTCTGGTTCAGGGGGCACATGAAGACAGATCCGCCAGTTGCAAGACCAGTGAAAATCTGCTCCAGTGAAATGTCAAAGCTCAGCGTGCTCTGCTGCAGCGTGGTTTGTGGGGTTTCCATGCCGTACATTCTGATGGAACCTTCAATGTAGTTTCGTAGACCCTCATGCTTGACTGTGATACCCTTGGGCGTTCCAGTCGAACCGCTGGTGTAGATGATGACCGCGGCTTGCTCTGGGCGAGACAAATCTGGAACAATTGCAGACGCATAGGCGGGAACATTGCTGACATTGAGTGTAAGTGCACTACCCGCATTCAAGCTGTTTGCTTTGGGGCTGGTGGTGGCATCAGTCAAAATCACCCTTGGCTGGCAAGTTTCTACGATCGCCGCTAGGCGAGTAAGTGGGTTTGCGACGTCTATGGGAACATAGACACAGCCAATTCTCCAGATAGCCAGAAGCGAGACAATCCAATCGACCGATGGTTGTTGGAAGACGATAACCTTGGATCCTGGATCCACGCCGGCTTTTTGCAAGGTGGCTGCAATGGCTTGGCTTCGACTCATAAGTGTTCCGTAGGAGATTGAAGTACCATTGCCGTCTCTCACAGCCACTGCGTCTTTGTTTTGTCCTGCGACTTGTTCAACACGCCCCGAAAGAGTGGCAGGCCATTGGGACAGCAAGTCAGGTCCTTTGCCCATGTCGAGTGCTCGCTGGATTTGTGCTTGACTGTATAGCGAAGGCTCGCCTGTCTTCATGGTTGGTGTATTGACGAAGGCGTCCAGCAGGTTGATATACGTCTCGAGCAGCAGGGTTGTGGCATGGCGATCATAGATCGTCGCCTGTGTCTCAAATATGATACCTGGACCTTGATCGTCTTCAATGACGGTGATGTTGATATCGTAATTTGTCTCTCCGGTGTTGTTCTGCTGCATATCCATCTGGCAGTTGCCAAACCTTGATATTTGCTTGACGCCAACTTTGTAATCAAAGAAAGCTTGGAAGAACGGAGCATGAGTTGACGAACGCTCGACGTGATGGAACTCCTGGAGCATCATATCGAAGGGCAGTTTGGAATTGCCCAGTGCAGCGTATGCTTGATTCCTGGTTTCTGTGACCGAGGCAGCAAAGGTCTTTGCCTCGTCAGGCTTGAATCGCAGAGGCAGAAGATTGAGGAAGAGACCAATTGTTTTAGTGATGTCGTCGTCGGTTCTGTTGGCATCAGCGATACCAATCGTGAGGTCAGAAACGTCAGCCAATCGGGCAAGGAGGATGCGGAAGACGGTGAGATAGACGTGGAAGTTTGTCGAACGGGTCATTTTAGCAACAGCCTTGACCTTCTGTCCAAGGGCTGGGTCGACTCGCCTCGAGACTTCGTTGCTCTTGAAAGCAGAGATGGGTACACGCGAACTGCTTATGGCCATTGGAAGGAGTGGAAGCACAGCTGGCGAGTCATGAAAGACACTCTTCCAGTATTCAAGCTCAGAATCCATTTCCCCGGTTCGGAGCGCCTTGCGTTGGTTCACTGAGAAGGTGGGAAATTGCAATGGTGAAGGACCCATTGGCGTGCCATTGTATGCTTTTTCCAGATCAGAAAGCAGCACCTGCAAGCTGATACCGTCCATGATGATATGATGGTAAGCGACAAGAAGGTAGTGCATCGTGGTATTGAGGGTAAGAAGGGTCATGCGGAGGAGCTGAGGTTTAGCCAAATCGAAGTCGTGTCTCTTATGGATCTCGTATTCTTGAGCTGCTTCATCGACATGATTGATTGTTCGGTGCTCTAGCTTGACGTGATTCGTATCGGAAACGCTCTGGACTGCCATGTCGCGCTGAGAATCGTCATTGACGAAAAAGGTTCTGAGAGACTCGTGTCTCATGGCGACGAGCTCGAGCGCTTGTGCAAGCTTATCAACCTTAAGGTTTCCATTCAATTGGTACTGGAAGGCGACGTTAGAAGCCGTACGGTCCTCGAGGAAGAGATCGAGAAGCCAGAAGCGTGACTGTGACAGAGACATCGGTTCTGTTCTCAAGACTTTGAACTCACTAAGCTCCTTGCTTTCTGCAATTGCTACCAGGTCTGCTCCCAGGTCTGAGAATGACGACTTTCCGCCGAGACTCGATGGCGGCGTCGCAATAGATTCTTCCCTCGAGTGCGTTTCCGTGGTACTGCCGGCGGTGCCAGCGAAAGAAAGAGCGTGCCGGAGGGCAGGGCGCTCCAAAGATGCGTTCCTATCCGTTTTGCTTGCGTTGGTAGCAACGAACGAGACCTCTTGTTGAATGAGCGGGCGTTGTGCAGGCTTTTCTTTCTCGGCCTTCGAAATTGATGGAGCTGCTGTGTTGCCGAGCAGGGGAACGAGCTCCGCAGGTAACTTCTTAGAAGCTTGCTCCGAAAGGTCAGAGACAGATCCACCACCAAGAATTTTCAGAACAGGCATATCCGTTTGCAGCTCTTTCAAGAACCAGGAACGAACTTCAACAGCTACGAGAGAGTCGATTCCGATTTCCACAAGCGGGACATTCATATCCATTTCCTCGCCTGTCAGCTGCAGAATGATCTGTAACTTGGCCGCGAAGCAGGTCTTGATGATCGAGAGAACTTGTTCCGCTGTTGTGGCTTCAATCAGTTGTTCTCGGACTGGTTGAACTGTTTGTTTGGAATCCGAAATGGTGTTCGTCGCCTGCGTGTCAATGAGATAGTGGGACAACCGTGGGTACAGGATCCAAGGGGGAAGGTGCTTGCGATCCGCAGGAACTCGCTCAATACCGGTACTTATGACTGGGTCGAGGTTCATCTCTGGAATACCAGCGAATATTGTCTCGGCAAACATCTGGTGCAAGTCTGTTTCCGAAAGCGGCATGTATGAGTACTTTTCAAACGTTTCTTGGACGACTTGAGAAGCACGCTCAATGTAGCCAATACCAGCAACTCTGCCAATATCAAAGGCACTCCCAGCCAAGCCGCGAGCTCGCCTTTGTCGGACCAGACTAGTCATATAGGAACAGGCAGCTGCATAGTTGCTTTGACCGAAAACACCACCGACAGAGGAAGTCGAAGAAAAGCATACGAAAAAGTCGAGTGGAGTGTCGTAAAAGATCTCATCAAGCCAATTAGTGCCATCGATCTTTGGTCTCAGAACGTCGGTCATTTGCTCGTATGACATCTGCGAGAACAAAGTGTCTTTCAAAACCATCGCAGCATTCGCGACGCCCATAATCGGCGGGAAGGATGCCTGAATGTCGTTGACGACCTGAATAACATTGGCTTTGCATGTTACATCCATAGCGTAGACTGCGACTTTCGCACCATAAACCTTGAAAGAATCAAGCCACTTTTGGTCTACACTAGGATAACGGCTGGTCAACATAATGTTTCGCGCACCGTTCCGGACCATCCATTCACACAGCGACTGGCCAATTTGACCAGTCAGGCCGACCATGAGATAGGACTTGTTAGCGGAGAATAGGGGTGTCGCATCAATGGTGTCGACAATGACAGGAGCGGTATCTTCGGCAGTCCAATCGATAAGAGTGGCAGGATGCAAAGGTGTCTTAACATCAGCAACCTGGCTGAGGGAAAGTTCTGTTGGTGTATGGCCAGCCACGTACTGTCCCGCGGCTGTAGCAGCATTCTTCAGAAGGGAGATGAGCTTCTCCTGTTCTTGAAAAGAACCCGAGCTTGTCCCACGCCAAAGGTCTTTCGAGCCAGTGTACTGAACACCTGGCAGGGCTTGCTGGATAAGAGCAGATACTTCCTTAGACTCATCGTCAGTTGCCAGATCCAAAAAGTGAGTGACCCCAGTTGGCAAAAGGCGCTTGATGTTGTGATCGTGCATCCAAGGGCTAAGTGTGAGCCAAGAGGGGTCTTCGTCCGCCCTAGAGGTACTGAAAATGACTTCGAAGTCTCTGGCGATTGCTTGTTTCTTGAGAGCTTGTGAAAGAGAAGATCCGAGGGAACCAGTACCAGGTTCGTGAACAAGGACTTTGGCCCCTACAACAACTGTAGAGAGCATACGGGCTGCCAGAAGTTCCGCTGCAATGACAGATAGAAGAACAGCTGGGTCTTCCCGTGTTTCTGTAGGAATGCTGACCATTGGGTAGGATTTATTCGAGTTTGAGGAAGAAAGGGCGATGACGGCCTTTGATGTCGAAATTTCAAGCCCAACACTGACGAACAAATAGAGTCCGGCAGTAATACCCAGTGCCGACAGAGTCGAAACGCACGGCTTCATGGCGGATTTACCTTCATTAACCTTGCTGAAGAATGGAACATCATTCAAGACCGGCAAACCGGAGCCTGTTTCATTGATAGAGATCACATCTGACTTCAGGTTGGCGTGTTTGGCGACTGAGCGTCTTTGAGAGTTAATGCGATCATTCCTCGTAGGGTCAGGGAGCATGCGTGGTACGTAGAGGCTTCCATGCTGGAACATGAGCTCGGTCTCCTTAGTGTACAACAACTGTTGGTTAAGGGTATCGGAAGATTCCCACTGGCTCACGGTATGCAGACGCAGGGTCGCCTCCATGATCACTGTAGAGACTCCATCCAGGCCAGAAGCAACATCAAGATGCTGTACCGAGAGGTGAGGCATCTCATGGATGATACACCTTAGAAAACCAACCATGGCCTGCTGGTAAGGATGGTGGAGAGAATCGTGACCAACCCAGAGCAATGTTTGAGAATGCTCCAGTACGATCTTGAGAGCCTCCATCTTCTCAGGTTCCAAATCCTTGAACATTGGGTCTTCGAGATCCGAGAGACAGATGACAGTTTGTCCGGGAACAACAGAGCTTTGAGCGCTGATCAGGTCTGTGAAGGACTCAACTGATTGACAGCTCAGTCCGGCAATGTCGGCGATGTCCTCGGCGATCTTAGACACTTCCAATGTTTTGCCACCGATGATCGTGAGATGGGAGATTTGTGCGGCGTTGGATGAACGATAGAGAGGCTTCCTCAGATGACTGACACGATTGTCCACGGCTTGTGCTGAGATGACCGAGAATGGCCAGGCCAGTCCTTCACGATTGGGGGTGGTTGAATCAACTCCGCCGAAGCCGGATTGGCGAAGGACAGTATTCCAAGCCTCAAGAGGCATGGTAGGAGCATAAGGACGCCCATCTTCGCAGCCAGCCCACCAACCTGAAATACCGCCGAACATTGAAGTGAACGCAGCAAGCTTGTTGTTGGTGATTTCAAGCAACATCAAATATCCGCCAGGCTTGAGAAGACGGCGAACGTTCTTGAGTGTTTTCCCCATCGATTCGGTAGCGTGGAGGACGTTGGAAGCAATGATGAGATCATATGTGCCTTCCTGGAAGTCCTGAGACTCAGGTGTTCTCTCTGTATCAAAGCTCTTGAAGATCAGTTTATCTTTCCATTCGCTGAACGCCTCAGCGGCCTTCTCAAAGTAGCCAGTGGAGATGTCGGTGTACGTGTAGGAGGAAAAGGTGCTACCGATGGTCTCGAGAACGAATTTGGTCGCGCCACCTGTGCCAGCACCTACCTCAAAGATCTTGGCCCTTGGATAGACGTGCGTAAACTGGGAGACCATTCTGCCCAAGGACTCGTTGTAAACTTGAAAGCCAAGGCCATATTTGTAAAACTCGTCCAGCAAGCCGTCCTTCATCATATGTTCAATCATGGTTGACTGACGTCGAACGGCAGATGGAAGAGTCTCGCCCACGGTTCTGACCAAGCGACAATCCACGGAGTCAGCATGCGCTTTGAAGAGAGCATCGATCTGGGTCTGGGTGTCATTACGCCACTCTGACTGGATATAGGGATGCTTTCCGGCGTCAACGAGAGACAAGGTCCAATTGATCGAGTCCCGCAGGCGTTGAAAATGCCACTCAGACTTCGTCCAGTCTGCCTCAGTAAGTTCGCGGATCCACTTTTTGTAGTAAAAGAAGGCAAGTCTTTCACGAAAGGTTCCAAGCTCCATGTCTTTCGCTGATGGTCTCAGTTCGCCAAGAGCCAGTTCTCCATCTGGGGCTGCAACGCCGAGCTTGTTGTATGAGAAGACAGTGCGATCGTCGGAAACAGTGGCCATCGAGACGGGCACAACAGCAGCGCCTTGAACCTGGACCATAGCGTGTTGCTCGTCGGCGCTGAGTATGTCTACATTGCCACGAATCGAGTCCACAGCGTTCGCTTCAGGGGCAAAGAGTTGAGCTCGCACCGGAAGCTGGACTGAGTGCATAGGTAGCGTAGCACAGAGTTCTGGATTGACGCGGATACACTCGAAGAAGGTTGGTACGTGTAAAGACCACAAACGTCCATCGTCAGGCGCAGAGTATGCCAGGATAGCACTCTGGAAAGCTACGTCAAGTAGCGCAGGGTGAACCATCAAATTCTCAGTTTCATCACCGTATTCGAAGCTAGATATAAGAGCAGTAGCCTGATTGAGCTTGCGCTTCAAGTTTGCCATGGTGCGGAAATTGTCAGAGTATTCGTACCCAATGGTTGAGAGGGAGGTATAAAACCTGTCCGAGTCGGTCTCGGTCATATTCGAGTCATCCACTTGAATTGGTGGCAGGACCGACATCGAAGGCTCGCCGAAGATTATGTTTATTGTACCGCTGGCATTGACTTCCAGGTCTCGCGCCGACTTGATAGCAGCGGAGTAAACGGAGAATTTCGCTCCCCGAGTTTTCGGATTGGATTTGCTTGAAGTGATATCCGTTAGAGTTACCAGAGTCTCAGCAGCAGGATCGGATTCGCCTCCAAAGGTGATGGCTTTTCCGATGACCAGATCTCGTAATTCGATCAATTTGACAGGCCTGTTTCCAATGATAGACTTGGCTGCCTCAAAGGCCATACTGGCGTAGCCAGCTGCTGGGAAGACGGGCTCACCCTGCAATTTGTGGCCCGTCAGCCAAGGTACCTCTGAAATCTTGAGCACATTCGACCAGCGACGTTCAAGCTCAGTATTGTCCGCATGTGGTACACCAAGAAGTTCGTGGAATGGGTCCGATCGAGTTCTCATCTTACGCGCGATGCGAGACTCTTGCCAGTGGGTCTTTTGGTCCCAGTGGTAGGAAGGCAAGCCAGTGGCGAGCCTGGCCTGCGGAGCGTCAAGGAAAAGTCGCTCAAAGGCAGCGAAGTCAACAGCCTCAGGGCCGAATTGGGTCCAGATATAGCCTAGACCGTCGGCTAATGCTTCAACGTCGTTAAGACCTCTGGACATAACGCCGGTGTAGGGAAGGTCGAGGCCAGTTTCGGCAATATTCTGCTGTGCTGGGCCCTTGAGAGCAGCGTGAGGCCCAATCTCGATGGCAAGAGTAGGCTTCTCAGCTTGAGCTGCAGCCGTAACAGCTTCAGAGAAGGAGACCCTGTGTACCATGTTGTCACGCCAGTATAGATCTTGGAGTAGGGCAGTCGGCTCCATGACCTCACCACCCATCACACTGGAGTACCAGGTCACAGAGGTATCGCGGTTTCGGTTAACTTCAACTTTGCACACACGCAAAGCATTGACGTAAGCCTCGCCGCAAGCCAGCATATGGTGTGAGTGGTAAGCGGTATCAACCTTAAGTAGACGTGCGAACTTCTTTTCCTCTTCGAAGACAGCCTTGATCTCATCGATAGCATCTGCGTCGCCCGACAAGGTAACGCTTGCTGGCGAGTTATGTGCAGCGACCGCCACACGTCCAGCAAAAGCGTCAAGCTCAATCACTTCGCTGGCATCTTCGAGAGATGTTCCAACAGCAAGCATAGCACCTTTCTGTCCAGTCGGCCCGCCTGCAAGCTTTGCGTACAAGCCACGGTAGTAGGCAATTCGAATAGCATCCCGAGCATTGATGAAATTTGCAGCATATGCAGCACCAATCTCACCAGAAGAGTGACCCACCACAGAACTTGGCATAACACCGGCGCTGCGCAAGAGGTCGACGAGCACAACTTGGACTGCTGTACACAGCGGCTGTGAGAAAGCGGCTTCGGTGATACGAGACGACTTTGCATTAAGGAGTAATTGATCAGCAATTTTCCAGGTCGGTCGGTCTGCAGCTGGCAAAGTTGCAAGGGCAACATCAAGCTCCTGAAATCGGCGGCGAACAAATTCAGAGGAACGTATTAGTTCAGCACCCATTGCTGGCCATTGCGCACCCTGACCAGTGAAAACAGCAAGGATCTTTGGAAGGGTTGAGCTCGATCGGACGCCAATGTTTGCGTCTGACTTCTCCTCGTACTCTTTGAGTCTAAGCTCGATTTTTTGGATCAAGCCTTCCGCGTCAGGAGCCGAGAATGCGATTTTATGCGAGAAAGTAGAACGGCGCTGCTGGAGCGTCCAAGCAAGGTCCCGCATGTTGACTACTGGATTGGTCTTTAGATAGTCCAAGTGTGCCTGAAGACTGGAAAGGAGCGAAGTGTTTGACGCTGCGGAGAAAACAAAAGGAGTAGCCGGTACAACCAGGGCGCTGCTTGCGTTGTCAATCTGTGCTTGGTAGCTCTCCAAGATGGCGTGAGAATTGGCGCCACCGAAACCAAAACTGTTCACACTTGCCCTTCGCACAGCATCTTTAGGCAGGGCAGGCCATGGCTTTGCCTGAGTTGGCACCTGCAGGCCTTGAATGAAAGGTTCGATGCTTGGATTGAGACGATTGAACAGGCGATTTGGGGGGATGATGCCAGCTTGAAGGGATAGCGAGGCTTTGAGGAGACTGGCTATTCCAGCAGCACCCTCCGTGTGACCAATGACGGTCTTGATCGACCCAACATACAGAGGTTGACTATTAAGTCCTCCAAAGGTAGAGTAGATTGCAGCTGCTTCCTTGGGGTCGCCTACCTTGGTGCCGGTTCCATGCGCTAGATTCATGTCAGATCACTCAAGATGATATTGGGTCACTACCGACGTACCTTCGAAGAATTGAGGTCTGTCGGCGGGATTTGTAAGGTCAAGACCAGCTCGGGCATAGGTGCGGCGGATAAGTGCAGCTTGAGCCTCGGAGCTTGGTACAGTGATTCCCTGAGTACGGCCATCTTGGTTGATGCCAGTCTCACGGATGATACATTCGATGTGATCGCCATCAGCAATAGCGTCGCTGAGCTTCTTGAGAACAACAGTGGCGATACCGTCGCCGCGAGCATAGCCATCAGCATCAGCATCCCACATGCGGGATCTGCCTGTGGGCGACAGCATGTGCATGTTACTCTCGGCCACATACATTTCTAGCATTCGTTAGCTTGATCACTCGCTGGGTTGGATTGGCTTACCAGGGCCTAGAAGCAAAGTACTGCCACATGCAATGGCAACTCTCGAGTCATTAGACCGTAGTGCTTGAACAGCATTATGCACAGCGACCATACTCGAAGAGCATGCTGTGTCGATGGTCATAGACGGTCCACGCCAATCGAAAAAGTAAGAGATTCGGTTTGAAAGAATGGCGCGCGATGTGCCAGTCGCAAAGTATGTTGGTAGGCTGTTGGCATCTCTGAGAAGGCTTGTTTCATGGTCCCCTCCCATAACACCAACATAAACGGCAGTGTCAGAGCCACGTAAAGACTGGATGGTGTGGCCGCCAGCTTCGAGGGCCTCGTAGACAGTTTCCAGCAAGAGGCGCTGCTGAGGATCCATACACTCGGCCTCACTTGCACTAATGCCAAAGAAGTTGGCATCAAACTTGGTAAGATTCTCCTCCAAGGTGTAGGAGTGTAGAACGTTAGACGTGCCATGGTGGTCCCCGTCTTTGTGGTACCAGCCTCGCACATCAAAACGTTCTTTAGGTATCTCTTTCAAGATATCACGTGGACTTTTCAGCAGCTGCCAGAGAGCAGTAGGAGAATTGGCAGCACCGGGGAAACGGCAACCGCTGCCAACAATGGCGATGGGTTCAGATTGTTGATAATCCATATTGTACAAAGATGACGATGAAATATGTCAAATAAGGGAATGACAAGTTCGACGATATTGGAACCAACCGATGCCAGAACCCAAGTGCTACCAAGTCCTTCTACTTAAGTGGATACAAGTTTGATAGAGATGTATAGATCTCATAGAGCGATATCATTGTGTGAGTTACTCTTTTTAGAAAAGCGAATCCTTCATTTTCCATTGGTTGTTAAACATCCGAAGCGGCAAAGAAATCATTACAAGCTACTCAGCAGAATAATGAACCGAAGGGGTCTGTAGCTTTGGAGAAAGCCATATTTCCAACTGCTGGAGATCGTTCCATAACTTGTGTTCAAGCTGACCTATTTCGTGAGATCCTGCATAGGGAGTTGCCTGAGAGACCGACCGCGCCATGGCCAGACCTATTGCACCATAGCCGCGCCGCACATGGTCCAGCAGATGCTTGACAAGGTTGTAAATTACCACCAGGCGAAGCCGAGCGACGGAGAAGGGGTCGCCTTGATGAAAATCTGGTGAGTGGGACGCCTCATATGACATAAGCCTGACAAGAATTGTATGCACATGGAGGAGCTGGACATAACACGCAGAGAGAAGATGTCGCAGAGCAGCCGGTAAGCTCTCATCATTCGGAGAGTCGAAGAGCCGAAGCCGATACATTACTTGGAGTAAGCTCTTTGATACGAGACAGGCTTCCGTGTATATCTCGTACCCGTCAAGGCTCGGTAGGGCTCCTAGCAAATTCGCCAAGGAATTGAAGGCGTGAGTATGAGAGACGAGCTGGGGTTGGAGCTCCAACCTGGCTGTCTCGTGGCGACACGTGGTATGTAGCGTGTAGAGGCTGCAGCTCAGCGCTGCAAGCTGCTGCATTGAAGTTGTGAAAATGTCATCGTGGGATAGCTTGGCGGCTGAGGCGTTTGAGGTGTATGTTTCCATGGCAAGATCAGCAAAGGATCCCCTGTCCGCTGCAGTCCCTACCAAGGACCATGGATCCGTCTGGAACCAGGTCCCTGACTGAGAGCTAAAATCTGGAGACCCCAGTGCTGATCGGAGTTCGTCTATCGTTTCGAGCTCGTCTTCGGTTTCCTGGTTCTCTATTGGTTCCGGGCTAGCTTGCGAGGGCTGAGGCAGAAGAGGTATCTCCTTTGGCGTTGTATAGCTCTTGCTGGTGGACTTCCTGCTTCCGCTTGGCCGTCCCTTTGGCAATGGCGCGCTGTAGACACATTGTATCCCCAGATATCGGCATCTAGCACAATCGCTCAAATCGTCCGAATCCAGTCGTGGGCATCTGATTTTCTGAAAACGACAGCGATCACATGAGGCGCGTTTGGCCGGGGTCGGTTTGGTTGATCTGCTGTCCATTTGGTGGTTCAAGAGCCGGTGTCATGAGCGGCGCCATTTGACAGAATAGTCGGTATATAAATAGTAATTTATAATCGGCCGATGGATCTATTCAGTCTGTCCCAAATTCTGTTCGCTCCGCTTTTTCTAAGTAACGCCAAGGTTCATTTGATCCATCACCAGGATATTGGGCCAATACAAGTATACAGTTTCTACTGGCCTCAAGTGCCAAGAGTAATAGAAAACCGAATAAAGGCGTTCTACAAAGTAAGTAAGATTGGCAAGACTGATCCACAATCCAGGTACCTTTGCCAGTCAATGACGACCCCAAGCCTCAACAACGGTGTGTCCCATAATACTGCCTGGTACCTTGGCAGAAGCAGAGCGAACAGAATTTGGGACAGACTAATAAGTAGCAACGTAGGCTCACGGCTCGGTGCCACGGGGGGGTGCATCTTTCAATTTGGTGGCGTGAATTTGCTCAAAATCCAGGTGGTGATAGTTTGAAGGATCTGACGTGATGTGCGAACAGTATGGCAACTTGGCAAAAGTGGCTGTCAGGCTGGTGATAGATGACGGGCCGGCTGGTAAGCTGGGAACAGTAAGCAACAATTTTCCGAGAAGGCACGCCAGACTCAGTCGTTGACTGTAAATCTGGTGTAAAACACATGCTCGAATATGGCACAGCGAGCCCGGTAGCACAGAGGCTTGCGGCATACTGATGTGTGGAGGGTGTGCAGAAGATGTTACGACACGGTCACCGATATGGCACGCTATACGGCGTCGATAAGAATCGTATTTGATCAAGATACGAAGCTGAGAAGGAGTGTCGTCTGAGGGACGAGCGTCTGGGTGATATACTAGCTAAGCGAGAGCCGCAGGGCGGAATCATGTGACCAACAACGTTATTACACGCAACAACATGCCAACATCCCAACATCGGAACACGAAACGCGGGCATTGTGTCTAGCTGCCCGTGGGTTCTCGACATACATTACGCGTCTCCGTCGACGCGGACGACCAGCTTCTGTCCTGATACTGGCCCCGTACGAATTATGTCTATACCCTGGATGACACCGGCCCATTTGCCGGCTAGGACCCTGACTGGGTGAGATTTGATCCGGCCGTTGTCCAGCAATTTCTGTGTCACGGCAAAGATTTTCGCGCTCAGGGCCCGATCTGCCGCAGATGCGTCTCGCGCGTACTCACCGTCCAAAGCTACTCGACCGCCGAACATGGTCAGAACCATGAGCCACGAAGCGCGGATGGTTGGTCGTGTCGCTGCTACCGCTTGGCGAACGGGCTCTACCCCGCAATACCGTCCGCCAGCCCTGCCGATTGCGCCATAGCAGAGTTGGGCGCTGTCGGACTCAGACACGCAGTCGATGGCGTACGCCAGGCCGTTGCGCGTGTAAGCGCGGATCTCTTTAGCGCATTCCGGGCTGCGGTAGTCAAACGCCTTTTCCGCTCCAAACTCGAGGACCAGTGCGAAGTTCGACGGCGAGCAAGTTGCGATGGGCCGTAATCCTGCGCTGCAGAGTGCTGTCATCAGCGAGCCGTTTTCCATCCAACGCCACCCGAACTCTTAAATATTCAGATGTATTAAACATGCCAATTTACGGTAAAAATGACCCAAAAAAGCAAAATCGGAGAATAAATAAAGTGCTTACAGCTTGAGCATTTGAATTGCCCGGGTGCCAGTAGCGGTGCTACCCCCAGAGACAAGGACCCACGCCCCACTCGGTGCCGCATTCGGGGAGATTTTAGCATCCGCCGCCCTGACGATCAGATCCTCGATGCGGACGGGGATCTCTAATTCTCGGAACAAGACAAGACCTGCGGTAGCCAAGCCGATGCCGAGCGTGGATGCCTCCTCGAAAGCCATCCCGTCAGGAATCTTGAGGAGCAACTCCGCGGTCGCCCCGACATACTGTGCAAAGGCACCAACACACGGCTCCAGGGAGTTGTTACCATGGACCGCCCCAGCAACCCGGTCCCCGATCGAGAGGTGACCAGGGGCTTCGGATCCGAGTCCAACCACCACCCCCGCGAAGTCGTAGCCATGAATAGCTCCCACGGCCGGGCTGTAATCGAGCATCTTGGCATCGACGGGATTGATAGCGACGGCAACAGTGCGAACAAGGGCCATATCAGGGGCCAGGTGAGGCAGAGGCGCATCGTGGTGGAGGGCAAGCTGGCCCGGCCCGGCAACCACCAAGGCAGTCTGGCGCCGTGGAAGTGCGGGTGATGCCAAGGGGGAGGTGACAGAAGACATTGCGTACCAAAAGAACACTGACTTGGCTATTCTTGGGATTGTTGGGACCGATGTTGGCTGAAGTTGTCGAAGTTAGGTATCTGAAGTGTTCATTAGCCAATATATAATACCGCCTATTACCGTAAGTACCGTATATACCTTATATACCTTCCCGTGAGGATTGTCGTAAATCACTCAATCAAGGTCGATTTGATCGTCACTAGGTACGTTCACAATGATAAACTTTACAAGGTACAAAATAAGCTCGCATATATTAACAACCACGAGACATTTACCTGTATTTATGGCAACAGCCTGTAAGACTTGGGTCGCATCCTCGTGAGGAAGCGGCACTGCGGTAGCATGGAGCTGATACATAAAATCGCCGGTCATGCTTTTCGCTATGTAGCATGCACGAAATCCCAAGTCGCATCTGAATGGCCAAAAAGCACCGAACGTCAGAGAGGCCAAGAAACCCCATAACGCGAGATTACTTACCGCAAGCAGCGTAATCTGGAATGACAATTTATCTGCAGCCGCATATCCAGATCAAATCGTCTCTCACAGCACCTTTCGATCTCGATCAAAACATCAGAAAAGTGTCGCTTTGCAGCTGTCAGCCTGTCACGCGTATCACGTGCGAATCTTCTCTTTCCATGGCTCCAGCGGTGTCGAACAACTCAGAACATGAGAGCACGACGCAACAATCAGAAACTCCTGCGACTCAGGCACGCTCTGAAAATGCGGAAACTCAATCAGAAGAAGATGGCGGGGAATACGCACCCCGCAGAAACATGATCCCCATCATGATTGCACTCTGCGTCGCGTCGTTCCTGGCGATTCTGGATATCTCCTTCGTCACAACCGCCTTACCGACAATCGCTGAGCACTTCAAGGCTTCTCAGATCAGTTACTCATGGGTTGGTTCATCTTACCTCTTGACCCAGTCCGCTTTGGCTCCGCTCTGGGGCAAGGTGAGCGACATTTTTGGACGCAAGCCAATTGTGTTACTGGCAACCTTCGTCTTTTTCCTGGGAAGCTTGATTTGTGCCGTGGCAAATACCGTCGCCGTACTTATTGCTGGGCGTGCGATTCAAGGTGCTGGAGCCGGCGGCGTGCTGCTGATCGTGACGATTCTCATAGGAGATCTCGTCAGTCCAAGGTAAGTGAAAATTTAGCTTTGAGGTACTAGATACCTCGAAAGACGGCTCCAAGAATGCGCTGACCCCTTTCCAGACAGCGCGGACTATATTTTGGCATTCTCGGTGGGGTATATGCCATCGCAATCTCTTCCGGTCCTCTCATCGGAGGAGTAATTGCTGAAAATATCGGCTGGAGATGGTGTTTCTACATCAACCTCCCATTCCAGGGAATCGCTTTTGCCCTGCTAGTCTTTTTCCTCCACGTTCACGATCCCCGTACCGAAATCATCAAAGGTTTAATGGCCGTTGATTGGCTGGGATCGCTTACTCTTACAGCTTCGGTTCTTATGCTTCTCCTGGGCCTTCAGTATGGCGGTGAAGTGCATCCTTGGGACTCTGCCATTGTCTTGTGTTTGATAATTTTCGGCGTGTTGGTTTGCGCTATCTTTGTTGGCATCGAGTGGAAGTTTGCTCGTTATCCGGTGCTTCCCCTACGACTTTTCACGACTGTCCCCATTGTCGCCCTATTCGTGGTCGATCTCACGCACGGATTCCTCTTGTACGGTACGGCCTACTTTGTCCCATTCTACTTCCAGGTGGTTCTTCGAGCTTCACCAACTAATTCCGCGGTCTGGTCTCTTCCTCTCGCCATTCCCCTGGCTCTCTTCACCATCGGGACAGGTCTTTATATGCGGCAGACGGGGAAATACTTATACATGATCATTGGGGGCATGATCCTCTCCACTCTGGGTACCGGTCTATTGATCGATCTCGGTGCAGAAACAAATTGGCCAAAGATCATCATCTATCAACTGATCATCGCAGTCGGTCTGGGCCCCAACTTTCAAGCACCAACCATTGCCCTGCAAGCAAGATTTCCACCCGCCGATGGAGGCGTCGCCGTTTCCGCGGCAAGTGCAATCCGCGCACTCAGCGCCGCCTTCAGCATCGTCCTGGGCGGTGTCATTCTTGAAAATCGACTCTCGGCAAAAGGCGGTCGTCTCATTGCTGCTGGAATCAGTTCTACGATGGCAGACGCAATTGCAAAGAACGGCGCAGCTGGGTCTGTGGAACTCGTTTCTCAGCTCACCCCGGCCCAGCAGCACATTTTCAGGTTGGCCGTCAAGGACAGTCTTGCCGATATGTGGATCTTCTTCGTCATTCTCTCGGCAATTGGACTCATTGCATCTTTCCTCGTTGGAAGCGACGAACTTTCTGATGAGCATGTGGAACACAAGACGGGTTTGGAGGTGGAAGAGGCAAATCGATTGGTGCATGAAAAGCCGCGGGGAAGTGAGCCAGAACTCGCGGAGATGACTTGAACACTCTACCACTTGGAGCAGTGCGATATCTTACCGACGCTGGTGACGCATCTTGTGCTTTTAGGCATTCGATAAGCATTTGTATGATTTGTACAATCTTAAATTTGAAAGATTACTATCTTGAAGTTGGAAAAGGAAACGAATCGCTAAAGGACATGGCTGGGATATCGCCAGCGATCAAATCTATCGACCTCATTATCAGGTCCAGCGTCACTGTACAATAAACTAAATCTATGTAAAATTTGAACTACTATCTATTACCTCGAAGAGGACCTCCATTTCATCCCTGTTCTGCGCATCTTCTACTGATAGCAGCAATCCGTGCTATATCTCCTTTTGAGCAATTTTGTCTTATTCCTCTTGTAGAGTCTCTTTCATCTCCTCCTCTTTCATCGCTTCTTCGGCGTAAGCGTTACTTTATCATAGCCTAACTACGCTCAATAGGCTTGAGATGCGGACTCTGATGTTGTGGGTCTCTTATGCCAAGCCATATTTTTTTATCCCATACGAAGGATTCCCATGCCCTTGTAGTATAAAAACCATGATTTATCCTCAACAAACCACAAATATCTCACAGCTTCGACGTATACCTTATCTCATAAGCACTTCTAGATCATCGAATTGGCCTAAACCGTGACCTGCTTCCCACCTTCCCATTCCCTTACTTTTTCGACGTGTTCCTTAGGCGTGGATTCTAGGCGTATGCAGGGTCGTCCTCCTCACCATTGTAGAACCCTTCGTGTCTCTGCCTTTCACCGCCAAGAGAGGCTTTAGAGACCTAGAGATAGGTTACTGAAGATGTGTGTTAGAGCCTTCTGCCCAGTTTTTTGGTAGATAGAACATTCGTGAAAAAGATTCGCTTGCATCTCCCACCGATCCCTTGATGTCCGTTGTACTTAACGCTTGCTAACAGGTCGTTTGTGATCCTCAAGCAACGCTTCGCCCTTTATTTCCAAAAGGATTTCTCCATCTCAAAACAAACTCCATTGCGTCACTCATTCCATCACCCAACAGCGAGGACTCGTACACATAATAACCTTGCGTGCGTAATCCAGCGGCTGAGGTGATGTTGAAGTAGCCCGCGGGATCTAATTGCGTGACGTTCATCCATCGCGCTCGCACTCGCTTAACCCCCGATGATATCCCCACGAAACGGGTAAACAACCACGCCTCAGTAGTGCCGGACAATATCCAATGGATCCTTAAACTCAATCTGGGGGATCTACAGGGGTCCACGCGTCTGGGGATCAGTAACTGTCAGCCCTGTCGGCGTCCTGCGGTCGTGCAGCAGCGTCGGTGGATTTTCGACGAATCACACGGATCGATACCTACGACACGTAATATCTGCTTCGCAGACCCATCTGAGACAAAGGGCGCGGAAATTACCCATCGAGAGATTCGCATTCGCTTAACGGTACGGTGAGAGTGAGCAGCCCGAATCAGAACAAAATGTACACGGGCGTCCATCTACTAAGACGACACTCGCATCTTCCTTTTGAGCTTTTTTATCTCATCTCATCTCAGCCCAAAATCAAAAAAAACTTTGCCATCCACGGTCTACCCCCTTTTTACCCTTTTTGATCCCTAGATTTTCGAGGGCTTGTTGGAGTTTTGCTGTGGTTCTATCGCGAAATCAAGCCAGTTTGCGTTTTCTGTACGCTTTTCTTTGGTAGCTCTAGCAGCTCTGCCACTTCGACACTTCTTCACTCTTCGTCTCGTCCACTCTGCTCGCGACTCAACGTATCTCCACTCCGACACTCCTCGCTCCAAGTCTCGTCCATTCCACCCTCGACTCAACGTATCTCCACCCCGACACTTCCTCACCTAAGTCTCGTCCATTCCACCCTCGACTCAACACATCTCCACAATGTCATCCGAAGCAGTCGTCCCATATGATCCCTCCCAGTACCTCGACTATTACCTCGTCTCCTTCGGCCCCGACGCCAACTGCACCCTCGCTCTATGCCCCGTCGATGCCTCCCTCCAGGGCTACCGGCCCAAATTCGCAGTGCAAATCGCGTTTATCGCGCTCTTCGGCATCTCCATGCTCATTCACATAGCCCAGGGCATCCGCTACCGCACCTGGTTCTTCACCAGCATGATGGCCGTAGGCTGCATCGGCGAGATGATCGGTTACGCCGGACGCATTTTGCTGTACAAGAACCCCTTCTCCTTTGACGGCTTCATAGTCGAGATTTGCTGCATCACCATCTCGCCCGTCTTCTTCGCTGCCGCCATCTACGTCTCGCTTGCCAAGGTCACGAATTATTTGGCCCTTGAAGCTAATAGGTTTCCGGCCAAGGTATACATCTGGGTGTTTGTGCCTTGCGATGTTGTGAGTTTGATTTTGCAGTCCGTGGGCGGTGCGTTATCGTCGAGTTCCGAGGGAGGTGACAAATCAGGCGAGTACATCACGCTTGCTGGTCTGGCGTTCCAGGTCTTCACTCTATCGGTCTTCATCGCGATGGCCTTGGACTACGTCTTCCGCTACCTCTCGTACCGTAAATCTCAGCCAGTGGACCAACGCCGGATCCTCTCGATGCGCTTCAAGCTCTTTAGCATTTTCTTCTCGGCATCTATCATCTTTATTCTCATCCGTTGCTGCTACCGTATTGCCGAGCTCGGTCAAGGATACAGTGGGGCACTCTTCCACGACGAGCCTCTGTTTGTTGCGCTGGAGTCGGTAATGATAATCCTGGCAGTGTTCGCTTTGAACATTGCTCAACCAGGTACGGTTCTGTCCTATGTAGGGAAACTCTCATTTGTACTGACAGTTGCAGGCTTCGCATTCCAGAATCGCACTCAGGAAGAAGCAACCTATGGTAAGGTTGAAATTGAACTTCAAAAGACGTCAACTGCAAGAGAACCTCTGACCCAACAATAAAGCAAGTCGTAGGAGCCAGGTACAGCTCGATATGAGGGGGATTTGATATCACACCTTATGCTGGAAGTAAAGAGGGTTTTGATGAGGCGGAGAGCTTTCGAGGGGAGGAGCCTATTCGATGGGAAGAGCATCCATGGATGTAGTCTAACCCGGTATGGTGACTAATACGGGGCCTGAAAAGGAAGGGTACGGAGTCTGGTACCAAGGATATAGAGTCTGATACGGAGTATGCTTATAGGTGTTGTTTTGTACTATAGAAGTCTCGCATAGAGGAGTATCTTGTTCGACAGCAGAAGAAGTTTCGTGGGCGACGGTGCCGTGTCTGATAGGAACGGTGTCGTCCTCGGTAGCAGGAGAAATGTCATGCTCCCGAGAAAGATAATCGAAAACGCGTCGAATCCTTGTCGGAAATAATTCAATCATCGTGTTGGTAATGGAAAATCTAATATAAGATCTGTTATCATTTCGATTTCTTCTTCTTCAACCTGTCCGCCACTCCCCAGAAAGTTGTTTCAGCAGCGACGCTGATAAAAAAAAATGGCTATATATTTTGAAATGGCGTGTATTTTGTGTTGTTTTTGATCCGTGAGATTTCGTGACTTGCAAACTTTATCCCCTCAAACACGTGCCCTACAAAGTGGAGCACCACCGCAATAACAATTAGTTTTTATCACGTGTTTAGGGCGATAGAGGTAGTATCTATTTAAAACGAGAATTATTACCTAGGTATCGAATTATCGATAATTTAATGTAGAACTAACAATAATTTAATGCAAGTAAATAGAAACTAACTTTAATTAAATAAGTATCTATAATCGCCTCCTCTCTACCGGACTAAGCGCTAGAAATTAATGTTTTACTACTACGACATCTATTAATCTACTACTCTCTTTTAATGTTTAGAAATAACAGGAAGTCATCTTAAAAATTTACCTACCAGAAGTTGGAAAATTTCGTAAAGCTCTATTTATTTGTAAATTTAGGTCCTAATGTAAGCCAAATCACGCTTCGACGATTCCTCGAGATTACACGCCAACTGCTGACTTTTCATTGAGAGCGTATACCCGTCGAGGAGTAGAGTAAATTCGAGCTCGAGTACCTGTGAGCACTTTGAAAATACAATGAAGCCAATAATTCCTTGTTAAATTTGATCAAAAGCGAGTTTTCAGCAAAATTCCAATGCAATAGAGCGGCGGGGTCGACACGCCGGTGACTCACGACTCACCAATGTCACTCCGCACCAACGCGTCGAACACCATTATTGGATAGAACAAATGCCTCCATGTACGTATATCGTAAAGGTTTTTCTCAATGGATAATATAAAGCCCATCTACACTCTGGTCAGTATCAATTTAACACAACATCAAACAAAAGCATGAGTTGTACAACCACCCTCGAACTCTCCGAGTTCCAAACTCAAGCTGAGATATCCACCTACAACCCACCTCATATCCCAACCCACCACGATATCAAGATCAACAGTCATGAGCGTGACAACTTACCACCAGCAGCACCGGCATCGCGCCAAAACCCCTCTAAACTCCGCATCACTCTCACAATCTTGCAACCCTGCCTCGTAAACTTCTTCTCCAGTTTCACCAGTGGAATAATAACCGTCGCCCTTCCCGCCATCGCTTCATCTCTATCAATCCCAGCTTCACTCTACTTATGGCCCTCCTCAGTCTACGGTCTAACCAGCGGCGCCGCCCTTCTAATGGCCGGCTCAATCGCCGACCTAGTCGGCGCTCGAAACGTCGAATTAGTCGGTATTCTCCTGCTATCCACGTTCGTCCTCGCTCAGTCTTTCTCATCGACGGGAATCCAATTCATCGTCTTCCGTGCCCTACAAGGCGTCGCGTTAGCAATGCACATCCCAGCATCCGTGAGTCTCATCGCAGCTGGTGTTCCAGAAGGAAGAGCGAGGAATTTCGGATTCGGATGTTTAGGCATGAGCCAGCCGTTAGGGTTTTCGGTTGGATTGGTGGCGAGTGGTATTATGGTTGAGCGAGCTGGTTGGAGATCTGCGTTTTATTTGTCTGCTGCTGGATTGTTCCTTGCGAGTATACCGGCTTTTTGGGTTTTGCCCAAGGTTGAAGCAAATCGGCAAAGAGAATGGAGTGTTTGGATGTCTATATGTAGGGAGATTGATTGGGTTGGAGGGGGGCTGGCAAGTGGGGGGTTGGCTATACTTGCTTATGTTCTTGCGTGAGTATTTTCTATTCGGAAACAATGATGAAGATACTGACCGACACAGCATCCTGAGCGCGGATCTAGCAGCGTTCAAAAGGACCACCACCGTAGTTCTATTCGTGGTTAGCGTTGTGCTCATGATTGCATTTCCCTTCTGGATGCACCATCGAGAACGCTCGGGGAAGCCAGCTCTGGTGCCAAATAGTCTTTGGAAAAACACCGCGTTCACAACAACCTGTAGTAAGTGGTCGAGAGCTACTTCATTATTTCCATACAATTACTCCCCAGGAAACCACTTTTCGGATCAAACACCTAAATTCGTCTCAACAAGGCAATTGCTGACTACCGACTCTCTAGTGATGGTCGCCTTATCATACGGCGTCGCGAACTCCTTGGCGCTGTTTTCAAGTCTGTTGTAATTATTACCCTATTTCAATTGCAAACCCACAGCAACCTCATAATCTAACCTCCCCTAGTTTCCAAGAAATCCAAGACAAATCAACCCTAACAACCTCCCTATACCTCCTCCCGAACATGGTCGTAGCGATTCTCCTCAATCTCATAACAGGTCTCTTAGTCCACCGCTGGCCAGCGCGTTGGTTCATCGTGATCTCCTCCTTCCTCTGCGCACTCTCTCCACTTATAATGGCACTTGTCCCCCCTGGATGGAGTTACTGGTACCTTGAGTTCTGGGCCCAGATATTTGCGCCCCTGAGTCTCCAAGTCTTATACACAATCGGTCTTATCATCGTGAGCAGCAGTTTCCCAGCGGAAACACAAGCGTTGGCGGGAGCGGTGTTTAGTACGGTTGGGACGTTTGGCAGTAGTTTTGGGATTGGAATGTGTCAGCTAGTGGCGTTGGGGGTTATGGATACTAAAGGTGAAGGGAAAAATAAGGGACCTGGGGATGACGGAGGCAGTCGCGGGGGCGCTTTTGGTGGGTATGGCGATGCGGAGGCATTGGAGGGATTCCGTGCTGCTTTTTGGACTATGTTTGCTTGTATGGTTACTGTAGGATTACTCGCTATGTATGGCTTGAGAAAGACTGGAAAAGTGGGAGTGAAGAGGGAGTGAAGAGGGAGTAGAATTGATGTTAAGAAGGGGTCATGGTGTCACGCTCTATAGGTTGTGAAATTTTCAATTTTGTCACAATTCGTAAAGTGTGTGAGACTTGTTGTGCTTAGATAAGCTCACAACCTATCCTGATACATTCTTGCACATAACCTTTCAATCTCCTAGGGTGTCTCTCTTTCCGTAGATGTATGCTTCAGATTTTCGTTTGGGATGACGCTCGTTTATATTGAAATAATCAGCTCTCAACACTCCTTCTGGATGTCTAGGTACTTTTAGTGTAATCATCAGGTAAGTCCGTTCTGTCTATACCCTAGAAAATACAGGTGTTGATATTCGCTATTTCTTTCCAATAGAGCCAAAATAATGAACATATTCTAGGTGGCGCCAAAATTCTTACTCAGATATCACCTAGTCCTTGATTCACTAGAGCACCACCCGCGTATAAACACCTTCTACCCTCATTGTTGATTCACTTCACAACACCCCAATAAGTAAGTGGGGCAAACCTTTCCCCACACTCGCAGCCGAGGGCTCCTGTTTTTGTTGCATGTCGCATTTCCGCAGCTTCATTATTTCCTATTTGGGACGATTTAGGAGAGTTGCTTTTTCCTGACATGAAGGGGGTTGATGAGAATAATAGAATTGAAGTCTACGGACTCGAAAGAAGATGGTTGTAAAGCGAGAAGTGAATGGGGGCGAGAAGTGAGTGAGACAAGAAGCTGTGTGTACCGGCGTAAGTTTTGTTGCATGTCGCATGTCGGCTTCATTATTTCCTCTTTAAGAAACCGCTGGATAGGTTTGATCTTTTTTGAGTCGATGGGATTGATGAGGTTGACAAGATTGGATTGTGGATGGTCTTGAACGTCGACTGTTCTAAAGGAGGAGAAAGGAGCAATAAGCGAGCAAAGATAGAAGAGACTTAGGAAGAGACTCCCACGCGAGTTTTGTTGCATGTCGCACCTCAGCTTTATTTTTTCCTCTTTAGGTAGATCTAGGACAACATCCTCCTTCCTGCCATTGATGAGAATAATAAAATTGGATTGTGTTCGATGTTGCAAGATCGGTGTGCTGACTCAAGAGACAAAAAGTGAGGAAAGCAAGAGGTGATCAAGTCAGGTGGAGATACCCAGGAGAATTTTGTTGTTTGTCGCACGTCAATGTGCTTTGGCTTCTATTTTGGGAAGCTGGAAGACTAGTCTTTCTCGCAAAAGAAACTGACATTGAGTGAATATCGCTGTTTTGAGAAAATAATCATGTCAACTTGTTGTTGCAGGGTTTCTTGTCTTTTAGGAAGTGATGCCACCTTTTTGAGGGGATCGTGGAGTTCTCGGTACTTTCGACGGCGATATAAGCCATGTCACACGTCTATGTTAGACATTGTAAAGGGGTCTGGGTGAATCTCTGCCTTCTTCCCTGTCGCAGTCCATGCATTCAGTCTCATTTCACTTGTACTTTCCCAATTCCTCTTGAACAGACACATATTCCAACTTGAACAAGCGTTTCGCAAAACCTAGATATCTTAGACGTCGATGGCCTTTCCCGTTACTTTCAACAGATACAGTGTGTTAGAGCGACAAGCTAAAACGCTCCAATAATGGACCCCGAAACAGATTACTACGAACTCCTCGGCCTCCTCCAAAGCGCAAGTCTGAAAGATATCGACACGGCTTACAAGAAGGCCAGCCTGCGGCATCATCCCGATAGGAACCTCAATAGTCCCACGGCCCACGAGGAGTTCATCACTGTGAGAAAGGCATACGAAACACTGAAAGATCCAAAAGAACGCCTTCTATATAATAATACTTTGGAAAACAGACCAACGAATACCGATCCAAAGCCATGGGAAATTTCAGAGGCAGATGGACAAAGCGACTCAAGACATTCACACACAGAGAGGGTCAGACAAGAGCATTCAACTTGCCTGGACGAGGAACAAGATGGTACCCACGATAGCCAGGATCAAGCCCATAAAGACGCACGACTCCTCTCCACCCTCGAACAAAGAATTAAGGAGCACGAATCTAACCTCACCCACGTGCGAAACAGCCTCACAAACGCCTCTCCCTCCGACCCAACACACCAAAAACTAGACTACCTCCGCGCCAGCGTCTCCGAAGAATATATCAAAACCCTCATAATCCTCGACTCTTCCCGCCAACGAATCATACGCAAACTCCACCCCTCACAGCGGCAAACCCACCTCAACGAAGTGCAACGCGACTTCGAGAAGTCGAATCATGAATTACGCCAGAAAGCGTGCAAGGAGGTGCTGGAATTACTTGCGCTCCTCCCACGCTCAAAGGGAAACTGGACATGTGAGTTCCGCTGGGATTGGCTGCAGATATTTCCGCTTGTTGAGAAGATGGTAGCGGTTGAGGGGTGTATGGAGGGACCGTGGCATAAGATCGAGACGCTGAAACGCTGGCCGGATTTGAAGAGGTTGATGGAGTGTCAGTGTTGTAGGATTAGGGAGGTTGATCGGAGGAGTAAACCTACGAGGTGTGGGTGTGGGTTTTATGTGTGTTGGGATTGTAAGGAGAGGATGGTTTTGCTTGGGGAGTGGGAGGAGTGGTTGGTTGGGAAGGGGGGGATGGGGTTTGATTTTCCGTATGTGGAGAGAAGGGGAGTGGAAGGGAGTGGGAAGAGAAAAGAGGAGAAGGTGAAGTGTGATGGAATTTAGTGAAGAGATATTGAAGTTTTGATAATTGCACATGTTTCTCCTATCTATCAAAAACATAGGAGAAGAAATTCTTACGATTATATCACAAACCATACCAACTAGCCTACCCTAAGCACAGTGATAACACCCACCAAACGCATTCAATCCTAGTATAATTCAAAAATATTGCTAATACACCCGCATAATCCAGCCCAATTTCAGTCAGCAAACTTATAATCTAACATTGACTTTCTTCCCAGAATCGGTCCATCAGGAGCTCTTTCTACTTGTCCGAGATTACCATCACCATCGTCATCAGATGTATTTTTTCTCTTGTATAGTGTAAGCTTAGTCGTACACGATAAGCGAGTCTCTATCTCTCAAGTACTTGTAATGGTCCTTTTAACGTTTGCCTGAGATCTTGGTATGCTGACTGCAGAGGTAGACGATGTGCCAAGCATGCGGTCGTCGGTCTGGGAGACCTTTAAACGTCGAGGGATCGTTAGGAGAGGTTGCGATAATAGCTAAAGTCGAAAGTACAGTCATCTGGGTAAAAAACGGATTTAAGAAGGGAAGAATAATGAGTACGTGGAAACCAGGATGTAGTCGTTCGCCAGTCTAGCCTCGTATTCGTACTTTAATCCTCTATGGTTGGTGTTATCTCCTTAATGAGCACCACCACAAAATTACAATCGACATACGGGGAAAACACCCGTCTAAGTCGGAACACCATTTCGTTGTCAGCCCTATCCACAACTTCAAGCACAAGTTTGGACATTGCTCAAGATCGTGACCGCTACATTGAGGTACAGTGACTTTTCCCATGTATTTAGCCGGTAAGCAACCTCCCAAAAAGAGCGCATTTTATTTTTGGGTCAAGTATAGTTATAGTCGACTTTTATCGAACGATGTACAAATCTCGTGTACACCGCTATGTCTTTCACCAGACGATGGACGTTGTCATGGTTGGTAAGCCGCACGTGCGGCTTGTCACCATTTACTAAGCGCGGATCGTGAGTTTTTGGAGATGCTTGGCAGTGGTTCTTTGTCAAGATGCCTAGCTATCGTCAGTCTTTCCAGCAGCACAGCATTTATTTCTTGATACTGTCATTCTGTTGATGGCAGCTTTTACACCTGAAGTCCCTGAGAAGTTGAATGCGAGGCTTTGTCGGATTCACCGAATATCTGGATAATTTCTTCATTTGCTAATTGAAATAAATCGAGATCTCACTCGTTGACTCCATCTAAACGCAAATTATGCGTTATACGGGGCATTAAGATGACTTGAAGATTCTCAAAGAGCGGAGAAAAATGAGAAGATGACACTTGGCGTGAGATCGCAAGTACGTCCACTATTGAATGTCAGACGTGCCACTCGTGCGGTTCTTTTACCATTTGTTGACGTTTAGTGGTCGACTCAAGACATCGCGATGATGATCAGGAGGAAAAAGAGTGAGGAGAGTCAACTATAAAGATATCATCGATCCCTCGAAGAATTGCCTCATCATTAGCATCAACAATCACTCGTCTCGTTCACAAAAACAAATAAAAAGACCTTCACAGCTCTTCCAAACCCGCAAACATGCAATTCTCAACCAACCTCATGGCTGCCATCCTCTTCACTGTCACCAGTGTCGCAGGCTTTGCTCTCCCAGTCCCCGCCCCGAGTCCTCTTACCGTTGCAGAACCATTCAAGGTCGTAGACGCTATCGTTCCTCGCCAAACATTGGGACTATGCGACTTTGGGGATTGGACTTGCAGTGGGGGAAATATTGTAAGATTTGCTGAATGAGAAAAGAGAAGTAGTGGCTGACTGTCGTGATCCTAGTACCAATGCAATGGTGGATGGCAATTGATTGCCAGCTGTGGAAGAAATTGCCAGATTATCAATGGCTCTCCTTTCTGTGTTTAAGGAAAGGTATGACACTGAATTATATGGTACAATAAAATCAAGCAGAATGACTTTGCTAACAAGGTTCTTTAGACATCAGATGATGGTAGAGACACTACCTTGACAGTGCTTGTGGTAACATATTGGCATGGCTTATGAAGATGGCAATGAATTATGAAAGAAAATGACGACGGCAACATCAGACAGATGAATAGCAATGAAAAGATTTCTCCCAGAAATCGCCGAGTCCTGCTACCATTACATGTTCCAGAAGTGATGCAGTCGTTCCATAGCCATGACGAGACACGTTGCGAAAGGCCCTTAGTAATGCTGCGTGACAAAGGGTATTTGAGAAAGCCAAGAGGTAAAATCAAAAGACACTCGAGCATGTCGGGCTGCACAGTGTGGGAAGAATAGACTTTCCTGATTCAGGCCAATATTCTCCAGTGGCAGTAGCAATCACCATGTGGACAGAATGCTTAGTAGCAAGTTTCAAACTTTAGCGTATCTTCTCTAATATGAGAGCTTTCTCTGTCCAATGGCTCAACGCTTATCAATGGGGGAGTAAAAAGATGTACATTCAAGCGGAGTAGATCTGAGGTGTTTTGATAGAGCATGATTGGAGCACCAAATCTAATGCGCCCTCATACTTGTTTCTAGGCAGCTGCCGAATGACATCGATCGAATGAGAGCTCTTGATAGCTGAAAAAAGGCTCGATGCTTCGATAAGAACCACAATTTTATGCTGACGGCTGACAAAATTCTGCTATTCGTTAAAAAAAAAGGACCCTTGATCGTCTGAGCTAAGCTTTGATACGTGGCTACGCCCCATGTACTTCATGGGGAAGCATAATATTGACAACGAGAATGAAGATCGCTCGTAAGACGCAGAAGATTCTCGCTAAACTCCAAGTCTTTGGGTCTGGGAATCATTTGACCAGCAATCGACAAAATCAAAGTGATACCCCCCCGAGAAGTGGACATGGGCTTGCATCATCAATTCTCTCAGCCCCCAAAGAAAACGGTCGATTGAGATAGATGACAGCTTGTCACACCAAAAGCATGGAAAAAGCAAATATGGGCGTCTTCCACTGGAGTCACGTGAACTTGGCCGATTATCTTGAAAGATCACAAGACAGATCTTCGAAGATAGTCCGCTCAAACCTTCCCAAACCCCACATTCCGGCAGCTTGAACGCGCATCCGCGCCATCGACGATTCAGTAAGAAAGTAAGAGTGAAATTAGAAAGATCTGAGTGATGTTGGTTATGATGGTAAGCGAGGTGTGGAGGAGAAATGCCACTCCAGGAAACACTTCGAGAGTCTGGTGATGCATTTGAGGCTTGAGTGTGTTTGAATATTTTCGAAATGAGACTCTGGGGAAGCACATAAGAATCCGAATATAGAGTTGAGATTTTCGCTCTGTAATTTGCGTGACTGAGTTGCCGCCGTACAACACATCAGGGCTCAGTCGTAGATCTGGTGACTTGCAAGGTAACGGAGCACGCGGAGAATTCGGTTGCCCGCATGTCGCATCCCTCGTTTAGACTTCAAGTCGTACTCTCGTACAACATGGAATGTCGTGGAAGAGTGATTTTTAAGACTCGGAAACTAGATTCGGATTGTGTGGTGTCTTGAAGTTGCTCTGAGTCGAAAGACTGGTTGGAGAGGAGCTGCCGCGCTGACGGAGAGCGGATGTTTATCCCAGAAACCACCACGAGGGGGCTCGAGGTAAGGCCAAAAACGCAGGGTGGGGCTTGTATAGCCAATTCATCGTCATGTTTGGTTGCATTTACCAGGTAATGCGTATGTAAGTTGAATGCAGAAAGCTGTTGTCGGGCTGCACCGGTGGACCGCGATTCGACGACCGTAGCGGTGTGACGAGTGGGTGAGGGTGATGGAGGGAGGTTCCGTAGCTGGTGTGTGCAATGTGCATGTGCGTGGGAGAGTTTGCATTCCGTGAGGATATTTCATGGGAATTGGTCCAAGGCAGTTGGAAGGTTTGGAGGTCGGCATACGCGAGGAGAATAGGAGAAGAAATTGGTCAAGGGTCGTCGACTGTTGGTAAGGTGGTCATGACTGGAACCATCATGGCGACACCACTATCGTATGAGCATTCGGAACTCAAAAGACAATTGATTCTGGTTACAGAAGAGAACTTTGGCTCCACGAGATATCAAGAACTCCAAGCAGCTTGGTGTCTTGTTATCTACTGCCTCTCTTGTGTTCGTCCAGTCAACAGCGTCTTTCGTGCATCTTCCCCTCTTCGTTACCAAGCAACCACCAGTTACCACCTACTCGAGTATGCTCAAAATATTGAGTCGGAAGCAAAGGATACTCCGTTCCACACCCCCTCGTTCAGATCTCGAAACCATAATGTATTGAAACCCTCGCCAAGGGCTTCTCAATGCTCGCAGCTGCAGGAGATGTGCTTGGGCTAACTCACGGTTAAGCAGAGTGATGTCTATCTCTCATCTGGATAATTGATCTTCCTGCACCCTTATGCATCTCCTAGTGCGGCCCAATGGCAAGCAGCTAACATCGTTGCTATCACGTAGTTGCTGAGTCGACTAAGGCCTATTCCATCCACACTGGCTCGACGACGGCACACGGTTGGCTTTGAGAGTGGTTCGAGAATTGAATCGGCCACTTACTAGCTGCGGATCCCTGTATTAATGTATGTTTAAATGGCATCCCTATCAGTGGTGTAACAGCTTTGTCTAATGCAAAGTATGAAACTGATACCCAAAGGCTGAACAAATTGAGAGATGATACAAGTCAATAGCAATGTTTGTTTAAAATTTAATGCTCTTTCCCACGTGGTGCTTGGCACTACTCTACTACTACTCTACCAGTCCAGTTCATTAATGAGCTGATCCCTCAAGTAAACGGACGGTAGTCAAAGAAGGCAAATTGACAAGTAGACCATCCGCTGCTTTTGACCTAAAATTAAAGTGATGACAGACGGGCACAGTAAAAGGATGCACTAGACGTTTGTCGAACAAAATAGCACAAATTCGGCGTCCAAAACAAATGTCAGCCAGAAATCCTGCGTTGCTCAGCCCAAGTGTGCCTCTCCAGCATAATCTGGGCTAAAGCGGCAGCGATGGACACATCTAGTAATTTTATTCATCTACGACTAAGGAGGTAATAATATCATGTGTAACTAGAATTCACTACCGGTTGACAAGTAGACAAAGAAACTCGCTCACTTGGCTAAGCAAATAGTGGCAGCAGACTTCGAATTTTGAATAACAACCCTTTCTGCAACGCCGCTTTTTCGTCTTTGTTTAGCTCCTAGAGCTTCCGTGATTGGCTTCTCAGCCACATTGCCCCGCTTCCCTCCCCAGTGAGTCCGCTGCTTGTCAACGGCCTGCCAAAATTCCATCCCCCCTCGGAACGTCCCTTAAGTTCGACGACACACACGACAAACACCACCATTGTCGCTCCTCTCGTGCTTCTTCTCGACGGCAACAGTTTCCAAGATGTCTCGAGAATCTGCAAGCTGCTAGTACCTGAATCTTTGCCACTCTGCAGGGCGGGATTTCAACACGGTTTCTGGCATAACACCGGGGCGACGACGACGCGCATGACACCGATGGTCAACCGTAAACAGAGGGCAGGATAATTGCAGCAACAGAAGACAACACGGTCAATGAGGGTGCTCGAGTCGATTCTTAGGAATCTTCTCACCCATGGCGGAGAACAACGATAGGCTGGCACCGCCAGCTGTGTCCAAGTTGCGGGCACAGGCGGGGGGTGTGATGGAGCGTTCGCTGAGTGCAGATATACGTGAGGAGAGGGAGGATCTACGAGAGGCAGCAGAACAGACATTGAATGTGATTATGGATCTCAGCTTGGATGGAACTATTCGATGGGTCAGTCCTTCTTGGACCGAAGTCATTGGCACCACACTCGAGTCCGTTCAAGGCAAGCCGGTCAAGGACATTGTTGTCAGCGAGAATAAGGAGGTCTTCACTGAGGTCGTGGAGTCTATGAAGAAAGATGATTCGCGTTCCCAGATTATTAGATTCGCGGTCCAATTAGGTCCTGCCTCAAGATTGGCACCACTGCCGGAGCAGTCGACGTCTGTCGTGGAGAGCGAGGGACCTGAATCGCAACCTAGTCCTGCTATAATCGAACTGGAGGGTCAGGGAATCATGGTTTACGACCGATCTTCTGGAGGAGAGAGCCATGTAAGTCAAAAAGCAATCCTCAGTGTTACTTAATTGACACCAAATCAGACCATGTGGATGATCCGACCTTGGATCGCACCACGGGAGATTCAAATTGATCTGCCTTCGGTAATAGTAGACTCCCTCGGTTCGGGTGCAGAGATTCTTGCTGGCTACCTTACGAATTTGGCAGAAGTGGGTTTGCATGATCCAGCAAATCATGCCCCTCCCCTTCCAGTCCTTTGCCGCATCTGCGAGCGCCAAATTCCTCCGTGGTGGTTTGAAAAGCATACCGAGCTTTGTTTGCAGGAACACAAGGCGGAAATGGAGGTCCAGATGTGCCAGGAAAATCTCACGGAGCATCGCCATGCAATTGTTAAGGTTCTGGATGCTCTTGAGGCGCGCAAGTCTAGGCCAAGTCCAGGCGAGCAACCCGCTCTAGCACCACCTCAAGCGGATTATAAGGGCATGCCTATTGGACCAGGATTGTCTACTTCGTCTTCATCCGGTACCGCCTCTCCTGGTACGCCGTCTGGAAGATCTCGAGATCCATCATCGTCTGGCTTCGGACACGCACGAGCGAGGTCTTTTGCCGTTCGACGACCTCAAGCTAGGATTGTTGAGCTGCTACTCGATTTGTGCGATACTTCGCTTGAGATTAGTACGCCGGCGATCAAGGAGCCTGCGTCTAATGCTCCTGGCGAGTTTCGAACCCAATCACCTCAGTCGGAGTCTCGGATATCTCAAGTAATTCAGTGGCAATCCCCAAGTACAAACACTCTGGACCAAGAACAAGGCTTGGCTTTGTTGTGTGCTGATAGCGAGAAACTGGCGAAGGCTAAGGTTGAGGCAGTTCTTCGTCACCGTAGAATCATCGAGTATTCCGAACGCATTCGAATCGAGTTTTCTGTTATTGTTCAAGACTGCATCGATGAAGCCATGCGAAAGGCAGCTCGAATCGCCTCGGGCATCCTTAGCGATTCCGAATCCGAAGAAGAGACAGTAACACCGGCAATAGAAGATGGGTTCTTTACAGGCTCTTTCGATGGCCCCTCCTCACTTGCCGCTGCTCTACGAGAAGCCGAACGTAATTCTGAAGGCCGCCGGTCGCCATCGGTCACCGCTTCAGCCAGATCGAGCAGTCCTAAAGAATGCCCAACACCAAGATCTCAAGGTCCTCTAAGCATTCTTGGTCATTCACAGGAGTCGAGGAGACAGTCCCTATTTTTTGAAAGCGATGCAGGAGATAGCGATGGAAGTGTCAGATCTTCCTCACTGATGTCTAGGCCACCCGGTCGGACAGAATCTCCTGTATCCGAGTTCGGCGATTTAAGACGTGCAGCAAGCTCTCGCCAGCGTCATCGAAGGAGTATCATCATCCCTGGCACCTCAAGTCCTCGTAGACAAGAATCACCAGTCAGGCTTGCGCAGCCCTCGTCGCCCTTGAGGATAATCAAACCACGCGCCCTTCCAATTGCACACGAAGGAATTGTATCGCCCACTTCATCTCCGATGCTACCTGGTAGCGAGTTTAGCTCCCCTTCCTTGATACCACATCATCACAGGCGCCAATCTTCTGCTGCTGGATCTGACCCTTCCCGGCCACCACCATCTCCACGCATGAGTGGGGTAAGCGCTCCTCAAGCCAGAGCCGTACCTCCTTCAATCAAAGACTTTGAAATCATCAAACCCATCAGTAAAGGTGCCTTTGGAAGTGTTTATCTTGCGAAGAAAAGATCCACTGGCGATTACTATGCTATCAAGGTGTTGAAAAAGGCAGATATGGTTGCAAAGAATCAAGTCACCAACGTCAAGGCTGAGCGAGCGATCATGATGTGGCAAGGCGAGAGCGAATTTGTGGCTAAACTGTACTGGACTTTTTCCAGCAAGGATTATCTATACTTGGTGATGGAATATCTCAATGGTGGAGATTGCGCATCGCTTATCAAGATTCTTGGTGGTTTGCCAGAAGACTGGGCAAAAAAGTACCTGGGAGAAGTTATTCTTGGCGTTGAACATCTTCACAATCGTGGCATTGTTCACCGTGACTTAAAGCCCGATAATCTTCTTATCGATCAAAAAGGCCATCTGAAGCTTACCGATTTTGGTCTTTCCAGAATGGGATTGATTGGTCGACAAAAGCGTGTTTTGAATGCAACCGTCAACGAGTCCGCCCCCGACTTACTGAAACAAGGTCCCTTTGCACGAGCGACTTCTATCAGTTCATCGCGATCAACTTCGTTTGACTTCCAAGGACATCACTCGCCCGGCTCCACACCACAAATGAACGCGGACGTCGGCTTGCAGACTCCATCATATTTTAGTCTTTCTCGTGAAAATACTCTCAACAAGGATAATCGACGTACTTCGGGCCGGAGCGACAGCGGTAACAGCGACTCTCTGAATCAAATGTTCAGTAGCTTCTCTCTAAATGATGGTCAAGCTCAGCATCAAAGAAGGACTCCAATTGAGGAGATGAGCGAGAACGAGGGTAGTGGATCTCCCGACATACTTTCTTTACACCAGACAAACAGCGCATCCAGTAATGAACATAGGAATACTCCGCCACAAGCTAACTTGATGCCGCCTCCTCCTATGGCGCTCTTCGATCCTGATGATAGCAACCGACGATTCGTAGGAACGCCGGATTATCTCGCCCCTGAAACCGTGAATGGTGTAGGCCAAGATGAGATGAGTGATTGGTGGTCTGTCGGTTGCATATTATTCGAATTCTTGTACGGATACCCCCCATTCCACGCGGGCACACCAGACGAAGTATTTGAAAATATTCTTGCGCGCAGGATTTCATGGCCGGATGAGGGAGAATTTGAAGTCTCCTCGGACGCAAAGGATCTAATGAACAAGCTTCTCTGCTTAGATCCAAGAGAGCGTCTTGGGGCCAACAACGATGACAAGTTTGCTTGCGGCGGAGACGAAATCAGAAACCATCCATGGTTCGAAGGGACTAATTGGGATAAACTTCTAGAGGATGAAGCTCAGTTCGTGCCGGCACCAGAAAACCCCGAGGATACAGAATATTTCGACTCTCGTGGTGCGACGCTTCAGTCATTTGCAGAGGAGTTAGAAGATCAGGCATCGCCACCATCGACCACTCCAAGCACGGATTACCACGAGCGACCCCATGATGCCTTGTCTCGAGTCAGATCTCAGTTCAATTCCATTAAGCGAGGGTTGATGCCTCTGCATATCCCACCCCATGTTCGGGACTCTAAGAGCAGAAGATTGAGCGAACCTGTTATCGCCGACGATTTTGGTAACTTTGCCTTCAAAAATCTGCCTGTACTAGAGAAAGCAAACAAAGACGTCATACAGAAACTTAGGGCAGAGGCAATGGCGGCGCAATCCAAATCTGTGACAAGCCCAGGAGCAAACATCGCGGCTGCATCGCCCAGTCCTACACTGGAAGGTAGCCCAATCTTACCTATGCCTATCCAAAGAACACTCTCCAACGCAAAGGCTGTCAATCGACCTTCGTCGCCTTCTGGGCTCAGCCAGTCGAATTCATCCCCTAGCAGAGCCTCGCAGCCTTCATCTCCTTTACTTGTATCTTTTGTGGCAGGACAGAATGGAGATGGAAGACGGAAGACTTCAAGCAACTCATCAAGTCTTTCGCACCAATCCAACAATTCTCTTGCTCCAGGCAGCTTTTTTGAGGTTCCTCGTATGCCTCCAGGCCTTCAGAAGTCTGCCAGTGCTGCGGCCGCTTCTCCAATCAAGACTCGAGGAAATGGACCTTTGCCTATGGCAATATCGCCTCAGAAGACGACGACGCCTCGCCAAGCCAGTGGCACATCACGTGCCCGCTCTCAAACCGTTGGTTCCCAAGAAGGAAGCCCTATTCCTGGAGATATTTTCTCGCACAAAAAGCGCCGGAGCCAGGTGTTTGATATGTCTCCGTCATCTTCAGATAATGAAGGCGACAAAGCAAACGCACTACTCCGTGTTCAGAGACGCCGACAAAGTTCTCGCCGTATGTCTGCCATCAATCTTCTTGACGGCCCAGTCTTTCGTCCTCTTGATGTGCTCATTTGCGAAGATCACCCCGTCTCAAGAATGGTAATGGAGAAACTGCTTGAAAAATTGAGGTGTCGAACCATCACTGCTTCAAATGGTGCGGAAGCAATGAGATATGCTTTGAGCGAAATAAAATTCGACATCATCATGATGGAGTTCAAGCTGCCAAACATCAATGGAGCCGACGTCGCAAGAATGATTCGCGATACGAAGAACGCTAATTCCCAAACACCCATTGTTGCGGTCACTGGATATCTAAAAGAGCTTCAAGCACCTCACCATTTTGATGCGCTCATCGAGAAACCACCAACTACCTCTAAGCTTACGGAAGTCATGTGCCGTCTTTGTCAATGGAAGGCACCAGCTCCTGGTCAAACAATGTCCATTCCTATGAACTATGGGCAACCTTCGGGTCTTCGACAAGAAAGCCATCGACTAGAGGACAGCCCAACTTCGGGCTCTTCTGGCTACGCTCAAATGCCTGGCAGTAGCTTCCGGGGCTCAAGCCGTGGAGATTCAATCAGCTCTAGCATGTTCGGAGACTCTGAATCTTTCATGAATGAAGATGTGCCCGTTGTTATCAGCCGCAAAGCCACAGGCGAGTGGGATGATACATCGGGTCTTGGGATCACCAATGAAGAAAGTTTACATGAAATTCCTGACTTGCCAAAGCCGCCGGCACGTCTATTACACGAGGCATCTGCCCCAGGCCGTATGGAGCATCATTTACAGCATAGGCTTCCGCTGAGACAACGATCGAGTGATAAGCTACGTGCCAAAAGAGAGACTTTTGAGAAGAACCGCCACGAATGTGGTGAATCGGGGGATGACGAAGATGATGAGATGGGAGGTTGTGCTCGTGAGAAGAGCCCGAAAGTCAAAGCTCACCGTGGATCAAAGCTGGGCACAGAAATGATGCGTACGAACAGTCGAGGCAGTGTCGTATCGTCATCTGACCTTACCGGGCCCGAAGCTATCGAGCTTCCACCAACGATATCAGAAGTCGTACCTAGTGCATCTGAAATCACAGGGGCCACGCTTACTCCCCCGGAGCGCTTCACCTCTCCAAACAGAAAGGAAGCTGAGATGGACCTTGACGAGACCCCGAAACCGTCATCCACTCAATATGATCCCATGGATGAGGAGCCAACACCACGAGCGCAGTCTGTCATATCCAAATTCTCGGATTATCTCTCACACAAAAATAGAGATTCACGATAGGATTGTGTCGCTCGCTGTAACAACTCGCCATTTGAGATACAAAACAAGCCTTTGGACCATTTCCTTTAAATAATTACTACCACCGCGGCGTTTACGGTTTTGTCGAGGGTTTTGGAATGTGAATGGGAATCGATGGAGATCCCTCGGCGTTACAACAGGACATGGGGTGGCTACATTTGCTGCATTTACAACTACGCTACTTTCTTTCCACGAACAAAACATTGTCATATCAGCGAGTTTTCCTTTTTATTCCAAGGGGGAAGTCATCCACTCTACAAAGCCTTGCTTTTATTTGTTGCTTTTGTTTTTGCTTTCGTTTGTAAATGTTAAGAATGCCACAATGGGCATTGCGCAAATCCTTTGGTGCTTGGGCTGCAATATGGCGCTTGAAATATGTCTGTCACAGACCCACGAGCTGGGCAATTCTTTTTCTTTATCCCCACAATCTGAGCGAAAGAGCTGTGTATTAAGGCGGGTTGCTTTGTTTTGAAGGATTCAATTTGGGAAGGTGGATAGGGGGAAAACGGGGCTGGGGACGGTTGACGTGATATGGGATGGGAAAATTCACAAGGGCTGAACATAGCAGGCAAGCAAAGTTTTGACACCTAGCGTACGATATGGTGTGGCATGTGGAAAGTTGTAGACTCGGATGGGTTGCAATATAAAATATAAAATTGATCATCTTGCTTTGAATGTGAAATATGTCTGATTCCTATCGAAATCTTCCGTCATATTGCTAATATGTTAGCACTTGGGTTGATGTAAAAGAGCGAGGACCTTTTCGCACTTATTACCTTTGTCGAACGACGACGGGCAAAATATTTCAAAGACTTTGAAGTTTGAACCCCTAATGTCCTAGCACACATCGGTCCTCTCGGCCAAGGCGTTGTTGGCTATCGCGAATGACAGCCGGCTTTCCAACCCCAATGCTCCTCTTCAATCAAACACGGCGAGCTATATAGATTTAAAAAAGCGCCTTTTGAGCCAATCAGAAGGGGGATTGGTGTAGTGGTAGCATGTTGGATTCCAGTTTCTCACAAGATGGAAGTACCCATTGGTCGTCGGTTCAAATCCGGCATCCCTCATCAACCAATATCGAAGTTAACTTCGATGTGACATGCGCAATTTGATGTTTTTTTTGGTTTTTTGGGGAGTGGAGGAGTGGTGTGTTGAATTTCATGAGCGGGAAGCCATTGGTCGGTAGTTTGAAACTGTCACTTCTTCAATTATTTTATTGTTCACATTTTTGGCTCCCCGGAATGCTATCGGCACTTGAAGTTAAACTGATTGTTGTACTATTAGTATTACTATTTTGCCTCTACATTTCGCTAACTATGTGCAAAGTGAAGGAAGACTTGTTGTGGGGAGAAGCCAAACCACATTTAGCCGAGACCCGCCCGACTCAGCAAAAAAGATTTTTTATATTCCACCTACACACTCCCTTTATCTGGCAATCTTTTTAAACTTGTCACCCACCTTGCTACTTTCTCCATCTCTGTTTCTGTACTTTATAATACCAATTGCGCAAAAATGCAACCAATCACAAGAGCAACAGGCCTGCTGGCCCAATGGCAAGGCGCTTGACTACGAATATCTTTCAGAAATGATGATATAAGTTAATCAAGAGATTGCAGGTTCGATCCCTGCGTAGGTCAATAATGAGCTCTGATTCATTTGGGTTTCTTTTTTCGGTTTTGTTCTGGGGTTGGAGGTGTGGAAGGTAGAAGGCGGTTGTGTTTAGATTTTTGGGATTGGGATGGAAGCGAGGGAACAAGGGTTTTTTTCAAGCTTCGCTCCTTTATGGTACTATCCCTCCCTTGCTTAAAGGTAATACGATGGGTATTGTGTATCTTTTTGGACGAGTAGAACTTGTCGGTTTGAGGGTTCTTTATATGGCAAAGATAGAAATTTGTCCTAAAATCTATATATCGAGGCCAACTGACTAGACAATGGCTACGCCTGCACAATCCTACTGAACAACCTCTATTCAGGGGAGGGCATAGTAATGCGGTTCTCTTTTTGGTCGGTAGGGGAGGCGTGGGCCAATACCTTGCCCGAATTGGTCGATTATATAATTGGTGAGTGAAATACTACACGTTTTAAAATAATAGTCCTCCCTACGTGAAATGAGGAGCATATCTCGACCAATTTGGTGTATCGTAAGCTGATTCTGGTAGAAAAGCAAGATTAATAAAGCATTCTACAATGATAAAGACCCTAGCGAAGAGCCATAACAAGCTCAGAGCGCCAGCCGCAAGTAATATAGAGCCAAACGCCAATCTAGGCATATCCAATACATACTCTATTGCTGTGCGTATATGGCCTATCCATGTGGCCGCGAATTTATGATCCGCAAAATACGCAGCATCCCGTAAGTTCCCTAATTTGGCGAAGATTTTGTAGCGGGGTGGATCAAAGGTATCGTGATAAACGCGGCTTGCAGGAATACGTAGCTTTGAAGCTCGAGTAAGCATGTAAGCAAAATATAGCCCAGCTGGTCCAGCCAGCGACGCTGCTGAGATACGCCAAAGTATTCTCTGTACGTTCGAAGCAAGTGGGGCGTTCCATGCCATAAGATGTAAACCGCCATAGGACAGGCTCGCCAAGGAAAAGACCATGAAAAGTCGGTCGAAACTCGTATTGAGATGACCGGCATAACCACCTATATTCTCAACACGATCCCTAACCATCCCCATCCCACCCCACATATATTCGCCATATTCCCAGCGGATGGTAGGTATGTAATGGCTCACTCTAGTTCCATCGGCCGCGTAATGATCCCATTTACATTGGTCGTACTGGATCATATCATATTTCTGAAGAGCAGGGAGCGCGAGCCTCATGCATTCAAGATCGCTAGGAAATATATCGACGTAATTATCACTGCTGTACACGACATTGTACGAATCGAAAAAATGTCGGTCGAACTTGATTCGAGGCCAGTAGCCACAAAAACAGAATCCGTGGATCGATTGTCCAGGCCACATTCGGATCCGTTGCTCAGTCGTGAGCGTATGGGGAGTCAGCAGCGCTTGATGATCCATTGTAGGAGCGCGTCGGCAACCTAATACACCCATTCCGAGCTCCTGTAGTTCGACAGTGGTTTTATGAGGATCGAAGCAATATGGGTCAAGTTCGAACTTGGCCCAGGTATCGGTACCGAGTTTCCTAGACGAGGCGTTGAAATCCCAGAACAGAGCCATGATAGCAGCGATTCCATGCGTTTCACTCCCCACCACCAGACTCGGCTCGCTAACATCAAGGGGTTTGTCCCACCAGAAGCAGTAGATTAGTAGTGTACACAGGGCATGTGCAAACGTGTGGAGCTCGAGAATACAGATACTTAGTCCCTGAGCGAGGCGCGTTATGACTTGTGTGGAAAACCACAGGGCCTGGAAGCACACAAGAGCTTTGGCGAAGCCGCTGGCTTTACTTTTATCGAGGATTTGCGCCCGGGAAATATCTGGGACGAGAGCTGGGTCTTTATCGGCGAGGAAAATTAAGCCATCATAGGTGATGATTGTGCGGGTTATTCCACGCGGCAGGAAACTTGTAGGTGCTGTTCGTGTGTCGATGGCTATTCCACCCATTAGGGCAAAGTGACTGTGTATCATGGTCCATGCATGTCGTACTCGCGCTTTTGGTTCTTTGTGTGGATGCACAATATCACTATAATCAAAATCAAAGTCAGTGAAATCCAGCTTCGGGATATGTAATAGATGTACCCGGGGTTTGTTATTCCTTCTGGTTGCTGCTTAGACGTAATGAGCAACACTTTGAAACAACGTACGAGCTTAGCGGGGCTCTTCGAGGCTGCTGAAATGGCACTTTTGACTGCAGCCGTGCATCTTGCTACAGTTGATTTTGGCAAAGGCTGATCGAACTTCGCTCTCATATGTTTAGTCAAAGCCTTTGCGTCCTGATATTGACGGAAGGCCGTATAGGCCACCTGTATCGTTGTCAGATGAGGTTCGTGAAGGACAGACCAGACGTGCCAGTTCCGGCGCCACGAGACCAAAGAAAAGCCATAAAGTTTTCCTCCAAAACTGTTTTTTCGACCTATCTTCTGGGATATTGAGATGAACCGCTGTCCATACACATAACAGCATCGTGAATAGACAGGTTGATAAGATGCTAAAGGTGCCGCGTTTATTGGGCTCGGGTTCCCAATGAGCGGTAAGCGTGATATTGTTGCCGCCGAAGAAGGTCATCTTTGCGGATGCCTGTTTCTATTCAACGGCATAGAAAAGAAACGACATTCTGAAACCTCAAAATGAGAAAGTGGCTGTATATAGTCAAAGCAAATAAGGCTGCTCGCCCATGGCGTGAACCGCTGTCATCTGCAGCCTCAAAACCAGGTGGCTGTCGGCACAGCCCTCGTCCCATCATAGGTGAGAGTTGAATGCGACGTGGAGTCCATTGCAGTCAATAGCAAGGAAAAACAGGACTTAGTAACAGGACTAGACCGGAGAGAATGGCAATTCTTGATGTAACTAATCTACAAATACCTTATTTGTGATTAGCTTCTAGTATGTTGAATTATGATTACTAGAGGTACGAGCTGTTTAATAGAGGATTTAAATAGACAAATCCTGAGTGGTTAGCTAAGCGATGATCAAGCCACGCTTGGACCAGGTTGATAGACGTCACGCGAATACCGACGACTATTCTTACTCGATGTACAATCACAGCTTATATTCAGTACACACTTTTGCGACCTCATCACTCAACTACTCTACATATTTATCTATAGGGCTGTGGAGATGGCGTGGCCATACCCGTGAGGCGAGTTGATCGACGAAATAGCAATCCAACTTTCATAGCAGTACAAGCTACATGCAGCACATCACTAGACCTTTTGTATACGGCAGATATCTGAGCTTCAAGGAGTGGCGCAAAGGACATTCGACTAAACCTGGGCGAGAACCTCACCAAGTCTTTAGTATTCTGCTGGTTCCTGGATCTCGCGAAACGGTTCCCAGAGACCGCTGGACGAGCCTGACTGTAAACATCCAAGCAGGTAATCTATATGCCCACCATCTGTTGAACCTTTCTAATTATGTCTGATGCAGGTACTACTGCTGCTGGCTGATAATTGGATTCCTTCCTCGAAAACGGGCAGACGACCCATCGTTTTACACCATCCCATGGACACCGGAGTAATGGCATCCACTGAGGAGTCTTCGGAAACGGAACCCTCAGTAGTACATGCAGATGGAAAGGCATACGTCGTAGAGGATATACGGTCGACTGGAGACGTGATACTTGACGTTTCGTTTGAAAATACGAATGCTTGCAATAAGTCCATTCCCGCAGACGAAATCCGGAAGATACGCACATCCAAAGGCCCCATACCCTCTCCACGAATTTTCTATCGAGTCCGACTGGAAACATTGAAGAAGAGTTCGCGCTATTTTGAGCATCTTTTGGGACCACAGTTTGCGGAAGGAGCTGCGGTTATAGAAAAACATGCGAAACTTGCAAGATCAAAGTTGAATCCTAGCGAGATAGAAGCTGAGATGCTTCCAAGAATCAAGATTGTGGATGAGGATGTTGCGACAAGGACGATAGGAAGAGAGAAAATCTTTGGCGATTTGCTTCGGATCATCCATGGCGCAGTAGGTTAAATGAAACATCTATCTGGCTGCCAGACACTAACGGTAGACGTTAGGAACATACGACCAAGCCTGTCAATTTAAACAGTTTGACCGTGCTCGTGGTAATGGCGGATAGATTTAATACATTACCTATTATTGCACGATACTTCCAGAAGACTTTCATCAACTTCAAATACCCTATGACTGTAGATAACAAGGCCGAAGAAGCGTTACGTCAAAAGATTTTGATTTTCTACCATACTGAGCAATCGCTACGATTTACAGCGTCGACAAGAGAGCTTATTCTAAGGGGCTCATCAAGATGGTCAGCCTCCGAAGAGAGTGAAAATGACTTTCAAACAGCCTGGTGGGATCTACCTGATGGCTTGGAAGGTGTGTCAAAACTGCTATCTCACAATAAATATAACAAAATACTGACTCTGCTCCCAGCCGAACTCGCCCACCGTCGAGCCTGTGTCCTACGAACAATCGCCTCCATCCAAACCCAGTTCCTCACCCTCTACACCTCCAAAGATCGCCAATGCACCCTAGGCTACGACACCTCCGCACCCTGCGACTCCTTCCAACTCGGCGAAATGATCAAATTCCTCGTCAAAAAAGATCTCCTCTCCCTCATCCCCTTCCAAGCCGCCTCGCCAGAAGACGAAGACTACATCTGGCCCGACGCCTACACAGGCGACATCGAAACCCTCATTGGCCTCCTCCGCCAATGTCCTAGCTACCAGATAAACCAGTACCACGGCCACTGTGGTCTACGCTCCAAGATCCTGCCGATCCTCGAATACGTCAAAGCCTGCATCGAAGCGGGCGTCGGCGTGCGCTTTGGGCGGAAGAAAGGGGATTGGCTGCATGATGCGTGGAGTTTGAAACCTGTTGCTAGCGCTGAGTTGGATCGGAAACCATTTTATGTCGGTACGGGACATGGGGATGTGGATGTCACCAGTGAAGGCGGTGCGTTCTTTGATTTCGCGAGGATCCCGCCAAAAGGGACGTGGGGGTTGAGTAATGATTTGGGGATCGAGAGGGCGGCGAAGAAGATGTTTACGGCGGAGAGGTGGAATTGGGTTAAGGAGTATAGTCAGAGTGAGAGTTCGTTGAAGGGGAGTTTTAGTACGCCGCTTATTAGGGCGGGGACGGGGGCGAAGAGGTGATAGGGCGGAAAGAATATTGGATATTGAAAGATGTAATGCATAGTGTACAAACGCTTTTTGGGACATCGTATTCTTGCTATTCTATGAGTGTGGATCTTTCGTGAGGCATGAATTAAGATCATCGCGTGGGCTTTCATACTAGTGTTCTATCACCACCTACCAAACCTCCAACCATACCAGGCCCTTTCCATCCCACCATCCATCCCTCCAACCCTGCCCTACCCACAATGAAAACGAAGATAATCCTGGTTTCTCTTCGAACCTATCTAATAACCACCACCATAAGGCGGTTGCTGCGGTGGATACTGTCCCTGACCCTGGTACTGACCTGGAGGCGGTCCTCCCTGCTGCCATTGAGGTGGAGGCGGTCCTTGTTGATAATATCCTCCTCCACCTGGATATGGTGGTCCTGGGGGTGGTTGGTTATAACCTTGCTGGCCATAGCCCTGACCGCCATAGTTTTGTGGAGGAGGACCACCACCATAACCACCTGGATACGGCGGGTTGGACTGGTATTCTCCAGCTCCGTAAGGAGGGTTTTGGTGGCCGGTCATGTGACCTTGGTAGGATCCTGCTGGAGGGATGGCACTTAGGTAGCCGCCTTGGGAGGATGTAGGCCGGGAGATGTTTTGGTGAGTATTTGCGTAACCGAATTTGGGAGAGTGGCCATAGTTGCTTGTTGCGGGTGAGCCCGCTGAGGAGGCGGTGTCCATGTAGTTTACTGATGGATTTCCATCTTGACCTCCTAGGGAGCCGAGATCTCGACTTTGTATTTCGGTCCAGATGGATCCAGAAGTCTTGCCATGGCCACCAAGAGCACCGTGGGAGTGGTCTGAATGATCGAGACCCTTATTGTTCGAACCGCCGCCTTCGCCTTTGTGGTTTCGTCCTGCTTTGACGGATGCGGAGCTAAGAGTGTGGTTGAGTTGGTTGCGGTCAGGTTGTTCTTCCGTCCATTTGCGTACGGTGTTGTACATGTTGCGATGGATTTCTACAGACTCGTCGCGTAGGGCTGGGTGGTGGAATGCGCGGAGTACATCATGCAATACTTCATCAACTGGAACACCTGGATTTTGCCAGGCATATAGAACACGTCTGGCGTTGTTAGATAGAGTACAATAGCGTGAGGAGAGACTTACGGGGTAACGTATTGGAGAATGGTGGTTGCTACTCTGCCGGCTACTCCATTGAGTATGTTGGAGAAGTGGTCTTTTGATAGCATGGAGTGGGTTGGATTGGTGCAGTGAGCGTCGTTCCATGGCTCAAATTGTTGGTTTGCACTTGGCTTGTCAATACTAGTCTACGTATTGGAGATGGAAACTTACCTAGCTTCAACAACTGTAGATGAGCCTTCCTTCAACGATTTGGATACAGCATCAATGATCGGTCGTACGAAAGGAGCGAGCAGTGAGAGGACGAATACTGTAAGTGTCTCACTGATCTTCTCAACCAAAGACTCAAGACCAGGGATCTTTGCGATGGTGGAGCTGATTGCCCTCACCACCTTGTCTCTAAACTCAAGGATTGGATAGATCTTCTTTGCGGTTGCAACAGGGTCGAAATCTGGGCTCATACCCGGAACACCAGGACCTGGTGGCCCTGTGCTAGAGCCAGGTGGTCCCATAAATGAAGTCTTGATGTCTCCAACAGTTGAGCGATTCTGATATTGTTGCTGAGCAGATGATTCCTGGAGACCTCTTGCTGTCGATGCCAAGTTACCACCAACTCCAGGGACTTGAGAAAGCAGATTAGTGAAGTTCTGAACGCCGAAGCCTCCACCGGCTTGTGCTTGTTCAGCGCCTTTCAAAGCAAGATCCATTTCTTCAACTTCGGTTTGAGTGAAATGATCTGTTGCTTCACCTAGTACTGAGTGCAAAAAGTCCACAGCTCCGACTAACTCTAGGTCAGTTTACTTTCAATTCGCTCTTAAAAGGGTGTACACATACAAGTTCCGGTGACCAACGGAAAGAACCGTTTACCGCGGATGTTAACCTCACTGGCAACACCAGTGTGAGGGAACACGTCATGATAACCAAGTTCGCGGAGCGCGAGCTCGACATAATTTGTGTGAGCTCCAAAATCCTGGCGAGCAATTAGTAATGGAGTTTCTATCTCAAGAAATCGGGTGTTTTACCTCCATGCAGTGGAGAGCCTGTCCTAGACATCTGTCAAACTTTCATCAGTCGCCGAAAACTTCTCTGAACAGAACATTCATTAGATACCTAAGAGCTTCACAAAGATCTGCTTCTTTTCCACCAGAATTACCAGATCCGCTCGTGTATAGTCTCCCGAAATGGATACTCCTTTGCAAACTAAATCTTATGTAGCCTGTACTAGTTGCCCAGTTTCCATGTTCGTTGGCGATGTAATTCTTCATACCCGTTTGCATATCAACTTCGAGCTCCGCCGGTTGCACTGGTCCTCGTAGACGGGGGTCGTACTGTCTAGCATCCTTGTTATCCGCATCTATAGGCATGTCAGAGACAAGCCACTCAGTAGTAGGCTTCAGGTAGACAAAATAGGTGCTAGTTTTTGATCTGGGCAGATTCAAAATAAGACGTCAAGTAGATTTAATATAACCAAGATAATAGAAACTATACAATATAATGTGTTTATTAAAATGACTGAACATCAAACTTTGACTCCCATTGATTTTGGTTCACTGAAAGGTAGGAAACCGGATTTCTGACTTCAGATCCACTTGAAAGTACACATTCCCGACTGCGTGACGGGTTATAAAATGATCGCTCAAACTTACAGTCTTTTGGATTGTCGATGTGCTCCTCTGGTCTATAGCAGCCGAGTCGTTCATCCGTGACCTCGAACTCCTCAGTGGCATAGCCAAAAGAAAGGAAGCTTAGAACCCAGACCTAAAATCGTAAGTCTGTGAGGGTGATTTGACAGTCGAGGACTAACCAAAATTCTTATAGTAGGTGCGGAAACTCCTTTCAAACTTCCAACATCGACAGCCTGAGAATAATCACGTAACCAGTTACCAAAGTAGACTCTCTTCACCATCATCGAAGTCCACTTATGGCCTTTGATGAAGGCAATGGTCTTCAAGTAATCCTCGATATCTAATAGCCTATCAGCCCTGCGATAAGACTTAGATCTGCGGGGTAGTACCAACCTCCATGGCGAAAGTTATTTCCTTCAATGGTAGACACACTCGGGATGTTGCCTGCACCAAACGCTGCCGTCGGTGATGGTAAGACGATGAGTATCAGACAACATATTAGGATCGTTGTCCCAAAGTTGGGAAATCCTGTTGCCATCTTGTTGAGATGACGAGCAAGTGTGGGGTAAATTCGACCTGAGGCGAAGATCTAAGGAAATGCTGAAATGGAGTTGTTTGAGGGATCCTGCATCTGCTTCGAGTCGCCGATAATAGGACTGTGAGTTATTCACTGCTTGTTGCTTCGTCTGACTGAAAGTTGGTCCGTCGCATTGTGCACCCTAGAAATTTGAACCCAATGATGATGTGCCCCACTATAATCACATGAATTGATTCTGACTAAGCAAGCAAGGTCCCAATATCCATCCGTGGATGGAAACTTGGAAGGGAAATCCAGATAAACTTTTCCATAGGGCTGCGGCCATAATTTCTTTTTGGATCTTCTTATTCAGAGAATTACCCTTTTTCTGTAAAGTTTTTGAGAATAGTTATTATACACGGTTGCCCCTGCAGCATGAAATCAAACTAGCAAGATCATATTCATAGCCTTCGAGTCTTTCATATAAGTGAGAGAATAAATAGTAGGTATTATTTTAAGACATGAATGTTACACATAGTAATCTAAAATTGATGCGAATCTTAAATCCTGCATGCACAACTGCCAGCGCAAGTACTCTCGTACTAGAATTAGGATCTTCCTTAGTACCCCGTAAATCGTCGAAGCTAATCAGCAACCACCGGCACTTGCTCGGGGAGCAGGAATGCCCTGGACGCCCAGGAATGCTGCCTTAGCAGTAAACTATTTTAATTTTTATCACAGATTAAGATGCAGGAATATGTAGAATAACACACTTGATTGCTCTAATTTATTTGTGACTATATAATCACTGCTGCTAAATGGAAGTATGAAATTGGTTTGGGCAGCAATAGGTTGACCCATAAATACTCGTCGCCTGGAAAATCAGGCGGCAACTCCACCCGATCTTCAATTCAACTGGAGGCGGGACTTCATGAGCGCCAACATGTTGTGACAGTATCAACTTCTCTCCCTCAAACATACCTGTCCTCGTCGGCGCATGCTGTGCGACCTCCTCCCATTCTTTTGGCAACATCTTTGAAGAAACAATCAGCCTCTCATTCAATCAACTTGCCTGCCGTTGTAATCTCCTCCGAGTTGTACAGCAAACCAATCCCCACGCTTTTCCTTTCCCCCTACACCGACTCCAAATCAACGCGCGCCAGCACTGCAACTGTTCGAACACGAGAGTCAAGGACTCGCCGTCATATACCTCGTATCGTCGTGTCTGTCAAGACGAAAATCACGCCTCTTATATCGCTTTTGCTATTCCTGGTTGACGGTTGTTGTTTCAGGTGCTGCAGGCTGGCTGTTCCTTGACTTTTGAGTCGCCAACACATAATCGCACATGCGGAGGCCAATTACTTAGACCCATGCGACTCGACACCATCGGATTCAATTAATATCGATCGAAAACGCCGATACCCTCCACCGAACGCTCTGCCTTTCAATACCCTCACGCTGGCGGGGAGCGACTCGACGACCTTCCTAAAACCGGATCTAAACGAACAACAACCGCGAAATCCCGCCATATACGGCCATAGAGAGAGGAGGCGATAACTCTAGGCTTCGTACGATGGGTCCTCAATCAGAAGGAGGCCCATCTGGTGACGGCCGTGGATATGGTGGACAACAATTCGCAGATAATCAACAATCACGATACCAGCCAGACAGAGACATTGTTATGCAGGACCAACAATTTCAGCGTCCGGGCCCGGCATTCGGAACAGAAAATAGAGGAGAGCCTTCGCCCTCTGGAAGTACAAATGGTCGGGAATTGCAGAGGGAGACGGATCCACATAAAACGAGCGGGGAGCGCAATCGATCAAAGGGGCGTAATGGACGCACTGCTTCTGGACAGCTTAGAATGTGCAAGAAATGTGGTGAACCTCTGACTGGTCAATTTGTTCGCGCTTTGGGAGGCACATTTCACCTGGACTGTTTTCGCTGTCGAGTATGTTGTGTTTGTTACCCTCTGAAATCGTGCTAACAAGAACTAGGATTGTGGTCAAATTGTGGCTTCGAAATTCTTTCCCGTCGACGAGGAGAACGGCGAGGGACAATACCCATTGTGCGAAACAGATTACTTCCGTCGTCTAGATCTCATTTGCCACAAATGTAATGGGGCGTTGCGCGGGTCCTACATTACTGCACTCGATCGAAAATATCATATAGACCATTTTACCTGTTCAGTATGTCCGACAGTGTTTGGAGCCCAAGATAGTTACTACGAGCACGACGGGCAGGTTTACTGCCATTATCATTATTCAACACAATTTGCGCAACGATGCAATGGTTGTCAGACAGCAATCTTGAAGCAGTTTGTCGAGATATTCAGGAATGGTCAAAACCAGCATTGGCACCCTGAGTGCTATATGATACATAAATTTTGGAATGTGAGGTTAGCGTCATCACAGGACGTGACCGATGCGAAACCTATTTTGGAGGATATTAATGATGTGGAGGGCCGAAACGCGGTAAAGGATGAAGAAGAGCAGATGGAAGAGAAGGTATATCGTATTTGGAGTGTCCTTTCGACGTTTGAGGAATCCTCGGCCGCGTGTATTTCCGACATGCTTCTTCATGTCAGTAATGGTGCTTATGTCGATGGGGTTCTGGTTGCCAAGAAGTTCATTTGGCACGTTGATATCCTCTTTCGGTCGGCAGATAAGTTGGATGCCACTATGATGGCGTTAGGGATGAAAGGTAAGCTCTATCAATCGTGCTTGAGAAAATCTTCTGACAATGAATAGGGCTGTCTTACTCAAGAGAAGCTAAACTTCTTTGCAAGAAGATTGTTGCATTCTTCCAGTTGCTTTCCAAAACGCAGGAGACCGGCGTACGCAAGCTTGGTGTTACACAGGAACTTCTGGCTTTAGTAACCGGCTTAGCACACTATTTGAAACTTTTGATCCGTATCTGCCTACAAGGCGCTCTTAAAGTCGAAAGGGAGCAGAGGACGCCACAAGGTCTTCATGGATTCCTGGACGACCTTAGTGACATGGAGGCCATCAAAAACGACAATAGATCGCTTGAAGCTACAACTGGGACGCCTAATTTGAACTCGCCGTCTTCGGACCAATGCCCTACCTGTCAGCGACCGATAGAGGATGAGTGTGTTCGTGCAGGAGAGTATCGATGGCACCTCGCTTGCCTGCAGTGTTCGAATTGCTCAAGAGAGTTACGTTTGAATATTGCCGAAGTGAGGTGGAGTGAGGTTGACCAGCGTATAGTCTGCAGCAACTGTGAGAATAGGGCATCCGGTCCTGTCACTGCGGTCGAGCGAGTTACGAGACTTCAACATTACGTCTTTCTATTAAGAGTTGCTCTAGCAAGACTTCTGGAGCAGCTGCGAACCAGCGGTGCACTTCCACACACTTCGGATGACCCTAATCTGAATGGCTACGACTCCCAAGAAGGACATCGACTTCAACCAAATTCCGAACCACCATTGCTTAGATCAGACACAAGGTCAAAGTCTTACGGAGGCAATGCAGATGATAATCCGCGAGAATCTTCGTACGAAAACACACTCAATGATGTACGAAGGTTACGAAGTACCAGAATGGACAAGCATCTTTCATCCACTATCAAAAAAGCTAGAACTTCACGCATCATGGATGGCTCAGAAGTGCGCCGGCCAGGATCAGCTGGCGCCGATGGCTCTGACTCTAGAGGCCCCGGCTTTCAGATAGTGGAAGAACGTGATAGTAACGGCGAGTCCAGAACTGAGCTTATGTTTGGCCATCAAGACGCATTAACTCTCGATGATATTCCTCGGATCGTTGCGGCAGAGCAAGCAAAGGAGCAGAGGCCAAATGCCTACAAGCATGCACGGCATGAGATGTTCCGGACATCAGTCACGGAACCCAAACTTCTAAATGGGCATCAGCGTAATTTCTCAAGCGGCAATGGTCTCGATATGCCAGCGCCTGGTGATCCATCTCCTCAACAACGACGCGATGTTGGAAATGTCGGCAAAAAATATTTCTCCGAGCTCTCGGCACTAGAGTACTTTATCGTCCGGCATGTTGCAGTGATCGCGATGCAGCCGCTTTTAGACGGCCACTTCACCATGGAAGAATTGCTTAATCTCATTGAGACCAGAAAACCAACGTTCTGGAACAAAATGGGAAAGGCTTTTAAGAACGACGGCAAAAAGGGTGGCAAAAAGAAGGGCGTATTTGGCGTCCCTCTCGAAACAATCATTGAAAGAGATGGAGCTGATTCAACAGACGGTATCGGACCTGGTGCTTTGCGAATTCCAGCTATCATTGACGACACTGTCACGATAATGCGAAAAATGGACTTATCAGTTGAGGGTGTCTTCCGCAAAAACGGTAACATCAGGAGACTCAATGAAACCATGGCTGCCATTGATAGAGATGGTTGTGACGCTGTGGACCTTGGAAATAACGTTGTTCAAATTGCTGCTCTAATGAAGAAGTATCTTCGAGAGTTACCGGATCCCCTCCTTACTTTCAAGTTACATCGCCTGTTCATTGCAACTCAAAAAATTGCGGACGAAGATAAACGGAGGCGTGTGTTACATCTCACATGTTGCTTGCTTCCCAAACCCCACCGGGATTGTCTTGAGATATTGTGTTCCTTCTTCAACTGGGTTGCCTCTTTCCACCAAGTTGATGAGGAATCAGGTTCGAAAATGGACACTCACAATCTGGCAACTGTCATCGCGCCCAATATTCTGTACACAAATCAGAAGGGTCCAGTCGATGACAATTTCCTGGCGATCGAGGTTGTGCATACGCTCATCGAGTGTAATGAGCAGATGTGCGAGGTAAGAAACCGATCGTAGCAATCCACTATTCGTTTACTTACATACATATTAGGTTCCTGAAGATCTTCAATCAATTTTAGGAGATCAAACTCTCTTTACCAACCCAAGCGATATCACAACTAAAGAAATTCTTAAACGATATGGAGATATGGGATCAAATGGTGGTCCCAAACACCAAGTAGAAACTGTCGAGTCTTCTCCCGGATCAAAAGATGGTAGTGGCAGACCGATGGCGCCTGTCGTCACCCGTGTCGACACCGACCCTTCACAGGCAAATGCACGCCAGAAAGAAACTAGTGTACGCCATGTGCAGGATCCCGTGCCATATGGTAGAAACAATCAAAACATACCTCCTCAACAACAGTGGCAAGGCCCGGATCTCGAACCACCTCAGCCCTACCCACAGCGTAATGGCACGCCAGATAGTCAAAACGATAGTTCACGTCGAGAATACCGCAACTCCGGATGGGGTCGACCCAGAAACGGATCGGTCGGTGTTGGTGGAGCGATGTAATCCTAATCGATACTTACAATAATGCATAACGTCCTTCTCATTTTTACCCTGCGCAGGGCGCCAAAATCTACCAACCTGGCGCTCGTATATTGGAATCGCACCACCAAGTAACATAACGGCCGATTTCTTCGATTCATCATGAGATCCAAATCTCATTTTTATAGTTCGTTTCACTTCCTCAAAAAACGTCTCACCGAAAGCATTCATCAAACGGCGTTAAACTCGATATCTCTGGGAAGCTGGTTCATCTGCAAAATATGCAGCAGTACCGAAGGGATTGTATTTGTCTATTGAGTATAGGCTTCCTTTTTAATTTTCCTTTTTTTTCAGGAGGTAGATGTTTGGAGTATAGGGCACTGGCATCTTGGGAGGGTTCGATTGAAAAGATTCTGCTGAGTGTAATCAGTAGATATTGTTGCTGTTTTTCTTCATATATCGTCTCTCGCATGGTTGTTGGGTGGATGCGTTAGACGGTGGAGAGGATGAGATGAAAATGAAAGAGTCGTTATACAGATAATAATGATGTTTCTAGAAATTGTAACCTTAGTGGTGTGTTTCGATGTTGACATGTTCATATGCAGTCGACCCCACCTTTGACTACCTAATGCCGACATGCAGATGGTATTTTGACACTCCATGCCGATGATGACACCCGTCGGCATTCTCATCCGATGTCATTTTCCTTTCTCGGTAACACCTATCAAACTTTTAACTTCGTAATGGGAGCGTTAAAACATAGCGCCATCAACATTCATATTAGTATCAATTTTGGTAAAGCATTCTTAACTCCGATATCATTTTCGGACATATTGTCGTCACACCATCTTTACCCCACTACGAAACCCACACATAGCTACCCGATCTGAATCGTTTACTTGAATTTCATGTCGTGCAATACCTAAATACGTTTGTAGTGGTGGGTATACCCCCATCCCGCCATGCTTTGAAAGCGGGATACATGAATCTCGTGAAACCTTAGGATGTGGGTCACTTAAGTAGACCCTTTCTTTATTTACACCTCGTCTTCTCATCTCATAACGTTCCCCTCCAACCTCACATCCCACATCTCCATTACATACGCACATCACCCCTCGTACAAAAGCGCACAATCAAAATGTCCCCCCCAACCCGCGTAGCCTTCATCGGCCTCTCCGCCTCCGCCTGGTGGGCCGCCGCCGCCCACCTCCCATACCTGAAATCTTCGCCCGACTATGAAATCGTCGCCTTGTGCAATAGTTCTGTGGAGAAAGCGCGGGCGGCGATTGAGAAGTTTGAATTGGGGAGGGGAGTGAGGGCGTATGGTGATGTTGAAGGTGAGATTTTCTCATATCCAAATTTTATTTTCATGTGATGAGAGGGAGAGTGCGGTGAACGGGCTTTGAACTGATAATGAGTATAGAACTTGCGAAAGATAAAGAGGTTGATTTGGTGGTATGCTCTATAAACGTAGCTCACCACTCCACCGCCATCATCCCCTCAATCAAAGCCGGTAAAAACGTCTACGTCGAATGGCCCCTCGGCCATTCCCTCGCTGACGCTCAATCCCTCCTCGAGTTGAAAAACTCGCATAACATCACGCTAGCGAACGTAGGATTGCAAGCACGTCAAGCACCGCTCATCTCTAAGGTGAAAGCGATTATTGAACGGGGAGGCATTGGGAGGGTGTTGAGCAGCACGTGGGCAGGCCATGGGATGCAGGGTGGTGGGGATGTGAGTGAAGGGATGAAGTATTTTCTGGATGCAGGGGTGGGTGGAAATTTTTGGACTATTCATGTTGGTCATGCTGTGGATTACGTGCAAGCTGGTAATACTCCCATCTTGTTTTTGAATTTCACATTGAATTTGGATGTGAGTTTGGACATGAGGATTAACAATATTAGTACTCGGTTACGGCTTCACCACTCCCCCCAAAACACTCCTGCAAACTCGCCGTCCAACGCTGAAAATCACCGGCAAAGACGGGAGCGTCGTGGATGAGGCGGCGAAAATGGAAACTCCCGACACGATATTCTTGCACGGGACGCTCAAGAGCGAAGTCCCGCTCTCAATGACCTTCCGCACCGGCGCGCCATTCCCCGGGACACCAGGACTGGACTGGCGGATTGCTGGTGAGGAAGGAGAGATCAGGATTACAGCCGGCGGTGCATTTTTGCAGATCGGGTATGAGGATGCAAAGGTAGAGGTGGTGCGGGGTGGAAAGGTGGAAAGCTTTAAGATGGGTGAGTTTGGGGAGGAGGAGATTGACGGGGTGCCGTTTGGGAATGTGAGTCGAGTGTATAGGGAGCTGAGGGAGGGGAGAGTGAATTGTAGTTTTGAAGAGGCGGTGGAACTGCATAAAGTGCTTGAGGAGGCGTGGAAGGGCAATGGGTATCCTGTTTAAGCTGTAAATACTATGCCATTGAATATATTCATAAACTTGAAATGCAAACGCCGGGTATCATGACTCCCAATATCCAACTCCATTACTCCAGAACCGGCATCCTAACCAAAACTGAATTGTCACCTGCAAGCCATACAGCTTCCACCTTCCGCACCTTATTCTGACTCGCGATGAATAATAAAAGATAAAGATACGGCGCCGTGATTCCCCAACAGTATACTCTGAAACTGGTCATGTCTTCATTACGTTCCCCGCGTACTCCCCACCCTGCTTTCCCTGCCCCGATGAAATTGCCGAGGACGTCCCAAAATGTTTTTCGAAGCTCGATGGGCCAAGGATTGGCGTCAACTCGCCAGTACCCACGTTCTGCCTGTCGAAGTTCGCGGGCTTGGAAGGCGGGTCTGTAGTGTTTTTCGAAGGGAAGCCGCTTTGCGAGGTTGGTGAGGGAGGGTGTTATGAATGATTCTGGGGTTACGATCGCGTCGGAAGTTGGTGGTGTTGGTGGGTTAATATAAACGAAGTCGATGTAAGAATTTAGTGGCTTTTTGACTGGTGAGCTCCAACCGGCTATTGCGCTTGAAGATGGGAGGTTGGAGGTCACTGATTGATCGGAGTTTGTCCTTGCCATGCTTATTATTTCTGGTGGTTTAGAGAGTGACTGATCTGAGTTTGCTCTCATAATTTCCGTCCTATCGTGCGGCTTCGGTAATGATTGATCTGAATTTGTGGTTGAAACTCTTGCACTCTCCAATGGTGCTCTTAACGTTTGAACATCTGAATGAGATGAGGGTACCCGATCAGAAGATGGGCTTTCGAAACGTCTTCTTTTGTTGGCATGCTCATCGAGCGAGCTTGAAGCCGCGTTGACTACTATTGCTGGAGCAGAAGCTGGGATATGAGCGTCGTCCGAGGACATATTGGGCCAGTTCCTCTTCATACCAGTGACAGGTACCTGAGTGTTAGGTGGCAAATGATACGGTGTTTCTGGTATCATTCCACTGAGAGTAGAAAAGATTTGCAAATTTGAAGTTGATGAGCTGTATGGAACTTTATGGCTTTGATGAACCTGAATTTCCGTTGAGGCGAGGTGCCCAGAATCCGCTCTAGCAGGCCCAGCTTTTAAAGCTGGCTTGGGTGTGACTAACTCCGCGGTCTGAGTCGTTTTTGCAATCTCATTACTGCGTCGGGTAGATCGGGAGTCAGATACGTTTTCCTCAGCAATCGACGATGATGTTGCAGGCCGTATGATTATAGGTGGTATGTCAGCAAGCAAACCTTGATGACTGCTAGAAAGAGGCGGAGGTATACTAGATGATGTGGAAGTTGAAACTGTAATTCCAGTAAAAGATTGTTCCTCTGAAGAAACTGGATTCCCTAGAATAGGACTCGCAGTGGTGACATTGACGTCTGCTTGTTGCACTAATGGAGGAGACGAAGGAAATGACAAAGCCGAATTGATATGTGATTGAGAATTCGAAACATCTGAATTTTGAAACCTTGGAGTAGACAACCTCTGTGAAGGCGAGTCCTCCACCCTTGTTTGCCTATGATGTGTATGATTTTCCGGTGACTCTTGATCAGAGCTATCAATCTGTTGTAGAAGAAGCTCAAGCATTCGTGTGGGCGAAGAAAAGGCTTCTAATCCAGTCCTATGTTCCGGTTGAGAGTCTGCAATCGTACTTGGAGGACCTTGCCCTGAACTCGTCGATTTCTGTGTCTCATCTTCCCTCCAACTACGAAGGGGAGGCGTCCACGTGACATGTCGTGTCGCAAAAGCCGGTGTATTGACATTATTTGCAGCGCTCTTGAACGAGAGTAGAGGCGATTCCAAAGATCTCAGTTGAGTAGGTCGGTCGTGAGGTTCATGCTGAGTTGGATCCAGCTCACTTTCCGAGTCCGAGTTGTCGTCCCCGTGACCTTCATCTTCCTCATCGGGTTGGTACGATTCCCAAGATTGCGGCTCTTCTTGAGTACTTTCTACAAGTTCCTCCCGAATCTGCACCTCAGCCTGCGCGTCGATATCATCTTCCACAACCTCTCGATCGAATTCGACTCTTTGACGCGTCGCTGGTGCGAATTGCAAATATGCTCGAGCTAGAGCGCGATATCGAGCATCATCTTGTCCTCGGCTTGGTGCTGATGTGTGTACAAGGATTTCCACATCTTCCATTTCAATCACCGGCGGGTAGGTGGGTTTGGAATAGCCATCGAATATGCAGGCATCCGAATTGATATATCCAGGTTGTCGAGTCGTAGTCATAGAAACAGGTCGTTGCCACCCGACCTCTAATTGGTGCCTTAGGCCCTAACAACTACCAAGTGTTCCAAGTAACGACCTTTCTCAACGAACGATGGAGTTTTTCAAATTCTTTGCTTCTAGCCACGAAATTTGGAACTGTCGATCGCCCAAGGATGCCGAGTTTTTGCAGATTGATATATTTCAACTGAGATGTAGGAGAATGACAAATTTACAGCTAGGATTTTACAACATTCTAACCACATTTCAAATGTTTCTGCGCTTGAATGGAACAAATTCATTTACATTGTTATGCGCACCCATTCACAATACTTATATTAGGCGTGGTGGAAAATCCGTGGCCACGGCAAAGTTCAGCTGTCATTGACTGGGCGAAACACATTTTCACTCTCTATTCCTCAGAGGATCATTTTTCTGACAAGGGAAACATTAGTACAAATACCCTTTTACAAGGCCAAATTGCTCATCCAGAAGCATAGCACCGTTATGGAAAACCTGAAGTGACTTCTTGCAATATTTAGTGACAAATACTACGAGAATATCGTTTTGGAGAATATCGTTTTGGAGAATATCGTTTTGGAATATATCAAAACACTAACACCATACCCCGACTGTTTGCCCCAACAGTTCCCAACATCTCCACCAAACAAGGGAAAACCAAACCCTTTAGCAATAAAAAATCGCTATGTGCCTCTAGAGATTTTCAAACTAACGCTTGTGCCTCTCACTTATTACCCTCAAAATTCACCACCCCATATTCCATCCCCATCTCGCTTACCATTCACCCCCTCCCCCCACACATCCAAAGTCCTCACTTTCCATTCATCTTTCCGCAACTCAAATCTCAATCTCAATCCCAAATCTCGAATCTTTGCTTTCGCAATCTCGATCAATTATTGCATAGGTTTCATACCTACCCACACTCCTTTAATTTCTTTGCTGTAACACTTGCTTATTTGGATACTATTGGGAGAATTTATCTCGTTGTCTGTAGCAACGCCATCCATCAATTCATCTTTGCGGACAGCAGATTGGTAGTGTGGAGATGAGATTTCTCGCGGTTATTGAAAGTTTACTATGGCTCGTATTTTTGAACTGTAAGTCACACAAGATACAACAGGTTCACGATCTTTCTGATGTGTGATATAGGTCTCGTATCAGCCGATGAAAATATCGCCAATGCGAATGATCCCGTTGCGGAGCCCGGATACCTTGCAGCGGGGATTACGGGCGCGGCAGATACGAATGTGTACAGCTACCCGCATGGTCGTACCTGGAGGTCTCGTACGAGTTATGATAGAACTGTAACGCTTTGGAGGGAATCGACTGTTACGGTTAAGGTTTTGGAGGTTGTTTCTAGTGAGTATAATTTTCTTTTCAGCTTTGAGAATTTGTGGAAATGGAGAAGATATGTGATTGTGTTTGCTCTGACTAGAGTTGAAATCCATGTTGTTGTTGGTAGCTTGATTCTGAATCAGAAAAGCTAACTTCCCAAGGTATCTCAACCGTCACAAACAGCTTCCCACTAATCCACGAAGCCGGGAACATCACAAAATCAGAGGATACTGGAAACTACACTCGTGTAGCCGCCACAACGACACTATCTCAACCCGCATCGATTTCATCATCTAGTACATCTAGCACTCCAACCGCCCCTCCCAAAAAGTCCTTTGCAGTTCTCCCGCATCTGCGCAATCCACTCAAACCATTCGTAGACCTACTTCGACGGATGTTTCCGGTGGGTTCTCAGCATCATGAAGCGCTCCGCGGTGAGAGGCTTCGAGAGGAAATGTCTAAGATATCGCGTAAATCTGCCGAGAAAAGAACCACAATTCCGACCGTCATCCTCGCGCCAACTGATAAACCGACTGGTACAACGACTACAATCCCAATCGACACCTCCCCAGCGCCAAATATTCTAGGAGTGACAACCGTCACGACCGTCAAACCAGGAACGACAACTTCGACCACCACGGTAGTCACGGCCTCGAGAAGTATGACCAATCAAACAGGTCCAGCATCCTCAACAACATCAGCCAAAATCTCATCTGCGTACCGGACCCAACCACCAAATGTCTTCAGCTGGATCTTCAAGTCGTTTAAATGGATCCTTCTTCACGCGGTACCCAGACTATCCCATTTCGACATCGCCACAAACACACCAAAAACGCGAAAGTCCATGGTTGAAGAACAGATGTTACTTGACGTCCACGGGCCACGTAACATGCAAACTCTCCTCACCGACTTCTACCTGTCGAAAAAGGAGGTTGCAAATTATATTTGCCGTGTTGGTGGTTGGTGGGTTATTTGTTTGTACACTCTCAGGTGGATCGATATCCGCTTGATGGCGCGAGGTTATCGTGGATTCACTGGGTTGTGAGAATTCATGCTTGGCGCGGAGTGTTGATTTCTCGACTGACGAAACTGGAGGCTAAGGTGGTGGGAAGCTTGATAGGTTGACCTTGCGTGATCTCGCAGCCGTGGGAGGATCGTATCGAAAATGAATAGTAATCTTACGTGACTGGTGATACGGATAGGAGATGCGAGATAGGTTGATGGATTCTTTTGTGTGGGCCAATATCCATTGCAGATATGAGTCTGCAGCTTGACATGATTTAACGGTAATAATAATAGTCGATTCAAGAATGTCCTTCGTAGACTGTGAGGCCCCTCGATGCTTCGCGTGTGACTCAGCGGGGGTTCTGGGACTGTGCAGTTGGAAGACACCTTGCAGCGAAGAGAGTTGCAGTATCCCCTTAAAACGAGTCTCTAAGCACTGCGCCTGTGGTTTAAGTTGATCCAAAACCACCGAACAAAGTTGATTGAGCGCCATCATCTTGATTCGGCCATCTAGGATCCGGAACCTCTTCACCAGGTTCGTAATCCTCTAGCTCTACCCCAGGAGGTGTTAAAATACATTTCTCCAGATACAGCGCCCACCTATTAGTAACACTTCCCAAAACACTCACGTACTCAACTCCCCTCAACCTCTTCAACGGCTCCAACACTTCAGCTTCAACGCCCGCCCAAGAAGGCTTAATAGCAAGTTTTCTCGGCCTATGCTCGCATCGTCCAGAAGCAGCAATAACACTAAACCAATGTCTCCCCGGTTCCCTCCCTCGTAGCTCATCAGCATAACACACCATCATGCGATTGGCAAAATTAACATGTAAACTCTTAAGCCTACATTTCTTCAGGATTTCCGTGGTATAGACTACACTCTCTCGCACCTGAGCCGGCAAGTGCGGTGGTTTTCCAAAGACTCGGAGTCGTACGAATTGCATCCGGGATACCGCATCTCGAACCCATGGTTCTATGACGTCCGGGATGAGAGATGAAGATATAGGGACGCGATAAGATGATGGATGGAGTGTTGAGAACTGGAAATGATTTCTTGAGAAGAATATCTCGAGGGCTTCGTCGCGGATGGCGCTGGATACTTGAATGAGTGCGAAGAGCTGAGCGATGCATTCGCGATCTCGACGGTAGGCGCCGCGGATGGGGTTGAATGAGAGAGGGGCATAGGGGTCGGATACTAGGAGGTCGGTGAGGATTGAGTGGCGGAGTTCTGCTGGGAGGGGGAAGGTGAGTCGAGTCATGTTGGTTGGTCCTTGAGAGGTGTACGAGATGAATGTTTAGGAGAGGAAAGCGAATAGCTAATGATCGTTTTCTTCTTGTGAGCTGTAAAGATTGGCCCTTAATTTGGTCACCGCAAGATAAGTAAACTGTGAGTATTTATTTCAAAATAACTATTGTTCTGGTACTGTTGAGCCTGAACAACATCTGTCAGTAAAATCCGAAAAAGAACAGGAGAGCGGATACACACCTCGACCAAAAGTCACTCAAAAGCACATTACTGAGCTCTAATATAGAGTAGTCAAGATACCAAGGAATCCTGCACCAAAAAGAAGCCAATATGTGTCAAGGTGCCAAGTTGCCTACACCACTCACAGCTGGTAGTCGACTGGAAGGAGTCCAGACACGTAATAGTGCAGTGGGAGCAATATAACCTTGAGTTCAGACGTGTCTCAAACTTTTAGACAACAAAAATAGCAAGCTATCATGTTTTTACAATATGCAAATGTGATGTAGTTCTCAAGATCAACAACTACAAAAGCAGAGGAGGTGTAGTCCCCTCCACACCTCGCTTATTTGAACCCCACATTTCAATTTCGCCCTTCACCCAAGCTCCAGCCTTGCAACCCCCACCAAGCATCATACACCTTTTTAAATCGCGACGCTACAAACCGCCAGCTCCATTCTACACGAAATAACACCTTGATTGACAAAGATTCTTGTACGCGACACTCTGCGCACAACCACCAAAATGCCAAACCTGCCAACAGCCCAAGAATGGCTCACTCAATCAACGCTCCTCCTCCAAGCTAGACCTTCAACTGTACGTCTTCCCTTCCCTTCTCCCCTTCCGCCCTACCTTTTTGTTTCACGCCTAGAACTAACAAACCCAGACACGCATAACAACAAAATACAGCCACCCCCGCCGACCCAATCCCCTCTCCAAACCCAAACCCACCCCCTCAACAACCACCCCCTCCGATCCCACCACCGCTCCCTCAAAAACACCAACCTCAACCCTCACCCTAAAAACCTACGACCCAATCTCCGGCGCAACACTCAAATACACAACCGACAAAGCGCAAGAAGTAGGGCGGCTGATACAGATCCTGGGGCGACTGGCCAGGGGCATGGCGGGTTTGGAGATGAAAGAGGAGGAGGTGGTTGTGAAGAAGGAGGAAGGAGTGGAGGAGGTGGGGACGCCGGGTGGAGAGGTGGATAGACAGATCGGAGGTGCGAAGGGGCCAGCGGGAGGAGGGGGAGGTGGGAAGAAGAAGAAGGGGAAGGGGAAGAAGTGAATGAGGTTAAGGGAGAGGGGAGGGTTTGGGGGTACATATGAGGAGATCATGCATGGATTGGCGTTTGGAAGAATGGGTTGGCATGGCATGGTGCTACGACTTTACAGACGACTTTAAGATGGAGGAATACCAATCTATTATATCATTTGCTGGAATTCGGACATTGTATGGAGCTTGACCTGAAGTGAAAGAACTCACTTGATTGAAACGTTTCTCCGCTCACTTGTTGCAGGGCACCAATCCCGTATGATTGTTTGTTTCAGGCTTGTGGTGTCTAACAGGACTCTACCTCAACTATCTAGTGTTCCTTGGGAGTCCAACAGGCAATCCCAACAAAAAGGTTAGCATTTCAGAGGGCACTTTTATGAGAAAAGTATGGAAATCATGTTGGTCTACTAGCTGCAGTGAGTACTATGGAGGCAAATCAAACACGAGCTGGCAAGAAGTTTCCAATCAATGGTTGATTTTCATTTTACGCTATTACACTACGCTAGTGCACCACGCTACCACACTACACCAACGTTATCCTATAAGCCCCATTTCATCTTGATTCATCTAATGGCCATCCGACCAGTCTTCCCACCTCAACTCCAACGCCTCCACATATAGAAAAGGGTGTGTACAAAAAAAAAAGTCCCAATATGTTTGCGCCCGGCGACCATCGCCATTTAATGCAATGCGACCTTGTAAGAGAAGAGAAGACATCCCAATGTCACAATATACAATATGTAGTAACCTCCCTTGAACGCCAAATAGACCGACAAACATTAATAATGTAACCAACGACAGCAAGAGATTTAAAAGTCTTCATCAAAGTTGAAGTCTCCTCCATTCTCTGCTTTGGCGTCTGTCTGAGCTTCGGTGTCTTCGTGCTTCTTTTGTGTGCCAGCCATGACACCAGCCTTCTGGTAATCACCAACTCTCTTCTCGAAGAAGTTGGTCTTACCAGCAAGAGAGATGTTCTCCATGAAGTCGAATGGGTTGGCAGTCTTGTAGAACTTGTCGTTACCGAGGGAAACGAGAAGACGATCAGCAACAAACTCAATGTATTGCTTCATGAGGTTGGAGTTCATGCCGAGAAGGGCACATGGAAGAGCCTCAGTCAAGAATTCTTGTTCAATTTCGACAGCCTCTGTGATGACATCTTGAACGGCTTGCTTGCTTGGGCGGTGGTTCAAGTGAGAGAACAAGAGGCATGCGAAGTCGGTGTGCATACCCTCATCACGAGAAATCAACTCGTTGGAAAAGGTAAGTCCAGCCATGAGACCACGTTTTTTGAGCCAGAAGATAGATGCGAATGAACCACTGAAGAAGATACCCTCAATGGCGGCGAAGGCAACTAAACGCTGAGCAAAGGTGGAGTTTTTGTCCTGGATCCATCGGACTGCCCAGTCGGCCTTCTTCTTGATGCAAGGGACTAGACATACGTTAGGATTGTAGCGATAGCAAATTTGTGGTAGGACTTACTAGTCTCGATGGCGTTGAAAAGGTATGTGCGTTGAGCTTGCTCCTTGACGTAGGTATCTATCAAGAGCGAGTATGTCTCGGAGTGAATGTTCTCCATCATGATCTGGAAACCATAGAAGCATCGGGCTTCTGGAATTTGAACTTCTCCACTGAAGCGCTCCAACAGGTTCTCGTTCACGATTCCGTCTGAAGCGGCGAAGAATGCAAGAACGTGGGAAATGAAGTATCGTTCATCATCATTGAGTCTGTTGTTCCAGTCGTGTAAATCTTTGGAGAGATCAATCTCTTCGGCAGTCCAGAAAGAAGCTTCAGCCTTCTTGTACATTTGCCAGATCTAGTGTAATGTCAGTGTTGTTTCAAAACACTTTACGCGAAAACGCGTTCAGAACGCGACGTACCTCATGATACTTGATTGGGAAAAGAACAAAGCGCTGAGGGTTCTCTTGCAATAGAGGCTCATCAGCCTCTTCTGGTCGCAGAGCTGGTGCAACTGTGACAGCAAGCTCTTCCTTCTTTGCACCTTCTGGGTAGTATGTAACGCCGTTGACAACGATTGCGCCGTCGGCTCGTGGTGTGTAGGTGTCTTGGGCAACTTTCTCAATTGGCTTTTGGGATTTGGCCTCTTCGAAAACTGACGCGTCGGCATCGACTGGAGCGTTCTCCTTATCGGCAGAGCCAAAGTCGAGCTTCTTGACGGGTGAGGACATCTTGAGATCCTCAATGGCAGATGCAGCCTGCGTGTACCAGTTAGTACCTGTTGACGCGTCGATGCAGGGATAGTGGCGAGTTTCTTACCATTTTGGATGGAGTAATTTGTGCAGTCATGGTGTACAGTTGATTGAAGTGTAAAGAATAGTATGGCACAATTTCAACTGACAAGAAATGGTAGAAGAGTCGAGATGTTTTGTGATGTTGATTGAAATGCGAGATGGAGGGACGCGATGCATGTTAAAAGCTTTCGAGATTCGGTCACGTGGTGCAGCTTCGACGCGTCTTCCTAGGGTTCGCGTCGCAAATAATTACACCAACCTCTCCAGCGCGCTTTACCAAAACCCTGCTTGTTTGACCTCTCTTGGGCGAATCCTAGTCTTTCCAAGGCATCTTGTCCTCTTTTGGCATTAGATCCTCGAAAGAGGCGGGGATAGTGCATATTTCCCAAGATTTTGACGCAATGCAGGACCGAATTTCAGCACTGATTCGTCAAAGAACCACAATAGACGCCTACGCCATGGGACTTACGACGCCATTTGCTTTGAGAAGATTTCATAATATCATCACATCAATTTCTCATCCTCGAGTCATTCAACTGTACGGGCGTTGTTCTATATTTATGATTTGGGTATATACTCCTCGTATCGATACAATAATCCTATACAAACTTGCGCCAACCAGCATCGCTTCAGATTTTACGAATTCCGACCAAAGAACTAACAGTGTAACGCGCCATTATCATTTATAGATCCTACCCTCATCGCATTCGATCAACGTCTGCCCGACCTGCCATCATTGCGTATTTCTTGACGTGCATGGCCCTGTTCAACATCTGCGACTCTGCCTTGACCTCCAAACCAACTCTTCTTCGGCTGGGCGACTCTCGCCTCTTGTGCATGAGAGTTATATGTAGTTCCACCGGTCTGGCGTTGGGATGATGGTTCGTTAATATATGATGGAGGTGATTCAGTTTGCTCGTTCATCATTCTATCAAATTCTTCTGGAAGAGTTGAATCGCGTTGGGCTGTCCGGCCTTGGGCCTTCATTGCCTTTGCACCCTTCTTACGGAGAAAGTCTTCGAGGAGGATGGCGTTTTTTGTGTTACAACGGAACAACATATCAGCCAAGTCACCAATGAATGGGACTAATCCGACTGCAAAATCCAACGCCAGGTTGAACATCATTTGTCCATTTAGAGACTTGGGAATTCCACCTTCAACTTGTTGGCATGTGCGGATAACCATGAGAGCCATGAAAGCATCGAGAGCATCGCCAACACTAATGTCAAGAGTTAGCTAAGCACCTTTCTACTGTTGCTAGAATATGTTGCACTCACAAAGGGATGATCCCAATAACACTCGACCAACCAACTCGCATTCCCAAGAGACTCCAACCAGAATCAAGACGATATGCCCGTCGCTTTACTTTGGTGAGTACCTTGCCGTCGTGTTCAGAGATCCCTGGTGGAAGAGCTTTGGGCATCTTCTTCATTTTCTTGGACTGCTTTCCATCGATTCGAGTTGCTGGAACGCTCTCAAAATATGGATCCTGAAGCGACATTAGCACCGACTATTGATCTAGATGCGACAATCCTCACCTCTTTTCCAAAGTTGTTCTCCATTTTCTCCCCCAAAATCTTCTTAGCGATGTACTTTGCGATGAACCCAGACATGTTTGCGGTATTGATGAAACTTGACTCAGGAATTATGAATGGGACGATGTCCTTTTTGTAGAAAAATCAAGCCTTTCAGGAGGCTAGAACCGGCAATGCTGTGGAGTGGCAATACCCGACGATTCGGTGAACGCTTTATGTCGTCTGTTGAGCTGGCAGTTGAGTGGCTGGTGATCAAAGATTTGGCGTTTCAAGATGCGCGTACCTCACTGGGCGTCTTTGTCTGAACCACGAGCTTTGGTTTGTTTTGGTAACGGGGAAATTGAGAATGTGAGGAAGATAAACGTCCTTTATACTTTACTTTGTGAATGTACCAACGCTTGGTCTTCCTTGAATCATGAATGGCGGATATTTACCGCTATTTGCTTGTTATTCAAGTTTTGGTGTTCCCCTGTCGCCAGCATCACCACGTCATCCGCACAAGAGCCGGTCATCTCCAGCGACTCCAGTGAGTGCGATAGCGCCAGATAACGTTTTTAGGCTTTGGGGGCGCAATTTGCAGGTGAAGATCTGTGGCTGTGCAGATTGCAGTGCTCCAGCCACATGAATGCCGCTACAGACTGAAGCTAGCGCTTCTAAAGCAGCAGTCCGATGAAGTTGCGGGGACCACCAGAGCACTGCGGATCGCTGACACGAATGCAGCGCATAAGTAGTTACACCAACATCAGTCCGGATCTTTTCGTTGCACGAATCCATCTCCACCCGTCGATCGACAACGCCCGCAATAATAACACCATCGCCTCATCGAGCTATTGATTCATTCCCAACCAGGATTGATTTACTCCAACCCGAAGTTGCCACGAAGCTATTGATCCTGCCACAATCCGTGGTCAGTAGCTTGCGACTGGAGTGATTGCACGTTGATCATAGAACCCGAGAGTCGTGGATATGCTTGTACAGGGAAAACAACATGACAGAAGCAAACTTTACGCTAGAAGAGTGTAAGTGCTGCGAGCTCCTACGCGTTGACCCGACTCCGAGGGCTTGATGTTGAGGAATCCTTCCATGTGATCTATTCTAACATATCTATAGGGCTGGACGACCTCTGTGTCCGCTTCATCCTCAACCTACCTGAGGAAGATCTCAAGGATATCGCTCGAATATGTTTTCAAGTCGAGGAAGCTCAATGGTTCTACGAGGACTTTATACGCCCTCTCGATCCTTCACTTCCTTCAATGACCCTCCGGACTTTCTGCATGCGAATTTTTGCCCACTGCCCGCTATTATCTGCATTCTCTGAAACTCATCATATGAGAGCTTTCGAAAACTTTATGGAATACAAGACAAGAATACCGGTGCGAGGTGCCATTATGTTGAATGAGAACATGGATTCGGTGGTGCTAGTAAAAGGTTGGAAGAAGGGAGCGAGTTGGAGTTTCCCACGCGGTAAAATTGCTAAAGATGAGGATGACTTGACATGCGCGGTTCGCGAAGTGTACGAAGAAACAGGCCTCGAGCTTGAAACAGCAGGATTGGTACCGGCCGAAAGAGACGTCAAATCCATCGAGGTCAACATGAGAGATCAAAATATGCGGTTATTTGTGTTTCGAAATGTGCCCATGGACACGCAATTTGCTCCTCGAACGCGGAAGGAGATTAGTAAAATCCAATGGTGGCCTTTGTCGGATTTGCCGGCTTTTAGAAAGAAGGGAAATCAGCAAGAGAATATGCCTAATGCCAGCCCCAACAAGTTTTACATGGTTGCTCCATTTCTTGTACATCTCAGGAAATGGGTTATTGAACAGAAGAAGAAGGATGCCAAGCAGGCAAAGAGGACGACAAGCAATCAATATTTAGCTACTGCTAACATGGAAAATGATGACTTCTTGACTGAAGAGGACCAAGGTGCAGAATCGGCAGCACAAGCTTCGACATACGAAAGAGGTCCTGCGCCAGAACTCGATACAGCTGCAGGAGCTACAGCAGCACTAACTCGAATGCTACAAATCCAACCTGCGACACAAGGCTTACAACCTGAAGCAATGGCTCAGGAAGCAAACCAGAAAGGTTCAGCACTTCTTGCTCTATTGCATGGCAAGCCAGCGGTTTCGTCTCAGCCCATACCAGGAAACGCACCACCTCGTACCCCTATGGAGAATATCGACACAAATCCATCAATGCCTAAAACACCTCACCATTATCCACCAAAACCACCACCATTCTCTAGTATGCCACCGCCGCCGAGTTTCCCTCTGCCGCGACCAGATGACGCCTTCTCCTATCAACTTCCACATTTACAAAACAACCAAATGCAGAATAGGCCGCAATTTCAACACCCACAGAACATGGGTCCGCAGTATCCTCCGAGAGGCCCCAACAATCAACATCATTACCAACCCACACACTTGATACACCCACAGCCTCTTCCCCCACATGTACAAAAAGCTGTTTTTACGGGCGGGCCTGTTCATGCGCCTGCAATGCCCCAGCCGGCCCAACAGGCACCACCTCCTCCACTTCAGTCTACAGTATCTGTAACTGTCAGCAATCCTCAATTTCCTGGCTTACATGCACCGATGGTTGCACAATCTGTAGAACCAAAACCAAAGCTCACGGCGCATTCGCTTGCATTGTTAAGTGCCTTCAAGAAGAATGACAGCGCTGGTGTAGCCTCGAATGAATCTGAGCTACCTCTGAGAGGCTTTCCGCCTCCACCTGCACTAAGGTCGCAGCCGCAGGAGCTGCCAGCAGTGGAAGCACAACCTCACCAAGCTAATATCCCTCCACCCATTTTTGTACATTCTCATGTTGGTGCCGTGGAAAAAAGTGCATTGACACCAAGACAACCCATCAGCGAGTCGCAGAAATCAGCACTGCTTGGTATTTTTAAGAGTCCTATCACTCCTGCCGCTTCTTTGGCGGTACCTTTGAGTGCCACTGCTCTACCTACGAATGGAACCCCCTCTGCGGTTGAATTGTCTGCAGTAGAGCCACTGTCTCGCGATGCATCAACCACTTCAAACCTGCTCAATGCGAGGAGAACACCAGATCATATGGCCGTGCCTGAAACTATCCCTGTATTCAATCCAGAATCCAACCTTCCTTATCACGCCACGTCGATTCTTTCTCGCCCAGCCAAAGAAAGGCAGGCCGAAGTTCAACCAAAGACTACTAACGGTCGATCGAAGAGAAACACTGGGAAGGCCCCAGAGCGGGCTAATGACAACCCAGCTGCCGCCGAATCGCCCGCCAAGTTTCAACCTCAGATACTGAAGAGACCTGTTATGGGTTCTTCTCCTAAACCAGTAGCCTCTCCAACTGCAATGACTATGAGTCCGCCTGCATTACTCAACCATGCTTCATCTGCCCGTACGCCGGTGCAAGCAACGGGTCATCAACAAGCATTACTCAATCTGTTTGCCAAAGCTCAGACACCAACTACTACACCACCAAGCCAGGGAGATTTTACAGGAGCGAGTCAGATGCTACCACCATTAAAACCTGCAGCAAGATCAAGAGTAGGAAGTTTAGCATCGGGTACAGGGGACGGAGCTGCATCACGACGAGGTAGTCAGACTCCTATATCCCCCGCAGACAGAGGGTTTCTGCTTAGCTATCTGGATGATGTGGCGAAGGGCAGTCAACGCTGAGTGTAAGAAAAGGGGGTATCATTTGGAGATCGATGTAATCATGCATAGGGAGTTATCTGGGAAGCGAAAAGGTGAGGATGCATTTTATCTAGCCTTTAGCGTGTAGCGTGTTCCATGTGTATTTTGGGATGTAGGTAGATAGTTTGGTGAGAATCTAGACTTTCTACTATACGTTTGAATCATGGTGTTATACTTTCCTCTTTCCCAGCTCGATGCCTATGAACCTGCCCAGAAAGAGACCCCTCTCACTCGCCGTAGTAATCGACATATCACATGCACTCCCGACTTTCATCTGCGAGACAACTCACGAGCAGCAATACTCATAGGACATTGTTCTCGTCCAAGACGAGCAAGAGGGCGTGACTCTCACCGTTCGGAAGTTTCAGTCTCGCCAACCGCTTGGTATGCATCTGGTACTGCAGTGACGGCCGCTGCGTATGCGGAGATGACAGGTCTTCCTACTGTGGCAGTTTCTGTGGTGGACTGGGGCTTTGGGAAGGGGTCTGCATTATCTTCATGTTGGTGAGTGCATAGCAACCTTACCGCTTCGTTGTTGAAATTGTGCGATGGCTCTTTGATTTGATTTTCAGACGTTATTTAAGGTGTTATAGTTTATCTATTTAATCCAACTCATGTATTTACATAGAAAAGGTGAATGTCTCTACACAGATCTCGCAGATCTCTAGATGGCGATTCGGAGGTTTACTTTACATTCGACTCGTCATGACCTTTACTCTCACGGGAAATTCCCACCTCCCAACTCCCCATCCCCTCCCTCGGGACGCTCAGATCCCGAGACAAAGCCACGACATCGAGCCAAGCATCTTGTCTTTCACACCCAAGAGCCGGATTCAAATAACTCATAAAGATTCAAGAACCTAATGTAATACGAGTAGCACATTAGGTGTATATGTAATTCTTGTAGGAATAGAAAAGGACGGGTTTGTATGGACTTTCGTTGGTTTACTAGACTAAGAGAACTGACTCGGAAGAAATCGCGGAGTAGAATCCCGGCTTCTACACCGTAACCGCGGGGTAGATGTGTGAGAGCCAAGTGAGAGTTCTCGTGAGGTGCAGGAGTTAGTTTGATGTCTAGATTTATTTGAATTACTTAAGAAATTTATCCCCCTCTTATTTTTGGCTTACATTTTGTTTGTTTGAAAATTAATGTGGACTTATCAATTGGACAAACTCACGTTAGCCGTTCTTTCTCCGGCTGCGTCCCGAGCCGAGCGAAAACTTCCAACCACCTACTTCTATTACTCACTCCACCACCCATACCAAACAATTCACATTATTTTGTGAATTGAACACCGACTCATCCATCACACCATATATACACACTCACCAAACGAAAATGAATTGTCCATCCCGCACCGAAGAACCCCTCGAAGGCGATGGCATGAACCAAAACCCCAATTCCCTGTCAGCTGACCTGACGACGCGGAATGATCTGAACGGCATCGCCAACACGCGCGCGTTGCGACGGATAGAGAGTGAGATTCGGACGACGGAGAGCGTGGAGCCGGATGGAGGAACGGTTGAGGGGCGGGAGAAGGGGGAGTGGAGGGAGGTGGTTGTGGGGGGTGGCGGTCGAGGTGGGAGTGTTGTTGGTGATGATGAGGGTGGAAGAGGAAATCGGTTTGTGAGAGCCAGGGAGATGGCGGTTACGTTTGGGAAGTTTATTGGGCCTGGGTTTATGGTTCGTCCTACCTATTTTCCTGATAATTGAATTTTGAGGATCTTGTTAATTGAATATAGATCGCCGTGGCGTACATCGATCCTGGTAACTACGCAACAGACGTTGCAGCCGGAGCGACGTACAAGTATAAACTCTTGTTCATCGTTCTGATGTCCAACTTGTTTGCCATTTTCCTCCAGAGCTTGTGTATTAAGCTTGGGAGTGTGAGTGGGCTGAATTTGGCCGAGAGTTGTAGAGCATTCCTCCCGAAATGGTTGAATATTTTTCTCTATATCTTGGCTGAGGGTGCTGTATGTTATGATTCCTATTGCTATAATATTTTTTATGCTGATATTTTAGATCATCGCAACGGATATCGCTGAAGTGATAGGAACGGCTATTGCAATCAATTTGCTGATTCCTCAAATTCCTTTGGTGGCAGGATGTGCACTCTCAATTGTAGATGTGCTTCTCATCCTCCTCTTTTACAAGCCTAATGGTAGTATGAGAGGGCTACGCGCCTTTGAAATGTTCGTCATGGTGCTCGTTCTAGGCGTGGTGATTTGTTTCTGTATTCAATTGAGCTTGATTGAGAATACCTCTGTGGGAGAAGTCTTCAAAGGATATCTACCTTCTAGTGCAATTGTAGAATCTGACGGGTAAGTCCCTTCATTCCCTGACTCTTACAATCATTGCTAATTTCTGCAGTCTCTACCAAGCCTGCGGTATCCTAGGCGCAACAGTGATGCCCCATTCCCTCTACCTAGGCTCCGGCATAGTTCAACCCCGGCTCAGAGAATACGACATAAAACACGGCCACGCCCAACCCTACACTGAAAGCAACTCCTCCGATTCCGAATCCACTCACAAAGACATCTACTACCCCTCCCTCAGCGCCATCAACTTCTGTCTCAAATACTCCATCCTCGAACTCTCCATCGCCCTCTTCACATTCGCCCTCTTCGTCAACTCCGCCATCCTCATCACAGCCGGCGCCTCCCTCTATGGCACCGACGCCGCCGACGCAGACCTCTTTGGCATCTACGCCCTCCTCTCCAAATCCATCGCCCCAGCAGCCGGAACCATCTTCGCCCTCGCCCTCCTCCTCTCCGGTATCAGCGCCGGAATCGTCTGCACCATCGCCGGCCAGATGGTCTCAGAAGGCGCGCTCAACTGGACCATCGCGCCCTGGCTCCGTCGTCTCATCACCCGAAGCATCAGTATCACACCAAGCATCATCATTGCCGGCGCCGTAGGCCGCGAAGGTCTATCCGCCGCGCTCAACGGGAGTCAAGTCGCGCTTTCCGTCTCCTTGCCGTTCATCAGCGCCCCGCTTATCTATTTCACCTGTCGTAACAAGTATATGACGGTTGGTGTGCATGCGCAGCGGGATGGCACGGCGGATACAGAGGGGCCGGAGGTGGAGACGAAGAAGATGCGGAATCATTGGATCACGGCCATCCTAGGCGTGCTGATCTGGCTGATTATTACGGTGATGAATATTGCTAATTTGGTGTTGTTGGGGTTGGGTGAGGGTGCATAGAATTGCGCTTGTGGGATGTGAGAGCGTGGTTGGTGGTAGTGGTCGACATTTGGGTGGTTGTATGAGCGTTGAGGATGTGAGTTGGCGATGTGGAGTGGAACGGATATGATACGGGTTGGAGCTAGGTCTCTGGAAGGAGTCTTGCTTGGAGAATGGAAAGGAAATAGCTACGAAGCAGCATTGCAATTGCTGAATACTCGATTTTTATAAATCACTCGTCTTTAGCAAAATAAAGATTTGTAGTCATTCCAAGACTTCATTACCTTGCATTTAAGCATTAACTGATACGTCTTCAAATCCCTCTAGCTACTCTAAAACCAAAAAAGATGCTGTCTGGATGTCACTAAGTACCTTGAAAACTATGTGATTGGTTTACAGCTTTGTTTATAAGCCTCTAATGGTAAAATTGCTTAAGCAGAGATGTCGTGAATACTATAACGATTTGAGGTTTTGACTGATAGGTTCACAGGGAATCCATACCTCTCAACCATTTTCCTCATCTGAACTGTTGATAACCATGTCTTAGAGGTCAGGAATCAACTTAGATACAATGGAAAGTGAGACACGGTAAAGGCAGAAGAGAGAGGAGGGATTTTTCAACCGCGGGGAAAGTGAATAGAATGGTAATGATGACCTGAAAGTGTCTTTGAGTTCTGCTAAGAGGAGAAAATTCACGTATAAGTAAGAGATGAGATACTCGTTTGTGGGTTATACTCACGAGCTAGTTTTATTCGAGACGGGATTTCGAGGTTTCTTTGTGTAGAAGGGGTTGATAATGTAAGTTGAATTTCAAGAGGTGAAGGTGTGGAGAAGAGTTAGTGTTTGTTTTAACTGAAGCCTATTCATTTCTATGCTGTGCTTGGCGATATCCGCTATTCCCTATTGGGGAAGAAAAACGCCGAACAGAGTAATGTAGAGATATTACTGCCTTTGGACGTGTGAAATGTGTATACGTTGTATAGCTGGCTGGTGGAGATGGAAGAGATTAGAGGTAAGATGTTAAGGAGTGTATTTCTAGGTAATGCTGACTATGAGATGTCGTTTTTTCGTGATGATGGCGAGTACGGAATTGCGGGTTCATGTTTTGAATGGGAGAATGAGGAGTTAGAAGGTGATAATGAGTGGGGCTTGATGGGATAAATAAGTCGGTAGGCGGTTCTGTTTAGTGATATATGTAATTACTATATGTGTTCGCTCGTATTTACATTTTTGGTATTAGGTCAAGTAACTATACAATTTCCCACACAAATTATCATACAACCCCCTTATCCACTTCATCATACATAATCACAACTCAACTCTTCTTCCCCTCCCTCTCCCCAAACCACCCCGGCACAAAAGGCTCAACCCTAACCTTCCTCCCCCCAACCTCCAACTCCACAACCCCCAACCCATCCAACCTCCAAAGCCCCAACCCCAAATTCCCTATGCCGCGTATCCACCGTCCCTTTCTCCCTGCACTAGTTACCCCCAACCCATTCATCCCCACATCCTCACCCTTAAACACCCACTCCTCCTTATCCCCCTCCAATCCACCCGCCCCCTCCCCCAAAACCCTCGTAGGCAAAATCCTCTTCCTCACAACCCCCGTATGATGCGTCCTAATCGTCAACTCCTGTCCCACATAACAGCCCTTCCTAAAATCTATCCCGCCCATAAGTTCGATATTACTCTCCAACGGCAATGCGCTCTCTTTAAGAATCTCTTGCTGGCCTTCCGGGATACCGCTCATGTACCTCCGAACAGTATAACTATCCTCCTCGACCTCCGGCGCGTCGAGTTCCGGTTTCTGCGATCCCGGCAACAGAAGTCTATGTCCAAATCCAGGCGCGCGCTCGTCGGGACATGTTACACCTCCTTCATTCATAGCAGGATCCCCACCCCAAGCCCCCCAAACACCCCACTCCCCCCCCTCTATCACCTTAACCTCAAACTTCCTCCGTAACTTATACTTCCTAATCCACCGCCCCAGCGCCTCCACCTCCGCACTATCACACTCGACAAACCACCCGTCCTGCCTCGGATACACGAAAACATCATAAAGTACTCTCCCTGGCGCATTCAGGAAAGCGGCGTAGAACCCTGTTGATCGCGGGACGGAGAGGTTTGCGGTGAGGGCGCCTTGGAGGTATGCTGTTGCGTCGGGGCCCGTGAGGGAGAGGAGGGCGCGGGAGGGGAGGGGGGCGTAGGCTTTTGATGGAGGGGTGGTGGTGGTGGTTGTGAAGGTGCGGTGAGGGAGACAGCGGGGACAGATGGAGGGGTTGGTTGGGAAGAGAGATCGTGGGAGACGGGTGAGTTTCATGGTGATGGTTTGGTTGTGGGTGTGTTGTTGTTGTTGTTGTTGTTGTGAAGGAGAGATGGATGGATGGTGACGTCGGGTGGGAAATTTTGCGTCAGCCTTGCGCGCAAGGCTTCAATTTTTATAATTTTCTATAATAATATTGAAGCAGCTCTGGAAAGCTGGAGGAGCTGCCGATTAATATGTGGTGTATAAACATTGGATTAGAGAAACACTTATTGGAAAATTCGAGAGGTCGTCTTCTCTTTTGAAGCGTTTTTCTTCTACAAGTTGTTCTCTATGTTCGGTCAAAGCAGCTAAACATTAATGATCTAAAAGCGTGGACAATCCACATCAATAGTACTACTTATCCGAAAGCATAGCTGACTTGAAAGCAATCCGCACATCTAATTCGCTATCATCTTAATACACAATGACATCCTTGTCAAAACCTATAACGTAGGAATATGATATACCCAACCCATTGATGTTACAATCCTATGCGCCTATACGAACAATTAATCTTTCGCCTTCTTTCCTACAAGTTTTCCCCTCTCTTCCTCATCACTCTCATCATCTGACCATCTATCTCCATCCTCACCAACTGCGAAAATCGTTTCCCCGTCAAGGCTATCACGAGGTATATCCCTAGCTGTGTTCGCGCCCGATGGAGCTTTTGCTTTGTTACCAGGCGCTGGGTCATATCTTGGTCCTTCTTGTCCTGTTTGGTTTCGGTCTCCTTTATGAGCTGCAGCATTCTCAATATCATCATCTTCATCATCCTCGGCTCCGAAATCCGCAATCTCAAATCCTTCATCATCTTGTGCTAATTCATCACTCATAGCGAATCTTCTGTTATTCGCCGTTGGTCTCCAGATATAAGCCACAAAGATGACATCTCCGAGATACACCAAGTTGAGCCATCCATCAAGAATGAACCAACGAGTTTGCCAGTGGAAGGGGACGAAGTCTGGGTCGCCAGTAGAAGCGAATGTAAAAGAGTTGAAGAAAAAGAATCCGAAGATGACACCAATTGAGGCCAGAATGCACCACCAGAGTTTTCGGTACATCATCTCTTTGACGGTCTGTTTTCGTTCCTTGAGATCCTTCATCGTTGCGCCCAAGGAGTTTAGAGTCCAGACGTAGAATGCTGTTAATGTGCCGGCTAGTGGAAGGATAACGAAAAGAACGAGCGGGCCTATATAATCAGCGTTGGACGATAACATATCTCGAATAACTTACCAGCATTCTCAGGAGAGATCGTTAGACTACCGACGGCATAAATCAATCCGAAAATGAAATGAGCACCTGCTAGCCATCGGACATAGACCATCGTCTTCCCTAGAGTGTGTTTTACAACACCATAGCCCATGCACACAATCAGTAGAAGGAAGAAAGAGAACGAGTTTCTTCCAGCATTTAGAATCGCAACAATGACCATCAGAGCTTTCGACCCGACATTGGACCCAGCACGGTTAAGGTAGTCTAGAAGCTGTTAGCGGAGGTCAGCAATAGTTTAGCGGTTTCCATACCATAAAATCCCCATGTCATCAGCATTTCAACTATAAGAAAAATGATAATTGCTGTAATGTAATTCTGGACCGGTACTAAAACTTATTAGCGATGACTCCTTTGAGCTAGAATTAGGTATCTTACATATATCAGACCTATGCTGTACATATAAGAAAGCCCAGAATCTAGAAACAATCAGCGGTGTCACAACGTTCGTACTCATATAACTTACGCTCCAATAACAGCATATACAATGGTAATTCCTCCATAAAATGGAAGCTTGGCGATTTCCGAAGCAGGTAATTCTCCATACGCATTCCGGAATTCAACCACCGCCTTGTATTTCACATCTTCTGGGAAGAATTGTGACGTTCCAACACAGTAGTACCCAGTCTTCTTGACACTGTAATTGATTGGCGCTCCCGGGTCTTTCAGATGAATCGCATCGGTCACCATGAGGCTTTTTGAGACATCTGTTATATTTGGCGCCAAGATAAATTCTCCGGTCTGGTTGGTATTGCAGTATTGACCTTGAATGGCTACATCGTCGCAAATGAATTGTTTCTGTCATCTCGATAAGTTTGTGTACTTGTGTAAGGGTTAATCCGGCATACCGTTTCCGTATCTGGATTCAGTGGCACCCCAATAAGGTCAAAGTCCTTCCACTCGAATATGACCATACTCGCTATTGGATCTGAATCATCTTGTATGTCCTCCTTTATGAACTTTACGAGGATATGAGGATCGACGGCTCCTCCCCAGCTACTCTTGCTGTACATGCCGGCGCATACTTGTCGATTCGCATCTTTCTCGTCCTGGAAACGGGATTAGCAGATCCCAGTACAGCTAATCCTCCAAACTGACTATCTTAGACTCTAATGCTCCGACTGTCGCGACTGACAACCCCAAAAGGGCAAGCCCTTGAAGCCAACTCCTCATGTTGGCTGTGAGCCTTCAAGGCTGGCACAATGTTCGTAGTGTATCCCAAGCCTCGAGGCGCGCAATTCGATGTGTAGAGTGGGTTGTATTTGTTATGCCATGCGGTATAGAAAGAAGTCTTGCAATAATTGATATCGAAACGAGCTGAATCGAGTTGTAGATTTCGAACTTGAAGGAGTAGAAACACAATTGAAGATTCCTACAGCCACTTCTGGACAGGCAACGTAACAACACACGGGGCGCTGCGGAAAGCTTGGACAAGGGTCGATGCACGACCCACATAATTTATTGTAGACTCAGCCTCGTCGCATTTCGTTTATACACCACTTCACTCACTACATTTACAACTCCATACAGACTACAAGCAATACAACAACTTTTTATTTAAATATTTATACTTGATTTAGTGTCCCTTGTATTGGGTAGTGATTAGACAAGGCTGTATCTCAAAATGCCTGGAGAGATACTTGCTCAAAATTCGAGCGACGCCCCATTGTGTCAGAGATGTGGTACAGAGGCTGCGACTCATAATGTTCGCTCAGAGGATGTGTGCAGGTTTGTATTCTGAATTTTGTATAGCAATCAGAACTAACTCTTGCATAGTAATTGCTTCTCCCAGTATGTACAAACCAAAACCATCAAACGGATGGAAACCTACCGGATCAGAGGATCATCTGCAAAGACACCAAGGAAACTTCTTTTCCCACTTTCCTTTGGCCCATCATCGGCGTCCTTGTTACATATATTAGATCAGCATCTCCGGGGTCAATATGATAGGATGAAGAGGACATCATACGAGTTGTATGTGGTACACATAAATGTATACGTCGACCCAGTGGATCGAAAGGATGCAGATGAAATGTTGGAGAAATACAAAACCAGATATCCTAGACACAATTACGCGATTTTCAATCTTGAAGAAGCGCTGGGGTTGGATGGTATAGATTGGAAGGCTCTTGGTTTGGAAAACTCCGACTCCATGGCACCATCAGCTGAACGATTGCAAAAGCTGCTTGGGTCCATGTCTTCTGCTACTTCCCGGTCAGATATTGTTTCTACATTACTCGCACGGCTCCTAGTGGACGTGGCGAAACGGAACAGCTGTGAAGGCACCCTATTTGGTGATTCTACAACTCGTCTTGCAGAGAAGACCTTGACAGAAACAGCCAAAGGAAGAGGATTTTCATTACCCTGGCAAATCTCTGATGGAACTTCACCACATGGAATCACCTTTTATTATCCATTAAGAGACATTTTAAAGAAGGAAATCATGTCTTTTTCTACACTTACCTCACCACCACTCACAGATCTGATCGTCCAGCCTCACCCCACTTCTCAAATTTCTGCCTCCTCGAAGCTGACCACGATCGACGATTTGATGGCCCAATATTTTGAGTCAGTAGAGGAGAACTTCCCGAGTATTGTGGCAAATGTGGTCCGAACTACTAGTAAGCTTCAGTCTCTACCGAATGAAACTACGGAGGCATGTGGGTTATGTGGACTTCCAGTAGCTGTTGGGACAGACGGTATTCATGGTTGGGGAGGTGACCAGAATTCGGAATCGCGGCCTGGTAAAGATGACACTTATCATGGTATTCTCTGCTACGGATGCTCGAGGTCTATGAACAGTTGAGGCCGTATACATTCTAACCCAACGAGGCATCTACACTTTCGACACATCTGAAGATGTCTTTTCCCAGCACCCGAATCCAACTCCCCGAAATGCATCCTGGTATTTATACAAAATGGCGAATCACTCCATTGATAAATTGAAACCTGGGTGGGTTTAAACTTGGTCTTTGATATTTGCAGGAAGGACTTTGTTCTCGAACTTGCGCATGAGCTTGTTGGTTTGCTCCGCCAAGCTCAGGGTTAAGATGGTATGAGGTAAAATTCTTGCCAGATGAGGCAAGAATCCTTTATATATGGCAAGCAGCCCCTCGGTCTTGACAGTCTTTGCAAGACAGTCGAAGACACCTTGGTAGAGGTTACCATTTTGGTTATACATCCGAGACATGATAGTATCTGATGGAAGTTAGTGACAGACTAGACGAGACGAAAGATGGATAGAGACTCACCTGGCGGGTGCATCACGCAACACACAACGAAACCACTCGCTGTACTACTAGCTAAATGTAATGCCGGTCCTTCGTCCATACCCAAGTGCTTTACTAATCTTCTCTTTGCAAAGAAATATGTAGGCAATTGGACCGAACTTCCAAATCCTGTCCGTACCATAGCAGCACCAACCCCTCTGTAAAGCCCTTTTGCGCCCTCCCCCTTGTATATCTGCCTCATTCCATCCACAGCATTTTTATATGCGTGCTGCGTTCCCACTGGCGCGAAAGGCGAGAAACTCTGTAACCTAGTCTTGACCAGGAAGAACGGACTTCCTGCCGCAGCGCCCAGAATCCCAGAACTTGCGCCCGCAAATATATTGACTCCCAAACTCTGTGTCGTCTTATCCGTGAATATCGAGGAGGTAATGGTCTGCCGTATAGGTTCGTAGAAACCTAATCTGCATCCATTGAGGATCATCTGGTAGATATATGCCGCGCCGATTCCCCTGTATATGCCCCGTACTCCCTCATTGCGAACGATAACCGACACGCCATGGATGGGCCCGCGGTACATACGAGGTTGTAATCCCTTCTCTTGAAGCTCGCCCTGCAATTGCATACTAAATCATTCTGTCAGCGGGGGTAGCGCATAGCTGAGGAGCTTGAGTAACTGACCGAATCTTGACTGTTTCGAATGGATGGGTTGCTGTCACGGCACCACACGCTGCTATGCCGCCAGCTACGAAAGCTCTAGAAACCGTCAATTACAACCACCACATACATCCCAGAGCGAACGTACCCCAGAGTCGTCGCCATCTCAAGCTCTCTCAACCTTCAACCCTCTAAGCTCCCGTTCCCCTAACAACTTATAAAGCCCAGCTCGTTTCGTCGCGGTTACGTAGGGGTGTCGGTTATGCAAGAAGGAAACTGGAAACCGGGCGACCTTATTAATGAGAGTATTTGTACAACAGTCTTGTCAGCTTGTACTCATTGCCCGTCTCCGTAATACCCTTGATTACGAGCGTCCTACTCAAAATGGAATACGAAATATAATTGCGAGTAAGGGCCGATGCCGAAGCCGGAGCTGCAGGTCTGGAAATCCTGGAGCTTGGTGTTGGGCGTCACGTGCGGGGAGCTTACCCCTGCGCTTGCTTTTGGATTGCCAAGAGCGTGGTTCTCAGGTCCCAAATTATCTTTCAATATATATTTCAGGAACAGTTGAGCTTATTGATTTATTAAAGACACGTGATAGTAATGGATTGATATCAATCAGTCCTGGTGGACAAGACTGAATTACAGCATCTTGAGCTCGTGTAAAGAAAATCGTCCCAATAATGGCTTCCACTCCCATGGCTATTGATTCGCCCTTGGGAGCAAATGGACGAGCTGCTGCAAGCGTGACAAAGGCATTACCTACAACGGCAAAAATCTCAGATGTGATATCCATCTTCAGACCTACCAAGGTGATTTCTCCTCCTTGAAATTTGAAAATACGACTAACATTATCTCTAGCTATTTCGCCGAGAACCAAAGTCCACCGCTAGCCACCCAAATCCACTACCGGCTACTATCACATCTCTGGACTTTAGTGGTGCGGGCGACTATGTACTCACATCTGAAAGTGATAATACTATGCACGTCTATGATGTAGCAAGAGGGAAACATCACAAGACATGTCTCAGTCAAAAGTACGGTGTCGGTAGTGCGATTTTTACACATAAGACGACGGATTCAAGTCCTTGTATTATCCACTCGGGTACTAAGATAAACCGTAAGTATAATACTATGAACTCAATTACATAGGCTAAGCAATTACAGATGACCTGAGATACCTCTCAACCCACGACATGAGCTACATCCGCTACTTCGACGGCCACGAGAAATACGTAACCAACATCGCCCTCCACCCGGGCCAAGACAACTTCCTCTCCTGCAGCGAAGACGACACAGTCCGCATCTGGGACGCAGGCACCAAAAATGCAGTCGGCAAACTCAATCTCAACGGCGCCTACCTCTCCGCCTGGGACCCCTCCGGCAACGTCTTCGCCGTCGCCTCACCAACCGCCCAATCAGTCCTCCTCTACGACTTCCGCAACTTCGACCGCGCTCCCTTCTCAACCTTCGACCTCCTAGCCCACTCTCAAGATGTAATCCCCAAAGGCATGAGCAAAGGCTGGTCCAAAATCGAGTTCTCCAACGACGGGAAATCCATCCTCGTCGCCACCACCGGCACCGGCCACATCCTCATCGACGCCTTCACCGGGTCCCTCAAAGCCATTCTCCGCCGCGACAGAGGCGGCGTCCGTCGTCTCGGCGCCGGCGATCATAACGCTGAACACATCGACGTTGACTCCACAGAATACCTCTACCCCAGCTCAGGCGACGCGTGTTTCACGCCCGACGGACGGTACGTCATGTCCGGTAGTCGTCGTGAGAATATCCTCGTGTGGGACACTCTTGCGCCGCCGGATTCTAATAAACATCTGAGACCGACGCATGAGTTGGAACATAAGGGCGATACGGCTGTTATTGCGTGGAATCCGCGGTTTAATATGTTTGCGACGGCGGATCGTGAGGTGGTGTTTTGGGTGCCGGATAAGGATTCGTGAGGGGAATAGAGAAGGAGTGTTTTAGTTCTGCTGGATACCCAAAATGGGCGGGTGATTGATGGCGTTGGGATTTTTGTAAAAGTTGAGGGTGGTGGGGTTTTGATGAGTGGCAGGCGGGATTTCGTAGAAATTGAGATGTTTGTCACTGCTTTTTAGCTTTTCTTCTGTGATGTTTTGAGGGTCTTGTTTGTCTTATTGAACAGATCTACCCGCGACCCATGGCCAAAGCCATGGCTCATAACGTTGCTTCTGTACAAAGTACACACGTCTAGCTCCTTATCAAATCTCATCCAAAATCCAACCCCCCTGAATATATAATTTATATCCAAATCATCTATCCCCCTCCCTCACCCCACCCCTCCTCTCCTTCTCCTTCCCCACCAAAGACCGAGTCGTACTACACAACCACACATCCGGCCCCACCATCTCATCCCCCTCCCCCCTATTCTCCTCGATCGTCCCCTCAATCTCCTTCGCTACCGCTCGGTTACTACTAATAGTCGTTCTTCCGCTCATCCAACCGTATATAATCACCGAACTATTTATATCAGACAGATTTTCTGCGATGGTCTTCGCTATCGGCGGTAACTCTTTTAGCGCGGCTGGGAGGTCGATGTCTACGACTTCGATTGGGAGACGCCAGGTGGCGGGGATGGTGTAGTCTGATAGTTTCTGGAACTCGGAATGGCGTTCACTAGGGCTGAGTTGTGTGTCGTGGTTTAGATCTATGAGAAGTTCTGTACGCCGTTTCTCACTGACAGTGCCGATTGTAGCGACGATTTCTTGCATTCGTACAGCTGCTTCACGGGTACAGACTAATTTCCTCCCATCGCACGCAGGCCAGAGACTACTTGGTAAGAGCTGTTCCTCGGATTCCATGGTTCGTTGACGTTGGATCATTTTGTTGTGCCAGTCTTGGGGTTCGACTCGGCCGTGGGAGAGATCGCTGGCGAATGCTAGGAGAACGGTACAATCCATGTTTAGGATTTCTGAGAATGTGTCGAAACGGTCTTGAACTAGATTTGACAATACATCTTCGAATACAGGCTCTTCTGGGACGTGCTCGCTTGTTTGAACGATAACGCCCATGTTTCGGATTTTTTGTAGCACCATTCCAACTTCTTTCGCTCGAGGTGTACTCGATATTCGTGGTAATACGAGCCGCACTTGAGGATGTCGATACCTCACTCTTGTCGCTTTCGCAGCTTTTACAAGATGTTCAACCTGTTTCAACAAGCCCTCTTTCTCATCATCATCGTCTTCCTCTTCCTCCCACTCCTCACTATCACTATCGCCTACCCATCCGGCTTTCGCCAAGTCCCAGATTATCCGTTTCTCGGTGTTACTAGAGACTTTCACCCATTCCAATCCATCTTGACACACTACATCCGCCACTGCGCTGTAACAACGATGTTTCGTGGTTCCGTGCTGCGAGATCTGCCCGTTTATGTTTGTGGTTCTAGACGTGGGATCCCAATAGTATTTCCGCGATAATGCAGTTAGGGAATGGCAGGATTTCGCAGTCGACCATACAGAGGCGTAGAACTGAAAGTTCGAGGAGCGAAGGGAGTGCACCGTTTTACTTGAGGAACCATCCTTTTTGACCAGCTACAATCACCCGCATTAGCAAACGCCCTTCTCGCAAGAGAGATCACGAGCACCTTATCAATCAATTTCATCTCCGCCTGCAACCCACTCCTAAATGTCCGTAGCTCAACCGTATGTTCTTTCCTCTGCTTCTTAAGATGCGCCTGAAATTGTTCCAGTTCGTTGAGCAGGAGTCGGCATCGCAATTGCATTTCCGTAGCCAACTTCTCCGCGTCAATCTCCTCGGGTGCTAAGGTCACCTCTGTGGCATCCGTCATCCCTGAGGTAAGGTCGTTCTCGGTGCTGGAGTCATCGATATCGAGGTGTGCCATTCTGTCACTGACGCGTCCGTGTAGAGGCGCATAGCCATTATCCTCCTGCCTGTCGGTCATGTTTGTTCGTGACGCGTGCTAGCAAATGCATAGCCGTCAGGGCAAATAGATGGCTAGAGATAATGATGTATCGATGGTCTTATCAGTAGAAGAGAAGCATGTTGACCTGACTCACTCCCGGTGTGCGATTGTTTTTCATCGAGTCATATTGAATGGTCGTCAGAAAATACAGTGCACCACCTTCCGCCAATCGCGGGGTTGACGAAAGCCCCAGCAGAACTCGCTTAGCAGAACTGCTCCCCTTAAGGAATCCCAAAGGGAGCCCTAACTTTGGACCAAGATTCTTTTAAGAAAGTATAAAAACAACAAATAAATACTTGAATAACATAATCTAGAAGCTCTTACATACCAATAAATAGAAACTCTCGTACTATCCCGTCTCCAAAAACTGGACCCCGATAGCTGGAGTTGGAAGGTAATTCAGCAATGATGTTGAGAAATGTGAAGTGACCCGTTGTTGGTGTTTTAAGCTTTTGCTTTTGCTTTGTTGAGCTACTTCACTGTCATAAGTATCAGGCAAAAATGAGATCAAATATGGATTTCGAATTCTGATTCGGTCATGCCTTCTTCCCAAATCCACCTACGGCATTACATGTCACGCTAATTCTATACTAGTCCTCTGAAAAGGAGAGTAGAGATATCAGCTGGGCAATTATTGATAGGTCAAAGTGCATGGTTTCTGGTTCCCGGGCAACTTTATCATCAAACTATTCAAGTGTAGGAGTCAACCAAGAATATCAATAGTGAAAAAGACAAATGACTTCCGAGCACATGACGATTCTAAAAAACAAGACTAAAGCAACTTTTTATTGTTCAATTCGAAAGTATCGTTCCATGATATTTGGTGAAGTGTAGGGGTTTGTTTTCAAACCTTAGCTGATGTTTTTCTAGGGATAAACTGTAAAATGATCACAATAAATCGCTGAGAGATATGTGTTGACATGATTACAACACGTAAACTATAATGTACCGGAGTACAGATACGAAGTCTTGAGGTGACATTTTCCAGACTCCCACCTCCACACATGGATGTCAATGATGACATCGCTCTCACGATATGCGAAGTACTACGGAGCCTATTCGCTTGAGGCACGATCGTTTCGTCATAAGGAACTTATTATGTTTCACTACGAAGTGCATATTCTGAAATGTCAGCGTCTGATATGCTAGGACGTAATCGAAGACGGGTCATGTTGGCAATATGCTTAATTTCAAGATTTAGTAAACACCGAGAAGAGCCCTGTGACACGATTGTCGTCTCCTCAGATTTCTTGCAGATGTTACTTGAGGGTTGATTCTCTGATCACAGGTACTCTGTAGCTTGCTGCTTTCGCTTATTTCAGGGGTAGGTGTTTTACAAGCCGAACTCAGAATTACGAAAGGATCTGGACTCTCGGGCCTACAGTTTCTGGGGACCAGACCCCAGAACCCGATCGCGAAAGATATTCTAAACCATTCCCCGGGAATCCTAGAATCTCTTGAAATGCTGGGGTAAATTGACGATTCATCTCAAAGGAGTCATCGTTAGAACATTGGATTTCAGAAAACGGGTATCAGAAAATACTCATAATGAGTTATGCAATCTGAGGATTTTAGATCCGAGAAAGGTACATTCGCCGTTCGGTCAGTGACATGAGTTGCCACAATACGCAAGACAGTACGCAAGACATAGGACACTGACTATCCTACCTCCGTACGCTCTCACAACTCATGGGACTTAAGCGAGCAAGAACGACCTTTATCCACTCTTGTCACATCCCTGTTGGGAAACTGTAGAAAATCGACTCACACGGAGAAAAGCATTGATAAACGCGAACGCGAGATTTTTCCGATACACAGCATGTATTGAGCGGGACTGCGGACCACGTAGCCGACTAAAAGAAGCCTACTGGTATGTCGCAAAGCGATAGAGATACCAATCTTATTTCATCATCAATGATTATTCTATCAACATTTGCTGATTAAAAAGGTTTACAGCCCGGCACATCGAGCGTCGTCTGCCTAGAAATTCGTCGTCGTCTCCGGCGAAGCCGTTATCGCTAGATTCAAAAAAGCTTGAGGCGTGCAAGCCTTGCACCCGCATACGCCAGAAGCTTAGCTGTCGATTTGATGGAAGCCACAAGCCCTATGGTCTGATCTGAAGAAACGCAAGATCTGAGTGGTTGGTGGTAGATTGTCAATGTAAGCACTTGCCCACCCCACTCCTATCGGTCAATTAAGCGACAAAACAACACGATGCCATTTGATATCTTCGCGTGGCTGAGCCGCAAGAAACGGGTCACTTTTTTTTCCCCTGTCTCAACATCCAGATTACCCAAATAGGAAATTCAGGATGTTGAAGTGCTATGTGACAGTGATGTGTTGTTGCGATATAATTCTTCATATATATGATTGCTGTCCGTCGAGGCAAAATGGTTCATTCTTGCCATTGGAATATTTATTTGCTAAAGTCAATTTGTTCATCCGCTTGAAGATATATTCGTCTTTAGCTCCAAAAAATCCTCTCTTCGCTATTTCTTCCAAGAAAAAAGTTCCGGTTGCAGAATGACCCTTACCTATCGCAATGGCCTCTCAATTGGAGAGATTATTGTTTACAGCCCTGCGTTACTCGCCTCAATCTATCTGATGATTAGACATGGGCTCAGTAGATCTGCAGGCTGGTATTTCTTGGTCATTTTCTCGCTGGCTCGCATCATTGGAAGCTCCATGCAACTGGCAACTATCAACGATCCTACCTCAGTTTCTCTTCAGTCCGGCTCGGCAATCCTTCTCAATATCGGCTTCTCACCTCTGATGCTCGCTACGCTCGGGCTTCTCTCTCGCCTCGTCGCCAATATCGAAAAGTCGACCCGGATGATTATCACAACCCGACACCTGAAGATGATCGAGACAATCATCTCTGTAGGGTTGATTTTGGGGATAGTCGGGGGTATCGAATCCGGGGAAGATGCTTCTAAACCGCCATACCATTACGCAATTCATACTTTGACAAAAGTCAGCGTCATACTCTTCATCATCTCTTACGCCGCTACCGTTCTTGCAACGATTCTTACTTCTTTCCATGTCCCTGCTGCCGACGCAGGTGAACATCGAATCCTATACGCGGTTGGATTCTCCCTTCCGTTCCTCCTCATTCGCTTGATATACTCCTGCTTCAGCACTTTCACCCATAACAAGCATTTCGGTGTTCTCAGCGGCTCGCCTACAGTACTTCTTTGTGTCGCACTCCTCGAGGAGTTGATAGTAACCGTTACCTACCTGTCTATCGGAATGACGCTGGCGGTTGTGCCCAAGCCGCAGGTTGGCTCATATGAAGAGGGTGGAAATCAGAGTAACCCACCAAAGCAAGATAACGTCGTGTTGCGAATTGCCAAACGAACTATTATTGGAAGATTAGTCATGGCGTTGATTCCGAGTAAGCAGAAAGATGTGGAGATGCAGACACATACAGAACACATCCAGAAGTGAAATCTCAAAGGAAGTTTGGATGTTGGGGTACCTTGGGAATCACATTGCTCGTGAGTAGTGTGACAGATAATTTGAAGTAAGGATTATTATAACATGCATAGAGCGGGTGTTTTGGACAGTTGGTGGAGTTTGTATCTTTTTGCGCACAGATATTTGCAACTTATCTGGTCAATGTATAGACAATTAAATCTTTGAGCAAACCTTGCTGTGCATCAAAAAGGTTCGGGCAATAGTGAACACTCATTACCTTCACTTTGTAAAATGGACCAGACAGCCAATTCAATCCACCTAGTGAATCATAAACAGTCATATTAAGTTCGGTTTACTCGCATCCTTCACCCTTCCAAATACCACTTTTGATTCGTTGGAAGCCATCCAGAGTCCCAAGAAGCCGATCTATACCTCAAATATGCCATACAAACAGCCCAGCTCGAGCTTGCACTTGCGGGGAGGTGGCAAGGATGACGAAGAAGTTAACACATGGGGCGATTTGGAACAGGAGTTGGCTTGGCTTGATTCCCAATTTGATGCCATAGAAAAGGAGGAGGGGGAGAGGAAACGCCAAAAAAAGACGCAAGAGGAAGATATTCAAGGTGAGCACCTAACGCTCATGAGCGACAGATAAACTTTCCAAATGTTAGGCCACCAGCTGACTCCAAGACTTTGTGATAGATACGAGGAGCGAAGTCGAAATGAGAATGTTACAATTACAGGACAAAATAAAACTTGCGAAGGACGACGAAAAATGCGCTCGGGAACTGTCGGAGAAGGATGTAGATGGAGTTCAAGATAATGAGGGAAGGACAGGGAAAGAAAAGGAGGTTTACGAGACTCGCCAGAGGGATGTCAACTTTCACGAAGCGCGCGTCAAGGGATGAATTGAAGACCTGAAGAACCTTGAGGGGGAGATGTCAAGACACGATAGTACTGAGCCTATAAGATCTGTGGAAACTCGGGAGTAGAATGAATTTGTGCAGGATGATGGTACCATGGCCAAAGCTATAGATGAAAATATCGAGAGTTGTATTGTGGTATTAAAGAATTGGAATGATGATTAGCAAGCCAATACTTGAAAAGGAAAAATAGTAATATCGACCCATTGAGAGAATGCTCGCTAGGGACCATTAGTGCTGGGGTAGAAAAGAGACTGTTGTGATGGAGACAGTATAGACTCATGGTTTACCAAAACCATCTTAGTGATGATGGGATTTTGGCGTGTAAGAAATCAGCCAATTGCTCAGAGAACTACTACACAAACGACTGATTCTTTATCGGATATAAGTCTACTATTGAAAGTTTGCTGATGTGCAAACCTCTCGTATCACACTCAACATCTCAAATCGAAGTATCAAACAACAAACTTTCAAAAGCGTACTTAAACCTCCTCTTTCCTACTTATCAAACATAGCCAACGAGAAATTGATACAACCAGAAAGTCAAAGCACAAATATCAAAGCTTTTTCACCACGACATAATGAATGAACCACCGAAGAAAAAGCAGCGAAAACATCACGAAGGAAACCTTGACGTTGAAGAATTGAAGCGAAAACTTGAGATCTTGCGAAAAGAAAAGGAAGAGGTGGCTTCTGAATTCGACGACAGGATTAAGAAAGATAAGGAGGTTGCCATGAACAAAATCGGGGATATGACTAAATTGAAGGAGGAGATCGAGGCGCTTGAGTCGGAAATTAGGGAGCTTGAAGAATCTGTTGAGCAAGATGAGGGGATAGGGCGGGATGGAGCTAAATCTTGAGGACAGTGTGGAGATCTGGAGGTAATTGGAGATGAGGTATCGGATGTTGTGCATTGGAAGCTGTAGAAGATTGATGCAAAAGGAAAGGGTATACATGCATTCGTTGGTGCTGCGATCTAGCCGAAAAAACCTTGCATTCAGAATGGAGTAGACAAAGTCCTTGCTACTATCTAGGCTGAGAAACATCAAAACATTATGTGGAAAACCGTTCTTGTTCGTATCACCACTGTCACAAAGAGACTCGTCTATCCGACAAAGCCCATGTTGTAATAATCTAGAGAACAAGACCCCCTCAAGCATTAAGGCCAACGACTGTTGCCGACCTAAAACAAAGACAATGAACAATCCTCTCTAAACAAGATGTAGCATCACAGTGTTATGTCTTCCAAAATTTAGAAGTTCATCTGAGACTTTTGACACAATAAGTAAGATATCCTTCAACTTTAAACTATCTAAATGTACGGCGGACACCCAGGAAACTTTTCATTATATACCCCCAAACAGAAAATGGAGGACGCATCTTCAACATCCTCCCACTCAAAACCCACAACAAAGAAGCAAATCCCACCATACCTGAGGGCGCCACCAGTAGTTTCTTCTTCGTCAAGCCCAGCAACAAAGGAGCAGATCCTCGCTAAACTAAAGAACATCACAAGCCACGGGGAAATGGCCAGACACAACTACGACCTTGCGTATAAGATGCTCATCGAGCTCAAAGACGGTTATGTAGGGGGCGAGAACGAGGAAATCATAAACAAAGCCGTAGAGAGGGTCGAACTTTTCGGCGAAAGGTTGAGAGATTATGAAGTTGAATTCGTTTTGCTGCAAATGCAGCTGGACGAGATGATGGAGATAAGTTCTTGATTTACTGTGGTGTGCTCTTTATCTCCATGAAATTCTATCAGGGGGTAAGTTGATGCGGATGTGAATGAAGAATCAAGCACTCCTTGCAAGATATACTACATCTTAGAACAGGGAAACCCAGCACGATGAGTTTTGAGCACTAAGATCAGAACTCAAAGAATAGAGAATTAACAGAAATATAGAGCATATCTTGAATTACATTTGAAATTAACACAGTCTCACTAATCCCTGTGCAAGTGGAAAGTTTTGTTACCACTAATAATACCTAAGCGAGAATGAACATTTGGGTCGGCCAATTCTATTCCCTACGCGAACTTCCACTGAACTTCTTTCCCAGGAATTCCCCTTCAGAACTTTCATGATGCTAATTTAGAGATGAACCCAGAAATTTAAGAGCTCATAGAATATCCGATTAATGTAGCCGTTGAAGTGTTGATTGGAACATTGACCGAATTCAACGCTATCATCTACATGCCTATAGAGAACCACCAGTTTCAAATCTCAAGGTGAATTGAATATCAAATTTCTCATTAAATACAAGTAGCATACCCAAAATGAAACCATCAATCGTGAATTCCGATCTTGAGTCTACAAAACCCAGCCAGGGTGACATACACACTCCTGCAATTTTATCATACCGCATATTTCTCGTTCATATATGCAACCGTAAACATGGTACCAATCCCTATCTCATCATACCTCTCATCTTACAAAATCACTAACCCTCCCTAGGCCTTCGGCACTTCCAAACAAACCGCACGCAAGCCAGTACCAACCTCACACAGCGAACCGACCAGAAAGGATGTCCAAGGAATGCTACTAGCCATGGAGCCGCAATTGATCAAGGCCAGAAATGACTACGCGACCGCAGAAGACCAAGTCAAAACACATGCTTGGAAGTACGGAGCTCAGAAAGAAAAGGCGGCTGCTAAGGCAAATAAAGAGAAGTGTGCGACCGTTTTGGATAATACCGTTAAGACACATGCGAGACTTGTTGAGCTTCTTTCTACGCCTGGAAGACTCAAGGGATAATTCGATGGTTGGCGTTTGGAGTATGGCGTTTTTGGGCTTTGAATTTGGATTGTTTTGGGAGGATTTTTTGGTGAAGGACTTTTGGTTGAACCGTATATTCACCTAGAATTGAATTCAAGCTCAGAATCGCCTTTCACAGTGTCAATCTTTTGTTTGCTTGCAAACTTCATAATAATAATGACTAAATATGTTTAATACTATTCTTTCAGTTCTTTTCAATCTTCAGATTTTGATCAAACATAGAAAGTTTACCAATCATTAGCTTTTATGTACAACATGTATTTGCAGCTATTTTATAACCGAAGATGTACGCGTAGTTGAGTAGCTTATGAGTCAACTCATTTGCTATTCTTACGTTTCGCAACGAAGAAGGATGATGATTTAATTGATAGTCATAGATTAAACTCTCTTAAAAGCTATATATACAGATGAGTTTAATGGCAGCTTCAAATGATTGAAATCTACACATCTATTCTCAAAGGCAGGGAAAGAGTGCTATTTTTCTCACTATACTTTAACAACAAAATTATGACAGGGTCTTTATGCAAAATATCTCCAATATCTGAGAAACAAGAATCAACACCTCCGGTAGACCAAAACGAAAAGCGGAGATGTATTTTGAGAGAGATCAAATCAACCCAAGAAGCCTATGACGCAGAAAAACGAATGATAAAATTCTTGTGCATGAATAAGGCAAGCGATGACAAAATCCAAGCTGCGAAGCGAAGAGAATCTGTGCTAGAGGAGCATTTAGAAAAATGGAAGAAACGGTACTATGAATTTGAGAAAGAGAATGCTGGAGAGGAAAGCGAGGCTAGAGATGCTGACAAGTATTCTGATTCACTACGATGTAATTCTTAGGTAGAGGAGGAGGATGAGAAGCAAAAGGTCGGAGATAATGAATGTTGAGAGACTTGATTTTAAGACGAAGGTTATCTGGCAATTCCATGTGCTGTAACTTCATCTCAGTTCTTGAACCCTGCTACTTTTAAGCGAGATTGATATGAGAAATCCTAAATGTAGATTTAATTCGAATGACATGAACTTTTGTAAAGTAATCAAAGGGTCAAAGAAGGAGTGAATCAATCATCTCGTGACTCTTGCCGATAAGTTCAAGGCAGCATGTGAGGGCATTTGGTATCAGTCATGGTGGACGATCGACTGGCTCTTTGCTGACTGTTACTCAACTGCCAGTGTTTGTGGCAAAAAAACACAGACGCTCTAGTTATGGAAACATCAGGAGTAGCATTGGAAACAGCAATTACTTGAATCCGTATATTTGTCATGAGATATCTCTGGATTACTTAGACTGCCTACCTTTCTGACACTGACGAGTAACGAGAGCTGAGACTTGTCATGACATGTTGCTTTGGCGGTTTAAGTGAGGTCAATCAAAACGATCTATGACTTTGTATTACTCCCACAATTTTTGTTGAACCACCCTTAACCTTTATATATCTGCCAGTTCTGGCCTTCTACCTTTGTTTCATTTCGTATCCATTATCTTAAAATCAAAGCTTGGTCAAGTTACTAGTACAGACAATTAAACCAAAAGTCAGAATATTAACTACCATGTCTACACCACCAACCCACCCACAACCTGTAAACCAACCTGACACCGAAAGAGAAATGGAAGAATTTATGAGCACCGCAATTAGATCAATCGTTAAATACGATGGATTTAACAGCTCCGCTAATAGTCAAGCTCAGGAATATCTTGTCACAGGAGTGCTCACTGCACAGGATAAAAATTCATCGACGGATCCTTTGGCGCGAGCGAACTTTTTCAAGCAAGGGTTCGAAGAATTGCTCAGTGCGTATGAGGAGTTGAAGTGTGTGGTTGAAAAGTGGGAAGGAAAATTGGTAGGCTTCAAATGGTATGGGGGCCCTTTCGGTATATAAAGAAGGGCTTGCATTTGAAGACTTTGGTCATTGTAATGGGAATCTGTAGGCAGAAAGTGGAGGTTGAATAGGAGGGAATTTGAAGGAGCGGTTTAGGATTCCCTTCTGGTACCACAATATGATGTGTTGTTACCTTGCGTTTCTTGTATGAGGTAGTTACGAATGTAAATCTACCTCTTGACGTACCTTATGCGATACTAGGATCTTTGAAAAAAAAACGTTAAGGCTTAAGAGTGATGTTTAAGAGTAAGCAATAGTTCAGTTAATAGATATTAAAATATTATATAAAACAATGAGTGTAAATCCTGAGAATAATAGTTTTACTCTTCGCTGACTATTGTATGACAGAAACAATGCTTGTGGCAACTGAATATATGGACAAGTTATGTAAGAAGTGTTATAACTACAAGTGTAAAAAGTAGTCAAACATGGCTTTGTCTTGATGTCACAGCGAGATTTTCGCCAACTATTCTAGACTCTTTATATCATGACGAGCCATGAATTCCTCTGTAATATCTGCTCACCTATATATCATTTCGTTTTCCACACATATTTCCCTAACTGCCCAACTGGCTAGCTTTTCCTTACAACAGCACCACCTTCTTTTCAACAACCCCCCCCCCGGGGGAAATTCCCATGAACCGCCAGACTCAACCCCAAATGATCGGCCCCTTCCGTCCCATGCGTCTCCACGCCCGACCCGAAATACCCAGCTCATCACGTCCCCAACGACAACCACCCACAAAATCCGGCTTGGAAAATTCCATGCAAGCCATCATCAACACCATCGATACATGGAACTCGCGGAACTATTGGGCAGACTTAAACGTTTACGACCTACTTGAAAGGAAAAGAACAATTGATGTTGGTATGCTTGTGCCGGTGAGAGGGGTTGATTTTGAGAGACGGGAATTTTTCGAGAAAGGACGGCAAAAACTAATCGCCGAGTATAAGAAATTGAAGAGTTTGTGTGAGAAGTTTGATGATATATTAGGGGAGATGAGTTAGGAGGGTCCGTTTGATTTGGATTGGTATGGCAATTGACGCGAAGTGTTTTCTAACATCTTTCAAGAATCAGATTAGTTGCACTCACCAGTTACTTTCAAGTTCTCAGTTTCATATTTACCTTCATTTTGAAGTATTTCTGGGATCCATTAAAGGTAAATCATAGATTTTCAGACTCCCTAAACCTCTAAATTGAGAACTCTTACCGCATTCCCTCCCAACGCTCCCTCCGCACTCTCACTCCCATCCCCCAACGCGCCCGCAATAGCCTGATAATTCGTTTCCACACTCGCCCACTTCCCACCCTCCTCCCCCAGCGGCGGGAAAAACGGATTATCAGTCCCAAACATGATTCTATCCTCTCCACTCGCCTGTATCGCAGCTCTCAACCCAACCTCACTGTAAACCACCGCATCCAGATAAATATTCGTCTTCAACACATCCCACACCGTTTTCCTGCCCTTGCCTAATTTGCCCTCAGCTTTCAAATGCGCATCATGCTCAATACAACTCTCAATTCTTCCCGCCAAAAACGGCAAAGTCCCACCAGAATGCGCCAGAATCATCTGCAACTCCGGGACTTTCTCAAACACACCCGCTAATATCATCCTCGTGACCGCAATGGTCGTTTCCAGCGGAAACCCTAGAGCCAGTGGTAAAACGTGACCATAATCATTCGCACGCTCTCCCCAAACCGAACTTGGAAGCCCATAATGCGGATGCAAGAAAATCGGCAATTTCGCATCTTGCAACGCCTGGAATATAGGAAGCAGTTCCGGATCATCCAATCCCTTTCCCAAGCCTGTCGTTCCCAGAATGATACCTCTCATATACTTCAACCCCTTTAACCGCTTAATCTCCTCCCCGATAACCTCCGCACCGCCACTCAACGGCAGCGTTCCAAATGCGAATAATCGTCCCGGAAACTTCGCACACTCAGCATCCACCTCATCGTTGATGCTTCTCGCCGCCTCGGCTGCATCAGCTGGGTCGACCCAATCTAACCACGGATTTGCGAGAGAGATGACGGATATGTCTATCCCGTGGACGTCCATGAATTTTATCTTTTCATCAATGGAGTAGTATTCCGGACCGACTGGACGGCCTCTGGAGGTGGATTCTGTGTCTTCGGCGGGGAGGATCACGAGACGGTGGGATGTTGAGGGTGGGAAGGTTCTTATGTAGGGGATAGACGTGCGGGATTTTAGGAGGGTTATGTAGGAGGGCGGGTAGACGTGGGTGTGGATGTCTACCAAGGGGGATTTTGAGAGGGACATCTTGAGGTGTTATGAGGAGAGTCGAGGGGAGCTGAGAAAAGATGTGTTGGGAACAAGTGGTGTGAGTCGATATGAGTGAAAGGTCCATGTAAGTTTGAGAATATAATATTCGTCTCGCTTAAGAAAGGGTTCAAGAGTGGAATAGGGGTCGTATCTGTTGCTAGCGGGGTTGCTATTATCAAGCAGCTAAGCTTTAAAGCAGCGCTAGATATTGAATCTGATATTGGGACATCCACCCCCAATTAAGATTTTGTTTTTACTACAACGTATCTCACCGACAACTTAATTACACTTAAATAGATACCTTCCAGAAAATCAAAAATCCCACAATTTCCTCACTGAAAACACAAGTGCTATCCCTCAAAACACCGCCGCTTTCCCCTTATCACCCCGCCGTCTGCCCCGCATGATAAGAGACGACTCCCAAGAACCATCCCACCTACCACATCCAGCGATATGCACAACACATGCGATCTCCCATCAACGGATTGCGGCTCCCTCCGCAGACGATATAAACTTTGAATGGACGTCCCTTGCTTTGTCCTGGCGACAAATTTCGTTCCGTTCCCATAAGTAAACATATTTCCTTTGTACGTGCCAAACCAACACCATCATCATGGCATCCTCAACGAGTGCTGTAAACAGCAATAACCTCGTTATCCCAGTAAGTCATCAAGAGCTCTAAAGAAAGAATAAAACTGACCTCGACCCAGCTAGTAAACTTCTCCCACTTCCTCCACGGCACGCCCTCCCAACGCCTCTCAACCGCGCAAGCTATCCTCCACGGTTTCCAAACCGCCGGCTTCATCTACCTAACCCACACACCGATCCCTCCCTCCACCCTCCAAACCACCTTCAAAACATCCGCATCCTTCTTCTCGCGCTCGCAACCCTACAAAGAAGCGCTGGGCTGGACAACCCCCGAATCAAACCGGGGCTACGTCTCCCACGGGCGCGAAAAAGTAAGCACGCTCCTCGACAAAGACTCCGTGGCTGCGTCCCGCGCGCAGGCACCAGACTTAAAAGAGAGTTTCGAGATTGGGCGGGAGGGCGCGGAGGGGGCGCCTAATAACTGGCCCGACGATGATTCCGAGTTTAAAGGGGTGATGACTGGGTTTTTCGGGTTGTGTAAGGAATTGCATGTGCAGGTAATGCGCGCGATAGCCGTGGGGATGGGGTTGGAGGAGGGGTATTTCGATGGGTATACGGATGTGGGGGATAATACGCTGCGGTTGTTGCATTATCCTGAGGTGAAGAAGGATGTGTTTGCGAAGAATAAGATGCAGGTTAGGGCGGGGGAGCATACGGACTATGGGAGTATCACGCTGTTGTTCCAGGATGAGAGGGGTGGGTTGCAGGTTAAGAGTCCGGATGGCACGTTTGTGGATGCGACGCCGATTCCTGGGACGGTGGTGGTTAATGCGGGGGATCTGTTGGCGAGGTGGAGTAATGATACGATTAAGAGTACGTTGCATAGGGTGGTCGAACCGCCTGCGCCGGAGGAGGGTGATGTGCATCCGCCGAGATATAGTATCGCTTATTTCTGTAATCCGAATTTTGAGAGGAGGATTGAGGCGATTGAGGGGACGTATGGGATGGGGCGGGAGAGGAAGTATGAGGGGATCAATTCGGGGGAGTATTTGGTGCAGAGGTTGGCTGCTACTTATTAGGGTTTGAATGGGAGTTGAGTTGGTTTTGGTTGGTATTTTGATGATATCTAGCTATGTTTATTAATGCAAAATCAAGCAAGATTATTATGATACCCATCATCCATCTATCATGCAATTTCCCGAATATGTCAGATAACCATATCCCATCCCACAAGCGCCCACGCCATTTCTACCAACCACTCTGAACTATACCTTTCCACAGAATGATGAACATCATCAGGAATAGCAGTATCCTCTGACGGCGGTGGGGGCAGTCGCAGAGTTTCTAAGCTCACTCCACCAGTTGAATTGTTGATGAGTGTACTTTGAAGAAGCTTTCTCGCTTTGGAAATTAGATCGCCTTTTCCATCCTTGCTCATATTCGATCGTCCCGCTGCTAGAACTTGGGAGATCAATTCCGTTTTAGTCGCTCCGCCAATGGCTGTGTACAGTATTTGGATAATGTACCGAGATTCGAACTTTGCAGTACAAACTTCCCCGCTTTGTGTATTTTCTGTTACTTTTCCTTCGTTTTTGGATGATGCCACATGCTCGTTGAAGACGGCAACAGAAACGAGTTTTCCGGTGTGCTGCAGAATGGTGTATAGGATCCCCTCAAGAAGCTCGCTATGACCAGGTTTGCCTGCCTCCCATTCCAACCCTGCTAGCATTGATGTAATTGAGATGGCGAGATGCTTGTTGACAATATATTCTATGCCATCATGCCCATTCGATCCTTGTCTCCTCGGCGCTTTACTCTCCTTGTATTCCTGTGCCAGGCTTATGTCATGTAAGAATGCAATTGCTTTTTGGATATATCTCGTCATTCTGTATATTATATCATTCTTCTTTGTCCTTCCAAGCATGGTTCTGCAAATCTCATTCAATGAATCGAAACATAGCTGGTAACCCAGACTGAGTTGGTGCATAAAGTGTTCAAAAACTCTCAGTATCCGGGGATTGACATTAGCTGATGAAACGAGCCGAAGAGGCGTACAACAATCAAGTAAATGGGTTTCGAGAAGTGCCAGTAGCTTATTGGCATGATCTATTGTATCAACCAGATAGTCAAGGTCGTTTCCTACGAGGGCAGTAATCTTTTCAAGATTTCCACGTTGACGATTGATTCGAAACACTAGAGTGCATTGATTAGTTGCGATGAAAAAACCACATAGAGGGAGAAGGTACTCACCACAGCTACTCATGCGGAGGAGATGATTGTCTGTGGCAGATTCCGTGATACTCAAGTCGAGCGGTAAAGGACCTTCATCGTAAGGTGGTTTTCTTTTCTCGGCGCCACTACGAATAGCATTTTCTATTAGTTGCTCCACCGTAGAAATGTGCTGGCTGGAAGACTCGCTCTGATGAGCAGAATCTTCAAGCAAGCGATTCGCTTCCTGCAACCGATTGAGTTTGTCCTCGAGGAATTCCTTCTCCTGGTGGATGTGTTGATATTGGTCCTTCCAGAAGCTTGTACTATCAACATAACGATGCTCATCTTCTTGAACATTATTACCGGTTTTGATACGTTTGCGAAGTTGTTGACAGTAATCTAATTTAAGATCAGAAAGTTCAACGGCAGACAATGGGATGTATACCTGACGTAGAAAGTTGTTCTGGACGAGACTTTGAAATGGTAAGTGCAAGTGCTAATTGACTCTGAGTAAATGTTGGCTTCTTTTCGGGTGCATATGCCGGTGCAGTTGATTTATTTGGTGGTGGAATAGTTTTAAGCGCAAGTACACTCTGCGAAGGTTGGGAGGAGCTTCTACTCGAGGATGACCGAGAAATGAGCTTTTGGCTTGGTTTTTTCGTTTGTGGCGGAGCGGTCTTTGAGTGAAGCTTTCTTTTTGGTGGTGCAGGTCGAGGGGAACCAGATGTTGATCGATTTGCTCGAGGAAGTATTGTGGATTGCCGAGCTGTGCTCGACAATTGAGCTGTTGTTTTTGATACATTTGTTTCCTTGTTAATCATCATGCCTGTTTGAATAGGAAATACAACATAAAATAGATATACCAGTGCAGGAAAGAAAGAGGATTGAGACTCTATGGAATACTCCAAGTGATGTTTGTGAAAGTAAACAAAGATGGACGAATCCTCGGGCCGTCCAAACCCAGAGGGTCGGGAGCACCTAGGCACCCGTACACCTCGGGACAGGAGGCGAGTCCCAGACAGCTGATATGCACTGAACTCCGAGAACTGAATACTATGCTACAAGTCTTTTCAAACCCGTGAAAATCCAAGAATATTCGTCATGCTGGAGTTGACAGATGTGTGATCATGCTGCTACAAGACGCTTTCGACGAAGCTCCAGCTTGCTACGCGCGTCAAATACCATACTATCACGGTATCACCTACCTAGGTACTTACTGTTTCGATCTCTTCCGCCACAGCGAGATCACATCTGACATTACCATTATTATTAACAGGTCAAACTGAACGGAGTGCCAAGAAATGGCTCAGCAAGAAGCCCATGTTGATCGCCATAGTGAAAGTCATCTGTAAGAACTTTCAAGTTTGTAGAAACGAGATCCAGCACAGTTTCGGAGTGTTTGATCGGGACGATATGCTTCGAAGTACCTAGGTATGATGAAAGTTCAGTTGTTGTAGTTGAACCGCATGTCTTGGCGCGGTCTGCAAGTAATTCCGAACTTGACCCGAGTTGCTTTCCTTCCGGGTCATATTTCCCGTCGCGTTCGAATCATACCCTCGTCAACAAAAATAATCTCGGGCAATCGACACGATGCCCAACGACGAGTTTTTGAAGTGGACGACCAGTGAGGTCGACTTCTACGAGCTTCTTGGTCTTACGTTCGAGCAGTGCTCTGAATCAGAACTGCGACGCGCATACCGGAAAACCGCTTTAAAATACCATCCCGATAAAGTTGGAAAGGATTTCGATCCAGATAAATACGAGCTCTTCCAGGCTGCGAACGAAGTGCTCAGCGATCCGGAGCTGAAAGCCAAATATGATAACCACCGGAACGCGAAACTGCTGCGGCAGAGGGCGAATGATTTATTTGAAGGCAAGAGGAGGCAAATGAAAGAGGATTTGGAAGCTGCTGAAAGAGGAGGAGCTGCTGCTGGCGTAAAAAGATCGAGAGAGGAAGATTCACAGGATCAGGAATTTCGTAGATTGGCTGAAGAGGGTAGGAAACGAAGGGCAGCGAGAGCTTCGATGATGGCAGATTTCAAAGTTGATGTGCCTTCATCACCAGCGCCATCAGAAGCGAAGAAAGCGCCCGAGGATATTCCAATAAAAAAAGTCGATCCCGAGCCAGAAGACGGCAGAGAGGCAGAATTGGAGCGACGAATACAAGAAGCTCGCGAAGCCAAAGCCAAAAGAAAAGCTGACAAGAAGGCCCGGAAAAGTGGCATCTTCATCCCTTTGGATTCCCCTGCAGTATCATCAGGAGTGAAAGCAAAGTCAAAATGGGAAGATCAAGATATGGCTACGCCTATCAAACGCCCTGATGTGTTCAAAGGATTGAAAGCTGACGAAAAGTCTTCAGCATCTCCGAAATTCTCGTTTTCGCCGAGCACGCCGAAGAATGACTTTGCTGCGACGATGGCTAGGCTGAAGGCTGCTGAGGCGGAGAGGAAGATGCAGGAGGAGGAGATTCGACGACAAGAGTCGCAGACGACGGCTTGAGAGGAACCGATTCCTTTGTTTTACGATACCATTTGATTTAGCATGGCGTTGGGGTATTATATTGGCACAACAAGCTTGTAAAGGGAATTTCCTCATTACGGGTATCTTAATAGAAAGTAGCTATATAAACATCCAACCTTGGTTCCAAAAGTTCGTCATTCGTTATCGTTATGAAAACACGTTGGGGGGATGTGATCAACAAGTATCTTCCACTCGGCGGCTTTCCATCTGCCAATTATCTTCTTTGCCGCTACCCTTTTCCGCCTCCTCACGAGCCCTGTCATTACACTCGAAACTCCGTCCCCTCGAAATCATTTCGTCCTCTGGATGTTACATCTCAAATCTCCACAATCGACTGTCGCATCGAGGAGCACTCCCAGACTCCCTACTATCATTTTGATTAGCAATATTCCCGACCCAAAAGTCAACACAAACATACCATACTTGAATCCAATTATCACACCTTTTCTTTTTCCATCCTTCCCCTCCAATAACCCCCTCCCCAATATTTCAATCCCTAATCCCATCACCTAACTTCCTCCCTCCCTAATCCCCTACCTAACCTCCTCCCTCCCCTTCCCCCTCCCCTCCCCAACAACCTCCGCACACCCCATCAAATCATCCACATAAAAACTATCGCATATCTCCCCGCCATTCCCATGCATCTCCCTCGGTTTCCCCTTCCCGAAACCGACGCCGCCGTGGCCTCCTAGGTCGAGACCGTGCCATTCTTTCTCTTGGGAGTGAGAAGTGGTAAAGGGTGAGGATGTATGAGGGAAAGGGGAGGATATATGAGGGAAATGTTTGTGGAGATGGTGAGGGAGGATATGGCGGAAATGCAACGTGGTGAAGAGCGTGAGCGTGATTAGAAGGGCTGTGAGGAGGAGGATTGTTTTTTGGCGGGATGTGGAGGAGGACATTGTGAGGTCGTGTGTCGCAATTAGATACGGATTCGGAATATCGTAGTCCTCGTACTATAGTAAAAATATATATAAATGTTCTCAAATACCGCACAATACAATCACACACTGCCAAACTCAAACCTCCCTCCACAACCACCGGGCACACCTCCCCATATACCCTCCCTCCCCTCCCCCAACCAAGGAAATCACAACCTAATGCAATATCACATTACCGACTAAATCATATAGTACACACGTCAGGTGTGAAAGGTTATGCGGCTAGAGCACTAGCCGACTGGGGTAAATGAGGGGGGATGTGGCTGAATGTGGTTGGGATGCAAGTGCCATTTCGGAAGTGAGGTTAAATTGTGGGGGGGAGGCTTGTGTGTGTTCAAGGTTGTTTAGGGCGGACGTCATGGGACAACGCAGAAGCAGATGTGACATGTACGAGAGTATAGAAGCTAGTAAAGGCTGGAACGTTTTAACTTGTGCGAGATAAGGTAAGTAAATCGGATTTTTGGATAGATAGATAGCAAGCAGGTAGGCGATACATCATTTTCTACCCCAGAACTCCAACCACCCCTAAAATTCCCAACAACCATTGTAGAATTGCAACGAACAAATCCCCAATTACAAAGCACCTCACGCCCACAACGGCGCCGTAACCTCCACAGCCCTCTCCACCACCGCCTTCACCCTATCCCCAAAAACACGGTTCCCACACTCAACCTCCAAATCCTCCAGCCAAACCTTTGCAACCATCTTATCAACCTTAATCTCCACGCCAGGAACCGGAATACCAATTTTATGCAATCTCTGAATCTCTTCCTCGTCGTCGCCGTCTTTGGGTGTGGCGATCGGTGTCAGGTTGTCGGCGCCGAATTGGGCTTCGAGGAACATGAAGAGTCGCTCGAGACGTTCGGTGGGTGAGAGGTTGGCGTGAGGGTTGCGAGAGGGGAGGGCGTGGGTATGAGGATGTTTGCTTGATGATTCTGGAGGGTGTTAGGGTGATGGTAGAAGGGGGAGGAGGAACATACGTTTTACTGCTGCGGGACTGCTTTCCACCGAGAAGAGGACGGCCATTACTGCGTCGGCGATGCCGTCGTTTAGCATGTTGCCTTCCCATTCTAGTTCTACCTCGCCATTGCTGCTGTGACGGACGGTTACACAGTCCATGACCAGGTATGCAGTTGATTTCCGTACGATTTCTTCTACTGGTTCTTCTGATTCATTCATGTTGGAATCACCATTTGTGCCATTTGTTGGCTGACTCTCGGTAATCTCCTGGATACTACCAAAAGTGCCTTGTAAAGCCCACTTGATCAAGTCAATACCTGCAGCACTTAAAGTCATGCGTTGTTTGCAGGTAATTGTTGTCGTAGTCAATCCAGCATATTCCCTCAGATCTTCCGGTGCCATCAAAGACATCTTGAAATCATTCTGAACGAGGACTCCTGTCAATAGCTGGGATTGACTTTCCTCCGCAGAAGGTGGAGGAATCGCCGCAAGCTTTCCAACGACTTTGGCAATTTTGTCGGCTTTGAACGGAATGCGCACTTCTTCACAATTGCGCGGGCTGTAGACCTTGACCTTTGTAGTCTTGTCAGCATTTAACGATAACAGCTTTGATTTCAAGCGCATCATATTATGCTGCTCGCCGTGAACCAAAATCTATCAATGTTAGTAGGAGAATAACCTGAAGAAATGCAATCAACTCACTACTACTGGTGCTGCAACCTCTTCGATGAACTCTCGATTCTCAGTTCCATCTACGTGCGCTGCAAAGGAATATTCTTGAATCGTGCAACGACGTGGTATCATAACCTTGTCTCCATCAGCTGCTGGTCCTCTCCTGGTCGCAAGTGCAGTATTGCGCGTCATGATTGCTTGAATTGTTTCCGGTTCCTGCATTATCTGCTTCGCCATGGTACCCTCAACACTGTAACCAGTTATGATAACCCCATTCTTTTCGCTCGGAGCCCATCTCTCTAGCAATTCCCTACTAACACCATTCTGGAGCATACCAGGACTTGCAAGCATAACACAACTGCCAACATCGTCGAATCGGTCGAGGTTCTTCAATGAACGAATATATTTAAAATCCCAAGGGCCACCTCTCCCAGCAGTATCGTTTGATGCTTCTGCTTCCGCCATCCGTTCTCGGAATAGTCTTTTGATATTGTCGTTCATGGCTCCTACGTAAGTTTGATAAACAAGCATACATTTCCTGGCTAGATTACTGGCATAGTAGATGGGTACTCGTTGGAACTCGGGGTGTCGGCCCCAATACTCGTCTAAAATTAAGAGAAGTTCTTGAGCACGCCCAAGAGCAAAGACAGGCATCAAGACTCGACCACCTCTGTTGAGAATACTGGTAATCGAGTTCATAAGAGCATGTTCTCTCTCTGTCCGGGGTATATGAGATGCAATGCCATACGTTGACTCGGTGATCAACACATCTATTTTCACTCCCTTTGGAACCTCAGCAGAAACAAGATGTCGATCATTTTCGCGCGAGTAATCCCCCGTGAAAAAAATCTTGAGTCCGGCGATTTCAATGAGAAACATTGCTGCACCCAGTACATGGCCCGCAGGATATGGTGTAATGCGTATGGACGATATTGTGTGCGTGGTGTGGTAATCGATAGCCTCGATTTGAGGAAAGGTAGCCAGATGATCTTCTTCTGTGAACATTGGCTGTGACTTAGATGTGTTTCCCCCTACGCGAATACTGTCGGACACGAGCCATTTATAAATGGCTTTTGTTGGATGTGTCATGAAGACTCTTCCCTTGAAATTGGTCTTTGCCAGCACGTACGGTAGTGATGCCGCATGGTCGACATGAAAACTTGAAAATGATTAGCTAGAACTTTAAACAATGGGCGCTATGGTGGAACAAAAGAAAAGATGGAGTTGTATGTACAGTACTATAAATTCGGGGTAGGTCATCTTCACAGGTTCGAGGCTTGCGTTGGCTTGAGGAAACGATTTGTATTGGTTCTCGTATACATGTAAAATGGGACTGGCAATGGTAACAACGAGTAAATCTTTCCCAATAACATAAAATGCCCAGTATGCAATAATATGCGCCATATATGACCACCCTTTCCAACTCGATAATCAAAGGAAATTCGCTTACTGGCTGATCAGAAGGACATCGACAGTGCTCAGATCGAAATCGTCGTAGAATGGCAAGGCAGCTAGACCTTCGTAACCAGCATGCATACCGGCATCAAGCTAAGATAGAAGTTAGCAAAATATCGAACCAAGGGATGTGCGACTCACCATTACAGTCTTGCCCTTGTATTGAAGAATATGACATGATCTGCCAACTTCATTACCTCCTCCTAAACACAAGAACATTAACTCATCCGCGGGATCGATAGGCTCTTCTGGCGCGGGTGCCATCGCGGCTGCTTTCCGTTTGGAAGCCATCTTGTCTGTTTAAGCTCCCTGGGCTCGAGTGCTCTCGACCGATGAAGTTGTCTAGCAGAAAGTCATAATCTACTTAGCACAGTGTTAATGCCTAGACAAAGTTACTACACACATTAAATGTCAATATGAAAATGTGCTAGACAGATTATCAGATTAACGGATGTGGTTGCTGATGTTGAAGATGCAATGCAACATTGATCGCGAGCGCGAAGTATGGACCCGCAATCACGTGATGTTCGAGCTAATTTGGTGGAATCGTCGCGACCTTCATCCCAATCCAACAACCATACGATGTTCTTTGTTTTCGAAATTCACGCCAGCACATCATCGGTATAGCGATATCGCGAAGCTAGATCTCCAAGTACCAGCGAGGCGATTCAAACGGAATATTATTTGGGCGGGCTCGCGTATGGGGTTAGGATTTTGGAGGACGGCGGGCTTTGCGCCTGCCTTGTGAAGGTCAGGGAGGTTGTTAGAGATCAAACCAAGAAGACCAGAAAGGCAGGGACGCAATCATGGCGCAACCACAGCAACAGCAGCAGTTTTCAATGTCACAGAGGCAATTCTCTCCTCAAGATGCGCCATCGCCAGCTGGGCAGCAGTCATATCCATTTCCTCCACAAAAGCGACAACGTCTGTCACCGAATCCTCAGTCGACACCGACATCACCATATACGCAATCGCCATATGCAATGAGTCCAGGACCAGCAGGGCCGCCCTCCGCGACGGCTTCACCTCATTTTGCAAATGTTTCTCTTCCTGCGGGTGTATACAATACGCCATATTCGAATGGCAATACAACTCCTACTTTGAGCCTACCTACCACCCCGCAACCTCAGCATCAAATGCACCACTCACAGCAGAATCCTCTCAACTACTCTTCACAGACGCATAGTATGGCATCGACCTATCAAAACTATAACATGCCACAGCATGGTGCCGGTATGATGGGCCCTCCATCCAAACCACCCGAGAAGAAGGACAATGAATCTGACGCGATGGATATCTTGAACGGTACTGGGATCGATCTAAAGGAAGAGGAGCAATACATGATCAACAACTCGTTCAACCACGAGCTTACAAGGTCTCACGCAGGTTTTGCTACCGCTGCGCACAGCTATTCGCAATTCCCTCCTGGTAATGCGGCGTCGTTCTATGGTGCAGGGCCCGCAAATGCGCCAGCGGAATCAGCAGATGGGAAGTCACAAGAAGAATACATAAGGCTTGCAGCCGATAGTGCGTGGCATGACGCAGCGAGAAGACTTGCTATGTCTAGGGAACGCGAAATTTATGATCCCTTCTTGTTTACCATGTTGCTCCAAAAGAAGGTCGACAAGGCTGCTCGAGAACAGGGACTGACTATCCGTGCTGGAGGATGGGTGCTACCAGAAAATTTTCACAATTCGACGGTTGATGTCAAGACCGCCGTTGGACCCAGTGGTTCAATGGTTCAGACAAATGGTCGCTTCCTCAGTGAGGATGCCCAGCTGGCGGATCAGTCTGCTCTATTATCTCTTGCTACCAAACAGCGGTTGCTAGGTTTCATCGAGGATGCTGCTGCACTTGCCAAGGCAAGACAGACTGGGTCTCACGGGATTGTGCCCGAAGAGTGGACAGACGTTGCGGCTCCCGTCGATCTTAGCGCGTCAACAATTGTATCTGAGGGCGGAGTCCGTGTTGGATGGGAGAGTGCGGTTGATCCGGCATCTGCTTCCCGTAAACGTATAGGAGCCTACCTCCCCTATATTGTGGAAATTTTCTAACATTTGACAGGTTCTGCCTCTGGTCCCGCAAAGATGCCGACTCCTGTATCTGATTCTGTGAAGACACCCAGCGATGGTCTGAAAATGGCGAATGATGTTGTGGTAGCCCTTCGAGCTATAGCCTCCAAAGAGCGAGATTATGAGGAGGCTCGACTACAAAAGCGAAACGCACGTGCTGCAGGGGTGGGTACCACATCGAGACAAGGTTCTATTTTACCTGGTACTCCGGGTTCGATTGCCCCGGAAGCATCAGAAAAGGCTCCTACCAAAAAGGAACAAACCAAGAAAGCGCAAGCAAAAGTGAACGAAGCTGCAAATCATGCAGCAGCAAATCAAACAACCAACCAATTCTTAGGTGGTGGTGGAGGTATGTTTGGTAAGAAAAAAAAGGTTTATAGCTGGATGAGTACGGGCGCCGGTGGGGGTAGTGGTGCAAGTACACCGAGTCGCGTCATGGCACAAGGCGGCGGACACAGCGCACTGGGAGCACCTCCTGTACCAGATAAACTTACCTCTGATGGTGTAAGACGTGTGGGAGCTTGGCGTGAAGACCATGACAAAGGCAAAGGCATCCAGCTCCGAGATTGGATTGCTGTTCTTGAAGAAGACGGCCGCGAAAAGCGCGCTCTTCAATTAGCGTACATGAACCTCGACGACTCCGGACCGAAATAACCTTCTCACTTGTACTTTGAAAAAACTTTTCGGACGAGGGCATGATGGGTTGTTGGGTATCTAGATGTGAGCCCAACTGCTCTTGTATTTTGAGAGACATCGATTATATCTTGCGAGGCGCTGCATGGAAAAATGGCGTTTGACAATTTTATTTACAACATGGGACATGGCTGGCAATAGTATCTGGGACAAATTGCTGGTTGCTTAACCTTTGGGAGGAGATTCAGATGAGCTGAGACATCCGGCATACATCAGAGCAGGTCGCTTTCAATAGCTGATTCTAGCCACGTGGCCATGAAGGCACATTGATTATTAGCTCGGTGTCTAGCTGTATAATGCTACTTAATACTAGAAATGTTTTCAAAATAGCTTTAGACTCTAACACGTGTCTAAATAAGCGGCCTCCTTCCCCTCACACAAACCAACTTTCTGTTAACCCCTTCAATGATTCGCAGTGTTCGCGGCCGCAATAGCCTCCAATTTCCTCTCTCCGCCCTTCTTCACGCACAACTTCTTCCAATCTAGTCTTCAACTCTACTAATTCTCTGTCATGTGCCACTTGTCAAGTTTTCTCAATTCATCCCTCTCTTTACACGCTACGTTGATGTTCCGAATTTATTGTTACGATTTTGCAGCGAAGTTTATAGCTTGCCATACTATTCTTGGTTTGTTCCAGTCTTATGTGGCTGTCTGCGAAGACACGTCCTGGATCTGATCATATGATGGTATACTCGGCGGAATTGAAAACGGTAAGTGTATAGAATGTGAGCAACGAGCTTTGAAATGACCGGTACTAGTAAGCTTAGCACGATGGGAAGGTAATCTTATGTGACGTCTTCAGGATGCCATCATTGAGTCAATATGGCTTGTCTGGTTTGATCACTGCAAGACACAGGTGATTGATTTTGTGACTATTCACTAGAATCAATACCAGATTCGTCGTTATTGAGTTAAAATTTCGAGAGTAGAAAAGTGTGTCTTGTTGTCACAGATATCTACCTACCCTACACCGAGGCAGCGGCAAGGAATAGTCAGTTGTTATTATCCACTCAATTCCGGACTCAGTGAAACTCTTTGACTAGGTGGTTTGTTTTCTGCTTATACACAAGTTTTCAACTGACATGGCAAAAAGCATTACTATCATCCAGTGATAAGGGGTAGGACTAACATGTTACCTTCTGGTTGTCTTGCTTCACGAATTTATGCCCTTGTAGAAAATGATTGCATTTCTTGTTCAGTACTTGCAACAACCTCTCACAATTTCCAGACGATACGTGAAGATATTGAGCCCAATCACTATACCTTTCCGAAGGATCGGCGCTTACTCTATTTCAGCTCGCCCTCCTTAAAGTATCCCCTTATCTTGAACTCATACTTCTCAGCCAAAAGTTTGAATTGATCAAAGAGAGCAAGCAATTCATTCAGCCCTTTTTCGAAAATGACCACTTTCTTAAAGTCTTCTTTCAATGCCGTTTCAACTAAACATCCTTTAGATTTGAAATCCTCTCCTGCCCAGTCTCCAATATATGCTCTTGCTACAGGGCCTTTTTAATGGCAATCGTGTATGACTCTGCATGCCATTCTTATGAAGTTTACCATATCGCCAAACGATGGCGGAGGTGGAGGTAACCTGAGTTTCTCGTACGTCAATTGCGACGCTGCTAATGATTCTGGCGGCATGCTCGATTGTTTATGGTAGTAATTTTCGTAGAGCTGGGATTTGATGTGAGAATGACGATAGGGTAATAGGAATAGGGCCTACGGTGTGAAGAAATATATAGGCAAATAGAAAGGCTAAAGAGGGTAGGAATCTGGGAAAGAGTCATGGAGAGGTCATAAACCGCTTTGATTGCCGCTGTCTTGAACAGCTAAGCAAACAATAACTCACAATAAGTTTTCACACTTTCGCTCCTGCTCAATACGAAAGCTGTAATTAATTCAAAATAATATATGACGCTGTATACAAAAGTTCTGATCGCTATTTAAAATTATACTCATAACACTTCTTAAATTAGGTAGTTAATTTCTACTTAGTACTTACCATAACAACTGTCCCGATTAAATAATAGCTGGTAAATATTCTCCGCTTTTTGAACTAATTCTGTTCTCAAAATGCTGTGAAACATCAAACATCTTTTATTTATGACTCCTAATACGAGAAATTATTTATCGAAATTTCAGTGCTTAGCTGAAGAAAAATACACACGCTGACTTTTTCCCCCCTCGTCAGCAAGTCGTGCACCTTCAACTTTACTAAATTGCTGTCGTTCTAAGAACTGATGAAATCGGTGGTACCTTTCAATACAATCATAAAATTCCGATGTCTTGTTTGTGGTTGACGAATTGGAGATAGTGGGCTGGCCATCGGAGATTGGGCCCTGGCGGAAGGCCATGGAACGTTGCGGCAGAAGACTTGAAAGGGAGTATACTAATGTGAGAGAAGTGGATGGTTTTGAGGAGACATGTTAGAAAAAAGAGAACATGTATAGGTTGAGAGAAATGAAAGAGAGGTCCAGAAATGGAAGTTCATGATTTCATGCAATTTAAAGAGCCGTGATAGTCCTCATTAATTTCTAACCCTGCAATCAAAAGTCTTATATAAATTTTGTTCTAATCGCTTGTTTGGAGTATCAATGTTGTTTTTCAATGAGTAGGTTCGGAACCAGATATTGCTTTCTTAGTGATTTCTTTCCATGATTTTGTGTTCCTCTTTTTCAACGGAAAGACTTTACTTCAAACTTTATCCTTCAAGAACAACTAATCGGGTCCGTTAGACAGGTAAAAGTTTGAGCCAAGTCCTAAAGGACATCGGTTGCTTCATTCTATTTCAACCCTTCCTTCAAGGCAAATTCATGTGTTTTGAATCGTACTTCTCGACCAAACTCTTGAACGTTTCATACCCAGTAATTAATTCTTCCAACGCCTTCTCCCAAAAGATCACTTTCTTCATGTCGTTATCCAAGGTTTCCTTGATAAACGTGGATTTTGAGTTCTTTTTGATGAGATGTTCTTTGATGAAAGCTTCGGTTGTAGGTCTTCTCTCACGACCCCTTGTCTTACAATCATTCATTAATTTGATTGCAGTCGTCATGAGGTCGTCAATTTCACTTCTCAGTGGTGGGTGTCGTATAGTAGGTTGGGTTGGGGGTGGCGTGGCTGGGTCAGACATCGTGGTTGTAGGCTAAATCCTTTATACCAGAAAACTTGATGGGGCTGAAATCTTGAACAAGTATAAGAAGTGACTATGACAGGCATACCGAAAACGACAAGGCATATATAGGTGAAGGGAAGGATCAGAATGTGTGTGAAAGAGGCATATGAAGTCATAAGTTACTACGACTGACGCAGCCTTAGACAACTGGAACAAACAATATGTCGTGGCAAATCTACAGATCTGATCCGAACTGTGCAATCACTAGTCAAATTGAGATGCAAACTCAATAAAGATCTGATATACCAACATTCTGCGAAAAAATAAAGCGAGCCCCTTCGGATGACCCATAACCTCGAAGTTCGTTACAGTCAGTAATCAAGCTAATTAAGGCCGCGTCGAACTTAGTTGTAGAAGAGCGGTTGGGCCAAAAAGGCGTGTCGCGCGCGCATACGTGCTCTGGGTCTCTGTGGGATGGCCGTCGGTTGTGTCGATGGATGAATACTGGAAATGGAGATGTATAAGTTGCTCGAACAATCGCACTTATTGTGAGAACGAGCGAGAAAAGTCATAGAAGCTCTGCAGCATCAAAAGAAGTCGCCCTTTGCTTGACTTTCCATTATCAAGACAAATCGCTCAGTCCGCATTTAACCCTAAATAACTCTTCGGTAGCTCTTGTCAGATAGAGTTTATTTTTCCTATCTCCTCTGAGACTCGCAACCATAGTTTCGAACAAGCATAGATTGTATATTGCCATTTACCCGAGTAAAGTGGTAAATAATCCGGATCGAATGTAAGTAGTCCATGTGGTGTAGTAGATGAACGATATTGACGATATTCACAGGTACCACTTAGGTTTTATTATTGGGCCTAAGAATGAAGCGGGAGACCGAGTCCCAGGCGCTCGCTATTACGTCAAGAACAACTTCTTGAAACAATGGATCTATGAGGAGATCCCTCTCAACGATGTCAAGCAATCGACGCAACTGCTTGCTCGGATTATGGTTGCCAAGATTGAAGACGAAGCACGGCTGGTCAGGATATTCGAGACTGTTCCTATCATGCAGAACAACCCAGACTGGCGATGTCGAACCTGGGTAGCTAATGCGATGGCTGCTATACCACAAGACGGGAGGGTGGTGGGGACATCGCAGCTATCTTGGGAAGAAATCGAGAGAGTCGGGAGAGAGTTCGTGGGAACTAAGAGCCAAGCTGGGAGGTATAATGACCAGGCGTCGTGGAATGGTCCCCGGCCTACATTGGATTTGATCCAGAGGAGAGAGGTTATCGGGTAGATTGGCAAGAATGGCGACTGCATTGTAATGTACTGTAATATAACCATGTACTAGCAGATGTTTCTTGCGTACTCCATTTTCATGGGAAGGGAACTCGCTATCAGTATTCCCCCCACCACTGGTGACGAATTCTTTCCATCTCAAGTTCTTCAGGAAAAGTCTCCAGGAACCGCGGAAGCACTTCTTGCCACCCCTCCCGTATTCGATTCCCCATCCATGCAGATGTGTATTCCCAATAATTGGGATACCATCCCGAGAATTCCCAGTCAATAATCCCAACAATCTTATCGTCGCGGACGAGAATGTTCTGTGGATGCAAATCACCATGTGTAAAGATAGGGTGTGGGTATTCGCGATCCTGGTGAGCCACCATCATGCTGACATCGCTCGACCGTGTATTGTCTGGTTTGTCAAGTATTTCTGAAGGTAGCAGGTACTCTCTAAGCCATAGATGGAACTCTTTGATAGTCTTAAATGGGCCAAAACGCGGGCAAGACCGAGGCATGCGACAATCGCGTAGCGAGCCACCGACACAACTCTGCACTCCTGTTCCTGGTGCAGGTTTGATTCTCCGCAATTCCAAGATAATACGCTTTAGATCCTCAAGAATTCTACTTCGAGACTCTTCCGACAACTGAAACCAAATTGCGGCTACAGTATCACCCTGTATTCGTTCCATAACCATGTAGGCTCGCTTGTTGTAGACAAACGAACAGTAGATTTTGGGAACAGGAATCGAAGTGTGTTCCGCGATGTATTTCATAGTAGCAGCTTCTGTCAGATGAGCCCAGTATCCCGACTTAACGATTACATGCTTTGATATCGGTTTGCAGCCACCGTTGTAGGGATAGAATCTGCCTGTGGTGTTCAACGCAAGGAGAGTGCAAACACGACGAAAGATGGTATTATTGATGGCCAAACTTTCTGTACCATCGTGTTGAGTGGCAGTCTTATCAACTGGGGGTATATAGTCTACTGGCATTATTATTTGCTTTAATGAAGGTATGTGTAGTGTCAAAGAACACTCCGCGCTTGTTGGTGTTGGTAAGGAGTAATAATATCACGTGTGGATTGGGTATGTAGACGCTAATCCTAATCAAGCTATTTGACGACAAAGGCATTTTAACAAGCCGGGCAACTTGGCAATCCGGTGAAACCTATATATTTTCAAAAGCATGGTAAAGTAAATGATTAAAATTTAATACACAGCCAGTGCTATTTTCATTCTCCTTGTGCCTGGTCATCAATATCACGTGATATCGTTACCGGAAATTATCAAGAGCCTCTTTCTACTTCAGACCAGTTCCACAAACGCCAGAATCAGTCAACCACAATCCAACATTCAACTTCGGGCTTCCATTTCTCTAGCACTTACATTACTATTCTCTACTATCATTTCCAAATCTCTTGATCCAATAAACGGCCAACCTCAACAACCTGGGCAGGCGTTAGCGGCATCCAAATAAACAGAAACAAAAAGAGGCAGGTTGGGTAAACTCACAGCAGCTGCCCTCATCATTGTGAAATGATTGGCATCTACACTCAAACAATCGATTTTGGCAGATCCAAGGAGTCTCTCCCACCCGTTTGGTCCCATATCCGACCTGTCTTCCATGAGCCAATGCATGGAATTCGGCATTCTCCCCTTCCACTCTAGGGTCTTCTTGCTGTCTTTTTCAACTCCATCTCTTGCCCAGATAATTACTGTTCTAGGCATTTTGTCGATCATGTCAGCTTTCAGACTCGTAGCCACTAGCTCGTCAGAGTATTTCGTCAACTCCCTTACTGTCGCCGCAAAATGTGGCAACAGCCAGTGCGGTAAGCGACCTTCAACGTTCAACAGACCGATGTCTGCGCAGAATTCGTGGAACGCTAGTGGTAGTGCCTCAAGTCCTAGCGGGAAGGGAGAATCAATCAAGAGTAACTGATCGACAGAATCTCCTTCGTCTAGAAGTTGCTTTGTTGCTTCGTATGCAAGAACTCCGCCGGCGCTCCAACCACCCAAAATATACGGCCCGTTTGACTGTCGTTTTCGGATTTCGACCATGTATTTGCGCACTACTGCTGAAACACCTGTTGTGAAGCTTTCGGGCGAGGTCATAAAAGGGCAAGTCATGCCCCAGACACAAATGTCGTTCAGGTGTGAAGCTAAAAGGGCATACGAGGCACATGAGCCCGATCCATCAGGGAATAGAAATAGATTACGGCTCGCTGTTCTCTGTGATCCATGAAGCAGTATAGACTGTACATGGAAAGTGTCTGGTGTACGAGACGACGCCGACAGTTGCTCGGTCGCCGCCATTGAAATACTTTGCATCTGAGGACTTATCGGAGGCGTCAACACCGGAGGCTGAGGTGTTTTCGGTTGCATTAAATCCCTCAGAAAGCTCCTCAGAGATCCTACTGATGGATGTTCGATGAACAAAGTGCTGTCTACCTTCAGATCAAACTCTTCTCGAAATATTCCCAAAATGGTTAGCGAAAGTAGGGAATCGACTCCCAAGTCCGAGAATAATGCAGTATCGTGGAGCTCATCAACGCCACATCCTATCTCGCCCGCTACTATTGACATCGCGCGATGTGAAAATGTTTTGGCCCCTTCCACAAGTTTGGAAGGCCACGATGGACTGGGCGCCATTTGCGACTCCGTCACCCCTTCCCCAAGAGTGACTGATGATAAGAAGCTTGCCTGAGAACTATTTTGCTGTGTGGGAAGTAGCGTATTAAGAAGTGTCCGTGGTACGGACTGAAATCTACACCCTTCAATAAGCCCTACTATCTTTGTATCGCAAAGAACGTAGACGTCTCCCGCGACCATCTTCGAGCCATGTTGAGGTTGCATCTTCACATAGACTTGATAGTTTCTTCCAAGGGAAATATCATCACTAAGCCTCATGCTGCTCCAACCCTGAGAGATATAAACATGATCTGCTTCCAAGGCCTCGTTGGCGTTCATCACAAACCCAGAAATATGAGCCAAGTTATCAATCAAGTATGGACTGAAGAAGTATGAACCGTCATCTTTAGTCGATCGGCAACTGACTTGTGCCGTTGCTTCCCAGCAATCGCTGTCAAGCAAAACATTACTCATACCTCTGTATTTTGGGCCATATTGTACGAGGTTGGAGAACAATTTATATGCCATTCCGCCTTGGATTTTGTTCACATTGGGGGAGCAAGTTAAAACATCTAGTCGCGAGTTGATCAAATGCTCCACCCGATTCCACTCATTCGCCTGTTGGGGATCGTCACGAAAAACGACCATGCAACTCGCATGTTCAACTACTTTTTGCGTGCTCCTGCTTCGAATGGAGACTTTGGCAGACCTAGTGGACAAATCGATCCTGGCTTCAATCTCAACTTTCTGGCCGATTTTACTTGTTTTGCTAATATCCACCACTAGAGGTTTGGTGTTGGCCATGTCTCTGATATCCATACTGAATTTGGCCACCACTGGACACAGTATTCTGTAGCCATGATTGCATATAGTCATTGCCATGTCAGCGTATATGGCGGATGGACATAAAGCCACGCCATTGATGAGATGACCAGCTACAGCTTCTTGCATGAACGAATCAGCGAAGTCGGTCTCTGCCAAAATAGTTGCGGTACCGTCATTCTTGTTGAAGTCTTGTTGCAAAACATTTTGAACTGTTGTGGTGGAGAGCTCAAGAGAGTCTGCGGTTGTTAATGCGGAGCTCCGGATTTCACCCTTGTTCAGTGACCAGTTATTGACATAATCAATCCAGAACTTCTTATTGTCAAACGAGTAAGCGGGGAGCGGAACTAGAGCAAGGCTTTGCTCGAATTCGCGATGATACTGCATCCAATCAAGCTTGAGGCCTTCAATATACAGCTTTGAGCAGCTTTGTGCGAGGCTAGTCCACGGCCCATTGGTCTTAGTAAGGGAACACAAAGTCTCATGGCCAGCTTGCAAGGTAGCTTTAATCATCGTGCAACATGTCGGATGAGGTCCAATCTCTAACCACACCGTTCTCGAATGATCATTCGACCGTTGGGCCTTGAGTTGACTTTGTAACGCATCTGCAAAGTTTACCGTCTTTCTGCAATGATCTCTGAAGTAACGTGCGCCGAAGGAGTGGCCTTCATCTACGAACTTGCTGTACAATGACGAAATTATCGCAATTTTGGGCTTCGAAAAGACTACCGATGATGCCAAAGCCTCGAACTCGTCCAAAATAGGCTCTACTTGTGCAGAATGAAATGCATATGGAACGTCAACCTTTTGTGATTTCACCTTGGATGGGAGGGTTTTTTTCACTGCATCCACAGCCAATTGTGTTCCGGAGAAAACGATATCCCGTGGACTATTAATGCAAGATATCTCAACGTTATGGTGCGAGGCGATCGTCCTCGTTTCGTTGAGTTCTCGATCGGAATCGGCTCTCACAGCAAGCATGCTATGTGTACCGGTCTGACAGTGCTTTTTCATGAGCTGTGACCGGCTCCCTACCAGATAGACTGTATCATGATCTGACAAAACCCCAGCAATATTCAAAGCGGCATATTCTCCCAAGGAGTGTCCAATGACTGCTGATGGCTGTACACCCCATGAAATCCAGAGCCGAGCAAGCGATATTTGTAGGCAAACGAGTGCCAACTGCGATATCATCGATAGCTTACTCGCAGGAATACTTTCTCCAGAAGCATGTTCTTCGGGATTTGCGATATACGCTGCAAAAGATGGAAATCCTTGCGACACAGCAATTACATCGAGTCTGCAAATCTGGTCTTTAAACGTCCTTGATGTTTGAAACAACAGTTGACCCATGCCAACGTATTGGCATCCTTGACCTGTAAAAACAAAGTTTATTCGAGGCGGAGCCAGAGCAGGCACTACATTTTCTGGTTTCAGTCCTTGAAGTCCAGCCAACAGCTCCTCTTGCGAGCTTGCTAGCTTGCTGAAATACAGGCACGATATCGATAATGCATTCTTCTAGCGGTTGTGGTGTAACTTAGATTTGGAAGATCTATCTCTGGATTTGCTTTAATGTGCTTAATTAACTTTTCTATGTTCGTCGCCAGGGCTGTTATGGATTTTGCTGAGATGGCTATTATGTGCCGCGTTCGTGGATCTTCTCCCAAGACCCCCAACACTGCACGATCTTCAATTATCAGCGAACTATTGCCACCTGCTGCCCCGAAGTTATCCAAGAGGACACGTCTTCTTGTTGTGGCGGACCGGGGCCAAGAAGTCGATGTAGACGCAATCCGCACATTTCTTGCCGCCAGGTCGGTCGGGAACCCTCTGTTCAGCTGGGTGCTAATTCCACAGTGTGGTGGGATAGTGTCTCTTTGGAACATCGACAATACCTTCACAAGACTGCTGAAACCTGAGACCGCTTCTCCATGCCCAATATTTGGCTTGAGAGATCCTAGGTATAAAGGATTGTTGTCTTTCCTCTGCCTGCGCCCCGTTGGTGCGAAAACTCTTGTTACACTCTCCATTTCTACTGTATCGCCTGCGACTGTTCCGGTTCCGTGCATTTCGATATAATTAATGTCGTGCGCATCGAGTCGGGCATTCTGCAAGACCTTTTTGAACAGCGCTTCTTGCGTCTCGATATGAGGATGAGTAATGGAGATTGCCTCTGCGCTGTGATTTGTGGCAGATGCAACTATCACTCCTAATATATGATCTCTGTCTTGAAGAGCATCTGGAAGACGTTTTAAAATCACAGTACCAACGCCCTCTCCGCGACAATACCCATCGGCTCCCTCGTCGGAGGTTTTACATGGTCCTGTTTTCGACAGGAAATGGCCTTTTGACAGTCCTGCAAAAATGTCCGGATTGGTGAAGATGTTCATTCCTCCTGCCAGAACAGTATCACATTCTCGTGCTTTTAATGATGTGCAAGCAAGTTGAATAGCCGCCAAACTGCTTGAACATGCCGTGTCCACATTGTAGCTTGGACCTTGAAATCCGAAGTGATAATTTATCCTTCCTGGACCGAAAGCTCGGATACCCCCAGTAATGAAGAAGGTGTCAATGTCTTGGGCGGTGTTTGTCTCTTTCCAATCATCAATTGCTTGGCCATAGAACGTGGCAACTCTATCCGCTTGTGTAGATGGAGTACGATTCAAGACCATGCCTGAAGATTCCATTGCTTCATAAGCTGTCACGAGAGCTAATCGCTGCATGGGATCCATTTGGGCCGCCTCACGCGGGGAGATGTTGAAGAACTGGTTGTCGAAATTTCCGGCATCATTGATGAAACAGCCATACGGGGTATGGCTCTTGTTCTTGCCTTTTCCACTTTCATCGGTGTGTGACTTGAAGTCCCACCGGTCTGGAGGAATCTGAAATCATTAGCATTGGTGTCTAATAGCTTGAAATGAGCTCACTCACCGTACGATGTGTATCTATTCCTTTCTCCAATATGGACCAGAACTCGTCGTTGTCATCTGCTCCTGGGAAGCGGCCAGACATGCCGACTATGGCAATTTTTGAATGGTCAGATGTATCTTCGCATAGAGACTGCCCCTCCTCTAGCTCATCGCTCTGGACTTCACTGCCAGGAAATTCTTTCCTCAGCAGTGCAATCATGCTATTCAACATTGTCGAAGAGCCCACTGGAATCAGCTTAAAATCCAAGTCTGTGAACTTGGCGCAATCATCGAGAAGTCTCGTCCAAATCACTGGAGCTCGAAGAATCCGATATATACAGTGGCGAAATAACTCCAAAGTGCTTGTCGACTCAAGATCTCCCATGAAGGAAGTTTTCGAGGACTCGACCTGATAAGATTTCAAAACATAACAAGATGCATCGGGGATCAATTGTGCAAGATCCTTTTCAGAAAATATATGCGGTGCGTGGTATGGTCCTCTGATCGGTATGGCCTGATTTTGAGGGCTCAGTTGTTTGGAACGAAGATCCAAAGAGCTTGGTGGACCGCTGATCGTTATGGTGCTGGGACCAATGGAGCTGATGTAAAGTTTACGACCATGCTTGAGGTTCTTGAGCAATACGTTAATAACGACTTCTTTGACGAGGGAATCAACTCACAAGTTTCTCATTTAGGGAAGTTATCTCGATATCAGGGTCGTCATTAATGTGTCGTGCTATCACAGTAGACCACAACTGATCACTTGAATCTTGAATGAGCTCTTCCGCACGAGTTGCTACGAGAAAGCCGACTCGGAACGCAACTCGAATCGTTTCAAGCGCCAAAGGGATAAATGTCTCTAGGCTTTCGCAGGATGCAGCTGCTGCCGCTGCTAAAAGCCCTGTGCATACTCCAACGACTCGAAACTCGGGTTGATGTTCTTTCTTCACTTGTCGTCTTTCAAGAAACCTTCAAAAAGTCAGTTCGACCACTATTGGATTTGGCAGGACGAATATTTACATTACAAAATGCGCGATCTGAGCGAGACATGCAAGCGTGCTGTCCAGGACAGCATTTCGCTTATCACTAAACTCATATCTATCGACAAGCTCTTCCATAGTAGAAAACGGGGGGAAATTGATATTTTTATGCTTTGGAAGAATCAATACTTCGTTTTGGATCAAAGCCGTTGCTTCTTCCAGGAATATGGAAAAATATGGGCTTCGATTTCGTCGCAAGAGTTTCCGCAGCGTCGGCAGGTAATCTGTCGTTTGATCACCAAGCAAAAGAAGATCCATTTTGAGTTGATTTCGACAATAATAATTATGTTTACTATGGTTCTCGAAATGCTAACGACCCATAGGCTGATAACACCCCTATCATGTATAGCTATCATGGTCCTCTGCTGCCTCCCCAACCCGTGATCATAACGATATGTGCTACTAATCCTAAACAGGACGTGTATATAATTCTTAAGGCGGCCGGCCTATCCAACAAAGTCTTCGAAATTTCCGAGTATGCCTTTGACTCACTTGTTGGATCAAGCTGTACGAAGTTGGCAAGTTCTAGGTCCATCGAGCTGCCCTCGACCGGCCTACGTATTTCTCGTATCAGATCGGGTATGCACGGAATTCTAAGTTATCACGAAATGGTCTTGGCCGGCTGCCGACTAAGTCACCAACCGGTCCCCAACTCAGTCGTAGAAATGAGCCAATCAGTGGTAATCGTCAATAGGCTTCACCGGAAGCTACGCCACCGAAGAAGTCTGACATGAGACGTACCTACATCCGCATCTGATCCCACGCGGCCTTGAAGAATACATCCGGCTTACTGGTTTTGTCAAGTGATAAGCTTAGAAGTCAGCCGCATGTACGAGATTGTCCCAAAAACGTGATAGGCGTCAACACGTTTCCTTGATTCGAGACCGCGCAACTTTCCTCTTTGAACCTAACACACTTTCAAACCCCCTGGCTTCTGATTCATCCAGCCTGGTTTAAAATATCGCCACGTTGGTGGCTTTGCTTTAGTAAAAACGGAAGCACCTGGTGCACCTGCCAAGCAACTACCAAGTAACGACATTGAAGGTTCGATGTTTTTTAATTCCCTAGCGGCACATGCTTGTGCCCGTTTAATATGCTGTACAATACAGGCCAGGCTTTAATACTTGCTAAGTAGTATGGTGTTGTCAAATTCAAGTCACGGGTTATTGGTTCGCGCCTCTTCTGGGATCATTGGATGAATTTCACTTGTTTTGTGGCCCAGTTCTGAAGGTCATTGTAGTAAAAGAATCATTTGTCTAACCGGGAATAAAGAATCTGGAAAAAAGAAGATAGCTCTTTGCTCCACGCTCTCATGTAAAATATGGAGAAGAGAACAAACGAACATCACATTTCTCAAGTGTTGGATCCACCGCTGAGGAGAATGACTTGACCTAAATTGAAAATCAGATCTATACTGATTTGCTAAGTAAAATCAGGACTTACCATTAACCCACTCACTGTCGGAATGGGCCAGAAAGGCAACGACACGACCGATGTCTTGCGGAATTGCGACCCGTCCAAGAGGGCAAAGAGAAGCAAGTCCATCTTCAATCTTTTGGATGTCCATTCCGGGAGCTCCCCCGGGAGAGTAGTGCCAGGCATTCCTGTTGGTGTTAGTTGAAACCCTGCGATTTAGAATCTACATACTGTTGAAACATGTCGCTCTTAACACCACCCTGTACGTGAAAGCATTGGTCAGTAGTGTTATCATTCTCTAGCCCAGATGCTTGTAACTTACAGGAGCTATAGCATTCACAGTGATTCTTCTAGAGCCGCAGTCTTTGGAGAATGAGCGAGTAAAACCTTCAACTGCGGCTTTGCTTCCCGCATACAATGCGTGGTTTGGGACGCCAGACATGGTCGCAGCAACTGATGACATGAGAATAATGCGACCGCCATCATTTAGATGAATGAATGCTTGTTGTGCAACGAAAAACTGTGCACGAGTATTCAAGGCGAAGATTTCGTCGTAGAGTTCTTCTGTAACTTCTTGTTCAGGGCAGAAGACTTCCTTTCCAGCATTCGAGCATACGACATCAAGCCGGCCGTAATGGGCGATGGATTCTTTGAAGAGACGTTTGACCTCCGAGGTTTTGCTGATGTCCGCTTGGATTGCGATGGCTTCGCTTCCGAAGCTCTTGATTTCTTCGACGAGTTTTTCGGATCCTTCTTTACTGTTTGCATAGTTGACGATGATTGATGCTCCTCTTTTTCCCTGCCACCATAATCAGTATTGTTTTGTGACCAAATTGTTTGCACGAGGTTCAATTACAAGTTCGAGTGCAATGCCATGACCAATTCCACGACCGGCTCCTGTCACTAATGCTACCTTGCCGGTCAAAGACTTAGTGGGGGAGTCACTGGACGGCATAAGAGAATCTGTTTGGCAAATGAAGTGATAGTGCAGGAAAATGAACGAAGTATGGAGTGGCCGGTTGCAATGAAATGGACAGTGGCAGATGTGCTTATGAACACTACGTGAAAAATGGTCACACCTTTTTTCTAACTTCCTAACGTGCTTACTAGAGAATTTAGGCATGGGGTATGATTTTGTATGTAAATCCGCACCCTTGAGTTAAAATATTTGCTTTTACATATAATACCGACTAGCAGAGTTCCCGCCCACGCAAGGATTACACGTCAGCCACCAGTGTAACACCAGGCTCTTCGCTAAGTCCACCAACATTTTTGGGACCAACATGAGGCTTTTCACACCAACATTGTCACAATAAATGCATAATAAAACCTTATTGGTCTCTTCCAACGACAACGTCACAAATAGTTCACAGCTGCGCCATGATTAGAACGGCACGTTTTAGGTCACCCGCATACGTTTTCCCGTTTACTACACCATCTTCGCGTGTCAAAAGGAGTAATGAAAGTGGACAGTCACCTTGTCATGTTGGCTTAGCTGGATTCCATGAGCCTTGTCTTTTCGGTGAACATTGACATGTTGGAAAATCATGTGCAAGTCTGATAGTTCGGGCTCAACTTGATACCCCCTCCATTGCATCTCAAAATTCAACTGCAGACCACTTTCTTCTTTAATACTATCAGCACTTGTTGACTGATATCTGAAAACCTCTCAACTCAAACTTCAAGCTCCTCTATTTACCTTACGACCATGTCCTCTAATAACATTACACCGCAAGGTTCGGCAATCTTAACTTCGTGTTTTTCTCAAGTATATCATTGACAACTTTGCAGAGTACCTTGAGCTTTCAGCAATAGCATTTGAATGGGCCGATAGCTACGACTCGAAGGTAGTCACCAAAAGATTGGAAGAAAATATCTGTCTGACAACCTAACAGGACTGGACTCGTCTCGAAGCAATTCTGGCGCCGACACTTCGTGTTGACTACTCCGACATTGGCAAGCAATGCTGGCCATCTATGACAAGTGCGGACTTCCTCGCTATGGTCATGGATGTCAACTTTCTCGGCGATCCATGTGTTAAAACACAACATCTTCTCGGCGCTGCAAAATGGATTAAGAAATCTGAAGATCAGGTTGTCGGCCATCTCCAAATTAGAGCTGCTCATCAAGTTTACACGACCGCAGACTGTCGTGAAGTAAAGTTGAGAGGTCATAGTCATGCGACGAATGAGCTTTACTTTTCGAAAGTGGACGGAGTTTGGAAGTTTGCGGGACTGAAACCGAGGGTTCATTGGAATGAACATGCGTTTGAACATGTTTTCAAAGGATCATACACTGATACTGTAGCTGCCAGTTTGTAGAGTCATTGGTCTAGCTATTTGAATGAACAGAGCTACTATCTTCTCAAGTCACCTCTCAATTATATTCTGCTGTGATTATGATTAGAAGAGTTGAAGTAAAGTCACATGCATCACGACCAATCTGTATATTAAAGCAATTGAAGTCAAAGTTTCGCTCTGGAGACTACTATGGACTGCATTTGAAACACTCTCCCCCATCATTCTCGATCTTCATTTTTACTCCTTGTACGGTACCTCGTGTCGTGACTTGATGTCTAAAGAAAACCAAGCAGGTCTGACAATAGCATGCGGGGGAGGGATATCCATCCACGGAATATCAACATCTTTTCCACTTGTAGGATCCTTTTTCCTTACAACATTACATCTTGATAGCAACGTGACAGTCATAGTGAACAAGACAATCTCGCTAAAGCTCTGGCCAACGCAAGTTCTCCCACCATATCCAAAGCCTGAATGACCTTTAATTTCTGGATACTGTGTGAGAGGTTCACGGTAAGTGGGAAAGCTTGGGTCTAGCCATCGCTCAGGTCGAAATGTTTCTGGGTCTGGATAAATCGTTTCTTCTCGTGTAAGGGCCCTAAGAAATCGTGAGAATCATTCAGAATAAAGATTGATGATGACTTACCATTCTGCTGCCAAGAGTATGGTACCCTTAGGAATAAAGAATCCCTCGAAAATATCGTCTTGTTCTAAGACGTGGGGAACACCTGAGATTTATTAGCCTATAAATGATCTTGAGAAGGGGTGGCTTACCAAGTGGGACTGGTGGTCTCCATCGGAACACCTCCCGAAGGAGAGCCCGTACGATGGGCAGTTTCTCAATGTCACTGAAAGAAGGGACTTGATCGCCACATCGCATTTCAATTTCATCCTGTGCTTTCTTCTGCCATTCAGGGTAGAAACAAAACGCAAGGAGCAGATTTTGAAGAGGCGATGACAAGAGTACCGAGCCTATCATGGCGAGCATTCCGACAGAATATCCAGCTTCTTCTTCGCTCGATATGCCATGAGCCTTTCCGTCTTTGGCGAAAAGAAACTTGCCCATCCAGGAAGTAGGTGTTTCATTTTCTCGTTCGTTGTGTCGGACTTTCTCTAACTGCCCAAGCCAAAAGTTCCTTTCTGTGTTGTACCGAGAAATCTCTTGGGCTTTCCATGGTTGAAAAGCAAGTGGCACCCAGCTGGGTATTTTGGTAAGAAATGGTAACATATTCTCAATCGCTCCATCTGGAGAGATGCGAGGAATAAGATTGTCTGCATTCCACACTGATTGTTTTCCAGTCTTGAGGTCGTTGTCATCCCATGCCGCTCGAGAACTGACTCTTCCGACCTGATTCTGCACGACATCTTGCCACAAATCGGGATTGTCGATGAGGTTTGAAACCAAAGTCTGGCTCTCTTCCATTGCCAATCTGGAGACCAGTTCTTTGGAACTACTCGAAACCACGTATTTCATGAACTTTTTCCCTCGCTTGTGATCAACTGGAAAGTGTGAACTCACGCTCCAGCGAGAGCTCGAGATCGGAAAAAACTTTACCTCCTTCTCCCATCAAGGGAAGATAATGCATACTTTTTCTGCAGTTATGCATTATTGCAGGTATTTCCGGCCGATCTGAGTAAATCTTGCTGCGACGAACAAAAAGTTCCTCGATAATGCTTGGTGATGATATGACAACATGATTGATACCAGCAAGATTACACTCATAAATGTGCCCAAATTCTTGACTCCATTTGTAGAATTGTAGCCAGGGTTGCTTTGAAGGGAGATCGGGAACAGATCCTAGAATGGGAACACCTAATACAATATTATTACTAACTTCTTGATGAGGAGAATATTCTCACCTTTGGGTCCTGGCAATCTCTTTGTCCCTGGTGGATGGTATTTCTTCGAGAAAACATATTTGAAACACAAGGTCAAAAATGTCAATACTAATGCAAGAATCAGGTAAACATTCATGGAAGCCATAGTCAGGCCACCGAGGGTCGGCGATATGAGTTATTTTGAAATTGAGGTGAGGTCTTGAGCTTCGTTGGAGAAGAACTTGGCTCGGATATGCATCCACAGTCTCAGATTTGTCGTATCACTCCTATCTACCAGAAACCTCTAAGACAGACTTAGGCCAGAACTCATCGCCACCCAACGACGGAGAACCTCCCTATCCATCACCGAACGCCGAGCCATATGACCGTTCAATGCATGTACGTATAGATACACCATTTGAGAATAAGCTCGTCAAATGATGAGTCCCCAAACGGCACAGCTTTTGCCCAATCATCTTACATTCTGACCTTACCGAACTCCTTCCTCGACCATCTCACTAGATTCTAACCCCCTCAATCCTGCGCGCCATTGGAGTGACTCGCTTTCATAGCTCGTTTTTAGGATACTTTGCGTGATTTTCATTGCGATAATGCAGTGTGATTTCGATAGTCACTCACCGGGGGCGGGAAAGTCACTTCAAAAACTCCGACCTGCAACCATCAAGTTTTGGATGCTCTTGCTGAAAACCTCAAATTGATAATGCAGTGTGATTGGGAAAGCCACTAACAAGTTCCTCGCTGTGTGAGGCCAATAAGATACCCAAAATCCATCGGTGACTGCTTTGGAACTTAGAAATCAGTCAAAAGTCCGGTAAAGACTAATTCTAGACCGTGGCCAACGTTCAAATGAGGAGTCACTCATGGTAAAACAAACCAACACCAACAAGCGACCTATTCCAATAACCCTACAGTTATGCCTCTTTCTTATTCCGACCTCTACCTGTCGCCATGTTCAGATTGTTAAACGAGTCAAGGCGCTTAAGAACCAACAATAGGCGTCACTGATCACACCCTATTCTTTCAGCTGATTGAAAAGCAAGGAAACTTTGCGAGTAGTTGGTCTGTTCTGATCTGAGATTGGGTAGTGTACCTTTCAATACTTCTTATCTCTTCGTAAAAACTTACCTGAATGGTACCCACACTATTTATGGCGAAAAATGTCACTGCCTCATTGAACACGGCTGGAGGCGGTTATCAGTTTGTTCAAATGCATAGCCCAGTTTAAGCCTAAACCCTAACAATTTCGTTATCACTTGATACCACCTCAAGCGTTTCGTAAAAGTAACCAACAGCAAAGTTGCCCTGGTTCTTACGAGAGAACCAGTAGTGTCGCAATGCGTCAAAATATACGCGAGGTCATCATTCTTAAAACCGCCAAGGCTTCTGTAAATCCATAAGCCGCGGGGTATGCAAGACAGCCATGTGCCGTTGGAGATTCCATCGATCCGGCCGAGTACAGAAGAGTGTAACCACACTGCTGGTAGCGTATGTTGGAATTTTGCAAGGGTAGTGCTGCAGCCTTATCGAGGTTGAATATTGTTGGAGAAACTCGCTTAATCGGGCTCAGCATGTTATTTCGACATTGCATGTGATCCGTTATTCTTTATTTTGTTGGAATCATGATGTTAAGGCAGCAAGGAAGATGATTATGTGTGGTGTCAAGTACATGGAAAGAATCGTACTGACGTAAGCCGAGTATTACATTATGGCTCGTCATGCTGACCCAGTACTCTGTACGCAAGTCCGCCTCGGCTGAGGCGAGGGTTCTTGTGTGTTGTAAATAATTCTGGTCATTTTCTATGTCTTGGAAAAAGAGGTAGTTATATTAGTGTATGTAGGGCCTGGAAGTCAGGCAAACCAAGTAGCTTCCATTTTCCTAGGAGAACAAGTTGAACATGATAGAATTCTTTAGTCATTGTTCAAATTGCTAGTCTAGTGAGATTAAGGATGTTTTTGTTTAGAAATCTCAGGAAATACAATATTCATTTGATGTGAGGTGTTGTGAAGGTAGCGAAAACAAACAAAATGCTACCTGAAAAAAAGTTTATATTTAACAAAATAACTCCATTCAACTATAATCACATTTTTGTTTTAAAGAAAGAAGACCACAGACTGTGAATTTTTTGGTCTGAAAAACTTCTCTGACGATTTTCAGACGAGGCCCAAGATTTTGTTCAAGAAAACAACGTGTTGTAAATGTTGTTGATGTAAACCTCTTACTCTTTGGAGGCCCAACTTTACTGCTCGTATATGACAAATAAATCTCAAGGGTTTTGTCATCTCATTGTAAGTAAACAAATGCTTGCCTGTCTTACTGACTATAAAATTGAATAGTCTGGAAATCCTTCTCTTGCGCATTGGACAGATTCAGGTGGTTCTTTAATGACATATAGACAGGTTCAACCAAACAAAAACTACACGTGAAGGGGAATTGTTTGGCTCATGTAAGGAACACTAAAACTAGGATATTGGATCATTTTAGAACGCGGCACAGCACATTGTACGAAGGAGCCAATCTGTAAATTTGATGGACAAGAATCAAACGACCCCAAAAGTTCAAAGGTGATACAGAAGAAGTCTATTGAACAACAACGTAATTTCATTTCACGAATCATTTTAATGAATAGTCAAAGCATTTGCCAAACTAGCAACTCCTCCAGGACTATTCAGCGGAGAACTGATAAAAAGAAAACTCCATCGCTTCTTCGCCTTACACTGCTTCGACAACGCCTCCAAATCAAACATCTCCCCAATCAGCACACCCCACAATGCCAGCAAATACTCATGCAACTTCCAATCCGGATTTCCAGGCCACACTTCAAAAGCTGGTGCATCACCTGCTACAGCCGCAAAATAATGATCATGAAGCCACTCTTTCATCTCCTCCGACTGCTCCACACCTGCAAGATTTGGGGACTCAACGCCAGCTTCCTTAAGTCGTTGAGGATTCTCGCGTTCTAGCTCGTAATATCGGGCTGTGTATCCGCTTCGTACGAGCAAAATATCTCCAACTTCAAATGTGATACCCTGCGCTCTGGCTACAGCCTCTAGATCTTCGACCGTTATTGCGTGAGAGGTAAGAGGGTCGTAAGGCTTGCCGTTTTCCAAAGCCCAGGAGTAATAATCTAATAGTACACCTCTGCCGACGATTCCATGGTCCGACATTACGTTCATTCCGCATTTTGTGCCTTTGGTGTGTCAGCCAATAATCGAAAATGAATTGGAGAAACGTCGAGGAAACTCACCACTGAGAACTTCGGACGGATCGAGATTGTTATAGAGCTTCTTGTGTCCTATATGCCCATAATGTCGAAACCCGTCCCATTGACTGCCAGATTGTATGTTCATGTCTAACCAGTCGTCAAAGATGTATTCGCTACCTGGTACAGTTGAGATTGTGTGTTTGCATGGCTGGCGTCCGAAAGCCGGTTGCGAAGGAAGCTTGATGTCCCAGCTGTTGGAGCAAAAGTCAGTGGCATGATGCATGAAAGTTTCAAAGAATGACTTACTTGAGAGAAACAACATCTCCGTCTTTGACTTCTTTGTCTTTAGCAGAACGAATTCGCTCCGGTGTCAGTAGATTGATGCGGCCTAACTTTGCAATCTGTCAACACTGGACTTTTGATTCTTCGACTCGAAATATACGTAGGTGTACTCACTTCATCATCTTTGCCCCAGATCCAAGCTGTCTCAGGAGGTACTTCTTTGCCAGAATTGGCTGCTTTCAATTCTTTCAGTGTGGGTAGCCCTTTTGGAAACTGCGCTTTCATGTACTCCATATTTTCAAAATGTAAACAACAATGTTGCTTTTCACAAACGACAGCAATGTGATTCTTTATTAGAACCCATGACTACCTTAGTATTATCAAATATTATAATATCATCATACAAAATACTGCTGTATTCCACGGGAAATAAATTGCGACGGTGTACCCCGACCCCGCGCCAGACCCCGCACTCGATGTCACAGAGAGTTTGGTTCCTGCATTAGGTACTGCAGAACCCAAGCCGCGGCGGTGTTCGAGCAGATGGGTATCGAATATTCTTTTACCGGGTGCGAATTCACTGAAGATTCTTCCAAGGAGAAAAAATAATAGAAAATCGCATGTTGGTTCCTGATGAGTGATGCGCAGTTCTTTAGCGAGTTCATATTTAACTGAATACCATTGTTCAAGAGAGGTTTGCTTTTGAATCGAGAATCATTTTTCAGTTTGAAATTTCAATGAGGAGAATTAAGCTATCTAAGTCTAATTTAGTTTGCTTTTGCTTTTGCTACAGAAACCTTGACATCTTCTGACAGCTGCTCCCAGAAAGTCGGCCCATGTGGTTTCCATCCCAGTGCCTTTGCTCTCGCCGACTCAGCCCTACTATTTGAACCCCACAAATACAATGATCTTCCTGGATCATCTGCAGTAATATCCCCAACTTGTTTCGGAGTCCACACGACAGGCTTGCTGTTTTTTGGAAGCCAACCTTGCTCAACACCGAGTTTGTTGATTGCCTCAGCTGCATCTTTCCATGCCACACCATCCGAGACTGCGAAATAAAAGCCCTGTTACCAGAATTATTAGAGTCAATCTTCAAAGAAACCTCAAGCATATGGCTGATGGAGTTTAGCTTACCTCTCGGCCCCATTGTGCCTTGCCACCACCTTTGATTGTTTCTCCAATCAGGAGAATAAAGAGATCAACGACATCGTTGATATGTGTCACAGCTCGAATGTTCTCCCCAGCACCTAGGTAAAATGCTTCTTTCTTTTGTAACAGCACTTTGATGTACTCTGGTACCAAGAACGTCGCACGGCTCCCGATCCCTGTGTTCTGTCCATAGATATCTGGCGGGCAGATGATAGCTGTCTTCAACTTATCATTCGATGCATCCATAACATTCTGGTCAATAACATGATGTTGCGCACTTTCCGGCAAATCGTACAGCTCCTTGATTTCGGTGATGTCGTTCCACACATGTGGATTATACTTGCCTTCCCAAGTCTGCTCGCGCTCGTCGGAAATGCAGCCTGTACCGGTGAGATGGATGAGAAAGCTTGGGTTCTTATTTTTCTGAGAGCCAGATATGATTGCCTTAGCGCAGCCCGGATGGTCGATATCTCCAGTATCTAGAATGCACCGTCAGCGAGGCCTAGAGCACCCTTCGATCATGGACAACACTTACGAATAACAATATCAGCTTCTGACGCCGCTTTCTCAATCACATCAAAGCTATCGAAGTCACCTAGAACAATTTTGACTTTAGGATATCGCGACTTGAACTCTGGAACTGGTTTTCGTAGAAGGGTTGTAATTTCCAATTGAGGGTACTCTTTGATTATCTTTTCCAGAACGCTGCCACCAATGTAGCCCGTCGCACCGGTCCTGGTGGGAGTTAGCTCGAGATTTGAGTGTGGCTCCCACAGGGACTTACATAAAAAGCGTTTTGGCAGGCATTTTCGGATTCATTCACTGATCTGGAGAGAAGTTACAAGAATGAATGATGTGTTTGAATTTATGTTTTGGGTAATTCAAGACGGACGAGGCTGTTCACAACTTATAAACAACGCTTCGAATGACGTTCTAGCTTTTGGATTCGACATTCTTTGAATTTTGCTGGTATCGGAAATCTAATTGCGCCCTTAACCCACTCCACAATGGAAATGCCCTGAAGTTTTGATGCTGGACCCTGGATTGGCCCCACCCCCACTCAAGCTCTCCAAGATTCCGTCACTTAGCAGTACCTTGCTACATCACTTTGCGCATCTGAGAAATCCATGTTCCAATGATGGCAAAGGACTATACTCGGGAATATGGTTCCGCGGTGATGAGGCTGCAGCCTCGGAGGGGTTGTTCATCTATCGTGTACCTGAGTAGCCATAAAGGTATAACACCTTTATGATGGCCGGGAACAGGTCGCTCAAGCTCTGCATTTTGCCAAATGAACATCGTCAAAACCTAATCACAAAATTAATCACACAAACGCAACAATGGCTCCTGGACTAGTAGAAACTGGTCTTCTTGCTGTAAATCACGATGACAACAAAAGCAAATCGCACAATCTCAAAGCCGATGTAGCTCCTGCTGAATCGCCAGCCCAAACGACATGGGAAACCAAAAAGGAAGTGACTGGGTGGATACCGGAGACTGACGATGATTTTGCGATACTTGCTGTCAGAAATCTTGTCCTTGATATTTGTATGCAGAATGGCGGCGGTCATGGAGGTTCAGCTCTCGGAATGGCTGCGATTGGCGTCGCGCTTTGGAAACATGTCATGCGATACAATCCTGCCAATTCGGAGTGGTTTGATAGAGACAGATTTGTATTGTCTAATGGTATGTCACGAAATCGCTTGTTAAATCGTGTCGATGGCTACTCATTTGCTAATAACCATTGTCAGGTCATGCAAGCATGTTCTTATATGCTATGAATCATTTAGTCGGTTATGATGCGTGGACTATGGACGAACTGAAAGGATACGGAGATGCGAAATTGAACGGATATAAGACAATCGCACATGCGCACCCTGAGATTGAAGTCCCGGGCGTCGAGGTTACTACTGGACCTTTAGGGCAGGGAATTGCTAATGCTGTTGGTCTTGCAATCGCATCTAAGAATTTAGCTGCGAACTTCAACAAGCCTGGGCACGACATTGTGAAGTCAAGAATTTATTGCATGACGGGAGATGGTTGCTTGATGGAAGGTGTAGCACTTGAAGGTAGAGTGATCGTCTTGAGGCTATGTAGGTGTACTGATGACATATAGCTATCGCACTTGCTGGACACTTACAACTCAGTAACCTCGTTTTGTTATATGACAACAATCAAGTTACTTGCGACGGACCATTGGATTGGATAAATACTGAAGATGTTAACGCCAAAATGGTAGCTTCCGGCTGGGAAGTTATTAACGTCGCCGACGGAAGATATGATGTTCGTGCCATTGTGTCTGCACTGGATTTGGCGAAAAACTCCAGCTCCAAGCCCGTGTTCATTAACATCAGGACTGTCATTGGAGTGGATATGGCCTCAGCTGGTACTGCAAAGGCTCATCACGGCGGATTTGATCAAGACAGCATAGCAGCATCGAAGAAGCTTGCTGGCTTGTTGCCATCATCTAGATACGAGATCCCGGAAAGACCACTGCAGTTTCTTAGAGAGAGTAGGGACAAAGGAACAGCTGCGGAACAGTCTTGGGACAAGTCTATGGATAAATACGCTGAGGAATATCCTGAAGAAGCTGCGGAGTTTGCGTCTCGGCAAAAAGGCACACAGGGTGACTTTGAGAAAGTCCTCAACGAGTAAGTCGCGATCTCTCTTATTTTCGGGCTACAATTTACACCCCTTGGATGCAAATTCAGAGCATTTCACTGACAGGATGTAGTCTGGACAGTAAGACATTTGCCGGTCAACCAACAAGAGAGACTAATGGTATAATTCTTGAACGATTATGGAAGGCATGCCCATCGCTTTGCGGAGGAGGCGCAGATCTCGTCAATTCAAACAAGATTGTCTACTCAGAAAACGACGTGTTCAGTAGGGCAACAAGTTTCAAGGGCCGATATATCAGAAACGGTATACGGGAGCATGCTATGGCATCGATAGCAAATGGCATGGCTGCCTACGGTCCGGGCACGTTTCTGCCAATTACAGCTACATTCTTTATGTTTTTCATCTACGTAAGTACTCAATCCATCCACCGTACGAAGAAGAGACTTGTCACCATGATCAATCAAAAAGCTGCAATAATCAAAAGCCCTTGCTAATCAACTCTCAGGCGGCACCAGGAGTCCGCATGGGCGCTCTAAGCAATCTCCAAGTGATCCATATCGCGACTCACGACTCATTCGCAGAAGGTCAAAACGGTCCTACACATCAACCCGTCGAGTTAGATTCTCTTTATCGGGCAATGCCAAACCTAAGCTACATCCGACCATGCGACGCCGAAGAGCTCATCGGAGCTTGGTCTTACGCCATGCGATCAGTTCACAACCCATCCATGATATCTGTAGCTCGAGATCCCGTAGGAGAGGTACCAAACACAAGTCGCGAAGGAGTACAAAGGGGTGCATATGTCATTCAGGAGAATTCAGATGCTGCAATCACCCTCGTAAGCTGTGGCTCGAATCTCCACTACGCCGTCGCAGCCGCGAAGAAGCTGGAACAGAAAGGTACCAAGTGCAGACTCGTCAGCGCTCCTTGTCTTAGTCTCTTCGATCAACAGGATAGCGAATATCGAAAGAGCGTGTTCCCCCTGGATGGAAAACCAATCGTGAGCGTGGAAGAATACGTGGCGACGACATGGGCAAGATATGTGACGGCTAGCATTGGTATGACCAGCTTTGGCTACTCTGCATCGAATGAGAGCAATTATGAGAGATTTGGTTTGGATACCGCGGGAATCGAGAAGAAGGTCAATAAATACCTCAAGTCATTGAATGGCGGCAGTGCGAGGGAGGCAGGATGGCAGCAACTATAAGCCTAGTTTTTCGCTCATTTGGTTTTTTTGTATAGCCAGCTTAAAATAATCTACTAAAACACTGAATTGTATATTATCATTGCTGTTGAGTTTCTGGTTTCGCGTCCTCAACTCATAGGTACGTCAATCCTTTTGCAGTTTGAAGAATCTTCTGGCATACAATCCCGTTACTCTCGATTGTTTAATCGCTATGAATATTCTACAGTCTCAAAAGCATCTTGGAGGGTGCCCAGACAACTCTAAGATTCTACAAAACTTTGGCAAGGGAAAACTCCGCCGGTCACTTTCTCCGCAACAACATAGGCCTGCGAAATACTTCCAGGCGCCCTCCAAAAAAACTGGTACAAGATCAACATTTCCAAATCGTATTCGCCCCAACAACCATTACATACCGATCACAATCATACCCTTTCCAAGCCCTTCCATCTCCGCCGTGCCAGACGTATCTCCGGAGTCAAGATCCCATGGCTTTCACAAATTAATCGATCATCGCCAATAAGTTGCAGTAAACATGTAGTTTCCACCGATCCCCGTTTATGCATTTTACCCCTACCATCTGGGTCCCACGGATTTGGTATCCCTCAAAGCGCGGGGAAGTACCCCTCCCCACACCCCAGTTTCTGCAGTCCCCCTTGACAGTGCCTAAGCGAGCCCCAGACTCCGCGGGATTGGTGTCCCTGTGCTGTCGCCGAAGCTTCCGAAGCAAAGCAGGTGAAAGCGATTTTTTGTTGCATGCTTCAGTTTGGATTCCGATCGGCGTGGTATGATCGTCGATAATTTGGATCTAGATTGGGATTAGCTGATGATGGGGAATTTGGAAGTTGAGGTGGAGGTAAAGGACTGGAATTTAAGCGAGATATGGGAATAGGAGGGTTATGATATGGGGAAGTTGTATCTGAAACATTAAATTTCTTGAGGGCAGGAAGAAAATGATGGCATGTTTGTGATTTCGTGAGATTTAGTTTTTGATACTTTGAAGTGATGAAAGGGCCAGTTACACAAGCCCCCTGTGGACTCTTTGGATCCTTACTTCCAAGTTTGGTATTCTTTGTGGAATATAATTGTCAAGGTTAGCTTTGAAACACGAATCAGTATATGTTCCAATGAGAATTCTATAAACTGCTTTGTCAAAGCGACATTTTCTTGGAGTGTTTGCACATTATGTTAATTTGCAAATATCATGATGTACAAGTGATCATAGAGCCTACCACAAACATCACAACACAAAATAACTAGTGAGAATTATGTAATTAACAACATTTACAACACGAGTACAGTACTTCCAACCCTTCTCCTTCTACTGCGCCATATACCCCCCATCAAGCGTCAAACAACTCCCATGCGCAAAATTACTCCTATCCCCCAACAACCACACCACACTCTCCGCCACCTCCTCGGGTCTTCCAAACCTCTTCATGGGGGTCCAATCATTCACTTTCTTCAGCGCGTTATTCCGCATCTCTCCAGGGACGGAAGTTAATGGCGTCTCAATATACCCCGGCACCACGGCGTTGGATTTAATTTCAGGATGGTCGAGCGCGCTGGTACGTGTTACGCCAACGACGCCGTGCTTGGCTGCTGTGTAGGCGCCTGAGTGATGGCCGCCTGCTACGCCGAATAGGGAGGCGATGTTGACTATTGAGCCGCGTTGGAGTGGGGCGTATGTGCTGTTTTTGTATCAGCATCTGCTCAAATATTATAAACAGCAAACAGCTCAACTTACCTCGCTGACTCCCTCGCTTTCTGCCCACTCATCACCAAAATCTCCTCCCTAACACACAACCAAACCCCCGTTAAATTAACCGCCATCATCTTATTCCAATCATCAATCTTCCCCTCAGCAATCGGTCCCTTCACCGCGCCAATCCCCGCAACATTCGCCGCGAAGTCAATCCTCCCGAACTCCTGCACGACTTTGGCGACCATATCCCGCACGGATTTCTCGTCCGCGACGTTGACGACCACGGTGATGCATCTGAACTCTGGATTCGTGGCTACGTCTTCGAGTTCTTTTTTGACTTTGAGGAGGCCGGTCTCGTTGACGTCGGCGAGGGCGATGCCGAGACTGTGTTCGCGCGCGAGGAGGAGGGAGGTTGCGCGGCCGATGCCGGATCCGCCGCCGGTGATGAGGGCGTAGCCTTCGACGCCGAGGGCGGATTTAGAGGGCGAAGCTGTGATGATTGAACCCATGATTGCTTATTACTTTGGTTGATCTGAATTTGTTGGACTGGTTGGGTGCTTTTGTGTAGTTCAGGTCTTGGGATAGACGTAACACCAAGGGGAATCAGCAGAGTTATAACTCCATTTTGGCGGAATTCAAATCCCACGACCCCACGGATAGCGGATGTTCTGTGACTACTCGGCTGAAGTCATGTGTATTCTCTCGTGAAACTGCAGCTGGTGATTTCCTGATCGCTGGATGGTAGCTTTTGGGATTAGGAATGCAGAAGTCGAAACGTTTGGCAGAATGTTCGCTTAAAGTGCAATTTTGAAAAGCTTCTAACTAGTCTCCCGTGTACATTATTCAGTGAAATAGGTTGCATTTCAAGGCAATTCATTGATATCTTTAAACTTAAATGCGCATCTAGCTACTACTAGACCTTCGTCTTCGCAAGAAACCCCAAAACGAATAATGTTACAGTAAAAACCATGTACTTGGAGAAAACCGCCGCCGTAACATCCCGTGCCATGGTTTTCATAAACCAATGTTTATCCCCATCTCTCAAGTCATAATCAGCAAATCTAGGAAAGAAAGTCTTCCGCCAGAAATCTGACGCGTATCCTGGCCAAGAAGCAGAGTTGTGCCCAGCAGAATTGATGTACCAATTCGAGCATCCAGCTGAGAATACAGAGCCCTTAAGTTCCTGCTGGATAGAATTCGTATGGTAGTCCTCCGCTTCCTCTTTCACCTCAATGATTGCAGCCCGGTCTGACATGAGGGTTTTGAAGAGCGTCTTGGTAACGTACTCAACCTGCACCTCGCAGCAAAAGAGCGCCGAGTTGTGCGCTGGGAATGTGTTGGGACCGAACAGGATGACGAAGTTTGGGAAATTGTGCACGTAGGTACCGAGATAAGCTTGAGCACCCTTGCCACTTGCCCACTGGTCCTCAAGTGTCTGGCCGGTCTTGCCAACGATTTTCATAGGTGTCAGAAAATTCTGCACCTGAAAGCCGGTCGCGAGTACAATTATGTCGAATTCGTCCCTCACACCGCTGGTACTGGTGATACCGGTAGCATCAATTTTCTGAATCCCTTCGGCAACGAGATCCATATTACTGGAGTGCAGAGAATCGAGATAGTCTGGGTCGAAAATCCGTCGTTTGCAACCAAGTGGGAATGTTGGGACAATCATCTCATGATATTTCTTTGGCGTTGTTTTGTATATGTAGTCCTTCGCACTGGCTTCGGCAGCTAATCTCTTCTTTTCTGCTTTTGGACCAGATAGATACGTTGAAACGAGGTTGTCATTGGCTTGGAACAACCGAAGTCGGTGTAATCGCTGCCAGAATGGAATGTACCGGAAGCATGCCTTCTCAAATGCTGTAAAACGATGGTTCGGCCGTTCATGGTACCACTGTGCGCTCCTTGCATACCTGAGAATCATTAGTTCTGAAGCAATAGAGATAGTGGAGATGCATACTGTTTAACATATGCCACTTTGTTCACCACGTTTGGCACCACCTGCGCCGCGCTACAGCCGTTTCCGATAACTGCCATACGCTTCCCGGTATAGTCATATGTATGATCCCAACGAGCTGTGTGAAACATCGCTCCTTTGAAGTCCTCCATTCCCGGGAACTTGACGTTCCTAGGCTCAGAGATACCCCCGACAGCAGACACAAACACACTCGCTTCGCGTGTAAAGCCGGTACCTGTCTTGATGTCTATGAATTTGACTTCCCATCTTCCTTTCTTGCCGACCCAAGTGGCCCCAGTGCAAGCAACATTAAAATTCATATGTGCTCTCAATCCGAATTTATCTACAGTTTTTTCCATATCTGTTTGTTCTTAGAATATTGTCTCACGAATTTCGGGGGGGAATTCGTACACTGGAGAATTTCCGCTTGATCGCATAGCTCTCTCGACCAATCTGGATTCAAGTCGAAACTGAACGAATACAAATGTGAGGGAACATCGCAGCCACTATTTTAGTTAATAAAACAATCTTTCTGCTAGAATTGTTGTTTACATACCAACCTGGATAAGTGTTTGTTCTCCAAGTTCCTCCCGGACCGTCGAGCTTTTCAAAAACCTCGAAATTGTTAAAGCCCAGTTTCTTCTTCAAAGAATGAGCCATGGAAATGCCTGATGGCCCAGCTCCAATAATGATAGCATTTGCGTCTCTTCCGTGTGATGCCATGATGAATTGGTGCAATTGACGGGTATCTTTTCGCAAGTCGCAAAAGAGTGGAGGACCGCTATCTGGAAGATATGTTATAAGAATCTCGAGCTTCAAATGAAATCATGACTTTGGACAAGTAGAATTAATTCCGTGCAATAAGCGCTCCTGCGGGACCACTTTCCCTAAGCTCCAAACTCTCATGACGGGCTCAGTGGCGCTCAGCAGGGGTTCTGGTGGTGGCTGGCCCCAACACGTATCGCTGTGGGAGTCGAGTTCCCTGGAACTTGCTCTCCGTGTCAGACGAAAGCTTCCGACACCTCTATCGTACAGTGGGCGGACATCACCTAACCCCACACTGTATTAGCGCATCCCCACACGTCTGGGGATGCACTGGGGAAGCCTGGAATTCCTCGTTGCGAAGGCGGGGATTCTACATGGAACAACAGTCGATGCTGAAATTCTGTTTACAGCGCCTTTTATACAAGCATGACCAAGGTCAAGGCGCGAGCAATTCTTGGGCAGTGACTTCAACATAAAATTCAGCTGTTCCCTTCCTTTTTGGTCAGTTTGGCTTCTATTCACTATAATATTGAAGGCCTCAATCAGTGGCTTGATCAGAGCAAAATAAATCACCTTTTCTCCGCAACTATGGGTTTCACACAGATCCATGGCCGGTCGATGTACCGGCTGATGAGTATATGTTGCTCTCTGGTAGGCATTTCCAACATTTCATCGTGGACAATAACTAATTATTTCAGTCCTTCTGCTTGTACGGATATGATGCAGGTGTTCTCGGTGGTGTCCAGAACACAAAACCCTTCCTAGACGCGCTTGGTGTGAGTCAAACCCGATCAGCCATCAAACCTTTGTTGATAGTCGTGCCAGAATCCTACGGGAACCTATGTCATCCCCATGGTGGCATCTTCCTACGTTCTTGCAGCTACCGTATGCTCAGTTGGTGTCATGTTCTTCGGAATGAATCTCGGACGTCGTATGTGCATCATTCTCGGGAATGTCTGCGTTATTATTGGTAGCGCCATTCAAGCCAGTGCCATGGGCGTTCCACACATCATTGTCGGTCGTATCGTCTGTGGATTTGGGATCGGATTTATCTCTTCGACAAGTCCAACATATATGGCTGAGATGAGTATCACGGCGGCCGAACGTGGTCCAGAGGTTGCACAGCAGTGCTCCTGGCTGATTGCCGGAATCGCTATTGCATACTGGATCGACTATGGTTTTGTTCAGCTCAACAATCAGATTTCATGGAGGTTTCCAATTGCCTTTCAATCATTCTTTGCTATCCTTTCTCTCGCTGGTATGATCATTCTACCAGACACTCCACGTTGGTACTATGCGAGAGGTCGCTTAGCCGAGGGGGACTCAGTTCTTGCTCGTCTCCACGACCTACCCCTGGATTCTGACGCTGTCCAGCAACAGAGGACAGAGATTCTGACTAGTATCGAGATGGAAGAGCACGAGGAGAACAAGCTCAAACTCATGACATTCATCTGGGATAATACCGAGCTTCGTGTTGGTCGTCGTATCAGAATTTCCTTTTTGATCCTTTCACTTCAGCAGATGATGGGTAAGTCCAAATTCCTAACCTGTGACTGTTCTGAGGGAACATGGCTAATGAATGATCGATAGGAATCAATATGCTGGTGTACTTCTCGACAAGAATTTTCTCAAACATCGGCTACTCTGACAACCTTTCTCAACTGCTGGCTGCCGTTATGAACACCGGATTCTGGATTGGTACTATACCCACGATCTTCACAATTGAGAAGTTTGGACGTCGACCAATCATGATATGGACAGCAATCGTCTGTGCAGCGTCGATGCTTCTCTTCATCATCATGATTGCTCTTCCGAACCCTACTTTGGCAACACAATGGACCGCTGTCGCAGGTGTCATCGTATTCAATTTTGCCTTCGGTTACGGTTGGGTCGGATGTCCATGGCTTTATGGTCCAGAGGTATGTACCACGACAATCCATATCCTACCAAGAAAACTAACGAGAGATAGATTGCACCACTCAAGTACCGTCATCTTGGAGGAGCAGCTGGCTCTACCGGTGAATGGCTGTTCTCATTTATTGCGGTCTTCGCTGGTGGAATTGGTATCGAGACCCAAGGATGGAAGATTTGGATATGGCAACTCGTAGCCTGCATTGCCATCATCTTTTTCGTGTACTACATGTGCCCAGAAGTATGTCACACTCTCGTATTTGCACTTGGCGTCATGCTAACAATTTCTAGACGAGTGGAAAGTCGCTTGAAGAGATTGATATGCTCTTTGCTCGGCCAAATCCCCGTGATGCTACTTGGAGGGCAGAGAATGGCTCGGATCAATCTGATGAGAAAAAATCGGCAAGCGCGTCCGAGATCGAGAATAGCCACTAGAACAGCTACTGATTGGTACTACAGGTGGGATTGGCGGACCATGAGTCTAGGCTGTAAGTTTTGACTGGATAAGGCGTCGTATTGTGGTGGCAGTTTATGTATCTACTTGGCAAATTAGAATGTAAAAGCTATTTTTGTGATCAATGTGTGCTCATGTTGCGTACCCTGATTTGAATGACGAGCTTGGCACAGTGTTCCAGTTCAGTCAGGAATACTCACGATGGTAAGGCGGAAGATATCTTAGCCGTGCATGATCACGGAGACATGTCCAGATTTTCCCAGACCGTATTTGGGAATACCATAGAGCCTAGACGGACTCCGAGAAGACGGCCAACTAGTTGCAGCAAACGAGGTTGCTTGATAATGATGACCCAGCAACACTGGAGGCAAGACAGGTGATTAATAATTGTTCTCAGGAGGCGAAAAGATGTGGAAAACGGTCATAAGCGGTCGTGCTAGCCAGAATTGTGACTCGTGATTTGTGATGTTGAAATAGATCCACGCAAAACAGCTCCAATGATCTTGTCTTAAAACGCAGCTCCGGATCTTGAGTGGGATGGTATGGGCCGCTGGTCGACGAAAGGGGTTAGCGTGATGCTTAGTAATCAGTCCAAAAAGTGAAACTCCCGAGGTCGTTCACGAGAGACTCTTCATGTGTATTACATCCTTGCTTGAACATCACATTGCTATGATTATCTTTGAACCATACATTCTTTCCATCGCTGGGTTCGAAATTGGCAGCCATGCCATCATCAAGGAATGCATGCCGGTGCGCTAATAGCAACACACTGTGCACAATGTGGCCAACTTTCCAGTATGCACTCCACAATCCCCACGGCTTGGGATGTCATGTCCTGGACTGCTGGCCGAGACCCAGCTGACAAGCATCCTCCCTCACGTCTTCTCGCTCTAGCTCCACTATGAAGGGCGGGGAAGAACGGGGTTGAGCTTCTGCATCTTCTCCTAATCTCCTTTCAACGTCCTCTGAGATTTTCGCTACAATAACCTCTCCAATTACCCGTCATGTCCCACGACACAACAGGCCAAGTGCAGAAGCATATCACGACAGCTTGTACATACTGCAGGCGTCGTAAGGTGAAGGTACAGAATCTCAGCCTGTGAAAGCCGCACGTGATACCGCTATAAAACGTTGATAGAAAACTCAAACTGACTCAGTGTGTTATACCTACAGTGTGATGGAGTGTCGCCGACATGTTCGAATTGTAGACTCTACAAACAGACATGCGAGTATAATCTTGGCGAAGATAGGCGCAAGTAAGACATGAGAGCCTTCCTGTCATGGCCTGCAAGCACTGATAATTGCCTAGATTATCCAAGAAGAAGCACATTGAATCGCTGTCACAGCGTATACAGCTTTTAGAAGAGCTATTACGGCTTAATGGAATCGAATTTCCCCCCGATGAAAATGACAAATCGCCGCCCAGCGAAGGTGCAGCCGCTAACAGTACATCAAAAGATACCAAAAGATCGTTAAATGGGCAGAGTGCTCCTCAGGAGCAAGGGAGTTATCAGCTCCCACCCACTATAATCCCGGATAACTCACTTGCTTCACAAACAGGGAACTTGGTCCAGCAAAGTGAGTTCCAAATGGATTTTATGTCAAATGATGTCCCGCAACAAGATTATTCTATGACTTGGGATGTCTTCATGCCTGAACAGAAGTCATCTCAGATTACCTCGTCAACAAATCCGCTTCATAATGAGTTTACAGGAGGTATTTCCGACGCTGCATGGCCTCCTCAAAACCCAGTCGGAAATGTAGACTTTGCCTATGATGATGGGACAGCAGTGACACCGTTATCGACCAACAATCTTTCTCATGTCATAGGTAGTCACGAAATACCTCAAATTCAAAAATTGAACAATGGGTCTCGACGCACCCATTCTTTCACAGAGTGGCATGATGATAACTCATGGGCACCCCAAGATAATTTACGACATATTCCCGCCCTGGAGCTACCTCGTAGCGATGAGATGATTGATCAATTATCAGCACGAATGGGGTCGTTTCAGATTGCGGAAGACGGACAACTCCGTTACTTTGGAGCTACGTCAAACCTTCATATCTTACATAATGGAGCATCATCCTTATCGAGCACTCCGACCCGCTCAGTGCGTACAGAGGGCGCATTGGCTTTGCAACGTGCTGGTCTGGCGCAGGAAGTTTCTCCAGAATTTGAGCAACATCTGGAGAAGTTGTATTTTTCGTGGGAGGATCCTGCAATTCATGTTGTAGACAAAGAAATGTACTACAGTGAGCAGGAGAAGTATAACAATGGGGAGGATGGCACCTCATTCTACTCAGAGACTCTGAAGAATGCCATATGTGCCATTGGTGCAAATTTAACTCCAAAGTCACGACAAGGCCTCCTAGAGTCCGATCCAGAGTTGTTCAGTTCCCGAGCAAAGACTTTACTCGAGATAGAAATGGACAGTCCGTCAGTGGCTACGGTGCAGGCCCTGGTTATCATGAGTGCATCCGAGGCGGCTTTCACGAGAGATGCTAGAGGCTGGATATACAGTGGCATGGCTGTCCGTATCAGTGCCGATCTTGGTCTACATCTGGATCTGAGTCGTCATGTTCAGGATGGTCAGCTCACCTCACATGAATTAGACGTACGGAGGACTACCTTTTGGGGGGTATTTATCCATGACAACATGTGGAGTCTTTATGTCGGGCGACCATGGGGGATCAATATTCGGGATATTTCGATCTCTAGGCCTCCTACTGGTCTGGACAGAGTAAGGAACAAGATATGGAAACCATATTACGACGAGATGGACGCCGCGGATTCTGAGAATGAAAAGCCAGGTCTTTACGATCCCGTAGAGGCTTGTGCTGATAGCAACGTGTCATTATGTGCGATGATGAGGAGACTGAGTCGAATTCTGTGGGTCTTGAAATGTGTGTCTAAACCGTGTGCTGACTTTGTTACAGCTATAGCGGCCGGGATCTGTCAGACGCAGAGTTACGTGACTTTGCTTCTGACATGCGACGCGAATTTGCTCAATGGCACGAAAGTCTCCCCGAAGAACTTGCTGTCGATCTTCTCAATGATGAAAAGATGTATCTTCCACATGTATTACAACTTCAGTAAGCAGTGTCACTAATTACCCATTCATTTCGCTAACAATTATCAGCATGCAATTTCATGCAGTCTCAATCTTCCTCCATAGACCTTTCTTCTCTCGCAATGTCAGAGATCAAGAAGTATCTACTCAAGCTCAACGTTCCTGCGTGGAAGCCGCCCAATCTACTACTAAGCTTCTTCGTATTTACAGAAAACAACATACACTTCGGCAGACGAATATTCAAATTGTACATCTTCTTTTTACAGCTTCTCTCATTCATATTTACAACACGTGCAGCAGCTCTGGCAAAGCGGCTGAAACTGCCATGGCGGACTTGCAATTCTGTTGTCAGGCACTCGGTGAGATAGGCGTGGCATACAAGAACTCAACGCGGGCCCTCGAAGTCATTATCTGTATCAAGCAAGAGTGGCAGCGGAAGGCGAATGCAATGAGGCGGAAAAGAACCGGCTCAGTGGTAAATCTTCATAACGGCGAGGGAATGCAGCGGAAACGCCGGGTTACGGACGATAGGCAGCGTGAGAGGCCGCGAATAATCCAGCCGACCGATGAACCTGCCCAATACGATGCGTGGCAGGATTCGCACCAATTCGGACATGATAACAGCATCAATCGGCTGGCTAGGGATATATTTCCTGTAGTAGGCACATTTCCAGATGAGTCTTTTGGGTACGGATTCTTGAATACGGAAGCGTCTAATGGGAATATGCGGAACGGCAGTGTCAACGGCGGATGAAGGAGCAACCTTCCAGAGTGGTGATTAATACCAATCGTTTTCAGCGGGATTCAGGTGGAATTAGCAACATCAGAAGAAGAATGAGGTTACTTCGCCAAACGTCAATGGGTGTTCGAAACACCCCTTCAGATTAAGGAGTAGACAAGAAAGGTCATACCGAAGTCCCATCACATTTGGTTCATCTCGGTGTCTTATAATCTAGAAGTCGTTGCTCGCATGGTAGAGTCGGCGGACGTTTATGTCAACCGATTCGGATTTTGGAGGATAACAGCGAAATGGGTGGAGGCGAAGTGAGCAGTCTGAAGTCTGAAATTAAACATATGACACTGTCTGGGTTTACGAAAGTCGCTATAATGAGACTGATTTCAGTCGAATCGTCCAGCATGCAATCCACCCGTGATCATCATATCAGAAGCGGTTGTGTACGCTGAAGCTTCACTCAACAAATACACTGCTGCACCCATAAGATCCGTTCTTTCGCCCATCTTCTTCATCGGCGGAGCATCTGTAAACAGCTCCAGCAGTCGCGGCGATTGCAATCCTACCTTGGCCGTCATATCCGTGCGAATATAACCGGGTGAGATACTATTGACACGGATATTAAACGGACCCAATTCTACTCCCAAATGCACGCTGAGACTTTTCACAAACGCTTTCGACGCGCCGTATGCGGGCATTGTTTGCGCTGGGATGGCCATGGTGGCTGCGATGGAGGAGATCATGATGATACTTCCTTTTCCGCGAGACTTCATGTGTTTTGCAGCTTCTTGCGCACAGAAAAATGTCCCCATTTGCTGAGCATGGCGTCTTTAGTGAGGCTCGACGTAATGGTTGGAGCTGGACTCACATTGACCATCTGCACTTTCATCGTCTCATCCCATCCGTGTTCGAGGAACGGTTTATCGAGTACAATTCCCGCGGCAGTGATGCTTCGTCTGTTAGCAGCACAGTCGATAGCGAGGGGTGCTTACCAGCCATCAATTCCACTAAATTCATCTGCTATCGCGCGAAACACGCCGATAATCTGCGCATGTTCCGTCACGTCTACTCTAACGATACGCCTATCAGTACATACAAGCACTTCAAAGATTCTTAGCTTACTTGTAGTATTTGGCCTTAATGCCAAAATTCTTCAGTTCCGCGAAGTCCTCGTGCGGTTCAAGCAATGCGTCTATAACCGCGACATTGCTTCCTGCTTGCGCTACCGCGAATGCGAGCGCAAGACCGATACCACGGCCGCCGCCTGCAAAGTATTATTATCAGCATTCTTAGACCGCTTTTGGAGTATCAAGATAAAACGCACCTGTTATCACGGTAGTGTTTCCCTCCAAGGACAGCAGATCCTGTACTGTGCAGGTTTTATATGTTCGGTCTGCAGCAACCGGGGTTCCGTCTCTTAGTGTTGCTTCACCGTTCATGATTGAAAGTTGGATATAAGATTTGGGGGTTTAATCTATTAATTTCCAAAGCGTTCTCTACCAGAATTTTCCAAACAAACAGTTGACCACGAACGAACGCATTTCCGTCAGCAACATCGAACCACTCTAGTCACCTGCTCTACGATTAAGCTACCTACGTAGTGCAAATCGCCTCCTCGAAATCGAAATCCGTCGTATTCAACAACCACCATCATATCTTCCCCTCCTCTGGAACTCACTCAGACTTTGAAATATGCTGCACCTGGACGTCGGAGCGTCGGATTGGCTGAATGAGAAGGAAAAGTGGGACGGAATTTGAATTCCGCTGAAAACGCACCCCTGGCCCTCATCCCCGCTTTCCGAACAGCCCTAGTATCTTTCTCCATGATTTCACAGCACCAGCAAATGCGGAGATGGAGGTGTAAGGTTGCTGGGAATTTGATTTACGCTTCGGGCACGTGAAAAAAAAAGACAACTTGTACGACTCGGGGCCTAGACTCCAAGAATTCGATTTTGTGACATGCTCGGTCTAGACGGCTCATATTTTTGGCATCGATGGCTATTCGTTGAATGATGCTTCATGATTTCGAGTCAGTCATATTCACGCACTTGAGGTCCTTGATCCCCTTTGATTGTCTTTGAATGTGTTTATATTTCCAAGACTTTCAGGTGATTGCTCGGGTTGTTGTTCTTTGGTGCAAGCAAATACGATGTTCCTTCCATGCCAAACACAACAACATTCATCGGCTCTCCTGCTTCGGGTTGCTCATCCACGGAAATCGTCAACCGCCGGAGTGTTCATTGATCTGTCACGATGTGGTTCTCTGTGTATACTTCATTCCCACGGGATCGCTACAGGAATCATAGTCGGCAAGTATCGTCGTAAGTGTAGTTGAATGAGTACCCGCTTTAATAGCATATGCGCATGCGAGTGTTTTGTCTATATATAATTTATTGCCATTTTCATTTTGATCTTCTACTATTTTGGCAAGCTCGACCTGGATATCTTAAGCATTGAAAATGGAGAACGGTAACAGCTTGACCAATGGTCACTCGAACACCAACCAACTGAGTGAGGTAAATAAAGTCCTTCCCAAAATCAATCGTGTCTTTGCTGATATTAAAAGCTGGCCGATAAGTCCCTATTCATCAGCGACTCATTTGTGGATGGTGCTTGGATAAGCACAGAGCGTCAATTCGATGTCTTCAGTAAATCACCATATTACCCAATTTCCTTAATTTTGCTGACAAAACGAACAGATCCGGCGACTGATGAGAAGATCAGCTCTGTAGCGAGTCTCGACCGAGATGACTTCATTAAGGCTATCAAGAGCGCGCATGTTGCACAGAAGAAATATTATAAATCCACAACCGCACCGGCTCGTGGTGCTTTGCTGAGGAGATGGTATGAACTTATAATGGAAAACAAGCGGGATTGTAAGCTTGTTATTCAGATCTCTGTCTGAAATGAAGCTAACTTATTGTGCAGTGGCAACGATCCTGTGTCTTGAAAATGGAAAGACATTTGCAGAAGCCGAAGGTGAAGTTGTGTATGCTGCAAGTTTCATATCTTGGTTTGCAGATGAGTCTGCCAGATCTTACGGTGATACCATTCCTTCATCATCACCAAACACATTTATATATACAGTAAGGCAACCAGTAGGGGTTTGCGGGATCATTACACCGTGAGTTATACCTCCAGAGACACGCTATTTTATTCACTAAAATTTCTCAGATGGAATTTTCCCGCCGCAATGATCACAAGAAAAGTCGCTCCCGCACTCGCAGCTGGCTGCTCTGTTGTCATCAAACCACCTAGTGAGACACCGCACTCATGTCTTGCGTTTGTCAAACTTGCAGTGCAGGCTGGCATTCCCGCAAACTGCATCCAAGTCTGTACGACCAAAGACCGCGAAGCAGCGACCGAGCTGGCGACAAATCCATTGATTAGCAAAATCAGTTTTACCGGTTCAACAAACGTGGGCAAGATGTTGGCAAAACTTGCGACGGGTACGCTTAAGAAAGTCAGTTTGGAATTAGGTGGTAATGCGCCGTTCATTGTGTTCGATGATGCGAATTTGGATATCGCGGTTGAGGCAGCTATGATCTGTAAATTCAGATGTACAGGACAAACCTGCGTCACGTAAGTAGATCCCTCTCCTTCAACCTACCATAAAATAATCAGCATACCCTAACACCCCCCCCAGCGCCAACCGTCTCCTCGTCCAAAAAACCATCCTCCCCAAATTCACAGCCGCCCTCGTTGCCAAAGTGAACGCCCTAACCGTCGGCTCCGGCTTCGACACCACCGTCACCCAAGGCCCCCTCGTCAACAAATCCGCCGTCGCAAAGATACACGAACACGTCACAGACGCCATCGCCAGAGGCGCAACCCTCGAAACAGGCGGCAAACCTCTCGATCGTCCAGGCTGCTTCTTCGCGCCCACCGTCCTCTCGGGCGTCACCACATCCATGCTCGTCGCGAGCGAAGAAACGTTCGGGCCACTCGCCCCGATTTTCGCATTTGAGACTGAGGAGGAGGCGGTGCAGTTGGCGAATGATACGGAGTTTGGACTTGCGGGGTATTTGTTTAGTAGGGACGCGAGCAGGGTGTATCGTGTTGCGGAAAGATTGGAGTGCGGGATGATTGGCGTTAATACGGGGAAGATTAGTGCGTCCGAGACCCCGTTTGGGGGGGTTAAGCAGAGTGGGTATGGGAGGGAGGGGAGTATGTATGGGTTGGAGGAGTATCAGGTTTTGAAGGCTGTTACGGTGGGGGGTTTGGATCGGTAGCGAGGTAAGCGTAGGAGGGGGACTTTTGTGTGGGCTGCGTCGGGGGTTGTGATGGTTTGTTTATTCTATGGTCGGGATGTTGAATAGTTTGGGTTCTCATACGGGTGGCTTTGTCAATATACCTCTTTCAGTATCATCCCGTCGTTGAAAAAGCTTCCATGTCAGGACTTTTCCTTTGTCATGCCAGAACTGCCGGATCCGTACGCAAACCAAGTCATTCCAAAGCAACTGCAATATATCTCTTTATTCCCCCAAGAAAATTCGTACATCACTCATAAAAATTGCAAAATCGTGCTAAATGACCCTGCTCACAGGTGGTTGTGGATCATGAACTGAAATTCGTGGATAATTGGTTGGATACAGACACCAGGTAATTAAGGGCTGTTTGTGTATTTAGGGAAATCACTGATATTTGATTTAAACAGCGTTGTCAACGACATTGTAATTAAGGACTTTCGTTCTACTGGTATGAATTTTGTATCTTTCTTTGGTGTACACCACCAAACATCTCCTCAACTGCAAAAACACATCATGTTTTCTGTCTATGTTTCCTTTCCTACTCTCGCTGAAAACCACATCCAAGTCCGTTATTATTTTCTGTGGGTTTTATGTTGGGTATCTTCAGCATCTCCAGGTCCTCCATCCGCTCAGCATAGCTTGATAGAAGTGTTGGATTTCGAGGTTGGAGGAACATAGGCTGGGTGTGGTAACTTAGTACCAACGTTGGATTTCGAGGGTGGGAGAACATGCGTTAGATGGGCTTCGAGGTTATAAGAAAATATAATACTCGTAACTTCTTAAAGCTCGAGAATAGCTGACTGTGGTAACTTGGTACCAACGTTGGATTTCGAGGGTGGCAGAACATGCGGCGGGTGAGATAGTTTGGGTTTCGTGATTGGAAACCCATAGGCCCATTAGCGTATTAAATCTACACCATCATCAATTAAACAGTTTCTCTGCCATACGACAGAAGGTAGACTTACTAGTAGAGAATATTCATGTTGGGATCGTTGAAAACTGTTAAACACTTCGTGCCCTGTATGTAACTTCCATTCTACATCCTAGGGACTTTGCTTTTTAATTATGAATCAGAGAGCCATTCTGGTACTCCGTTCTCTTCCACGCCATAAAATTCATTTCCTCAAGCACGAGAGCTACACATCGATTGCGGCGTTGAGAAGATCTTGCTCGTTGGTAGTGGGGCTCGCGGAAGCGGAAGAGAAGGGGGGTAGCTTTTAGGTCTAAGATTGGTGAAGCTCGAACGATTGAGGTTCGTCGCCGCTCTGGGTGTGGGTGATGAGCTTCCTATTGATGATGTAAGAGCCATAATGCGCCGAGGCCTTAAAATTAGTAATTGGAACCTCTTCTTTTTCCTTGCCCTTCTTGTTTTCACCGTCTTTAGACAAAACTCTGTCAGATTGATGAAAACATTAGTGCCGCCGAAATTATTGGTATCGTCGAGTTTAGACTCTATTGGGAGACTGAAGATGCGTTTAGTTCTGCGATGGATATTGAGGCGAGGGAAATGACTTGTTCGAGGTCCGTCTCGAGTAATGCAGTTGGCACTAAAGAAGGCTTTAGTTCTGCAATTGACGCTTCGGTGAGGGAAATGACTTCTTCGAGTTCAGTCTTTAGATCCTGAAGCTCTGCGCTGTCTGGGTCTTTGATCCGTGTAGTACTTCTCGTAGTTGCGGATTTATACTCGTGATAAACGGAACCGATCGACTACTAAGTTAGAATGATATTCCGCCAAAGTGCTGTAAAAGTTACGTTTTCGGAAAGCCTTTCATCTCGAGGAGGCGGGACGTTGTTCTGGATTTGGCTGGAAGGCGTGCGATGATATGAATAGGCCCTGGGGACTCTGCTACGGAGTGACAGAGCCCAGAATCGCTGGTGGAAGCTGATCAGTAGGAATCAAACGGGTGTACCGTCCACTACCTCGGTGAAGGGTATAACCATATGCAGCATAGCGCTGTGGGTACGAAATTCGGGCGATACCCGGCACGATCTGAGATTTTCGGAATCTCCTATCTCGTTACAAAAATCTATGAAATTTGGAGGCAAAGTGCTCTGGCATAGAATCGACAGTTTGGATTTGTAGAGCCTGGTCAATATTATAGATTTGAGGAATCATCGGAGCTGGACCTATAACGCCCATAGATGGGTGTGGTGTGTATGCCGGTGGCCGCGGAGATCAATCTGAGACTGTCGAAGTCTCCTATCTCGCTGAAATCCGATAGGGAATTCCATTGTAGTACTTTTCGTAGTTGCGGATTTATGCTTCTTGATATCAAAATCTCCGCCTCCGCGGTGTGGAGTATAACTGTACGTATTCCAGCGCTGTGCGTATGGAATACTCGTAATGCGAAACGTAATACGGCAGGCTTAAGTGTTAGAGGGATCTAAGGTGCTTGTCTCCTAGCTTCCAGAATGTGCGTTCGAAGGAGGTGCGGATGTTGGTCTGGTGGTGTTATGTGCTCTGTATAGTTTTGCGATGACAACACTGTCAATCGAACTTGCATACGCTCAAGGAATGCGTAGTATGTGCAGAGATTCTTAAGTGTTGTGTGTTGTTCGGTGCTGGGAGGGTTAAGTAAGACAGCTTAGATTGTGTTTCTGTAAAGATAATCTACCAAGAAGCCAAAGATCTATCGATGAATTTGGGTATCTCAGGCCGAGGTATTTAGTTTGCTTTTTTTACTTTCCCCCGATCCGCATAAAAAGCTTCTTGTGAACGCGATAGAAGCGTTGGTTAGGATATTCCCCGACCTTGAAGGCAGAAATCTTTATGCGCCCTCTTTAAAGGTCTATTTATGCCATTTAATGTTATGAGCTTGGTCGCAGTAGTGTGGGATGTCGATATTGAAGAACAGTCTGCCAAAGCTCCGCTCTGCGGATTTTGAGACATGGCCAGTATCGTAGATGTCGTCAAAGACGTCGTAGTGAGCGTCCTGCTCTTGGTTGTATGTTTCGTCGTAGTCTTTCTTGACTTTTTTATCGAAGATCTCGCTAGTTTCCTTCTTTTGGCTTGGAATTGACTCTTTAATAGCCGTCTCAGTAGTCTCTTCGTCTTCTACTTTAGTAGAGCTCTCAGCGGTAGCTTGAAGCTTCTTCATGCCTGGCATGAATTGTTGACCATCCCGCTTCGCGCGGTAGGTGATGCCTTGTCTCTTTCTTGCCAAAGATCTCTCCAGGTTTGCAATGCCTCACATTTCCTCTTCGTAAGGGATGCGGCCCTTGTAGTACTTCTCGTAATTACGGAACTCGCCACGCTCACAGCTTGGTCCACTCGTCTACAGCGCCCGAATTTCCTTGATCACAGTCTCTATAATTAGCTTCGAGTACTGCGAAAACCGGTTGGCATGTCCCACATCGAGGGCGACCAGGGCAAAAACCAACGTCTGGGCTTTGTGAGCTTCCAATGGTGATGAGATGGTAAGCTCAGCTTGTGAGTTGCGATTTAGCACATACACAAGTTTATTCTTCTCCACCGAGGCGGGCAGTTTATCTTCGTAGGGAATCAGTCCCTTGTAGTACTTCTCGTAGTTGCGGAACACGCCAAGTGATTTCTATAGCTTGGTCACTGGTCGGCAGTGATTCTGATTCTTCTCATAGCAGGATCGTTCCTTCGAGAAGTCAAAATTCTGGCGCTTTAGGTAGGTAAATATCTTTAGAGCAGTGTAGAGAGAATGTTGCGGTTGTGACAGTATTCTCGCTTTCATATGGTTGCCATTAAGTAGTAGACGCAAAACATTTGTTGGCCTATCTCTTAACGCTAGTTGCAGACCATTTACTAGTCATATTAATGGTGACTAGAAGATATTTGGATTCTGTCTTTGGTTTCAGTATCTCGCGTCTCTCATCTCGACCCTTGTTGGCAGTGGTTGGTTCGTCCGTTCGGATGAGTTTTCTCATTAATGCGTCTCGAATGTAGTTTTGGAGTTGACACCTCCAGTATGCGTAATAATGCGTCTCGACAATAATTTTGGGGCTGACATATCCAACATGCGCAATAATGCGTCTCGACAATGATTGTTGAAGTTGACCTCTCCAACGTTCGTCTTAGCGCGTCTCGACTATAATTGTTGAAGTTGACACCTCCAACATCAGTATCCTCTAATGCACTGTCTCTGCCAGCGCTTTTGCCGTTATCACGCCCGCCTGTACATTATAGCCAGGAGTAATATTGTTTTAGATTAATATTACTCCGCGAAAAGTAGACCGGTATGTTGTTGAGGCATGATCTTCCAGGTGATGTGGGGAGAATAAAATACCAGAGTTGGGTTTGACACCAAACTCGTGGTCAGTTGCTCCTTGGTAGAACCATGGTATCAAGAAGCTCGATAAGACTGATTGTACGAAAAAGGGCAACGTGTCAAGTATTGCAATTGTTGCCAAACACATTCACGAGGCAGTGGGTCCAGTAACCGTGAATGGCTGCAGTCTCTTTCTTTCCATAACTAGCCCCTCTTGAGCTAGGGTGAAGAAGACCGGACATGCGACTAGTAGAATCATCGCCAGAATTGGATTACTCGTGAGAAAGCTCACTAGGTCTGTCAAAGCCTTCTTGGTCTACTATTGAGGAGCTGTTGACAAATCTGTTCTAAAGCTAGGTGCCGTGGTAGCTAGACAAGTAGACTGACCGAATTTGGTGGAGTGAGAAGGTATTAGGAGGTTCTGTTTATGTAGAAGTGCAGCTTCAATGGACAGGGAAAGTACTTCGTCGGTGTTGGACCCTATTACTCGTACGGCAGAATAACATTGGGAGTATTGATTGAACTCCAGATAACGAGACCGACAATATTCGCACTAGGACCAATGTATGGATTGCGGCTTCTCGTCACTATAGGGTAGCTCATCCACAGTCACTCTCGGATCGGCTCTTCGACGTTGGGTTAATTCCCGAGATATATCTCTTTCTTGTCTCTGGCTCGTAGAGGTCTTTACGTCGGCTACAGTGCGGTCGGCGGTCGATATCTCGGTCTTTGTCGCCGTTGTCACGTTCGCGACCGCCACAGCGAGGAAACAATAAGCCTTCTGCCGCGGTGCCTTTGCGATAGTTTTTCTCGCGGTCGACGGTAGCTTTACGTCTGTCTGCCTCATATGCGTCTGGTTCTAGGCTGCGGCTTAGCCCAGTATGACGTCTACTAGATCGATAGATAGGATTCTTGAATAATTTTGAGAACACGTTTGTGCGTATTATAGAACATTGTTATCCAATTCGATAGCATAGAAGTATTTTTGCTCAGGATGACGGACAAACCGCTCCTTCGAGCTGTGTTTGTGTGCGGTATCGATTCTCGATTCATTGCTTTCAACCACTGATAGGATCTTCAAGCAATTGATGTTTAGTGGCGGGCGAGAAGCCGTCATTATCCTATTGGATAGCGTAGTGGGAAGGTTGCTTATGATAATGGACGAATCGTCGGGGTTTTTACGCTAGCAGTAATAATTTCTGCTTCCTGAAGAGGATTGTCGGTAAACACCAATAGATCTCGGAGCAATTTTGGAAAAGCTGTGATGACGGATGAGAGACTATTATAGCCGGATTTGATAGGACAGAGGAATGGTTGTTCATGATGCCGAACAAATCGTCGGGGATTGTGCCTTAGTGGTATTGATTCCTGAAAATGATCGTCGGTAGCTACCGATATATCTATAAATTGATGTTGAGGAAGTGTTGGCCGTTGACAGAACAATATTATCCGATTTCCCTTTTTCAGGCTGACGGACAACTCGCCGATGTCGTGTATGTTGGTCATCTAGATCCCAAGATTGTTGGTGATCACCGATTGGTCATTAGATGATTTGGGGGGTATGTTTGTGCGTTGAGAGGTCGTTGCGGCGGGAATCGGCAGTGTAGATACAGTTGGCAGGTTGACGGAGGACTTGTCTAGGTATTTTTGCTGTAGAAGGTGTGTTTGCTAGTCGATTAATTTCCTTGACACGATTACCAATAAACAGAATACAACATTGTGGCCTGTTTCATGCCCGAGGCGTTTGTGTCAGTGGTAATGATTCCTGACGAAGATTGTCGATAAGGCGTTCAGGATATCGCATTCAAATCCTTTCAGTCGCTGCGCTTTGGCTGAATGATGGTATTTCGTATCTTCTTTGAGCTCAAGTGAGGCTTTAAGAGGCTGCATGAAAGACGCTGGTAGTCCTGTTTAGAAAGCGTCTCTGATGATGACCACATTTCCTGATTTAACTGAACACTTTCGCGTGTGCGCGTACACGTTGATGTTCAATATCGGCCACGGTGCATTCGCAGATCATCCGACGCATGTCTAAAGGTAAGACTCCGAAATTTCAAAGGTCGTTAAGCCCTTTTAAAACGAATTCTCGGCCAAGAAACTGGCAGAGGACAATCAGAGAGGTGTGCACAACTTCGAGATCGATCTTGGATAGCTGCGATATAAGGATACGGTGGCAGATGAGGTATGCCAATTCAAACCGGAAATAGTATCTACTTTGTCAGATATCCGTCGACAAGTAAAGATGTCTTGAATATGGCCTACGCAGAGTGTATTGCGCTTGAGTTCTCGTACAGATCTACATTCCTCGAGTCAGTCGTCTCTTCACCTTTGTAGAGATGTCAATTCTAACCAAGATTTATTCGCGAAGACCAATCCACCAACACTGCGGCAAGTAAAATTGAAGTAGAATCTTTCGGTTGTCTTAGTCGTAGCTGTGCTATCTCAAAGATCTATATACTAGGCTGACGCATGTTGTTTCGCAGATATCCAAACCTCCAATCTGGTTTTAAAATAGATATCTCCTCAGCGAGACTGCTTGGATATCAGTTTAGAGCCTTCCGAGTTGGTGCCTGATTTAGAATAAGGCCTCATAGCGCTTTATAGCGGGCCCAGTTCTAAATATACACTATTGGTAGTATGTTACATTAGCCGCCACAAAGTCTATAAAACAACTGACTCTTAGCACACAACTCCTCATTAGGTAGAGAAGCTTGATTCTATTGTATCCGTATACTTTCAATGCTATAAATTTGCAGCATCTTTGGATTTCTACTAGTAATTGGGGGCGTCATCGGCACCATCTCGCTTAAATAACTTCTCTTTCTTCGACCCCCCTTTGTTCTCAGAAGTATAATAAGACGACAAGCTAAAGCCACAAAAATAACGAGAGTATATTTACTTGTTTTCCATAAATCTCGTGTACTTAGATATAGGTTGGGGTTGTAGGAGCAAAAAAAGAGGTTAATTTCGATGATGAGCGCCAGGATGTTATCTCATGAGACCAAATGCGCAGCCTACACCTAAGCGCCACATCAATATGAAGAAGCTTGGACCATCAGTTGTAATTGTAAAGCGCTTTTTAATATGCTAAGAACCTCAGGTTTTACATCTGAGAATGTGAATATACTGGCAGACAGCCTTTCACGTTTTTGCTATTCATCAGTGCTTCCATCCCTCGACAAATCCCTAACCTATCTGCCACCCTAAGACGCTTGAACTAAGATCCATCTAAACAAGTCATATTTTCTCTCGACACCTTCAAACCATTCCTGTTTTACCTTAGATCGCAAGAGCACAATCTGTCGAATACACCAAACACCTACCTGATATTGCTACCATGGCAGCCTACCCTGAGAGCTGCGCTGCCATGATTACGCAAACCCTGGGGGTCGATGACAATCTCAAGCCTTGGAAATTCAGAGACGAACCTGCAGGAATCCAATTGCCGAATGAAGTGTGGTGTATGATATGGGATTTGACGATACCAACGATCGAAGAGCGGTATACTATTTCAATGCATCCGAAAGCCATTGGGAATACAGTTCCGGCAGTTTTCCACGTAAATCAAGCAAGTCGGGCCACGGCACTTAAGACATACGATCGAATCGATTTCATTCGAAAAACCGAAGCCGTCGAGAGTTTTGCCCTGATCATTAGGCTTGACTCGGACAATATACTGCTCAACCTGCCACCAGGGCGTATCGCGGAATGCCAGAGACGGGGGAACGGCATATTTAAATACACACAGCATGGGCCAATGTTCGATCTTGCTCCTTTTTTACATGACCCTCGAGTTCGAGCTGAAATTATGAGGGCAAGCTCAGGGACTGGAGATGCTAGTCTTGACAAGAGTTCTCATAAAAGCAGAAGTCAAAAGCATAAGAAGCTTGGAAGAAGACAATTGCCGCAGTCAAGATGGGAGGTAAAAAGCGACGCAATCTACAAGATAAGTCACTTAACAATAACGGATTCCTGTCTTAACGACCACCTTACCTTCGTTCGCGGGTATTATACGAAAGCGCAAGTTGCAAGGAACATAAGCACCAATTTGAAGGAGTTGAGGTCCTTGACGTATCTACAGCTCGTCAAAAATCCCGGAAAGAAAGCACTAGAGACAGACACATTGAAAAAAGCTGTAGTCTTGAGGCATGAAATTTGGAAGAGTTACAAAACCAAACCAGGCGAGCTGCGCCAAGACATGTTCACACAACTAAATGCCTCCCCAACTATCCAGGGCAGCCCTTGTCCCTTTCTACTTGAGTGTTCTGCTATGATGAGAGATTATGCGAACGCTCCGAATACAACGAATGAACAAACATCTGAGAATACAAAAACTAAGCACCGGGATTCTAAGCAGGAGTTCTGGACCCTACACTTGGCATGCCTCTGGCCAGACGAGGAGGAGTCGCAGAAAAAGGATTCTCGTTGGACAGCATGCACAGAGATACGTACATTGACGTGGCAAACGCAGACAGCATGTTCGCGGGGATACAACTGGTTTAGAAGAGCTCGAGGTTGACATATGAGGATAAAACGCAATGTATGAATGATCCTGCGGGCGATTCAACAGATTATGGCGGTCCCCTTTTGATTGAAGGCCACTACACTCTTCTTTTTATAGTCACATATTCGTGTGTTGCGTGAAACATTTCATGCAGCACTCCTAGAAATCTCAAGACAGCCATTGAACGACCACAAAGGCAAGCCTGCTAACAATACAAATGTTGAAATAAACTCTCAATTGCTTTATTATGTCCAGTCATATCTTTCATTATAAAATATAAAGTTTCAAGGTCCTATTGTGCGTTGCTTTGCAAAAGTCTGCAGGTGTTTCCAATTCTGCCGCTTCTTTCTCTGGCTGCAAATGGATAGATAAAAATCTGTGATCCTCCTCAATTTGCACACCCACGGGAGACTCTGGACCTATATAGTGCTAAATGATTCTTCTGGTCTGATGTTTGGATAGAAGAAGACATAAACGAAGAGATAAACTATTCGCTTTTTGTAAGTTGCGTTGATTTCAACTAAACCTTGATATTCCATGATCAAAAGGATAAATTGAATATCCAAGAGCAATGCATGAAACTCAATTTGATATGTATCATAGATTCTGTGTACTAATGCATGTGGGAAAAAGAGTAGCCCTAGCTGGGTTGTGTCAACATTGAATTGTAGTGTCTTCTAGAATCCATCGGGGCTAAAGCCCGCTCCCCACAATCCAGGTGGCTTTTTTCAACATCGTTTCACTGAAAACTTCAAAACTAGAAACATATTCAGCTTTATTTTTACGAAAATCTAGATTTTGTATTCATCGTGGCCTCCCGTCAGCATACCAAATCCTAGTAGACCTTCTCTCAAAGTCAAGTCACCATAATCGACAATCGCAAGAAGTTCAAGGAATCAAATTTACGAACACGGTTCTGCCGATCATTCAGGAACTGTCGCCGTTCGACTTCTCCACAACCCGTTCTCCATACAATACTTCCTCTCAATTTCCAACGGTAGCAACTGGCTTCGAACCGGCATTCAATATCAGTCCACAGCTGCGCGATCTATTGCGCATTTATCTTTCCCCCCAACAGAGGTATATATATTGCAAAATTTCAAGGTGAGATGCTCGTAATGATTTGGCGTAAGTTCATAGCTTCCCGAAAAGGTCTACGCGTTTCTTTCTGACCCAGAGTGTAGGAGATCAGATCTCTAATATTGCACATGTCGACAGAGGCTCACACAATCTGCAATCTTCATCGGGGTGATGCGACGCCAGCGTCAACGAGTACGCTGGAGGGTGTTGCTTCGCCCGCACCTTATGCCGGAAAGTTTGACCCAAAAGCAATTGCTAAGATGGCTGTGGCTCGTACGAGTAACACGGGTACGCCGGGAAATGATGTCCCATTGTAGGGATTGACAAAGCGTCCGCCATCTTACCTTCTTCGGCCAAAGGGTTACAAGCTGAGATTAAGCAAACAGCTTTTAGTAGCAGTCCGACTGGTATGCCGATATCATTTCTCCGTAACCATGTGAAGCTACTGACTTGCAAAACAGTCTCGGCACTACCAAAAGCGAGAGCAAATCTCAGTGGATTCGGTTTAAGCGTCAAGTCAGGTCAGGAAAGTGATAAACCTTCATCGAAACGAAACCTGGATTTTGGTTAGCATGAGGGGGGAAGGATGACGGCCTCCTTTTCATCGAATTTTCAACTAGTCAACTGGCACATCTGGCTGCAACATCTAGAAACTACACGATAGCAGGAAGTGAGAGAATCTCCGATTCCCTTGGCTTTATGATGCCAAGGAACACGATCTGAAGAAACGTCGAGGCGGAACCTTCCGCTGGGCTAGAAAAGACTAGATGGCATGGATACTAGGTTTTTATGCCTGTTTAAAATAGAATGTATTGTATATTTACCTTACTGTTTATCAGAAGCTGGAAGAACAGTCGGAGATTGTGTCCTCGTGGAGGAATAAAAGAGTACCGACAGAATTTTAGGAAGAAGTGTTGCTTAGATAATAAAACAGTTTTCAATCACTTTTAGATTTCAAGACTGTTGTCGTACCTAGATACGCACTGAAGCGCTACAACTTTAGGTAATAAAGCTGCTGGGTGGAGCTATCGAAAAGACCTTAACCATATTGGGAGATAAGGTGACCTACATATTCCGAGGGACAAGAAGGGTATTGCTAAAGCAGTTCCATTAGTTTAGCTTCCGAAGCGTTATATTAACTTTACAAGGGCTACGAGACTTAAAAGACTCGGATAAAAATCCTAATTTCCCTTGTTCAACCAGTATCGATGTTCTGAATGCCAAGAAACCTACTGCAGATGCGTTCATTGTGGTATTGATACTTGAGTGTATAAGGCTCTGTTGCAAACAGGCGGCTTTGACCAATCTGCAGGTGTGTCGGCTTGCTCAGAAGCCCCAACCCTTTGTCAGTGTTCGGGGGTCTAGTTGGTGAAGGACTCGCTGAAAGAAATTATCAAACTATTCTTACACCCTATCCGTAGGGTCCCCTAGGTAGATGCTTCTCATGTTATGCGTAATTAAATGATATAGCACTAGTCCTTTATCTCAAGTATTATCATTTTCCTCGAAAGGGCCGTCTTGAGGAATCTTTGTGAGTGAATGCTGACATCGACGTGTATTGCTGTAGTACAACATGCGATTATGCACGAAGCTGACAGAGCAGCCATCTACATAGTGCAGTTAAATGCCCTGCGAAGTGCCTTGCGATCCACGACATTTCAAAAGCCTTGTTGAGGAAGACTGCCCAGATCATGGGACCACTGTCCCCCGGAATTATTACTTTGGATTTGTCTCTAGCCTCTGACATCTCACTGAAGCACATATTATGCTCACCAGTATCAAAGCGCTAACAAATCCACAACATGTCAACTGGCTACCACAAGATCACTCAATTTATGATTCAGCATAAAGAAATGGCGGTATTCAGCCGTTTTGAGTATCTCCAGGTGCTCAAAACATTGGTTTTGCAAGGCGAATTGGCCAGCCTTGAGGAAGATATCAAGAAGGAACTTGGGCCACAAGAAATAGTTCCGTCGCGATTAAGCTTAGACTTAAGACCAGGGGATTTGAATATTGAGCTACAGTCACTTAGTTCGAGAGTAAGTAGATCGACTAGAAGCGACAGTGAGGTTGATAGCGATTCGGACGTTGATAGCGACGAAGACTCTGGGAAAATCGATGCGGTGGAAGGAATAGATCCGAGAAGAGACATTTATTTTCTCCAAAAAATGAATTCTACAGAAAACGTATGGAAGAATATCGTTCTGGCGAACGAGAAGCTGGACGAATATAGTAAGTGTCCCTGTTCAGATGATCTGCGCTTTTGATAGAAAACATCCTCATCAATCATCGAAGACAAGGCAATTCGCGATCTCGAAGCCATGTATTCAAGGGATCCGCCCTGCGAATCGACGCATACCTTTCTCAAACACTGGTTCATGTGTCGAAATCTTGGGAATAGTCCAATAATGGGTGTGGATTGTGTGATCTATCGCGAGAATACGCCAAGAACATCTCTGATGTCCATTTTCCCAGCGAAGGATCCCGATGCACTGTCAAATTTCTTCTTGAAAATCTTTAAGAAATTCTTTCACAACAAAATAGGGCGACATTTCGGACGGAGCCGAGTTCGTGTCGGTACTGATCCTGAGATGAGTGGCTCTGGTGGCTACTTCTATTACCGTGATGAAGGGTTCATGAGAATGGCAGATATCGTGGGTTCATTGATCTCCAGCATTTGGCTGGTCACTAGCATTGTTATTCTGTATTTTTTGAGAGACATGAGATCACGGTTGGCGATTATTGCGGTTTTCACGGTTGGCTTTAGTCTGATCTTAAGTCTTTTGACACGTGCACGGAGAGCTGAAGTTTTTGGTGGCAGTGCTGCGTGAGTAACTCAAACTCTATCTAAAGTCTATAGAAGACGAGGGACTGACGCCGTGTGTTGCGTGACAGCTTCGCAGCCGTTCAAGTCGTGTTTGTCGGAAGCACTTTCAATTCCACAACATAAGGAAATCATTTCTCTCATCTAAACACTTTTCTCGAACCTGGGTATCTTATATGTCAACCAAACACACTCGGTATCTTTTTTGTTGAAAAACCAGATGCTTCCCCGTGCCTTTTTGTACTAATCGCAAGTGTCGTTATGCTCGTGAACCCCCCTTCGAGTTACCTTTTTTACCATGGCCATGACTAGACTTTTTCTTGTCACTCTTCTTTTTCTTATCTTTTTCTTTCTCGGCCTCTCTAGCGCGCCCATAATATCCAGCCTCTGCCACATTTGCGGCGTCATTTGTCTTGTTTGCGTGGATTTCTTCTACGCGTCGAAACTCTTAGCTTCAGTACGAGACATGAAATGAAACGACTTCTCTCAGTCGACTTACCTGGTGTTTGCTGCTCAGAATATATCCCAAAGTTGACTCCTTGGGTCATACGATGTAGAACCATGTATGATTGGCCAATTACGGCGTCGCAAAATGACGGGTTGTCGTGGACGTAAAACGTAGCAGCGTACGTTTTGGGATTATCTCCACACATGTTGCAAAAGTTCAATGAGACAAATTCACTGGCTGCGAGTGGTGCGCCGTTTGCAGCTTGGAAGAAGACCGGCTCTGGTAGGACTTGAATATCTGCTCCACATGCCACTGCAATGTGACGGGACACCCAGTTGGAATTCTTACAACCGCTATCGAAGAGCACATAGCCAGTGGTCTCAAGCTCTGGTCTAGATTCGAACCAAATATATGCGCAATGTTCGAATCCTGGGGTATTTGCCTGTAGTTTGTTAACATTAGTATATTTACGGTGCATGAGGTATGATATTACTGCGAAAGAATAACTGACCAATAGATGTCTTTTGAACAGTAAAGTCATGGCCTCTGCTTCATATGAAAGCCTCCTTCCTTGACGAAAGGGCTGCAACAAAAGACTATTGTCAGCCGAGGAACCATGAGATGCATCTTTTTGGGCACAAGCGTGAGTCAGTCTGGACTTGGAATGTTTCGTTTTGTCTCGGCGAATTGTAGACTCCATCGGATGAAACTCCCGTCCAAATGGGAAGATGATTTTGAGACAGCGAGCGAAGATCCTCAAATCGGAAGTAATTTATGTACTACAAGGAGTTATATATCTATGAATCAGAAAGCATGAGTCAACTACCATAGGACAGTGTTCCGTAAAGCCCAGAACAGCACGATGCAGTCTGATTCTCATTTGATAGCCCTTGACCTTACCGCACGAGGCAAAAATGAGGCTACAGATCATCAGAACAGTCAACCATTCAAAGCGCGACGGAGACTGCTACGAAGCCAACGCACTCTTCTTTTTTCTGCTGGACGGCTGCGCCCTCTGCCATGATGTTGGGAGAAGAGCGTCAATGATACCCTGCACCTGAATCTTCGGGTATATCAAGTCTCTTCAGCGACTCGAAGAATCGCGATATGCAGAGTCGTTTAATTTGACTTGGGTTCGACCGCAGCACCATCCAGACCAAGATACAGGCCCAACAGAGTATTCCTACCCGTGCGTGGATGCGTTTCTCTGCACGCAAGAACTAATCTATTCAGGAACCAATCTGAAGAGCACGAGCAAAAGAACAGGATGTAGTCATTTCAGCCAAACACCAACTGTTGTCTGAATTTAGAAACGGTACAACGAGAGACATGAGCTGGCATTTGCCACCATCAGGCATCGACGAGTATTCAGCGACTGCAAGATTGTGTTGGTAAACGCCTTCTGTGTCACAAACGGTCCTGCATGCAGCGTTGTTGATCTTCCGAGTGTGACATTGGGCATCGTGCGAGTAAGCTGGGCCGACAGGAGAAGGAGATTGGCATGACAATAATGTGACTTGCTTCAGTCCACACAGATAAGTACTCGTGCTCGACTGTATGATCCAAAAGATAGAAATAAACATATTTGAGAAGCCAAAATCTTTCTGGCATCGAGTTTCCAAGCAGGTATTGAATAGAAACCGGGATAAAAAGTTGAAAGAGGTAGTTGGATTCGCTTGGAGGCTGCAAACAGAAACGGGACTGTCGTGTAACCAACTGACAGCACGGAACCGCATGGAATCCAGGCTGACAAGGCAGTTCATAGCATGTTTGCATCGCATCAACCTCATCATTTCCATTATCTGGCGACAGCGATACTAAATCCCGCAACGAGAAGAGAAAATCGTACCCTGGCTACCAGAGCTTCAAATATCTTCAAGTTCCACGATCCCAACGCACAAAACTATCCGTACTTTATAAAAAACCTTGGAACATGCGTTGGAAGCAGGTCATGATAGCCTTTTCGTTCTTTCCAACACTACAATGCGGCTCCGGGTGGAGAAATCAAGAAAGACTCTAGCACTGCTGTTCGTTTCCCAGAATATGCAGGCCAATCCACCTTGTAATACCGTGCAGCCTTTTCTTTTTCCTCCAAAACCACGTCGTCAATCATATGACGTATGGCTGCAGTGCTTCTGGGCGTAATTTGGTGTGACAACACTTTTGCGGACCACAAGTGCTTGGGACTTTACTCATTTCGTCGACCACACCATGACTGAACGACAACTCATCTAAGACCATCATACGATAATTAAATTCAACACAGTGTGATAAAATCTCAATGCTCTATTCTCAATAAGCAGGTTCTTCCACATCCTCAACAGCTTCGATGGTGAGTTAAAAGCCGCAGATGTTCTAAAAAGAGTACTCGGTGACCAAACTTACCTTTTCGTCAATATTGACGTCTTTTTCTTGCTGAGCTTTTTGATCTCATCCTCCGCCTTCGGGAAGTCCTGATAGATTAGTGATTGACGTCCCTGCGATGAAGCAATACGCACGTATTACTGTATTAGTAGTGACGGGCATGAACAGTTAACATCATCTTTGCTAGTCACGAACTTGTTTAACTCGCAACTAAGACTCCATCGGAATTTCTATGTGCTCATTTTCTGTTGAGAATTTATTGTGAAATTATCACGATCGTATCTTATGGAAGAGCGCCACACATTTCCCGATATGGTTCAGGGTGTCAAGAAATTTGCCAAAATATGACAGCAACTATTCTTTGATCAATCGCGTTCTAGCGCTAATATTTTCCAACGTAAATATGTCAAAGTTAATAATTGCGCCTGTCTCAGTAAGTCGATTTAGCACAACTCCGAACTAAGCTCAGAGTGCCAGCGCCTGGGATAGTGATACTGTAATGACACGACGTGATGTTTTAACATAATAATTTTGTCTACGTAGCCGGTATACTACACAATATTACGATAGAATAACACTCTAAGTCAGCGAAGACGAGGCGATGGGAGGCGACAGCGAGCTTATACGAGCTTGTACGAACCTGTACGAACTAAACAAGGTAGCAATTACTTATCGATACTACCAGTATCCCTATAGTATACGATATAAATACCAGTAGATAATTGTCTTAATATAGTATTTATCGCTAAACCTTTTGACTAGTACAATCGACTACAAAAATCGTTACTGCGATACTACTCCAAACGCTGGCTCCATGCCATGTCTTCCCCTCCCAGTTTATAAGCAACAAGCTCTATAAAACAATTCTTCTTCTAAATAGATTAATCCGAATTATCGCGATCGTTCAATTTATCTATACTTCAATCCTACTTTCAAAAGTCACACTTCGACTTCTGTCGTTGCGTCGAGGTGACTAAGCGAGGGGGGAAACTTGCCTACATCTCGAAAGCAACCGTCTCAATCTTCATCAAACCCGGTTCGATTACACCCCTGGCTTTACTCTTTGAGATTATTCGTGATAATCTTACCCCTGCTAGGTAAATTGTGAGACTTAAAGTCGAAAGTTTCCCAGACTTCTAGACAATATTGTTTGATCTTCTATTAAAGACATAAAGCAATGAATCAAAAATTGCATACGGCATCTACAGCTAATAATAATAACACATCAAACTATATTATCGCCTTTTGGTAAGGTAACAAAAATTACAACAACTTAAAATGTGAGTCAGTTTATATTAGCTAGCTAATCATTAAGAATACTTAAAAAAACACAAATGATTAAACAATCAATCACATCATCAGTCACTTATGAATAGTTTCGGCTAATACAATAGGGGAATGGACTAATTCCATAGTCGGTGAAAAACCAAAAGCAGCTTCTCACTTTTCTTCCGACTTGTAACACTCTATTCGCGCTGGTAGTTTAATTATTACAGTATTCTTCGACCTCTTCTTTGATGTATTACACTTAACTGAATGTCAGGACTCTTCCAAATGAGATCGCGTACATGACATTCGAGTTTCGTTAGAAAATTTGGCTGATTTGCAGCTATAAGACTGTTTCGAAGATTATCATAATAAACAGAGTTATAATTAAATACAGAGACGACACGTCTCTGATTTCAGAATCCCGGTTTGTATCTCCTAATTGAGATGATAATTCTATTTCCTAAGTCGTAAAATCTACAACTTCACAATCCTCATTTCACATGTCGTCAAGCTATCTTGCCACCTCACCACTCCGTAAATCGCTGTTTACAATGATTTTAATAAGACTGTTTTAACAAGTCTAAAGTAATTACATGTAATGATAGAAAATATTGAAAGGGTGGAACCAGTTGCCAACCTTAAAGACGCAAGGCTCAACGACCCAGCAGTCTAAAAGCGTATGTTAAATCGGCTAGATTACCATAGTGTCTTGAATGAAAATCGAATTCATAATGTATCTCTACTGGAGATTCCAATTACGAATTATTTTTGTCGGCAATACACCTAGCACTGACTGTCTAGGAAAGCTATACTCAGCCAAACAAACTCATTTGAGTATACACCGTCTTACTCCAAGCAAAATCCGTTCCACTGCCACAACCTCCCATCCGATGTGTTACGCAACGCTCACACCCGTCACCACCAAACGTATTACCTCAACGTCAACACCAACGTCAACAGCCACCGCATCGGAACTCCCCGACCACCTAATCATCCACCTCATAGTGGGCCCCTTCACGCGCGTTTACATTAAAGTAAACTTTGCTCTAAATCTTTAGGCGCACCACCAAGCTCCGATCTCGTCAGATCTTAGCGGAGCTTGCTGTACCTTGATGGACCTCACTGACAAAATCTCCTTGCAAGCAACTATTGAACTCCGTACCTAGGTTACCACTCCCGAATTTGGGTAATTGTTACTCGATAAAATCCACCTCACATCTCTTTTACTCGATAGAAATCCACCTCTGGTACCCGACCGGAGCTCCATCCCCTAGCATCACGACCCCTTCCACGAAACTTCTAGCACTTTTCCAGCTCCAAAACCCCCGATTGGCTCACCATACATTCCTATTACTCGATGTCTACGAAATTTTCAAAAAAACCGCAGCAAGGCGTGTCGCAAAACCGCCTCTCAATTCGCGGTGCGGACTATTATGTAAATTGCCCGCAGACTGAGACCAGCACGCAAGGCGTTTATTTTTGACCCCTGAGGCATTTTGGGACGAGTCGTTGGATTTCTGTTACTTGATGGGCGTCGAAGGATATTTGCGCCCATGTTATGGAGATGGAAATCAGACCACATGATCCCCTCCGAGGAGATGCGATTGTGGTCGCGCCACTTTGCGGGGTGCGCCTGTGGTGATGCCGAGTTTGGTCCAAGAGAGATGGTTTGGCTGAGGGCTGTTCCCCGCGTTTTGGGTGCATGAGGGAGGTGTTGTTCCTGAGACCTTTTCGATGATGGAATCGGAGTTCGCGTGGTTGTGTTTGTGGTGTTGTGGGCTCAGGTGAAAGTTGCCCGAGGAAAGGGGTCGGGCTCGCCTGAGCTTGGCCGGGCAGCGTGCTGGGCATCGTGAAATTCATTGGCATGTTTGCGAAATTGTCGCGCCATGGGCTCTGGAGTTCAGAGTCCAGACGTCGACAGAGGATGTTGTTGTTGCGTTATGGGCTGATGACTGTATTATTCGTTTGGGTGGTGATCTGATGGATGATGCAGTGAGCTTGAGCTACATGCATCTTGACCAGTAAGCTTGCCCGACGCTGAGTAAACGTTGGTAGAGGCATGATAATAGGATTTAACTACCAGCTGTTTTTAAGTAATCGTTAACGGGTAACAACATTCAAAAGCTCCCGAATTGTAAAGCCTATGCGAAGCTTACATGGTGATAAAATGTTTTGAAGAACCAAGCACGATGAATCATCTTGTTTAGACGACGGCAGCAACCGAAGCTAGATCAATGGATCGAGTCATCCGGCTTAGCAGAAGAATTAATTACTCGATATAAATCCACTGTCTGGGCGACTGCATTATCCTTTTGTAGCCTCGCAGACTCGCGGTGTACACTTGATCCACCAAGACTTGCGAATTTGCTGGGCAAAACCATTTCAAAGGATCTGGAACCAGAGCTCATCTTGGTCTTTCAATATTGAAATAAAGAATCTGTAACTCCACAGTTGAAAGCGGATACTGGCTCTCGGCTAACCGTCGCCGATGAAGCCTCTGGATTCGCTGGCTCCTGCAGAGACTTCTGCTCTCCGCAATTCGGTAGTCGAAGGTACTGGCCGGGGATCACGGTCACCGGGTGCAATACATCATGTGGCGGCTCTGTTCAATTATTCAGAGAGCATTGAGTAGGTGTTGCTGCAATAATGATCAGTTAGATTTAATTATGAAATAAGCGAGCACTGAATAAATTTAGGTATTCTTCCATGATCCCACAAGCTTTTGCTCTAGCTCAAATTCGCCATCTTACTGAAAAATTCCGTATCCTCTTTCGTGTTCCTGAAAAAAGATCGAAAAAGATGACGCTTAAACGTAACAGGAACAGGGGTGAAACTGCGGTAAGATTTTCTCAACCCTGGCAGCTGACTTAGGCCAGTGCTTCCGCTTCCCTGTGCGGATCTGGAAGAGTGAATGGAAGTAGAATCCTGGCCTACGGAGTTCCCAGTGGGCTGAAAAGGAGTCTTCTTGGTCTTTGACTGGTGCAAATGGATGAGGTGAGCCGACCTTTACAGCAAACCGGGATTGCCTCCCCAGCTGGTTTCTCTGACGCCTGGGCATCGCTTTGCTTGGGGCACATGGCTCTAACTTTGCCCAAAATGGTGACATCGAACCAGTTCATTTGCCTAGATGGAAATGAATATATAAGCTGATTCCCTCCGTTTGCGTTGCTTAGTTTGGGACTTTTGAACCTGATCCGTCTTATTCCGAAACGTCACTCCGGAATCAGCTGTTTGGTACAAGTAAACAAAGGAATCAACATACATCATCTTACTGGGTTACACGACAGCAGCTACAAAGACTAATACAACCCCGCCATTCACCCAAGACGAAGTGTGATTCACGACACCGCCATTACAACACAGCCCATCTTGCTTGGTACAGGATATTTATACTGTTGGCTTGGAAAGAGTACACATTTGGGGAATTAGCCAAATGAATTGCAAATCGACTAAAATATTTGACGTGGTCGATATTCCTGCTTTGAGCCACTGAAACTCAATCCTCGAACCCCGCATCGCGCCCTCCCCGAACAGAAAGCGCGCCAACAGAACCGTTCCTGCCCATGATGCCACACAAAGTAGCACCCTTTTCCTTTTTCAGGTCTCATTCGCAAACATCAGACCTACAAGAACTCAAGAAGACTTCAAGAAGATTTTCCAATTCGAAGTCGACGAGACCTTCTTTACCCTCGCCACATTCTTCCAGCTCGTCATTGACCGCCGAAGAGCGAAGCAACAACAAAATGCCAGGCCCAGGCAAACGGCTGTCATTTCCAAACAACCTCCTTCATTCTCCCAAATCATCTGCCAAGTCAATTCCACAGTATCATCCTATCGAATTACGCACCGAAATTGAGTCGCCTCCTTTGGTTTTCTATGGCGCATCAGAATCTAGTACGGGCGCATTGTTGTCAGGCCAGCTAAAACTTACTATCAATGAGGGTTTCACGCCAATCGAGACGATGGATTTGAAGTTGGTCCTGGAGGTAACTAGGAAAGAGCCGTTTCACTCAAGGTGCGCCGAGTGCACGCATCAAACTACTGAGTTGACAAAATGGAATTTTCTGGCTGGTCCCGCGACGATGAAAAAAGGTAAGCTGGTGATCACCTAGCTTTGCGACGCAACAAATGCTAATTATTTAGGCCAACATAACTTCCCATTCAGCTTTTTATTGCCAGGGCACTTGCCTGCGACGATGAAAGGATCGCTCGTGACAATCAATTACGTTCTTCAAGGCAAGGTGGTACCGAAAAATAGCGAGCCCGTCAAGTTATCAGAGACGCTCATTATCAAACGCGCCATCCAGCCAGCCGACAGTCCTCGACGATCCATCCGAATATTCCCTCCGACGAACCTTACTGCGAACTGCGAATTACCTCCAGTCATTCATCCAATTGGCGAAACAACCGTATCGATGAGGATGGATGGAGTTGTGAAGCGGAATACAGAATCAAAAACACAAACACAATGGAAATTGAAGCGTGTTACCTGGCATTTGGACGAGATACAAAAGCAAATATCCCCCGCGTGTCCAAAACATGCCGCAAAAGCTGGAGCTGTGGATGGAGCCAAGAAGGGTACGGCGCACCAAGATACAAGAACCATCGGCTCAGACGAGATTAAGACGGGCTGGAAAGCGGACTATAGCTCCGCAGATGGAAGTATCGAATTGGAATTTCCATTCAGCATCAAATCAGATTCCAACCCTGTATGCGACATGAAATCAGAGGATGGAACAGAAGTTACACACAACTTGATCATTGAGATGATCGTTGCTGAGGAATTCGCTCCCATCAGCAAGGTCACACAGGTGACACCAACTGGTGCAGCACGGGTTTTACGAATGCATTTCAATATCATCGTGACGGAACGAACTGGTATGGGTATTTCGTGGGACGAGGAACAACCACCACTTTACGAGAACGTCCCAGCAAGTCCACCAGCATATGGCGGATCAGAACCTTTTGTGGGTGATATCCCAGATTACGAGGATTTGGAGCCTTTGGATGCGGTAAACACACCACCGCAGTCCTCTCACGGAAACGGAGAGGGTTCTTCTAGATCTCATTAAGGACTATTGTTTAGGAAATTGTATCTTGGGTTTGGAGCATTATGTTTTTGGGAGGCATGACTTCTTTACTTTCAGGCATTGGGCCAATTGCATGGCGGATATACCCCTGGTTTTTATGAGATGAATTTTTGTCCTGGGTCCATTTTTTGGTACAGCGGATTATACTAGTCAGAGGAGGAAAAGCATTGGGAACTCTCACCTCTTAGCGGGATTGAGCATGACGTTATGGCGGGTTGTGGTGTCGGGGGTGAGAATAGTGGTAATTTTTGACATGAAAACATGAATAAACATTTGTATAATATCTTTAAAATGAGCAGTTGTGTGACGGTATGACTTGTGCTATATCTGCTTGAATGCGTAGCTGAGATAGTATTTGTGTTCCCGAAGGCAGGAAGGTAGGAAGGTATTGGTTGCCTAATTAGGCAAGGTCGCTTGGGGAGTTTATACCAACCTCACCTCAGCTCACCTCGTCGGACGTCACATCTTTTCTTCCACAGAAACGAAACGACAAGGAAAGTCTGACTTCACTTCGCGACTTGATCTTCGTCCACGTACGTACAAATGTTGACTGTCAATAAAGGACTTCCACGAACATCAAACGTACCAGGCAGCGGTCAAGCCTTGCCAACACATGTTTTGAGACATAGAGATTATAGATTCGTGCGAGAGTGTCCAAGAGAAGAGCTACGATCAGTTCAGAGTTGGAGACGTGCGAGGAGAACGCTTGTCATGCCGCGACCGCCTATGAGGGATGGTGAGGAAGACATGGTTCGTAGGAGTAATGAGAGCTTAGGTGAGTCTAAAGGCTGTCTGGATGTTGCTGGACTGACTGGTGTTCTAAGATGCTTATTTCGCGAGACGAGAGAGGAGTGGTTTTAAAAACGGGGTGAGGATCAGTGGTCGTGTTGGTTGTGTGTCTTATTCTATGGAGGCGTTTTTACACTGGCAAGCTTTGCGACAGCCGATGAAGCAGGAGACTCAGAGCACCGGATCATTGGAAGAGCGCAACTCAGTTAGTAAGTCACAATTTTTATTACAAAGCAAGCGGTCATACGCAAGTTGTCTTGGGAGATCGCTCTGCTTGTCCAAGCTTCGTTTCGGGAAGTAGTACAGACTTGGCCCATCATGGAACTGTCGATATTTTCGTGATCAATACACTGGAGTCATCTCTTCAACCACTAACACTCTGTAAAGAGTTCAGCAGGTTTCTGCAACTACCCACAGAATTACGATGCACGATCTGGAAATTGGCAGTCAACTGCATCGACCCACGAATCGTTCGCTGGCATCCAAAAGCCAAGGGGAATAGAGTACCAAGTATCCTTCATGCCTGCTTTGAGAGCCGCAATGAAGCTAAAAAGTCCTACCATCGCGTAGTATGCAATGACCCTGCATATTCATATGCTTCCGGCTCAGGATACGCTCTTTTCATCAATTACGATATCGATGTTTTGTACCTAGATATAGTCCCCATTTCGGCACGAAAATCTGGAGTCGTGGAAGATGGCAGTACTTCATTGCCGATGGAGTTCCGCGATATAGCTTCCACTAATCTTGACCGTGGACAAATTACACAATTGATGCTCAGCGAAAGTTACTTGCAATCGGCGACAGCAGGAGATTCACGCCCTGGCTCCTACGGCCAAACTTCTTCTCTATGTCTTAAATTCCAAAAGTTGAAGTCCGTTACAATAGCGGTCGACAGCGTGGTGCCAGACCCCTGCCCAGATAAATTCTCTCCGAAAATGGCATATGACCTTTCAAACTACAACTGGTCACTCACCCGATCATGCCGACGAGACTATGGGAGGATGATATCCGCTTTCATTGTGAATTTAGAGGCGAATCGACGCTACTCGCCTGATGAAATTGCGTACCTGAAGGCTGAGAAAGCTAGAGTCGATACTGTGAGGATCGTCAAATTCAACTACCGCGAGCCGTCTCGCTCGACGGAATATTGCCGAAGGCAAGGACCCGATCTTGTCGGAGAAGCCATCCCAGTGCATTTAGGTTTCCCCTGGAATATGAATGATCCTCCGAGACATCGATGATGAACTGGTGATTAAACAGTAATTGCTCCTTCAGCGAAGAACAGGATCCGCTACTGAAAAGTAGTGAATTTCGATTCAGGGACTCATTCACCTAGACGGTACTAAACTTGCAGTGAAGTTGCTGACAGCCGCTAGTCTCGTTCACGCGCGCAGTCGACTCTGGAGGTAAAAGCTTTTCGTCGGCCGACAGAGAACTCTCCAGAAACGCGAACTCTTACAACAACATCGGGAGACGACTTGGAAATTGGTCGGACCGCAACCACTCAACACGATTATTTGCAAGTATGATACAGGACCGCACTACGATATTTCACTGATAGCAGGCCGGTGGAGACTTTCGCTTTATCTCATCCCAAAACCGATCTTCGACGCCGCGTATTGGAAAGATATCTCGACAGCGGTGAAAAGGTGCGCGACAGAGAAATAGCATCTTCTTGCAACTAGATCCACTCACCTCCAGCGAGGTCCGACGGATCATGGAATATAAAACTGAGGCTGGCTTGGCTGAAGCTGCAGGTATGAAGTTTTGAACCTCTTCTGAAATCTTATATTGAAACTCCGCTTACCTTTGACTCCAGTGGAAGAAATTCGCACCATGCTACCACCAAACCTATGCGATGCGGCGGCCAACCAGGACTTCGATATGCAATTGCATGATGGAGCAACCCACAGACTAGCAACTTCACACCCCAGAGCCCGAACAGAAATTTCCACCAAAAAGCTCGAGTTGTTGAAGATAATCCCTCCTGAGCTTAAAATTATCATCTGGGAACTTTCTGTCCCGCCTCGTCGGGTCATAAATTTGGCAAAAGCGAAGGGCAACAAAGTACCTACAGTTTTTCATCTTTGTAGGGAATCTCGTCACCACATGATGAAATACTATGCCCGCATTTCGATCAACGAGCCGCCTCTATGGAGTATATCCGAGTAACCTTACACATTCTTCTTCAATTACAATATTGATGATTTGTTTCTTGACATTCCTGACGGGTGGCCTGAAAAGAAGGACGAATACACCAAGCTGGAAATTCGGTTCCTTGAGGGCGGTAATGCTTCTCGTCGACAAATATGCACAGGTATGGAGCCTGACGAATTCGCGAAAGTGCAACGTATCATGGTTACGTAGGAGTATCAACTCGGTATTATTGGCACCAAGATTCGTATTGCTGGGCAGTTTCCATATCAACCTGGATACTTAGTAGAGGCCCTGGCCATGCCATCCAGGACTCACAAATCTCATTTACAGCAACTGACAATCATCCTCACGGAAGATCCACGACCACAAGACCGACAAACCAATGGAATCCGAATCGTAGATACGGTAAATGCAATCACATTCTTTGAGTCATATGAGAGAAGGCAATATTGGCAAAAGTTTACTAGTAGTAGTTTCTCCAGTTACTACAATGTGCTAACTCATGCCTTGAACGCCAAAGGAGACTTACGAAAGCTTCCGAAAGATATACCTTCTTTGAACATTGCAGAATTTATATTGATCGGTGCGCTTGATGAAGAGGATACCAGGGCTTTTGCGGAGTGTCGAGGATACGAAACGCAACTAAAGAGGAAGGCTGCTGCTAGGGATCGCGAACAGGCCAGACGTGAGCGTGAGGAATCCTTGAAAAAAGCCAAAGCACAGGAGTATAGAATTACTCTCGATGAATACATGGCTTTTACGAAAGAAGAAGCTAAGAAATTAAAGATTGCACTCCGCGAAGCTGAAAAGCAATCCTACCTGGCTCAGATCAGACGACTCAAAGAGCCGTTGACTTCTCGAACTCTAACAGCTCCTAATCAAAATGGGGAGGTCCGCGATCTGGAGAGTGCGCCTCACGTATTTCAAGCGTTTTTAAGTGGCCGAAATGAGAGCTTGAAGCCCGGAGAAAAGAAAATGAAAAACAAAGCCTTTGCTGAGCTTCAAGCATTTATACGGCATGCGAGCAATGAGCGCAAGTCTAGAATGATGGCCAAGGCAGGAGAGCTGGGGCTCTTAGATAAGAGTATGCTTGGAATTGTTCGGGAATGGAAGGTTGAGCGCAAGGATGTTGTGGATATGGGTGATGGGGGGAGAGATGGTGTGGGTGGGCAAGGGAGGAAGAAGATGTTGGAGAGGAGAAGGTCGTTTGGGAGTTGAAATTTTTGGACTTTATTCGAGCTGCGCAGGTGGGTGGATGGTGGGATAGTCGTGGATCGGTGAACGGTATATCATTTGAATAATGGGTTGATTGTGGATGAAATATATCGTAAGTAGGTGTGAGGCTGGATGGTTGGTCACTTGCCGATAGGGTCTCGTGAGAAGATTGTGGATTGTGAAATGGTTAATTTGATTTTCGAGAGGATAGTACGGCTCTTGCTATTTTTTGAGGCTGTTCTGGAGGTTTGTTATTTGGTGCACTACGATATTTGGAGAAGAAGACAAGAGACTCAGAACTTCGTGAGAAAAAGAATTTACCATTAAAATCTTGTCCATGTGAGCTTCTGGATTTTGATTTTGGTGTTCGTCATGCGTAGTCGATGTGCTCGCGGATTGTCAAGATACACACATTCAACACCCGTCGTGACACACGGCTCATTTGCAGAGAGCGGGTCTTCGTGTCTGATATTTGCACAGAGTCCCACTATCGCAAATCTGATCCCAAAAATAAAGGTAAGCTTGAACCCAATGCATGTTGGCAGAAGCCTGACCGATCTCTCAGATGCGGAGTTGCTGGGTACAATACAAATGGATATGACATTTCTGCGAGATGAAGGTCTTATCAGTGTTACCAAACCTCTGCCTAATATCCCTTGCCAGGACTTCTATGACGTGGAGTTAGAGCTTGTGATGATTGTCAATGACCGGAATTTGAGATATGAAGCTCGCTGGCCAGTAGGTGGGAAGGTCTATGGACAAGGTCAGATCAGTATCGCTGCAGCGTTCCGTCCCGGGACTATGTAGGTCCAGAAAGTTGTGTGTTTTCACTGTTTAACGGTGAGACGATCCTGATCGCCTTTGAAGTGTGCGGTAGGAAGTTTTGAAGACGATTGGCATGTATGAATGGACATGTGCAAATACATCCGATCTCACTTGTGACTTTGTGAGGAGGCTGAGGACGTGCAAAGAGCACTAAACCTGTAGGCACGTTGTAGAAAGAGACATCAGCTCAATTTGAGGATTTGCCAATCGAGCGTCAGTGGTGTGTTTGGAATCCTTCGAAATCATAAGAAAAAATGTGCTCAGGACATGTTTCCGGAGCTCTCATTTAACAAATTGACCCCCACATTAATTTCTTCATATCACGTGAAAAGAACAGCACCCCAGTCTATACCGCTTTTCAATTGTCTCACAAAAGGTATTCGATAGTAGAACATTGGCAATAACGTAATGATGTATTTTTCGAAACCCTACGATAATTTATGCTTCGATATCGTACCATAACAAAGCGTCGGTTGTACTAAAGCGTTTTTGTACAATGTGAAGTACCGAGCGTGTAAATACAGTTTTGTGGGTGTTTCTATCCAGATTGGGGGTTTAGCCGGCGCTCGGTCAGTGTGACACTCGCATAATTGATAGGTGCACTTAAGATTATGGGAAATCACCGAGCTACTACCTGCCTATATCGGTGAGCATCCACTTCTCACATCATCCTCCCAGCTTCTTCTCCTCCTACATTACGTTTTCCTAGTCACAATTCAAAAGTTCAGCTTAGCCAATTCCTTAGCCAATTTAAGCAATGGTACTTCGGTACTTGGAGGTTTGTATATTCGGCAGACAGGTAGTTGCTCTAAACGGACGTACAGAGGGATAGCTAGCTCCTATACCGATTCAACAGCACATCACAGAGGCACACTGTCCAAAGCCATCTTTGCACGGAGATTTCATTCTTTCAAAGCTTCCAAGGCTAAATCTTGCTGTCATTTTCATGCCGAAGCGAGTATGGACCTGACATCAAGGAGTCGCCGAATACATGTTCAGAATGCAGCTCGCTCTCCAGAAAACCGAACGAAAATCCTCTCAACGAAGTAATTGACGGGTTTTCCGTTTCCTAGGGGCATGTAGTCCCATTAAGGTTGGCTGCACTTCCGCCTCAATGGCGGGGGTTAGCTGCAGTCAGAAAATGTTTTGGCTCAGCTGAACATCTCACCGTTCTCGTCTATTCTGCAATCAACATGCGCCAAGTCGAATAACAAGCATACATAAGGCCGAGTCTTGAGGGATGTACTCTAGTACCCCATGGCTACAAGGCTTGTTACATATGCAGTGCGATAATTGGAAAGACTTAAATCGTACGAGATCTTAGATCATGTCGACGAGCCCTGGCACGTGCGCTGTACAATATTTCTATGTTTTGTATTTTAGATAAAGGAGTTATCTCTGTTCGTGAGATTGACTTCTCATGGCTTTTTTTACTGCAAGGAAATAGCTTTGTCTGCCTTTCTAGTGTCCATATTCTGGGACGTTCATCATGATTCTATTGAATTATTCGGTGCTCTTATGTTCTTTACTGTTTCTACGACAAGCTTATTCTCGGGAACCTCTTGTGAATAGTCAGGGAAGGCAAGTAATCCAAAAACAAAACTCTGAATTTACAAAATTCCTCATGGAAGTCACATTAACTGTTCCACCCTAGGTTCACTCTTGTTGACAATGTCAAGATCATAGGACTGAATGATTCTATCGAGCTTGTTGAGTTAGCATTCCCATCATATCAAATTACGAGGTACTAATGATATGATTTGAAGATCAAAATCTCTGATCTTCGGGCGAGCGAATCGTCATCCCTCGTGTCGTGGAACTTGCCGGAGTAGGAATCCTTTGACTAGGCGAGACCTCAACCAAATATCAGAGGGCTCCCAGCCCGATGTTGCTGGGACCACACAGACCTCGGACAATGAATTCGCAAGTCTAAATAAACGGGTATTTACTGATATCGCAGATGATCGCTTGGACACTTTCCTACAAAATCGGTTTGGGCCGAGATATAGGGGTCGTGTCATTCAGGTTTATGACCCAGCAACAACGGTTGGCAATTCGGCGGAGTTCCGCTTCCTTGAGGATGCTCCAGTCGAGATGGGTGTTACCGAACTTTGTGGCTGTACAATTGTCGTGGTGATCTCTAACCAGGCAGTTTGGTTTGCACATTTCTTGTACGTACATTTGGCAAGCTCGACCACTTCCAATAGGCCATATACTGATCATTGCCAGTGAGAATATCTCTTTTGGTGATGACGAAATGCTCGATGAGACAGTCCAATTTTTCCAGGATGGATGGGATAGTCTCGGGGGAATTCTTTATCAAAGCCTTCAAGGAATTAGCAATTTCTTTCCTGTCGACGGCCAAACGAGGGCCTATATCATGACACCACAAAAGGAACGAGACACTGCTGTTCCGGAAGGTACTATTGTTACCGACCCCAATGTTTATTACCTCCGGGGGCAAAATTATCCCGCGGAGGTTAGGAGACTAAGACAAACGATCAAAAATATCATACCACGAATACCAATTACTGTCTGTACTTATCCAGCCTTGAACAAAGAGGATAAACGCCCGCGCATGGAAGCACTCTTCTATACAAGACGTGGTAAAGCGTTATTTCAGTATGACCCACGCGCTAGGCAAGGCGCTCGCCCCAGCCGCGGTACCCGACTTTACTTCCAAGGGGTTATTGTTCGCGATCACTTCTGGACCCCAGAGAACAGATTGCTATCAGAATTTCCATCAGCACCTCCGCTTTCATGCGCAGCAAAAATTTACGACGTGAATAAGGTATGGTCTTTTCACTGCCCTCTATTCTCGGATAATACTGTGTGCTAATACCTAGTCCTAGTATACGTGCTACAATAATAACACTTTATGCCCTGTTCTGGAGGGCATTCCAACTTTACTTTGTGGGGATCAATGCTATCTCCAGTCACTTTATACCTGCTATGATGAGGCAGTGCTTTGTCCAATAGTGGATGGTAAGCATAGATTGGCCTGCGGCTTAAGCTGCTATCTCCCAACAGAATACAGGTAACGAGTGTCACAAATATTACTTCTATGGTTTACTGATTGTTTCATCAGCTGCAGCATGGGAGCGTTGGTTCAGCTTTCTGTCCACGACAATTCCACTCAATCGACGGGTGATATTATTGTCGTTCCTACAAACCCTATCACCCAAGCGCCAACAAAGTCACCGAGTCCTTCTCCTAGCAGTGTTCCGGGTGATCAAATAACAGAAGCAATTTTAGATGGTGTTACATACACGATTGGTCCACAGCTAACCACCATCGTGGAAGGCGACCATACCGTCACGGTTGGAAACGGAAGCCTTATAATTGGATCGGATACTATTACGGTCCCCTCGATCCAAACTGACCCGGTCATCCTTACGACTGATGGTGTCACCATTACCTTCAAACCCGGTACTCCTTCTATAACATCTAGCCGCTGGCCGTCAAGCTCCTTCCCATCGAGTGATATCATAATAACAACAAATACCCCGGTACCAGGTCCAAATCCAACCTCGATCATTCCTAGCTCTACAACGATCAGCTCAAGTTTAGACCCACCATTCCCAACACCCACGAGTTTGGTGACCGCAATTACAGCATACGATGGATCCAGTACGCAGGAAATCACTTATACCCCGACTACATTCAGCCAACTTTCAACACTTACCAGTACATCCACAATCACAATCAATATTGGGGGTGTGGTTACTTCAATTGTTGTTGGTCCTGGCGGCACGGCCTGGTCGCCCGTGACTTCCAGTACAACACTTCCTGGCTTCCCTCCAGTCCCAATGCCTACAAACCCCCCTGAACCTCAAAGTTCAAGCGCAATTCCACCAAGAACTACATCTTCGACTATAGTCCCATTCCCTTCGACCCAGTTCCCCCTTCCCATAGTCACCACCGCCGTGGTTACGTCGGATAGCCCTGGGGGTCCCGTGATCACTACCATAACAGGAACTATAGATCCTAGTGGAAGCATATCGCCCATCACCACTCTGTCAACGGCGGCAGCTATCCGTTCCGCAAGATCTCTAGCCTCAAAACTCAACAGTGTCTCTGACGTGGTAGCATCATTTTCATCAAGTACCACTGATTCCTCCAAAGGTAGCTCTGCGACTGCCGCTGTCGATTCAGCCGAATCTGGTATGTGCTCGAAACTCTCTTCTCTACTTTTATTCCAGCTCACATAATGATAGACACGAACGGTTTTGGTGGCGGTCTCGGGTTTTCACTTCCTGGTCTATGCTTGCTATTCTGCGGCCACGTCAGCAGCGCCGGGTCAATTCTCGACTCGATTAAGAGTATCATATCAGCCATAATCGATGGTTCGGCGCGGGAAGATGCTCTTACAAAACCTTTGAACGACTTGGCGGATATTGCCGATGCATTGTTCGAGGATGTAGAAGAAGCAAGTGAAAACGATAACTCCCCAACATCTACCATCACTACTGCACCTTGCAGCACAGGAACTCCTATCACCAATTGTGCTATACTATGCGCCACAGGCACGTCGTCAGGCTCACCACCTACAACTTCTTGCTTCTCAACAACCTGCAGCGTCGAAATCCTGTGTACGGGCAGTGCAACAACCTCCACAGCTCTTCGGCCCTACCAGTGTCCTTTGGAATGGCCCACCACTGGAGGAATCGAACTTTATTCATATGAAGGCTACACATCACTGCCTGAAGGTCCGAAACCAACCGACCTTCCGGAGGGGGATGACAATGGTGAGCCTATCACAACCAGTACGACGGCTCCTCCCTCTACTTCTCCAGATCCCACTCCATTACCAAGTAGCCCAGATCCCACTACGAATATACTTCCAACGCCAACGCCGGCACCACCGGCACCATCGCCACCTCCTCCTCCTCCAGTGATATGTGGTAACCCTCGGCCTTGCGATGCGGTTGGGTGTGCCGGAACAGTTGTCAACAACAAAGCAACCTGCAAGGCTGAGTTTGCTAACTGTGACTGCATCCCAAATGCCAACACACCTGGGTTCTCATGCGGAAATCCTCAATCTTGTGAAAGTAACAATTGTGCCGGCAAATTTGCCAATGGAAAAGCCACCTGTACCAACGCTTTACCCGGCTGCATATGTAACCCAACTACAAGAACGCCAGGATTCTCATGTGGGATCCCACAATCGTGTGAAGCAAATGACTGTCGAGGAACCACTGGCGTAGACAATGTTTCTACCTGTAAATTCAACTTCGCTGGATGTAATTGTATCGCAAGCAAGAGTACCCCGGGACTTTCTTCAGGCGAAAACCTCATTTTGGCAGATTGCGGCATTGGACTTGGTGCCAACGGCGGTTCTACATCTCGAGAAATGATGTACTTTCCCGGCGACGTTTGGAAATCTGATGGCTCAGTCGCTAACAAGCCAACCATGATGGTAAATGTGCCTTGGGATGGATCCTATCCCTGGCGACTCAGCGGCGTGTCAGTCAAATTCCCCAATGGAGATAAATTCACAGTGACCATCAATCCCGGTGTGAAAGACCCCTCACTATCCGGTTATGCAAGCCACATCTACAACGACGTCCCTCTATACTGTTACTCATTCCATAAAGACAAGGTCTACCAGCTCGATGACAAGAAATGGTGTTCCTCAGCCTACGTCTGCAACCACAGCAAACCTCCAGTCTTCGACAACAGACCAAGTCCCCCACCCGCACCGCAACCTCCTACGCCTCCACCACCAACACCCCAACCACAAGAAGGTCGCCAAACAGTCTTCACAATCGACAAAGACTACGTCCGCATCTACTCCCAAACCGCATCCATGATATTCTCCCATCTCCGCACCAAACTCCGCACCCTCGACTGCGACACCACGCCCATAACCCTGAACGCGCAATGCAGCATCTCCTTCACCTGCGAAAAGAAATCCGGGCCCCTCTGGCTCACCACCCTCGCCGAGTTCCTCATCACGGAAATGCCGAAACGGCCCGGGTTCGCTAATGTAGAGGAGTATACGTATGATGGGGTTTGTAAGAAGTGGGATTCGAGACCGGGGCATGAGGGTGAGTGTTTGGCGTATACGACGAAGACGGATACTTATTTGTATGTGCCTGAGACGCTGGATGTAAAGGTGCAGGCGGTGAGGGTGGCGGATGGGGGGGTGTTGAGAACGGAGAGTAGTATGGGGTATAGGATTGCGTGTAAGGAGAGGACGGAGGAGTGTAGGTTGTGTAGGCTTTTGAATAGTGCTGGGGTTGCGCCGTGGGGGGGATTGTTGTATACGAATTGCGAGAAGGGGTGTAGTTGAGGTGATTTGGGGGTGGAGGGTTGTAGAGAGAAATAAAGATTCGAGTAATTGGACTTTGAATATACGGTCTTGTTGAAAATTTGGTGTTAGTGTGTTTTAATAGCATTGTGTCATGAGACGGATAGAAACGGTGTTCTGTTGAGTAGTACTGTGCGAACATGGCTGAGAGCCTCAGAGTACCATGCTTAATTGTGTGAAGGGTTGTGAAAATATTTCAACTCTGCGTGTCAATTCGGCTCGGCTCAGTTTCAGTAACACGATGGCTATCCAAATTGATAATTTAAGTATTATGAATTCCTAAGGCCTGTTGGTAAAACAATCAACGTGCCATTCATCAACTTGATATGAATATCAAGTTCGGTTTGTTGGTAAATCGCCATATGATAGAAGACTCAAGAAGCACTTTGAAAATAGATTACATTGAATTGAAATATGTATAAAGTAAAGCCGATCTTCATCTTCTAGCTCTTAATTTTCACTTGCTCTTCTTGCCAGTAAAGATCTTGGCAGATGATCGAGACCAAAAAAAGCTCCATTCCAGGAAACTTAACCAGCAAAATCAATCGCCGTACTAGCCTGCCCGGCCGCCTTCTCATCTAACGCAACATTCGTCGCCAACTTCTTCTGCTGCGTCGCAATCTGAGCATCCAATCCAGTCTTTCCTTGCGCGGCCTGGATTTGAAGTCTCAAAACATCGGTCTGTAATTTCAAGACTTTGTTCTTGATTTTGCCGTTCTGGAGAGCGGTTGCCGCGTCCCCGGAAACACCCTCGAGGGCGTCGTTGAAGCCACCGGTGGCGACTTCGGCTTGCTCACTCACTTTTGCGGCGTCCGAGATGATTTTTAGGTCGCCTGCTGAGACGGATGCGAGGTCGTTGAGGTCGATCTAGGGGATGTTAGTGGGGATTGGGTACGTGGTAGGGGGTTGTTTACCGGGAAGTTGGCGTTGACTTCAGCGAGGGCATCACCAGATACGCCGGCTGATACGGAGAAATCGTTGTATGATTTCACTGTCAAGGCGCGCTTGTTCATGGGGGCGGCCAAAACTGCTGAGGAAAGGGACAAGATGCTGAGGAGGGTGTTTGAGAAACGCATGATGAGTGTTGATGAATGTGACTGAAGTACTGTGATTTAAGTTGGGGATTTGCTGAACAAGGATGAAGTGTTTCTGAAATTTGAATATACGAAGAATTGGAAGTAGAAGTAAAGATCGGCAACAGCACAGCTGTGAGAGAAGTGAAAGAACAAAAGCTGAAATAAAGGATGAAGTTGAGTAACTACTGATTTGCTCAAAGGAAATCTGAAGAGATATATATACAGACAGCAAACCTTACGAACTCAATTTCGCCAAGGCATAAACCCACTAACATTTCGGAGACTTTGTTTTGAATCTTTTGATACAACCCGTACTCGACTGCTCGGAATATCCACTTGGAAAATTCAGGACGGTTTCCACCAATGGATGGAGCATGTGAGAATCATGCCACAGACAGACTTGCCCACGATAGGAAAATAAACATGCCATCCAATGGTTACGAGTAAGGTTGAACGGTGACCATGTGTTCGGTCGGTTTGATCTTTGGAGACGTTTGGTGTTTGACATGGCGATCCGATGTTTTGGACAAGGGGGAGGATATTTCGGGTGTCGCTTAAGACACGTGCACATAATGCCTGGACAGATCTCGTGACTAGAAGAGTGAAAGCAACGCTCATGCAACCACTTTAGAAAAGTCGCGCTAAGTACGACGCGTCCAGACGCGACTTTCGCGACGACCATCCCTTTTCCAAAAGAGGGTATTTTCATGCGAACGGCAACAATCGAGTTCACAACAACAACAACAACAGCCCCTCAACACCGCAAATATGGATGATCTACAACTTCGTGATGAGGCTGTCAAGGACAGAGTTCGCGCTGCGACCGAGTTTCTTGATCCAAGTATGCTCCGTATCGAACCCCACCATTACAAAACTAACCGCCCGCAGCTGATAGAAATGCCGCTCGAAGCTACCGATCAGAGATTATATTGATGCTGCAAAAATTTCAGAGACGACTTGTTGTCAGTATAGATGAAGTACGAGCCCATAATGTTGAACTTGCGGAAGGTCTTCTGCAGCAGCCCTTCGAGTACGTCCAGGCTTTCGACAGAGCGCTTCACGATGTTGTCAAAGTCCTCCCAAATACAACCAAAAAGCAGGAATCGGAGGATACAATGTACTACTGTGCTTTTTCGGGAAGTTTTGGACAATACGCTTGCAATCCGAGAACACTATCTTCTACACATCTCAACCACATGGTGTCCCTCGAGGGTATTGTCACAAGATGTTCTTTAGTTCGCCCAAAAGTCGTAAAGAGCGTCCACTATAACGAGAAGAAGAAAATTTTCCACTTCCGAGAATACAAAGATCAGACAATGAGCGCGAATGGTGCTGCGACATCTAGCGTTTATCCCCAGGAAGATGAGGAAGGCAACCCCCTGATTACAGAATACGGATACTGCACATATAGAGATCACCAAACGATATCCATCCAGGAAATGCCTGAAAGAGCTCCCGCTGGTCAATTACCGAGAGGAGTGGATGTTATATTAGATGATGATCTGGTGGACAAATGCAAGCCTGGTGATAGGGTACAGCTCGTTGGAATTTATCGATCCTTGGGAAACAGAAATGCTGGTCATAACACTGCCTTGTTCAAAACGACGATATTGGCCAATAATATAGTCATGTTGTCGTCTAAATCAGGTGGTGGTATTGCCGCTGCGACTATCACCGACACAGATATTCGCAATATTAATAAGGTGGCTAAGAAGAAGAACCTCTTTGATCTTCTTTCTCAGTCACTAGCGCCCAGTATCTATGGTCACGAATTTATCAAAAAAGCGATTCTTTTGATGCTTCTAGGTGGAATGGAAAAGAACTTGGAAAACGGCACACATTTAAGGGGTGATATTAATGTTTTGATGGTCGGTGATCCTTCTACAGCAAAATCGCAAATCCTTCGATTCGTCCTCAATACCGCTCCTTTAGCGATTGCCACGACTGGTCGTGGTTCTTCTGGTGTTGGTTTGACGGCAGCTGTTACGTCAGATAAAGAAACTGGGGAACGAAGACTTGAAGCTGGTGCCATGGTTCTGGCTGATCGCGGTGTGGTATGTATTGATGAGTTTGATAAGATGTCTGATATTGATCGAGTGGCCATCCACGAAGTCATGGAACAACAAACTGTCACAATCGCGAAAGCTGGAATACACACATCCTTGAATGCACGATGTAGTGTTGTGGCAGCGGCGAATCCCATATTCGGACAATACGATACTCACAAGGATCCTCATAAAAATATCGCACTTCCTGATTCTCTTCTTTCTCGTTTCGATTTACTCTTCATTGTCACAGATGACATTGATGATACTCGGGATCGTCAAATTTCGGAGCACGTTCTTCGAATGCATCGATACAGACAGGCGGGAACCGAAGAGGGTGCCCCAGTTCGAGAACAATCTCAACAAACTCTAGGCGTAGGAGTTGATCAAGAAATCGACGCAAACCGACCAACCGAAGTCTACGAAAAATACAACCAAATGCTCCACGCCGGTGTCACCCTAACCAGCGGCCGCGGCTCCAACAAAAAGGTCGAAGTCCTCAGCATCCCCTTCATTAAGAAATACGTCCAATACGCCAAATCCCGAATCAAGCCGGTCCTGACACAAGAAGCATCTGACCGTATCAGCGAAATCTACGTCGGCCTCCGCAACGACGACATGGCCGGCAACCAACGAAAAACCAATGCCATGACGGTCCGAACCCTCGAAACCATCATCCGTCTCTCCACCGCGCACGCCAAATCCCGTCTCTCGAATCGTGTCGAGGAGCGCGATGCTATAGCCGCGGAAACCATTCTGCGATTCGCACTGTTTAAGGAGGTAGTTGAGGATGAGAAGAGGGGGAAGAGACGCAAGACCAGACCGTTGGAAGATGAGAGTAGTAGTAGTGAGAGCGATGATAGTGATTCACCGCCTCCTGCGCCCAGTACCTCGCGCACGCCTGGCACGGCGAGAACGAGAGGCCTGGCCGTACCAAAGGGCAAGGAACGCGCGAAAACCCCCGTGGACGAGGACGATGATGAGGATCTCTACGACGCCACCCCCCAACGAACACGCACCTCCAACCGTCAAGCCTCCTCTCAACCCTCCTTCGCATCCTCAATGCCTGCCTCTCAACTCCCCATCCTCCTCCCAATCCCCAAGAAGATTCCTCCCTTGCCGCCTCCACCGCAGCACTAACCCTCACAATCACGCCCGCCCGTCTGACAGTTTTCCGGTCTACCCTTGGGCAGTTGATGAATACAGATCTATTCGACGACGACGCGGCGGAGGTTGGTGCTATTCTTGCGGCTGTGAATCGGAAGATCGGGGGGAGGGCTGGGGGAGCGTTTAGTGTGGAGGAGGTGAAGGCGGCTCTGGGGAGGATGGATGAGGGGAATGATGTTATGTGAGTATCCCCCTTGTGTGGTGTGAAGTGATTTGGGTGTGAAATGAGGCTAATTATTGAAAAATAGGTATACGGGTGGTGAAGTTGTTTATAAAGTCTAGACTTCCCTTTCTTTCTCTTTGATAGAGTCGAGGGTTAGGAGAAGAAGGAGTTCAGGTGGTTTTGGGATTGGGTATGAGCAATGAATGAACGGATAGGTGTATGGGTTTATTAAGGTGTGTATGGGTTATGAAATGATAATATTACTCTATCCCCGTTCTAAAAACGCCGAGCCCGTCTAAGGTGTGTCTCGTTAATCATGATGTTCATCGGCTCATTTCCCTTTTTCGAATACCCGTTAATCCTCCAATTTTCCTAGTTTCATCTATAAGTAGGATATACTCAAGTTGTATCCGTCATGATGCTAGGTCCCGCCTGTGACACCCTTCAATTCTGGGCGTCCCAGAAACTCGGTTAATCTTTCGAATACGCTGATGCCATTCCATTTCTCTTCCAGTTCTGCTACCGCGTCCGCTTTCATCTCCATTTCCTTTTCCCGCTCTACCTGTTCTCCCCTTTCGTTGTCATGTTCCTTTGTCTCCTCCATTTCGTCTTCCGTCTTCTCCCCTCCTCCGAGATCCCCCACCTCTTTCACCCCTGTCACCTCTCTTTCACCCACATCCCCTTCCCCCTCGTCCTCCCACTCTCCCGAATTCTCTTTCCCTTCTTTCTCAAGTCTTTCAACCTCTCCCTCCTGCCCACCCTGCGATAATACGGGCATCCCAACCTGCTCAATCGCAAAACTAGCCGCGACGCTTCCCCACGCCACAGCTTCCAGTATCGGCTTTCCGCGCGCAAGCGCGATGGAGAAGCCGCCTAGGAAGGTGTTTCCGCCGCCGGTGGGGTCGATGACTGTGTGCTCGTTTGGAGACGGAGTAGGGGGAGAGGGAATGGATGTTGGTGGTGGTGGTAAGGTTGAGGAAGGGGATGGTGGTGGGATCGGGGTAGGGACAGAGGCCGGGGATGGGATTGGTGGTAGTGGGAGAGATACTGGGGGAGAGGAAGAGGATGTTGGGGGTGGGGGATGTGATGGTAATGTGGTGGAAGGAGGAGTAGATGATGAAGGAACAGGAAAATAAGCAGGAATCCACCTCTCAATCCCGGGATCAATCGTAACTTCTTCGCGCTCTAGGAATCCGTCCCTATTTATCATTCCTATCACATACAATCAGCCAACACTCTAGCACTGATCACTCACAAACATCAAAAGAAAATAAATACCACTAAACAGCGCCATCATATCAACCTCCGGCGTCAAACCCCCTCTCGCATGATTCGCCGGCCTCTTCCGTTTCACCACCGACGGTCTTCGAGACCGTCCCCCATTTTTCGCTACATAACAGCCTTTGGCACCGCAGCGGATGACGAGGGTGTAGGATTGGAGGGGCATGCTGCCGAGGAGTTGTTCGCAGGCGCGTTCGACGGCGGGGGTGGAGATGGTGTTTGTCACGGGGTCGAGACCGAGGTCGGGGTCGCCCATGAGCGTGGCGAGTTCGTGGTGGTTGGGGGAGCAGATGTCGACTAGATGCAGGTTAGAGGACGGACTGGTAGGTGGAGGGGGAGAGGAAGAGAGGAAGTGAGGAGAGGAGGGCCTGAGTGATTGAAAGGAGGGGGAAGTACCGTAGGGCAAAGCGTTAGTGGTGTTGAGGAGTTCAGATGGGATACAGAGATCTGGAACTGGTTCCCAGATGAAGATTGGTTTTGAAGCGTATGGATTTATCCGTTTTCGTTTGCGCAGGATGGATGTGGTTAAAGCTATACATCTCGCAGGTGAACATATAAGATGAAACGATTTTGAGAATAATAAAGTGTCAGTTAAGGAGTTCTCATCCAGTCGCAGTTTCGGGGTAGTATATTTGAAGGCTCGGTTTTGGTTCTCATCGTAGCCATTCCACCCACGGGTTGTGAGGCGGGAATGATCGGTACGGATAAGGCAAGAGGTTTGCCATGTCGAGATTTGAGAGCGGATTGATGGGGGGAAGTCGGAGCCTTCGTCGACGATCCAGGATACGGTGTGGGAGGAGGGTGGTGGTGAGAAGAGACGGGCTCCGAGTGCTGAGTAGGCTCCTGCTCCTCCTAGGATGTCGTATACTGAGGGTTTTGGTGGGAGGTAGTGGATTTCATCTAGATGTTGTTAGAATGGGAGTGCAGTGATGAAAGGAAATGGCAAAGAATGAAAGGACGCTTTTAAATAAATAGGAATATATAAGAGATAGTAGATGCATTCTTGAATTCTTGTGTTCTGACTTAAAATTCGAAGGAAGTACTGTAGAGGCCTAACACATATGTCCTACATAGAGCTTGTACTCACCCACTTCCGAAATGCTGACCACCAACTTGGCGGTCAATTTGGCAGCGTCAGCTTGAACAGAACTAAATGTAATAAGACTGTTATTTCGAACGAATTGAAGGTAGAAACGGAGAGAGGAAGATATATATCAGAATCCAAGAGGTAGCGCATTCAAGTGTCTCCATTCGCTAGGTTAATGAGACCAGTGCAGCCTAGACGCAAATAAAAAGGAAGAAGCCAAATGAACTATGAGCTTGATCCTTACCAATAATGAACATCCCCAAAGTGCAAAAGTCGATTTCTTGAGATGGAGATATTCCATCTTCTTCCTTGGCGACATTCATATTTCCTGTCACTCAACATGGAGTTGTCTAGGAAGGTGAAGGTATGATTGTCTGCACGTTAGATTCTATCACCCCCTGCAGATGTGTTCGTGGAATAGTTTTGTCTGCCTGAGGATGCTTTGATCGACGCTCAGGCTGCCATCGGACGAACTCCGGAGACACTGCGTATTGCATCCCTTTATGGCAGCTCCAGCACGGTCTCATCCTACTGCCTGCTTCAATTCAGCTCGAGCTTCGTTGAGCTATTTTATATCCTTCTTCAATCGTTGCATTTCTGCGGTTTCAATCATTTCCTTTTAACCTCCAAACTCCCCTTTTGCTCCCGCCAGACACCGCGCGTACGCTAAACGCATCGTTGATCTTGCCTCAAACCATCCGTCATCTGCGGAGTGCATAGGGAGCTGTCTGGCCCTGCAGCAACGCCAAACGCAAAATGGCCACGAATAACATGCACAACCTGACCACACTCATCAAACGGTACCGTGACATTTTTATCTTTCCTCATTTTCCCTATACACCTTTCGCCAGCTTCCGCCCGACTTTTGATTATGGAGGAGAAAGTCCTTCCTGTGGTTCCGCGCAATGAACTAACAAAGATCATTCAAAGACTAGAGGCAGCAACTTCGAGATTGGAGGATATTGCGTCTTCTACTATTCCGCCAGCGAGTTTGAATGGCGCCCCTGCTACTCCAGCACCAACAGGTCCTCTGCCAGCTCCACCAGTCCCAGCACAACCTCCAAAACCAGTACAAGAACCATTGCCGGAAGCTGTAGAGGAGTTTGATGCGTACCTTGCGGGGACCGTCAAGACATATGTGGCTCTGAGTAATGCGTTGGGAGGGCCTGTGGCCAAACAGGTAGGACCATCAGCAAGAGCAGCGGATTAGACTGACCATGGCAGGCTACCAGCGTACACAATGCCTTGATCGGGCAACGCAGATTCCTCCTCATAGCCTCCAAGGCCAAGAAACCTTCGGACATGAGCAGCAAGGAGTTCGCGGAACTCTTGAAGCCTATGCAGGATGGTATTGTCAGCGCCAACGATATCCGAGATTCGAATCGTGGAAACTCTTCTTTCAATCAATTGAGTACAGTCTCGGAGAGTATCAGCTTCTTGGCCTGGGTGACTTTGGACACGAAGCCTCATAAGCATGTGGAAGAATCCCTGGGTTCTGGGCAATACTGGGGTAATCGTGTGCTGAAAGAGTTCAAAGAAAGGTGAGTTGGTCATAATCGAGGGGTTCGATAAATGCTAAGTCTGGAAGCGACCCAAAACAGATCGAATGGATACAATCGTACTATGCGGTGCTAAAGGAGATGATTGAGTACATCAAGTCAACATACCCCCAAGGCGTTCCATGGAATCCCAAGGGCGTCTCACTCGCCGAAGCTTTAAAGTCTGGCGCACCTGCCCCAAAACCTGCTGGAGGTGCTCCTCCTCCCCCTCCACCCCCTCCTCCAGGACCACCTCCACCTCCCGCACCCCCAGCGATTCCAAAGGCCGCCGCATCACCTGCTGCGGGTGGTCTCGATGCCGTATTTAACGAATTGAATAAAGGAGAGGCTGTCACCAAGGGACTGCGAAAGGTCAACCCAGATCAGATGACACATAAAAATCCTGCTTTACGGCGGGAGGCTGCGGTACCTACTCGTAGTGCTAGTCAGAGCAGTGTAACATCAGATTTGAGAGCAAAGTCACCTGCTCCTAGTAAGCGACCTAAGCCAGAGAGTATGAGAACGGAGAAGAAGAAGAAGCCACCAGTAAAGAAGCTTGATGGGAATAAATGGATAATTGTGAGTACCCACTTCTATCATTCAGATCCATGCTGACTATTTTCTAGGAACACTACGACAACGAACAAGGCATCATCGAAGTCGAAGCCTCCATCTCCCACTCTATCCTCATCTCCCAATGCAACAAATCCACCGTCGTAATCAAAGGCAAAGCAAACGCCATCTCAATCGACAACTGCAAACGTCTCAATCTCATAATCGGCTCCCTCGTTTCCTCCGTCGACGTCGTCAAAGCCTCTAATTTTGCCCTTCAAGTGGACGGGTTCCTGCCTACCATCCTCATGGATCAGGTCGATGGCGCGCAGGTCTATCTTACCAAGGAAAGCATGAGCACAGAGGTCTTCACTAGCAAATGCTCTAGTGTCAATTTGAATATCCCGAGTAAAGACGAGGATGATGATAGTGAGGAGTTGGCGTTGCCGGAGCAGTTGAGGACGTACATTAAGGATGGGAAGGTTGTTACGGAGATTGTGGAACATGCTGGATAGACTATGGAGCTGGAAAGAGGAGGTGAGGGTTCGGGGGAAGGTGGGCGGAGAAACGGGGGATGTGTAGGCTGGTGATTTGTATGTATATGGAATACCGTTCTAGAACGTCGAGCATAGATTGGCGATGGCGTAAGCTGTGTACCTCTTTTTACCTATGAAATTGGAGATTTGAAGTATCTGATATGAATTTGTATGTGCGCCACTGATACTCCGAGTTTACACATCTCTACGGGGTTCTTCCGTCCTTGACGTCCTATACATATCTCAGCTGGGGGGTATAATAGCAGTTTCCTAAACAGTATCTGGTTACTCCGTGACGTATATTTTTTGATCTCTTCTTGCAGGTTTTTCTTCTTTTTTTGAGAGAGAGGGCGAGCATGGTTATTTGCAATTGCAACATAGTCAAAGAGGCGTAACTAATAAATTCCCTTCTCGCGATACCGACTATTTGTCTAGCGTAGTCTTGATACTGCTGCCGTATAGTTAGATTAGGGGTGAGATGTGGTGTAGATAGTCGTGGAGGATGTGTAGTGGAGATGGATGCGGGTAGTCCGTCGTAGATTTCACATAAAGACGGGGAGTTTTTTTATCTTTTTCTTTTTTTTCGGGGAGAGGAGAGGTGGGATATGTCACATCTGTAGTGGGAATTCATAGTTTCTGGTTCTCCTAATCAGCTGAGCTATCATGCGGTAGTGTTGAAACTCCATCTCGGTATCCTGCGCCGAAGTATACACGCTTGCGTATCTAGCGGGATATTAAATTATGGGATTAACTTCCTTTATAGCCTGCTGTGAGGTCGGTAGAAAAGTCATAGAGTAAGCTCTTTCGGGCTGTCATTCTTGTCAATTTCTTGATGGGGCAGTGGATTTTGATTCGTATGTCATGACAATGGCAGCTATAAGACGATACTACACACACAACATGAAAATGACATTTATCCGATCCCAAAAAATCCCGACTCCAGGTATTTCCCAACCTAGCCCAAACCATAAATGCCCGCGAGAAATGCCTAATGAGCCCGGATTCGATATTTAATAAAATTCATAAATTCATCAATCCTCTTCTTCCCTCCCTCTTCCCTTCCCTCATCTCTCTATTCCTCGTTCTCACTGCCTTTCCCCTCCCCCCTCTCCTTAAAAAAACACACTCCTCTTCTTCTGCACCTTCTTCCCCCCACCTAACCCAAAAAACCCACTCGAACTAGCCGTTCCCTGCCCCGGCGCCTGAAGATACGGCGTCTGCTGCTGATCCGTCCTGCCCAACCACGTCCCCAGCGACGCATGTGGTTGCTGTTGCGTAGGTCTACTCACCGAACTCGAACTCATCGGTCTCTGCGGTCCCTGTTGGGGAGGAGGCTGTTGATGAAACTGCCCATTCGGCTGCTGCGCATACTGTCCATTCGGTAGTTGCGCCTGCGGTCTCACAGGTAAACTAGGCTGGAACTGTACCCTCGGCGGCGGCATAGCAGGAACGCCATACTGCTTCCTCAATCTCTCCGTTTCCTTCGCAACCTCCGCTTCTCGTCTCAGTCGTTCCTTTTCTTCCGCCTCCAGCATCTTCTTGATCCGTTTCTGCTCCGCGCGTTCCTGACGTTCTCGTTCTTTTTCTTCTGCTTCGACCATGGCTTTTAGACGGGCCGTTTCGGCGTCGATTTCCCATTGTGTGCGAGGATTTACAGCGGGCGGGGCTTGTTGCTGTTTTTGTTGTGGTTGGGGTTGGCGGTATGGTTGCGGAGGTGGGATTTGTGATTGTGGGATATTTTGAACGGGGCTTTGAGAGAGGGCACCTGTCATGATTGCGCCTGAGCCGCTGGATTTACGACCACCGATGACTGGGCCGCTGTTTTTGCGCTTTTGCGTCGTTGAGGGCGGGGAGCTTATGTTGAACATTTCGCGGCTGGGGTTGAAGAAGACATCTTTGATTACTGCGGAGCTTAACATCAGTACGACCTCTAGTCCCTTGAAATCTTCTACGTCGACTCGGTGCATGTTGGGTTCGTATAGGGTCAATGAGTTTTGATCCTTGCCGGTCTTGTACATGGCGATTATGATATCTGGCTCTTTGTTCTTTTTCCCTTCTGGCATTACTTTCCCAGATAGATAACATGAAATATCCTTGGATAGTTTCCCATCTCTCTTCCATTTGAACCCAATCTTCGGCGTAATATCCGAAGCAGCAGGATCATCCTGCGTACGATCCAGCGTCGACCCAGAAGGTCTCCGAAAGGTATTCTGTGGCATTTCAAACTCCCAATACGAGCTACTATTCCATTTCCCTTCTATCTGCCGCACAGTGACCTGTTGATCCGGATTATAAAGTTGAATAGTAAACTTATTCGGCACAATAGGTACAGGAGGAGGTGGAATGCCATTCTGCGCTCGAATCTCCGCCTGCGATAATGTAGGTTGCGTCCATTCTGGCTGCACCAATACCTCCGCATATAACACGTCCGGACTATATGAATCGTAGAGCGCTACCGCATAGCAGTTCTTCGAGGCGGGAGTCGAGGGGTCCGGTCGGCGCAGAGAATACTCTGGATTGAGCTCTGAGGCATTTTGAGTAAGGTATATGGTACTTGATAGTGGATTATCTGAAGTCGCAGCTTTGATGTAGAAGGTTGGTAAGTTCTCGTCCAACATGTTCGGTTTTGCACTTTACTATTAACTTCCGCCAGTCGTTCGTGGTATACAAGGCGGGGTACAAGCGACTCGGTCTTGTCTATATGGGCAGCGTATCGTGATTCTCGTGGAAAGGACTGTATATTCGCCGGATCATGATAGTCATATGAACAACCGCTTCGTGAATGCGCTTCGAGGCAAGTACTCTATGTAGTAACTCGAGGCTGACGAGTCAACAAGCTGGAAGTGAGGCTGAGTAACGACTGCCAAGCCCGAGTGAAGTTTGTCTTTCAGAAACTGTTTGCGCGTCGAAGGTTGGTTGCCGGAACAAGCTTCGAAAGGTCTGGTGATTGGTTCAGCTGTTCTATTTTGAGCAAGGCTGACCTCTTCGCCGGCGAACGTCACTTTAGTCACGTGCGGCAGCTGTCATTCTCCACTTCCCGTTTTGTGGTACGTAGTCGATGAAAGCTACAAATTTGACTTTAGAGTTATGTTTGAGTGTTATTTTCATGAGTAAAAAGTATTGATTAAATATCTTCTTTGTCTATTGAGCCTCGCATAGTAGAAGATCAAAGACATGTCCATGTATCAAAGGTTACATCATCGTTGAAAAAATCATTAGTTTAAGACCGACGAGAAAAGAGGACAAGACGCTCAAGTTCAGAAGAAGAAATACACAGGTGTATACATTGTTGACACTCAGAAATGATTCTTGACAGCGCATCTTAGACATACATCTTAAGACATAAATTTACTACTAGACTACATCTCTCTTCCTATCTAATGTTCACACCCATCCCCTCCGACCCCATTCTTCCACGAATTCTGAATTAAAGTATACTAAGATAAATAACTTTTCTGCTTGCTTGCTCGCTTGCTCATTAGCATGTTCTCTCTTCTCGTATATATGTCGTACTCCGACCACCCAAAAACCGCTATGCAACTCCGAATCCCCGCCCGACGAAAGCCTTCTCCCACACGATACAAAAAAAGGGCACCTGTCCCATGAGAAATGTCAAATCCATATATACAGGTGAACCGTAAAATCATCATCTACAACAAAAGAAATGGAAAGAAGGTGGTGAGGTGGTCTAGTTTATCCCGGTCTTGCGGTTGAGGATCTCACTGGGTACACGTGACCCTCGTGAGATCTGAACTTCGTCGCCCGGGTGGAATTTGAAAACCGGATCTTCACTAATGTTCCGTTGATGAACTGGTTGAACGGGCGGGGTATAGTACTGGGCTGTTTGCAGCTGCAGTGGTATTGCAGGGACGCTTGGGATGTTTTGCTCGGGTACTGGAACGCGCGTCGCTTGCTGCGCAACCCAGGAATTGACAGTCCTGAATCGCGGGGCAGAATCCTCTGAAGTTGTGGTGTATATCGTATCTCGGTCACCTCGCCTCTGTGCGGGAACTTGCATCCAGGAAAAGGCTCCCGGAGGACGACTTGGACGATACCCTTGCATCATGACATTTGGGTTGTTAGGATCTGGAAGGACAAGCCCATCTCCGAATCCGGATGATAGAGATGACATGTAGCTCATGTGATTTGGCTGAGGCTGGTTACTGTACTGTGGATTTGGAGGTTCCCGAGTTGCATACGTGGCCTGCGTAGGTATGGTGTTGTTGGCTTCAGGAACCTGTCTGGATAACATTGTGTTCCGCCGACCTGTGTTGTTGTATGAAGCTTGAAGGTCCGCTATTGGACTATCATGGGGAGAGTATGCACCAAATGGTGAGACATTTCTTGCCAGGGGAAAGCTAGAATTAGGTGATTCTGTTCGGTTCAGGGTTGCTGTCGTGTTAGGAATTGCCAGAGGTGGAAGCATGGCCGGTGATATGCTAGGTGCAAAGTTGTCATCTGCCACTTTCCTGTCAAGATCCCTTTTCTCATCTTCGGGAAATCCGTAGGGAGTTTCGCCGTTGTATTGTGGTGGATCTTCTGAAGGTGCATTACTGTTTCTCCGCCAGCCGTACATTCCACGAGGGCCTCCTTTGCGAACCTTACGGTTCCTAGTCTTTTTTAATACATCAATGCCTTTCATCCGCATCAGTAGAAAAATGCCCGCTAGAACAATGATAAAAGCCCCTAGTCGCTAGTCAGTTTGAAGTCCCATAGTGAAGATACAAGTATAAGAATTTACCAATAGCTCCAATGGCAACAAGAAACCGCTCTGCCGTGGGCGATAATCCTGTATTTGGTCTGTTGTTCCCTGGTCTTCTGTTGCTTGGGAATCCTGAAGGAAAAGGGCCAGGAAATCCTGTAAATCTAGGGTTTCTTGTTGACGTTGTCTGAACAACACTAAGAGGTGTCACCATCAGAGTCTCTGTCATCGTCATAGTAGGCATAGAATCTTGAACAGGAAGCCTGGTAGCCAAACTGCTTGTTGGGTCGTCTAGACCTTTACGAGCTTGTGTCGCTGTGTCTGATGGCACTCCAGGAATTTCGGACGTCGACGAGGCGGTCATTGTTGTTGTAAGTACCGACATCGAGGGTAGTGGAGTCTAAATCACAATTAGCAAGGGCTTTCGCGTATATCATGAGTATCTTACAGCAGTCTCGGACGCTGAAGTGGACAAGGATGAGGGAATGGCGCTTTCTGAGGATGTGGAACTGGGCTCAATAGCGGACGAGGTGAGCGAAGAAGTCGGCGTAACTACTGGAGGGGCTGGCGTTGGTAGCGATAACTGCTCTTGTGAGGACGACGGTTCGACGATGGCAGGTGTAGTACTTGTGACAGGCACAACGACCGGAACGCTGCTTACAGCAGGGACAGCTGGGGTATCAACAGGGACGACTGGCACAGGTGATTCCAGAGTTGGTACCACTGGAGCAGGACTAGTCGGAACAGCTTCCGCTGGAGGAGGTCCCGATGGTTGGTCTTTAGGCTTTTCTTCCTCCGTATCGTTGTCTTCCTCGTCGTCGTCGTCGCCACCTCCACCCTTCTGAGATTTCTGGGATCTTCCTGGTCCATCACCATCTTTGCTGTCGCCGCCATTTCCGTCTCCCCCTCCACGCCCACCACCACTTTTCCCATTCCCATCACCATTCCCATCTCCACGACCAAAGCCACCGAAACCACCGCCTCTTCCCCGTCCTCCGTTATCACTCCCATTATCGTTATTCTCCCGTTCCCGTCGCCGAAGCGGAACTCTAACTGCGACACCCTTCCTCCGCCTTGAGCTCCCCGCCATTGATGATTGGTGTTCTCTTTCCAACGGTGCCATTGTCGCAAGCATCCTCCGCTAAACACAGGCGGCACCAGCCCTTGGAGCCGCCAGTATTGCAATCAATTGAGCGAAGTGCGAGACCTCCGGTAGCTGAAATAAATGACGAAGGTTAACAGATCCAAAGCACTGTACACAATAAAACCATCACCAAAATGAACAGACTTCACGAACCAGTCGCGGTAAGAAGAGAAGAATGTAGTGCAAAAAAAAAGAGTGTAGGAGACAAAAAGAGTGTAAGCGGGGGAAAAGAGAGAAAGAGCGCGAGACAGAAGAGAGAGTAAGGATAGATGATCGGCGCGGGTCCCGATGGGAATCAAGTGGAGACTTGTTCGATCAACTTGGATCACACCCTTGACAAGACTTTGTTCTCCAGCATTCAAGCCTTGACAGGCATGGCACGGCGAACGAGACCGACAAGAAGTAGTTAGCGTTCTTCGACAGCATGAATTCTTTCTCGATTCGTCAAGGTTTCGATGGAGCCAAAGTGACAAAACTCAGAAGACCACTGTGGACGGCCACGCAAAGCCCAGACGTGGATGGCCAAATCTTACCCTTCATGCTTGATCCGCAGGCCACGAGGCTCGTAGGGCGTTGAGATCGGGACTTTGATATGAAATACGCAGGGTCCAGCTGCCCAGTTTTTCTGGTGTTGCAGAGTGCCAGAGGTTCATTTCTCGGTATGAGATACGAGGCTCTGGCTTTCTGGCAGATTGTACTGTGCGGCCTGAACAAGAGCTGGAGTGTGATGGGTGAGACAACGAGTATGACGGCTGAAGCCTCGACAGGCACTGGCAGAGCCTCAACAACAAAGAGCACAGGGGATCCAGAGGTTGTCTCTGTCGAATCTTCTAACTCGATATGGCCAGAACAGGACCCAAAGAGGCGTGGTTTCCCCACACACGGCAGCCGGATCGACGAATACGTGAACAGACTCCATGAAGAAACTCGTCCCCGCTTGGCTCTGACAGCTTAGGAGGGATCGCCCAGCGAGAGTGAAAGGCATGATCAAGCGCTGAAAGTGGACGGGGGGATTTGGGTGTGGAATCGGTGTGGCAGAGAAATATAAGTGAGGAAAGGCGTGGTGTTGTCGCTTGTTGTGTTTGAGGCTGGTTTCACCGTGCGGGTAGCGGTCCGTGGATTGCGGAGCCTTCAAAACCCGTGGCTCGGGCGGGTTGCGATCAATTGATTGGATGAAACTGACCGCAAGCCACTTCTGCAGAATCTCGCTTGACGAAGCTGCGAGGTTATGAAGACGACATCCCCTGATTGTTCTTGGAACGAATCTCAAGCTCGATGTCAACAACATCTCAAAACACAGGCGAGAAGCGTATGCGAAGTACGAAGTATGACTTATCCATTGTCTTCGCGTCAGGTACCACAATCTCGTTTGTTGTTATTTCTCAAACAGCGATGATATTGATACTAGGTCGTACAACCTCGTTTGAGGGTAATTAAAGGTTCCTCTACAACAATAGGGAGGCATATCTAATGCTGTGTTTTCGGTTGTCAGACTTAGATGAATAGTGCAAGATCATCAATTTCTCTGATCCTACTGGGTTCAGTCTACTGCTGCTGATGTATAGGGTGAATCTAGACTTGGAGGCCACCATGAATTCATTTGATGAAGGAGACGCGAGGGACTGTCCCGATCTCAGCTCTTCACGGCTAAATCCAAAGACTATTCCCAAGATCAGTGGATTTTTGCTATGTATGATGGTTGGGTGGCACACCAGGAGAGCTGATAATGCTGACGTTTTGTATCATCTACTTCATTACCACTTACGAGTAGTTGCATGTTCAAACCGTACTTACTCGATTAGTGAAGAAAGCTTTACTTGATAAGGAATAGTGCTTAGAGCTGGTTCGACAGGAAGGATTGTATTACAACAGCAATCTAGATGGTTGTAATTTGGACAATTAGTAGTGAACCACCCAATATATACGGTTCGTATGAAAGACTGAATTGAGTAGACTCATTAAGCAGTACCTGGGTAATATTTACAACACTGGGGAAAAAGTACATCCTCCATCACGTGATATATTGCTCGGTCGCGTGCAGAGTAGTGGGGTTCTGCTGAGCTAGGACCAAACAAGCCTAGACACTTCACCTCAGGCAGAAGCTAGTCGCAAAAATTATTGCGCCGAAAAGCTCAAAGTCGAGCTCTGCCAAATCTTCCGGCAAGCTTGTCAAAAGCTTTTACGAAATATTGCGCCGTCCTCAATTGGATATTTGTTTAATAAATTCATCAATCACAAATATTCCGCAACGAACTGTCACGCTCTCAAAGCTTCCAATCTTCAATCATCCTTGCAAAAGCTTGCCGCGTAGCTTTCAACCCCGCCATCTTCACCGAGTCACCAACCCGCCTCGACAAACCGACGAGTCACACCGTCAATTGTCGCGCGACTATATCTCGCCTACCTCACCCTCACATCGAGCATTAGTCTACTTCTTCCACGCAATTGTTAATTCAATTCACCATGTCCAGTATTCCAGTCGAGGCAGGCGCTGTGCCTGATCCAGCTGCAACCTCTGTCGCAAATGACACTCCCCTCGAGACAGCAGAGACAAGCGCTCCTACTGTCGCCGAAGTAGAAATGGCTGATCCTGAGACAGCTGAGGCCAATGGCGAGACCAAAGAGGCGGAAAAAACTGAAGCTGTCAAGGCTGAGGAGGGTGATGCCGAGAAAAAGAACGGTGAAGCCAATAAGCCTCGTACAAATTACAACGACCGTCGGAATGGCAACAATCGAAACTTTCAAGGAAACAATTATCAAAAGTACGAGAATCTCAAAAAGTTTGATCCATCAAAAATGGAGAAAACTAGTGACCATGAAGAGATTCGCACCCAGGCAAGTCGTATCCATTTCCGTTCTCAATAGCTACTAGATTCATCACCCCTAACTTTCATATACAGATCGAATTTTATTTCGGTGATGCCAATCTTCCTGGGGATAAGTTCTTGTACGATCTCGTTGGGACGGAGAACAACCCAGTCCCAATTAAAACAATCACGAATTTCGGACGCATGAGACGATTCGAGCCATATGAAGAGATAGTTGCGGCGCTCAAGGAAGAATCACCACTCGTGAAATACGTAGAAGTTGACGGTGTAGACATGGTCCAACGTGTACAACCGTTTGACCCAGCGAGCCGAACCCCATCCAAGGTGATCGCGAAGACCATGTATGTGAAGGGGTTTGGAGAAGAACAAGCTCTGACGCAAAAACACATCGAGATTTTCTTCAACAAACTTTTCCCACCAAAGGCGATAGAGACTCGTCTTCGCCGTGGCCCACATCGCGAATTCAAGGGATCCGTTTTTGTCGAAGTCCAAAGTGAAGAAGTCTTGGATGAATTTCTTGCACGGGATCCAAAGCCTACATTTGAGGGGAAAGAGCTGACCTTCATGAAAAAGCTTGATTACATGGAGAAAAAGAATGAAGATATCAGAGAAGGCAGAGTTATACCTCAAAAGACTAGGTATGAAGGAGGAGGTCGTGGTAGAGGCAACGGCCGGGACAACGATCGTGACCCAAATGACTGGAAAAAGAGACGCGAGAATGATCAGGCATCTGGTCACAAGAATGACAAGGGAGGTCGTAACGCGCGTGGCCGAGGCCGTGGCCGTGGTCGGGGTCGCGGTGGTGGTGGGCGAGGAGGCAATCGTGACAATCGAGATCGCAATGACGATCGTAATCGTGAACATAATGGTGACAAGTATGATTCTTGATTCCCTATGATTTGGGAACATGCTAACATCCAACTAGTGACAACGCTAAGAGTGAAGTCAAGAATGAAGTCCAGAGTGAAAGTGCCGACATTAAAGTCGACCAAACATCTTCAAACGGCAACAAACGTACTCGCGAGGAAGACAACGGACCTTCTGAAGCCCCAGCGCCAAAGAAAGTTGACGTCAAGGCTGAAGTCGCCTCAGAAGCATCATGATACCCAAAACTTCCAATTTTTCATTTCTGGTTCGTCTTCACGACTTGAACGAATGCATCATCACGGTTGTATCAGTGGCGTTTGAGGGAAAATTATCGTTGGTTTTGCAATCTCCTGTCATATCTGAAGGGAAATTCTTGGTTTGCTTATGTGTCTACCTCGAGTAATATGAGGGTTGGGCAAATTTTGGTGGGCTTGTTGGTGGTCACGTCTTGTACTTATGCTATTGGCCTTGCTGGGCAGTTGTTTATCGCTTGCGTGGCGTTGTCGTAGAGGGTTGTGTTCGTAGATAAAAATTAAAAGGACCTTTGACCCAACTCGTGTGCAATTGACCTCGGAATATTTGAATGATTGATATTACAGAATACATTCGCATGAGGTCACATTCCCATCTGCCAGATGACCAAGCTACTACACCTAGCCCACCTGCATCTAATAGCACACTTGCAGGAGGATATGCAGTGGATTTTAAAGTTGGCATAAGGGGAGTATGCGGGATAATAGACAACGATCGAGTCCATCTCCACTTCGAAACTCCTTTTGTATCCTGGAATTGATGTTGATCTCGGAAGAGCAGCATAAGCCAAACCCCTGGATGAAAAAATAAATCAAGTCAATATATTGTATCCGTCGAATTCCCTCTGCGGTATTTCTCTCTCGAATTGTCAAACTTCTCATTCGTGGGTGGGGCGGGAAACTGATGAATCCCGATGAAGATCTTAATGTCGAAGTACAGGAAAAGAGAGTAAGTAGATGGATTATTGCCCAGACCTCACACAAATACTAGTCTCGTGAAACGTTGTCAGAAATTTGCTCACTTGTCTTTTTTGAGTGTTATAATGTATCACATAGCTGTGCTTGTGTTCGCCTGTAATTCTTGGCAGTCTTAGGATGTCTACTACAAGTCTGAAATATTTGAAATTTTGAATAAGAGTAGTATATTTGGATTGGGGTAAATAGCTCGGTTAGCTTCAATTCAGTGGTATGAGGTTTTTGATGCGCAGTCCAGAGGTGTTTGTTTTGATGATGGCGGCAATTGTGGCTTGTAGTACTGAGATTACGATAATTGTGGTACTTGCTAATTGGTTGAGATGTGACAATTGACCACTTACTGTTAGACTGACTCAATGGTTTGTTGAAGTTGAATAATTGCTGATGTCAATTAATCCATTGCCCGTGGAATTGAACAATGAAACGGGCTGGTAGGCTAAACCGATAATCAGTGGATGAAACAGCAGCTCGACAGTAGAAATTTCGAATCCAAGATTAACTTTTATCTGGTGAGCTGAGGTGCGAAGGCTGCTTTTAGATGGGTGACTAGTTTTCTGTACCCACTACACAGCGTACTGAGATCATGATGCTACAACCACGACAATTTCAATGGAGAATAGACGAGATTTCGGTGTAAAACCCTCTAGAAATTCCAATCGCATTTCTGCTGCTTGCACAGATTGAAGGTAGTAAGGCGCGTTTTGAATGAGTGATCGGCGCTCAATCAAGGGCCTCACCACCACGTAGCACGTGGAAGTTACAACATTACAGGCACAATGGATTCCAAGAAGGGTAGGCGACACCGTGATGAATATCCTCTAACCGAATCCATTCATAACTCCAGGCATATGTACAATCTCTGTTCCTCTCCTACAAGCTTATGACGAACCGGCCTTCTTCTCCTTCTCATGCTCAATAATCTGTTTACTCCAGCTGCCACAAAGTTAGCACATTTCCTATCCATCCACAGCGCTGGAACGTACTATCGACTGGGATAGAATCTGCCCTCTTCTGGAAATTTCGTCCGTGTCTCCCTCTGCGCGCTCAAGTTGAAAAACATAGCCGTGACCCCGAGTATCCCGACACCAATAATCGCAGTATTCATTTTCCAGTTCGCAGGTTGAGAGTACCAGCCACCCGCCGGTGACCAGACATGCTTGGGATATCTGGTGATGGGGTCAGGGAGCTTCAGGAGCTGATTCGTGCGCGATTGACTTACGGAACTTTGGGTCCGCCGCCCTAGATTGCGTCAGTATATTTCCCAAACACGGTAAGAGGTTGGAAACTTACCATTTTGATCAATTGCTCAAATGCGCGTTATGTTCTTGGGGTTTGGGGTTGAGGTGTCGTCGGTCTTCACGAATGAAGAGGCTCGCTTGGCAGGTTCCGTGCGGATCATTGATCAGCCGCCCCGAGATTCCATGCAGAGAGCACACGAGGGTCGTCGCATCTAAGAAATTTTGGCCGCTGTAGGGGACAATTATAAACTCGAATCGACAACCACGCACCACGCCCTCAACCGTTTTTCCTTGCGCGACCAGGGACGAGAAGAAGCGGATCGATGTCCGTGAGAAGCTTACGGTTGGAGAGGTGGAGTGGACAGTTATTGTCGGCACCAAGGACGAGGACGAGAAGTAGAGCTCCTTGCTGTTTACGGCAGGGGCAACAATGTTTGTCGGGGAGTAATACAAGGTCGTTTTCTGCATCTGCGGTGTCAAGGAATCCGAGGATAGAGAAGGAGTTTGTTGATGAAGATGGAGACGGAATTGGACTCTTCGAAGCACCAACCCATCCCGTACAACAGGAATATCCATCACCATCCCCTAGAGCAGCATTAAGATCCAGCAAACTGGCAGCTTTACATGCTCGTCTCGGATTACCGCAGAAGCTCCCATTGCAGACAGTAGCGCGGACACTCGTTGACCCTTCTGCGGATTCGAATGTAGATTTCAACAATGCTTCGCTGGCCCAGCTGGGCGGTTCTATAATGTCATATCACGTCTCAGAATGGCTTCTTGTCACATATCCACGATTACCGATGTCCGTTTTATTCGCCGCGGCATACGCATATAACGGTCCAAAGACTCTCCAGCTTGTAGCGAAGGAATGGGGTGTCGACACAGCAGCTGCCCCTGGAAGAGAAGTCGATCCTGGGTATCTTCAATTCGAAAAGCTCGCACCAGGCACAGATTACGCCGCCATAAAGGCCGCAGGAGGTAGTTCACGGCCCGACAAGTTCAATTTCTTCAGACGAGGAATGAGCAGTCGAGTCGTCTACGACGATGAATTCGGAGACACAATTCCAAAAAAGAACGAGAGTGCCCTACCTATACCCACCGAAAGCGCCTACGCCGGCTTCGTCAAAGCCCTGATCGGCTCAATACACCTCCACGCCGGCCGCGAAGCCGCCAAAGTCTTCGTAAAAGAACACATTCTCTCCCGCCAGCTCGCCATCGACACGCTTTTCCAATTCAAGGAACCCATCCGCGAACTCTCGCGTCTCTGCGCGCGCGAAGGCTTCGAACATCCCATGGCTCGCATCCTCAGTGAAACAGGTCGATTGAGCAGACATCCCGTCTTCAACGTGGGTATCTTCAGCGGCAAGGATAAATTGGGCGAGGGCTCCGGCGCGAGTCTCCAGGAGGCGAGGACGCGTGCGGCGGTCATGAGTTTGAAGAGTTGGTATCTGTATAGTCCGGGGAAAAACGAGCGGGTGCCGAGTGATATGGAGGCGCCGGGTGAGAAGGCGGCGTGGGAACCTGTGCATATTGATATTGGTGAGGTTATACACTAGATTCTTGGGGGTGTTGGAGAGGGAAAGGCGGATTTGTATGAAAATTTGTGGTTGGTGGGTGGGGTTTGGGCCACGTATACGAGAAGCTTGTATTATCTATAATCTCTCAACACTGTGTATCAGTAATATGAGGGCGGGGATGTAGAGATAGAAGGGGGCAATGGGTTGGGATATGTGTATTGTAGAATATGGAAGTGGGAATATCACATGATTGACTTGTACTTGTTTTCTTGGTGACTTTGTCTTGTTCTTTTCAGTACGGGTGGTTTGCTTGCGTCAATGTTGGGTTGAACATGTCATGGCCTTTTGCGGATTAGCATGGAGTGATAGATTCTTAGAAAGTCTGGTAATTTTAGGTACGCTCTTGAACTGATGTCTTAGACGTATTACGGGTTTCATGTCAGAAAGGATGGTGTACTTCCGAGTTTACCACATCGTCGTTTAATCGCTGAAATGTTGAATTTTCTAGAATTCATGGATGTCTCTCAAAACAGTCCTTCTCGAATAATCCGAAATAGTTCTTAATAGGTAGGTTTTGGTTTCCTTTCATGGCCATGCTCTGTTTTGCTAATGCTTTTGCTTTTCAAGTCCAGCTTCTTCTTTCGCTATGTTTCTTTGAGAACCTTTTCGGTTTATCTTCAGTCCTTTTGGCGATTGGTTTTATTGATACTTTTACAGATATATGGACGTTTGTTCTGCTGGCTTGGTGTTTCGGTGTCTCGCGCGACGTGTTTCCTCTCATTTCATAGATGCTTGGAATTTCTTTGCTTTCAGTTCTTTTGAGTCCTGGCTTTGCTTTTTTTTTGAACAGTATGCCTCTCTTCACTCGTATGATGATCATTAGCTTTTCTAAAGTATGGGCTGTTTAAATCTAGTGGCTTTTGAGAGCATTCGCCTCTAGGCTCTCTGTTTTATTTTAGCTCGATTTACCGAACTTTCTTACTCAATTCTTCAGTTCCTTACCTTCAGTCTCTTGGAAACCTGGTCATAATCTTAAATATGATTACAATTGCCGTCACCAATAGCTTGAAGCTCTCAGGTCCAACAATCTTAAGATCGTCTCTCTGTCTAATAAGACATTACATGATCGGTTTGTGTCCTAATGCTTTGGCGAGATTAGGTTTCCAGGTTGTTGTGACAAAACCCGGGACGACTTCACTTTTGAAGGTTCGGGCGGATATTCACTGGTATATCTTTTTTTCAGCGATCTTTCTACACCTTTTCTCAACTAACATCAATTGACAATTCTCAGAGAATTCGCACATTCCGAGGTATGATGCTGAACGAGACGATTCTACGTGTAACGGCTTGACATTCTGTAAGTAAGATTTGTTTTCCTCATGGTGTTGGCTTTGTTTTGCTGATATCTTGAGTTTCGTAGAATCGGTATCATTTCGATCTATCCGCATCTTCTGCTCAACTTTGGATCAGCGAGGTACTAGTTTGTTTCTTCCCACGAATGCTAGATAGCTTTCCTAAGATTTGAAGCTTTCTAGGATCCGCATTCTCCCTATCTATCTCAATTCAAGATGGTCAATGACTCCAAAATCGAGGACTGCGGAGTCGATCTTCAATCTTCATCATCCGAGGGATCTACAGGACAGGTGCTTCAGGTAAGGAACGTTGCAATATAGGTTTAAAGATACTACGAATACCGAACTCACCCAATACTCTGTAGGAATTCCACCTTTTCCCAAAACTACCCCTCGAGCTCCGCCAACAGATATTCCGAACAGCTGCTAGAGTTCCAAAGCTCGCTCACACAAGTTCCTCCGTTATGAATCCTCTGCTTCACGTGAACAGCGAATCTCGCAAGATCATCCAGGAAGAAAATGTCAACATAACAAATATGTACTTCCATCCTGCTCGAGACATCTTGTACAAACAATACCCTGTGTGCTTCCATTCTTGGATGCCAGAAGTGATTCGGAATCCAAAGTTACATCGCATATTGTTTCTGATAAGTTGCGATAATACGTGGTCTTCCAGAGAGTTACTTTTGGAAGAAGGAGAAAACATCAAAGAACAAGAAAAACTATACGGCAGCGAGAGTGCTAAGTTGAACTTGAATACTCCTGGAAATATGGCAATTGCGGCGAAACTTCCCCCCACAATTGGGAGGGATCTCTGCGCACGACTTATCACCCGTCTCGCTGTTCCGCTCCATCCCGAACACCACTCGATTCCTGGGGCGGCAGGCCTTTTCGATGACTTCGAATTAGCCAAGACCCTTTTTCCGTGTCTTCATGAACTCATTTTCGTGCACCCATTACTTGACAGCCGGGATACCATAGATGACTTAGTAGTCGTACCTTTTCCTCCTGTGCCAAGATTTCTGGTTTGGATTGATGAAACTTTAGTTTCTACTATGGGCCATATGCATCGTCGTAGACAAGACTTGCTGCACAAGGGAAAGAGCGAAGATGAAGTTCCAAAGTTGGTTTTTATGGTGAAGAAGGTCTGTTTGGAGTGACTTCAGGACAGCTAGACCTTGCTTGGAAAATGAAAATAGGACCTACTCTTGCCGTTCTCGGTTACGAACTGTTGTAATTACAAGAGGTTGCAAAAACTTGTCAGCGTAGCAGTAATAAGTTCAATCGAGTGACTACAACTTAAAAAAGAATTCCTTATTGTATACAATCCTACTACTCAACATAAGATATACATGCTACTTAAACAAAACATGCTAATATTAATATAGAATAAGAGAAGCCGAGATCTATATACTCTCACGTCTAAATATATTCTAAGAAACTTTCACAAATTATGTTTGTAGTGTACAACAGCCTTTGCCAATTTAAAAGATACAACAACATGTTCCCAGAGAGGAGCAAAAGATATCAACAGTGTAATAGGCTCCGCGAAAGCAAAAAATACCCATATTGAAGACGGGCTGGCACCGGAAAGTTCTTTAACATTCATTCAAAACGTTCTTGCGATGGAGGTTATTGGAATGAAGAAATATGCAAAAATGGTAAGTTTCTGGACACTTTTCACTTCCTCAATCCTTTTCTTTGAATTGAGTATACTGACCATATTCATCTCGAGTCCCATCGATGCTGTGCACGCATTACATAGATCGGGTGCTTCGTCTTGCAGATCTTGGAAGTCCTGTAGCAGATCGCTGACTTTACTTTTCAACGGTATCAATATCAGGTTTAGAAGTGCAGGTTGGCCATTTTAGTTGTTTCCGGCAACTGAGTAGCTTGAAAGTATCATCAAAATAGATTCTTTGCTCGATCCAGTATATCTTTGTCACGCCTGAGTCGGTCTGTTTTTGCGGCCGGATCTCCGTCAAGTGGCTGTTGCTGGCTATTTAGAAAGTCGAAGAATAACTCCCAGCTTAATGCAGATGTCTCGAGCAGATCTGAGGCAAAGTAACTTGGCTTTTGGACGAAGAGTTGCATTTTGTCCTTAGATAATTGTGATCCCTGTCATATCCGTAACAACCTGTTGCACTGCAAGTCTTTTGAGATAGAAAGGAAATAATACATAGTATAGTAATAGAGAGAGAATTCATGTCTTGTTAGCCCTTTCCTGCAGGCCTTAACTGCCTTTGGTGAATTATATGTCGCACGGCGAGTCTAGGCGTAGACAAATAACTTTCACTTTCTAGGTGAATAGAATGAAGCTAACTAATCACTCTTGCATACTCTACTTCCTACATAAACATGTTTGCTTCCCTTTGATCACTAACTTTATCGAATGAAGCATCAACAGTACAGTCGTATCCTCGACTCTGCAGGCTTGTCGTTGGTCTTTTAGTGGCTAATGCTTGGGAAAGTGGTCTGACTCGAGTCGACTAGTTCATGTGTGCTATCTTTCGTACTCTCCAGTGGTAATTCGGTCTTATTGCGTCTGGTCTATTCTTGCTGACTAAAAAATTAAGAAGGCTCAATTGAACAAAATTACTAGACACCAAACTCTCTCTGCAAACCTGCCAAATATAGTATTTCAACGAACTATCAGCCAAGTCGAAAGGTTCTCAAAGTATCAATCGATTCGATCTCAACCGATAGAATCTGTGAACATGAGTCACTTCAACGAATTTTAACGTGGAACATGATGGACCATAAAGGTTGCACTACGCAGCGTACACGATATTCTCACTATTTCAAAACGATACCAACCCAGGATCCATCATCTTCCAGGAATACTAGCACCAAAAATTGCGAAAGTGACAAAACCATGGGATCTGAGGAATCCAATCCTCGATCCTCAACAGTAAGCCTTCTCCACGTTCTCCTAGTACTTCTCGTTCATAAAATGCTGATGAGTTTAATTTAGAAGTTCCATTTCTTCATGGAGCTACCTGTCGAGCTGCGTCTAAAGATATACCGTCTTGCTATCAGGGACTGTATGCCGCGTTTCATTACATGGGGCCCTTCGAGCATTATCCCTTTACTGCACGAAAACTCAGAATCTCGTTCATTTGCTTTGAAGTTCGGGTTTCTCATTGAAGGGCCATCAGGGCACCCACTTACAACGATGATAAGCCCAGCGGTATTTACTTCCAACCTAAAACAGACATAGCATTCTCCGAGTTCGGAGTACCTCGTTTATTCTTTGAACAACATCGCGAGAAGGATCGAACTGAATTCTTTCTGGACCTTTTCCCGTCGCATCCTATCATAGCCCAGTGGAAAACAGAAGACGAGGTCTCCAAAGGCGAGCTTACGCAAGACGACGTTGAGAAGCAATTAAAGGGTGCAGCCTTGTTACCAATCCAGAGTAGATTGAGTCTATATGCTCATGCAATATGCCGCCTTGCATTTCCGCTGGAGTTAGCTCGAAGACAAAGTGGGCCCCCTCTATTCATGAGTGCTAGAGGAGTAGCTCCAAATCTCAAAGAGATCATTGCTGTTATCTTTCCTATCAAGATGACGAATGGTATAATCGACATGGACGAAACCGAGATGATACCTCATCAAGAGAGAGCCGTTTTGGAGTCGTCCTGTGATCGAGGGCAATGGAAGTTGGTTGAGAGATTCTGCTACGAGGCTACCCTTCATATAAATCTAGATAAGACACCTACGCTAACTTTTATGGTGGATAAAAGTTTCATTAAAAGTAAGACGAGAGATGAACCAAGTCAAGAGTAACATTTAGAGGTTAGCTGAATATGTTTGGGACGGATAGATAAGAAATTAGCAATTGTCGATTACTTGATATCTACCTGACTGCTATTTTATGTGTAATTACTTTCAATGACGCAGAGATCGCAAGGGTACATGTCAATATTATGATTGATTGCACAACTCTTCTTCGTACTTTGCAGTCATGACCACAGGTTATCACATTCGCAAAAGCTAGCTTAGTGTGTAGAATAGTAAAATATTATAACTGTGTCATTCTGAATACTGAGATGTGATTGTGGATACTGGTGTAATGTAAAGTCTAGATAATCTACCGACCCCAGTAGAGCGCACAATTGGCTGACTAATAAGTAATATGTACTCAGCCCCCCCAATCCTTCCCTATTGCTTATTCAAATCTTCACTCTCCATTGTTGTCATCCAAACAAAATTCTACTCGCGTTTAATTTTGTTTGAAACTCTTTACAAAGTACACGTTTCTTAGAGATCTCACAACCTGCTTTAGCAATGTCCAAATCAGACCTCAACTCCCTGATCATCAACCCCACCTCCAATCACACTCACACCCTAATTCTTCTCCATGGCCGTGGTTCCAACGCTCTCTGATTCTCTCAAGATACCACAAATCCGCTCAAACCAGGTATCATGACATGCACCACCTCATCAAACCTCAGCCTGGCGCAAAATTTCCCCGGTCTCAAGTTCATCTTTCCAACAGCGCCAAAGCGTCGCTGCACTGCGAAGAAAAGGACAAAAATGAATAGCTGGTTCGATAACTCATCTTTTGAGAATTCGTATGAGAGAGAAGAATTGCAATGTCAGGGCTTAGCGGAGAATTATCAGATGCTGAAATCGATAATAAGACATGAGGCCGATGAGTTGGGTGAAGGCGGGTTGGGAAAGTTGTTTCTTGGTGGACTGAGCCAAGGATGTGCAATGGCGTTGCACGTTTTGCTCGCTTTTGAGAGGGATGAAGGGGAAAAACTTTTAGGTTTTCGGGGGTTTATTGGGATGAGTGGGTGGCTGCCTTTTCAGAATGATATTGATGGGTTGCTTGGCATTGGGGAAGGGGACGATGGAGCATGTGACGAGAATCCTTTCGGCGATGAATCTAGTGGTGAAGAAGACTCTATGAACGAGGAGAACGCGGTCACTAAAGTTTCTCAATTTATAAGGACGGAAATTATGGACCTTCCAGTGGCCAAAAAAGAATCTCTCACTGCTCGACATACCCCTATATTTCTCGGACATGGCGATCAAGACGATGTTGTTCCGCTGGAATACGGGAAAAGAGTAATGGAAGCACTAAAAGCGATGGAAATGAATGTGGAATGGAAAGTCTATGCCAAGCTAGGTCATTGGTACAAAGTTCCTGATACCATTGATGATATAGTTCAGTTTTTAGAAAATAACATGTTGCTTTGAAGTCAAGATTCGCTCGGAACAACTACATGAAGACATCTCGCACTTGTCTCATGACCGCATGTTCGAGATGAAAAGGCTTCATAACCTTATCCACCGCCCTTTCCTGAATCCATCCAGTGTCCCAACTCGGAAGATAAAGTGCTTTCACATACTCCCAGTACTCTGGATAGAACCCGCTTAGTTCCCAATCCAGGATTGCAACGATCTTCCCATCACGCACAATGATATTCCTAGGAGCGATATCACCATGCGTAAGCACAATATTATGCTTCGGCAGAGCTTTCACCATGTCAACAACCATTTCTGTGAAGATGCCTCCTGAAAACGTCCTCATGGCTGCGGCGATTCCCTCATTGAAAGCCTCCTCAGTTTCGTAGGGACCATAATTGTTCTTCTCATCACTCTCGAATACTTGATCGTTACAAGGACCACCATCCACAGTTCCGATAATCGTGCCATCAATCTCTCTCAATTCATCAAGATAGCCCCTCAATTGCCCCACTATTCGATCAGCTTCGTGAAGAAGAAATCATAAGCTGGTTACCAAGTATAGACTGTTGTTCGGCTGGATTATGGCATTCGTAGGCTAAGGGACCGGCGAAGAGAATCCGGCGGCAAACAGTTGAGTATAGGGCCATCAAGTGGAAAGTGGATGAGGACTAAGAATAGAACAAAAGCACCGATGAGCTCACCAGCAAAAGTCTGTGCCTTTGACAGCACACTTATCAGATTTTTGCATCGCAAGAGCAGTCAAAGTACGGAATCTGCACAGGGTCTTCGTTGATGCTAGTTCATGGGGATGATTTGTTTATTAGCTTTTCGTTCGTCGGTCCTTCCGAGTTGTGGACATTGGGCATTCTGTGATGTGATATTCCAAAATAATTTTGCGTAAACTCCAGTTCTAGGCATTCTCGTATATACCAAAACTCAGTCGTACCTACCCACCAATAAGATCCGTTGGGGGGGTGATGGCACAGCCTATGCCCAGCTGCCCGGGTTTGAAAACGGTAATTAGCTCCACTGTTCTCACTGACTCCATAGTTTTAATGCAACGCAAAGCTGGTGACGATACTCATAAATTTTGAACCCATGAGACGGCTGATAGATCATGGCTGCTAAACACCGAATATGAAATCTTCAGTGGTCTGATTATTGAAGCGAGGAGGGCGTCGAGTGGTAGCGTTCAGAGGAAAAGAGAATATCAAGGTGTTTAAACCCATTCGAGAACGCTGAAATTGCTGAGTCGCAAAATTCTTGTTCGTGGATGGCCTCGCTTCTCAGGATGTGGTTTCATTTTCAATAGAGTTGTGGAACTCGACAAAACAAACATCCGGCAAGACTCAGCCGCTGAAGATTTAGCGAGGCAGTCAACAGTATTTGCAAAAGAAAAAAACAGTGCAAACCGAATGAATGATATCTTGGCTTCCCAGCAAATGAACTGGGGTCAGAAGTAGATTAAGATAAATGCCGTAGTTCTCCGATTTCCTTTGCAACCCAGAACGACCTGGAAGTTTACTGGTTCATTTCTTGCACCCTGTCTGATAAGATTATACCGCAAAAGCCTTATATCTGCTTCCTCTTGACTTGCAGAAAGATTTGGTTTACCAAGTGACATAATCAAATCTTCTCAGCGAATCTTCAAAGCATTGGTCTTATGTCACGCTTACAACCCCTGCCAGATTGACGGTGCAAAGCAAACCACCAATGCGCAGGATTAATCTAGCCCAGTTTAAAACTTGGGGCGAATTGAAGATACATGGTGCTCTACTGTTATTGGCCAACAGGATTTTGGCGGTAGAACAGACAGCTGCTTGAGATATCCACATATATCTTCCTTTTGAAGGTCTGGGTGCTCTTCTCACCAGCCTTAGCGAGGCAAGCGAGCGCTAACTGCGCGATCCATATTCCAAATAGTGGGTAGAGTAAGACTTATGTAAGTACCCTAAAACACCGGTTCTACTTACAGACTAGAATAAAAGTCCAAAATTGCCGGTATTTAGATCAATTATAATTGAAAGTGCAGCCTCTGGAGTACCAGAGTCTAGAAACCTAACAACTACTGAAGCAAAGTATCCGCACACTGGGACTAGTGCATAATTTCTTTTTGTGGTATGAAGAACTTGATGCTCTTTTTTGTGTTAGTAGGAATCTTGTTTACATCTTAAATCTTATTAGTGCGTTTTCGTCTGGTTGATTTCCCTGATGTCGTTTTGTTCAAGCTAACAGGAAAGACGGTCTTGATTTGAATGCTGTGTCTAACTTTAATACTAAGGGACTGATTACCTAAGCGACACTTACTGGCGTGATTAATTTTGTATTCCTGTTCATAAACATCACTTATCACATAATCACGGTATTACAACGCGAGAGGCGACTTCTAAACTATTAGTGAATGTGTGCAACCCCCCCAATCATTCCTTTTTAAGATCAACTCCAAACTCCTCTTTTCATCCATAATCTGTTACATTTTCGCAACTCGGCTTCAACAGAGAATCGAAGATCGGGTTTCCACCGCGCGTACTTTGAAATCAACTGGACACGGTCTTGTTCTCTGGCACAGGGTATGATACCAACTGTTTTGTGATTTTCAATTACCATCTCGTGAACGAAACATCAACCCTAGTGTACGGATAATTAATATCTTAATTCCAACAAGGTATCTTCTACTACAATGTTTGAAGAAGGAGTTTTCCACTCCGGATTCGAGTCTTCTACGCTACCAAGCGGCGAAAATCCTAGGTAAGTAACCATTCTCAATGGTAATTGATCGTAAAAAAACTGACACATGTAGTGAGATGAGTCACGATGATATAATCAGCTCTGGCGCCAGTGACTCTTTTGCTGAGATTAAAAGACCTTCGCCAGAAAACGCAGAGTGCACTTCTGAGATATCTTCATTGCTTGCTGCTGAAGACGCGACTACAAGCAATTCAGAAAGTTCCGTCTCAAATATCGATGATGCTAGGAATGCAGTCGCAGTTCACGGCGAATTTGAACCACAGCCACTAAAGGTGCTAGCCCACAAATTTGTTTATCCTCCGTTACGAGGGCTAATGTATTCTTGCAGGAGTTTCGGTTACTCTCAAACCTTGTTATTGAACTGCAGCGAATGATATATCGTACCGCAGCCAGAATGCCTCGCTTCATACACTGGGGTGCGTCCAACATCAGCCCACTCTTTCATCTGAATCGCGAAGCTCGCGCAATTGCTCTCAAAGAAAACTTCCTAGTCGAACGTCCTTATTTGAACAACACAATTACCGGGTTCTATTTTCATCCCGCACGAGATATTGTCTATAGAGATAGGTTCATACACCAACCTGTAGCACTTGCGCAACTATACCCAGAAGAGCTTCAGTTATGGTTCTTACTACCCAAGCCTGCAGAGGACCCTCTTAGTGTCTATTGGGAACCCTCGGGCGAGGTTCGCCTTCGCATTGACAGCCAACACGATATGACTCGCTACTCACATTTCCTCTCCAATTCACAAACAGGGGTCGTATACAGTCATGTGCTCCATAATAAAGTAGCTATACATGCAGCAAACATTACTCGCATTTCATTTTCAATCGATGTGGCAAGCCGAACGGGCCGAGCTCACATAAGTACGCTCATGGAGAGCATGCTCCTACGATGCAGAAAGTTTTTCCCTGGATTAGAGGAAGTTATCTGCATACTATGGCCGCATCTCGACTGTGGAGATGATGGGCATGATTTTCGGGTCGTAAAGTATCCAAATGGCGAAGGGTGGGCCACGGAATTCGAGAAATCGCACGCGATAACTGTTCATGATAGTTGGATGAGATTGATCTATACGGAAGTTGCCGGGGATGCCGCTAAGAAAGCCATTGAGAGATTGCCTGGGAATTTTTCCGAAAAAAACAGTAGCTTGGATGCGAGGAAATTTGGCCATGCGAATATGTTCAAGTTAACTTTCATGAGAAAGAAGGACCAGGACAAACCTACGGACGATCAATTTGATAACACGTATTAGACGGCGGTTGGGGGGCTATTCTCTATGAATTCTCGACTAACATTATTCTTGATAAGCTGGCTCTCTATACGATATCTTCGTGCCTTAGATCCATGGATGAAGTAAGGTAGCTTGACACGATAGGCAGTGGTACGAAATAACATCGTTTGTTTTTACACAAGCCTCTCATTTGACATTCTTTAACATAACAATAATTAAGTCATGACTGAACTAGCTGGGGGCTAGCAGCGCAGAATCGGGATAAACACCCTTTTCACTCTGAATAACATGGTCTAAGGGAGGGCCAGGTCTCGCTTAACCCCTCTCTCACTTTGAATTCCAAGAACCATCGTATGGAGCCTTTTAATACGAGATATCTTCTCACTTTTAAAAATGACATTGACACTTTCCCTTACATAGATAGAGTATCTCGCATCACGTCACTCAAAATCCACGCCAGATCAGTAACCAAATTATAGATCCATCGCCTCCTCCACCTCGTCACTCACAAAACCACCAACTTCGCATTCCTCTCAACAATCCTCAATCTCAAATCCTCACCTTCAAACCCATCCCAACCAAAAGCAAACCCAACAATCCCCTCAAAATGCCCTCCAACCGTCCCCGCGGCCGCCAATCCGCCCCCTCAATGGCCCACACCCAACCGCAACACGAAACCATCGACCCAAGTAAATACACACACATCCTCCCCTCCCCCAGCAAAGGTCTCGGTCTCTTCGCCCACACCCTAATCCCCTCCTCAACCCGCATAATCAGCGAAGTTCCCATCCTCCAACTCCGCGAAGGGTACACGGCGCCTCAATACCTATTCCCCGCTCTGAACACCATCGCGAAGAACACGGAGCGATATCCGCTGATCAAGGAGAAATACGATCGGTTTATGAGTCTGGGTTATATGATTGAGGAGGAAGGCGATGATGATGTGGTGGCGAGGGTGAATCAGAATGGGTTTGAGGTGCCGGGGGAGGAGGGCGAGCTGGGGTGTTTGGTTGTTTGTGTTGAGGCGGCGAGGATTAATCATTCTTGTGAGCCGAATGCGGTGGGGAATATGAATTGGTTGACTAATTGTTTTACTGTTCAAGGTATGTCAAAACAATACGAGCAGTTATTTTTGTGTTGGAATGGTTTTATGTTTGGTAGCGGATCTGCTGTGCTGGTTATCTTTGCTGTCAATTTTCACTAGTTTTCAGGGCTTCGCAAATTCACTTTCTAATGGATATCTTATTCTTTTAGCTTGAACCATAACTACCCCTTCCAATGCTTTAAATCTTATCAGATATTTTCGAAATCTCGTCGGCCCTTCTTCACTCCACAAAAATCATTTTCCCTTTCAAGACCTGCACTAACACCCCTCTAGTAACCCGCACCATCAACCCCAGCGAAGAAATAACAATAAGCTACATCGACCCCCTCCAAGACGCCCCCTCCCGCCAAACATCCCTCTCACGCTACCTCTTCCGATGCACCTGTCCCGCCTGCTCCCCAACAACCTCCTTCCCCGCCTACGTATCCGAAACCACATCCAACCGCCTCGAACTATCCCGTCTCCTCACCCTAATAAAATCCTACAAACCATCTCCACAACCTCCCTCTTCCCCTCTCTCATCTCCCACCCAGCCCACACCCCCCGAACAACACCACCTCCTCCAAATCTCCCGCTTCATCGCCCTCGCAGAACTAGAATCCCTCCCCTACCTCCTCCCCCTCACCTCCAGCTCCGCCGCCTCAAGTTTCCTCCGTCGCGATGACCGCGAAACGGCTTTGAAATGGAAAAAAGATCAGTATGAATGGGTAGCACTGACTATTGGTAGGGATACGAAAGAGGGGAATGAGATCACGGAGTGGTTTATTGAGCATGGGTTTAAGGGGACGTATTGGTATTGGTGGGCTGGGAGGGAGGAGAAGAATGAGGTGTTGATGCGGTGTATGCATTTTTGGGCTAGGGAGGGGGGGTGGAGGGTTTTAGGGGGTTAAGAAAAGCGGAGAGGATGATTGGATGGATTGTTGTGATTTAGCGTTGGATCTTATTGATTACATGGGAGAGGTTTAATCTTGGAGACGTTCATCGAACTCTTCTCATTTCAAGCGTTGGGATTATTTTATTTCGAAATTTCAGTACTTAGACGCCTTGAATGCAGAAGAAGTGAAGATAATGGCTAGAAACAAACACGAATAATTGCTTTCCCGTCATTAACCTAGTCCAAAATCAAATTACAACATGAAACAAGAATGACAGGTTTTAGATTTCGCGATGCGGTACATACTTCATTCTTGTAATAGATACGATCCCTCAGAGTTCTCTCAAAGTCACATGACCATCCTCCCTCCCCTCCCCTTAAAATAAGCGAGAACCCCACATATAAGAATTCGTCAACATATCTCAACATATTTCAAATCAACAATCTAGCCACGATAAACAAAACTCCAAATGGTTGATAGCTGGTATGCGTACATTGGCCTTAGTCTCTCATGTTTTAACCAACCAACCAACCTCCGGTATCTTTCTTGATGCCAGAGACTTCCGCTTGCAAGATAACCGAGTTGATAGCCACGTAGGCACTGTTTTCTTGAAATTCCTACTAGTGAAGAACGGATCAAAATGTGGTCAGACGAACCAACTAGTACGAGAGTTCTCACAATTTGCATCTCAACCTTGTATTTCACGCACCAATAAAACCAATCCTAACCGTCTCACCTGGGTCCCTGCCCTCCTTCCAACATATCGTTATATGATGCAGATACCGCAGTCAATCAACAGATATCCAGAAATCCCAGTATTCGTGTGAGTTGCAACACGGAGATCATTAGTACCCAATTTATTTTCGAGCCGCGGTAGTACACACCATATGGAATCTCGAACCACAAATCGTAGCGAAGATGACATGATGCAAAATTGTTTAATACGACAGAAGACAACATTATCCTATATAAAAGAAAAACAGAAGTCAATGGAAAATAAACCGCAACAAGATCCCACTTAGTAAAATGACAATCCATTCATCCTCGGAAACTCTATCTATCTGCGTCAATTTCTGAAGCGAGCTCTGAATTCTTCCCAATATTCCTTGATTCTCGCCTTCCTTTCCTCCTCAACTATACCTCTTGGATCGCCTTCGGCATGCTTCTCATCGCTCGGAAGATATCTCCAATCCTTTCGCAGCGCTTCCTGAACCTTGGTGCCAGGGTAGCTAATTTGCAGCGCCGTTTTCCCATCACTGCGTCTCGCATGGACCTCCAAGTCGTCCTCATTGAGAAGCAGATTGGTTGCTTCAAGTCTGTCTGCGAATGCCGCCAGTTGCAATGGAGTCTCCCCGTATGAGTCTTTACTGTTAACGTCTAGACCAGCAAACGGAACTCTTTTCCCCTGTTGTAATCCCCCCCTGGGGTAGCCCAGCAAGAACTTGACTAGTTCTATGAGGCCACGATAAACGGCTACATGAAGTAGAACTCCCCCGGAGCCTTCCTGTTGTAGAAGACCCCGCGCGAGTTTCTTATCGATTGGTAAGTCGAGAATTTCAAAATAACCTGCATCACAAGCAAGAAGTAGACCGGGGTATTCTTCATGATTAAGCATGACCTGTGCTTCACCATGCTTTGAATCCACCTTCAATATTTCCGTAAACCCGTATTGACAAGCAATCAACAATCCACTCAGCTTGGCGGTACACGTGGTATTGCTTTGAACGAAAACAACGGCAGAAATAAAGCCACCTCCCCAGAAGTTATGGGAACGCTCTTTTCGCACGGTTTTCTCAGTGTTGGATGCCTCTCGAATAGCTCCGACTTTGACGACATTGAATAAACCTGCAGCCCATGCACCAAACGAAGGACTAGACCCGTCATTAGCAATAAATTCCCTCAGCAATTCCTGCAGCCTGATAGACTGAGAGCTTGGCAAAACCATCGCGTTTTGGCAATAATACGCCCAAGAGTATGTGGCATGGAGCTCAAATTTACTTGTGATCATCTCGATTTCAGTCTGTCGCCGTGCTAAGCTTTTTTCGAGACCCTCAGGAGATATTATGGGCCAGTCGCGAATGAGATCTAAATCTACTCGAAGACCAAGAACTGCGTCTGCCCCACCATCTTCGCCATCCAAATTCACACAAGGCATACTCCATGTTCCTACAGGAAATCTTTCAGCTTTGTATTTGAAATGAAGCAGACACGTTATCGCTGCCTGCGTATATGCTTCTTCTTGCGAGTATATCAAAATACCACCAACAATCTTAGCCTCGAGATACTCGCGAACAGAGAGATGAGGAAGCAGGATACATCCGTGAGCGTCGACGACCAGGAAGTTGCTACACAATTCAAGGATCAGGCCTCCTTCGATAGCTTCGTCTTCGTCTACAGATATAGCAATTGCTAAGTCGCGCAGATACATGCGCTTCTTGGTGCATAAGGTCCACTTTAGAGACTTCTCGATAATATTCTGACTGTATGGCCCCTGGATGTTACGCTCGTAAATCGCATCGTAGGTATCACGAAGAGCTTCAAGTGCACCGATGCCATGACCGGCGTCAAGACTATCGAGCATCCTAACAAAATCTGGTCTGTATTTAATCGGTCTTTCGGGGTTGATTAACAGGTCGAGTTGAAGCTCAACGAATCGAAACCTTGACAGTATTAGACATTATATACAACTTGATAGCGAACTTTGGCACTTACATTCCTTGAGCACGATAAAGCAGACTGGACACATTCGATCTGCCAACCTATCGCTAATAACCTTAGCATTTCTTCTTTCCTTTCGCGCAAGTTCTCTCTCAATGTACTTCATTATGTCGTCATTTGTCTTAGTTAAGTCACTTCGAATTGTGATGATATCTTCAAACACATCCTTCACCGCAACTTCCAGGCGGCTTGTCACCAAAAGTTTCAGTCTAGGAGACTTATTCCATACATCATACAGGGACCTTAAAAGCTGCAGTGGCTCACTACATTCGTCGACACCATCGATGACGATGACAGTGCTTACTGTACTTTCTTGAAGGTCTATTAAAGCCACAAGAAGTTCCTGGCAATCTTTGAGTGTGAATTGACTTCCCGCAGTATATTTCTTCGCTTCGGATTTCCATCGATTCAATATGATCGGAAATATCGTTTGCCCGTCTGGTGTGGCAGATAGTTGTGCCACCAGACTTCGAAATATCCAAGTTGGATCGGTAGATGAAGCTGCTAGGGTGCTCGAACAATAAAAAAAGGCTAGATTTTGGTCTCTGCCACTGCTGACCAGATTGTTGATCACAATGGAAGCTAGGCTTGTTTTCCCAGTGCCAACGGATCCTTGTAGCCAGAACTTTCCGCGGGGATCAGCGACCCAATCTTTGTAAGACTCGCTGCTAAGAAGCCATTGTCCTGAGCCCCAGTGGCGAGGTCCAAGTTTATCACGCTTTTGTCTGTGGATGTCTCCAACTCGAATGTCCGAGATCCACGATAAGATGCGGGCGTTCTCGCTTTGCTTGGCCTCGAACCCCTTTTGCAACGTCCCAAGAGTTTCAACAATATGTGATATCTCAGTCCACTTTTCATCCAAACGCAAGACACCTTTGTTGATTAAAGAAATATCTGAGCTCATGTTGGTAGTCGCTGTCACAGATGTCAAGGCAACACAGTCCGCATCCGTCTGCTTGACCGTGGAGATAAGTTCAGCCCAATCGACAGATTTCGTGATGTTCGAGAATGTTCTTGTTGGTGTCGACTGATCAAAATGCATCACTGCTGTCACCTGATACAAGAGTATGCTAGAATAGACCCTGATAATGGACTCTTTGAAAGCCGTGTTGGTGGATGAGCTGGGATCGTCTTTGAGACTCTGGACATAAATATCTTCAACTGCTAGATATTTGGCGATGATTGACGATATCTCTTCGATGCCATCGAGTGCTGCTTGATGTTGTATAATATCACCCATGATAAGCTACGAAAATCAGCACCCTGTTCAATTCGTGTGGGTTACAGCAATTACTCACATTCAACAAAGCGCAGACCCCCGCCCAAGGAATGCCTGCATGGATGGGATCAAGTTGTGCAATTCCTGTCCCCAAAGTTTGGAATGTTTGAACAAATTTGACAATTCGCTCGGCTTGGTCCCAAACCGCAACTGACCTACGATCCCATTGGAACGTCCACTGCTTCGATTTCATGACCTCAAGTCGGCTCTGTACGGATTCTGCCATTCTTTTTTGTAGTGTAACTTTCTCGGCTCGTTCTTTTGAAGTATTTGATGAAGTGTCCGCCAGGAGTGGCTCATACTTCTGAAACAGGTCTGAATGCTTGACGTTGCTGGATAGTTGGAGATACGCTTCCTCCCACAGGCCCGCATTTTTCAAAGAGGCGTCGGTATTCAGCAAAAGAGGTATCGTTCTTTGGCGAAACAACGCAAGATTTGGTGTTCTGATTTGAGTGGTTTCTGCGAGCACATCTACTGCAATCTTTGCGGTTTCGGTTGCCTTGTCGTCTTGACCGAGAAGTGCAGAACTTTGGGGAGGCGCAGAGGGTATCTCCAATTTGCTAAAGTCTTGTGACCTTTCTGTAGCCTGGGACTCATCGGCAGGAGCTAGTGACTGCTTTCCAACAACACCCGTGACTGCGTCTGTCTTTTTCTGCGCAACAGGAATGACAATTGTCCGGCGTTTGGTTGGACCAAAGACATCATCAAGCGCAGAGGTTACTTCCTTCAACAATGCTTCAACGGCAGTTGGCTTCCAGCTGGGAATGGCAGACTGAGTGGATGCTCGTTGAGCTCGACTCAATGCTCCTTTGTTTCGACGGAGGAGTTTGGAGAGTTTCGAGAGCCATTTCGGTTTTCGACTTGATTTGGTGGAGTCCATTTTTTGTTCGCTCGCCACCCTCCTCAGAACTGGGCCAAATCCGGGATGTCGATGCCTAGGTTGATTAGGTGCTAAGGCTATGAATTTTGCGAACTGATGTAGAAATCAAACAAAATAAACATAAAATCGTCGCAAATGATCTCGTAATCCAACTCAACACAAAAAGAAATAAACTTAATCGCGATAAACAATATCGAAGTTAACCATCAACACAAGAATAAACTTAACCGCAACAACCAACATCGAAGTTACCCATCATTCTTAACACACCGATGCAGGCGGCTACCAAAGTTTCAGCAAGCGCTCACTAAAGGCATCCTTCCAAATTGTTGAAAAGCAGCTCGCGTATCAGAGGCAAAAGTAGCTTCAGCCTCATGTTGGTTCCAACAACCGCTAGTCCCTAAGTCGCCGAGTAAGGTTGGAAATGTTGTCTTCGACGGTTTGATAGGTCTAGTACAAAGGATACTTATGACTTGATGATTTCTATAAATAGCCGGGTAGCTTTGCAGTTGCCAGCCTTGAAGAAACTACACCTGGGGTATGTCCGTCAAGTCTGCTTTTGACAACAGCGATGAAATTTAGCTTCTGAGTTCGCGCGAAAACAATTACCCTAGTTCACAGTGAACACCAAACCATCACCACTCAAAACCCCATCGACCAAATGTTATCAGAATCAATTAAATATTCTTCCCTCCCTCCCCCTCCCAATCCAGCCACCCTAAGTAGGTACATTACAGAACACGAAGAAGCTGTACAACAAACCCCCAAGCCCATTCATCCATCCATCCACCCATCCCATACGCACAAACTTAATTTCTTTCCATATACATCATCCCCTCGCCTCTTCTCTTCTCTCAGGGTATATTTACATCCTCTCTCATCTCACTCACAAGCCTTCGGAATCTCAAGCTCAACTCCCCGCCGGTGCCCCACTACTACTCACAGCCCTCTTCCACCCCCAGAACCCGCCCGTCGCAGGAGCAGCCGCAGCTGCGTTCGCTGCTGGTTTCTCCGGCGTCGCTACAATCTTAGGCATGTACCCGCCCAACGAGGTAACACTGGTATTCGCGCGGTGCAGAGCAGGTCTTTCTGCCGCCGCGCTGGAAGCATTCAAGTTAAGCAGCTTCCTCAGACTCTCGAGTTTGGCTTTCGCCTCTTCTGCTTCTTGTTTGGCGACTGCTTCGGCTGTCTTAGCTTGAACAAGCTCGAGGAGTAGGACGTCGTTGTCGACTTCAGGTTTGGGAGATGTGGCTGGTGGAGGCATAGCCGCGTTTGGTTGATGATATGGATCTTGGTTCTCTTTCGCCATCAGTGCTGCGCTGTTAAGACTCGATGTGCGTTTGCTGAATGTAGGAGCCTGTATCGAGCGATTTGAATTCGATCGTCCTAGCCTAAACTCGCGCAGTCCAGCATTCGACGAAGATCTCGACGGCCACTCACTTTCCATATCCTTGCTTCCATCTGGTGTCGTGGCAGTGCCTTGCTTAGACTTCAAGACATGAATCTGTTTCTCCAACCTCTGCTTCTCCGCATGCGCATTGCGGGTATGAACGTGGCTCTCCTTGACTTGATCTTTCAAATTTGAAATAACCTGTGCTTGTTCAGAAATCTTTTGTGCTTGCTCCATTATCTGACGGGTAAGTTCTTCGGGCTTCGACATTTCAATTGCGAGCCGCTCCTTCATCCTGCTCAATTCTGTTCGTAATTCTGACTTGGATTGCATCAAAGATGATGTTCGGTTGAGTTGTGGAGCACCAAACCTCTCCTCGACAATGTCAAGTAAAACAGACAAATCTTGTGGACTAGGAAGCGTAGATACCGAAGATACTGAGTCACGAGACGAAGTTTCGCCGACAGATGTTGGCGAGGCGAGAGAAATCTCAGACCCCTCTTCTAAGTTCTGAACCTCCACAACATCTTCCGACGACTCCTCAGTAGCTTTCACCGTAGATTCTGTGTTGACAGTCTCTGAGCTCGCCTTCTTTCGCAGTCCGTCCAATAATGACTTGACTGCCTGTCGATCCTCATCACGCGCCTCTCTCTCGCGTTGTAGTTGAGTAGCAAGTATAGCGTGATCTCGCTGCATTTCACTGAGCGCCGTCAACAAGTCCTCAATCTGACTGTGCAAATTTCGGTCCTTGTTCGACTTTGACGAGTTCGCAAGAACAGATTGCGCTCTAATGGAAGCACCATCCGCATTTGACGAGTCTCGAGATATTGATGTCGCGTCTGTTGACTGGCTCATCATGCTGTCTGAAGCTCCTCCCTCCATCGAGTTAAGCGTAGAAGCAATACTCTGCTTCGAGGGTGATCGCCGTAAAAAGCTGACAGGTCGTGTGGGTGCGGTTAAACCAGGACTGAGACTGATAGATTTATTCGCACTAGATCCAGCCCACAATCGACCTAAAAAACCCGAAGCTGCTGAGCCAACTGCTTCCGATGGGATAGCATTATCAACAGCACCCCCAGCCTTGAATCTATTCTCAAGTGCTTGCAAACTTTCATGAGTAACAACTCCCGTAAGACTCACAAAGTCATTCACAAACTCGTCCGCGTCGTAATGGTACACACTCCAGAGTCCACGATTCAGAAGTACAGTCATGACATCCTCAATTTCCTGGCAAGCCAAAATCTTTTGCTCATTCTTGCGCATGAGTGACAGAGCAACTCTCATGAGTGTCTCGGAAGCACCTTCAGCAAACAGCACATCGTAAATTCGGAACAACATTGGGAGAGGGCAGGTGACGGCGAAGAAGGACAGAAACCACTGCGACACGTAGGACGGATCGATTTGGAGGAGGTCGAGGTGAGCGGAAAGGTCTGGTAAGTGTTGTTTGAGAAGTTCGCGGAATTGGTATATTCGTACATGTAGTCCAGACAAGTCTGGCAAAAAGCAATTTCGCAAGTCGTAATGCTCCATCAATCTATACTGGTCAGCTTATCCTGGGGGATCAACAATTCAAACTCACCTAACAAGCACACAAAAAGCCTCCTTGTCGCCCATATGCATCAGCAAAGGCCCAACAATCAAGCCCAGACCTTGACAGTACCCAATCTTGGAGTCGTACAAGCTAAAGCATTTCAGCACTCTACCAAGCATTCGCTGCCCCTCTCCATCTGGCTCTCGAAACATCTCCACCCCAGGAAAACTTCTTCCAAGATCTTTCCCAATGAGACCTTCATAAGGGCTCGATTCTCCGCATAATCTCTCGTATTGATCTTCTAGAATTCGGTTTCTCGCACCGGACATGCTCTGCCAGACCAAACCGCGTATAGGTTGTGGGATCCCACCTCGTATCTTCTTCGAAAGCAATGTAGGAAGACATTGTGCGGTTCGTGTATAATCCTGCACGAGAGCAGCCCAAAATTCGTAGTCGGTCATGGGAGGAGGTGGTACGACTGAATATCGCAGTGCAGGTGGGATCGGACTGGCTGCCAGTTTCTTCAAATGCTGTATCGAGACCGGCCGTGATTTTCGGGATCGCTGACTCTCAATCACCTGTACCTTAGCTATCCCAGATTTCGGATTCGTAGCAAGTAGATTATTTTCCTGTTCAAGTCTGGCAAGTAGTAAAGCGGTAGACTACAAAATTAGCAACAGACAATAAAGCAGGAGGTGTTTACTCACATCATCAGAGGATTCATTCCGTGGTTCCTGCTCCTCAGTCTTTGCAAGCTCTTCCCAATTAACCTCCTCCGTTTCAGACACGGAGCTCTCACTCCCTCTTCTTGCCTCCATATCCGTCATCTCCTCGTACGCCGACTCGACCGGACTGCTCACGTTCCCGCTAGGATCCATTGTGGTTATAGACGGAGACAGTTCTCCCTGCACACTTGTATCCTGCTGCCCATCCTCCAGCGATGCGGCTGTTGTGCGTTTGATGTATGCTTCCTTGTTGGGACTACTGAATGAGTCTCGCGTTCGGGGGGAAATCGGAGTCGAATTGGCTCGCAGTTTGGTATAAGTCAAGATGCTAGCTCGTGTGTCGACGCTCAACGTAGGTGGCTCAGACAATCGCACAGTCACCATAGAATCGTGATGCACAGGAGACTGGGTGGTCGGTTCTGAGCTCTCGAGGTCGACGTCCGCCAGCGTCGAGGGAACCTCCACGTCATGTAGCTCGGTAGCCATTGTGGAATGCGATTAGACTTTCAAAGTCCAAAAAGGGGCATGCAGAAGCGGGTTCGGTATGGCAATCTCGAAGAATGCTGCTGCCGATTCTGGAAAACCCAAGCGTGATTCGCAGGTCGTCGTCGAGCACCTTCCTCAACACTCTGCACACTCGATTCGACTTGGCGTTATAGCAGACCGAGCTCGGCTCGGCTGTCGTCTCGAGTGCTTCCAAATACAATTATGCTTTATCGGGTCGCCGTCGCTGCCAGAATGCGTCGAACGAACGACAAGTCAATGCACGGCAGTCTGTGCGATTAAATCAATCTCTTCGATCTCTTTCGAAATTCTCGTTTCAACTCGTGCGAGTAATATTTTCTGCAAACAAACGGCAGATGGTGACGGTGGGTGATGTCGGGGTGGGTGGTGTTTTGTTTCAACTTCAAGTCTCGTTCCTTCCCGCTACAATAAAACACGAACGATCAAACATGTAACGATTGTTTACTTTCCTGCCGCTGTGTAAAGGAATGAGTGAGATGCTGCGCTTGATAAACACAAAAAGACTGAATGCTAAAGAACGACGATGCAGAACAAAAGCAGAAGACTCCAGCGGTGAAAGTTGAAGATTAGGGATGCGTGAGGTCGGCATTCAATCAATTTGCTAGCGGCGAGCTGCTTGGCGGTGGAGGGTCACAAGCGTCAGGGGTCCAAAATGGCATCTGGCGGCTGCCGCGATGATTGGGCGGACACTACGCGACCACAACAAAGCTTCACTCCTCCTCGATCTTGACGCAAAACATCCAATCCTATCAGACTCATTCACCGCAAACAAGTTCATCCTGAGCAATATCACACTCACGTGCGTGTTCCCTCTTACCACCACACGCGCTTACACACCAGATCCAGCTCCTGAATTGCTCAATCGTGATTCCATCCGTGCTCCCACCACTGGTCATTTATCCGATATCAAAGATGACCAGGGCCCAGCCATCGATCCAGTCAATACCACAACTCCCTTATTCACTCACACCTCTCCTATCACAATAAACAAACATCGTAGATAGACATACAGCTCATCTCACACAAACATCGGATATTACTTCCCATTTCCCTCTCTGCACAGCACAGCGCACCAAACAATCATCCGCATACATCCCACCCCATACATTGCACTCACCACCTGCAAGGTACCCGAACCAACGCCCCAAACTACGCCCAAATAAGCGACCCCTTTTCTGCCCCCTCCATCCATCCTGCATGCCCACACGTGATTCGCTTCCTCCTCCCATCTTTCCTACCACGCCCACTACGCCTTACCACCGTACATGCAGATAAGCATCCGGTTATCTTCACATGAGCCGTCTATTTTCGAAATGCTCTGCTTTAGTTCCTATTTCAAGATGTTTGTGAGTACGGCTCAGCACGTTTCGTTTCTGAACAGTCACAACACCACCTTATTCCTGTGAGATTACATTGCGCTTTACCTGGCCTTCTTGGCGGACTTCTGACGGTTCGTGATGTTTGAATGTTATTTTTGGGAGTGGTTGTGTTTGTTGTGCCAAGCTTAAACTGAGAGATGTTGCACTTTTGGTGATGTGAGTAGAGCAAGTGGTTTCAATGTTTATGGATGACATTATTACAATCTTCGCAAGAGATGTGGAGTCATGATATAAAAGTACACAAGTAACATCACGAGACCAATGTGTGGACCACGAGAAGAGGAAATCTCACGACCCAATTGCAAGGCCAAAAAACAAGAAATATGACCCTTCTTCCAAATAGTTTTGGTATCCTTTCCCACCGAACAAAACGCCATATCCATATCCATACTCCATAACCCAATGCAGACCATCACTACTCGCTCTCATCAAAATCGTCGCTCGGTTCTTCCTCAATCATAGCCGACTCATCAACATCATCAACATCCATATCATCATCGTCCGACGAGTCAATCAGAATCGGTGCCGCAGGCTTCTTCGCTACTGCAGCTGCCCTCGCTGGACGACCACGACCTCGTACAGCGGGTTGTGGGGGAAGTGATTCGTCCTCGTCGTCTTCCGTCTCTTCTTTATCCTCTTCGTCTTCACTAAAGACGTCTTTCGTCAAGGCAGACTTCTTTTGTTTAGCTGCGTAAGCTTTGGCCGCGGGGGAGAGCGCAACAGGCTTCGGTTTGGCTGCCGGAGCCTTCTTCGCAGCAGGGGCAGGCTTTGCCACAGATATTGGTTTTGCTCGTGGCTTCGGGGCAGGCTTGGCTGCTGGTGCTTTTGTAACCTTCTTTGGTAAAGGTAGAATGTCATCGTCCTCATCCATAGAAAGAAAGCTGTCTAGGTTATCCTTCGCTGTTGGAGGAGGCTTCTGAGGTGAAGACCGAGCCAGCATCTCATAGTTGGTCTCATCTCCATCTGAGATATCAAAGCTTTTGCTTGGCTTTGATTTGAGTTTCGGCAAGTCATTACTGGTCGATCGTCCGTGACTGCTCTCGGGGCGATTCATAGCGAAAAGAGAGACACGGCCATTGCCGTTATCAACTGGAGCAGCACCCTCACCGATGCCCTTGACCATATCGCCGATGTTACCCAAAAGTCTATCGTCATCGCTGTCAGACTCTTCGTCGTCTTCTATCACCCACTTCTTGGGAGCCGCAGCAGTAGCTCGCTTTGCTCTTCTATCGCCAGCAGGTTGTTCACTGGGAGCCCGTGAGGTCTGAGACACGGAGCGGGAAGGCTTCACTGCCACCAAGGCATCGAAGTCGTCGTCAGATGAACCCATAGTAGCTCCGCCGTTGACTTCCTCGTCCTCGGAAACGCCATCTTTACCAAAGCCAGGTTTCGTAGGGCGAGGCTGTTTGTTAAACATTTTGAGAAACGCGTCTGAGCTCTTCTTTGGTTCAACTTTGATGATCTTAGGCTCAGCCTTCGCAGTCTTCGCAGCCTTGGGAGCATAGTCATCATCTGCTTTCTTAGACTTTCCAGCTGCTTTGCCGGCTCCAATCTTCGAAGACATACGACGCTTGGTATTGCGGATACCCTTCTGATAATCGGCCTCCTCTTGCAACTGAACCTCCCACTCATTCACAAATGCGTCAAGATCCTGGCACCAAAGGTCTTTTTCGCTCAACCGTTCTAAAGCAGTTTGTTCTTCTTTTTTAGCAAGCATCTGTGCCTTTAATTTGTCCACGCGTTCTTGTGTGAGCGACCAGATTGGCATCTAGAATTTTGTTAGCAATGATCAGTTACGCTCATTATGTTGATAACTTACACCAAGAAGATAGTCGAAGTCCCTCGCTCCAGAATCTTCATCGACTGCCACCTCCTCCTCATTCTCGACAGTGTCATCGGTTTCTCCTGACTTCTTCGCATCAGAAACCTTCGGGAAAGCCTCATAATTTGCTTTTCTCAATTCTGCGACTAGGACAGGCTTCTTCTTCTTAGAAACGACAAGTTTGTTGTCTATGATTTCAAGGACAAAACGAGCTTGATTCTTCAGTTTTCGATACTCGATATTGATTTTCTTGACCCAGTATTCCTATCAAGCATTAGTTTATGTAAACTAGGATTTTTGTTGTAACATACCTTCCGCTTAGTGTACATTGCCAGCCGATACACATAGTACTCTTCAAGAACGGCTTCGACGGTTTCATACTTCCTGATTTGGCCATTGGTGTCGAATGCGACCAGGTTCGATGTAGCAATCGTCTTGTTCAACTTAAAACGCTCGGCCAGACCATCTTCTTTAACACCTTTCATGTTCTTCTCGTCTAGTTGGACGATGAAATTGACACTTTTGTGGTCGTTGTACTCTTTGTAATCTTTGATGAATGATGGGGTTTTTTCGCCTTTGATAATTTCCTCGAGTTTTGCTTTGAAATCATCGGTCCACACCCGAATTGGTAGTTCCGTAATTTCGACCTCATTGTTCGCGGCTTCTCTCACAATACCGTTGAAATTGAAGCGATTAGGCCCCGCAGGCTCAGCGATGCCTTTCCATCCTCTAAACCATGGGACCATTGTGATGAAAGGCTCTTCTTCACCGTTTTGATGATCAAGACGGCCCATGCGTCGCTTGAGATTCTCTACAATGTGGAGAGGATGGTAGTTGGGAATCGTTGTGCTCCAACCAGTTCCAATACCGTCAGCGCCATTGACGAGCACCATTGGTATCACTGGACAGAACATCGTTGGTTCGATTATCTTGCCATCATCAACATTGTGTTCATAAAGCGGCTCGTCCTGGGCTGAAAAGACTCGTCTGGCGAAAGGGGACAGCCGTGTGAAGATATAACGGGGGCTAGCCGCATCAGTGCCTCCTGCCAGTCTGCTTCCGAAATTTCCGCTTGGCTCCAGACAGTTAATATTGTTGGACCCAACAAAGTTCTGCGCAAGGCCGATAATGGTCATATGCATAGACGTCTCACCGTGATGGTAAGCGGTATTTTCGGACACATAACCTCCCAATTCGACGACCTTCATATCTTTGACTAGATTGCGCTTGAAGCAGGCATACATAACTTTTCGCTGTCCAGGTTTGAAGCCATCGATGACGGAAGGAATGGATCGAATATTATCAGCCATACTAAAGAGAATAAGCTCTTTATTGATGAAATCATTGTAAGTCAGAGTTTTGGTCGAGTGATCGAGAAAGGTTCCAGGCATGAAGTTTCCTAGCCATCGCTTCCGGTTGTCAGCCTGCTTCTTGTTAAACACGAGATCCAACATCCCCTCTTCTTCGTGCGTGATAGATTCAAACTCTCGTAAATGCTGATCTAAATTGCTGAAATAGACCTGAGCATCCTCAGGCAAACTTGTACCCAATCCTTTGTAGTACTTGTGCTTCCAACCATGATCGGTAGCATGTCTTTCTTTCCACGACTCGTACTCTGGTAGCGTAAAAAACGACTTGGAGTTTATGGGCTTCTTTGGATTCGGGCCCTTCCATACTTTGACAATTGGAGTGATAAACTCTCTGAAAAAGTCCGGCAATTTCAACAGACTCGGAAACTGCACCTGAAGAAAGTTGATCAAAAGTCCCTTGATATGACTACCATCATGATCTTGATCAGCCATGATCATCAGATGACCATATCGCAGACCCTTGGTATCAGTGTAAATATGCTTATGCTTTAGCCCGAGGAACTGTTTGATGTTTTGGATTTCTGCATTCTTCGTAATTTGCTCAATACCAGCATCTCGCACGTTCAGCAGCTTTCCTCGAAGAGGAAAAACACCAATACGATCTGGATCGAGGACAGCTCTGCCTGCAACAGCAAGACCTTTCGCAGAATCTCCTTCGGTAAGGATCAAGGTACATTCGTGTCCACGTTTAGTACCCGCTAAATTCGCATCGACAAGTTTTGCGTTGCTCATACGGGAACGTTTGTTGCCATCACTTTTGGCAAGTTGTTGATCTGCTTTCGCCGCCTGGAAGTTGAGAATGTTCTGGACAGCTTCGGTCTTCCCTATGTCATTGAGAAACTTGGGCGTCAGGATACATTTGCTACCGAACTTTCCTTTCAGCGTCGTGAGTTGTTCTTTAGTCTGAGAAGTAAATGCTGGATTGACAATCAAGGCATTGACAAACAGGAAGATATGGTTACGGATTTGACCAGCCTTGAGAGCCGCGCCCTTGGAATTCTTCTTTTTGACCACGTCTAGAAGCTTTTCGACAATTTGATCGGCAATATAATTGACGTGTGTACCACCGGATGTCGTTGCAATAGAATTGGCAAAAGAAACCTGATGAAAAGATCCATCAGATACAGCAAAAGCAACCTCCCAACACTGGTGGGCTTTCGGATCTTCGAGAATGACGGTTGCCATAGCAGGCTTCTCCCCCTCTTCTCCTTCACCACGTTCTTTTTGAATGGCTTTAGCATACATTTCGCAGTATTTCTTGAAGTTCAGGTTGAGCTTGACACCATTCAAGGACACCTTTACATCCTTGACAGTGCCAGCCATGTCGTAGACACGTCGCTTAACCAAAGCCTCGAAGTCGTCATCCATGCCATTCATTTTGAATTTCGAGTAGTCGGCTGTCCAAGTAACACGAGTGAAGTCGGGAGATTTGCTCGCCGAGATCTTGGGTTTGCCCATTTTGCTCATATTGTCGGTCCAAGTCTGCTTATATCTCTTTCCTCTTTTCGAGTCCTGGGTTTCGACTGTGAATGACGTGCTGAAAATGTTACATAATTTCGCTCCGTATCCATTCCGACCACCGGTGGTCTTCTCTTGGTCGTCATCATAATTTGATCCGGTCAATAGATGACCGAAAATCATCTCTGGAATGTAAATTTTCTCTATCTGAACAACGTGGTTAGCGATTGTGAGTGTTCACAGACTGGATGCGCATACTTCATGGATCTCGATCGGAATACCAGCACCGTCGTTCTCAACGCTAATCTCTCCAGTTTCACGGTTGATCTGCACCTTGATGGCTTTCATGTTTGGATCGTTCTGCTTATTGTCTGCTGCGTTGACCAAAATCTCATCAAAAATCTTGTATAATCCCGGCACAAACGACACCTTTCGGAACTCCATCTGTGAAGTCTCGGAATTAAACACCCACATCTGCTGCTCAGTCTGTTCAACAGATCCAATATACGTGTCAGGACGCACAAGAATGTGCTCATACTGGGAAAGCTTCTGGTATTTCTGAGTCGCAGTTTTATCCTTTGGTTTTTTGGATTCGGACGGCCCATCCAAATTCATATTTTCATCGGCAAATTCTTCTGATGACTTTCCAGCTGGCTTCTTTACGGGCGCCTTCTTTTGCTTCTTTGCTTCTGGGGGAGTGTTTGACAGCATCGATATATCGCCTGCGGAATCGAGATCTGATGGGATGCCCTCATTGTCACTATCTGGCTTAGGACGCTTTTTGGTCACTGGCTTGGTTGCTTTTATTGTGGTCTGCACAAGCTTCTTGGTTGTTCCTTTGGCGGCCTTCGGAGCCTTTGCAGCTTTTGGAGCCTTCGTGGCAGTCGTTTTCTTGGCGGTAGTCTTAGTTTTGATTGTCTTCTGTTCCATGCATTTGTCAGTATTGGAATGATTAGATTGTCGTGTAGTTCCACAGAGAAATAGGAGAAGACGAGGTTTAGCAAGAATGTCAGGCGAAAAACATACAGCAGCAACAGGAGCGAATCCGTCAGAGTCGCTGTCACCTCCACCAAAATCGTCAAAGCTAGGCTCGCTCATCATATTCGAGTCGTCCGACATGATTGCGAAAGGACTGACGCGTTCTGAAATGAGAGGATCGAGAACAACCTAATCTCGTAGTTACCACCCGCTGCGACTCGGCAACAAATTATTCATGAACGAAGGAGAGTGTTCGGGGAAAGGAGTGGTCGTGCGACTGTCGTCGTTGTTATTGTTGCAATTTGGTGTGGCGGTCCGCTTATTGACATCGAGCCCAAAGCCTCGAGTTGGTTCTTTTGTTTACAATACAACAAATTCAAGGGTCGTCGCGTTGCTCCGCACTAGAGCCGGAGTGGTGCTAGCGGTTCTTCAGGTCACCTGACCATATGCCAAGCATTCCGTATAGCTGGGAGCTCCCAAGGTTCTCATCTCGGACAAACCTCATCTTGACTATTGATATTTCGACATGTTACAATCGACTCCCAGCTGCCACCCAGGTTGGTGAAACTCATACAATTTGTGTCGCACTTTAAAAACGGATTAGCCATGAGGAATCTCTCCGACCATACATGCAATGCTCCGCAACACAAATTTCGCGGTGTCATACAAACCGGTGCAAAACCCAAGATGGGCTTCAGTGACATCAAATTGGTGTTTTCCACGCGTCGTAAAAGACATGAAACCGCGGTGGACGTTGGGCCTTATCCCAGAGGACGGTGAGTGTTGCTAGCTTATTGAGGGGATTCCGAATTCAGATGTACCTGCAGCAGTATTTCTGTCATACCACCAATCCACTACCTAGGTATCCCCTGAGCCCCCTTCATCAACGTCTTCCTCTCCAGTTGAGATCACAAACTTAATACTCTGGTGCACTCGTCGTATTATATTATCTCGGGGGTGTTTGTGCTTTTTGCCAGGTGCGAGGTGCGTATGATAGATCTACAACTTTGGACTGGCCCTGACATGACCAGCATAGGTCTTTGGGGCAGATTGCTCCCGCTGCAGCCACAAAATGTCACTCACCCCACGAAGAAAGCTTCGAGTCTTCTGAGCAGCATCCCAAGCTCTCGCAGGTGCATTGACCTGTATCTTCAACGAACGGCCAATCATGTCGTTACTCTTTTTTGCCTTCGTTCTTCGTTTGTCCAAGTGCATTGACGACAACGTGGTTGGCCTAAACGGTGTCAGTCTTTGCATGGATACATCGGAACTGTGCAGCTTCGAGCCTGTTGTGGTCACACGAATCGAATTCAAATCGTTCGCGGTCGTCGAGTACGTGCGGTTTTGACTGTGAGCATACCGATGCCGTGAACCCCGTTCTCAAGCAACTGAACATAAGCAGCTATCGTTGACTATCACCACCCGCAATCCGCGCCTGTAGCTGAGTGGCGGGATCTTCTGCTTCTAGTCCACTATTCGTGGCAGCTTTGTGGAACCTGAATGTGCAGAAGCTTTCTGCACCTAAAGTGTTCAGTCATTCGATTAGGGTCTGCTGCTGTCTTGGACCTCCTACCTTATCTCAGGAGTCAGTGGCTGAAGGCGACCAGCCGGGAATTTGACCTTCTTGCTGCATGCATGGGTGCTCCTAACATGTAGCCTTCCAGTGACAGCCATGACTTCCATCCCAGTGGATGACAGGGACGCTTTGCAACTTTCTCGAAGGCCCGTAGAATTCTTTTGATCAACATAAACATAGCAAGTGATCGGTGCGGATAGGAGCATGGCGTTTCTAGCGGGGGTACGGATTCATAAACCCGCCTTGCCTTGCGAAGACTTCCCTCATTACCACAAAGCTTGACGCATGAGTTGCACGGCTGCCTTTTTTCACATTTCTACATCACATTATGCCCGACTGGAAGGAGCATCAAAGGCCGTTATACCTCACGTGCATCGAGTCAATCTAACTATGTCTTATATCTCCTTTCAACCACTTCATATTTCTTTGTCTGGTTTGAATATATCACAGCTCACAACCTTAGCGCACCCGCAGGTGCTGCAGCCTCCCGTCCCAAAACTCCTGGCCAGCAAGTATCCCCAGCGAGATTCTAGCCCGCTTTCAAACAACCTGGTGTCCCGATCGGGATGTGGCACCTAATTTGTTGATGTCAAACTCACCTTCTGAGCCTGGCAGGACCTGCTTCTGCTGTCACGCAGCAGGTTGGTCTATCTCATTCGGCTCTGCCGCTGTTTAGAGACCCGGTGAAACATTATGCCTCGATCATTACTCTAGGAAGTTTATGCGAAGGCCGGATGCTTGGTAGACATATTGTCTACCGATTAACGGGCACGGGAGTAGAGAATGGGCACAGAAGGTTCCAACCGCTAGGTTGAATCACAGTTTCGTCACTTCAAAGTTGTTGTTTTCCACCATCCTCAAACTCCAGCTACGAAGACTCATACACAAAATCATCTTTTTCCGCTTGCCATAAGACCATACACACCGAAACACTTCTCCCTACACTGGGCATAAGACGGTGTGTGTTCTTGATCCCATTCACGAATTAGCGACCGAGGAGCGCAAACGGATTCCACCCACCCACGTCGGTTCCTAGACATCGCCAACAAAGCCGCTTTCCACCACGAAATCGCTGACGGCGACCTTAGACAGCACTCGCACGGTCTGTGACTGCACGAGCATGCACAGCTGGCTAGTGGTGAAGAGAGTTTGATGCTTAAACTGATTATTTGCCCTTCTGTTGACATAAAGGGTCACGAAAATAACATTTGAAGAGCTCTGTTTGCCAGATTCAAAACATCACCCCTCTGCCTGCTGCTACTAAAGTAACTCTTGCTTGCGTTACGTTTTCGTCGATAAAATCTGTTCGTCGCCGAATAAAACATCTATCATCCTGCAGACTTAGAGGCTTGGAGCCAACGATATCCTCTCTTACTCACCGCCATGTTTTCGGTAGCCTCTCTCCTCAACCCTATCAATTCAGAGACGCAAAATATACGATTACCTTCAAGTCCCTCCCCCTCATTTCTAACATCATCTTCTACTCGTGGGAGTCCGGATATCTCAGCACAATCTACGATTAGGAAGCCAAAAATGACTAAAGACGGGGCAATATTCGCAAAAGGAACGATCAAAGGAGAGATCAACTTTCCACCTTTCCAAAATTTGGACCGGGCAGCCATGGCAGAAATTGAAAAGTTCCGCATCTACCCAATGGGCACAATTGAGAAATTTTGCCGCCACATCCCTTACAACAGCGAAAAGAAAAGTTTTCTTGAAAAGACAGGGCGTGAAAGTATCGAAGGTATGTTGTTCTCGTCTTGGACAATTGCATTATTCGCTGACTTCACGGGCAGTGTTTCAATATACTTTCAAGCTGCCTGGCGACGAGAAGGAATATACCGTCATGTGGGATTACAACATTGGACTCGTTCGTATCACGCCATTCTTCAAGTGCTTGAAATACTCCAAGGTAATTGTTATCAAGATCTTATGGCTTGGTAGACATGCTAATATTTGTGAAGACAACGCCAGCCAAAATGCTTAATTCGAATCCTGGGCTTAAGGAGATCACGAACAGCATCACAGGAGGGGCTTTAGCGGCACAAGGTAAGATGCATTATCCCTCTTCCACGATGCTTGAATTGACACATCTCAGGATACTGGATGCCCTACTCTGCTGCTCTTGCTGTGTGCGCCACCTTTTGCTCAACTATTGCTGGTGCCTTGATCCCTCTTTTCGGGCCATCATTCCCTTCACTCTGCGTTCCGGAAGAGGCACCAGAATACAAAAGAATGATAATCGATCCCGTCATTGTCGTTCAAGCCACCGCTGAAGCCGAATCCTATCGAGTCCGAACCACGATGATGACTCCAAAATCTGTTCGCAGCAGTTACTCACCAGAGCAGCGAATCTTGGGGCCCGTGAGCATGCATGCCACCCCACCACGCAACAACCTCGAACGCCGATTGCGCTTGAAGAGAACATTCGGAGGAGATAGTCCATACGGTACACCTACCGACACGGATGTAGACGGGAATGCCAGCGAGACGAGTAGCGGGGATGGGTATTACTGCTCCCCTGTTACACCCGTCTCTGCCAACAGCCTGCATATGCCGCAAACATGGCAATCAAACAACCTGCTTTCTCAACCTGCAAACTCGTCTATCCATCTTCATCAACCGCTAAAGCGTGCTCCCGGTCCAGATCCGAACCTTAGCGTCATCCCAAGATCCGCTCGCATGATTGATCTCCAAATGAGCAATTTGTCTGCTATCAAGCGATGTGTTGAGGAGGTGGACGCTGATGACGAGATGGAACCGTATGAGGTTGTCAGTCCTAAGAAGGACAAGATTGATAGAGATAGATGTGCTGCTAGCAATGCGGTATTGAGCTCGATGTTTGATGGTGGTGGCGTTGAACAGAACGCTGCTCTGCTTCTCATGAAGCTCAACATGAAGGATGGAGAGTCTGCCAACGAACGTTTCCCAAAGGTCGAACAATGTTCTACTTTTGACCAACCTCGAATCAAGCGTCGCAGGGCGACTTCCATGTAGAGCATTGTCCTGGGTTGAATCTGGCGTTTGGACAACAGGTCATCGGCATTGGTAAGAAACCAAACATGGAGCATAGGCAACGCGTATAATACTGCATTTTCAATTTGTCGCGGGCATTTCGGTTGGTGTTTTCATGCTTTGCACATTTGTGTTTGGGGAAGAGAAGATGGGCTGTGTTGAGGATTTTCGTTTGTTTGATGTTCCAAACTATAGAGTAACATCACTGTAATCATAGCCTCCATGCCTCAGCATTTTATTGAATTCCAGCTGTTTCCGATCAGTTTCTCGGCTTAATCTAATACCTGGCTTGACTCTGTCTGTTTGTCCAAGTTGGGGCTGAACGCTGGAGACGTTCTTGACCGCCGATTCTCGACCCCGCAGTCGAAGCTGGGATCTCCATGAGGCATCACCTTCCGTCTCATCGTTATCGCCGTCCATCGTAGGCTGGACTTCTTACATTCCATCCGATGCTCCTACCCGAAACCTCTCACCCCATCTTCTTCTCCGCACCCTTCTTCGTCTTAAACTCCTGAATCCACGCCGGCGCCTTCGCTTTCGGCACCACGAAGATCTTCACCACCTCATCTACCACCTCGACGTTCTCCGCCGTCAGCACTTTCAATAACGTAGCTTTCTTGCCTACTTTTAAGAGTCCGCCGGTCGTGGTTTCGATGTAGCATTCTACGTTGGCAGGCGTGTATTCGTGTTTGAGATCCCATGGGAGGGGGAGAATGTAACTTAGATGATGGCTGATGGGTTCAAGCTCGTTGAAGGCTTTGATGAAGTCGGATTCGAGGTGGAGGGGGTAGAGGAGGATGGTTGGGAAGCTGATGGTTGAGGTTGGGTCCGTGGGGTCGGGTGTTAATTGAATTTTTGCATCTTCCATTTCTGGAGGCTGTGCGGTTTTTCTTGTCTTAATCCCTCTAGCTTTTAAAGCTGCACGCAAAGTCACCAGCTCTAACCTCGTTTTCTGCTCACGTTCCGCTTCAATCTTCTTCCTCCGTGTGATCTCTTCATTCTTCTTGATAATCTCCCTCGCAACCCCCTTCAACGCAACATTCCCCTCATCAACACTCAACCCCTTCGCACACGCATCATCAGCCTCCTCAATCTTCCCCAACGCCAACAGCGCCTTCGCACTCCTATAATACGCCTTCACATTCCTCCCATTAATCTTCAGCGCACTGCCACAGTCCAAAACACACTGTCTATAATTCTTCAACTCCAAATGACAAGCCGCGCGATTCACCAGACTGGCTTCGAGTATCCCAACTTCCTTCTTGACCTCCGCGCTATCAGTCTCCTCGCCCTTCCCAGTCTGTCGTTTCCGAACTTCAAGAAGTAGCACTTGTATCCCTTTCGTATAGAATTCCTTCGCATCCCCCCATCCCTTGACCTGAAAACACTCGTTCCCGCGCTCCTTAAATCCGCCCGCTACTTCCGCAGGTGTACCTTCATACGCCAATGCTTTCAACGCTTCTAAGTCGTCGTTTGCTTCCAGCTCTGTCATGAACAGCGGACTCTTATTTAACTCCGCAAGGATCTCGGTCGTGGATTTATTGCGCATGGCGGCCATGCCGGGCGGGACTTGCGGGCCTGTAGTGCCATCTTCGAGAGTGGTGGGGGGAGTGAGGGAGCTGTACGCGTTCATGGCTTGTGTGAGGAGATCGGGGCCGGGTATTGGGGTTTCATCTTGAGGTGAGGAGATATTCAGACTTCCCTCAAAGTCATCCGGGAGTTTTTCGAGCTTCATTTTGGGGTTGGTGGTGGAGATATGTGATGTATGATTGTTTTTGGACGCTGGAAAAAAGTTTGGAGGGGCACTTTTTGGTGGTTTGATATTGGAAAAGCGGCTCTGGTTTGTGGGTCTCAAAGGCGTTATCTAAAGCCGCTTTTACAGCCTTAAAGCTTCCCTGCGTCAGCCCAGATGGCTTGCATGTTCAACGGTCTGTGCACTCTTTATTTCAACCTCATGCCTCGGCGCATCCATCGCTTCTCAATCATTAATTGTCTTGCTTCACTTCTTTCGCCTACTCAATTCGTTTTCTCTACTAAGACACCAAGTCGATTGAATACAACTCATAATTTTGCGGTCGTTCGTTAAAACGGTGCAGCCATCATGGCGGACAAGACAGCGAAATACAGGCAGGAGATCCAGCAGGTATGGCAACCAATCCTACAAATCCTAGACACAAGAAAGTCCATATAACATCAAACTTATGCTGAATGATGTGTAGATGATGTATGTCTCTGGAGAAACTGCCGAAGCATCGCCAGAAACCACCGGTATGATTGAGGAAATTGTTAGACAGCAAGTCATCGAAATGGTAAGGACTGGCCGGACACGACTATCTATCCATTGAAAAGTTGTATGTAATGACTGAACTGACTTTTGAAAGCTCCGGCAATGTACTGAACAAGCTGCTCGAAGGGGAAGTAGATCAATCTCAACCGATGATTTGATCTTCCTGATTCGTCAAGACATTGCCAAGGTATCCCGGTTACGAACTTTTCTTTCCTGGAAAGATGTCCGTAAAAATGTCAAAGACTCCGATGATAAAGGAGGAGAAGTTGATGTCGGTACTGGGGATGAACCCGTTGCAGCAGGGGCTGGAGGTCCAGCTGTCGTTGATACTGCCAAGAAGAACAAAAAGGCAAAAGTCGGCTTGCCTTGGGAAGTGCCATCATTCTACAATCAAGAAGTACCGGAACGAGACGACGAAGAAGACGAGGATGAAGAGGAGATGAACTTTGCAACTCTCCAACGATTGAAGAAAGCCGATGAAAGGACGAAAGCTATGACCAAGGAGGAGTATGTCACATGGTCTGAATATCGTCAAGCATCCTTCACGTTCAGGAAAGGCAAAAGATTCAAGGAATGGGCTGGCTTTGGTGTTGTTACAGATTCGAAGCCTAATGACGATATTGTGGATATTCTCGGGTTTTTGACTTTCGAAATCGTGCAGACGCTTACAGAGGAGGCTTTGAAGATCAAAGAGCAGGAAGATCTGGGCAAAGACAAGTCTGGTGGCGAGCAACAAGGAAAGAAACGCAAGTTAACAGGCCTCTTCGATCCGCCATCAGAAGGTCGTACGCCTGTCGAACCACGGCATATTCAGGAGGCATTCAGAAGGCTTCAACAACGGCCGAATAAGCAGCGTGCTATGTGCAATTTCACGAGAGGCTTAAACAGAACGCCGCTCAAACTTGTAAGTCAATTATGGTTGACATTTATCGCGATATATGCTTACATTGCTCTAGTTCTAAACTTGGAAACTTGAATTTGGCGCACTGGTCAGGCGTAAAGATGGATGGGCTCATGATACCAGGCGATATAAAACTTGTATATATGAGGGGAATTTGGAGACGGCCATGCAATATATCATCAGTCGATCCGTTTTTCGATCTAACATGCTGTGCAGCTAGTTCCTCGTCACAATCGAAGCTCTGTGTTGACAGTTTACACAGTTGCGTGTTGCATCAAGGTTTTGATCTGCTTACTTTCGTAGGTATTGGGTGGTGCGTCTCATCGCACTTCCACATCACCGTTGACGAGGCTGACAGACTGTCAAAAAGTGGTAGCCTCGCGTGAAACAGGACGTTGAAGGTGCGATGTGCAACAAAACTCTTATTCTTGCTCTCGAATTCACTGTTGTGGGGTATGAACGCATGGGAAGTTACTAGCGCGTAGGTTCACCTTCAGTTCACCTTCGTTTCTGATATAAAACCCGGCCCCGCCCTGTCAGAACCATATAAGAGACAACAAAGCGACACCCTCATACAAACTCTTCAACGTCTTCTACAACGCACGAGACATCAAAGTCTCCTGTACTCTCTTCAACGGAAACACTGCTATCTGTTCTTTTGCATCTTATCACTTCCCCCACGCGGCCAGTACTCACTCATTCGAGTTAAGTGAGTTTAGTCAACCTCTCACTCCATCATGGTCATGGCACCTACCGAATCGGGCTCCTCTAAATGCGCAGCTCCAGATACAACAAATGTTTTCATAAATCAAGCACTCGCTGAAGACGCGTCTATGACTACAGGTACTGACGCTTCTATGAACAGCATAACATTTGACGCTTCATACCCTGCTACGTTTTCCACCTTGGAACTTTCCCCGAGTCCACTAGAGAAACCGCTTGACTACAATGGACTTCCAACGGAGTTGCGTCTTAAAATTATTCAGCAGACGTTCGAAGAGCCTCAGGTCGTTGCTAACGAATTTTTCGCTCCGGTTTACCGCAAGGACGGCTGGCCCGACGAACCGTACCCCTCGGGCCACCCTCTAAGAATCCCACCTCCTCTTAGAGACACGCCTGTACCTATTGCGTTACATATAAACCGAGAGAGCAGAATAGAAGCACTGAGGCATCATCAAATTGTGTCTCATCGTCCACTTCCTGACCACATGAAGCTCAGATGGCCTATCATATACTTGAAGAGCTCAGTGGATACTCTAGTGGTAAAAATGCTGGGGGAGTATGCTACGACTCATCATCTGAGCTACGAAACGAATTTTCTCATCACCTCTCTTCGTTATATTGAATATCCGCGGTCACGAACGGTAATCTTCTTGCGAGAACCAAGGGAATGGTATACCGATTTGCATGGCCTAGATGACTGGTCTCGAGAATCCGACACTGAAATTTTCGACCCTGGAGCTTTTTCTACCTGCAATAGAATGCTTGGACAAATTCTAGCACTTTTCCACAAGGAGTACATGTGTGCCCGGGAACCCAAGCAGCCTCGAATCATGATATACTGCGCAACCGCACCCGCAACCGGCAATGCGAGTCCTGATGTGACACACAATAGGCAATTGGCAGAGAAGATGAATATATGAATGAGTCAGTATGTCGAAGATATCGGTTACAAAGTAATATTTGATTTGCTTCATTGTGAGCCCTGCGATGAAGGGATGATTTTTCTTGCAAATTTCTGTGTCGACTACATGGACCACTGGGAATTGATGGGGCGTATTCACGGTATCGCTTTCTGATCAATTCAACGGCCAAGATGACGGCCGACTCAGTCCGTCAACAAATTCCACAAGACCAAATACAGAAATTGCGAGCTACAGTCAATTTCGTATGTTCTCTCTGGCTTTTGGCGCTCACGGCTTTTCTTGTCAAGTAGATTACGAGCGTTGTAAGGGGTGTGATGAATTTCATGGCAAAGCTTCTCGATGTGTGGTTGTAGAAATAGAGTAGCATAATATGTATTCTTCCTGAAATATGACCTACAATCAAGTACTATTCGAATCCAATACACAGATTCGTATTTTCAAAATCTTACTTTGCTCTTGAGAACATTCTCGTTGCTAAAGGGTGTATTCGTAGTTCTAGTGCCGGTTTTGAAATAGAATTATTGGCTAAGTGACTGGTGTCAGTGTTTCGGTACCGAGGACACTCTTTCTACCATTCACTATTGATTCTCGTTTCGCTCTGAATTAGGTTGTTGCCTCGATAAGCGTTCTTATCGCGAACCGCACTGACTGTATAAACCTCCCGGCCTCTTGCTGTCCTTTTCATGAACATTTGGTTCTTCATTCAGCTGCCAAAATCCGTCCCCCCCAGATATCTGCCTCGTAAGATATGCGACTGCGGAAACTTTGATTATCTTTGAAGCAGCACACATTATTTGAGGTTCTTCTTCATTGCTGGTTACATCTATCTGATTATGCGAAAAGGTTTTGTCACTAACATCTTAAAATAGGAAGACTGCTCGACTGTCCAAATCACGAAAACCTCTACAATAGTTACCACACAACACTGCTTCAATCATGAATGCTATTGAAAGAGCTACGGGGCCTCGACATGCATGCAAGTCTGCTTCAACCTCCACTTCGGAACTTCCCTCGATTCCGGCTAGATTGGAAGCTCTCAACTACATTGGCCTCCCAGCGGAACTACGTCTGAAAACTATTAGGTACACCATGGAAGAGCCTCAGAATGTTGGCATCGACTTTTTCACTGGTACAACCTACGAGATTGCAAAGAGTCCACCTCCTCGCAGATTCACGCCTATCCCTATTGCACTTCACCTCAATCGCGAAAGCAGAATCGAGGCTCTTAAGCACTACGAAGTCTTACTCTTTCATTCGATTCCTGATAACTGGAAGTCTTCCTGCCCTACAATCTACATCAACAAGGCAGTCGATACTCTCACTGTCGAATTGAAACCACAAACGGATTCACATTCATGGGAGGAAGCAAGCATGCTCGTCGAATGTATTAAGTTTATCGATTTCCCACGGTCACGACTGGTAGTTTCCATGAGCGAAGAAAATGATTGGCTTTCCAAGATTCGTGGTATGGAGAGTTGGCAGCTTGATGATAAAAGCTTCCGCGAGGGCTATGATAAGACATGCACGGCTATTGTCAAGAAGCTTGCAGTGTTCGCGAGGGAACTCGTACGGCCTCGCCTTAGATTTTACTGCGCAACCGGCAAAACGGACGATACACGATTTGTTATGAACGAGCTTTCGGCAGATAATATGAGCGTTACAATGACACTATTAGTATATCACGAGAATAAGGTTTGGCGTTTTTTCGATTGTAACCCAATTGAAACTGAAATTCTTCGCTTTGAGCCCTGCGAGGGAGGAATTGCTCTTCATTTAAAGTCCAATAAGAGATAGAGGGAACCTGATTCGAAGGCTGGCTGGACATTGATGGTCGGGTAACAGATTACTCAATCAATTTACGAGCATCACTCGGTCATACTAGGTTACTAGAGCTATCTGCAGGTCGAACATGCTAATAACTTTTCACGTGGGATAAATTGCGTACATGAGATTAAGTCTTGTGGAACTATTTCTTCATTTTGTCATTTTGAGAACAGAACAATAGAATTTAGTGACCTCCCAGGTTCAGATTTATGTTTTGATGCTGATAATGTTAATTCGGTATACAAATATGTATTCGCAAAATCTTGCTAAAGTCTTGAAACCATTTACCAGTTAAAATGTCAAGTGAGCACCGATGTATTTGCAACATGGACTTATAGTTCTAGATTGCGCTCTGAGACGGTACTGATCAGCTAGTAGACTGTTTTCAAGCTTTCGACAACAAGTCTCGCCCGTCCTGTCTTCTATAATCAGTTTGAGAATCACATATTCACGAAAGACCATTAAATTTTAACTTAGGAGTATGATATTGACAGAATTCACATGTAGCTAATTTTAGCAAAAGATACTGCGTTATGTTGGTCAGCCTAAGTTGTATCTTGTTTTCGAACACCGACCGCTTTCAGAACAGCTGTTGTATCGCGACTACTGTCGCTAGCGTCACTACCGACGGCTGTCTTATTGCCATTCACCATCGATTCAAGTTTCCTTCTGCACCAAGCTGCTGCCTATCGCACACAACTGACGTACACCAAATCGCCGATAAAGACGATTTTACTTCTAGGCGAAGTATCACCCGTCCTTTACATAAAAAAGCTCGTTGCATGACTGAATCGTCATCCTGCAACCAATATCCCACCCTCCACATACACCTAGATCGTTCGATATTCAACTGTGTAGGTTTTCCTTACCTTTTCTTCAACTGACAAATATATGAGGTTCGGTATTGCTGAAAGCTGATCATGTGAAAAGTGCCCGGAAGTAACATCCTCCATAGAAGTCCAAGACGACGTAAAACTCTCCAAGAGTCGTTATCGTTACCATTTCCATCATGAATACTGCCGACAGACCGCCTATAGAGTCTGGATATGCGTCAAACGACATGCAAGCCATTTCTCATCTCATCACCACCGACTCGACAGACTTGCTCGCCATCCCACATGATGCTGACCAAGCAAATCAATTCAGAAACACAGTCTCATTCTCCGTATCTCAAAGCCATGCGGGGTCATTCGTTTTCCCAAAACTGCCAGCCGAATTGCGCCTGAAAACAATACACTTCACATTCGAGGCCCAGGTCATTGACGTGGAGATATATCCAGCCTCTGCGGAACCTGGTAGCCGGGGAGCTCGGAGAATTACACCACTCCCGGTTGGACTTCAGATCAACCGCGAGAGCCGATTGGAAAGTCTACGATTTTATGATAGAATACAGAGGATCGATGATAAATGCAAGACTGTTTGGCCTGTTATCTACATTCATCCAACAAACGATATCCTCAAGATAATAACACCGTGGAAAACATCGTGGAAATCGGAGCAAAGACGTGCTGGCTTGGGAAGCTATTTTGATGAAGTATCTATCAACATGGCAAGGTTTTCATGCCATCTGAATGAATGCTACACACGGAGGCTGTCCCTTGCGTTTACAATGTTTTACGGTGACTACTGTACCCCTTGCGGCTGGATGTGGATGCTGGTCCATTGCAAGAGCGCTCGTAGTGTTTTTTTCTCTCTTGACGTCTTCCGAAGGCCAGAGACAATCACTCTACCAAAACGAGAGGAAGTTGAGTACTTGCTATGCCAGCTTAAGGGGTACAGAGATCGTATGAAGGAAAGGGGAATGCGGTCTCCGATAACTGGCCTTGTTATATCAACAAACACAATACAAGATGCTGGCCTGAGCCCTGCAGAACTTGAGGGTGATATTGGCGTATTTACCTATTATCCCCCGGGATCTGCCTACCCTGAAATTGGAGCAACCATTGTCGACCGTCTTCGAGAGCCGCTTAATGATGAATTTTGAAGCTTTCCGTCAAGAATTTAGCGAACCTAGTCTGTGGAGAGGATTGATAAGTGGATACTTGATAGGATGCCGATATATTCCTGGCAGTCTGTGATTAGCAGGTTACATCAATATTGAGAAAAATCCACATGGGACCATCGACTGATGAAGAAACGTACTACCATAGATTTGAGTTAGAGAATAGCATAGTCACGGTTCTTGAGAAAAATATTCCCGATTGCTATATATTTCGCCACTGATATTAGAAAGATGCAACCAACATACGGTCACTCAGTCATTGAGGCGATTTTGTTTGCGGGTAAATAGTATTTTCAAATTTGACAGCTCATCTGTGACACTTCTACCAAGATTCAATCCATAACCATGCTACTACAATGGATCCAAAACGTTGAGTTTCCTCGAAGTGCCATTTCACCCTGTTTGTTCCTCTGATATGAATATCTTCAGCAAATGGATATTTTATTTACAATTTTAAAACAGCGTGAATTATGCACGTGAAGAAAAAATGAGTAGTAATCTGAAGAGCATATCCTGGTGTTCCAGATTCACTAGCGCTTTTTCTGTATATAACCATTCCACCTCATCCTCGTCATTCCCCTCTTCTTGGGCACAACCACCAATTCAGGAAGTCCGAAAACGAAGTGGTATTCCAGCTTTACGCATCGATTTCATCACAAGACTGAATCGAACCCGAATGACGGAAGATTGGAAGCGCAGCTCGACATTATCGTTCCAGCACTCGTCTCCGGAAATCGAGGTACAAATGGCAGAAACTCGTGAGTTAAAAACACATAATAGCCTAGACGTGTCGGCCTTTGACACTAGCGCGTTAGTACTCAAACCCACGAAGAATGTAAACAAGGAAACGCAAACGACTATCTCCATCAATCCCTTCTCATTATCGAAACTTGTTGCCGCAGGTCCCATTAGCTCACAGCCAACTTCGGTTACGCGAAAACACGAGATACTGTTCAATTTTCCAAAGCTACCACCGGAGCTTCGTCTTAGAGTCTATCAGCATACCTTTGAGCCTCAAATCATCGCGGTAGATGTGTTTCACGTAAATATCAGTGAGGGTCCAGCTCGCCAAACGGTTGCCCGGAGGACTAGCCCAGTTCCAATCACCCTGCAAATAAATCGAGAAAGTCGAACCGAAGGCTTACGATATTATGAACGGATCCACATAGCCAATGACTTCAAATTCTTCCCTATTATCTATATTCATCCACAAAACGATCTTCTGAGGCTGAGAGCAGTCCCAGAGAAAACGCTGGCCGAACCCTGTATCTCTATCGGCATGACATGCCTTCTCTTCTACCTCTCCCAAAGGTATGAGCAAAAGTTCACCCTCATATTGGACGGTGTTGTGCCTTGGGACTTGTGGTTTACCGAAGACCGAGCACCGTGGGATCAGGGTCATATTGTGAATGAATACCCATGTGCTCGAAAGGTGTTTCTGAACTACACGCTGCTTCAAGCCGACGACGGCACACTACCAATGAATAAACAAGACGCAGAGAATCTGGAGAAAGTAGTGGCATATACCGAGACGATGAAGAGTACATGGTCTACAGTGTTCAACAAATTACGTGTCTATGGGGGCTTAGAACTTGTACCTACACTGCTGAAAGAAATGTTCACACGTTCCTCTTTCAGCGGAGCAGTGCTTAATGGTTACATTGGACTGCTACTGGAGCTTGAAACGACGCAAAACGACGCAACCACAGAGTCAAAGTAGCTAGCGTCGAGTTCCACGCACGAGACGCGGCATATGTTCGTTGCTATTTCACTGGGACCTGCTGAGGCAAGATAATGAAGGCTTGGCTAAAGATAGCACTCTAGATTCCAGCGTTGGTAGGCTCGATATGCCTCGATGGAGTTTATCAACTGAAAGGCAACAAGAACAACACTTTGTCGGTCTATGGAAGAGACTCTGTGAGGAAAAGATAGAAAGAAAAGCAAGCCTCTAAGCACTAGGATCTTTGGAAATACAGACTTTCGTATCATAATCTTACCGTTTGACCAAAACACTTTTTGATCCCTAATTCCCGTAATTATCAGCCATAATTTCGAAGATAAACAGTCTCGCTTACCCGCTGCTAAAACAATGTTCTCTCTCTCCTTAAAAATACGTTCTATATATGACTCCATCACTTCCGTGTTACCGGAACCACATAGTACATATTCGAAGCAAATTCGACGAGGCTATTCACCGTGTAAATTCACCATTTAGTCAGACCCACTTTGCATATATCAAAACTCAGGGCTTTGCACACCCAAGCAACCACCCTTCTTTCCTCCTCTCCTTTTCTTACATTTGATCTGCACATCCACGCACCACTACTATCAAACGTCTTGCAACACATGTTTGCGACTAGCGCTTCCACATATTACCTCTATTCCATACACATCACCTCTAAGCGCCTTATAAGACGTGTTCGAGACGAGCACTTCCACCCATCACCTCCTCGATCCCAGAATCTTCGGAGTCGTACTCATTACAAGCACTCAACATCAAAAACAAAAACGCACGAGACAATGGCCACCGAGTCCGTTCCCAAAACCACTCCAGCACCGAGCACAGAAGACGATATGGGCTCCGTCGCCGCCGTTAATTTTATCTCTGACGTCCTACCCGATGGCGAACATTTCAACTTTTCAAAGCTGCCAGCAGAAATACGCCTGGCAATCATTCACCAAACCTTTGAACCTCAGTCCATCAGAGTGCATGTTATTGACCAGATGATAGAGGAGGTCGAAGTGGAAAATGGCGCGAAAAGAATGACTCCTAATCCAATTGCTCTTAAGATCGATCGTGAGTGGCGGAAAGAAGCTATCGCATATTATGATGCATTACAAGTGGTGGATAATGTTAAAGGAAAAAAATGGCCTATCATCTACATACACCCTGGAAACGACACTCTCATCATCAATACATCCCCACAAGGGCTGAGGCCTCCTGGGAGAAACCAAGCCCTTCACAACTTGACACAGCTTTTGGACCATCTCAACCAAAACTACGAACAAGAATTAGCGGTCACATTTGAAGATGTTGGTCCTTGGATCGTGCGTAAGCAACCCTTTATTCAGTTTTGGCAGCGCGGCGACCCGACGGCACTTGACATCGCCTATGACTCTGAATACGCTCGAACAGTGCTTTTTACCGTGTCACAGAAGGTGTATGGAAGGGTGGCCGCTATTTCGCGGGGCTCTATCGAAATACTACTAACAAAAACGGAGAAACATGAGGCTGCGAAGTTAACTCACGGAACTAACAAATTGAGACTTACGGGAAAGAGAGCAGGAACGGGGCCTGGTAACTGAAGAAAACACTGTCGCACTAGCAAGGGTATATCATCAGCTCGATGGGATGATGTTTCGTGGTGAGGTCAGCCTATACAGATGGCTGTGATTTTGTGAGCTAGGGACAAGTAGTCGCGCAGAAGGATAGAGGGATTAAAGGGTACATCAAGACATTTCTAAAAGTGTAATTCAGAAATAGAACCTAATTACTTTGCCTGAGTTCGTACAAATACCGCGATCGTCAAGTTATTAGTTACACTTGTAGTAAGACTGCTTGAATCAGCTGGAAGATTGATTCCGCTCATCAGCTTCATACGTTAATGACGAAGCGTTGTTTCTAGACACCATCAATTCTTCAAATTTTGGCAAGGAAGGTATTTTGACATCTTGTAGAGAGTGAGGACATTAGAAGCAATCTCCATAAGAAAAAAAGAGTGCACATGCAGTATAGAGACCTAAATAAGCGGAGTGCTAGAATTGACAATGTCATTGTTGATTGACCTGACGTTGTGTTTGATATTTATTTCACGCTTCGGTGGTTGTCGAGCTCAACGGCATCTGGACTCGATCAATCGCTTGCTTCGGCCCGGCCACAGTCCGAGTGTAGATCAGTCTGTGTAATTGGCCAAGCTAAAAAACTAGTGGTTGGAGGTCCAATTAAACTACTCGGCACGGCCCCTGTTAGATCGATCGACATCCCAGTCGAGCTGAATTTGTTTTCTTCTTTGAGAAACTGGAAATGATCCCCGCTTCGATCAATAATTGTGATATTTTGAAATAATAGTTATCCCACACGCAAAATATTTGCGCAATTGAAGGAGTTTATCAAGAATTGGATAGCAAAACTTATTATTCAATCTCAAAAATGAGAGACATAACGTCTACATAGCATTGTGTATGACCTCCCGTCCCTCACCCGTCGTCATAGCACCGCAAAGGCAAGCTCAAAGGCACAACGCCGAAAACCAAACTAGCAAACGCCCGCATCTTCTCAATCTCCCTAGCTTCGCGCATTCCTCCCTCACGACCGCAGACCATTTCCACCTTCATTTCTTCATCTATCTTTCCTAGTAATTATTTCTCGAGTACATTCATTTCGCGTCGCAAGATGGCATACAATCAGCAGCATGGCGCGGCCGACAGCTACTACCAGCAAGGCCAGCAGGATGTCAATATGCAGGCCCAACCACCGCAATACGGGCAACAGCAATACCAGAATGCAGGACAAGGACCGTATCAGCAACCATATCCGCCCCAGAATCAACAGTATCCGCAGGAACCACCGCGATTCGATGCGCAACAGCAGGGGAATTTGAATGAGAAGGTGGGCTTCGATCAGCAGTTCAAACTCGATAAGCCGAAATTCAACGATCTATGGGCTGCGTTATTGTTCCTCGCGACGTTTTTAGGATTCGTGGCTGTTAGTGGACTGGTGTTGTATGGGTATAGTCATACGAAGGGTCAGCAGGGAGGAGGGATTTATAATGGTGCTTCTACGTTCGCGTTGAATACGAATACCGTCATTTTATTGTAAGATTCTATGACAGAATGGAGGGAATAGAACTAATGATTGAATAGCGCTTTTGTCCTGGCTGTGGGTTTCGTGTTAAGTTTTGCGTATTTCTGGATCATTCGAGCTTTTACGAAACAGTAGGTGATATTGATCATAGGAAATGTCAATTGCTAATGGTGTTCAGGGCTATTTGGATTACTGGTATATTGCAGATAGTCTTTGGTATCGGAACAGCCATTGTATATTTTGCCAGAGGATACTGTGAGTGCTACACTTCCCCAATCCTCGCTACCTTCGAGCAGCTCTCATGTTCTACAACCCATGATCAGCTGCTAATATGAAACAGACAGCGCCGCAATTGTCTACCTAATCTTCGCCGTCTTCTACATCTTCTGCTTCATAAGCTGGATCCCACGCATCCCCTTCTCAGTCCTCATGCTACAATGCGTAATCGACGTCTCCAAGAACTACGGGCACGTCTTCCTCGTCTCCCTCATCGGCGGCATCGTTGCAACCGCCTTCGGCGCCTGGTTCTCCGTAACTCTCGTAGGCGTTTACGCAGCGTACTATCCCGGTGGACCAAACTGTACCGAGTACAGCTGCAGCAAAGCCAAAGTGATCGGTCTCCTCGTCTTCATCACCTTCGCTGGATACTGGATCACAGAGGTCATCAAGAACGTCATCCACGTAACCATCTCAGGCGTCTATGGCTCCTGGTATTTCTGCTCGCAGAAACCAGGCGGCGTGCCCAAGGGCGCAACGATGGGCGCGTTCAAACGCGCAATGACATACTCATTTGGCAGTATATCTTTCGGCTCCCTACTCGTCGCTCTAATTCAACTCCTCCGCCAAGCCTGCTCAATCGCCAAACAGAACGAAATGGCACAAGGAAACATCTTCGGGACCATCATGTTCTGCATTCTCGGCTGTTTCATCGGGTTACTCGAGTGGGCGATTCAATTCTTTAATGAATACTCATTCTCCTACATCGCGTTATACGGGAAAGCTTATGTCCCCGCTGCAAAGGTACCCTTCCCCCTTCCCCCTACCATACTACATATTAACATCCACCCCCAGGCAACCTGGCACATGATGAAAGACCGCGGCGTCGACGCCCTCGTAAACGAATGCCTCATCAACCCCGTCCTAACAATGGGTTCCGTATTCGTCGCCTACGTGTGTTCCTTCCTCGCGTACCTGTACCTCGAATTCACCAAGCCCGAGTACAACGACGGAAACGCCTTTACGGCCGTCGTCATGGCGTTCTCCTTCCTCATCGGATTGCAAATCTGTAATATCTTCCTCGTACCGATCAAGAGCGGTGTGGCGACTTTCTTTATTGCCATGGCGTTTGATCCTGAGGTGTTGGTTAATGAGTATCCGGATTTGTGGCGGAGGATGGTGGAGGTTTATCCGCATGTGCAGCAGGCTATTCATGTTTAAGCTTGGCGGTTAGGAGAAGGGGAGGGGATAGGTGGTGATTGTGTATATGTGAGGTTTTGTGGTTGGAAAATAAATACCCTGGGCGTTTTGTTTGAATTCAGATGGGTTGAAGGACGGAAGAGCGGGGGGGTTGTAGATATGAGTATATCATAGCGTCGAGATAGGGCCCTGTGGCTAGCGTTTATAAGGGGGAGGGTAATGCTTAATAGTAATAATGATTGCTTCAACTCCGTTTTATGGCTTCTATTAGCATGTGATCACCTTTTTACACGCTTGGTTGTAGTGTCAACGCTCAACAGATGACAGGGATCATTTTGTGTAAGACAATTACCAGTTGCGCTTCGAAATGAGCACATGTGTATCGTTTTTAGAAAATGGATAACCCAAACCAAAACAAGACTCTATCAGCAACAAACGCTTCTTCCATTTCTAACGAAGCTACACAAATAAATCTCCCCTAATCTAACGCCCGCGATCAATTTTCCACCCCATTCTAAAGTCTCCCTTCCCCACTCAACCATTAAGATAACTACGAATAGCACCCTGCAATTTACTAGCCCCCTCACCAAGCACCTGAGTTAGATTATCCAAATCGTCGCCTGCCGTGACGCCAAATTTCCTGACAAAATCCTTGGCCGCAGACTCCAAGTCGCCGTAATCTTCTCCTCCGTCTGGCTCGTCTGGACGGCCGAAATATGCGTTTGAAGAAATGGCTGAGGCACCTTCGAAGCCTTGGAGACGGGATTTGGCTTCGGATTTGGCGTTCGGGTCGAAATCGCCTTTGCCGAAGAATTCGTCGGAACCGATACCTTTTTGGTTGCCAAATTTCTGGCGGGCGTATTTTTCATCATCATCTAGAGGGCTAAGTTAGTGGTCTCTCGTTACAATGTTAAATTTGGAGAACTTACCCTCTTGTGAAGCCTTGATAGGCCCTACAGATCCGAAACCACCCATCTTCTTTGCTGCAGGAGCCGCCGCACCTCTGCCTCCTCCAATTTGTCCAAATCCGAGTCTACCCATACCCATGCCTAACCTTTCAACGTCGCTGGTTGATCGCTCATGCGTTTTAGACCCATAACCCGCTCTTCCTGGACTTGTCGGTGTGGGTGAGGCAATCTTGGTCTCCTCTGCTGCTTTTGCGGCTGCCTTCTTTGGTGCATCTTCAGCCTCCGGGTCGTATCCCAGCTCAGCGATTCTTTCAGCTTCTTCTTTTGCCTTCTTTTCCGCAGCATCAAAATCTATTACGTCCCCAGTCACCTTCTTTGCCCCCAACTTTGTCTTCTTCGCGCCAAGAACATTAGCTTTGCGAGGTCCTCCAGCAGCTGCACTCTTGCGTAGTGCGGCAGATGATGTAGTTCTGCTCGCTGGTGCAGGCGCAGCAGATCCTTCGCCTCCCGCAAGAGGTGAAGCTGTCCTTGCGATGCTTCCTCCATTGGCATTTCCGGCGTTCAAGAATGGAGATGGGGCTCGCCCAACGGTAGGTGGAGTGGCTGTTCGCGAGATAGGAGGGGTAGGTCGCTTGATCGCTGGTTTATCCCAGGACGAAAAGAAATCATCATCAGGTTCGCCAGCAGGTGTAGATGTGCCATCGGTGGCTACATTGCTCGCAGCATCTGTAATTACAACTTCGTTTGGATATCTACTCAAGTTAGTGGCGATTCCGTGTCATGGGCTAAATCAAACCTACTCGGCTGCATCTCGCGCTGCCCTTCGCTTCAGCTCATCCTTGTATTTAGTCGCAGCGTTTGATGTGTATTTGGTGGTAGGATCTTTGCTGTTCAGAGCAGCAGACCCGCCATTGGATTGAAAGAACTTGGTCGCAGATTCATTACCTCCCACCTTCATAACACGTAACTGGTCCCATTGCCACTCTAAATATGATATCAGTATTCCGCTCCCATTTCGAAATTTTGGTGTACGTACGGTCGAGGTTGGTCGATCGCACGAACGAGATATGGACACCGAGGTTTCGGTGGTTCGATGAACAATCAAGACATAGATAGATTCCAAAGGGGACTGATGTCCATGTAGGGTTCTTCGCGCCGCAGTCAAAACATATCTAAAGAAGTCGCCATGTAAGTTTCTATCAATCGCTATGATTATAGAGCGGGCAGGCTCCTTACTCTATTCGCAGGTTTGGTCCGTAATTTCTCAAAGATCTTTTGCGATTGGGTCTTGGACGCCAAAGCAGCCATATTTGTTGTGTTTACTCTGGACTCGAGTATGTGATGAAGAGACGTGGCTGTTCGGAGGGAAGAAGAGGCTTTAAGTGAAGTATGTCCCCTATTTACGAGATGTTGGCGGAATAAAATCGAGGGGCCACCTGGGCACATCTGAAAGCCATGGCAAGGTGGCCAGGGCCGCCCGCACCAAAGCGCGCTTAACCTTTCCGGCTCTAGTGGGCTATCCCAGCTTCCCCACATTTGAGGAAGCTTCAGAGGAGAGCAACCTCAATGATGCAGCACGAACTGGAATAAAAGTGTTGTCGCAAACAGAAGAAGTAAAACCACGACTTAACATTCGATATCGCCTACGCAAATACTCACAATGAACTCACTAACACGAGCGCCAATGCTATCCCTTCCATCTGCCATTCGGCCACTTCTTGCGATGCGAATGTATGCGACGCAGACTGGATTAGGAACATCGACTGCCACACCACAACCAAGGAGGAGGGCTGTCACAGCATTCAATGACGATGGGAGGGTGCCATGGGGAAATCTTTCACCAATGGAAAAGGCAGCAAGAACCACTCAGCAATCTTTCAATTTCGGTTTGATAATTGTTGGCGCAATCTTAACAGTTAGTTTCCTACGTGACTGAACAGATGAGTGCCATCCTAACTCGTTGTCAAGGGAGGCGTCACATATGTGATGTATACCGAAGTCTTTTCGCCTGATAGTAAAGTAAACCACTTCAACCGAGCTGTCAAGCAGGTCAAAGAGGACGCAAGATGTACAGCGTTACTGGGAAACAGTAAGAAAATAACCGCCTATGGAGAACCTACGTGGAATAAGTGGGCAAGAGCAAGACCAATAGCGTATGTTATTGCGGTGTGAGGTTTGCAAAGAGGTACTAATTTCCTACAGATCTAGGATCGAGACGGATAGACGAGGCGTGGAGCATCTAATAATGCACTTTAACGTACGCTGTGCCCCTACGAGAACTCATAACTTTGCTAATACCTAACAGGTTGAGGGGCCATTAAATAAGGGAGTGGTCAATCTCCATATGCAGAAGAAGCCTTCGGAGAGCGAATTCGTTTATAAATTCTTGGCATTAGACGTCCCAGGCGAGCAACGAATATACCTCGAAAATGCAGAAACGGATCCTGAGAGTTCGGCAAAAAGCAAGACAAAACTGTTCGGCATATCGTGGCGATAAAGAATGTGAAGACTGTAATTTCTGTAAAATATTGTACAATATCGATGGGCTAGATTTATGCAGGGGGTACAAGTCAATGCTATTGGTAATGGTTCAAAAATGGCCCGTCGAACATTCAAATACATATATCTAAGAGTAAAAGGGTCTCTTTTCAAAGGCCATATACTGCCGATTCTCTTTCAAACTATGGCGTTGGACAAAAGTGTTGCCGGGGGCTGGTTCATGTTTCGGTGCCGACAGCGAGAGAAATTTGTAAGTTGTGCATTTTCTTGCTTATTGACCTTTTAAAGCTTCCCTCAACAATGGGCTAACATTGACCTAGTGCTTGCTTGCCTGTTGCGTGTTATCTCATACCTGAATAACCAAGGTGGTATAGACATTCTCCTCGAAGGAGCAATAAAACACGCTGGTCAAGACCCCAAGATTGAAACTTTCGGTTTCGTTTCATGGTTATCTTGGTCGTTTAAATCGCTTCGCCTCGAACTATGTCCGAATTCTCAGTCATGTCATAGGAGGTCGTATGGTAGCAAGATATTCCTTGTATACCTCGCGAAATGGTCGCATCGTCCTTTGGTCTGGTCGAAAAGGATCCTCTCCTTTTCTCAACCTGGTGGCTTCGACTCCTGTCACCCGAAGGAATAAAGACGCTGGCCGCTTTTCAAGCCTCTCGAGTTCTTGCCAATTGCAGTCGCCACTGGCTCTATATGACCTCATGCTCTCACGCTTAGCTCTCGTGGCGGCATCAAGCTTATGTCGAAGTGTTACAACTTGACGCAGTTTATGGAACTCCATCAATCTCGTGTCATTCCCGTCAAACTTCGTGGATTTTAGGTAGGCTTGGATGAGCTTCATCTCGATTCGTTGGCGATTTTCATGCTCCTTAGCCTTCTTCATTTCTCTTCGGGTTTTGACCTCTTGGGCTTCGGTCAGCTTAACCTGGTCATCCTCAAATGCGACATTCTGTGGAGTTTTGTTGTCGCTCTTCGTTGTCGAAATGACTGCGAAGCGGTCTCCAATAATCTCAGTAAGTCCGTGCTCCACCGTATTGGCCATCAACACAAAAACATCACCATCTTCAATCTCCAGCCTGACATCTAACTGAGGTAGACACATATCTCCACCAAGCCACTGTCCGCTCGCAATCTCAGTGGTCACACTATTCTTCGAATCTCCTGGATCCTTATGATTACTCACCGGCACATTGGCCACCACCACCACCATATTCTGACACTCCAACTCGCTATTCTGATTGAGCATCTGCCCTGGTCCGTCAACAAACCGTCGATGATGACTTCTTGCCACTTCATACTTCTCCGGAAACGCAGCCTTGAAGACCGCCGCGCAAGCAATAACCGGCTCCGTAATGTCGTCCAAAAACTGTGTTGCGGCTTCAAATCGCTTCTTCTTCATTGCACCAGGTCGTCCACCACAAGTCTCAAACGTCGGGATCTGATTATACAACCCCAACCCAAGATTCGTACTCTCACTTTCATGGCCCAACATGAACCAGATCCCCAAATGCAACGTCCCAAACAAAATCTCCGGATGAGCAGCGTGGAAGTCTTTCTCAGCTTGTCGATGTTCGTTGTGAATATAGCGATAATCATTCTCAGCTGGCACGGGACGGAGATATCGTCCCATCTTCTCGATTGCAGCCACGGCTACCGATTTCTCAGGCGGGACGTATTCTCTTATCCCGGAATGCAGGAGTGAAGCGCCGTTCTTGACCAGCACGCCGATTATTTCGTCGTTGGCATCAAGCAGGATACATGGCCCGGCGATGTTTGCGTGGGTGGGGATTTGCGGGTTGTATGTTTTGACTGTTTTACCACGTTTCCTCGCTTCTTCTAAGCTGAAATTCGGGAATTTGTATCTCGGGAAATGGGCGAGGAGGTAGGCCATCCAACTATCATGGTTCTTGATCCTCTTTGGTTCACGTGGTCCAGTTGTTGGATCAATCTCAATCTCACGACCTGGATATGTTAGCATCTCATTCGAGATTTCTTGGAAAGGGGTAGAATACCAGCTAAACGTTCCGAGCGAGCCCATTCCTCGAAAACTCTGTCATATTGCCGCGCAGCGTGTTCTTTCCTTTCATCTACACGCTCTTTTCCGACTCTCATTGCCTCGCGCCGTTCTTCGTCGTCGCGGACTGTGTAGACGTCTGCTTGTAATGGCTCTCGGGTTGTTGAAGGGTGGAGGACGAATTCTGTTGGCGGGGGGTTTGGGATGAGTTGCCAGTTCTGGCCGTATGGTTGAATAGAGGTCATTTTAGGTTTGGGGTGTGCCGGAGGTGGGAGAGATGTTGGGTCTATGTTGATTATTGTCGTGATGGAGGTTATAGTGTTGAAATGGATTGATGGGAAGGACCGCTCATGGCTGGATGTCAACATTTTATGTAACGATTTATTGATTTGAGCACTTTATGCAGCTCTTTTGAGTTTTTCTGCTGCTGAATAGAGTCTTTCACGGCGCCTTTGTTGATGGTGATTATGAGCTGTCGTGAGAAGCGTAAGCAAACAATCTGCAAAATGAGAGTTTGAATTTGATAAAGAGAACGACGAGAAGAGAGTTTGCTTGGAACATGAGAAGTCATTTCATGATAATGCTGGAGTGTGTATCCGTGATCTAATTTTCTAATTCCGAACCAATGCTTTACTTGAATACTTCTTTCATACCAATCAGGATGCTGAGCATTAGCAGAGTCCGCCCTTTGTTAAAGAGTAGCCTCGCATTCCGCACAACAAAGGGGGACGTCTCGCTTAATACATCAACGGGAGGCTACTGTAAGTTCTAGATCAAAGCATATTGATATCATTCTGTCATATCTTCATAATACATCATTATACATGTTTCCGCTCAAAGACAACTAAGCTTTCAAGCCAATAAAATCCAAAGTCTTGATCTTACTGATCTTCGTATCCTCCCCACTCAAATTCGCATCAACCCTAATCAGCAAACTCTTAATCCCCGTAAACTTGCTAGCTTTCATCTTCAACTCCGCAACCCCATCCACATACTCATCACTAAACACATTAAACGCCTGCGTATTCTCCGCCTTCGCCAGCGACGCCTCCATGTCCAAATCATTAAACTCCACACCCTCCTCATTCTTCGTGAACTTCACCGGCACGTTCGTACCAATCTGAATTCTTGAAGGCGCATTCTGCTGCGCAGCTTTATCAACCGTGATTTTGAGATGTGAAGGTGTGACCGCTTGCGTAAACGGGATATAGATAAGCACCCTCGCTCCAGACGTAGATGTAACAGCGTATCCCGCCGGCGGCGGACTCGCAATATTCCTGACCGACGACATGATCGAATTCCCCAACAACCGACCGCCCTCAACATTTATCAAGCCCCTTAAGCTCCCCGGCGCCGTCCCTCCCACCTTCGCCGCCGTCGCCGGCCCCTCTTTCGCAACCAACCCCGTATAATACCCAACCTTCGTCCCCAACTGCTGCACATCCGCGCCCTTAACCTCATCCACCCTTTTCCCGCCCCGGTAGAACTGGAAGGTCGGCATGGCTGTGATACCACATTGCTGCGATACGTCTTTGGCTTTGTCGACATCGACTTGCGCGAAGACTATGGAGGGCGAGGCGGCATGTTGGGTTGCGAATTTGGAGAAGGCGGGGGAGATCACTTTGCAGGGACCGCACCAGGTGGCGTAGAAGTCGATTATTAGGAGGGGGGAGGAGGTTTTTAGGGTGTTGAATTGGGAGAGGGATTTTATTTCGATCATCGTGGATGTGTTGGTTTGGGTTTGGGTTGTTGTTGGAGGGGAGGTGGTTGTGCTTTTGAGGTGAGGTGGGGAGGATTCATGGCGGGGTGCTTTGTCAGCCTGGACTGAGGCTGACAATTGTGGCTGTACAGTACTAGTACCTACCTACCTACACCTGGGCACCCAAGGTCCTCCTGATTCTTTCGTTTTCCATCTTCTCCAACATCCACGGAATCTTTCACAATAACATTGGTCGTGTGGGCCGACTGTTCTCTCTTACCAGCATGGGTTTTGCCTGCAGCAACAGCAATGATTCTCGACATCGTTGGCTTTAGTAATATTCATGTTCTAAGAACACCCCGTAGTATGAGAGAAGCAAAGCCATCTTATTAACAGCTCTTGGTACAAGTCATCTTCCACCGAAGATTTGCAACTGATGAGCAAGTATGTGAGAAATACTGAGATTCTTCTTTGTATTACATATTCGATCGCACATTCTTATTACTTCGGGTATCATTTGCGATTACGGCTGGAACAATGCCTGGTGTCAAGATATTTCTTGATCACCCTGTTGGGAAGAATCCACCTCGGTCTGTTTACGTTCTCATGTACTACTGTAAATCTGACTGAAGAACAGTGACTGGAACGAGCTTCACTACGCTGCATTCGTCAAGGATTTTGACAAAGTTCGAGCTATCGTAGAATATGCGCCGCACCTGGTCGAGGCTAAAGACCTAGCCGGTTGGACTCCAGTTCATCTGGCATGCTGTGGACCGATGGGTTTTGCCCTTGACATCTCATGGGCTCTTCCACATAAGGTGGACAGAGTCTATGAACCATCAAGGCGGCGATATCGTGATGCCGCCTACTTACTAGACGAGGACAATATGCAGGTCGAAAGTCAAAAGATACTAGCTCTGTTTATTCGGACTGGCGCAGATATATTCGGCGAAGAAGGAAGCTACACGCCAGCGCATGTGGCTGCTAGTACCGATATGGTACATTGTGCTTTTACCTTGGCTCTCTTTGGCGCCCAGATCAATCCCCACAAACCTGGATCTCCGTTCAAGTGGGCAAATCATCAGCAGAAATACCTCCTCAGTGATCTCGTAGGTCCGAGGAAGCTGGTATCGAACATGTATCATGACCTACTAGGATTAGAGGGTCAAACTTTGCTTGAGGAGTTTGAGAAAATTGCCAGTGATTGGGAAGACCCAAACAAGCAAAATGTCTTAACAAAGCTCGCTTTTCAAATAGAGTACACACTGGCCATTAGTATTGCAAAATACCGAAGAACCATCCAGGTAGGATCGGAACGCAAGATCGTCTGGCTCTGCTCACAGTGCTGCAAGCTAGGCGAAGAAATTATAATGCGCAGCTTCTTCCCTTCATCGACGAGGTCAATTACCGTCCCACTCAACGCTGATATGAAATGCGACCTTTGCAACATATTCCGAGTTCTGTTTCTAGATTATGTTCCCGGATCAGTGGAAAACCTGTCTTATATCATTACAGATCACGTTGAGCCCGAGAAGCAAAGCCTGGCTGATAAATTTAAAAGTATCTTAGCCACTACCGGAGTAGTCCACTTGTCTGTTTTCTACGATGGAAAACTAGTCAAACTTGATAGTTTCCTTTCCGAACGGGTCTGGGACGAAACCAAAGTGGTGCAAAAGCCTACTGATCTCAACAGGGCCTCAATCGACTTTGATGTTCTCGAAGGCATTTTTGAGGATACGGACTCAACCCTATCCCAAGTTGATTCTGTCAGTCATACGACATTTGAATCTGAGAAAATATATCATTGCAAATCTTCTATAACTCGGTTTCCTCAACTTTATTATGACTCCAGCATCGGCAGTGGATGGTTATCGAGATGCCGCGTAAGTCATCCTAATTGCAGCAAAATGCTGACGAGCGCGGCGACAATGGATTCTGAGATGGATGATGGAACTTTCACCCCCACACGTCTCATTGATGTCAGCCGTTGGGAAGAGAACTTGATTCGAATATGCGATTGCAAGAAATCGAAGCCATTATTCACAGCTCTGAGCCATCGGTGGTCAAGCGGACCGGTACCGTCGTGGGTCACCAAAACTGCGAATCTGAGCTTGAGATACAGTTGGTTCTCGTCAGTTGAACTACCGAAATCAATTACGGACGCCCTTCAAGCGACGGCTGAGTTGGGGTTACAATACACCTGGATCGACTCTTTGTGCATCGTTCAGGATGATTCAGTGGACTGGAACAACGAAGCAGCACAGATGGCAAGAATCTACGCCTCTGCCGAAGTAGTTGTCTTTGCTGACTGCGCGAGAAACGACGAGGGTGGCTTTCTTGGGGAGAGAAATCCGAGCACACCTTACCATCCTGTTGCATTAAGATTGATGGAGCGAGAAGACGACTACAAACGACTGCCGACTATCGTTCGCTACGCTTACGAAGTGCCGCCTTGGGGAACGGACGAAAAGGACATTAGCGACAGGTCTGATTACCTGAACCATAAACATGCAGCTGTGTCGTTTCGCGAGGATGTGAATCAATCACATCTCAGCAACCGTGGCTGGATTCTACAGGAACGTCTCATGGCTCGACGATCTTTACACTTTGGAGCTTCGCAGGTATATTGGGAATGCCCTTCCATGATAGTTTCTGAAGCGGGTAACGAGATTGATGGGGAAATACACCAGAAATGGATTGTCGATACTCGTAAAGCTTTAGCTGGCTCCACGGATTCCTGGGAAATGGTCCGGCAGAATTGGATAGACATTGTATCCGTTTATAGCCGAATGAAGCTCACGAAGCCCTTCGATCGACTTCCAGCAATTGAGGGTATTGCCAGAGCTTTTCGTTCTTTCATGGACGACAAATATTTCTATGGAACGTGGTTAAAGTCATTCCCACAAGATCTACTATGGCAGGTCGATAGTCAGAAGTCAGTAGATCCTAACACGAAACATCAAGCCATTCCTTCGCTAAGTAGTTCAGACCGGATCCCGAGTTGGTCTTGGGCTTCAGTTAATACGCCCATGAGCTTTGTACTAACAACACCACGCGTGGGTGAGGGGGGTTGCGTTCCTGACTGTTCTGCCAAATGTTATCAGCTTAGTCTACCACTTGAATCGATATCAGCAATCAACAGCCGACCGATGATTGGCGTTTTGGGCTTTCATACGGAGAGGTTTCTCCAATCCAAACAAATTTCTGGGGCTTGTGTTACGATCAAAGCACGTATGCTGGAACTCCTGGTCATCGGCCCAACAACGTCGAAACTAGGGTATTTAGAGCCTGGGTCTATCCCACTGTACGACGACGAGCTGGCTCCGGTCGGCATTGCTCTTTTTGACGAACCCGAACTGCAGGGCAAGTGCGATAGTCCAAAACGAGTTTTGTGCGTCCTTATTTCCACGAGCACTGCCTACCAGCTCAGTGAAAGACATGTGGTAGATTTTATGCTTATCCTCGAAGATTGTGGAGACAACTCATTTGTGCGGATCGGAGTCTCTCATACCAATATTCGACAAACTTCTCGTTACGACACCGGATCAATTTTCAAAAATTGCAAATTGAAGACGATAACTCTCTTTTGAGGCTACCACGAAGGTCGTATTCGATAGCACTCCTTGTTTTTACGATAACCCTAAGTACATTAATCGTTGATGGCTTGATGCTAAGCTGGGCCAGATATCAGCTCAAATGCTTCGATGGACGTTTCTAACTGTTGTAGAACGGCATTCTTGCAGAGCTTTCGTATTTTCCAGACTTGGTACCGAAGCAGCATCAGACCCGATCGATCTTCGCTTTGAACGATCGTTACGGAGAAGAGTCATCAGTGGTGGCATGCGTAGGTACGAACAATGTGCCTAACCTTGAATTAGCGAAAGATGTCCTACAAAAGAAGCAGCGAAAATGTCGTTTGAGTCACCACTTCCACTCAAGACTCCAAAGTCGGGCGAGGACAAGACATGGATCTCTCCTATTCTGTCAAGCTTCACATATTCTTTTAACTACACTCCACGCCTCAGAGTATTCATTTACTGAATGATGTTCGATGAGTAGTACCTTCTGAAAACGGCTGTTGGTCTGGGGAACAAACATAGCTCCGGCACTTTCAACGCCCGTTTTACTCAAACTAAACTGCACGGCTTCCCATCTCTACGAAACAAAATCCAAGACAAAATTAAAGTTTCCAACAGTCCCAGCCCTCGGCCCTGGGAAGTTTGTTTTTAGCCGTTTATTGCATGAAGCTTCGCCTCGCTTATGGTTTTGGTGTTGTGCACGGCCCGAGGACGGAAAACCAACCAAACGCAAGCGTAGGTCTTGCGCACGCTCTTTCCCTTGACTTGGCGTTTCATGAATTGAGGATTGTTATCTGCTGATTGTCGATCTGAGTATCTCAAGAATATACAACACTTGTTGGTAGTATCTTGCTGCGAATATGACCCTCACTTGCGCTCTTTAGAATTGCTGTAACCTGAGCGGAACAATTCAGCTAGTAGTAAACTGAGTTGGGATTTCACATGTACAACGACTTGCAAGTTACAATATCTAGATCTGAACATCCTAGTAACCTGACGGAAATCTGTGTCTCGAAAGTTGGGACGAAATCATCCTCGCATGGAAACCCATATTGAGAGATATCTGAGACCTCCAAACATCCAGGGAGTTCAAACAACTCTACTCAGCCTCACGACTGTCGGAGACTTGAGTGAGACTAGTTGGTTTGGCTTATCCCGCGCAGTAGCATCAAAGTTTATTTTCTCAAATCCTTCTTAGTCGACTTGATATCCCTTTTTTCCGTCCCTGTTGTAATTTCCTTTCTTCAAACAAGTCCTATCATTCCCAGCCCTTTCAATATGAGTGTATCAACGACGCCCGCCATGACAACCATGGTTATGGCTACCCCTAGCAAAGCACCAGAAATCATCGCCGTCGGTATAACATTCCTAGTCATCAACACCTTATCCATCGGCACAAGAACCTACTCTCAAATCGTCACCAAGAAGTTCAACTTCAATGATGTCGGCATGCTCATCGTCCTCGCGGTATTCGGATGTCTAGTCGCCTTCCTCATCCTAGGTGCCAACTCAGGAATAGGAAAACACACTCCTGATGTCCTGAAATCCGGAATTCAAAACGTCTCGGACAGTCTGAAATGGATCTTCTTCCTCGAATTCTTCTACGTCTTTCTTACCACCGTTATGAAAGCTAGTATCGCGACAACTTTCTTGCAATGGGCCACGACTAGGGTGCAGAAATGGATTCTATGGGGATCTATCGTCGTGGATTTTGCTATTGGAGGTGTCGTCAGTGTTTATACCGTCGTGCAATGCACTCCGATCAGTTTCTCGTGGGAACGACTTGATCCTGCCGCGAAGGGCATGTGTAGGGATCCGAATGAGATTATCAAAGTCGGATATGCACTCTGTTTCGTCACTGTGACTTTGGATATTCTGTTCTTGGTCTTGCCGTTCGTGATGTTGAGACATTATAAACCGAGTCCGAGGATCAAGATGTGTGTTTATGGTATCATCTTTATCGGAGTTCTGTAAGTATCCTCCCTCCTACTCATGCAAATTACCTTTTCTAACCCTTCAACAGAGCAAGCATAGCAAATTTCATCCGTATCGCCGCGCTCTCCAAGCTAGGCACCTACAAGGACCCACTCTACGACGCAGCAGACGTCTTCCTCTGGTCCTTCCTCGAAGTCAGTCTCGGTATCACCGTCGCTGGTATCTTGGAGCTAGCTCCGCTGATGCAGAGACTTGGCGTCAAGGGCTTTGAGAATGTCGGAAATAATTTTGTGGATATCGATGATGATACTCATCGGTTGGTTGTTATTGGGAAGCCGAAAAGCTTTGATAGTTAGATTTTACTTACTTGGGCTGGATCCGGGTTTTTGGGTGGCGTTGGGGTTTGTGTATAAGGTTGGGGCTTGGGGGTTGGGGTTATGATTTAATGATTTTAATGATGGAAATTGAATTTGTGTTGTGCATCAATTTGGCTTTTCCGCGACCATTGATTTTCAAGGGTCACATGAGCTGGTATGTTCTGCTGGACAATTTCCCACCCTAGTCGCACGGAAGTTTGTCCTCGAGAGTAAAGGCTCAACGATTTTTCTCCAAGTGTATCACAAACAATTTATACCCAAGTGAGTAAACTAAATTGGTTTCTAATCACAAAGGTCATAGCTAATCATTTTGATAGTTGTTGAGACAAGACTCTTCATTACTTTGGAATCATGGTTGTCTTTTAGCAACATCGGCAAGGGAGTCTTGAGTTCCGGTTACACAAGCAAAGTTTTTCTTGTGTCACTTGAAGGAAATCTTGTTCTGCTTGCAGGTCACTAGACTACGACCCAAACCACAAGAGCACATCACTAAGGCAAGTTCGTGGTGACTGACAAGATAGAAGTAAAGTGTTTACAAACCAGCATATCTGAATCATCTAGGAGGCCATCATGCAAAGAAACATGTCACGAAATCTCTGGGGCTGTCTAAGTGATGCACCCGCACATCGCCCTTTCTCAACACAGCAGCCCTTCGGACCTCCTTATCCCCACACCTCTCAGCTCCCCCAAACATAAAGGCGCCTCGTCCCCCAAGCCAATTTCTACCATTTTTGCGGCCATTTTTACGCTCTTCTCACCTCTCACCGCCCCAAAATTACCTCCTCATTACTACCTCCATCGCTTAACCGCCTCACTTTCTGCAAGACAATATGCCGCCCCAAGGCAGCGACCAATCCCGAAGCATGAAGCAGGGCGACACTCCCAGCCTGCTTGACGACTTCGATTTCGATGCTTTCATCAACCTTCCATTGGATGAGGTGGACATGGGTTTGGGGTGAGTGGCTAAAAAAAAAGACACGCTAATTTTGGGGCGACTTAGAGCGTTGCACCACATAATCCTTCCGATCACTATGGAACCATCCTGTACTATCCCGGCCGTTACATCACAAATTCGCCGAAATCATATGACCCTTGGACCACAACAAGCCCCCGGCATTGCTCCAAAAGAACCAAAGAAGCCTGCTAAGGCCAGATTTTCTTGCTCGCACCAAGGCTGCAAGCGTAACTTTCCGCGAACCTATGAGCTGTCACGGCATGTAAAGAGCATTCATCAGCGAAACAACAATCTTTTGTGCCCGATATATGGATGCCCTCGCTCAGAAAAGACGTTTCCAAGGTCTGACAAGCTTCGACAACATTTCCGAGAAAAGCACAGTGATCCTGAGCATTTCTTATGTTTTATCGAGAACTGCACTGCAGGGCCGTTTACCAAAGAAGAGATCTCCAGCCACTTCGAAGAAAATGGCGATCAATCTTCTCACAATCAACCCAATTCTGGAGAGATTCTGAACGCGATCCGTTGGCGCTTTGTACCACTCGAAAATGGACACCTTCGGTTAGAGAGCTTGGATGCTTGCCCGCTTGCCTTTCTGGGATGCTATACAATCATGCCTAGTGATATTTCTAAAAAGAAGAATTTTCGGGCCATCATAGATCACCTCGGTGACCATCCCCAAGAGCAAAGATTACCAAAATTCGGGAATATTTGCAGGTATTTCTGGAAATATAACTGGAGATCATATGTCTGGTGCCGGTGCCGCGTCTGCAATTCGAATATTCCAAGTCCCGATATAGAGAATTATTTCATTCATCTATACACAAAGCACTCCTCAGAAGAAAGACGAAATCGCCGGCTTTATCTAATTGATGATATGAGATCTTACCAGATGGAGGGGGAATTAGTACCTTCTTGGTTGATCGATGATTGCGTCGCTATGGCGAAAAACAAGGGTAATGAAATGAGCGAGATGAGTTCTCGTAAAACTGAGGGTCCTGGCTTGGAAAATAACCAAACTGAGGATGGAACGGTCACAAATACGTCCACGGAAGTTGAAACCGTTGCAGGTATTTAAGATTACTTCTGTGGTCTTCACAAGCAGATTTGCAACCAACTCAAGGACGATAGATAAAATCGGGAGGAACACAAGTTCAACAGTTTTAGGAGATGAAGAACATTGGAAACCATCGACAGGAGTCTAGGATAGTTACGGCAATCCAGTACCCAGCCACGCCAGTCAATACTTCAACATATCTGACTCGTCGCTCTGAATTACGGAAGGACTTTCCTTGTATCTGCGTCGGGATCTGCTTTCTACTTTTCTTTTCAGGACGGAAGATTCAACACGAAAGGTGTTGTTAGCAAATAAGGAACCTTCAACTTTCTTGCTGCTAGCAACTCGATTATTGGGGTACTCTGTTTCTTCGGCTTTTTCATTCGACCGTGCAAATTCAACATGGGAGACGTTGTTTGCAAATATGGAAACTTCAACTTTCTTGCTGCTAATAACTTGGTGTCACGGTGTTTTGTATCTTTTCTCTTGGGGTTTAGAAAACTCAAAATTGAGAGGGAGAAGGGTTGCGTTCATACGAGTTTGGACCATTCAACATAAGAGGGGTTGCTAGCAAACATGGATACTTCAACAATCTTGCTGCGAACAACTTGGGGTACAGAGTTTCTTTTTTAAATCGAGTAGTTAAATATAAAAAGATAAAAAAACAGTTTTCATTTGTCCGGATGATGTATCATTTTCAGGTCCTACCCATGAAGTTAAGTTTGTGTCAAAACTTCCTAAATTGGAAATGAATTCCCATTTAGCTTATATACTTTTCTTTCAAAATTGAATTTTCTTTCGATAAAGCTCCTAGCTCATTCATTATCTGTGAAGGTTGGTTGTTGATACAATCAGTTTATCTCAGTGAAGGCTAAGACTGTCGCTGACGGTCACCAAACCTTTTGTTTCGAGCATACTGCTCTTTTCTTTTTTTCAATCGGACACCGCAATAAGAACAGCAAAGGTCTTGGATGTCTAAGAGCATGGTTTAAGTACGCCTTCTAAAACTAAAACCTCTTACTACCCCTCTACTCACCGTGGCACCGTCAAACTCTCAACCCCTGTACCCCCTCCACTATCCCACCTATCCACCCCTCGCTTAATCCCCTTCACTCAAAATATCATCCAAAACCCAAATCATACAACTGTAGCTATTCGCTTATAATCAATCACCGAACTACTGAGTACCGATCTAAGTTTTGTAAAAGTCAGAGCGGACGGGATGCCTGATTCTGTTAATTCTATGGTTGTATGTGGAGCACGCCTGCTTATATAATATCGTATCCACGGCGAAAATTCCACGATTAATCCCCTCAGTTCAATCTATACGCTTCTGAAGCTCTTCGTCGATGACCATATACCACCACTTTCTACACGTTTATTGGCGACAAAATAGCTGAGAATCAGCAAGATACCGCGAGTCCACCAACCCAGAATGATAGACAACAGCATCACGTATGGCTCTTGACCAGAACGCACATCCCACTGCAATAGCCACTCGATGGCATAAGTAAAATTCCAAGTCGAGCTTATGATATTCAACAGACTGGCGGCCAGGTATAGAATGGATACCTGAATTGTTGTCAGTAAAACTACGAAAAAGATCAGATGAACGGAATGCTGCAAACTAACATTTTTGAGAGATGAATTCTTCCTCTGTATGAAAGTATATATCGACAAACCTGTAATAACGAGTGAGGCCGCCCAGAGAATGATGGATGTTGTAGCCATTAGTTGATTGATTGTGTCGACACGCTCAGCTCCGCCAGGGCGGTTTGTGACATATCCGATATTATTGGTGTAATTCTCTTGGAAATCGACCGACAAGCCGTAATACACAAAAGCGAGCATGATAACAACAGCCGCCAGAGCATACGTCACATATCGTAAGATCCTGTCAAAGGTACTTGTCACGCCCGAGATGGCGCGATGGATTCCAGGTCCTAGGGTCAGGAGCAGGACCATCACGGCAGCCGCAGATGTGGTTCTAGAGAAATCGGCAAGGTATCCCACGTGGTATTGGGCACAAACAATATGCCAATGATGTACATCAGAGTAAATCTCGTATGTTTTCAGGGTGTTTTGTGAGAAAAGCAAGGATAAAGTTCTGATCCGTGGTGAAGTCAGTAAAAATTCGATTATGACAGAGGCACGCCGTAAGAATTGAGAAAATGCTACTAACATGGCGAATAGTACCAATGCCGCCTTGAGCCAGTTGACAAACTCTCGGGACGGATCTCTCCAATATTTGCATTTTATAAAAGCAAGAGCCGTAAATGGCAGAACGAAGACGAGATCGATGCCAATCAACACGGTGTATGCGATTTGATATGATCTACTGGCATTGGAAGCCAAGGCGGATGTAAACGGCATGGCTGCTGACTGATAGAAAATAAAGCCGCTTTATGGTCTTTTGTTTCGCGATGGTGAAGAAATCTAATCCAATGCTTCAAGATATGACTGATGCAAGTCAAAGTCTGTCAGTTTGTGAGATTAACTTAAAATGTTAAATGGAATTTACATATTCAGAAACATTTACGCGATTTTGAATCACCTTATGACTAGTTAAGTTCATGGTTCCGATATGACGGATGCCGAGTTGTACTCGAATCATTCGATAAGAACCACTATAAAACAGCAAAGATGCATAGCTGACTCATTTGTGTCTTGAGATGAAGGACAGGCATGTCAGTAATTAGTGTCATTGAGGCGATTAATTGTCGCTGATTAACCTTAGTGGTTGGTAAGGAAGACACGGCACCGATCCCAATTCGCCAAGGACTTGGTAATGTCGATCCTGAGGAACTGTATTCTAGAAAGAAATGTGATGTGGTTCCTTATGAAGGGCAGGGACAGAGTCATCAGGCATTGGCTCCCTTGGTATTGCTATTATGTGGACCGTAGTCGTATGCCGGCTTGCCGAAAAAGCATAGAATAACGACCGTCTAAATCAGTACTGTGATAATGTAGTCTCCCGTACCGCTGCGACTTTTAATCTTCAAATAACGTTTCGTTGAAGAGCAATTGTCCGTGGAAAAGGGTTTGACGTCTATGAAGATCGTATGTTCCTGTCTGCTCTATCCAATGAAGCCACCTCATAGGCACATCCTCCAGAATTTCTTCGTCTCCTACTTTTTATTTAAAGTATCTAACTTCTCCTGCGCGTCCTTCTTTGCCTTCTCAGATGTGTTTGGGTTGTTGATTGATCTTAAAAATAGGCACATCAGAACACGACTCTCAGGGTCTGCACTCGGGAATAGATTGGACTCACGCTTTCAAGCCACTCTTGACGTTCGCAACATGATCTTTATCATCATCCATTCCACCGACAGCTTTGTCTCCCAGGACCTTCTATTCCTTGCTAGCATTGACTGCAAAAGTTGGGTTCTGGTTTGCGCCCGTCTCGTTGCGTAGATCTGAAATTCAGATACACGTTAGCTTGCGTTGAATATGCATTGAATTCTAAGAGATTTGGATACAGAAACAGGAGTTCGGATTTCACATACTATCGGCCATGTTGATATTTGTTGTCGAAGGATTTTAAGTCTTGGGTAAGTATCAAAAAAATTGTTCTCGCGCGACTGATAAGATGGGGATTTTAGACTTTCTATAGTAAAAGTCCACCCGAGGGTTAGGCTATAACTAATGGCGGGGTAAGCGGATTGTTAGGAATAAGGTGAGTATTTACATTTTGAGTTACTTAGTACTGCTTATTAAATAGTAGTCTTATAGCTAAAGTATCTATATACTATTCTATTCAATTAGGACAGTGACTTAAACCGCTTCTTATTCTAATCTTGGAAAGTAGTTTATACGAGAACATCCTACAGTACGATTTTGATAACTACGGAATTCTACGAAGTCACATTTGCTTACGATTTGCAAGATGGGGTATGATCTTCTCTTAGCGTTTTTGCTGACATCACCGCCGAGAAACCTGGAATTTTGAGTTCCTGTCCCTGTATTACGGTAGTGCGGGCATCCTTATTTGCCTGATGACGTCCATGCCCACCACTTTTTCGAACCCCGAACACGCGCTCAAACGGGTTGACAACAGAGGAATGGGGGGGATATATCAATTATAGCCTGGGGCTGCTTTTGGAGTACTTCATATCTGATCTATATAAATAGATAGGGATTTTGTAGTAAAGAAACATGCGTACTCCGCCAACTGCTAACTCGCCACGTGCTCGCAGTCCTCGACGACCAGGTCGGGCCCTACTACTTGGATTTGGATGACCCAGGGTTAATACTCTGCAGGACAATGCCTCTATCCATACAGCAGCCAATGTTCGGGACTGGTTCGGAGAAAAGGGTATGTCGGTCCTGGAATGGCCTCCATACTCCCCCAATTTAAACCCAATTGAGCATATCTGGTGGCTCCTCAAGAAAATGCTTGTAGAACAGCACCCTAAACTCCCGGATGTCGGGTGGATTGAGAATATGCAGAGAAGTTCGTTCCCAAAGCATTGGCACTGAAAGATTCGTCTCTGGACAACAGAGCGGAACAAGGCTCCTATGAGTTCAGTCTCGCGTTGCCGAAAGAAACAGACAATCTCCCTTTCAATCCAATCAGATCTTGGGTGCTTTGCCCGCAGGCAGGAATACCATGGCGAGTTGGATGAGCTTTATGTTTTATTTCCTTGCTCGGAACCCAAGAGCACAAGAAGCGTTATGAAATGATTGCGAGTAAGTAGAAAAAAACCGTTTCCCGATATCCACAACGAATTTGCTGATGCTCGTTTGAAAACCTCTACGAGTCTTCCCAACTATCCCGTTCGCCCATCGTGTAGCCAAACGTGACACTGTTCTTGTCAAATCTTCGTCGCAAAGCGCCAAATCGTTGCCTTGGTCTTCTGGGCTATGATCGGGATAACGAGCTTTGAGGTGTGGACGCATTTTAATTCAAGCCCGAGAGATAGGAAAACACGCTGAAATCCTCGGGTAAGCATGTTGCTTTCGGAGGTGGACCAAGAATCTGTCCTGGTTGTGAGAATCCATTGTCTCGATATTGTCTACCGACAAATCCTAATCCCAAATTCCAGCAAAAATCATACACAACACTTCTTCGTTCCCTATCTATCTCTTCGCGGCAATCAACCTCTTCCCGCAGCCATCAGCCCCCTTCCCAGACCCTGCGCAGCCAGCAGCACTCCATCACCACCACTGTCCTTACCCTTCACCGGACCCATATCCTTTCCCCAAGTCTTCATAGACTGTTCCCTCTCCCTACGTCTCTGAACCGCCTGCTGTGCTTTGCGCTGGCGGAAGGACCAGAACAGGTAGATGCACAGGGCGATGAAGACTACCCCGAGGATGACGGGGAGAATTATGGTGTAGCCGGTATGTGGTGAGATTGCTCGCTTGGTGAGGGGGGGGTAGGGTGTGGTGCTTAAGAATGCCATCTTGAGAGATGATTATGTAGAGGATATTGTGTGACGAAAGAGCTTTAATGAAAGGTCAGAGGATTTGTTGATAATTTTGTCCTTTGCGTCGTTTGTGCGACTTGTTGCTTTGAGCTTCAATTTTGTTTCAATCGAGCGTTGGTAGGAAATTCAGCGTTGGTAGGATTCTGACTGCGTCGAGTTCGGAATTTGCGATGTCCACATCAAGGCTCAACCAGGTATTCTAAGAAGTAATTCAAAACGTGGGATGTCGTTCTGAAGCTAGTAATTGTTGTCATGAAGGATTGACCTTCAATTCGAGCGGCACTTGGTGGAACCAGTCCAAGGTTGCCAAATTGGAATGAGGCGTAGAGTGGCGATGCGACGGTACTCTGCAGGTGATTGTCGAATGAGAATATTACGTCGATCCATAAGAGAAAACCAATCCAACCAGGGAATAAATAAAGAAATACATGAACAAGTTGTTTCTGAATCTCACCTTAGATTGTGGTATAAATTGCCTTGATTCTCATAACTTTTTACTGCCTCTTGCCATATTGAAAGACCCTTGCAAATGTCAGCATAGAATTGGCGCCAAGTATATACACCTGGCTTCAACCATGGCGGTGTTGTTGCGAAATTGGTCGAAATATTACACGTGTTTACTATTGAATCTTCTACTCCAAAGGCTGTTACCGTGCTCCCGTCCCACTGAGGGGAAGTGGTACTGGCCCTATACTGTGGGAAATTTGTTCAGACCCGTTTAGATCCTGTGTTATCAGGGCAGTCTTGGAAGGCTTGGTGGTCGGAAACTCGGAGTCCAAGTAACTGGCACCAAGAGTCTAGCTTTAGGCTCTGTTTTTATCGGAATAGATAGCCGTGACCGTAGAAAATAGTAAGAACTAAAGCATAATACAATTATTACACTAGCATGCCTAATACCCAACGCGGGAGAGCCATGTGAGAGCGGTTGTCTACGATTATGTAAGAATTACGCAGAGTCACCTGACCACAACCGGCATAACCGCTACACACCAGAGGCCCAGAGCTTTTATACATAGTTGAGCAACCTCTTCCGATACCTAAGAAGCATGACCACTCCTTCAACCTCTTCCGCTCTTCCTCAGTTCTCCATGGATCCAGCCCCAAACATAAAATGTCCTTTTCTTCGACAAACATTCAGACTTTTCAGATTTGGCGTTACACGACTTCGGACTCAAGGCAGATCCACTGCCATTGACGTGGACTCGCCCATCGAGAGGCTTCCACTTGAGCTCATAATCCTCATATTAGACTATGTGCCCGTGGTATCAGGAGCAAGCTTAAGCCTGACTTGCCATTCCTTCTACTCATGCCTCAGAAATCGGTGTTTGGACTCGCTCAAGAAGGCTGGACAATCGACCACGTGCGAATTCCTTTATTGCCTGGAACGTGACCTGCCAAACCACGTCGTTTGTCCAAGTTGCGTCCAACTTCATCCCATATCCAACGCCAAGGAGTACCACCTACCTTCGAGTACGAATTCCAGTCGAGCTTGGTTGGCATGCTGGCGAAAGGACTTGACCAGCGGACTTGAAAGAGGGACATATGCCGAGTTTTCGTCGACTGGTTTCCACATGGCAATGAAAGCCTACAGGCAATCCCGTGAGAATACGCAAGTTTTAAAACTTCTTGGCTGCGAAAGTAAGAAAAAGTTCGACTGGGGGTTTAAAGAACAACGTACAGCGGAAGCTCGGATTCAAAACGGATCGCTCTTCGTGCGCGAGCAGAGAGTGTTCATAGTGCCATCCTCTAAAGACATTCCTCTGCCATGGTTTGGTGGAATCATTATTTGCCCTCATATAAGCTTCGCAGCAATGACAAGTCTGCACAAATATGGTATCCAGATTCCGACGGCGACCGAGATCGAAGATTTCGAGAATAAGCAAGGCCTTATAGACTGTAATCATTGTTACACGGAGTTCCAAGTCGATTTCAAAAGCTATGGCAAGGCGGGTAATGCGATGTTCCTGACAAGATGGATGGATCTTGGGGAGGGGCGAGATTTCAATGACCATAAGTTCAGAAGTCGACTCAGTAGTGTTGAGGAGACATCGTGGACCGAAGTTGTCTATCAGCGAGGATCAGTCTGTGCGTCTTTCGAGCAGAAACCTGCGGCAGATTTCAAGTTCGATTCGATCCTATCCTACCAGGACGAGAAAGATTTGACCACGGAAATTCCTTGGCCGTGGCCAGAAAGGATAAAGGTAACACTCGTTGGCATCAAGCAAAGTTATGTGGTCAGGAATGGCAGTTTAGTTATGTTACGCAACTTATGAAGTGCGTTATCATGGAAACCCCTTTTCAGAGATGACGATGTCATCAATTTGCACTGCTCCTTCCTCTTGTTGTGATGTGGTGCCCTACCCAGCCAGGGCTAAGCATGCGTGGGTCTGGTCTCTTCTGGACCTTCTGGTTCCTCTCTTCCTCTCTTCCTCTCTTCTTCTATTTCTTGTTACAGACTCGCAACAATGACTACGGCCATTGAATATTGCGTGTTCGTCATGACCTTGATTGGTGTAATTCACATTCTCATTCAAATGGTCAATTTGTATTTCCCCAACAGCTGGATTGGTAAGCTACTCCGCCCACCCTCACCTCCTCCTCCTCCTCTCCCCCCTCCACCTCAATCCCCAGCAGGCGACTCCCAGTGGAAGACACTGATGGAAGAGAGGCTCAAAGCGGTGGAGGATATCCTCGTAGAGGAAAGACGCCACCGTGAGAATCGCTCTGAGATGTTGGCGAGGCTGAGAACGGTGGAGAATATCCTCATAGAGGATAGGCACCACCGTGCCAACCCCCCTGAGATGGAGGTCGTATCTGTGGTACGACCTCGTTACAGGACCCGGGCTAATAGTGCTGCAGAAGGGTCCTAGGAGCCGACCCAGTAAAGGGCTCCTGGCCTTGATGACTAGACTAAACATCTACGAGAGGTCGGCCGGCAAAGTCGACTCCCACCTGTCCGTTGGTGCCGGCTACGAACCTTCAGCTTCGTCTGGAGAGCCGACGGGAGTCGCACTCTACAGGCAGGCCCGTTATCCTCCTTTCAATCCATATCTTCTGAGTACTGACGACATTAGAACACAATCTTTAGCCGCAGAGTTTACTACAGCTTTTCGGCATACGCTGGATGTTTATGCTTACCTACCAGCAATTCAACCCGGAGAAACAGCATCTTCACGAGCAATCAATCCATCCCTACCCTCCGCCTGAAAGCGAAACCGCATACGTTCGCCTGGGTCTGAGCCTCTGATTGTCAAACCTCAAGGTTGATCGTCGGTGGTCGCGAGTGGTTGAATATACTGGTGGAGATGGCGTATGTTGCTAAGGAGGCAAAAGCGAGCTTTGTCTAGAGAGGGTCTCTGGTATGGTGAGAGTGTTGAGGGGTTTTAAGAACAAATTGGTGTCCAATAGTGACCATGAGAGTGGTAGCACAGTATCTGTAGGAGATTTCGTTTTGAATAAGAACGGACAGTTGAAAGAGTATAAATGCTACCGTGTGCGTTTAGATTTTGCTGTTTACCATTAAAATATTATGCATGCCTTTTGAAAAATTGACCAAGTTCATATCTGCTTGGAAGAACACCTTGCAACAAATGTCGACCTTGATGTGCTTCACCGTCTACAACTCGTCATTGAGGGCATTTCCATCTTGCAAAAACCGTAGGCCCTGCTAACATTGGTCTACAGAAGATGGCCATAAATAAATCCTAAAGAAAAGGTTGGTGATCAGTACCGACAAGGAATGGCCCTGCCAAGTTGAGGCAAGCGAGGTTACTCCATACCATCCGATCAATTCATTCATTTGTTGTACTTCTCAAGTACAAGATATCGATTAATTGAACTAAACATGACCGAATCGGTTAAATCGAATTGTATAATGCGGTGAGTACATATAACACCACAGGTTATGTTCTAATTAAGCTGTAGACGAGCTCCTCGCAGAGAATGTTTATCATACCACCTTCTATGGTTCACGAAAATCTGTATGGAGAAAAGCTAGGTAACCTAATTTTATAGCCATTACTTTGATACCACGTCAAGTACATGACTATTCCCCCGCACCCCTTAACAAATGCGAGTACCCCTAGCGCTACTTTTATCCTGCTAACGATATCAGCCATGAAAATCTTACCTGCCAATCAGTCAGGCAAAGAACCAAGGCTAGAAGTCAATCCACCGCCCGAAAACACGCAAAAACACATCACACACCTCAGACCTCAACACAAATCACACATAACACAACACATCGACACGATTAAACAATCAATGAATAATTTAATTTCCCATAACCATACATACATACAAAGCTCCCTCTCCCTCCCTCTCACATTCATCTTACTTCATTCATAATCCTTTCTTTCTTTCCATCGAATTGTATTCACCCCCATCACCCCATCATCCATTGCATCAAAAATAAAACCCAATATCAAACTCTCTCTCTTTCAACCCAAATGCATCGCTCCCCTACCCATCATCTCACAAAAATAAAAAGGACGGGGCACAACATCATCGCTATCCACAAATCCAACCCTTTGAAGAGGGAGTAGGAAAACCCTGAAAACAAAAAAAAAGGAGGCAAGATAGGGATAGGGAGAGAAAGGTATCCGCACACAAATGCAAAACATTTCATAAGTCAAAGAAGTAATCCAACCCTTTCTCTCAATATCCTCGTAGCGAGAGATGGTCTGTTCCACTGACTGGGAGCTTCAAAATTGAAACAAGCGCCGGGTGATAGAACTTCAAACATAAAATTCGAACGTGTACTAGGTAGAAATACCTGAACCCATCGATGACGCAGGCTATGCGGGTTCAAAGACAGAGAGTAGAGAGTGCCAAAGAATCGCATGAGAAGCTTTTGTTGTGGTATGTGTATGTATTGTTGGGTAAAAGTACCAGAGACTCGGTTTCTGCGAAGGAGGTCAAGGTGTTCCTCCAACCTCGGTCCTTCCGCCGATTCAATTGTGTTGGTATCCGTCATAGTAAGATCGCCCCCAATAGTTTCGGTCGTATGCAGTTGATTGAAAATTGACAAAGAAAAAAGAATCCGCTGCCACCGATTGTTTGTCGGGTATGGTATCGTTTGCAAGAAAGAGAATTGTTTTCATCGATGAAACGCCCGATATGCAATAAATATGATTTGGTGTCCGTAAAGTGACCCAGATGAGCCCGCTTGTGTGCCTCGTATGAATAACATCCTTCATTATAATATTAGGAAACTCGTTCTTCGTTTCTTGTTGATTTCTTTTCGATCCATGTGTAGCATGGACCATTCATTAGACACTCCATTATAGATCCTATCGAGTACCCACAAGCTACTGGGTAGCAGCTACACACCAGTGTCGGTGAAAGACCCAAGCTTCCTTTTGACACCCTTTACTACAGTATTTCGTCCTTCGGCATCGTCGACATTTTGCAAACTGTCTTGTGTATTCCTCCCATTTGCCACATTCGTAATATGCACATTGTCGAATACCGCCTCTGTTATCATCCTTGCGGCAGAGATTTCGCATAACCACACCAGCCCAGTATTGCATATCCTGGCTGTGGTGTCTGACGGTAAATTTTTCCACCAACGGAAAGATGTTGAAATCGTCAGGAAGAAGGTATTCTTCCTCCTCGGAATCGCAGGCGGAGTGGCAGGCAGTTGTTGAAGAGGATGCCGAGGACGCGGAAAATGGCCCAGCCTCATCGACATCAAGAAGATGAAGTTCAGAACCAATCTTGAGTTTTGGAACAAGGTGAGAGCGCTGGAAGTATGAGCGCAAATTGCAGTACTTTGACACATAAGCAAGGAGTTGAAGGGACATCAAAACGTCCTCGTCTCTCGGCATTGCGGCCAAGACTTGCCCATTCGTAGGTGTCGGACGATCGAGTAGGTATCTAGGAATCGTGGCATTCGGAGGCATGGTTGGAGGAGTGTTTGCTGCGGTTGTTTGAGCTGGAGAAAGACCGATGGTTGGGCCAGTGGGGGTAGTCGCGTCATTAATCATGCTGCCATCCAAGGCAGAGCGGTGTGTGATATTAAAAGTCCCAGCATCTTGGGCTTCCGATACTGTGGGTGTAGTCAGCCCGAGAGTGGTGTCAACAGCTGTCAACATGCTGTCGCCTTCTTCCATGCTGATATCCTGAATATTAATAGGAGATTGAATCTCGGTTGTGCTGACTCCTGACATTTCTGGATCTCCAGACTCATCAGATGCCATGCTATCGGCATTGGGATCTTCTTGTTCCCCAACCATTGATGCTTGATGGCGAATCGATGGTCTCCTTCGTGATCGCATTGCTGTTTGTGACATTGATGTAGGACGAACGGTGGGAGATCTTAATTGATTAGGAGGAAGAGGGGTGGTCGGGGATTCAGGCTGAGACGTAAGACCAGAGTGAAATCCAGGAAGCATAGATGGCAGACGATCCACATCTCGAACAGGTCTGAGATTGAAGCCATCTGCTGCATCCATTGAAGGAACCGCTGAAGCCAGTGGTTGTATGTTATGTCGAGATGGGGGTAAGAAATGTTGTCGGGCTTCTTGCCCTCTGTGGTGGTGATGGTGATGATGGTGGTGGCGATGAGGAGCGGAAAACGTAGTTCTTTCAGGAGGTGAGGTGATGGCAAAAGCTGGCCCGGTAGGGGTCGTATCCATAGTATCGGTGCCAGCTGTCATAGGCCCAGCGTTGAAAACCTGGGGAATCTCAATCGGCTGTGGAGGAGCTTGTCTCCTCGATGTACGGAAGTCTGATTCCAACTGGGAGGCACGATTTCTGAAAGAAGCCCCTTTGTGAGGGCTTCTGTGATCCGACGACCGAGAACCATGGTGTCGAGATTCTGCCAACGCCTTGCTCTTTGCCTCCTCTGCCTTTTCACGGCATCTATCAACAACCTTGATGTAATTGTCGAGTATTGTAGCAATCACCGGAACCATATCTGCTTCCACCACTCTTGTGCGAACGTTCTCCGATCCTCGGACGCCGATATTAACCACACATTGAAATGCCAAATTCCATTTCCACATATCCATCATGTCCTTACTCCTGCCAGCCTTGAGCAGACATACTAGTCTCTCGACACCTCCATCGACTGTGAGAATGTCCCTTATACGAGCGGAGGAGGTCGTGAGGTATGCGAGGTGGTTGAGGGAATTGATGAGAGGAAGCGTGGATGTGCAATCGAGGGCCCTACGGTCGTACAGGGCCGTGGTGATGCCCACCGATGCCTTGTTGACATTAGGAATACTGAAATTGACTTCTCTCATGATGGCGTTGTGCCGCACGATCGCGGTGAAGGAAGGAGTTGGTTTGCCGCTCGAGTTTCAGAGTCTTTGAGCAGCAGGTTTTGTCGAGAGGGAGATTGTAGCTGATGGCGTTTGCTGTTAGGCTTTATAATATATGTCGGGGGGCCAACGGACAAACGAGGTGGTTTGTAATTGTGTTGATGTACGAGGGATCGGGTGGACGTGATTCGAATGTCGCTCGCCAGGAGATCACAGGATTGGCATGCGCAGTGGAATGATGGTACAAACAGCGGGAAGGTATCAAGCACGATGCATGTACTTTTGGGACTCGATGATCGATGCCGCAGAATCGTGGAGGAGGTTGGGATGGAAGAACGTGACGATTGATTCGGAGGGCAGAAGGGTTGGTAATTAAGGGTGGTCGATGAAGCTGAGCTGATGTGGATGTGCAGAGTCTGATGCTTTGCGACTGCAATGAAGTCGTACCCAGATACCTCTCGTTAGAAGAGTCAACGCAGCTGAGAGGGTTCACGGGTGGATTCTCCAGCTCGTCTCGTCGGTCTGCGGATGAGGTTGAAGGACGGAAGATCTTCTTTTGAGTGTTGTGAGGAAAGATGGAGCAAGGACGGGGCGAGACGAGACGCCGACACACCCTCCTTCGACTCGAGTCACTACGAAAACGGCCGTGCGCTTCTTTGATTAGTTTCTGCGGCGAATTGCGAGGTTGGCTGGCGCGCCCCACGGAAAATTGAAATGCAATGCAATAATAAAAGAGCAACGAAATGAGAAAGATAATTCAATGATGATGTTGATAGAGAAGAGGAGAAGAGGTCATGCACCAAAGAGAGATGCGTTGTCCAATATTGGAAAAGGAGGTAGGAGAGAGAGTTAAGCGAGCAGGAAGCAGAGCGGTGCAGCAGCTGGGCAGGTCACCAAGGCGCTCACTACTGGGAATTATTGGGGTCCAGTCCAGTTCGATCTGTCGTGCTGAATCAAGGGACTCGGAGAGTTGAGCCGCTGAAAACTTTACTTTGCGTGATGGGCTGGGCAGTGGCAGTAGTGGCACGCCTGGCCCAGGAAATGCCACCAAAATAGCGAGAATGTAGGATAAATGCAAAAGGGTCGAAGGTATTTACCAGAAATCTTAATTTTCTTCCTTATAACGAGGAAATATCTCTATGCTCGACTTTAAAGCATTTCAACATTGTTTATATTCATTATAGTATCATACAATGATTACTACCATCCTCGCTACTGTATTTCCAATCCACCTCACTCGCCTCCTCTCCTCACATGTCCGCCTCTCATCGGTGCCAGTTCCTTCACTCACCTATTGTACCACATCTCAACTACACGAATTACGACTTCGTACCTTCTCACAACTATCTACAAATGTCACCGGTTGACTCAGCTCTCCTGACTCAGCGTATAACCATCAATCAACTGCTTTCAACTCTTTCCATTCCCCAACAACCACCTGCTCGCTGACGTTAGTAAGTAAAAAACCCTCCTCCTCGCCAGCAAAAGCAAACATCTGCATCTACATCTGCGACCATCTGCAAGACCTACAGCAACATACGGCCATACAGCGTCTTCATCAGTACAGCAGTATAACCACGCCGCAGATGCTCTTCCAGAACCTCCACCTCCACCCGCAAACCCCTCACCACCTCCCAGCAGCCAGCCGTATATAAATAACCCACCATACCATAGCCGCCCACGCCGCCCGCAAAGGAATCACCACCACACACACAGGACTGTTTCAAAAAACGTGGGAAACCAGGGTATGGGCATTTGACGTCGCTTAACATGGTAATGATCTCCCCTTTATGAACAGCGCCTCTTCCTTCTGGTTGCGCGCATGGCGATTGATTTTCAATGTCGATTTCATGACCTATGTAAACGCGATAAATCCAATCTTCTATTTCGGATGACTGAATATGGTGTCTGTGTAATTATTGAAGCGCTTAAACAACAAATCCACCTCAACAAGAAAAGAGAGTCATGCAATAACCGCCCCTCTCTGTACCTGGCCTATTACACGACAACAACGCATAACAACCATCCCAAAGCACAATTCAACCTCCCTATTTCCCATTTCACCGCTCCTGCTCCCATGACCTTCTTCGGCGACTGACAGAGCCAAACTTATCTGTAACAAGCAAGACTGGTTTGCTGTTGTTTCCCGAATCCCGAGATATCGAGGCGCACGTGAGCAGAGTTGGGATGGGATTTGAAGACGCTCCCCGTGGTGAGGATGAAGGGCATTGAATAATGAGGACTGACAACAATAACATTGCTGTTCTCTACTCAGTAAATCTGTACAAAGCCATAGATTCCATGAATCGAGCAGTTCAACCCCTCAACCCAGCAACCAACCAACCACAACCCCCTCTCCCCAAGACGTGCAAACCCAGCGCCAAACCATCCAATCCGCACCCCCAATCCCCTCCAGCCACCTGCCTGTCCTGTCCTGTGCACCAGCAGCCCAAACGCACAACACCAGAACCCGCAGGTTCCACGTCAAAAAAACGCCCAATGCGTGTGCGCGTATGGCTCTTATCGATTAGGAAGTTTACGATCGAAATGTCTGTGTGTATGGAAGGGAAGCTCGGGAGAAAGTGTGATAAGTGGGGGTTTAGAAAGTTAATCTTCTATGTAGGTGACAAGCAAAGTATTGTGCATTATACGGTGAAGAATAAATGCCGAGATACATATGATGTGATTTTTGCAGGTAAATGATTTTCTATGTTACAACCGATTTTCTCCCTCCGATGTATAGACAATGAGGAGTGACATCTCCATGGAACGCCAATATGTGTCTACTAGAACGCCTTGAAGACCGTAGCCGCAGCTATTTGGAACATATGAAATGATGTTTGTTGGAGCTTTGAGGTGTAAACTGTGCTGATTTATTCCTCGAAGCCGTCAAGGAAGTATTCAAGCTGGTTGTCGAATATGTGGGATCGCCCACAGTGATTGCGATATCGCACGTCTTGCGAAGGTTAAGAATAAAATCTGCGTCGAAAGATAGATATGTGGTGCTCATATCGTCGTACAAAATTTCAGTTGATGAACCAGTGACATCCACGGCTTACTACCCGCTCTTGGTGCCGAGTGGCCGTCGACTGCCCGAGAGTTGTAGCAGCGTGATTCTCCTACGCAGCCGCTTCAAAGACCTTACTAGGACTTTCACCCTCAGACTTTACTTCCTCAGCAAGCTGCTCCGCCGCCTCTGTGAACTTCGCTTGTGCATCTTCCATTTTCACAGCATCCCCAGAAACCTCCTCCTTTACAGGCGCTTCACTCTTCGCCTCTGCTCCCGCCTCCGCCTTCGTAGCTTCAGTCTTATTCTCCCACGCCTTAATCATACTCTCCAACTTAGGAGCCCAGACCTCTTCCCCCTTCGACAGATCATCGTATTCCAGCACATTGTCATTGCCAACTGAGAATTGACCTTGTCGCGTACGCTCTAATTCTGCCATAAGGGCAGCAGAACCGACAGCGACACCCAAATCGTGACATAGAGAGCGCACGTAGAAGCCTGATGTGACAGTCATGCGTATACGCGCTGCTGGAGGACCGAGTGACTTTGGTGATTCGGGAGCTGCTTCGACAGATTCAACAGTAGCATCTGGTACTTTTGCAGCTACTTCAGTGGATGCCACTGGTTCTGGTAGACCACCAGACATAACAGGCTCAGCATCCGGATCAGACTCAGTCTTCACAGCATCCGTCTTGCGTTTACTCTTCGGCCTTTCCTGAACCAATTCATCTTGATTCTCACTCATCTTCCTCTTCTTGTCCTCGAAATTCTCCTTTGCGACTTTCTCGCTCTCAGGGGATTTTGGAGGAAGTATACTCTCTTGTTTCCAAACCAACTTAGCAAGATTAATCTCAGCGTGACCTGCCTCATCCGTCGGTGGTTTATGATTATGTGTCCCAGGTTCCATCCACTCCAGCATCTCCAATTCCTCGACTTCAACCGGTCGTCGTTCGATGTCGCGTGGTATTGGTTTGTTTTCGCGCGCGTACTCGTACAGTGGTTTGCCGTTCATCTTCAATGCGCTGAACAATGGTGGTAATTGCATGAACTTCCCTCGGAATTGATCCAGAGCCTTCTCAACCATTTCTTTGGTAATATGTTCTGTCGGCGCATGTGTCAACACTTTCCCCAGTCGATCATACGAATCCGTCCCTGTCCCAAAGAGTACCACTGCTTCATACGTCTTCGTACATAATAAGAAATCCTGTAAACTCTTTGTCCCTGTTCCAATTCCTGCAATCAAGATACCAGTCGCGAGAGGATCCAGTGTTCCACCATGGCCAATCTTCACCTTGGGGTCCTTCACTTTCCGGCGCTGTCGCTGGTTATGATTATCTCGTAATAGTTGCGCTTTCATGTCTCGCAGATGGGGCGCAAAAAGTTTGGAGTCATGGAAGACTTTTTGGCAGTCGCGAAGTACTTGGGCGGAGGAAAGCCCAGTTGGCTTATTGATGCCTATACACAGAGTCAGTATATGAGTATAGCCAATCCAACGTGCGCATATAACTGAAGGGGGAAAGCCAAATGGCACATCAAGCTCGAATAGAACACCGCATCCACATGCGTGTTTTCGCCGTCTCCAAACCGCAGCACCAAGAGTAATTGACCTACCAAAGACCCCTTCAACTGACGGCATTTTCTGCACCTTGCGCCAGATACTCCTGGAAACGTTTTTGGTGGACATTCAGCCCTGGATATCGTGTTTGACTGTAGGAAATGACTAGCTGCATATGCACATCCCGATGATATATTCCTAGGAATTTTCCAACGGAAGAGCTATTTTCTGCCGAAAGCGGTGAAACTTCAGCACTACACCAATTATTGCTTAAGTTGACGACGTGCTTAAATTAGTTGAATAGTTGGCACTTGTTCTGCGAGATATTTCGTATAATATTAGCTTTGTACCGCCAAAAATTGTGAATTGATCAAATCGGGTCACGCAAAACCAAGAAAACTATGGTGCCACTGGGTTGACGATCTTGATTCTACTATCTTTTAAAAGCTGGAGCCCCTACTTCTACCTGAACACCTCTCAATCGTTCATGATCGACTATTTATGCAACGTCGTCGTGATAAGTATATCCCCTAGACATCAAGCACCGCCCAACCCATGCCAAATCATTTAGCGCCTCACAGCAAGCCAAGCCTTCGCATCATCCCAGGCCTTTTTATCAGCGTCTCCAATGTCGTCTCCAATCGTCTTTACTCCGGCGTGAACAGCGTCGAAGAAGTTGAAAGCAACGTCGAGATCTTCGATAAAATTGACGCTGTGCGGAAGGAACTTATTAATGTAATTCTTCTTGTCCTTGCTCCGCTCTTCGGGGGATATGTCGACCTTGACAAAGTCATCCAAGTATGTTTTGACGGCAATGCCGAGTGCAATATCGACGTCAGCGGCAAAGGGCAGGTCTCGGCCGATTTTTCCATAGTCGTCCCGCTTTCGGCTGGCGTGGTTATTCAAGAACAACGACGCAGCTACAGCCTCGACCAAATCTCTATCTGTCTCCCGAACAGCTTTGATGATAGAGTGAAATGCCAAAAGGTTTTTGCTTAGGGGTCCAGTGTATCCAACATTCTGGTGCCGAAGCTTCAAGAGACATGCTGTTCTTCCGATTAAAATGCAACTTTCCTTGTCCTTCTCTCCTCCTCGAAGTGGTCCTCCAATCAGCTCCGTATGTCTGTTACGGGAATTGAGCTGATCGAATTGTAGAAGCTCGAATGCCAGGAAAGCAGCTTCTTGGAGATGATGAATATCGTTGTGGGCTTTGACAGCAGAGGAGATCGCTTTCAGAGTAGTTGCCAATGCCTTTCCCCAATTGGTTAACTCATGCTTATCGTTTATGTACCCTCGAAGATGCAGCAGTCGCCATAAAACATTCGATACAACCTCAGATTCGGACTTTAGCTCTGCGACTTTCCCTTTTGCAATAGTCTTTTGCGCAAAGTCCTTCTGCTGAAGAGACAGGATCGCAAATGAGAGTGATCCAGGGGAGATGCCAAGAGATTTCTCTACAGCTTTCATGTCAGTATCCCTAACACCCCATGTTTCGGCCTTTTTGTTGTTATCCAGAGCGTTTCGTGGCACCAAGGTCTCTTTGACACCATCATCAAACCAAAACTTCAGATTGATATCTTTGTAGTTGAAGGCTCTGTGGATTCGAGAAACGATCAAGGCTGCCGCCTGTTCTTTCAATGGCACAAGTGAACGTGTAACCAATCGTTTGTATTCGTCTGACGCAACACCATCCAAAGTTGGAAGGACTAAGGATTCTAGTAGAATAAAGCCGTTCATAAAACGAGGCCCAATGAGTGCCTTCGAAAGATAATAGTAGAGTTCAGCAGGCAATTGTAGACCCAAATAATCAACATTGTCGCTGGTCAGGTGATCATAATCCCTGATTTGTAAAACACCACTCTCATGGACTGTACCAGCATGTTTGATGATCATCTTTGCTTTCCGGTATTTATCGAGCCAATTGGGGTCTTGTACTTGAAGGATATCGTTGAAAGCTGTGCAGGTCGTGGTGACCGACTTCTCGGATGTGCGTAGCAGGTTTGCTGCGTCCTTAATTGTAAATGGTTGTTCTACGATGATTCCACGATCTTGGAGCGGCGGAAAGGGAGGTAGAAAGGATGTGCCGACCATAAGCAACGCATCTGCCAACACCTCGGGTGTGACATTCAGCTTCTTGATGATCTCTGATTTGGAGATTCCCACAATTTTCTTGCTTTCCCAATCTGAAGCAGAAGGTGGTAGTAACACACAGTCATTGATATCATATAGGAGCAGCTCTTGCGATCCCATAATGCCATCAATATATGGTGTCTCCAACGATTCGAGATATGCAAGCTGGACTATATGTTAGCGTCGGCGCATCAAGCCCAAGCATGACTGGAGACTTACTTGCGCACATGCACTATAAGGAGCGATGATGAAATCTAGCCCCTGTTCGGCAAGAATTTCCTGAAGAATTCTATACAAATCTTGTGCGCGAATTGCACCTGGTTCGTATTAGTACAGTGCAATTTCAGTGTCTTTCTTGAACATACCAGAAGATCCAAAAGCTTTCACAGCTTCATCTGGCGAATTATCCGCATACAAATCCCATGCACGCTGTGTTTGCAACAGTGCTGCCTTGGCCTTGCGCAAGGATATCTCATCTCGTCCAACATTTGTCTGTCCGTCAAACACAAACAGTGGCTTCATTTTGTTATCCCTCCATTGTTTCAATTCGTTTTCAATATGCGACTTAAAGGTCATAGGATCTCCGCCCAGAGCAGCAAGAAGAGGCTCGTGAGTGGGGGGTCGGTCGATGAGGGTTTGGAGGTAATGGCTTGCTTCGACGCCAATGACAGCATCCTCAAGATCCGCCAACGAATTGGAACTAGCACAGTGTTAGTGAGATACGCGAGAAAGAACTCTGATCGCATGTACTTACAGACAATCTTGGGAGCTGTAGGCTTTGCCTTCAAGGTCTAGCGATTCATCGTCAGTATAGCTCAGATCACCATCACCATCATCATTTGCTTCAGGTCCGTATGAGCGCAATTGGCTATTCAGGGTTGCGAGAGGGTCATCGAAATTGTGTCCAAACTTGGCACCCTCTGGCTTGAGGCTTCCATGAGTAGGATGGGTGACCAGCGATGAGTTATACAAATACTGCAGACTTGGCCTACTTGTCCAGTGGGATTCGCCCAATGCGCATTCAAAGTTATATGCGGCCTCGGATTCTGGCCAACGGTCCGTGTAAAGTTGACAACCTGGATTCTCCTGGTACAATGGGCAGTTGTCGGCTGGATGGCTTGCGGCTTCAGCCTCCAAATGCTCGTAGAAGAGACGACCGTAGGTGGTATTGAAGTCCGTCATGATTGCTTTCTTGGTTTGCGAGATAGAGAGAGAGACCAAAACTTACGAGACATGATCGCGGATGATCGCTGAAGAACGCTCTTTCCGCAAGAGTGTCGACTCGTTGAGGCTCGAGCCTGTCAAGATCAATTCGCGGCGGGGTGGTTGTGGGGAGAAAGTGCGACCTGGAGCGCTCTGCGAGGTGCGGGATATTCGATGTTGACGCGAGAAATGGTGACAATATTCGTGAGGTAAGTTGCAGATATAGGTGAGATGGAGGGAGCGGAGAGTAACAGCGCGATTGAGTGCGTTGGTGAGAAAGGTGCAGAGTAATTGAGGTGAGATTTCAATATATTCTGGACGAGGCTCAGGTCGAGTAATTTCTGGGGTTCAATCCAGGCTGCTGTTGCTCTCCCGCCTGTACGACGCAAGGTACAGCTCCTGTTCAGGACTAGCTTGGACTTATGTGGAGCTGGCTTTTTGGTCACGTGTTGGAGACAATGCTGCTGTCATTTTGGTAACCTTTTCGGCGCCTCCCGATCGGTCTAACCTTATCATAAGTCAACTCCACTTGACCGGTTTCATATTCGTATAAAGACATGAAAGCCTACTTTTTGTTTATCTGATCGGACCATTTCTGATAACTTTATATTCAAAAATATGGCAATCCAAAATCCTCCCCAAGGCCAGATTCCGGTGATTGATATATCAGGAACCCGGCCAGACGTAGAAACTGCAGAAGAACTGGTGAAAGCGGCCTCCACTTATGGTTTCGTTTACATTAAAAATGAAGGGAAGGACATACCAGTAAAGGTCATTGACGATATATTTGATGTGGTATGGACAATCATGTCGTCAACATTGGTATAGGTAGATTCTTTCCTAATCTTGATAAAATAGTCGAAGAAATTCTTCAGTTCTCCAACCGAGGAGAAAGCTCAGTGTAAGATAACGGAGAGTGTGAGTAAACTCCAGATTGAATATCGAGCTCAACATTGACAGTGCAAAGAATAGAGGATGGTCAGGAATGCACACAGAAACCTTAGATGCCAAGAACCAGCGAGTAAGTTGACACTTCCAAAGCCTGTGCCCTGATCCTCATGCTAAAACTGATTAGGTTGGAGACTTCAAAGAGTAAGGAAAACAGTACAAGATAGGAGAAGCTTTGTTGACTGTCCAAGGGCAATGAATTTGGGCGAGTTCATAGATGGAAAGGCTCAGCAACCTCTTACTCCCTCGCTTATCGAGCACGAAAAGGACTTGGCGAATTTTCATAAATATTGCCATGATATGATGTTAAAGATCTTAACTCTATTCTCAATAGGCCTAAAAGTAAGCACCCTCTTTTATTTTACTACGGATCGTCTATTAATCATTGAAACCTGATAGATCGATGAGGAAGCGGGAGGTTCATCTTGGATACCAGCACGCCATCAAGGCGGATCTAGTGGATGTACCCTTCGTCTCCTCCACTACCCCTCGATTCCCGCAGACAGCGACTACCAACCCTCGGTCGACATAAGAGCGGGAGCACACTCGGACTACGGCTCCATAACCCTTCTCTTCCAACGACCCGGCCAGCCAGGCCTTGAGATCATTCCTCCAGAAACCCGAACCTCGGAACGTGACTTCGGGCCAACGGCCGCATGGACGCCTGTTCCTGTTTGTCCACCCGGTACGGAAAACGATCCAAGTCCACCAATTCTTGTTAATATTGGAGACCTACTTAGCCACTGGACGAATAATCTCATGAAGAGTACGGTTCATAGAGTGGTGTTTCCAAAAGAAGGGAAACACGGAGGCGAAGATAGGTATAGTATTGCGTACTTTGGACACCCGGTCGGAAGTACTGTTCTAGAACCGATCCCGAGTGAGATGGTGAGAGCACTTGGAACAAGCAAAGGTACAGGCGTGGAAGCCATGACAGCCGATGAGCATCTGATGAGCAGATTGAAAGCTACATATCTTGGGATGTACAGAGACGATGAGCAGAAAGATGAGAAGGTCGCTGCTGCATAAGATAGGCACAAATAGGAACCATCACGTGCTAGAAGAGCGGGGGTCGTGCTGTGTTACACTATAAATCACTCGACAATAGAAGCAAACGTCTTTTGAGGTGTGTCAGATTGACAAAGTACTCACTTCTTTGCAACTTTACCAGCTTTTTCTCATCTGAACCTGGAACGCAATTAGTGCCGACTTATGACGAGACAGCAATTTTACCAGCTGAGTGTTTCTTTACCACGCTGAAACCTAGACAATTTTTGGACTCAAAGGAAAGAGCGTTCAATTTCTACTGTTTAGTCGTCATATTCAAATATATTTTCGCGCTAAGCGTCCTTCCAAGCGTTAGGATTGGCCTTAGTTTCCAAGACTACTAAGTAGCGTAGGGCCATTCCCTTGAGGGTAAGCTAGCGGGTCTACCTAACTACAGAAACTTTGAAGGGTCACCATTCTACGACTTGGTAGTGGAGCTTGTCACAAATGAAACACCTTTATGACGTTAGAGGATGCAACCTTTAGCGTTGTAACTATTAGCGTAATCACTCACTCGATGCATTTATGCTTGGGCGCCTATCCTCGACCTGGCTTTCACCTCAAACATTTACAGTTCAGAAGCGACAGCAGACCTTGATCAGAACATCACTTTCAGAGCTAAACACATCGATCGATCGACTTTCAACCACAATATGGGAGGTAAGAGAGAGGATCCTTTTCATGTTAATGACTCGGTGCTAGAAACCAAGTCAAACGAGCTCTTGATGTCTTTTTCTTCGCAATTTTCACTTGTCGTCCACTGAGATGGATTTTTACAGATAATTCGAGTATTAACGAAACGACATCCACGGAAGGCGAAACTTTAAACCCTCCCGTTCCAACCTTTTCAGGCGAGGACATCTCCGGGATATCCACATCGCTGTTCCTCAAGCAAAGACAAAGCCCCCTTACCAAACTTCCTGACGAGATATGGGCTATGATCATCGAGCTGGCCTACCAGCCACGAATTGTTGTCCTGAGCGACGACCCGAGGTACCCAAGGGAGCGGCGTAAGTTGGCCCAAAAGCAACGGGGGAAATATTTGTTCTCGCCTGTACCAAATCCTAGTTTGGTAAATGTATCCCAAAGCTTTCGAGAACTTATGATTGCTCGGGGCTACGATGTTGCGTTCGATACCGGGTCCGAGTTGTGGACACCACCTATTTGGTTCAACTTTCGCAGAGACATTTTGAGCTTAGAGGATCCATCCCGCGAGGTGGATTTCTTCAGAAACTGGAACAATGCACAGGATTTTGTTACCAAATCGTTGGCGAAAGTCGAAAACTTGCTTTTGAATGCATTTTTCACAAAAACAGCCGACTTACCTCACGCTCTAGACGGACAGGAGAAGTACTTCAAAAACCTGAAAAGAATCATGATCCTTCAGAAGTCTTCCTATGAGCTCTTGAGCATAAATCGGAGGGAATTAAGTTGGGGCGGATTTGTGGACGATTGTACTTGTATGGAAATTCACGAACCTCTTTCGAATCCGTCTGCGGGAGATAATGCATTGAAAGAATTGATCGGCTGCGCAGGCAAGATTGGCATTGTCGGGAGACGAGGAAGGAAGCGAGCTCTTGTCGAACATGCATCAAATTTCATCTCCGCATACAAAAAAAGCAGAATTGCATCTCGAGAATATCTGGAAACAAATCGGGAAGCGACGATGCATGGAGACGCGCCACCGATCATGCTACCCGACTTCAATCTGCAAACAAGTGGATCTGGAATCATCGTCTCCCATGTCGTAAAGCTTTAAAAAATGAAGCCCAAGCTCTTGGACATTGTCAACAGCGGTACGAAAAGATGATGGCTGAACTGGAGCTTCTAGAATCTCAGGGTTTGGCATCATCTCAAGAAATAGGCAGCAAAAGGACTACGATTTATCTTGAGATTTGGAAATATAAACACTTGCTTTCTGAACTTGGCTTTGGGGGTGTCAAGAAAGGTTTTGGGCAGCAGTGATCAGTCGTCTGGGAGATGTGACAGAATCATGTATTTTAGTTCTGCTGGATTTACTTGGGTTGCGGGTTAGCCATACGGAGTTCAAATTATGATGGATACCTTTTTGTTTGATTGCCAATTGTACAAGGGATTTTTAACAGGTTTTCACATGGAGAGGAGTTGAATAACAGGACGAACAAGGTGTCTTGCAATAGTTCTCGCCAATTTAATGGTGGAAATATCAAAGGACAGGCGTTAAGAGATATTTGGTTGACAGGACAGAACATTGTATAATTGAATCTTTTCTTTTCAGTAAATGAACTCCATTCCCTATGCCTTGTGTCCAAAAGTGAATCGAACTAACCATTACACCCCTTTCAGAACGCCCAAACTATACGCCAAAAGGATATCCAATCCGTCGCCTAATGCGAGGGTTTCTCGTGATAGAAGATCTATTGGTCGTCAAAATATGACATTTGCTTAGGAAATTGGACGAAATATCGTATATTTCGTCTATATTTTTCCAGAAAATGAGAAACAAAGGATTTTGGACCCTATTCAGGACTTCCCACTTGTATTTGAGTTCCGTCAACAAATGGTAGTCAAAACACGATGTTTGCTCAAAACAAATGACGAAATCGATATTTCGTCTAATGTCTTCGGTAAATGAGACGAGGTCGCTACATGCTGCTTGGGAGTACAAAATTTAGTGCGACCACAGACCAAGAGCAACAATATTTAAACTAATGCAAGTGTTGTACACATTTTGGGTTACAAAAAGGTAGTATGCTGAGCTCCGCAGGGTGCGCTCCCATGTAATTCTTTATTAATGGCATCACTTCTACGCTTCTAATTCCCTCGAAAGGCGATAAGTGTTTCACTTCTTCATGCTTCTCGAATAACATCTTCCCAACAACGAAATTTAGGTCATAGGATATTGGCAGTTACGCAGTAGGGGCAAGTAACTTACAGAACTGGAACGCCAGAGAAATTTTGTCCACGGGATAATTGTGGTTGAACATGCGACGCAGATGCGTCAAATAAATTGGCGGAGAATACACATTTTGTTAGCTGTCAAATGTTGATCAATTTCTTGCTTCTCAGAATATGCTCCCGATTCTGATTTACGTCCTCATATTTCGTCATATGGTAAGTTGGTGAAGTTTTAGTCTGATCGAGGCAAATCTTTTTTCCACTACTAATTTAGAAAGAAGTATATCGTCATATTGCCGAGTTCCAGTCCTCTACCACAAGTGTATTTAGCGCAACAACGGTCTCGACCGGCGCACACTTTGCCAAACCTTTTGTTGCAGCAGATCACAATCGATTTCTTTCCTTTCTTTTCTTTCTGTTCATATGTTCAACAGCTCGATACTCCACTACCTTTTCGTTACCAACATTCTTTGACTTACTTCATCGACTTGACTTTGAATCGGAACTCGTTACGCAACCCAAGGATATATCTCAGTCTTTCATCATCAATCTCGAACCATCGCGCACACTATGTCGCTCTCATCGAGCAATCACGACGACGTACGAAGAGCTTTGGAGTGGCTTGTCACTTCGACAGAAAGCGACGGAACCCTTCTTGCACCTCCTCAAGACATCTTGACCTCTATTCGTAGATTATCACCAGACTCGAACGACGAGATAAATCGGCTTCTTTATGGCGCGAAAGCGATGTTGGGAGGTAACAGTATGCTGAGTAGTCCTGGAAGCTTGCAGTTATGTGATTTCGGTACGATCCCTAAACGCAACTGGTTTACTTCGCTTCAATTATTGACTGTGTATTTTAGCACATGGGACGAATGGAACCGAAAACATGTTGAGCTCTAGAAATGCCATGAAACAGCAAATAAAGCCTACAAGTCCGCATGCAGTAGACAACCGGACATCTTGCAAATTTGTAGATCTGCCATTGGAAATATTAACTATGATCGCCGAGTCGGCCAACCCTCCCCGGATTGTGGTGTTGCAAGACAGCGCGATGGCTTGCGAGAATAATAGATCTCGTAATTATTGTATTTACAGGAGTGATGGTAGTTTCAGAGGGCATGGAGACGGCGATTATATGTTCACGAGCACTCCCAACCCTACACTCTTGAGCGTATGTAAGACGACCCGGCAAATTATGAAACAGTCGGGATACCAAATAGCCTTCGATAACAAACAGACTGAGCGGGCTCCCTTGATATGGTTCAATTTCCATCGCGACATTATGTGGGCGCCCCTTTCCGACAACAGCGATAGCCGCGTCCGACATGAACCTACAATCATCGGAAACTGGAAAAGCTTTTCTCTGCGTGGGATGATTAGAGAGCTAGCCAGGGTGGAGAATCTGTTGATAGACTCAGCTTCTTGGAAAAGCAACCAACAAGGACTACATAAGGAGTGGATATACTTACGGGGAGTAAAACGCATTCTGCTTCTTCAGCGAGGCTGCTATTTTCGATACACGCCCGTCGAAGAAATGAACAAGGCAGCCGAGCAATATAGCTGCATGAAATTATTAGCCACCATGTTCAAGAAAGGCTGGAAGTTCGATACAATGGGGGCTGTACGTAAACTGTTGGACAGTCTCCCAGAGCAAGAGGCCCTTGACCTTCTGAACGACAACAACTTCATGCCACATTTCCTCAACAAAGATCCCTTCGGCCTAGCAAAGAACAAGCCAATACCTTTATTTCCAAACGGAAATCCAATCAGGCTGTCTTGTCGACACGAGCTTTGTCATTTGGCGAAGATTGAAGATTGCAAGCTTGATAATCGGTGATCCAAGCACGATTTCTTGAAGGGTATAACTACGGCAACAGTGGTTCTCATGAAACATTCTGAGGCCGCAGAGCTCCACCAGATACGACTAAAATTGAAAAAGACGGTTGCTCAGGATAAGTTCTTGCAGTCGATCAAGAACACGAACCAGCTGCAGCTGTTCCACCTCGCGTCCAGGCCCGACGCTTATATTACAATCGATGCCCAATTGAAGGATTACGAGAAGATACTTCGCGCCGCGAAATTTGACATCAAACCTGATAATATTTTCTGGTAGCGCTTAGAACCGATATTTCAGCAGCTGATCTAAAACTGAGAGGCTCAAGAGGCGATAGCTCTACTGGAAAGATTTACTTACCAATTTTGTTTGGTTTAAAAGTGTTAGCTGTTAAGTTTGAGGACCTCCGAAGATACCCTTTCGTTGTTGCTGTGTTATGTGGTGCCAAGGATTATGAAGGATATTGTAGTTATATACCTGGCGTTTTATATACTGTACAGAACTGTAACACGTTATCTAGTTAGTGCGAGCTACTGGGTTTTAAATAGTAATTGCACACACTGTCTATCTATGCTCGAACTTCAATATGAGACCAACCCACAATTCGACAATGACTCTCTTGCCCCAACACAAACCACCCAAAAGAAGTATGAGATGTTGTTGAACTTGTTGACCTAATTTTAACAGGCCAATATCCATTTTTTCCCATTACAGACGAGGAACATTTCTGCTTCCTAGTTTCCATCAGGGTATGTTCCTGGATCCGCCGATTTTCATTTCCCTCACATGCCCTCACAAGTTACTCTAATTACTCAAACCATCCATACTAACTCCAGTGTTACCGAGTGACTGGAATACAATTAGATTAAGCACCGGCCCAACTTGATCATGATCAGTTCGAGTACATTGAGTAGTTTCGCCTGATATTGGCCATCAGTCGGAGGAATTGCGGATAAATGAAATACAAAAGAGTTCCGCCAACATAACCGAAGACTGAGGATTTACACTCTTTCTACATTTTGATGCACGTGTTCGTTAATTGTTATAGGGAGCTAACATGTAATACTCAAAAGGTGAATATCGATCCTAACGGAAGGAAAGGAGACAAGAAGGAGGCGAGTCAGCTGACTCAATTAAGCGACGGATTCTCGGATGATGCTAGCTGGAGAATGGTGAAAAAATAGCTGGCTGTAGCACACGTGGCGGCTTTCTACCAAGAGTACCCGTAGCCGTAGGAAAAAGTCAGGTGTGGTTTGCATTAGATTTGAATAGGGTTGAGATTACTCTAATATAGTAACTTAGTAAGCTATATTGGGTAATAAATCAAGCTAGCTAGCACATTACATATGAAGATGTCAGTCCTGCTCTGTCACCACCCATGAGGCTGGACCTTATGCCATATCATTTAGCTTGGATCTAGTGTTGAACAGTCCAATTAAGAGCATTTGCAGGACAGAAGAAGGAAAAAAAGTAAACATCCAAAAGAAAGGGAGAGTTGACCCTAACCGTGAGCTATTATTTGAAGCAAAGCCCACAGAGTTTTGAAGAACAAGCATGAAAACGCAGTAACAGATTTACAGCGGCGTCGTTTGCATATCCACACTTGTCCTGCTTGCCAGGCTGCCAGAAAGATTGATTCTGATCTCTTCAACTCGCTTATACCAACCATAAGTGGCATCGAGGTAAGATCCAGTGACTGGATCTTTGTACCAGCGTTACGCAGTAGTAACGTATTCCGTTGCCGGAAGCATTCCAATATTTATTAACAGAGTTGCCTTATATCTTGTTCGCGGCGGCGCGTTGACGGTTTGCTCGACTTTCAATTCGACTGTTTTGGTTTCACTCGTTGACTTGGTTTGCGTACGCGTGTAGGAATAGTTAAGCGATACAGACCATGTTGTTTTCGACGATGCGATTGCTTCGACGCCCGCGGTTGCTTCTTGGGAAAACGTGCTAGAGATCCCAGCAACGTGCTGGTCTGAGGTCTCGACTGTTATGGACTGCGCGGTCGAGTTTGTGAGAGACACAAGGACTGCCTGCACCTCGGTACTGTTGTTGATTCCGTCGACGACGGAGGTCAGTCCACTCGTGTTGGATGAGTTATTTGCTGTGACATTGAATGGCTCGATGATTTCCTTCATTGGGGCCACGCTCTCCCACTTGAATGAGGATAACACGTTGTTGAATCGAACATCTGCTAAATATGGGACTTCCTTGACGTTACCCCAACCCTTGATGTTAGAATATGTGGCGACACTGCCATCTATAGCATCCCCACTAAAACATATGTTAGTGAGTTTCTTTTTGAGGGATGTTTACTGGTCTTTCTCGCTTACAGAGTAGCCGTCTGTCGATCTTGTAGCGTTCGCCAGCGGACAGAACTGGCGTAATTGTCACAATTCCAATCTCTCAATGAGTGAAACTTTCCCGGTTCCCATTCGCTGAGGAAAATTGTGCAGCGGCTGCCCGAAAAGTCTTTGTCATTAAATATTTCGATGGCGCCCATGTTGAGATCCACCGTTCGCCAAAACCATGAGGAGACCTGATTGTTTAGGTTATAATCAACCAAGGTTGTTCCTTGAGTCCTTCCTCTCCCGATCAGATCAAGAGTTTGGGCATTGCCTTTGAGATCAGCAACTTTGACCGGGTTGGTGATATTGGCCGTTAAAGTCACGACCGTGCCGATGGGCAAGTTCCAGAGCACCCAAGTGGCCTTGTTGTACTGAGATGCCGGGATTACGTGACGCTGGTTGGCCACATAATCTACGAGATTGAATTCGGTGCTCACGCCGCTTGTCCAACTAGCGTCCTAGGATCATCCAAGCAATTAGCCCGTTTCCCAAAACACACAAACTTGCAATTCATCTTTGAGAAGGAGTTAATAAGTTGATGGAATCTTGAGAGTTGGAAACTCCACATTCGCGTTTTCATACCGTAAATAGCATCACGGTACCGCTAGGGATATTGTAGGGAATGTTGAGGGAAGTAGTTGGGGTGAAAAGCTCGACAAGCTCCGAAAGTGCAAGTGGTGCCATGTTGAAAGACTTGACTGGTGGTAATGCAAAAATTTGAAGATCGGGTAGAAAGATAAGTTGTTAGATGCTCCAAGAAAACTGTTTGCATTTGATGGGATTTCAAACGCTTTTTGTAAACTTTTAGCAGCGACACTCCTAATTTACAGGAGTCACTTGTCAGCTCATTGAAGTGAACTAAGTTGGAAGGACAACTTCTTGATCTCTCCAATTAGGACTGTTTTCCTGAAAGAACATACACAGATTATTGTGCTGGTATGCACCACGAAAATGCTGAATCAGGTGATGTGACGTGACAGATATCACGAAGTGATTTCACGACACTTCGAACATATTAGGTCGACGAGAATGATTGTTCCTCTTCCACTTACACAAACTGCGATGTGCTTTTACTTTCGTCTGCATATTACAAAATCCAATCCATCCTAGTACGGCGTGATAAAAGCTGAACGACGTGCATAGGTTCTGTCGTGGGCGGCGCAGGCTCGGTGCTACTACATCTATTTGTATTTTGTATACTCTGTGTATTCTACGACAGACAATCGTAACCTATAATTTCTTCTTCGACATATTTCAAACGTTACTGCGTGCTGGCTTTAATATGTGTTTCTTTTTCAAAAAAAGTCATCTGTATCTTTAATTAAATTCTTTCATTTATCTTATATTTATTCGCGAATATGTCTATGTAAGCAGTTACTTTCTACTATTTTGGACGTACTGATTCAGATTACTTTTTCCTACCGTTTGGATCAAGTGCCCACAGCAACTAAAACAATCTTCAAGTAATAATTCAAGCCTCACAAAACGCTGTACCTCCTTTGCAGTATAGACTCGGATCTGTTATACGTGTATGTACAATTGACAGTTCTACAGATCTCCTTTTCATATATCGCACTGATATATCCGTACGAGTACCTGGGGACTATGTAACTTTGACGGCAACGGACAACGGATGTCAGGTCCCGGTTTGGAGGATGCTTCATTTTCAGTGGATGAGTACCCGGGGAATAGTTGTGTCAATAGACGAAGAGCCAGGAAAATGTCGTGACCAAGGAATGCTCGTGAAGAATCGTGTCGCCAGAAAAACAAAAAAGACTACAACCTAGATACGCAGCTCGATTTCGACGTGATCTTTGCTGTGACAAAGGGATTTAGCTAAGGAGATTGTGGTTGCAGTTCAATTGCCAATAGTTTTTATTTTCATACTGCGTGAAGCTTGCATGTTTGGATTTGACTACGACTTACCCTTCACATGGGGCTTTTTGGCGGCCTTTCCGCCCAGAAAGAGACTTCCCCCAAATTAGTTTCGGCTCACATCTTTTTTTGCAAGACGACAATTTCCGTGTTCTCTCTAGAATAGATGCGATTCCTGTATGGTTGGGCTTTTCGTCGAGAGTCTCTTGAAACACAGCCATTTCAGAATACAACTCATCGGTACCTTTCTGAATGTAACTGTGATGAAGTGGTCTGGAATCTCATACAGGATCCCGCCTGCAGCTGGCCTGCTTCTGAGGCACTCACGTCTCATATGAGGTTGTAGTGCTGATGTTTATTTTTTACTAGATCGTCGAGTACGGTCTGACTTCGGTATAGCAAGTGTTACTGTCGTTGTGGTTATCTGAGAGGTTATTTTTACGTGAATGTCAACCACAACAGACCTGTAGAATATTGTCCTTACCGGTATATTCATTATGATCTTCCACAAATTTGGTGCTAAACCTGTTTATGAACGTCTGAGCTGGATTTCAGCACCACTCCGACTGTGTGCAAGGTTGGCTTGAGGTGCAGGCAGTTTTGTCCATTTGGTCACCAAGGTCTATATCCTACGATTGGTATTGATACTAAAAAGAACTCGCCTGGTTGGTTCCAAAAGAAAACCCATAGCACTAAGGCACACTTTGGTAGTAGCGATATCCGGTCAGACTCTAACCGATTGGGAGTCCCCCACGAGATCAAGCTATTCGAAAGTGACTGGCCCCCTTAATTACCCCCCTATTTCACCAGCCCGACCGGCCCTTTCTTCCTCCGGCAGGCGAGCCATCGGCCCGAATATCGCAGGTATTCAATGTATGTCTCATAAGGTCCCAAGGATGATTACTGTACCAAAATCAAAAGGAAAGAGGTTAGTACTAAGCCGGACGGTACCAAGGTATACCATACCAAATGAGTAAGGTTCGATATAGATTAACGCACTCTTCGATTTAGGGAGTGTTGAAAAATTAAAGCTCCCACGGCAATCTTGCGTTTCGCAAGCCGGCACAAACCCCAATAATTAATGTCGTGCCTTTGATATGCAAGCACACATTGCGTGCCATTGCTGTTGTTGTGACCACGAACTGATTACTGTTAAAGGAAACAGACTTGACTTGTAAGACTTGATAGTGGGCTTACACGTTCAATCATCATAGACTCGCTAGATTACGACAGAGAGAAATGATGTTCTATTCCCAGTGAGAATATCTATCATCAAGTATTTCGATATTCGACATTAGTCTGATTGCCAGATACTTCAAAGTGAAATTCCAGGTTGACTGTTCTACATCATATCCCCCAGCGTCATGTAATCACAACGAGCAGACGTCATGAGAAATTGATATAACGGTTGTCATTGACTTATAGACAAACAGACGTCCACAAAGCTCTATATAGCAGAGAAAGCAAGTCCTTCCTTTCCAGGACGCCTTTACTCCCTCAGACCCAGCAGCTCGTCCATCCATCCACCACCCTAACCATTCATCTCAAAAAAACACATCGACCTCAAATCTTCAACGGGATCGGAGCTTTAAAGCTACCAGACTCCCTCTTGAACTCGTCAATACCATATTATGATATTACTCATTCGATGTAGCGACATCATACCCCGCTTCTGCGCAGACAGTACGCGACCTAATCATCGTTCTTCATTTCTTGAGATACCAGGAGCCTTCAAAGCTACCACGTCTCATTCCTAGTTGTGCTAGATAGGGACCAAAAATCGTGATGTCGCATGTAGTAGAAGAATCGCAAGGGGGGAAGGAGTTGTGTCGGGGAAATCAAATAACGCCGGGGGAATGTGCCAAGTGGTGGGTTGTAGACAATAAATGGAAATACATGACGGTGAATCTTTCGCTAATAGTTGGTCACATTCGAGAACTGGAAAGGGCGGCTTTTGTAGAGGTGGTTGCGGTGCTATTGACGGAGGCGGCGCAGCAGATTACATGCGCGCCAAGTGCTGCATCTGCGTGATGTGCCTCTCATTTCGGATTACAAGGTATATGTAGTGCAGAAATTAGAAGCGGCTCAAAGAGAGACCAGGTGGACGATGGCGATGGTAGGTTTTACATGTCCATCGAGTCTCCGCCATTCGAACTGGCAAAGTTGAAACCGGCACCACCCGCGGCAGGGTTCTTGCCGAACCCGAAGCTGTTCTCGTTGCTAGGCGCACCTTGTTGAGTATCACCTTCGGCTTCTTCCTCGTCAGAAAAGTATTTCTCGATCATGTTGTATGCCTTCATGTAAATTTCTTCGTTGGCATTTGTTTGGCAGTCGTGAATCTTCTCCATTCCTTGGACCTCCTCGATGAACAGAGCATATCTGTTGATGCTCTCGGATCCATCAGCAGCGGCGTCCTTGTCCATCTCACCAACCTTCAAAATGTTCTCAAGACCATCGAGTGCTACTTGAATGATCTTGTTGTCGGGGCAGGCGAGAAGATCGCACAAAGGCTTGATGCAACCTTGCTGGACGAGTAATCGAATTTGCTCTGGCTTTTGGAGGCCACCAGAAGTAGCATTCGAGATGGCCCAGCACGCTTCCTTTCGAGTCTTCAAGTCACCATTAGACAACAGGTGAATAAGAGGCGGGATGATGTTGGCATCAATAACAGCTTGGATCTGTGTGGAGTTCCCAGCAGTGATGTTGGAGATAGTCCAACATGCTTCCTTGCGAATTCCATCTTTTCCGGAGCTAAGAAGCGAAAGCAGAGCTGGAAGAGCACCGCAGTTGATGATGACTTGTGTCTGAACATCATCTCCAGTGACGATGTTACCAACCGATCGAAGCGCTGGGGTTTGTACTGATGTAGACGCATGCGTGAGCAGCTCCACAAGACGACGTGGAATGCCCGCCTCAATGACAGCTTGGATCTTGTCGTTTGCGCCATCGGAAAGGTAGGAGATAGCCCAGCAGGCATCGATCAACACTTCATCATCGAGAGAGTAGACCAATTTCGCGAGTACTGGGAGGGCGGGTAAGATCTGCAAAAAGTGTCAGTCCTCTGTGAAGTAATTTGAGATGGTCATGGTTCTTACTGTATTCCAATCTGGCTGCGGGGTCTTTCCACGGCAGAAGTTGCTCAAAGTCCATGTGGCGTTGCGGAGCATACTTAATTTGCGGCTATCGCCCAAAAGAGCGAGGAGCGGCTTCAAAGCATCACAGCTAAGTACATAGTCTCTGCATGATGGGCTATCACCAGCAATGTTTCCTAAAGCCCAGACGGCTTGCTCCCTGACATCTGGCTCGTGGCTTTTTAGCAATTCGACAAATATGGGTACAGCTCCGGCTTCGATGACAACTTGTGTCTGTTGCGCAGACCCAGATGCAATGTTGGTCAATGCCCAGGCGGCTTCGAATTGGACAAGTGTATGAGGAGAGCGGAGGAATTCGACAAATCGGCTAACTACACCAGTTTTAATGACCTCTTCGATTGGGGGGTTGCGCTCTTTCGAAAGAAGCTTTCGGAACTTGGTGGTCGCTTGGATCTGAAGATCGATTTGGTCGGAGAAAACACCATGGACCATCTGAGGGAGGTCCTCGTTCAACTAGACAGCATACATATTAGCAAGGGTTTCTACTGACCCAGGGAGCACCGAGAAGTGAAAATACAAAAGTCGCAAAATATTAGCCATATAGTTGAGTGGTACTGCCATCTGCGATATATGCGCACTGGCCGACACATCTTTCGCTAGGCAGTACCCCACCAGCAAAGTAAACAAAACAAGTGTCAACAGTGCTATTTACACCTCAACTATGATAATCTCGCCGTTCCATACATGGCACATAGGGAGAATTGTCTGCAATAGTGCTTACCTGACTTTCAGTGGGAGCAGTGTCATCGTCGCTGTCTGGTTCTGCGCCGAGAGCGGCTCCAGGACGAGAGCCATCTGCACCTGCGATACCTCTTCTCTTTGCCAAATTCTCTTCGCGCTTTGCTTTTCTAATCTCAACCTGCTGTTCCTCGCGGCGGCGTCTCAACTCTTCTGGCTTGAATGTGTTCTTTGCCTTGAATTGGGTACGACGATGCTCTGGGATGTAGCGGTCCGCCATGATTGCGATATGGGGAGTGCGTCCTATATGATGGTATAAGATTATGATTCGATCCTATTGTGCGAGATCAAGCACACGTCGTGGTGTTGTGAATGTTATTTTTGTGGTGGGGTTGTTCTGGAGGAAGTGGGATCAACTTTGGAGCTCAGAGAACCGGCGGCTTTCAACTTCTTGAGGGGCGGTGGTGGTCGCTTAGCGTCCAATCAGATTAAAAGTGGACCCGGCGCGTTCAGATTCATATGAAGGCGCGTCTGCTCAGTAGGTGAATTTAGAATATACTCGATAATTTTGTCAATTCGTACGGTCTTTATTTCTTTTTCTGTAAACAAAAAAAATTCTCTTCCGCAGAAGATCCGTCATCAACCGATCTAAGACCACCGGTGTTTCTAGTATCGCCATTCACCATAATATGCGAAGAGTGCTCAACCACATCGACCTTTTCATTACGCATCTCAATGTTTAATTCAGCGTCGCCCGTCGAAATGGAACCACCCAAGGGTTTCATGACTGTGGAGAAGGCCCTCTCCGCCAGTACTGGAAGGATAATTAATCTGATTGGATTTGTGAAAGACTTCCAGCCTCCCATGCAGACGAGGGGATCAGGCAAGTTGATATCTTGAAAATTGCCGTCAATTTCTGACAATTCACAGATGCCAAGTCCACTATCGTTCTCACAGATCCATCCATCAAGGATAATGAGTATGGTATTAAGTTGAGCTTTTTTAGCAAAATGGAATTTCAAGTAAGCGATATTAGTTCGTCAGACCTCATAGTCTTACGGAGCGTCAGGGTAAGAGGCTAATAGAACGTCTGGGACCAGACTCATGCTAATGTCGAGGAAGGTCCAAATGAATTCCAATAACATCTCTCTTATAACCACCAAATCACCGATGAGCGAGATTCACATATTGAAGTCAGCAAGCATACCACGTGATGCCTCCTTTCGGAAGCCCCTTCAATGGAAATCCACTTCCCCGTCAAGCAAATCCTCGTATTTGCTCCCTTCTTCAAATGAGATATCTTACGCTGTGTGGGCATTTTCAAAGGCAGAAGAAATGTATTTACCTACAGACCAGGAATTTCAGGAGAAGACCGTTCAAGCAATGAACGTAAAAGACAAATTTACTCTACTGAGCGATGTTAGCGCAGGAGAAACCAATCAATATGCTAAGTATTATGATCTGGTGGGCCAAGTTATAAAAATATTTGAGACATCTCATGGATTTGTTGAATTGCAGTTCTCAGACTATACTCCCAACAGCCACTTTTACGACCATACCTACGAAGAGAACACGTCCAACGATGAGAACCATGATTCATATGGTTACGGCAACAAATCTTCCGATGAGGCAGAAGATCGCAGTTGGAAAGGCCCTTTTGGAAAATTCACAATTACCATAACTGCCTTTGCAGAAAACGCCAGTCAGGCCCGATCTATGGAGGCAGGCCAATGGTGCTTGTTGAAAAATGTCAGGATTTGTACAGGTGACGCAGGTACTCTGGAGGGGAAAATACACAGTGATAGAGGTAGAGTTTTGATTCAAGCTCTGGATACAAATACGGAGCCATCACTAGTCGATCCACGATTGAAAGAGGCATTGAGACGCAAAAAGGACCACTGGAAGACATTCAATAAGAGACAGACGCAAAAATCACAGCATGTGCAAACGACAAAACAAAACACCAGTAAGAAGAGAACAGCTGAAGAAAGCGACCTGCCCGTGCCGAATTCCAAGGCACGTCGAAAAAAATTAGACAAGAAGCCGAGCAGAAGGCTACGGTTGGTCTCAATGAAAATGGTAAGAAGGCCCTGATACTTGAATACTTTTCTGATGGTGAAATAGTAAGATGTTCGTACCCGGACGAGCCGATCATCGGGATTCGGGAGATCCTTCAACCTGAAAAAATCATGGTACAAAGCAGCGGCAAGACCTTATGGGCTCCATTCACTAATCGCAAGTATCGCGCAAACGTGCGGGTTGTCGACTACTTTCCACATCGCATTGAAGATTTCGCCATCGCACGTCGCGTTACCGAATATGAGGCTCTCTCTGATCATAGTAGCGGAGAAGATAGCGATGATAACAATACACGGGGTCAAGGCAACCATGGAAGATTCGCATCTAAGGTTGTTTGGGAGTGGAGATTTGCCTTGCAAGTTGAGGACGCCCAGGCAAAGAATGGTGAGGATCGTGTGTGGCTTCTTGTCAACAATTCACAAGCACAAGGTCTACTTGGTTTGGATGACGATGCCTCGAAGTAAGTAATATCCTACGTGACAGATTCACCGCTGACATTGCAGTCTCCGTCTAAATCCACAACTGGTACAAAACCTGAGAAATCAATTGTTTCATCTCTGGGGTGATCTCGAGGAGCGAATCGCCGCAGGACTACCTCGTGAGGATGATGATATTCCACCATCTACAGACGAAAGCTTTTTGTCTGCAACATCACAAACTCGCCGAGCAGGAGATCAGCCAGACGCGGATGATAGTGATAATGAGCTTGATACTACTACAAACACACCATTGTCTGCACAGAGCGGCGCTGCAACTGGACAAACATCCACCGACCCGGTGACCGCTCATATCTCGACGAATGAAGGAAAGTCGGATGTCGCCCCCAGAAACAAGCCATTCACGTGTTGCATTCAGCAATATGGTATTCAGCTTTCAGAAAAAGACCCTTCTAAAGCGAATGCTGGAAATGGGAAAAGATGGCAGCGAATCTTTGGTATTCATGGAACGACAATTCCGGCGTAGAAAATACATCCTGTGCCGGATGTAAGCCAGAACGTGATATCTTTTACTTGTTAGAAGAGGCAAAGTCGTAAGTCGGAAAGCGCGCTCTTCTGGCGAACGACTAGGAAATCGTAGGGTTTGTTTGGATATGACACGGCGAAGCGAGAGCATACGACGATATGAATATTAATGAAAGTATGATAGATAGTTCTGTAAGCGTTAGAAACCAAGGTAATCAAACCATAATTACTGTTCGGAGATACGTGTACCACATGTAGTACCAAACTAATGCTACTTTGCGCATGGTCAACTTACAGAGACACCCAATAACAAAAGCAATGCAGAAATATCTACGAGCTTGTATAAACGGTCGCTATGAAGCAGCTAAGAGGCGTCTGAGCACTGCTGGAAATACGGCGTAGCATTATTAATTGTGTTCAGAACCACCTGCCAGTGGTTGATATTGACAAAGTCACAAAGGGAATCTTGACCGATCGCGACTTCCTCCGAGAACGAATTAGTGTCGACTTCAGTTCAATGTGGAAGCTGCCCTCGAGCCAAAGAACTAAACCGCGAAGTACCATCCCTTTCAGAACTCTTGGTTCTGATGTCCTCTTTCAGCACCTCACACACTCTATCACCAGCATCTCTATTTGCATTCATTTCGGCATTCAATATATAACGATTTGGTCTCATTGAACCACCAGACGGTCGCTTAATCTTCAACAACAAACTTTCGTCCACCGAGGGCCAAACACTCCGAAACTTCCTCCTGCTCGCCTCTGGTACCATTTCAACCGATTCAAAATGAATAGACCACTTCTAGGTATGCGGCCAAACCGCAACCGGGAACGTAATCGACCCCGTACACAACACCAGGACGCACTTCAGCAAATAAAGTCGGGATTGATTGCCTGTGCTGTGTTATCCTTTTGTGCAATAGTCATTATCTTTGGTCTATGTCGTCGTTGGGCTGACAACCACACTCCCATCACTTCTCCTGAAGCTCCTCACGACCCGCACTTCGCGTTCGACATGTACATCGATCCTAGAGATCCATCTCAGGGATCTTTTGTACAGAATTTCACTTACGATTTGAGATATTGGCAAGGGTCAGGGTCACCTGTGAGCTAGATCACGCCATTTTCTAGATCGTACTGACAGTCAACAGATTATACTGCATCAAGTTCCACGATGGTCGCTCTCCCGTGAGGGTTGGCAGCACACGATCGAGCTCGCGCACACTGAACCTCTATTTTATGCTATGCAACTCGGGGCCGCTGTCATTTATACCGATGGTCGCGACTTCGATGCGCCCAAAGAACTCACCTTCAGTAAAGCAAATCAATATCGTATTTGGAGGGAATATTCCCAGGATGTCCTGAATTTCGGAATGAATGCTTCGCTTCCTTTTGACTCCACGGGAGATAGCCGGCCTGATGTGTCTCCATGGATAGTTACCGGTTGTGCGAAGGAAAAGGAGCGGGCAGGCTTATATGATATTACGGTATCGCGACCTACGTTTTACGGCACAAGCACATCTGTGGGATTCCTGGATGTAGCCCTGGAGTTTTGTAGTGAGCCGACCGATACTGATCAGAAATTCCACTTCTACGACTATGACAGGAGAATGGCTCCTTTGTTCAGTATGATAGATTTCATTGCCGACCAGAAATATATGATGAAGAATATGGCTGGCCCGAGGTACGTACTGGAACGACGTCTTCGCTCGTTGGTCGGCATACTAATCCGTGGAGTAGTTTTTGAAGCCGGGCTTTTTAGACATATTCGTGTCTCAGGAATGATCCTCTGAAAGCCTGAGCACATACAATCGCTCGGTGGACGGACTCTGGAGCATTTTCAATTTATATGTCTTGTGGTCAGAAGGGCAGTGACATCAGGTGTAGCGTTTTTCATATTTCTTATGTTGCAAAGCGGTAACGTTGGTAAATCTTTACCCCCCAGCTTTGGAGCATCAGCGTTTTGTATATAAAACTTTCAAATGTGGCTTCGACTTCAAAGGGTTCAGCGGATCATTTAGTTTGGTCGCTGTGAATTTTGTTCTTCGGGACAATTCGTGACATTTGTTGCTGAACGTGAAGGAATTGAATTTCAGGCTGAACCCCCGACCATCTTCTTGATTGTATCCTCCATCCTCGTAACCTCCACCCCCTGCACTTTTAATAATCTCTCCAGCGTTCCATCCTCAATCAAACACTCTCCCTTCCTCAATGCCGCATACGTCGTACTCCACCACTCCACATTATCCTTCTCCACCCCTCTCTCAACACAACACTTCACATACTCCTCCCGTCCCACAACCTTCACTGTGACCTCTTTTCCTCTTTCTTGCCCTACAAGTTTCGCAACCTCAGCCATACTCAACGCATTCCTCTGCGCACTCAAATACAACGTCTTCCCGGCCCAATCCTCGTCCTTCCCAGCCAAAACCAGTGCATTCGCAAGTCCCAAATCGCTAATCGCAGTCCAACTCACCTTCCCATTTCCCGCTAACACCACCTCCCCTCTCTCATCATCATGAGGATCGTAGTAACCCAAATACAGCGGCCACGACTCGTTATACAACCCTTGCCGTAGAATCGTGACTTGCACTCCAGACTGCTGAGCCAGGAATTCCTCGGTCCGTAAATGCGCGCGCATCACGCCTGCTTCCGAGGGCGAGCCGAAGGCCAGACTGGTGTAGTAGATGTGTTTCACACCCGCTGCGATGGCGCATTTCAACGTCTCGATCTGCACGCTTTCGCGGCCGGGGGTGTCGGGGTAGTGGTAGTCGAGTGCTATCTCGGGGGTTGAGATGAGGAGGAGTTTGGTTACACCTTCAAAAGCGGAGGGGGCAGGGGAGTGGTAGTTCAAGGGGCGGACTTGGATGCCTTGGTCGATGTAGGGTTGGAGTTTTGGGGTGGGCGTTGAGGATGAGAGAAGGAGGAGTTGGGTTGGGGGGATGAGGTTGTGGTTTAGGAGGGAGGTGAGGATTGAGGAGCCTAGTTTTCCGGTTGGGGAGGTTAGGGCTAGCATTTTTGAGTTTTGGGGTGCGATGAGGGGATTGTGAGATTTTGTGAGATTGAAGTTTGGGTTCGGGGTGGTATAGGTGATATATAGGATTTCGGAGATAAGAATTATTTTCATGAGATCATGACGTATGAGTCCGAAACGTGATCGAACATCAGTTTTTATATGTTTACCAATCGTGGTGGTTTCACAATCGTGGAGTATATGATGTATTTCTGAACAGGTATTATACGATTTGTGTCTGATGTCTGATATTACTGCTTTTGTAATTTTTGGTGTCTGCGGTATGAGCCGCCTCGGACGCTAGCAATTGGTTAAGCATGAAAGGACCTAGTTTAGCCCGGCTCGTGGAGGACAAAATAAGTGTTAGTCAGTTGGCCATTAATCTTGAGACTGCATAAGATGACTTCGAATAGAGATCAAATGGCCTTGTTTACTTAAATGATTGACAAGATATGTGATAGTGTGCTAGGTTGATTAACGAAACATACGATGTTTCGTCGATTCCTTAAGGAAGTGTCTTGTTTCGACTACCACTTATTTTGTTATCCGCGAGCCGGAACGATGTTTATTTTTGGTATGGAAAATCTGGTAGAGTTCTTAAATGATTGGGGTAGTATTTGTTCATATCGCGGATCGAAACTGAAACTGTCAAAAATGATGGGACGTAACTGAGAATTTTACTTCCCTGATTTAGCGCCACCTCTTTGGTAATTAGACAACTAATGTTTTTGTGGAACGTCCAGATGCCTAAAGGCTAAGAAGTTCTCGATTCATGGAACTTGGTGAAGTCTCATCTTGTAGAACATGATAATTAGAATGATCTTCTCTCTGCCTCGAACTCGGACACATCAGTGTGGATTATCAAAAGTAAAACCGTTCAAGACAGTTTGTATTTGAGCCAGAAGATATAGGATTTTGCATCAACAAGCAAGCCTTGAAGGGCTAAAAGTCTCTAAAGGACGAGACCCTTCTGATAGTACAAGGAAGGGTCTCCCAAGGATCACGACCTTGCCAATCGTCGGGAGCAGCCCATCGAAATCTGATAGCGCTTGGCACCGAACCAACCATTGAAGGGAATGGAAGACTCAAAATGAAATCCGCGGGGTTTACCACCTTCCTAATCGGCTGCATCAATCTCGCAGCAACATCTTCATTCAGACTCATCCAGTGCTTTGCAAATACATCAAGCATGACATGTAACGTACGCAAACCTTTCATTGCCGAGATATTACCCCAGATTGCATTCCACGTACTCGGAAGCCCAACGAACCTGGTATCGGTCTGTTGTGACTCTTGCTGAAGCGTCTGAAGCGGATCCATTGGATGAAGCCAATGAAAGGCTAGTGAGCGAATAGTATCTATCCTCTGTGGAAGGAGCAGACGCGGCAGATACTCCATTACGTTGGAGTGCACCAAGGCAAACTCATTTGCCGAGTAGAGATAGGGAATAGCTTCTGCATATCTGTTGGGAGCACCAGTCAGGCCGACGCACGTGAAAATACTCAAACAGACAATTGCGGAGGTGACTTACATCTGCCTACAGGACATGAGAATGGGAAGGAACAGATTTTTCTCCATATTCCTTTTCTTGATAGACATCCGTGGGCGACATTGAAGAGAATGCTCGTTATGACTTAGGTGCCCGAAATAACAAAGCTGTCCAAGTGGTCTGGGCCATGGCGTCTCGAGGTGGAAGCGACGTCCCCCTAGCACAACAGCCCAGATCTGAAGCCGTATCTCTGTAGGCAGCTTCATGAGGCTAGACTGCTGTTGGAAATTCGTCTTGGTGTGATGTTCTGTATTAGGGGATGACGGGCGTGTCAACGGGTTACGATTAGCTGATAAATCGACGCGAACATCCAACGGATCCCTGCGAGTCCTAGCGCCTTGATGCTGCATATGTATAGCCTCCATTTCGCGATCTGTGAGCTGTCCAGTTCGACGTCTGTAAACATCAATGAACCATTGTATATAACTCGGCCAGGAAAAGAGCTTCTGCATCTCGGCGTGGGAATAGTGTGTTCAAGAGAAAGTCCTCTCCCAGTGTCTAGATGTGCCTACCTAGGTAGATATTTGTTATATAGCAAAACAACCGACTGCTAGAAAGGGGGGTGGAACGCCAACAAGATTCTGCCCAGGCGGTGTGATCATCTGCAACACGTGTACGCTGCTTGGACACAGGACCCAGATTATGAGTAAAATTATTACTTAGCTTGCACGGAACGCTATGCAAGATAAATTTAAGGCAATTTGTAAGTGAATGATAGTTGAGAAGGAGTAATTGAGGCCTGTTTCTATAACGCCACGTGACTGAAGCCCAATTGGGACTAGTCTAAATGATGACAACACTTCCCATGGAATGAATGGAAATCGCTACACAAACTAATGCGCACTTAACCAAAAAGAGATTTCAATCAACTTATTAATTGACCTTGTGATCAGCCCGTATAGGACGACGGTCTAGATGCCTAATCAGCTCCACCGCAGCACCGTACGCACCCACGGGGATATATCTGCTTTTGGAACGACCGCACGATGTCAGCTAGATATCCGGCCCTTACATACAGTTTTGACTGGAAAAAATATGTTGGAAGATGTACAACTGCATGAAATTTATTGCCTCAGATACAGCTAGGTAGGCTCATTGGTCTAGCTCGTGTAGTTCTAGCTATGTCTAGACCTCGGATTATCTCCCAACGAGGCTCTCAGGTGAATCTGCCCAATTTGCATAAGGTCAAGCAAGGTAAGCGATATATCGTGATGACAATGCAACCTTAATAAGAGCCGCATCTCGAGGGATGTTGATAAATTGTGACTCCTCGTCAAACTACACAACTCTCGACAGACAGTGTGAGAAGAGCCGTCGCAATGTCGCCATTTCTAAGAACTCTTTCGATACTTGCGCTCATTATATTATCGTCCATAGATGCTTATTATATTATCCCGCCCAACGAAACACTTTTTGCTTCAACTCCTACACTCCATGAGAGAGCAGAGATTGCTGCGGCACCGATTGGAAAATGTGTCCCTGTTGGCAGTGTCTTTCCAAGCGACGTAACGCTGCGCATATTACCTCTTGGAGCATCCATCGTCTTTGGCTATGCTTCGACCGACAAAAATGGCTTCAGAGCAGCATTGAGGTCCCAGCTAGTTGCTAATGGAGCTTCAGTAAACTTTGTGGGTGAATTACAGAGCGGGACAATGATTGACAACGATGTTTCTGGTTTTATTGGGGCCCGTCTGGATCAAGTGTTTACACCATTGGAGCATGCACTTCCCTGGCTGCCAAACATAATACTTATCAATGTTGGTTAGTAACTCACTTCTATTTACACTACACTTACTTCGACAAAGAGTTTGCTTGCAGAAACTTGTCTCCAGAAGAGTTCGCAAAAAACACTGGCTAACTGGGTAATTTCCATTAAGGTTCAAACGACGCAGGCCAGTCATACGACATCGTCAATTATCATGTCCGTTTAGCGGCGCTTCTTGATCGCATCATTAAAACTCTCCCTAAAACGGTGATCTTGCTTTCAAATATTCTTCCAAATCGTACTCCTGAAACGGAAGCCAATGTAAAAATCATCAACGCACAGTTCGCCGCCGTGATACAGGAAAGAATTGATAAAGGTGCACTCATTCATTTTGTGGATATGCATTCTCTAATGAGTCCTTCTGACATTGGCGACGGGACCCATCCCAGCGATGGTATAGAAACATTCCCATCCTCCTTCATGTAAATACGTCTCTAATTGCTTCTTAGCTGGCTATATCAAAATGGGTGGCATATGGTATTCCGCTATTCAGCAAGCCTTTGCCAAATGCTGGATCACTCCGCCAGGTTTCGTTGCAAGTATCAATGACACCGTCCCGGGAGCAATATCCAACGTAAGTGTAAATTCTCTGCTGCGGATATTTAACAAATATTTATCATCGCGTATGTACGCTCATTTGATTTCCCTCCCAAAACCACGCGCGTTCTTTCTACCATTGTTGGCTTTGACTTACCGTGGACTCTTTCAGACAATATGTGAGAATGTCCTCGGCAACGCCGTAGGGCCGGTCACCGTTCAACAAGGATCTGGCAATGATGATTCGGTCTACGTGTAAGTATTTTCATCTCGACATGAATGCAGTCTCCGAATAACAAATTATCTAGACATCAAGGCGAAGGCCTAGGTATAGCACAGATTGATATTCCTAGCGACGGGCTTGGATATGACCCAGCCCGGGTTTACTGGGCGGACATCAATGGGGTATGTACTCGATGGCTTGTTCGAATCTCTCAAGATGTGTTTTTTACATGATTGCGGTCCGCATATATATGATCTTACGACTGATTGTGAAACATAGGATGGTAAACGGACCGTTAATTTTATTATCTTACGCAGCTCACCTTTGTACAGGAATCGATGACTTCGTCTACTTGTACTCCAGCCGCCAGGCCCTTGGAGTCGCATTAAGTGACGGTTCCGGAGCTAACGGCTTTGGAGGGCCCGGAGGATTTCTCAATTACGCAATCCCTATGCCCTCTTGTTCGGGTGTTACTTGGTTCAAAGATATTGATGGAGAGTAAGTTGCAACTCGAGTCCAAGTAGTCTACATGCTGATATTATATAGTGGACGTGATGATTACATCTGCGTTGCACCAGACGGGAAACTCTCAGCTTGGCGTAACACTCCTGGGCCAAACCCTCGTCAACCTACCGTAAGTTATTCCTAAACGGTCGTCGAACCTGTTTTAAGAATATCTACTGACCTGACGGTACTTTAGTGGTATGTTATTCCGACCTCATCTTACCAACCCCACTTCAAGAAGCAGCTAGCCTTCCTAAATTTTGAATACCGGGTCTTTGTCTCCCACATTATTGGGTCCTATGTTGACTCGTGCGCAGGGTCAATCTTGGTGTGCTTTTTACTCCTGCCACCTCAGGAAGCACGCAAGGATCCACGGTCATTATTGCCGATATTGACGGCGATGGAAAAGATGATTATTTAACTGTTTCCTCGGACGGCTCGATTAGAGCATCTAGAAACGGCGGGGTGGGTATTCCCACGTACTGGCAAGATTTGGGAGTCGTTTTCAATGAGGGCGGTGGTCGAGACTGGAGAGGTTTCCAACTTGTGCGTATCCTCCCAGCACACACTGCTGCGTTGCAATGACATGGCGGATTATAGGACTGATCAATATTTTCTAACACTTTACCAGACCGATATAAATGGCGACGGTAATATCGCAGTGCTGGACCACATGTTTGGAAAAAAAGCTAATCAATGATCAGGACGAGATGATGTCGTGTGGACAAGCGACAAGGGTGAAGTCACAACATGGACTAACCTACGAGGCCATTCAGTCAATAGTCTCGTCCCCGTTTGGAGAGCGGCTGGAGTCACACATTTCGGGGATCCTCTCTTGACACAATATCCCAAACCGCTAAGCAAATTGATATTCGGTAATGTCAAAGGACATAAAGAATGGGTCACATACCCCAATTATCAGGGCGTTGGCAATGACTACACAGTCGCGTATCAAATTGGTCCAAGTGGCGCATACAAGCTCAGAGTTACGCTTTGGTTTAATTCAGGAACGGGAGGTGGCACGCGGCAAGCAGGAGATGGTGTTAGGTATTGTGATATGCGTGGAAAGGGATCAGGTAAAAATGTTTATCGTACATTTTGAAGCTTTCACTGACGCGAATTAGACGACTACATCTGGATGGCAAAAGATGGAACGCTCACTGTCTTTGGAAATTATAACAACCCGCCAAACTGGTTACAGTACGGTGTTGTATATACTCCCGGTTCACTCATGGCCGGCCACACGAGAAAAGATGTGCATCTGGCGGATCGTGAGTTCCCAGGCTTTATCCAGTGGCCTCAAACACTAATCTATACCAGTGAACGGCGATGGAAAATGCGATTTCCTCATCGTTGACAAAGCATCGGGATCTGTTCGCATGATTCGCAACGATTATTCTGCTGCCACTGACAAGTTTGCGTGGACTGATATGGGAATCGTGTTTGATGGCGGTGGCTGTAAGAATCATTATGGTGTTGGTCTTTTTGATATGGGAGTGCGATTTGCGGACATCACAGGTAAATACAACTGCTTTTGTGCTGGACAGACTCGCCTTCTCTATTTTACACCCCATAGTTCTGACATTCCATACAGGAAACGGCTTCCCAGATTACCTCTGCATCGATCCCGATGGGCGTACGGACGCATGGATAAATACCAACATAGTATTCAGAGCGATGGGTCAGGCAAAGGCATCTGCAGGCGCCGATAGAGCGAATATCAGATGGGCCGATGTTAATGGGGATGTAAGAAGAGCAATTATCCCAAATTACCGTTGACCGTCTCTAATAAGCTTCAATAGGGTAAAGCGGACTACATCTGGATCGACGAATTCCTCGGAACCTACCAATACTGGACCAACGCCGGACCTGGAAATCCAGCCGATAATCTTGGCAGCCATATCCACTGGGACGCGCGGGGTGTTTCGGGCGGAGGTGGAAATTTGAGAGGTGAATGTCTGGACTTTTCAGAGTATGTTACTTCCCCGCCGACTAAAGAACACTTTGATACCGAGATTTGAACCTGACGCGAGTGAAATCTAGCTTGAATGGAGACGGAAGAGCTGACTTGACCGTCATTTACCCTAAGACATCAGCGGCTTATGTTTATTGGAATTTGTGCCCGGGGAGTGGGCATCCACCGCCGATGACGGTTCTGCCACCCCTTCCTTCGTAGGGATTAATGAGTAATGAGGATGAGTGATCACGACGAAAATAGTGGTACATAGTTCATAATTCTCAGTGATCGATGGGGTCGATCTACATAATAAACTTAGTAACTAAAACAGAATAATTAAGCTATAATCGGCGAATTGAGCGTGGCAATTGTACTGGTTTTTTGTTCGTTACATAGCGTGTTTTTTCAATATAGTAAGTCCGATTATATCTTTAAAAGTTAAACTGAAAATGTTGCGTGGGAGTGTCCTAGATGTTCGTGAATTGATGCGGAGTAACGCGAACAAATGTTTAGTGTGTGGATATTTGTGAGGGAGGTATTTGCGTGAATGGAAGTTTCCGATCATCGTACTCAACTGCTGAGGGGTATGATGCCATGATAGCAATTATTCCTTCAGGACAACAATTGATAATTTCAATCATGGTAGGCTTGAGGTGTTCTCATCAGATCGAGTGTGGATGTGCGGAAAACTTATCATGAGCTTGGACAAGTTGGAAGCCATCATCGATGTAACTCAAAGTGGTGCAAGACAATCTCGATATGCTCATACAGTCATATTGCGACAGCCGCGTTAAAGTTGAATTGAAGTTGGGAGCGAAAAGATCATTCTTTTTCCAAATTGGACATCGTGACGGTAAATAGTTAAGAATCGTGGCAGGAATGGTTGGACGTCGAACATCGAATCTATGGTTGGCATACTGCCATCGTGTTGAAGAATGCGATCCAAGAACTGGAGGATGGTTGCCATCGCCGTCGCCGTGGCGTTTTCCTGAATCTGGTGATCGCGTCGTTCAACGATCTGTCGGCGGTGAGGGTAGATCGATATATATATAGGATTAAAAAGCATGATATTTCATGCAAAGTTGACCTCATGGTGATTGTAAGCATGGTATGTAGGACAAATATGTACGAAACTTATTATTATATATCATACTTCATTGTTTTCAACATCAAAACAATAATCGTACGGTTTTTCGTCTTCAAACCCACCCACCACGTCTCCCTCAATATAAAATTTCTTCTTCGCGCACCCAGCTCTCAAGCCAAGCACTCAATGAAAAAACTCTTCTTCCAGTAGGATGCAATCAAAAATTCCGCCGATCAGAACCCCGAAGGATACTGAACAGATCTCGTCGCCCCGCTGTGCAATGGAGGACTCGTTCTGCCAACTCGTAATTCTTGAGCTACGAAGTTGCCAACAAGGTAAGTATGAAGAAGAAAGAAAAAAAATTCGAAGGGAAGGAAGGGGAGCTTTGCTTATATAGGGCAGGAGACGCTAGTTGGACGCTAGTGGGAAGCGAGGGCGTGTGCGTTGTGGAGGGTCAGGTCATGTGATGCGATAGTGACTTTTAGAATCGAATCGTATCAAATTCCAAGAAGATATGCCAGTAGAGTGAATAAATTAAGAGGCTAATGTTATATTTAATATACGGTAGTAGGATTTTGTCTTTTTGGCCTCTTATTTTAGCCTTCAATAGGTTACAGTAAGCTTTTCTCTAAAGTTTTACTCCGGAATTGATTTACTTTCTGAGGACATATACATATCAATACAGAATTCTAAAACACTATGTCGATAAAAGAGATCCGTTGCAATAGAGTTGATTGATTTTCGATGTAGAGAGCCGGCAGTCGGGAGTGCTTGATTTATTTGGTGCTGGATTGTTGACAACGAAGAATTTGTATCTCACTAAGCAATACACTTTGTAGTAATACAAGATAACGAGTTTGAGGTATGCGTCATATGTTAAATTTATTTCTTTCCTTCACGGAAGCATAGTATGAAGGAAACATTGACTTTTCCATAAGAACCGTCGAGCTAGTGGCTAGACAACCTGCCGTCTGCTTTAGATATCACGATATTACTGAACATGCCACTCGACCAGATCGCTTTACGACAATCTTGAGAACTTGTTATAGTCTATTTAGAAACCAGTTTTTGGATATACAAACAAAACGGTAACTCAACTGACCGAGACACCCGGATGGGCTTCCAAGGGGTATTATTCATCGTGGGGTTGACCCTTAAACTCAACAACCAGACTTCAAATTAACCTGTCCAACCACATCTAAATACAAAATCCTTGTATAGCACCAAACCATTACACGACGCGCCACCTTAAGCCCGTGCTAGTGGCCATAAATGCACCTATCAGATTTGCAATTGCCCGCTCGAGAACACTTCTCAAACCGAGCAAGATACCACATAGTATCAAAGGCCTCTTCAGAAAGTGGTCTTGGATAATCATGTTTACGGACACAGTGTTTGACACAATCGGCTACCAGATAGTGCGAATAACAGTAGTTGCCTCCAGTAAAGAGGTTCCTGGCTCTCCTGCCAACTTTTAACGGTCGATCGACTCGTTGTCCATTCGAATTAAATAAGACGGGTCCGAGTTTGGCGCAGTTCGCAACTTCTTTTCGTTTGCTTTTGTTTTTGTCGGCTTCTTTTGAGTTAGCTTCTTTAGGGTCAGCCTCTTTAGGAGCCTCTTTAGGGTCCGTCTCCTTAGGATCGGCTTCTTTTGGACCTGCGTCTTTCGTATCAGCTTTCTTTTTGTCGATGTGTTTCTTGGCGACGATTTATTTTTCGATATGTTTCTTATTGATGGCTTTGATCTTGACGGCTCCTTTTTTTCCAACTTCTTTTTTGCCGGACTTTTTCTGGACGATTCCTTTTTTGTCAACCACTGCTAGAGAGTTGTCTGCTCTTAGAACAGGGTGCTCTAAGTCCTCGCTGTCGACCTCCGGCTTCTCCATCCACTGTTCCGCTAGACGCATCTCCGGTTCCACCTTATCAGCATTCTGGAATAGGGACTTAAACATCGTGGTAGACCTGGAGCCCAAAGCAGCGACTTCCTGACTCATTGGTCTATTAGCCACAGAGTAACCCGAGCCCCGCTTGAAGCGTCTGCCGTGTATGAACGGAGCTCTTCGGTTTCGGTATGCTCGCTATCATGACTAGGTGCCAAAATGACATGTTTACATTGGACGTCGTTTATATGAAGTGCTAGATCATCTGGAACACAATTAGCATTGAGGTATAGGCGGCTATATGGGAGAATAATTCTTACGCCAGAGCTGTTGTTTTACTTTCTCCTTCCCATATCCGTAGGCAACGAAATCGAAGCTTGGGTAGTTCCGCGTAAACCCAATTCAAAATTGACTCATATCTTCGACACTAGGAAGCAAACTCTTATCCCTCGATCAATTTCTTGACTGACCCTCTAAACTAGTATAGACTTTCACTACAACTTCGATGTTATCTGCGTCGCCGATAGATGTTCTGAGATTCTTTAGGTATTTTCGTATTCTTCCCAAGAATGCGTCTGCGGCTTCGAGACCACCCTCTAATCGTTGACACAAGAATATCTTGTTAAACTACACATATTAGCAAGTTGCTGCTTCAAATATGGCGGTGTCATACCAAGTAATCGTCCGCATCCCCGTTTACTAAAACTGACACATATTTTGGTGTTTCCTATTGTGTGTTAGCCAACAGTATAATCTTGAAATTGGAGGAAGACTTTACTACCTTTTGCTTATCAATTTTTGTTGCTAGTGCAGCTGCCTTCTTCTTCTTCGAAGTAAGCCATTCAACTTTGTACCGCTTCGATTTTGCTTGCCACTCAGCCAGAGATTTCTCGAGCTTGAAGTTTCTTGTCTTGGCCTCTTTGTACTTGGTATTCAGACGCTCAATTTCGCTGACGAGATCCTGTAGGTATATTGATACATTATCAATGCGAGATTCGAAAGTGAGAGAGACACACCGGACAACATTGTCTCCTTGTATGCCAAGTCCATGTAGCCTGTGGAGTAGAGATTTGAAATCTTCTGGGCTGCATTTTTCGGGTCTCGTGGACATATCGTATCAAGTAAACAGTCTCAAGTAATCAGAAAGGCGGTAAAATTCCACTGTGGATGTGAAAGGGTGATGGCGTACACGTTGGCTAAGAAATTGGCCCCCCGCATGCAGAGATTTTCTAAAGCACATTTGGTTTAAATTCACCAGCTTGACGATATTCACTAGACCGAGTTTGGTGGACACTGTAGGAAGAACTGTGCAAATGAAAGTAAAAGCGCTCACTTTCGACTTGATAAACTGAATGTTTCAGTGACCTGAAAATAAACCGGCACACCATCTGATGCCTTGCGTTTGTTTCTCGGCATTGAACATATGGTAAGAAATATGGGAGACTTCCAAGCTTCGAGGTACTTCAAGCCGGTTTGCTGCAGCTGACTTTTGTGGCGGCCATTCACCATAGCTTGCAATGTTGAAGACCACATAGATGAAGAAAACGAATACAAGTGAAATCGAAGGTACAAAGTTCAGCTTTACAGACCGAGCAGCGCGAGAGGGCTAAAAAAAAGTGAAATAGGTGCTAATTTACTCAACCGCTTGTAATAAGGCTAACACTCTTGATGTCTTGCTCTCTATGCTTTACCCCAAAGGAAGCGGCGTATGAAATGTCGGTGTGTTCTGGTCCATTAATTTCAAGGAAAAGCGAGTAAAGGTTAAACCACGAAGTTGAAGTGCTCCTAGCCATTCGACGGAACGAAATGGAAGAAGAGTGCCCTACACAGTGTTGTGGGGGACATCAGAAAAGAAAACCAGAAGTTATGACGGCATGTGCAAACTGTATTTTGGTGCCAGATTGTAAGGGTGAGATGATATAAGCAAAAGGTTTGAGGCAGAGAAAGTACTTGGTGTTTGAAACAACGACAAAGCTCAAAGGTGATCGAGAGTCTACGCCTTCAGGTCTTCGATGGTAACATGAATTTAATGAGCAAGGTAGCGAGGAAATATATCGTAATGAATGTTCCTGCTCTTACAGTGCAACCGTCTTTATTTTTGGTTTGTAATGTTATCTAATTGTCTTTCGAAAGATCATAGCGTAAGATTGAAGCTGAAATTAAATGGCGACGTAGGTACGAACAGGCCGTGGAGAGCTGAGAAGATGCTAAAACTGGTCGAAGAGGATTCGGAAATGATCGTGGTAAAGCTTCAATACACAGAAAGATGGAATGGAAAATAGAAGGTGAGAGAGAATAGTGAGGAGAGTTTTGTCACACTCAAGCAGCTCTCGAATCCATTTTGGTCTGCAAAAAGAAAATCGATGGGAGACAGGACGGACGTGTACAGTATCCAGACGGACAGAAATGATCGTAGAACACTACACCGCAATCCATTACAGATGACTTTTCTTGTAAGTACCTAGGCATTGATAGAATCAATTAAGCAAGCCCCCCTCCTCTTCTCAACCCTCTACCAGGTCATCAATCCATCCAGACTATCAAGTATTTATTTCCTAGTAGCGCGCTTACCCAACACAGTAAAAAGAAAAACCAAATACCAAAAAAGATCGCGTAGACCACATCCGCTCCAACACTCGCAAACCTCACAACAAGCAAGTCTTACAAGACCCTTTCCCAACAACACATCGTCAGCAACCGTTCGGTTGGACTCGAGTAGATGAATAGGGGAAGAGCTATCCATTTTTCTTTTAAAACAGAATTACCTTTTAGCCGCTTATAGAGAGTTTTTGGAGATTCTTACCGTTGATTTGCTTTTACATTCCTGACACCAGCACGATTAGACAGGCACGATTAGACAGGTCATAGTATTAGGGAATTTTTTGACTACGTGTGATTCAGATAAAAATAATGCCCCCCTGTGTAAGGCATGTACTTTGAAGGAGTTAGTACTCCGGTCGGTTATACAATGTTTTTAATCGTTTTGGACACTTGGGGATTTTGTTTGATGAAATTAGGAAAAGCGATACTTGCTAACTTCTTGCTTCATTTTAGAAGACGAAAGACCGCCACGAAATAAAATTATTTGCTATATAAAGAAATTCGTGAATGTCGCTAGCTGTGAAATATCCACTCCCTACCCCTGGTGCGTAAAATATCAGAAGATCGAAATAAATTGAGAAGTATCATTTGCCATAATCAAAAAAAAAAAACCACTGCACAACGAAGGAACAAATCGCCTGAAAGCCACGGAAAATCAACGAAGACCCTCCATCTAACCTCGCACTTCAATACCTAACCAAACCGCAAACCGCAAGAGGTGCGGCGTTTGAAGTTAAGAAACTTCACTTCAAACGACTTAGGTTTCCCGTGCCCTATTGTAAACAAACATACCGCAAAGAGAATAAACAAATTCCCCACCATACGGTAGATAGACACAAGCCTAGTGACCAAAGATGCATTTGTCATCTGTGCAGTTGCCGCCCATTCTCCTCATCTTATTGCACTTTCCGAACCGCGACAGATACCAAATGGCATCGAATTCTTTGTCGCTGACCGGTCTCCGGTAGTCGTGCCTACGAACGCAGGGTTTGACACAATCAGCACGTAGGTAGTGCCAATGGCAAAAATCGTGTTTTCTCATTGCCTTCAACAGGTTCTCATCAACGCTCAACGGACGATCCACTCGTTTGCCAGTCGAGTCGAATAAAACAGGTCCTAGTCTGGCGACGTTGGCGACCAACCTCTCTTCGGTAACTGGTGCAAGCCCTCCTACACCTGACCCGGTTTGCTGCAAAACTGGGCCAGCGAGTTTCTTCGAATACAACTCTGGTCGAGGCAGAGCTGGTGCTGATATGTAGTCATTCTGGAACAGAGATCTGAACATCGTCGTCGATTTAAATCCCAGAGTAGTGATTTCATGTCGCATCTTTTCGGTTTCTAACAGACTGATTCGAGCGCCATTCGTCGTATTTGAATACTCTCTGAGTGCTCCCGCATATCCACTATCATGGCCACAAGCCAAAATAACGTGCTTACATTGGATGTTATCAATGTTGAGCGATAAAACTTCTGTGAGATTGTCAGCATGTAAAAAGTTGGGGTACGAGCTAGACTTACTGCGAAGACGGTGGTCAACTTCTTCTCTACCAGAACCGATATCCATAAACTCGAAAGTCGGAAACCTTCGCGTAAACCCGATCCAAAACTGGCTGACATCGTCCAAACTATTAACTAACCTGCTTGTCAGGCAGAATCTCGACTGTCCTTCCAAATTTGCATAAGCCTTGACCTTAATGTGCACTTTCTCTGGGTCGCTGATAGACGCACCGAGAGTCTTCAAATACTCCCGCGTTATCTTCTCAAAAGCGTCAGCGGCTTCAAGACCGCCACTAATTCGACGGCTCAAGAATTTCTTGTCAAACTACAATATTAGCCAAGTTTGTACTAAGTACAAGGTTCACTGACCAGATAAAAGTCTGCATCAGCGTCTATCAAGACTAACACATATCTTGATTTCTCCTGAATATTGTTAGATATATATCACATTCAGGATTTCTAGTAGAGTTCACCATTGCCTCTTTGGCGACTCTTAATTCTGCCACAATCTCCTGGAAGCCACGACGTGCCTTTTTCTCTGCTTCCAGGTCTGCTTGTAACACAGCCAGAGCTTTCCCGTGGTCGCTTTCAGCTTCGCGACAACTGTCAGTGAGAGTTTCGAGCTGTCGGAGCACTTCCTACAGCTTGTTTAGCTCAGATTTCCACGCGAGAATGTGGTCGTGATAACATGCCTGGATTAGATCGCTTCTCTTCTTCTCGAGGCTATCAAACCCCTTGAATTGAGAACGCCGCTCATCCTTGGAACAAATAGTAGGTTCCATCATTTGTCAACCATGGGATCGGAAGTATGATAGAAGGTGACAGGTAGAAAGTGAAGAGCGGTAGGAGAAAGGAAATTTGAAGACGAAAGGTGAAATGGATGAGGCTGATAGCATAGGCGGCTTCCTGCTTAGATGGCCTAGATGGGCGGCCTAGTCAAGGCACAGCGTGTTGGTGCTTGTCCCGCAGACGAATAGAGATAAAGACAGAGTTCTTGACCTCTGAAGGGGCTTTGCTGAGCCCCAGTTTTTATTCTTTGGCACCTAATAATGGAATTGGGTAAAGTCAAGGTCATGATTAATTCTAGAGAGACGATGGAGGCTTGTCTACAAGAGATCCTTGCAGCTCCATTGTAACTTGTTGCAGTGAAGTGTTGAAAGCGCTGAAGAATGATAGTGGAAGGAGGAGGGACAAGATGGAGAGAGGTTGGGGCTGTGCGTTGTGGTTGACCCGGCCACCGTACGATAAATCTCTTCACGTTACACGGCTTTGAGACAACCAACATCGTACCTTCGTCATGTTTGTCTTTTTGGCGTATGGGTTATCGAGCATAGCAGCACTCGTCAAATAATACTCTTTGTTAATACATAAATGGTGAGACTACCAACTCAAGAAACAGCCTTTCAAGCAGTTTCAGTTTGAACTTTGAACACTCCTCAGTCGAAAATCTTGAGGGCTGTTGTTTCTGATGCTGTTTTTAACTCGGCAGGCTGCTTGCAAACAGTATACTGTGTTGCTTGCGAGAATGCGAACTTCAACGCAAATATGTATCTCATTTTCGAGCATCAAGGAAAGTAATCAGCGTCCCAGCTGTTTTGTCTTCGTAACCTCGCACATCTGTAAGGAGTTTTCGATGACAACGTTTGGGGTGGTTACTTTCTTCAACCGCCGCTTCAGACCCCTAATCCGTTGTGTTTCCAACAGTCAATTAATATGGTCTTGCACTCAACTCATTCCGAAGATGAAGTTGAGCCTCCCACAATTTGCCGCAATCCAGTAGAGCATCTCGAAATTGCTTACAATTTATTGGTCTTCTATCACCTCAAACGTCTAATTTCGGCTCCTTGCATGAGACTTATGTTGTACCAACCGACAAACGGCAGACGATGTTGGTGGTTCATTCTGAAACGAACACTAAATAATCTTGTTGGTGTGGAAATTATGTAGGGGAGGTAAGTCGGGAGATGATGCAACATGACAAAAGCAACTTCAAGATTTCATTTAGAGCAATTCACTGCATGTGAGAAGAGCACGCGGAAGTTTAGTGGATTCAACTTAGCGAAAGTATCTACGGCATCTCCGAAACCCATAATCTCGATTCGGAACGCAGATATCTTATCTTGACTTGTTCTTACGAAATGAGTAAGTGTCAAAATCAGAACCCGAAAGGATATTACGAAATACGCGAGTCACCACGAAAAAGAAGCAAGCAAGTGGAATCAGTTGAGAAAATCTCGCGTATGTGATAGATGCCCAAACTCAGTTTGGAGCGCAAAATATATACAATCTTGAAGTTAACTATTTACAGAACCTTCCGCCCTCTCCTCGCAAATGCACAGGAGACATCTTATATAAATTCCATATCGACCCGAGCTCGTGCACAAGCTTCGAGAGATATTCATCTGGAACATGACATTAGCCTAAGTCTCGTATAACAAAAGGGTAGCAGGAAATACTCACAATCTAACCATCTAAGAGACAGTAATGCTAGCAGACCCACTGCTAAAGTACCCCTCAGTAGCAACAATCTGGTAATCATGCGCACCAAGCTTCATGTTCAACTTAGCCCACGCATCGAAGTGGTTTCCGATGGTGACGGAACCGCTGGAACGCTTGTTCTGACGAACGGACCAGTATTGTTGGAAGGTAGCAGTACCGATGATGGAGGGCTGGTTGGTGCGGGTGCTCTGGTAGATGTCGTAGGTGGATCCGTCGCTAACGACCGTTCCCTTCTTGGTGGCGCCGCTGGAGGGGTTGTAGGTGCCGAAGTTCTCGACGACGTAGTATTCGATGAGCGGGTTCTTGGTCCAGCCGTAGACGGAGAGGTAGGAGTTGCCGTTTGGCTTGTATGTGCCGGAGAAGTTGATTGTTCTATTCACATCATCAGCTAGAGTTCAGTGAGTTGGATGAGACTTTTCTTACCGTCTAGCTCCTGGGTTCCATCCCTTTCCAGCAACGAAGTTTCCGTTGTTTCCAGACCACGTCACGCTGTAAGACCCAGCAGCACCGTTGGTGTATGTGATTTGACCAGCACCATCAGTCCAGAACGAGTAGTAATACCCATTGTTGGTTCCAGTGCCACTTGGAGTTCCACCTCTGGCATCAAGCACATCTCTTGGGTAGGCGTTGGCAAGCACATCCGTTGTTGGTGCAGAGAAGACACCAACGGCGGTAGCAGCAGCGAGGAGAAGGGAGTTGAATGAAACCATTTTGATGAACTATTGCAGATATCTGTAGTAGGTTGGCCCTTCTTTCAATCCGGGCTCCCATCTACCTTATATACACATCTCCACCCATGAGAAATCTCGTCCTGGCTATTACCGTCCTTAATCAAAACTAAACAACCTCAATAATCCCGATTCCCAGAACCTTAATCGAAGATCCGTCGCCTCTCCTGCCCATGTCCTGAACACCCGTGATATAATTGCGTACTATCCACCCCAAATCCCATCATCCTAGTGGTCAACACCATCAACCTGGCGCGCATCAACGTTTCGTCGCTCCCCAGCATTCCCGGTCTATAGACCCACCCCCTCCGTCCCAACTCCACCTCCAATTTACCCATCCAACACCCATCCTATCACCTCCCCAAACCACCTATCCCCATGATTTGAAGGAAAAACACTACATCCCATCCCGCCAAGCCCTACACCATATTCCCTAGCAACCTCAACTCAAGACTTTTACCCGGCGAACGGTACATGTCCCGGTAATGTACCCCAGGCATGCACCCCAGACGCCTCTCACTATCGGCGTAAAGGAGGATCTGCCAGCTCGTATTTAGCCGAAGCGGGTATTTTGGCTCAAGCTTTTCTTCTTTTTCTTCTAAGGGTCGCGACTAAGACGCCCCTCTTCGCCTAACCGGTTTCAGAACACCCATCTTAACGACAACCGCATATCGACGTATTTCTTTTCTCGCTTTAATATTATTTCTGGAGAACCCGGGACGTGCTGTAATGCAGCGGTAGTTGCAGCCGGAGCCGCAATACGCAGTAAATTACACAACATCCCTTTATTATTTGTTTTGTTTGATAAAGTCGCACATATTTCGTCATCCCTTTTCTTAAACGAATAAATCACGTATAAACGAAACAACCCCATCGTACACCCGCCCCAACGATAAGGCTGAATTCCCCTCCCCTCGACAAGGTCCTACGGATCTCGTAAATCTGAATGAGACCTCTGCTTCGCTGGCCCGTTGAGACTATCGAATTTCGTATCGTGAGATGGAGTTTATCCGGTGCATGAACTCGAGATCGTTGGATTTCTTTAGTCAAGGGCTTATCTGAATGATCTATCTAGCTTCCCGCGTGGGAAGGTTGGTAGACCGGGTAAATCGAATGGACTTGATTTTGGGGTTAGGTTAGGGACTGCCCCGAGCTAGAAATTCTGTAACGCCGAGGAGCAAAATTGATAGTGAGTTGTACGCCCATCAAGGTCCTTTTCATCTCGTCTACAGAGAGCCGTGATACGAGACTCACTAAAAGTTAAGCATGAAATCCGCCCAGAGATCTAGAGCCCCTAAGTACCGAGAGACGATCGATCTCGCACTAAAACAAGTTTCACTAGACCCAGCCCATCCGTCACTACCCGCGCTTCTTAATCTACATGAATCTTGCACCGCCATAACACCACCACATAACATCACTATTTCCCAAAACGTTCACACGAACAACCTAATAATTCCCCAATCATACCTCCCTCCCCCAGATTCCCAAAAAGAGGCACATCCACTTAACGCCACACGCGCACCAATCCCACCCCCCTCCCAAAACCACATCCCCGATGTAACATCCCCCATCCGCCCCTACCGCAACCCAACCCGGGTTCCACAAACTTCCACAAACGAGCAACTACCTTCCGCTGGCAAAGTACATAAAAGGGGGCTCTTTGCCGGCTAAATAAATGTAAGGCTTGGCCCTTGCACCGGTGACCTTGTGTATTTGTGAGGGGTTGGAAGTGGCAATATATTTGTTTGATGACGATTTGTGTGGTGGCCGTGTTATTGGGAAAAGTGCTCGCAAGAGTTGCTGATTGTGAGGTATGGCGGAGGGATTGGACCGGACTTTTCAAAAAAAATTGCGGATGTATTCGTGGAAGCGCACCATTCCGAGGGAGATGGTTGATGGTGTGAGGGACTTGATAATTCGTTGTCGGGCTGAATGTATACCTCCTGAGATCTCGCTTAATTGTCATCCATCTGAGGCTGTCGAAATATCCAGGTCAAACTTGTCCTGGTTGATGGATGATCGAGTGCGCGACATTCTTTTCTGTCAGTTTGCATATTCGACAGTTTCTTGTTGTATTGTGATATCGACAATTCCATCAGGCCAACACAAATTTCAGCTCGCTTGCTAATCTTCAAGAACCTCATCGAATAGCATATTCCCTAGCCAACCCATCCTCACTAACACCCGCATGCATCTCCAGTAAATACTTATCAAACTTCCCCGCCACATTAATAACATGGACCAAATCCGCATAGCTCATCGGCGCCTTCTTGTACCTTGCCAGCTGTCTGGCTGTCGTAATCGCATTCCGGATATGTCTACCATTCATGTTATACGCTGCGAGCTCCTTAGTATGGGCGCGGATATCGTCGAGATCGATTTCGCCGTCGTCGAAGTTCTCAAGGCGGTTGATGAAGTTCTCCCAGACTTGCAGACGTTGCGGACGAGTGAGGTTTTCGTAGCGCAGGGAGAGTTGGATGCGGGATTTGAAGGCTTCGTCGAAGGTACCGACGCGATTGCTGGTTAGTATCAGGATGCCGTCGTAATACTCGAGTACGCGCAGGAAAACTGTATACTGGTAAGTTACCGGTAAAAATGTAAAGGATTTTGGAGACTTACCAGAAACGAGTGCATTTCGCTGCAAGTCAGACAGAGTCCGTTGTTCCAAAAACACGTCTGCTTCATCTAGAAGTACCACTATGGCGTGTTAGCTCTAGCACTTGTGCCGAGTTTGTTGTACGTACCGCATCCCCATACTTTGCCCAGATGCAACACCGTTTTCAGGTACTGTGTCAAGTCAGTCCATGGATCCCTCTGGGTACGAGCGGCTTACCTTTTCGACAGCCTCTGGATCGGTTCCAATATCGCCACACGTAACACGATAAAGCGGTTTCTCAGATAGCTCAGCAACACTGAATGGTCAGTAAACAATCTCCCGGGAAGGTGGAGGAAATACCTCTCAGCGGTTAAGGTCTTGCCAGTTCCAGGTCCACTAAAATGACAAATTCAGTAAAGCTGTCAAACACCCTGCCGAATTGAACCCCATACCCGTGTAAAAGCACAATAAGTCCATTTCCTTTATCACTGATCAAATCTGTATTTTTCTCAGCGTCAATTTGATTGGTGACCATCGCCGTGATCAAAGTTTTAGTCTCCGCATCAACGACAAGACTATCAAAAGCTTGCTTGTTCCACTTGACGTCGGAGAGGTGATCGACAGGCAAAGTTACTGCTCCCAATCAGTAAAGCCTTCATCTTCGACCCTGTACTTACACCACTTCTTCTCCTGCATATTGAAGCCCAGTACCGTCGGCGGGAGAAGCGAAAGAAAATCTCCTCCCGGTGGCTCGTCTTGAGATACGATTGAATTATCTTCAAACTGTGAGATGTTCATCGAATTCCCAGGATGCATTCTCTTGTATGTAGCAATATCCACCATGAATCTCCCGTCAAGCTAGAGGTTAAATTAGCCACATAGCAATCCATCTCCAAACACTAAGATGCTTACGCCAGAGCTCGCTTTGTTACGATTAGTGTTGGTATAATAAACATATTTCCGCTCCCGACAAGCCCAGAACATTTTCCCTCGCGCAATCAATTTGGCTTTGATACTTTCGTCTGCGTATTTCAAAGGATACACATTAAGACCGGATATGGGAAATGGTCCTACAGCAGCATCATCATACTCGACATCGATCTCGTGTTGATTCTCCTGGAAGTTTCCATCGAAATCCCAGTAAGAGTATTTAATTTGCCTGCAAGTCGGCTGCTTGTGCCTGCGTATCGAAGTGTCATCGTACCATCGATCTTCTGAGCCTCTTTTGATGGGCTTGGCTAGTTTTGATAGTTGTCTGTAAGCGACGATAAGGTCTGAACCACCTTTGGACTGACGACTTGACTTTGTCGAAGGATTGGTCACAATTAGTTGTTGGGGTATCTGAATTTCTTTCATTAGCATTCTTTGGGCACGGTCTCATGTGTCAGAGCAGTTGCTTACAAAAAGGCAATCAAGATATTTTGGTGTTATGAATCCCCTTTCTAACAAGGAATCTATTTCTTCGTATTCATTTCCATTGTGCTCGTTGGCATGCTTCATGAACATCGTGATCTGGCGCTGATCTTTTTTCTTCAAGGATTCGACAGAGTCCTTCCAGATATGACGGTCAATGTAATACCACGCATAAGGCGCTTCAAGTTTAGCTGAAGTCACGAACTCTGGGTAGCATGCTGGCACTCTGCCCGTGAGCTTGGACATTGCACGAAGAGCTACACAGAATCCTTCTGAAATGAGTTGCATGGTGTCTTTTATGAACAAGTCTTGTGGGCTGTCAATCACCCTTGCACCTTTTTTGGGGGGACTATCATTAGAAAGCGAAGATTCCCAGCTGTCACCCCACTCGTCATCATGTTTTTGGCAGCACTGGTATTCTTTGAATATCAGGAAAGAAAGGTTTCCGGTCTTCCCTTTGCTCAAATTCGATAGATCGTCTTCTGAAACCGACAGATTGCCTCTAAGATGATATTTGCTACCGCTCTTACTTTCGTCAAAGTTGGGTGAGTCGTAGTAAACATTATACTTGCTACTTTTCGCACATTCAACTCTGTGGAGAATTTCATATGTCGGGGGTGGCTTTGATGTCTTTTTCTTTGTTTTTTTATCCGTGGCTGCTTCGCCATCTTTCATCAGGCCTAGCAGCGATGATAATAAATCTCTGTCATTTGTGCCTTGACTGGCATTCAATACAGTGCAGACTTGGGATCTCCAATCAACAACCGCTTCTTCCGCGTTTCCAGCCGGTTCCGGGGGGCCTCGAGAGGTTCCAGATGAGAATGTATTTTGCCTTAACATGCTCCGGGGAACAGAGATATTTGGTTCATCCTTGAGTTCCAATGAACCAGACCTGCTTCTAATAAGGCTCCTGCCTTCGCCATCGTCAGGGTAACCTGCGTAACTCAGTGCAGAGTCACTGTCCGAGTAATAATGTCGACTCCTCGGATCTTGATGAGAGAATTTAACGTTTTTGGGCATGTTGTTCTGGCTGTTGGTCAGAGTGACTTTGCTGATAGTTTCATGTGAAATAGGGAGTTGTGGTCCTGACTCGTCTCTCCTCGGGGATGTCGGCGGCGAAATATACGTTAGTGTAGACGATCGTCTCGAGGCTTTGTTTCTTTCAATTTCTGCCGAAACAGTGTGAGAAGGTTGCTGATGCACCTTTTCAAGCTCTCGACGTTCCGTGTCAGTTTTGCGATCCAACCACTTCGGCGGATCGTCTTTCCACAATGGAGGGTCTGGAACAGCGGGTAAAGGTCCGGTAAATCCGTAATTTGGTTTCTTCTCCCAGCCTTTTCCTCGCCCCGTGTCGTCTTCGTCACTCTCTGGTTCTTGAGATGGTCCCGGCCGGTGCGGCGACGATGAATCTGTTTTATTTTCTGTTTTCTGGTGACTGAAATTTCGGTTGAAACCACCTTCAGAGGAGGGGTCTCCAATAAGATTCTAGAATCCCGCGTCAACACCAGCTACTGTAGGAATTAACATTCTGCGTACCTTGCGATTGTCTGTGTTAGCTATCTCTGTCAGACCTTGTGCTATGATACCATCTAAAACCTTCGTTTGGTCTTCCGAGATGGTTGAGTGAAGAGCTTCTCCTACTTTACGGTCCAAGTAAGATAAGACTAGAAGGTCAAGATGTGTGATGTTCTCTGTCATTGACGGAGCGCCAGACGTCTCTTGTTGGCTAAACTGGTCTCCAATGTGACCAGGCGCCAGATATGTGTTCGGTCCGCAAGTCTTCAAGCTGAGATAAATGCTCTAGGCGCGACATGGATTTTATAACATTCCGGGGCGACTGATTTGTGTTGCGGAAGTTCTGATGGAACGAGGCACCAGTGAGGCTGAGGTTCAAGACTGCCCAGGTGTAGTTCTGCATTCTCATTCGATAATTAGTCCGAGCTGCAGGTGTGCGCACCTTGCGCATTTGTCACCAATACAGATACCTTGCCGCCGCCACCATCCAAAACCTTGTACGCGGACTCGAGAACATGGTTCATTCACGAATTTAAAAGCCCTCCGATTGTCATCGAGCCTGGAGGGAAAGAGGTGACAATGCGGTGATTTGAACAATCAACTCACAGGAAATGCTAAAAACAAGTAGGTTTCAACAATTGTTGCTAGAGTTCACGCGCTCACAAAGCGCAAGGCAGATTTTCTTTCTCAGGCTCACCCGTGCACCTGTTTCGGCGTTTGGAGACCACAGGCAAGCCGTTCTCGTTTGTGGCTGTGTGTATCAACACCGCGAGATGTAGTAGCCGACAGGATTAAAATCGAGCAACCATCTGCTACTACTTGCAATCACAAAGAAAACACTTCATAATTTGCTTGAACCTTCACGGGTACTGAGCAATTATTGACTGGAAGCAATAGTCCCTATCGCATATGCAGTGCCGCTCGCTCCTCCGGTGCAGCTCCAGATCATGGCAGGGGCTACTTCATCGAAACCAGCAAGCCTTGCTAGTAAATGGTACGAGGGGAATAACTCAACACAAAGGTGTGTGTGCCTCTGACGTGTATGGACCCTCCTAATCACACCCAATGAAGCGCGGAAGACATCGCAAATGAAGCTTTCATAAAAGCCACAAAGCTTTTCGACGAGAAGTTCAGCGATGGCAAGAATAAAAAATGGCAGAGCAAAGCGCACTCCATGGAAGACGTCCTCAAAACCGTGAATGCTGGAAAACGCAAGTATGATATGCGAACAAAACACATGGACGCCCGAAGATGGCTCCGCAAATTATCCCGAGGCATCTTGTACTATGCATCGATTCTTGATGTCATCGCACAGCATCATCCGGAGTATGTCTCGTTGGCTTGGGGAGCTATGAAGTTCACTTTGGTAGTAAGTGATTTTTGTCTTGCGTTGGTGCGTTGATTGAACATTTTCCCAGGGCATCATAAACCACGAGCACCTGGTAGTCGAGCTGTCAAAAGCCCTATGCACCGTCGCGGATGTTTTGCCAAATGCAGAATTGAAGAATTTACTCTATCCAACAGAGCAAATGAAGCATGCAGTCGCCGTGCTCTATACGCAGATTTTGGAATTGCTTGAGCGTGCAGCTCAATGGTATAAGGCCGGGAAAATCCGACACTTCATCGGGTCCATCACCAAACCGTGGGTATTGCAGTTTAGTGACATTGTCGAAGAGATATCAATCGCCGCGAGGAGGGTTGACCAGCTCGCCATCAGCGCGAGCATGGCTGAGCAGCGTGATATGAACCTACAACAACAAGAAATGCGCTTAGAACAGAAGCTGACGTATGAAGCGGTTTTGGAAGTGAAGAGAATCACAAAGGGTAATAATATTACCGAACCAGTACAGGAGTTTTCAAACTGACCAAACGTGATAGAATATCAGAAACTGAACATGGCGGGTGCTCTTGATACAAACAGGAGAGTTTGTGAAATCCAATTCTCTCAAATCATGACGTTTATGGAGGTGACATCCATGCCCACTCCCCACGATGCACGAACACGCCTACAAGCAACGCGCAAGATACGAAGACGAGTGAAAAGGTTGACCACGTTGAGACAGCCGATTTGGAGCTCTCCAGCTTTGCAAGATTGGGCTGACGCCAAAGAGTCTGCAGTAATAAATATCTGTGGCTCGTATGCAACTAAAACACCAGCAAGAGACTTTGCAATTGACGCAATTGATTTCATCGAAGAGTCCCAAGTGCCCATGATATGGGCACTCAATGTCGATGGCCAGCAAGATGCCACCGTGTCTTTAACAGAAGTATTGAAGCATCTGATACTTCAGGTGTTGCGAATAAACCATACAATGTTGACCGAGAAGTCCCTGGCTCTGAATGCCGCACAATTTCAAAGTGCTACAACCCTGGCCGATTGGATCAAGATCTTCGCTGCCGTCCTCCGCGGCATTCCTCATGCATATATTGTTATCGATGCCGAGGTTACCAGAGATCAGTATGAAGCACAATGGCCGCAAGTATTTGAACTATTGTTTGATGAACTCAAGAAGCAGAGGATTGAGTCGGTGGTGAAGTGTGCTGTTGTGTGGTACATACAACAGCCGTATGAGCCAGGGACAAGGAGTATTAAGCTGTATTCCGCGGCGCCTTCTGCAAAACGGATGCCCACGGGGAGGAGTAGAGGTGGCCCACAGCATAGAAAGTTGAATCTGCGGCCTCAGACGAAAGCTAGAAGATGAATAGGTCTTGTCAAGAACTAATGACGACGAGTCAGAGACTCACTGACAGAACACGTGTAAACCATATAACACGGTTCATCGTGTTTAGTCAGTGGTAGCGAATGCCGAAATGGAAGGCCTGAAAAAATTTCTGATTACGATTGTTATTGCTTTGCTTTGGTATCCTTCCGAGTTATCAATCTCCACTGATCTTCGCGTGCCTGAAGTATTTCATGCCGACCCAAGCGACAACTACCCACACCCATGCCATGACTGTTGTCAGAATCATCAGAGCAGGATAGTAGCCAACGATCGGAAGAGTGACGTCGTCCTCAAGTTCTGGGGGAGCGTAAGGCGTCTCTCCAACATCCCAAGCCCAACTCCAGACACCAAGACAAGAACCCATACCGGTAACAAAAACAATCCAGGTCACGATCAAGATGATCCAGCCCCACCATTCGGTTTCGGAATAGTCCCAGTCGGTGTCAGGAACCGGAAGGGGACTCACTGCAAGGCCAGGAATCGACAATGGAGACTTTGGTTTCTGACCAGAGCGTCTTCGGGTTAGTGAGCCAGATCCCGGTGGAAAATACGAGTCGGATCCCGATGAGTTTGGAGGAAGACCTCTGGCAGCTGGAAGACTGTGGGTTGGAATAGAGAGGATGTCGTCCTCATCAGTAGTTGATGTGTAAGTCAAGGTTGGACTGGTTGTCAGGGCGTGGTCGTCGTTGCCCATTGGAAGTGTTTTGATAGGAGATAGCAGAGGCGTGACCCTGCTGGCATAGCCGTCCATTGACGGGCGTGGCGTGGTGTCGAGACCAAGCCCAAAGGTACCAACCTGAGGTGGCTCGTCTGGTGAAGTAGGACTTGTTGACATGTCGCCGCCGTATAAATTATGGTCCGTCTCGAGATCCAGAGTTCTGATATCTTTTCTTTCTCGTTGAGCACCTCTGCCAAGGAGCGCCGCCTTCCTCAGTGAGCCTTTTCGTCTTCTGGTTTTTTGTTGCTGCACAGCTACTGCCATTGCTCGATTGGACTTTTTGGCAGAAGTTTTGTCATCTCCAGTCGTGAATTCAGGGCTCAGAGGCCCATTGTCCACTGGTGAGTGATGTTCGTCACTGGTAGATCTCAGAAATGATAGTTTTGACAACAAGCCCCCAGACAAGCTACGTTTGTGAGGAGGGGTTGAATTTCCGGAAGTAGACTTCAGCTCTTCTCTAGAGCCAGAGGAATTACTGTCGCCGGCAGTATTGGCATCACTGGGACGGCGGAAGCTGTCCATCTAGATAAAAATGCGGCCGTAGTTCAATCTTTAATAGTGCTCTGATCCACGTGTCCGAGGAGTGTGTAGGAATGTGTGATTCAGGATGATGCGACTACCGAGAAATTGATGAGGACGTATTAAGGACTTAATTCGCAACGTGCAACTTCTACGGAACAGGGAGGATGAAGAAATGTCGTTGAAGTTTGTGAAAGCGTGAAGGAAGAAGTTCGAGAAGAGCCAAAATAAAGTTGTACCTGCGCATCGCTTGATCGGGAAGACTGCAGACAATCGATCATCCACGCCAAGGCTCCAGGGGTACAACCGCCGTCAAGGTGTTCCCAAGAAATCCTGACATTTGACGACACCATCGCTTTGTCTTGCGCCAGAGTGTTCAACTCCTTACACTCATTTTCGAACCTTCTCCATACCTCTCATGCTCTCCACGAATCGATAGTCCGCGACAATGGCTTCAAGCCTGCCAATTCCCGCTCCTCCTCGGACGCCCACCCCGCCAACGCCCATACCAGAGGAGCCAGCTGGATTGGGCATTGGGCCAGCAGGGCAGACGGTGCAATCTACCATCTCCTGGGATCCCAATACCTTGTCCCCAAATGCAGACACCTTTTCACAACGGTTTGGCTCAATGGCCTCGCCGATGAACAGCAGCATTGGTTCTGCGAGTCCAGCGACGCCAGCCTTTGATACCTTTGACACCTACGACAACAATGGCACAACGAGACCTCCGTCAGCTGGAGCAAGAAATCCGTTCAACTTCCAGACGCAGATCATCAGCGACACTCCTGCAGTCGCAAAATCAGTAGGGCAATCACAGCGCGCAGCAAAAGGCGGTCCGCCTCGAAGAATCTATGCTAACAGACGCAAAAAGAACATAGGCCAGCGCAGAGGTCACAGATACAAGCACAGCAGTGTCTCTGCCCAGCACCAAATCTTCCTCGAACCCCCTCCCCGAGCACCTCTAGCACTTCCCGCCTCCCTCCCCATCCCTACGTTCAAAGAAGCATGGCATAGCATGTCGAAAGAGCAGACCACGCGAATAGTTTGGTGTGGCTGCCACGCCTTAGTATCAGCATATGTGCTCTACTCCTCCGCCGGATCTCTGGCCCTCACAGCACTCTCCCACCTCATCTTCTTCGACGCCATCTCGGCCACCATCTGCGTAGTCGTCGACGTATTCTGCAACTTCGAAGTCTGGAAACGGTCGTCCATCCGTCACCCCTTCGGCCTGCAGCGCGCAGAAGTCCTAGCCGGCTTCGCCATGTCCGTCTTCCTCCTCTTCATGTCCTTCGACCTCATATCCCACAACCTCAAACACGTCCTCGAATCCATGGGCCACCACGAACCGCACCACCCACACGAACACCGGCGCATCTCCCCAGGGAGCATCGACTCCGCGGCCCTCCTCTCCATCCTCGCAACGCTAATCTCAGCCATTGGTCTCAAAAACCACGCTCGCATAGGCTACGCCATGCGCTTCGCATACATTTCCTCCCTCCCCTCCATCCTCTCCAACCCCTCACACTTCCTCACCCTCTCCTGCAGCGCCATCATGTTCCTCCTGCCCTTACTCAGCATCAAAATGTACATCTGGCTTGACCGTCTCCTATGCACCGTCATCGCGGCATCCATGCTCTTCCTCGGCATCCGTCTCGCCATGACGCAGGGGCTCATGCTACTCATGTCCCACAACGACGATGGCGTGAAAGACGTGATAAGAGAGATTGCGAGGGAGCCGATGATCAGCAGTATCCAGGAAGCGCGGTTCTGGCAGGTGCATTTCGGGCTTTGCATGGCGAATATCAAAGTCGTAGTACGCGGTGATGATAGCCAGGTGTTGAAATTGAGGGATCGGATTACGGTGTTAGTGCGGAATAGACTTGGGGGTGGATATGGTAGGGGTGGAGGCGTGAAGTGGGAGGTTACGGTGCAGTGTACACAGGAGAAGGGACGGTTTTAGTATGGGTATATATTGGCGTTATGGGTAGGTATGAGGGTTACAGCGAGAGCATTTTGCAGAGCTACATGGGCTGGCTATACTTTGGGCGTTTGAAATTTTGGGGGTTCTGATACCAGATTATGTGGATGGCTGTTGTAAAATAGCGTGAGGGTTATAAGTGTAAAATTTTGGAGGTCTTATAGATTCATCCTATACTATACTAATCTTACACACTATATCTCTATCACATTGATTAACTCCTCCGATTCCATTTTAAACACCCCAATTTCAAATCCGACGCCTCAAACTCACCCGCTTGCTATTCTGAACCCAATTTTTGGCAATCACGCTTCATCCTTCTTGTCGCCAACCTACCTTTTCTCATATACCTTATTGCAGGAAAACCTACCTTTTCTCATATACCTTATTGCAGGAAATGACATCACGTCAGTTCCGGAAAATACTGCGCAATCTTCAACGGATCACCATAAGCCGTCGCCCGCTCCTCCTCCACCCTCTCCACCACCTCCTCTCTCTCCTCCGTAACCCTCTTCCTACCAACATTACTCGGCGCGAAGCGCTCCTGCGATCTTAGCGCCTGCAATGCCGTAATCTGTCTAATATCACTCTCATGTCTCAGCGGCGAGATTTCTCTCGCCGGCGTCAAAGCCGGGGAGATTGGATCCAAGAGCGTGGATGCCGCGCTGTTATGCGGATTTGACTTGGATGCGGGGATGATGGTGGATTTGTTGAGGGATAGGGTGAGAGGGGCGGGGTTACCGGAGGGGGAGACGGGGTTATTTGGATTTCCCTTTTCGTTTGTGATGAGGCCTTTGTCGTGGACGAATTTGGAGGAGCGGCGGTGGTAGGGGTTGTGGTTGTAGTATTCGTCGATGATGGGGTGGACCATGACGGTTTGTTTGTGGATTGTTAGGGTGGAGTTTGTGGGGACTGTTACCCAGGATTCTATTAAACATCAGTGAGTGGTACATGGAATGTGTGGAAATGTATCCTATACCTCGCTCGAAGGTCAGGGGTTCGCTAGCTACCAGTACGATATCTGCTCCCTTGTCTCGACGATCCATTTGGTATTCTCCTTTGCTACTCTTGTCTTCCCAAGTCGTACCCGATGAGTAGTACAGACTTGCTGCTTCATCTGTTCTGCTACTGACGTATCGGGTACACACCACGCTATGCCCATCACTAATAGCAAAATTAAGCAGACTTCGGGTGTCGACATTCTCGCTCTCCACAATATCCTCTGGTATATCCGCAATAAAGTCGTTGATCTGTTTGATTGTTTCCAACATTGCTTTTCGTAGAATTGTTGGCCCGAATCCAGCTGGTGGAGGAGCACTGGGATTCTGGCCCATTCTCTCCAGAGTATCAAGGTACAGTGCAAACGCCCATTCGCTGTCAGTACCACCATGGACACCCAGGTACCATTTATCTGCCAGTCTCTCCCCGAGACGTCGTTTGATATATTTCCAACCACCTAATCCTCCATTGTGCATCCACATTAAGCTTCCATGATTGAATGGGTGACAGTTATCGTCGCTCAGCGAGCCTTCGGTAGTAGCTCTGACGTGGGCAAATATCAACGGTGAAGCTGTCTTGGAGGCAATTCGTTGAAGGTTGATACAATTCCACGCGGGTGTAGTAGACGTAAAGATGCAAGGCTCAGGTCCAAGTTTAGGATCGGTATAATATCCAATGCCAAATCCGTCACCTGTAAAAGCCAAAGTTATTAGTACTTAGGTAGTGTGTTATGCTCGTGGAGAAACTTGCCATTATGCGGCCTTCTCATGTCCAGACGAAGCCTGGAATCGAAAGATTGCGTGAGAATAGAGTGAGTAGGATCAAGAATCAGTTTCGAGAGTAGAATCTCATCAGACCCTTTGTACACCTGTTTGCAACGTCAGACGCATCCCCAATTCAGCTCATTCAAACTCACCAGGAATCGACACATGGTCGCGATGTGATTGATGGTGAACCAACCTGTCCCGAGGAGAAAAGTATTTTGTCGCCTCCGGGGATACTTCTATTTTTGGTGTTTGCTGTCGCTGGAACAAAGAGGTGCTTTTGTTGACTCAGATATCGGCTCCAGGGGAGCGAGGCTGAAGACAATGTAATGAACTATTGCGCCATCGACGGAAGGTAAGAGCTGCTTAATCTCCTTTATATTACACGTGAAACTGTAGTTGACTATTCGAAAGTAGATTAAAAGATCTCTGGAGGTTTACGGTTATTAATATGAAAGAAATGAGATTGTAAATTTAGTATATAAAAGCTTTCTTGTGGTTATGTTGTCGTCCTCAAGGCTGCGGAAGTGGATGATTTTCAGGGCCAGTCCCCAGCGACCCGCTTTAAAGCGGGGCTGACAGACCTCAGTGCGCCACAACATGCAATTCACACTAGCCACAGATCGTGCATGATTGAATTGTTCCTTGGTGTTGAGATACTCGAATGCACCGCCAGCAGTTTCCTTCCTCCTCTGTGTTTGATTCATGAATATCAAAGATCCAACCAAACTCTTGACTTCCTCGGCTGGCTATCATGAGTGCGAGGCTCTTGTCAGCTAGGCTCAAGCCGTTGGCCCAGAAAGTAAACATCTCAGCGGCGCGTCATATCCATCACACCTCAGCCGGCGGACTTTTACGATCGAATACAGCTGTACGAGTAGCACGACGCAAGATATGGCCAGCAGGATATACTCAGTTCTCTAATGCGGTAGTCGTTCGAAATGCGTCCTTTGCTAGAATACTACCGAAGCTCTTTCTGAAACTTGCACGAATACCAGCTTTGTTTGCAGGAGCTACTATTACTGGACTTGCATATGTGCAGTACCAGGCCACACGTATGTTCATTATTGCCTGCCTTTATACTCAGATGTTGACCATTTTACAGAGGCCGGAAATTATGCATTGGATGTGTTTGGCAGGACAAAGGATACAGTAACTGGAGTCGCTGGGGGGTTATTTGGAGGGGCAAAAGATATCGCAGATCAGACATGGAAGGGGTGGGAGAACACAAAAGAGCAGGTGGAATTGCCAGATTGGATGCAGAAGATATTACGAATTCACGAGGACATTGGCAATGGGAATCAAGGAGGAAGCCAGGGAGGTCCAGGTGGGGAGCCCCCAAAACAAGCGAGGATGGGAGCTGCTGCTGCTGCTGGAGGAACGGCTGCTGCCTATGGTTATGATCAATCGGAAGAGGAAGACCCAAGATCTGGGGAGGAGGTAGCGCGGGACGACCAAATGATGGTGTTGACGAAGAAAATGATTGAGATCCGAAGTATACTACAGACAGTGGGCCAGACGAATGCGCTCAACCTACCATCAATTGTTGTTATTGGGTCACAGTCTTCAGGAAAGAGTTCTGTTCTGGAGGCAATCGTTGGGCATGAGTTTCTACCGAAAGGATCGAACATGGTTACCAGGAGGCCAATCGAGTTGACTCTCGTCAATACACCGGATGCTCACGCCGAATACGGAGAATTCCCAGCTCTAGGACTTGGAAAGATTACCGATTTTTCGCATATTCAGAGAACTTTGACGGAACTCAATCTGGCAGTACCTGATTCAGAATGTGTCTCTGACGACCCAATCCAACTTACGATATCATCGCCAAACGTCCCGGATTTATCTTTAATAGATTTGCCTGGGTACATCCAAGTAGTTGGACACGACCAACCTGCGGAGCTGAAACAGAAGATTGCTGATTTGTGTGACAAATACATTCAACCCCCAAACGTTATTCTAGCTATCTCAGCGGCAGACGTTGATCTGGCCAACTCTACTGCACTTAGAGCCAGTAGAAGGGTTGACCCTCGAGGTGAGAGAACTATTGGCGTTGTAACAAAGATGGATCTAGTTGATGCCACTAGAGGTGCAGCAATCTTGTCGGATCGAAAATACCCTCTTCGCCTTGGATATGTTGGTGTAGTCTCTCGAGTACCACAATCCAGCTCAAGTCTTTTCAGAAAGGGCAGCGACAACATCGCTTCTGCCATTACCAAAAATGAGAATGCTTTCTTTTCAGCACACCCTCTTGAATTTGGTCCCGAACGCGGATTGGCAGTCGGAACCACTACTCTTCGTAAGAAGCTGATGCAGGTTTTGGAGCAGACCATGGCCGCTAGTCTGGCCAGCACTAGAGACGCAATTCATCAAGAGCTCGAAGAGGCCACCTACGAATTCAAGGTCCAATACAACGACCGACCACTTTCAGCAGAATCATATCTTGCGGAAAGTCTTGATGGATTCAAGCATTCATTCAAGGAGTTCACGGAAACATTCGGTCGTCCTCAAGTCCGTGAAATGCTGAAAGAGGAACTAGACCAACGTGTTTTGGATCTACTAGCAGCGAAATACTGGAATAAACCAATTTTGAACCTGGCGCAAGCACCAATGGAGCCAGACGCGCTTGCTGATCTGCCGAAAGCCGATCCAGAATCACTATACTGGAACAGAAAACTTGATGCTTCAACCTCTGCCCTGACAAAGCTGGGTATTGGTCGTTTAGCCACGACCGTCGTCGCAAATGCAATTCAAGCAAATATTGACCGCCTGATTAGTCAAAGCACATTTGCCTCACATCCATTCGCTCGACAAGCCATCACCGAGGCCGCCTCTGGGATTCTCAACGAGCGCTTCTATAGTACCAGTGATCAAGTTGAGAACTGTATCAAGCCTTACAAATTCGAGATCGATGTTGAAGACGGAGAGTGGGCACGAGGAAGAGAACACTCCGCCGGTGTGCTCAAGAATGAGCTAAGAGCCGTTGAAGACGCAGTCAAAGATGTGGAAAAACTTGTCGGCGGAAAGAGAAAACTTAAAGATGTGATGAGCTTCGTAGAAAAAGCCCGAAGAGGAGAAGTCGTAGTCGGCGATGACGGCGCCACCGGCGCTGGAGGTTTCAGCTCTGATCTCCTTAACAGAGGTAAGTCAACCCTCATCTCTATTCATATATATATACTAATAGCAATGCAGGCAAAGAAGCACTCTTCCTAACCACCCGCGCTTCCCTCCTCAAACTCCGTCTCTCCGCCCTCAAATCCCCCCAATGTGCCTCAAAAACAAATAAATACCACTGTCCCGAGATCTTCCTCGACGTCGTCTCCACCAAACTCGTTTCCACCGCGGTCTTGTTCCTGAACGTCGAACTCTTGTCTGAATTCGTCTATCAGTTCCCACGCGAGCTGGATGCGAGGTTAGGAAGGGGACTGAGCAAAGAGGAAGTAGAACGCTTTGCGCGCGAGGATCCGAGGGTGCGCGCGCATTTGGATGTCATTCGCCGGAAAGAATTGCTTGAGTTGGTATTGGAGAAGATGGAGGGAGTGCGGGATTTGGAGAGGAGGGAGGGGGAGAGGGAACGGGAGAGGTTGAAGAAGAGTAGAAGGAGGGAAGGGGAGGGGGAAGATAAAGGACGATGGGGGTTTTTGAAACGGTAGTGTGGAAGTGAGCGACCGTTTGTCGTTGAGAGGAGAAAAGAAGAGGAGATGGGAGTGTAACGAGATAGCGGCGTATGGATTTGTCTTTTCGGATTGGTGTTAGAGCGTCTTTTTTAGTTAAATTCCCCGCTATAGTTTTTTGGGTGTGAAATTGTATAGGTACCTCAACTCATTCTTGTTGTCTTTTTTATGCGTTTGCTGGGATTGTGAGATTATCTTGATGAGATATCATCGATTTTTATTTTAAGATATTGCTGCCTTCGAACGTTCATATATACTCACTTATTCATAAGAGTTTCTCTCAGGTTATGATGGGGAGGTTTGAGGACAAAGATTCGAGATCTCTCACGAGTGCTAAAGAATAATCACGGAATATTTATTGTATTACTTTGTTGTACCCTCTGCTCTTCTAAGTTCACAAAATAGCAGGTTAGAAAGCTGTAATTTTTCATATCTCTAGTTGTTAAAAGATATCAAGTAATATGTATTTGGCGGGATTAATAATGTCGGGCGAAAACTGTTGTATTGGAGATGAGGATTGATCATGGAAAGGGTTGGGTGTATGGGAATAGTAATGAAGTGGTTGGGAAAGAGGTAAGAAGTTCTGTACTATAAATGCTAAGGGTGGGAGGGTGATTAAGTTAAATGCCATTTAAGGTGGTGATGAAGGAAAACTTGTAGTAGAGATATAAATTGTATGGAAAGCTTACTAATGGCATTTAACACTACAAGATTTATAAACCAAGATCTGTAGTAAAAACAAAAACACTATATTATTACATGCCATTAGCCATGATCATAACTTTGTAATTCATCACATCAAATAGGCGTAAAGCACATTGCTTCCTCCCTTGTAATCTTTTCTCACCCTCTCTCCTCCCACACCCCGTCTAAATCCGCAACAAAAGCATCCGCAACCACAAAACTCCTCTTCGAAATATCCCCCAACATCCTTAGTATCTTGGATCTCTGCCCAATGGTCTTCGCTCTCGCACCAGCCACCCTCAATGGGAAAAAGAACAAAATCCCCACAAGCCGCGTTGTCCTCAGCGCAAGCTCCGCGTTTGAGAGAATAGCGTTTACATGGTTCTGAATCTGGGAGGGGCAGAGTGTGGGAGAGGCACTGTGGTTGAATTGAGTTCTGTATTCGAAGATTCCTGAGAGGTAGATTGAGATGGAGTGGTAGTATGTTGATGCTAGTATTATCCAGGGATCTTGCTTCGAAATTGGATCTTTTTCGATGTCGGCTTGGAAATTTAGATGCCATGCCTCTAGTGAGGTACGAATAAGGAGCCCTTCAGCTGCAAGTTCGACAAGCTCTATCTTCTTAGGGAGACTAGCAGTGGGATCGATCACATTCCAGACCCTGTTTCCGTTAGCATCTCACTGATTCAAGCGAACTGCATCAAAAATCACCGTATCGCCAACCCAGAACACCCAACCATCAAGTCAAAAAGCCTCTCCTTCGGATGCCCCTCCCCAGCCATCTCCCCCTCCCACATCCTACTCATGATATCTCTCCAACCATCCTCCCCCAAAAAGCTCGCCTCCGAATAAATAAGCGACCGACAAATCTCAAACGGCCGAAAAGTAAGAAAGAACGACCGACCGCGTCCCTCTAGATGAGCTCCGGGTCCTCGGGCTTTAAGAATTTGAGATGTACCATGGAGGATATGCTTTACCCATCCTTCGCCAGAGATATCGCACATGAGCTCGAAGATGCCCAGGAAAAAGGTCGTCCAGAGCGCTGCGTCGTTTTGTGTTAGCTTGGTGAGCTGGAGATCGGTTCGGAAGCTGCTGATGGATTTCTGATAGGAGGTCAAAGCTGCTGTCGTCGCTGATTTCCGGGCTGCTGGTGAGCTGAGCGGGTTTTTGCTCATGTCGAGAGCGCCTACGGCTAGTAAGACGTAGTATAGACTTGGTGAGATTTGGAAATTGCTGATGATGGCGTCAAGGTCTAGTGAGCCGCTAGCGAAATCATTGCGGATTAGGTACTCGGTGAAGAAATGTGAGATGAAGTTCTGGGATACGTCTTGTGTTATCTGATTTGGGATTTTTGAGTCGGTTCGCTTAGTATGAGAGCTGTGAAGATTACTCGAAAGGGGAGTCGAGAAGATTACCCCGGCTTGTGGTTTTGCTGGAGGTGGAATACATGTAATGCCTTTCTTGGTACAGTACAGACACGGTGGCTCGCCTCCACACTAGAAATTTTAATATTGAGCGGGGCGGTAGGTAGAGAGACATACCTTAATACGACGCCGGCTACATGCTTGACATCGTGTCCGGATCGTTCGTCGGTCAAGGGGTCCCAATACCATCTCTGTGAGTGGTGGTTTGACATCAGACGGTAGCTTTTGCAAGCAATAACTTGAGACGATGACGACGACCGTATTGCGTTCTATAGTTTCCAGATCTGGCACGCTGCGGAGAGAACTCGTCAGGTTTTACGATCTATCTATAGCTAGAATAGCTTAACAAGCACAACCTTGATAAATCTGAGATTAACAAAGTAACAACAAAATAGACCTCTCTATTTTTTTCTTAGTAATCCTTTCCGACTTTCTCAAGAATGTCGGTGCTAGATTCACATCGAGATTTTTTTTTTCGCATAATACGTTTTTGCAAAATACGACGACTCTTTCCACCACGAGGAGGATAACGCAGATGGAATTTTGAAAAGGGGGACTCGCTAAGACTAAAGCAAAGACCGAGCTTTTCTAGATTAGGAAACAATTGAACGCACCCACGTGATCTTGACCCAACCACAACGACTTAAGATTTCATGACACAACTTTACATACTTGTCGTCGGGAGCAATTTGAGGCTGACTTGTCTTTGCTATGAGATAAGTACCGCACTAGTCTGTAAAAGGCACCAATTGAGCGCTGTCAAGCTGTTGAGCGTCACAGGCAGAGATTTTCAAGTATTGAAAGACCACTTCATGGCTATTTTGTTAGATACGATGGATCTGCTGTGGAGACGTTCTCAGCTGTCAGTCACTAATACTCAGGTAATGGAGGTATAAAGCCCCCCATCGATTCCTTATATTGACCTCTCATCACTCATCACTCATCATTCATCTCATTCCCACCACCACACTCTCATTCCCTCTCCTCCTTCGACAAAATGCCCAGTACCTCCATCATCCTCCTAGCTTTCAGCCTATCCATAACCCTCCAACCCATAACCGCAATCTCATTCCCTCCCCCCACCGGTCCCTATAACACCTCCCTCCTCACCACCTCCCTCATCGACCACCACCGTCTCGACCCCTTCGCACCGACCAACACATCTCGCACCCTCATGCTCTCCATCTTCAACCCCATAACCCCCTCCACCTGCTCCCCCATCCACTCAACCTACATGAACCCCGCAACCGCCTCATTCGAAGACCCCCGCCTAACCGCCTTCGGTCTCCCAGACAACCTCTTCGAAACCCTCACCCTCCGCACCTGCAAGCCTAATCCTCAAACCCGCCGCGCTACCGAATTTCCCGTGGTGCTTTTCTCCCCAGCGGCCGGAACCACACGACTCTTCTACAGCGCGATGGCCCAACAAGTCGCCAGCGCCGGGTATCGGGTTATCATGCTCGATCATCCGTATGATGTAGATATCGTGACGTTCCCTGATAACTCTACTATTCTCGGTCTCGATTTCATAGACGATCAAACTCCTCTGTTAGTCGAAATCCGCGCGAAAGACATGTCGTTCGTGCTGGACCAACTCTCGCAGGCGAGTGTGGCTAAGAAACTATTTCCGGGGACGACGTGTGGGATTAACGTGTCTAAGGCTGGTGTGTTCGGACATTCGTTAGGCGGAGCTGCGGCTGCGGAAGCGATGTTGTTTGACAAGAGATTTGCGGGAGGGGTAAACTTGGATGGTTCGATGTTTGGGGACGTGGTGAAGAAAGGACTTAAACGACCGTTCATGCTGTTCGCACATGCCGGGAAGAATATTACTACCGACCCCACGTGGGAGGCGATATGGCCGAAACTGACGGGTTGGAAACGAGAACTCATGCTGGCTGAAAGTGTGCATTATACTTTCTCCGATTTGTTGGATGTTTTGAAGGTTCTTGGGTTTGGAGGGATGCTACCGAGTGAGGCGGTGGAGATTGTGGGATCGATTGATGGTGGGAGAGGACTTGAGGTTGTTACTGCTTATGTTACAGCGTTCTTTGATTTTGTTCTGAAGGGGAAAGATGCAGGGATTTTGAAGAGACCGAGTACAGCGTTCCCTGAAGTTACTTTTGGGTTATCTTGATCGCTGAGAGTCCCGTCAGGGAATTTCACCAATGATACCACTCATGACAATTAGTAGGGAAATTTGGGAATAGCGGAATTCATGCAAATTAAAAGAGAAGTTAAGATGTAATATTCATAAATAGAAGGGTCCGTAAGAGTTGTGTAATACATATCACAAACATTGCCTAGGATATATATCTCGATTTTCATGTCAGTCAGGAGGCAGAACCTTAAGCGAGATTGTAAAAGAAAAGTCTCAGGAGCGATGGAAAATATAATAAATCCTTAATAATAGCGAATGATCACTATATAGTATGTTAAATAAAGTAATTAAGTTGTAAATAAAAATATTGTATTGTTACATGGCCACTAGCCAGATTCATGACTTCATGATCCATCTCATCATCTCAGCGCAGAAGACCTTGCTCCTACACCTTCCATTTCTCATACCCATAAAACACAAACCTACCAATCATCAGACTCACCTTCCCCCTAATCCCTCGTCCTCCTCCTTCCCCTCTCTTCCTCCTCCTCTACAACCTCCATCTGCACCTCCTCCTTCACCTCCTCATCAATCCGCCCCAAATTTGTCTTCACAAACTGGATCTTCTTCTTCCTACCCTTTGCCCTGGGCAACCTACTTGATTTAAGTGGTTTTGGGCCAACTGGTTTCGGTCCACGCGGCTCATCTGCGTGTTGAAGAAGATATGCTGCTTGTTGGCGGAGGGTGAAGGCGCGGGTTGGTCTTACTGATGTTATCGGACTCTTCGGTGGAGCAGGAGTTGATGTTGGGGTTTTGAGCTCGGTGGATGGAGAGACGGCTGGGCTCTTGGAGGGTGGGAGAGTGAGAGTTTTCAGCTCGGTGGGTGTGGAAGTGGTTGGCCTGTTTGGTTGAGTTGAGGTAGAGGTAGCTGATCTCTTCTTTAGAGGTGGTCTAATAGGTTTAGCTGGTAGAGACCGAGAAACGGAAGATGGTTTCTTGCCTTGCGGGAGAGCTTCAAGAGAAGTCTCGCTTGGTACCGGCTCTTCGCTAGCAACAATCTCTTCGCTCTGAGGGGTAGGAATACCTATCTTTAGTGAGGCTCGACCTCTTTTCTTCTTCAGCTGCGGCCTATGCTCCTTGAGCATCGATTGATACCGGGCTGCAATTCTACATTCGTAGTCAACAGAGACTTCTGGTTGATGAGTTACTAGGATCTGAGTTACGGTATCAAGATCCTCAGCTGGGTTTTGAAGAGCGATGACATCAACTGCGCCGTCAGCACCGGATTCTGAGTCTGTCTCGCTTACTACTGATGGAGGAGAATCTTCTCTTTCCGATCTCCTTGTTGGAGGGCGGACTGTGGAGATTTCCTGTAGCTCATCTAACTCATCTACCATTGGAATCCAGAAGTCTTCGAATGTCGTCTCGTCAATGTCATCATCGACCAGTGTTATTTCAATCCTGGGTATTTTATCAGACTTCTCTTGGTCGTCTCTAGAACCATCAATATCGCATTCCAAAAGTGCTCCAGCTTGACAACTGTCATCGTGTTTCGTCAGCAAATCTGTAAATTCAACGAAAAATGGCTCTTCGTCGATGATCGGAAGCGTCAGCTCATCATTTCCACCCTGGTCAATTCCACTAGAACACTCATCACTGCATTCCAAAGTTGCTCGAGCTTGACGACTCTCGTCCTCTTTCGCTAGCGTTTTCGGTGATGCAGCAGGTGGTTCGTCATGGATGACCAGTGGAGTAATGGCAGCGACGTCTTTGAAATAGTCAAAGTTGTCATGACCAAGCTTGGAAGAATGCTCTGTGTAGCATTCTGAGCAGATGATGAAAGGTAGTCCGACTGTTGGGCGTCGATCAGGATCGGTGTTGATTTTGCGGCAGATGAGGCAGAGCTCAAGTTCGCTGGATTGCATGTTGAATGAAATCTGTGGAGTGGCGCTGAAAGTGGTGGCAGGTGGGCTGGGTAGTCAGAAGCTTGCCATAAAGGGTATTTGAGGGTTCGAAATGGCAAGCCATTTTATACTTTATTCGAAGTGTTGTTTTGTTGTTTTATTGAAGTGACCTTGTTCGCAGACAGCAGGAACGCCACAAAAGATGCTGTATAACTAAAGGACGTGACGGACTTCTTTCAGGTTGCCATTTTTTCAACATGAATTAAGGTGAAATTTTCTTTGTTTCAAACACCAATTTTCCTCGCCTTGCATTTTCACATGCACGTCGCGATTTGAAAACGGTTTAACCACCGACAGAGAGGAAGGCAGATAAGCTCGAGTAAACAGTCTTGATCATCGAATTTTGCCATCGGTACCGTCCTTTATCTTCTGGGCAGTTAAAAGTTGACCCGAATCCTGGAAAGATATCGAAACTAAGCGATATAATCTTACTTGCCTCGTATTCTGAATAGATCTCAGTGTGACAGCCAATCTTCATGTGAACTTCTTCTGCATGAGCTTTATCCTCAAACAACACCTTTCATGGGGGAACCAAGGTGGTGGTAAAGAATAGAAATTACTAAAGGTGAGGTGAATGTGGAGGAAAGAGCAACTGACCTTCAAACCGCCATCACAACAACCATCCACTATCCATCTCAAACAATCCTCACCACAATCTACTCCAATCAATCTACCCACCCACCCAAACCATCCAATCCAAAACAATGTGCCGTCTCATAATCGTCAAAATGGAAGGCAAAGAGTGCGGTCACTCCCGTAAGCTCCCTTATCCCCCCATTCCCCCATTCCCCCATCCCCCCACTTCTCCCCTTCCCTCTTCATCCACGCATCTACACTCACTCACACCTCCTAGTAATGTGGCGCGACTCCTGCCGCGTCAAGAACCCGTCGTTGTGCGATGACTCGCAATGCACGACTGATTACGATGTCGACGAGGGGATTTGTTATATGTGTGTTGAGCGACACCATTATTTGAAGGAGCAGAGGCGGAGGGAGGAGAGGGGTGAGGAGGAGGGGGAGGTTGGGGGTGAGGTGGATGAGAGGCAGATTGAGGTGGAGAGGAAGGGGAGTGGGGAGAGGGAGGAGGACGGTGGTGATGAGGATGGTGAAGAGACGGTAGAAGTTGCTAGGGATGCGATGAGTGTTGTTGAGCGGGAGTCGGATGGCGATGACAACGGACTAAGACCGAAGGGGGAAAAATCACCAAAAGTCGATGATAAGACGATGGCGAAGAAGAAACAGCTGGCGGAAATTGAGCGAGAGATTGAAGTTGCGAGGATGATGGAAGAGGAGTAAGTATTTCGTTCTTCGGTTCACGGACTGGATGAGACGGAGTCTTACTGACGAATGCCATAGTAGAATTAAGATCGCAACTGCGTTGAAAGAGGCGTTGGAGAAGAATCAGATTTGATACTAGCGGTAAATTGTGAGTCGTTGAGACGGGCGGATAAGCGGTGGCTATGTTAGTAGTGCCACGGGGAACTGTACATATATCGACTGGATATTTCCCCCATGGATATTCCCACGAGAAAGCTCTCAAAGAGCAAGGCTTTAATCAGAGTTTAGCGTTCTTGAATATGAATTCCAAAGCGTTATATTCGAGGTGTCTCGTGACTGTAAATTGGGTATATCCATCTCTATGTACCTGGTCTATTCAATCCGTTCTTCCCTCGTTGCTCCATCAAGCAACGGATCCTCCTCATTATGCACCTTTCTTTGATTCCCGTTATACAAACAGTAATGCTGCACAATAAATATAATGTCAAAAAACATACTAACGTTTCCCAACATCAGCTTGACCGGGTTTCCAGTTATGCCCGACCAGTCTCCTTGTAGATAGCTGTCTATTCCAAGCTGTAGAATCGATAATAGGCCACCAGCGAAATCGAGAAGTATTTGTACAATCGACCACCCTTGCGTGGAGTGGTTTCGGTAGTTCGTGAGAACTTGAGGCATGTATTTGACAAAAGTAATAATCAGCTTGACATATGAGATAGCATATATCTGCAAGCCTGTTAGTCGCAACCCTAAAACTCACTCTCACAACACAACTTACCACATCAATCCAAGCCCACCCAGTCTTCGCATCCTCATCCTGTCGCAAAACAACAATAAACACCACCGTCCCCACCCCCACAAGACTCCCCACCACAATCCCCAAAATCGCCTTACTAATCCTCGCCCCCGGATCTCTCCTCCCCCTCTTCTCAAACCCCCACAGCTCCGCCCAAAACTGCGAGAAGATAATAATACTGATGCCCACCGCATGCGCCGCGAACGCTAGATCATTGAACTGCACCGTCGGCGCGAGTCCATGATGGCGTAACGCGTACTGCGTGCGGATCTGCGGCGAGTAGAGGAATGCCGCGTTGGATACGAAGTAGGCGATGAAGCCCAGGACGTTGATGGCGGGGAAGTCGATGGTGGTGCCGGTGGTGGAGGAACGACGGAAGTTGAGGATGGGCTGTGGGTAGAAGGAGAAGGACCAGCAGAAGAAGTAGATCCAGCCGAAGGAGACGGAGATGAAGTGTAGGAAGGAGGCTGCCATGGTGGCAGCGGTGGTCAGGGCATGTGTGTTGGGAGGTTGAGGTTATTGATGAGACTTATGTTGTGAGGTTGGCTTGCGAGCGCGTGAGCCTCGCAGTGCGCATGGGTTTGGTTATTAACGGCTTTGGTGGTGATTGGATGAGGTGAGTCCAGTTTCAGCTCGGAACTTTGGCGGAGGCTCGGGCCGAGGCAAAATACAGAAATGACAGCGGCAGCCGTACTGTACTACGGAGTACGCCTCTTCATTACATCGGCATCGGCTTACCAGCTAGATAAATTCTCCATTCATCCTCATTCTTGATGCCCATTCCTGTATTCACAAACCCATCTCCCCACAATGGTGGGTTTAACTGTGTATTGCCACACTGAATCAGATTTTACTTCCTGCTGCCAGAAAGACCTTCCTTTCATCGAATATCACAGTAGAAAGAAACCTCTTCAACTCGTGGTATATAAACGGACAACATGTCACAAGTTAAAATAGAATCACCAAGAATGAAAAGAGCCCACCTAAATTTCCTGCATCTCCCAGGAGAGATCAGGAACGAAATCTACACTCAACTCCTGGTCCTCCCCCGCGAAAGCAACATCCTACCATTCTATGACTGTAATCTATACGACATCTACCCCGAAATCCTCTCGGTATGTCGAAAAACCCACACCGAAGCACTCCCAATCCTCTACGGCCTCAACACCTTCATAGCAAACACAACACCAACTTCATGCTTCCCGCGACTCACCCCCTTCCACGCACCCGTCCAAAGCTCCGCCATGGTCGCATTGATCCGCAGATATTACGTCCGCATCCGATTAGATTACCAACCGTCGTTCTCTTTCGAGCGGGCTCGGGACGCGTTTACGGGGATGGAGGAACTGACGGTCGATGTTTTCCGGATGAACTTTGACAGGTGGTCACCCGGGGTTCTCACGCGGTTTGAGGGCGTGAGAGGCGTGAAGAATGTGAGGATTGTGGGGAGTACTTATGGGTTTCCGCGGTATGTGGAGTGGTTGGAGGGTTGTATTGCTAGTGCTGAGGGTGTTGATGTTGAGGGGTTTGAGGGCGAGGAGCAGACGGTTGTTGAGAATGTAAGGAGATGTGATGGCCGGACTGTTGGCAGAGAGCTGGGTATGAATATTGCTGAGGTTTAGCTGCAGCAAGGGGGACGGGAAGACTTAAGCCAGATGAACATCGGTCAAGACTTTGGTAACTGTTCCTGCAGTGATATTTGGGATGCTGAAGTTGGAGCATCAGAGCAGACGTCGGAGTACCTCGCTTGGAATCGATACACTGGCTCGTTCATCCCTCGGAAGGTATGGCCTTCTATACCAAGAACGTGCGTTTTGAATATACGTTACATCCAATCCGACTCAATGGTACCTTCCCATGGATTTCTTCGCAGGTTCTTCAGTATACGAAAATCTAATTTGATGTTGAGAACGCTCTTCGACCTCAAATCAATGCACCACCACAAAATCCGACAAAAACATCCTCGTTGTACAGATACAACCACTGAGTTTCGTTTTCATCAATCGTCGATGTCGTCCCTAACAATACGGCTCCCATTAAGCGAACAGTAACAAGGAGAGGACGATCAAAACAAAAGGTCACATGACCGCATCCTCTTCGATTGATCACCCGTCACGAATCTCTCGTCCACGAGCTCCCACCCGCAAGCATGAAATACGTTCGTCAACCAATTTCATCTGATCTTTTCATCAAACAAAATCGAAGCGGCCGTTCACACTCAAGATCCAAGATCACCATGAAATCGTCAGAGCCCCACCGGGGGGCATGTTTCAGCACGCACCGCGACCAGCCAAATTCTGACATCCAAGCGTTGGGGCACAGTTTCGGTTCCTCGTCTCCGCCAATAACGGTGCATGGCGGCAGGATTCGTTTAAGGTTAAAACACCATGGATACGCCGGCTCTGCTGCCATTTTGCCTTGTTGAAGGTTTTCCCTTCTTCTCGAGTCGTTTTTAATTGTATCTATTTTCTGCGCAGTCTGGTACTTTTTTGCTTGAGCGATCCTGGAGATCTTGAATTTGACGTTGGAGGAAAGAACTATACTTTAATAATTGTAAGTCATTTCTGGGCTTGAATCCGAATTACTTCGATTTACTTGCAATTGGAGAGTACACGGGAGTGCTAAATTTCGAAATACCTTCAAATACCCTCGGACTGCTAATCAAACCGTTCGTAGTTTTATCGATCGACATTATCTTTAGTGCTTTTTCAAGCTCCAGAATCTCATATTTCTTCTTTCGTTGGATGCGAATACATCTTACCGTGCAACCATGTCAACGTGGGGAGCATATTTCTCTTCTTATGTGAAGAAGAAAGAAGATGGAACGTTGGTGTCTGATAACAAGTTGCCAGAGGAGAGCAAATCAGAAGTCCCACCTCCACCCAAGGTATGTGTAGTTAATCCCACCCACGAGACACACAGCTAATATATACCCCAGGTAAACATTCCAGTGCAAAAGCCGAGCACGGCGACAAAGAAATTATACGGTGCGACGTTTGAGGAGAAGGGTCCCCAGGGAGCGGAAAAAGCAGCTGGTAATGCAGCGAGAGTCGCAAAGCTTTTTGGGCGTGATGTTTCCAATCCAGCCCTGGCCCAAGTCGTGAGCGATGCTGTCAAACAAAAGAAAGAAACTGTCACCGAACCGAAAGACGAATTAATTCTACCCAAATCTACATATGTTCCCATTACTCAGAAATCACCCAAGAAAGCTTCTACCAAAAAGGCCTCCCCAAAACCTGTACTAGAAACCAAAGACGTCGAGGTTGTTAGCAGACCTGCTTTTGTGCCAATTACACAGCGCCTGCGAAAGGACTCGATCAGCGAGACAGTGGCAATGATGTCGTCGCATTCTATGGTCCCGGCCAAACTTGAAGTCAAGCAAGATATCACTATCGTCAAGCCACCAACGACACCACGCGCTCAGGTGACTGTTCTACCTCCGCTGCAGACATCACCTAGGAACGACGATCGCCAATCCATACCTATTATGTTTCATGGAATTAAGCATGCGTCGACTGAAATCGTGCCGCTGATGATCTCAGACAAAGCCCTAGTAAATTCACCTCTACAGATGAGGAAAACAAGGGCAAGGAAAGATTCCAAGTTCTCAGAGCCTTCAGTGACTCGAAATGGAACACAAACCTCGTTCGACGATTTGATGAATGAGCTAGGTGCTCACACGTCTACCTTCAGTTCAGATAGTCGCTCACCCAGCAAAGACCGAAGCGCCAGAGCAGGCAATCGTGGTTTTCAAAGCAGATCACCAAGCTCTGAGAGAAATCCGAGGCGAGATAACAGTCGCTTACATTCAGCAAAGTCCTCAGTTGATGATGTTCTGATCACATTGCAGCGATCACCAGTTGAAGCTAAATCTCCCGGGCCAACGAAACAGGCTCAAAGAAGAGGTCGAAGTGGACCAAAACAATCCATTTCCGAACTCGACGATATCATGCTTGCCCTTCAAGCCGAGATCAAAGCCGAACCTAAATCAAGATCTGTGTCACCCAGGCCACCGTTCACAAAGGAAGTTGCCGATATGCAGGTAGCGATCCAGCGAGCACACCGATCTGCTTCATCTACATCGTCGAGACGAACACAAAGTCCAAGCAGCGAAGGGCCACTCACCGAGGTACCTGAAGGCGAGGAAGTGGTGGTTGAGATAATTGAGAGTAGGGCTTGGGAGCACGCGCGGAAGATATCTGAATTCAAGCTGCAGCAAGAGCTGATGGAGAAAGAGCGGAAACGGATGGCCGAAGAACAAGTCAAATTCCAGCAAATGGAGGCCCGATTCAGAGAGGAAGAGGAACAGCAGAGACTTTTTGTTGAGGATGTACGAAAATCACAGGAAAAAGAACAGCAGGAAGAAGATGAGAGGCGGAGAAGCGTCGAGGAACAATCTAGAAAGGAGATTGAGGAGAGGGAAAGGATGCTAGTTGAACAAGCAAGAATTGCAGAAGAGAAGCAGGAGGCGCAGCTACGACAGGAACGCGAAAAAAGGGAAGAGGAGCAGCGCATTCAACGCGATAAACGGATATTCGCAGCTGAAGAAAAGAAAAGGATAGCAGATGAGCAGGAGAGGAATAAGCGGATGTGGGAGGAAGAGCGCGCACGGAACGCAGCTGAGGTAGCGAGGTTAATTGCCGAGGAAGAAGAAAGGGAGAGGTCCGAGTTGGAGGCACTAAAACTTGTCAGAAGAAGAGATACCAGTCAAGGTCCGGTGTCTCCTATGCATCGAAGGTCACCGGACTTAGACGACATCAGCATATACTCGGACGATCTGGTTGAGAGTGAAGACGATTTTGAAGAGCAGCTGGAAGAGGAACGCCGGGCCTATGAACTTGAACAAGATGAAACAAGGCGAAGAGATCGACAAGCAGAGGAAGAGAGGGCCGAAAGAGTGCGAAAACGTGAGGAGCAAGACCGTCGAGAACAACTCAGATATGAAGCACAACAGACCGAGAAACTTCGATTGGCTGCTGAAGCCGCCGAGGCAGAGGCTCGTAGGTATGAATTTGAAGAAAAGGAAAGGCAACGACGCCAAGAAGAAGCTGAGCGCACCCGAATCGAAATGCAACAAGACGATGAACGACGCCGCGTCGAAGAGCAAAAGCAACAAAAACTTCAATTCCAAAAGGAACAAGAAGAACGTCGGCAATACGCACTCGAAGAAGCCACACGTCTACGTGAGGCTGAACAATTAGAAGAACGCCGTCGTATCGAAGCAGAGAAGATCAAATCTCCAGCACCATTCCAGAAAGAACAAAATTACTGGGCGGAACGCAAGCGAATGGCAGCAGTACGATCTCAACCTCAATCTCCCCTTCCTCCAACACCACGATCCCAACCCCAATCCCCTCTCCCTCCTCCACCACGATCTCCTCTACCCCCGGCACCGAGCCCGAACGACCAAGCAGAAGAACGTCGCATCCAAGCCCTCGCCGCCAAACTCCAAGCCGAAGACGAAGCCGCCGAAGCCGAAGCTGCTAAACAGGAAGAGCTCCGGAAAGCGGAAGAAAAAATCCGCGCTGCGTTTGCGGGTATGGCGCGCGAAAGAGGGGAGGCTCCGCCGCCGGTTGTGCCCATGAAAGAACCTTCTGCGAGGATTGTTGGGAAGGGTGGACCGTTGCCGATGTTGAATCGAGCGGCTACTTTCCAGGCTGATGGTCCTGCGGTCCCGACGAAGGAGGGGAGGGTGGGGATGATGAAGGGACCGTTGGTTAAGAGGGCGGGCACGGTTGCTGGTGGTGAGGTGCCAGTGAGGAGTGCAGGTGTTAAGGTTGGGGATGGTTTAGCTGCCGTGGCGCCTACGAGGGGAGGGACTGTTGTTGGACGACCTGGTGGACTGCCCAGTGGGCCGAGGGCTGGGAGGGGGTTGCCTAGTGGTCCTAGGGCTGGGAGGATGATTTAAGTGAGGGTGAGGATGACTTTCTGGTGGACAGAGTTGGTTTTTGGGGTATTTTATTTTAATTTGATGAGTATGGTTTGAGATGATGGTTGCGTGTTGTAGGTTTTCTAGCTGGGAGTTGGGAGATTGGATGATTGGATGTAGAGTGTTAATAGTAAATACCCAGAAGTTTAAGCCAGGTTTTGTTTGTCTTTAGTCAATGTCGCATTTCATGTGAATTTGATTTTAAATGGATGCTTAGAGCAAATTAGACACACACAAACACAATCAAGCTTCTAACCCATTCCCCAGACAAGTCATACCCTTCCATCTATCCCATCTCACCTCCCCTTCCCACCCTACTTAAAACCCGCGCCCGTCTGTGCATCTATATATTATCTCATCAACATGCCAGCAGATCTCCCACACCTAGGACAAGATCCCTCTCCACCTGTGACGTATAAGATTTGATATGCATCCTCTAGCGATGCTTGCACTTCTGTTATTGAGAGTGGGTTTGAGGTTTGTGTGTTATGGATTGTGTGGCGAATTTGGGATTTAGGAGGGGAAAGGAACGCATGAGTGAGGAGATAGGGAGGCTGGGGAGGTTGTATAATAAGTGGTTTTGGGGTTTTGTGTTTGGGTGCGAGGGATTTGTTAAAGATGTAGAGGTGTGTTTGTGATGGTGTGTCGTTGTGATCTAGTCTTTCTGGGTGTAAAGTGATGGATGTCAGGGTTCGGATTTGTGCTTTGTATTTTTGAGGGTCGTGGATATGTGAGGTTTGTGGGTAGTAGTGGTGAGTTTGATGTTAAGATGGAAACCGTTTTCTGCACGTCTTTTCTTTTGGCTTTTACATGCTTTTCTACAAATTCACAAGGCTCCTCCCGGTCATGGCTTTGTCAAAGAGTCAGATGCTGTGACTTTATCTCTTTAGATTATCTTTCCTGTTTTCCTTCAGTGGGTGAGTAGATTTATGTTTTTTTTGCATTTCGTGGTTTGTGTATTCGTCTATTTAGTAATGTTGGATTTTGTGGTTTGACTTAGGTCAAGTAAGAGGAGAGTTGTTAAATGACTCTAGGGAGTTCTGTTTGCTATGGAAGATTTGAGAAATTATTGAGATTCATTGAGTATATTTGGGGCTAGTATCTTGATTTATTTACTCGATTGCGTCTCGAAGTTCGTGAAGTAGCTGAGGGAGTAGGCGAATCCTAATGAGTTTAGGTTATTTGTATATTTGCATTTCCATGTTTACTTTGAGAGTTTTCAAACGCGCTATTAATGATGTAGAGAGGTAGGCTTTGACCTCTTGAGCGGGAAAGTAGCTACACTTGGATTTTTGTCTTATTATAGAGGTGGAAAAATTATGATTGCTACTAACAATTGATAATATGTAGGATGTTCCGTTAACGAATACGACCTATTCTGCCCCCCTTTTTTGGTTAACCCATCAGACGAACCCATCAAATACTACATCTAATTAAATTACAGTAATTCCTGAGCGTCCACCCATGATAAATTTTCAAGATTTTGATATTCAACCAACCATGAGCAGAAGTCGTTCAGCATTTTATTGATGATATTTAGTAAGCTCACACTGAGCAAACTAAGCTAGTATTGAGTTGATGACCTTAAGTGTTCAATCAAACCACAAGTTATGTACTTGCTAATACATAAAGTTTTCCAGGCTGGCACACTTGATGGCATACAAACAAGTAATAGTCAAAGCAAATACCAGCGAGTGTGAACAGCATCATCTTCACCATAAAAAAGCAAACCAATATATGTACTATATATTGCGTCGCGTAGTTCATTATGGTAGATCTGTGATAATGTGGTTCCCGTGCCATTTCACTATCAGATTCAACTCTCATGGAAAGCACTGGAGGTCATGTGAAAATTCACTACCCAGCAGCTTGACTCATTGTATTGATGGCGCTAGTGCATTAGCTAAGCTTAGGCAGACGAGAAAACTTTCAATTCCAAGAATTCGAAATCTCAATCATCATGTTCCTCTGGCCACGACAAGTTTTAAATCCAACAGCAGTGCAACGAGGACTATTAACCTCGACAAGCGCGATCCAATACGGACATCTGAGCGCACTGCAATATAGAAATAAGGTATTTTGATTCAAACCTCCTAGCAAAATGTATTTTGGGGGTGAAATATAGCTGGTGGAATATAATCAGCTAATTTGAATCCCGTTACTGGGAGCAGGCATAACTTACCTCTCGCCTCTAAACATAACACAATGAGTTCTGAACCGGAGCAAGACCATCCCGTCGCTAGAGATTCCACCAGCGAAGTCAACAAACAAGCGTTGCCGAATAACATACTGGCCAATTCAGAAGCTTCGGTATTATCCCGAGACACCACAACGAGCCATGCCGAATCACGATCAACGTAATGCAAACTGCAAGAGCTCAGAGATATGGCAGCAGCACTTGGTCTATCAGGCGTTACAATATCCCTAGATGATGTGCATGAGAAAATTGCAGCGTCAACCACGAAAACAAGAGTCCAAGGAGTTCAGGCTACTAACCCTGATGCTGCCTTCCTGAGACTTCCTGTGGAGGTTCGCAATATAGTGTACCGTTTCTTGCTACATAATCCTATCCTTTCAGAACCCGCTTCTGTCGGAGAACGCACGATGTTAGGCGTTCAGCAACAGTATGGCCTTCATACCGCAATCTTAGCGGTTTGCAGGCAGACATACTTGGAGGCTAAATACGTCTTGTTCTTCTAGCCTCCCAATCTTTAAAAGATCATATGTTGGCAGAATTTTGCAATTTTACCGATTCATTTTGCAGGACCTTAAAAATCTTGATTTCTCTCCTGGAATGAAGCTAGATCATGAAATCAACCTTTGCAAAATGGTCGACTGGAAGGCTAACGAGCCAGGAGTTGGTCCTGCAAACGAGCTTTAATGGGAGAAGAGCGATGATAACTCTTCGGGTAAAGTGACCTGTACCAACACATCAAACTTATCATTGTCTCCATGGCCATCAATCACTAATTCTATGAGACCTAACATTGATCAGCTAGCAAAACAAAATTGAATACCATAGCCGTACCGCCGAACACCGTTACTTGATTCTTTTTCCCTCGTTCTTTGATCGTGAAGAATTAATAGCAATTTTCAGCATCGTAGAATTGCAGCAAGATTGAAAAGGGTATTGCATGCATAATCTCAATTGGGGTGTTTGTTCCAACCATTCTAACTTTCCTTGTTACTCCCCTGCCACCACAGAGTGTATGTTCCGAAGTGCCTACCATTATCCTATTCAGAAAACTCAGCAATGTGAATATGTTGTATCAGAAACTCAAGTCGCCTTTCTCAAAGCATGAGGAAGCTTCAAATTTGAGATTACGAAGCCATCACCAGAAATTAACAATATGTAAGTCAAGTTTCTGAAGAAGGCAATTTAATATGATATATTCTTTGCAGCTGTTCAATTAAAAACAGTGAGTCAAGCCATGTCTCGACAAGCAAAAGATCGACTTCGACGAATCCATCACAAGTTGAAGGTGAGATTCTTCCCAACGACTAAACACATTTCTATTTTAAACCCAATAATTGGTGCTTCGTTAGCTAATGCGTATTTAACATGCGCAACGATATAAAACAGTAAGATCACATAGTAACTCATCAGGGGTGACCAGCTCTGACGTTACAATTCTGGGCTTAGAAACGGTCGAATAACATTGATAATGTAGACTAGCAACTTATGCTCTATTCACGTTCTGGCCATGTAATATTGGCAAGATCTGCCATCAGAATTATTCATATGGATCATTCTTTATCAGACCATGTGGGGTTCACCGACTTGCGCATCAGCCGAATGCTGTGATGGACTGACACCACTTGAAAAGGATGTAAAAAGTGGCATATTATCAAATTATATTACCTTCCGCCAGAAGCCCAATATGCTCTTACTTCGGTGCTAAGATAAGAATGGCAGCGACCATTGTATGTTCCTTTATTTCTGAGGCAAATCTTGCGTCAGAGAAAGGAGATCTCATGGGCATCTGTGTCAATTCTATTAGATTCACCGTGCAAACTTTTGTAGTGCAGCACGAGAATTGTGATTGTAGAGCAGTATGATAACTGAATGATAGGTAAGACGAGCATGCAGACTATAAATCTTGGGGAATGTTTACCCTTCATGTTGTTTTTCTTTTTTGTAGATATGCAACATTTCGACAACTGCATTCTGACAATACTCGCAACTTTCAGCCATGGATACCTCAAACCTTCTCCTAATGCCTGCAGAGATACGAAATAAAATTTACGAGGAATGTCTAGTCAAAGATATTATCAGCAAACCAGAATCAACAAATGAAGTTCGGCATCCGACACTCGGTTTGATGCCAAGTATCTTAAGCACCAACAAACTCATCTGGCAAGAAGCATCCTATATCCTTTATTCGCAACCAATTTATCTCCTGATTGATCAGTCAAGCTTACGATCACCAATTTTCCGCAACCGTGGGTCAACAACAGTCAGCTCATTATCTAAAATTCTGTACCCCGTTCTGGAGAATGTTCGCCACTGGAAAATCGTCCTGGACTTTCGAAACGCTAGTATATATCAAGAATCTCCGAGTAAGCCTAATTGTTTGGAGCAATTCTGTCGAGCTATTTTCCGAAATGGAACACCACCCAAGTCACTCGACATAGCAATAGACCCCCGTTTTCAGGAAGACATTAAGGTTATACGTCTCTATCGTTACGGTCTTGAGAGAATACTCCAACCCTTTAAAATACTTCGGAACATCAAGCACGTCGTTATCCGAGAAGCTATCGCTTCTGACGTTACAACAACGTACACCAATGCAAGCTCGCCGCTTTACCGTGAGCAAGATTCAGGGCTGGCTGGGCAGGAAGATTTGATTACAGAAGTTATAGAACTCATGAAAAGTTCTTCCATTGTTGAGACGACTTTTGAGATTAATGACTCGCTTTCAGTCTATACAAACGCATTTTCTAAGTCTCTCGAAACCAGGGGGGGCAAGGGAGTATTGGAGATGCCGAGACGAAGGGACAAAGATACGTACCACTTTAGGCTACCCAACGAAGGCCATATGAATTTCACTCTCAATGAAGTTTACTTTTGGGAAATTGGTTCAACTCTTGGTCACCATAGAACTCTGGGGGAAAGCCCACGATTGTTAAAAGAAATAACCAAATGGAGTACGGGCTGGGTTGGTCGCTGTGACCCCGATTTCCTTGACCCCAAAGTAAGAGAGGACTATGGTTTCGATGCTTTATATTCGTACACAACCTTGCTGAAAAATGAACCTGTGGCGGTATCAGCTCAGGAAGCGAAGCAGGCATTTGAAGCAAACGACATTACAGCTCTCAAACTTGCAAGATCAAAGGCCATAGAGGTCCATGAGTCTCACTACAAGTTAATTATCCAAGCCGCAAAACAACTGAACGACTTTATCAAGTCGCAAAAATGCCACGGCGGTATCTTCGATGCAACGCTAATCGACTCCGACAAATATCCACCAGAACATGACGGAACGCTATACTCGGAAGCAATGTTCCTCGTCGACGAATACGCCGAAACCCTTCGTCCGCAATTAAGCTCCAAGCACCAAGAATTCCTACGTAAGCACGCGCTTGCTTTCGTTGATATTCGGAGGGAGCGAATGCTGCAGGTTGTCGGGGTGATCTTCGATAATGGAATCACGGAAGGCTGTAAATGGAGGAAGATGTTTAGAAATGTCGTCGACAATATGGATAAACAATTGTTGGAGATTCGGGAAACGAGAAAGCAGGTACTCGCCTACGACTTTTTGGGAGAACCAGGAGTCAAGCTTGATCATGAGATGAACTTGTGCGAGCTGGTTAATTGGGAAGTTAATGAGCCTCCAATTGGGTGTTTGGAAGAAGTGGCAGAGCTGAGTTCGAGTCTGAGCAAGTACTCGCTCCGTTCAGCACACTAGAAGAGCAGATGAAACTGAGTTTGATTGATTCAGTTTATGGTGACGTTGCAGATTTGGGCAATAGGTTCTGAGATTTACACCCCTCAACGTAGTTTGAGCACCAAAGACTTAGAAATATACATCATGATCAAAAACCCAAGAACTCAACTTTTCCAACCCTGAACTCATTAATCAAGGAATCTCCCGCACGCATGACAGTCCCTATGACGATTTCTTAATTGATATTCTTCCCTAACACATAGATATTCCAGCGAGAAAGGTAACAATTTTAGCAGTTCGTACAGAAGTATCTGAGTATAAATCGCCTAGTAAGCAAGTCGAAAAGAATTAAATTCAAAATCTTCTTGAAATTTTAACAAACAATACGAAAATGTCCTACATTTTGCGTTATCCTCAAGTCACTTTCTACACCAACAAAAGCGTTTACTAGTACCGCTTATTTGGCTCCACCATTCTCTTGCATCTCCTGCACCCCTCTCCTCAAATCCTCCGCACCCTTAAGAACATCCTTCCGCCGTCCATCATACTCATACTTCCGCATCCACTCCTCCAAACCCTTAATCCTTCCCGGCAAAATACGATCCAAAAACTCCATATCTCTCTTCACAGCCTTCCCCTCTCCCCAGAATTTCCACCACGCGGTGAAATTACCGCGCCATGTCATACTTGCCTCATCTCTCGGAGCATTGGGACCTAGGGCGAAATTGGCAGGGGCGTTGGGATATGGTTCTGCGAGGGGAAGATACGTCTCGAGTGGCACGTATTGATGCACGCCTTTATTGCCGGTGACTTTGCTGAATGTGGAGGCGATGTCGGCGAAACTTACTTCATCGGTTGTGACTTTTAGGTCGAGACCAGCGGATTCGGAGACATTTTCGAAAAGCCAGAGACTGTAGTTTCCGACGTCTTGGAGGGCTATGAGAGGGATTTTTCCTGACTCTGCACAAAATGCGATGTCAGTCAAAGATATAATACTTATATCCGATCGTCAGATGACGCGAATAACTTACTTGCAGGATTTTTCCAAGTAAACACCCCGTTTTCTTCCCTAGGAACAAACATCCCATCCCACAACATCTCCATATACGGCCCCGTCGTAATCAACGAACTCTTCATCCCCTGCTGCCCCATCGCCAAAATAAACTGTCCAACCCGTCCCTTCGCATCATTATGACCCCAATGATACGTCTCATCCCAGTTGGCATCTTTCAACGCATAGTCCGTACACGCATACACATAATGCTGCACGCCTTCCGCGCGCGCAATCTCATAGGCTCTAAAGCCGTAGAAGAGCTCGTTCTTCTCGCCGAGCGTGAAACCGTCGGTGTTGACCCATGCTCCGTAGACGCCGTGGAAGGCGCGGTGGAGATCGGATTGGTTGTCTTGGGCTCCTTGGATTAGGGTTACGTTGGGGAGTTGGGCGAGTTGTTGGGCGCGTTTTGAGGTGGTGTCGCGGGTTAGAACGCGAACGCTGTAGTGCTTGCTTGCTGATAGGGCTGTGAGATGTGGTTAGTAGTGTTTATGTCAAACTGGATATGACTTTAAATACCGTGAACGACTGGTAGGCCTTGTGCACCAGTGCCGCCGATGACCAGGATTTCTTGCATGTTGAGCTTATATTGTGGGTTTTCTTTTGCTTGAAGAGGTAAGCTATTGCGGGATGATGCCCGTTTTTATACATGCTCATGTTGGATAGTATAAGTTCCTTCGCAGCGATTAGTGATGGCTTGCGATTACTGAACTGATCACGAGTGATGTTGCATTCAGTGATTAGTGAACTTTGACAGAGTTGGATACTCGCCTGTAGAACACCCCGCCCGGCATTTGAGTATTCCGATAATGCTGTGCGTCATATTCTATCTACGGTATAACTCAAAGTCCGTTTTTTATTTCCTACTCCCTGGATGCTCTAAAATGACGAGGTCTTATCAACTTTTGTCACACCAAGCAATTGAAACTTCCATTAAAAAGGGGAAGTGGGTTGCTAAGCGAGTTTACCGAGGCACATTTACAACTAGAAATAAACTTGAAAATATCTCCTCGCTCAAATGATTACATTCCTATTGAGTGTTTGATTTTGAGAGAATTTGGTAGTAAGCGCACGCAGATTATCTTTCAAAATTGTTGTTTAGCTCCGCCGTGATGAGCTTTTGAAAGTTTTACCTTGGCAGCCCCTTTATCTCCGGCTCTAAATCCATTCCACCATGTGAGTACTCCCTTTCACTGTAGCTTTTCATTTCAACTTGTATTGTCTTCAGCCCAGATGCTAAGAACATGATCGATATCCAATGAACTATACTGCAAATCCCAGAATTGGGAAGGTAAAATGCTCTTACTAATAGCAACTTGCCTCTCCGAAATGGCGGTATATAAAACTCTCTCCAGTCGTCTTGCAAAGTACCATCTTTGCCCACAAGTCTTCAACCCATAAATCAAGAGATCTAGGGAACGAGGTATCTCGACAGAAAGAATCTTTGCGTGAACGAGGTAAAACCGTGCGGCTACAAAGATGCAAAAGATGGTATGTGGACTCATATTTTCCAGATCCGCATCGGCAATGGCACGAATGGTAGTACTCATCGAGTCGCACGCGCTCAGGCAACGCTGGATGGCATAATACCAGGGCCCGTGAACTTCGCCGAGACCTTTTGGAGGAAGAGCGAGGCGCTGGTACAACGCTATTATTGCACTGAAGACGGTGTTAAATAAGAACGGCAAATCCAGTTCGATGACTTACGTGTCAAAGGTTACAGAAGTTAATACTGAAGTAGAATCCGATTGAAATCCTGCGTGGCTAGGGTTGTCAATTGTAAGATCAGACGCCCTCCATTTGTTCAGATGATCGTCTACCACCACTACGAGGGATTAGCACATGGATTTTTCTTGGTCTGTTTCGTCGATCAAAATTGAGTGTTATGGTAAAGAATTTAAAGCCCCTCGACCTGTGAAGGCAGAAACGCAGTTGAAGAAGAAATGAAAGGGATGCATACTACACTGCGCCTGCCATCGTGTTCGATCAACTGCCGATGAAGCATCGTATGACTGCTGAAGAAATACGTGGACTTGATAAAGTTGGTGTGTAACAAGATTGAGGTAAACCGAGAATGCCGAAGAGACTTCTGAGTCACCGAATGACGAGAAAGACGTCGCATTCTCAGGAAATGACCAAACAGTTTCATTGCATGGAAACCATGCCTCATTCTCGGGTCGTGATAAGCTGAGATTCCAACCAGCTCCGAGTGACGACATGCTGTCAAGCACTTCGGTCATCCAATAAGCTCGTATCTTTTCTTCAAGCTCGATGAGCGAGGAGGGCGCTGAAATCATTCTAGGAGGGATTGTAGATAGCTTGTTGAAATTGTCTCCCTTATTCGCAACCAAGTCCCGTAGTCCAAGCTGGACACCCATCCTAGTTCGGTCAACATACATCCTCGACTATCAAGCAAGAGACATACCTTTTACAAAGCGCAACCAGATTCCAGAATTCAGAGAGTTTGCCACCGCCATAGTCTATGTTTGTGACGATCAAGACAGCTTGCAGTGATTGCAAAGATAGGTTGCTGATTGACTGAATTATAACTTGCTCGCGAAAGAGCTCGGAAAGCCGCTTACGCTCCTCCTGGGAAAGTGGATTGGATGAACACCAGTGTGGTATCGTGACTGCAACAATAGCCTTGATGACGATGAGAAGAGGGGATTCCGATAAGGGCGCTTCATCTTGAAGTGTTCCCAATACGGAAAGTTTGTGAAGAACTGGAAACCATGGATGGTACCGTTCAAACCATGCGTTGCATAGTTCTTGGAGACATGTCAACGGCAACGAACTGAAGTCGAGCTCGGGTGCCAGTGGTCCTCGGTCACTATGAGACCTAGGTGAAGAAAGATGAAAACTTCCCTCCTGCTGGCCCGGTGGTGTGAGAAGTTCCGAAGGGCTTGACACAAGAAGATGCTGGACTTGAACTGCTTCATCAGCAATAGATAGAAGACAATTAGGATGTCACTTACTGGGTTGGGCCTGCGACTTCAATGCGCGCACCTCTTCTTCCAACCTATCTGTTCTTGGGTCAGCCAAATACTATCCCTTAGCGCTCCAAAACGAACCAAGTCGATTCTCCAACTTCGAAACGTAGCCGGCCCGCAAGCCCCTCTTCTTTTGAGAGAGGACATACGAACAATCGGCGTCTATGCTCGCACAAAACCCACATTCCGGCAATGTCCGATCACATTTTATTTTCCGTTGGCGACATTGAGAACAGCTACATGGCCCGAATTAGCTTTTGGGAGAAGATTGAATAAAGGTAGCAGGGCGGCAAACAGAAACGACTTTAAGTACCCCACTGCCGAAACTCACGAGAATCACTCGACTTCAACAATAGTCGGATGGTTAGATGCAGAGAAACAAAGTCAATCTCAACTTTGTAGATGACAATCGCTTCTGTTGAGGAAATGATTCAACTTACACTACCTTACTGAGCTCCATAGCATCTTCGTGAGAGTTTGGTGATTGACGTCGCTGCCAAAATGCACAAAATGCACAAAATAAACAACAGATTTGGTAGCAAAGATTCGGGCCATGTATGAATGATTGATATGGAAAATTGACAGGCTCCCAGAGCGGAAATCGAGATCCGTAATCTACCACCAAAGCAATGATGACGGGGCCGAAGGAATCCTCAAGGCATTGCTTACAAGGTTCTCCACAGACGCAATCCTCGTAAAGAGGAGAAATATCTGCACAGAAGTGGAGATTCAAGATGAGTTGACACCGCCAGCACCCTCAAGCGTCCAAGATATCTTGCGCGGGCCATGTTGCGACCGACAGGCACCTCGGTGCAGATCGTCGTATTCTGGGGGAAGCATCTCGACTCCAGAATCCAAACCTAGTTGTCACATACCTGCCCGAGACGGAGGCCACGGACTTTAGGGGTGAAGCAAGCCCTTTGTGAGAAATGTTTGGGCAAATTCCATAAAGGAAGAGAACGATTCATAATGGATGGCAATGCACTGAGGAAATGCCCACACAACTGTGATTGATGCCTGAGGTAGACACTATTCCTGAATGGGTTATCCACTTTTATCTCCTATTCGTGTTTAGGGCAATGTTTACCTAAACCTACTTTGAAGTACCCATTCACAATTTAGTGTTGCTGTTGGTTAAAAACCCGACTGAATTATCCGGTTCACGAACAGTTCTGTAATAGATGTGTTTGCTTTCCCCAAACCTCTATGCTTTCAACTTACTTAGCCTAGCTAAATAGGCTATTTAGAGAGTGTTTTTATAAATAGAATGGATGGTAAAAGTGGTTTTATTTACGAACTTTACGTCTACATCATTGGTAAACTATCATATTTCGTGAATAGGGAGACCCCATTCACGAACATGATATGCTGAAGAGCGGGGTTGAGTACGTCACGTGTGTACGCTAGCGGGCCATGTCTCGCCGCAATTACTTTGTCCGTGTGGTCCTTTCCTTTCTCATTTTCATCAAGCAAAATAACCACGTTCGATATGTGACATAGCGAACTCCGGTCGATCACACCAGGTTTCTATCCCCACCAAGGCCTTCTGAACACCACAGACTTCCAGCTACGACTCAATCAATATTGTGCCTTTGAAATTCCATTTTCCTCTTCATCAGCAATGCGTCTCTGGCAACCTCTTTAGTGCAGGTGTTTGGAACGCTTGCGATGATCAGGTTAGTGACGTGACTTGTCTAGCAAGCCTAATTTTGCTCTACGGCATCTTCTTACTCGTGTTTCCGACCATTTGTATGGACACCTGAATCGAAAGGTCATTCCTAGGATGGCCCTCCACCACCAGGACACTCGGAATGTCTACCGACTTTCACGCCGCTTAACTTCAAGAAATCAATGTTGAGAAGATGGAGTCCAAGCATATTTTACCTTTCTTGGCTTAACCCATGTTATAAGCTTGGGTGGATTTTGAAAATCAAGGTACAGTTTATTTTCCCCATTTATTCCCCAGATACCCCAACTACCCCAGACCCCGCTACCAGTACTAGTCTCGATTCTACCTAGTCTTCATCTATTTGCTTCCTGTCACTTACTATTTGTTTCTTTGCTTAGGTGGTATAAGTACCAGAGTTTTTCTTACGCTTGCCCGGAATTCTGCATCTGCTTTCATTGCCTTTTTCTAGATCATCAACTCTCACGAACGATTCTCTACATCATGGCGAAATCAGGAGTCAGAAACAGACTTACGGGATACCCTCTTGAAATCGTACTCACGGCGGCCAACTCTGCGGCACAAGCCTGGTACGGTTATGATCAAGGTATTACGGCAGGAATTTTGATTAGCTCCTACTTCATCGATACTTTTCCACAAACAAAAAATTCAGATATCCAGGGTATCACAGCAAGTTCATTCTCGGTATGCCTCTTTGTCTTTGTCAAGAATGCCGGTTGTTGACCAGAGTAGCTAGGAAATCTGGCAGGATGTTTACTGGCTGCGTTATGTGGTGATAAACTAGGACGCAAAAACACTCTTCGATTAGGAGCGTTCTGGTCTTCAATTGGAGCCATTCTTCAGTTCACCTCCTTTCACTTTCCTCAATTGATCATTGGCCGCCTAGTTAATGGTTTTGGTAATGGTTAGTATTCGACAATTTGACTCCTGCTGTGGAAGGTTGCTAATCGTGTTAGGACTGATATCTTCCACCTGTGGAATGTATCAAGCAGAATGCAGTCGTGGTCCAAGGCGAGGAAAGCTTTCGGTGATTGTCGTGCTTCACAATGTTGTGTTCTACTGCATCGCTAGTTGGCTCACACTCGGCTGCTCGTACATCAACAGTTCGGCGCAATGGCGACTTCCTATGGCAATTCAGGTAACGCTCTCACCCCAGCGGCTTTAAATTCCTGCTAATGACATTGGAAAGCTGGTTCCGTGCATCGTCATGATTACCCTTCTACCATTGGTACCAGAATCGCCAAGATGGCTTATCATGAAAGACCGTCGCGATGAAGCACACGAAGCTCTGCGCCGTTTCCTCGGTAAAGACTTATCTGCTGATGAACCAATCGTCGTCAATGAGCTGTTATCTATTGAGGAGGCTTATAACATTGAGCGCCAATCGCGCATCTCTTTCAAGGAAGTAATCTTATGTCGCGACAGAAGTGGTCATCTTAAGAGGCTGCTCCTTGGATGCGGTGGCCAATTCATGCAGCAATTTGGCGGAATAAACGCACTAAAGTAAGATGCAGTCTCCATCTTAAAGGGTACCTGAAGCTTACAAAGAAATTCAGTTACTACTTCCCAATCATTTTAACCGAAAATATTGGCCTTTCCGAATTTATGGCTCGAGTCTTGACCGGATGCAACGCAACCTCATACATGATTTCTTCGGCTCTTTGCTTCTGGATGATTGAAAGATTTGGCAGAAGACAGTTGATGCTCGGAGGTCTAGGACTTCAGTGTCTCGCATATGTCATGGTCTCTATTGCTGTTGGCTCTCAAGCTAGTGCACCTTTTGAGTGGGGTGCCGTTGCCATTACCTTTTTGTTCTTTTATTACGCCGTATTTGGCTGCACGTGGGGCATGGTCCCTTGGATTTTTGGATCTGAGATTAATAGTATGGCCATGCGCACAATTGGATCCGCATCGGCGACGAGTACGAATTGGCTCTTCGGATTTGTGTGCACCCAGTTTACCCCCACAGGCATCCGAAATATTGGATATCGCTTCTACATTAGTAAGTATCTGGTCAAAATACGTTCCAAAATGGGCAAGTTGCTAACGCGTCACAGTCTTTGCTGCTTTTAACCTGCTTTTCGTGCCAGTCGTTTACTTCCTCTATCCCGAAACTTCCAACAGAACTCTTGAGGATATTGACGAGTATTTTGACAAGGACTCTGGCCACCATCTCATTATTCCCTTTGGCGATAAGGCTGCGAAATCGACGGCTCGTCCTCAAGAGGCAATTGACGCTGAAATGAGACGTGTTGCTGTTGCTGATAAAACCGCAGAAGCTAAGAAGAGCAATACTGAGCATGTGGAGGAGATACGTGGAGTATAATACCACAATTTGGGGCTGCAGTTTACGCGGTAGAATTTTAATACACCAGTTTGAGGTTTGAAGTATTAAAGTTCTACCGCGAATTCTACCGCGTAATGGGATAGAATTCCAATGTATAGCTTAAAGCCAAGCATAAGAAATTACACTTATTTTCCGGCATTCTCGAACATTACTACTTTTATTCTTATTTTCTTTCGTGAATATCCTCAATCTTGGTCTCTATGTGATTCATTTATAGGGGACCTACAAGCGACTGTAAAAGACATCAACCCTCTACCACCTGAAGGGTAACGATGTTTTGATCGAAAAGGGGAATGATCGGTTAGGCCATCGGACTGACACAGTGATATACATTTGCTATCTTGAACAAGTTTTAGAGATTTCTTGTCTTCGACAAAAGTGTTACGTCCAGACATTGTTCTTCATTTCACACTGCAAACTAAATACATAGCCACTCTGCCAGAGAAAGATCTCGTAAGATCCCTACCTACCTACCTAGGTAGGTAGGTATTTCCCAAATAGTCCAGTCCAAATAGACCTCGCTTAAAAAAGGCAACCTAGCCGGCAGCAAAGACATCTCTTGGGTGATACGAAAGGAAAAAATCCGAGTTGAATTGCCCGATCATTGTAGACTGGCATACATATCCGAGGCATACTTACTGTCAATATCGAACGAGATATCTTAAGAACCCACCTTAGCATACTGGGCCTGCCTCCGGGACCCCTCACCCCGCGTCGCTCCACTTTCCCCGCCTCGCGCCTCGGAAAACCTTCCCCAACGTTTCATATCTAAAGAACAGCATCAACGGGCCATCTGAAGCCCGATCAAGCGTAGGACCTGTCAATCTTCAAGAGTATGCACGGCGAATGTCTCTGACTTTGTTGGCATCTAAATGAATGCTAATAAGTCCAATGTCATAAAGATGGACCGCTATCTCCACCTTCTATGCCATAAAAGAGCTACTCCACGACCTCAATCGATCCTACTCATTCCTCCTTAACATCTTCATCACGTATTATATATCTATCTTTTCATAATGTTTGCCGAACGACACACAATTCAGCTTCCTGCTGCAAAAGCACCTGTCATCCACATTGAAGAGAAAAAGACTGTCGAGCCAGTTTCTGTAGCCCAACAATGGCTAAGCAAGCTGGGAACAATCCTCAAAAACAACGATGTCGCTGCTCTTCCAACAGTCATGCATCAAGACAGTTGGTGGAGAGATATGTTGGCCGTGTCGTGGGATATTCGTACCCTGCATGGTCTTGACAAACTCTCTCTATACTTCTCCGATAATCTCGCACATACTGGGATGCACAACCTCAAACTTAGAACGACTGGAAAATTTGCTCCGAACCTCTCTTCCCCGGTTGAAGGTTTAGAGTGGGTTGAAAGTATGTTCGACTTTGAGACAAAAGTTGGCAGAGGATCTGGTATGTTGAGACTGTGTCAGGGTTCCGATGGCGCGTGGAAGGGATATATGATATATACTGCTCTGCAGGAATTGAAAGGTTATGAGGAGAATGCAGGTTTAAGAAGACCACATGGTGGTAACAATTCTCTGGAAGGCGGTGCCATCACGGGCAACTGGCTGGAAAGAAGAGAGAGACAAAAGGAATTCCTTGATGACGAGCCAACAGTGCTGATCATTGGTGCTGGTGAGTTATCCAAAAGGATGTATTCAATCAAAGCTAACAATTATCTAGGGCAATCGGGATTGAACACTGCAGCGAGATTGCAAGCAATGGGTACATCTTGCCTCCTCGTCGACCGAAATCCACGTGTTGGAGACAACTGGCGCTTCCGATATCGTACCCTTGTCACTCACGATCCCGTTCAATACACACATATGGCATTCTTAAAGTTTCCTACAAATTGGCCTTTATTCACACCAAAAGACAAATTAGGCGACTGGTTCGAGTCGTACGCTTCTCTTATGGAACTCAATGTCTGGACTTCCAGCACCATCACCTCCGCTGTCTATTCAGATGAGAAGAAGAACTGGACAGTCGATATTAAGCGAGGTGATGGCAGCGTACGCTCTCTGCATCCAAACCACGTTATCTTTGCCACAGGTCACGCAGGAGAAGCCAAAATCCCAACTTTCCCAGGCCAGTCCGATTTCAAGGGGACAGTCTACCACGGAAGCCAACACCAAGATGCCTCCATCACCGGCGCAGCAGCAGGCAAGAAAGTCGTCGTCGTTGGCACCGGCAACTCAGGCCACGACATCGCCCAAAACTACTACGAGAACGGCGCATCAGTCACCATGATCCAAAGACGAGGCACCTACGTAATCTCAGCCGCAACGGGCCTCTTCATGCTCCACGAAGGAATGTACGACGAGACTGGCCCACCAACTGAGGACGCCGACATCGCCGGTCAATCTCTCCCCATCCCCGCCCAATTTGCACTCAACGTCGGGCTCACAGAAAAGATCAAACAAGCCGAGAAAGAAAACATCGAAGGCCTCATCAAAGCCGGCTTCAAGCTCGATTTCGGCGAAGACAAATCGGGCATCTACCGCAAATACATCACCCGCGGCGGTGGATACTACATCGACGTCGGCTGTTCCAAGCTCATCATCGATGGTAAAATCGGGATCAAGCAATCACCAGACGGGATCTCTCATTTTGAGTCCAACGCTCTCGTTCTCGCGGACGGCACGAAGATGGACGCCGACGTCGTGGTGCTCGCGACTGGTTTCGACAACATGCGGACCTCAGTGCGCAAGATTCTGGGTGATACAGTCGCGGATCGGTGTAAGGATGTGTGGGATCTGGATGAGGAGGGCGAGGTTAATGCGATGTGGAGACCGAGTGGACATCCTGGGTTCTGGTTCATGGGCGGGAGTTTGGCACTTTGTAGGACTTATTCGAGGTTTGTTGCTATGCAGATTGTGGCGCAGGAGAAGGGGATTAGTCGATAGGATTAGATATTTACTTCTTGAGTTAAGAACTTTTATGTGGTAATTCTTGTATTGATATTCTTGAATGTGTGTCGAGTGGGTAACAGTGAGTAGATTAGAGATTCATAATTATACTTGGCTTGATAACCTTGACGCTATTCATACTCTTTTTTAACGATAATCATATTAAACATACTTCATTTGAGTAGATAGAAGTAGCAGCATCACTTGCGTGACTCTCCAGCGTAAACTTAACGCAGACTGTGAAGCCTATTTCCACATAAAATTTAGAACAATCTAGACGCGTTTCCAAGATTCGAATGATTGAATATTGTGGGGGCGCAGCTATTCGATTCTCTCGCGGTATGAAGTGTGTCCAAATGCAGTCTTCCAAAGGACGATTTCCAAATCGTTCGATAGATGCTGCAATATACTAAGTATATCGTTCATCTGTCTCTGAAACTTGAAGTCGAAGAGTCTTTATATCTTGAGCCGATAAAATTTGATCGGCCGGTGGTATTATATTAGGCAGGTTCTTTTGTCACCGGATAAAACATATTCTAACCTAGTAAGTATGATACTTAAACCCCGCTATTCAATTGTAGGTTGAGCTGCCTTTTGCTCTGCTTTACTCTACTAAATGATTTATCCTTAATGTAAATAGAACAAAAGCTATAGGCAAACTTGTGGCAGCCTGCGCGGGTTGTATAGCGTAGGATGTAGCTCACGCGTGCCTGCCATTTGAAGTTGAATGCAATTTAGATTAGCTTTAGTGTATTAACTCGTGAGATTTTGTTAGTAGTGCGGGTTGGTGGGAAAATAGAGTAATTTTTGGCAGTTTTGGAGAGGACTTCTGGTCTTTGGAGCTGCTCCTTTTAGATTAATACCGAGCTTGGTTTGTGTCATTTTACCGTGAATATGGAAAATTCCATCCATCTGAGATAAAGCTTTGGGAGATGTCTACATTGGCTTATAAGAGGTGAAGGTAGGAAGTGTTTCAGAATAGATATTTAGCTTCAAAAATCAAGTATATTTGTGAAAGGTTTCCTTTCGTCGGTGCTCAGTAACAAATGGTGGTAATAACAAATACTGAATGGTGTTAAATAGCTGGAGCTTGATTTCTTAATAATAGTGAAATTTGCATAAGGCAAAAAGAAATGTGAGTTTAGGCTTAAAAAAGCCCGCAGGTGGCTTTGGAGATTTTTGACAATTATTATTCTCAGCAGACATAATTACTCACCAGCGGTAAGAAGAATAGGCTTTTGTAATACCATGTATAGCTTTTATTATCATCAAGATCTTTACTCTATTTGTAATAAGTCGGCCACATTATCTCAAAGTATATTTTGCTACACTCTAGAATATTTTCAGCTATCTTCAAACAACTAAGGAGAAAATAACCACTCACTCAGGATCAAGAGCTGAAACTTCAAAATTATTGATGTAGTAGATTGCAAACTGAGTTAGAGTGCAAGTATTTACTAGTGTACTCCTGCTGCCAAAGATCTGACTAAATCTTGCGTCAAGTCACTAATGATTTCTAAATTTGTCACTTTTGCGCTCTGGAATATACTGGAGACTGGGGAGTACGGACAAAGAAGCCCAACATTTAATCTAAACTATTTTTAAATCTTTCCGTATTACGTTGACGACGCTACATTCTCTTTGTTTGTTTTAATAAATATTCTTTGTTGGCCAAATTGTAATCATTCCAATAAGATTTTTACTCTTTACCTCGTTCTGAATATAGTTTAACATGTGTACATTGCCAATTTCGTTATTTATTTTACTGCTGTTTATTCATTATATACTCTGTTGGTACCATCCATTCCCTGGTTCAGGTTACTAGACTGTGATTGCAATTATCAAAATGCGTCGGTAGGCTTGTCCTTGATTAAGATAACTCCACTTCACTCACTCTATATTTGTCCGTTGTGAATATTGGGAATTCTTAAAAGTTTTGATTTCTTGCACATATAAAAATCTTCTTTCTTCTTCTCTACCATCTATTCTGAGATCTTCTTTGAAGGTTAAAAATAACTTTGTCGTTACGTTGCCCCTTTGTCTGTATTCTGGACACAGAACAACTATATCCTCCCAGCACAAGACATTACGTTAGATCATCCACAGACAACAAACAAGCAATACTATTGGGTTACTGGAGCACTATCAACAGAAATTAAAAATGACAAAATTATCATGGAGATCAACGGTTCGAACATAACTCCGACTACAGCTAGTCGCCCAGTGACGGAACACTCATTTCTCACAAGTTTCCCCTACGAAATTCGCAGATTTATATATGGACATCTCCTTACGACCCCTTTGCTGGCAGAATGGGATTGCCTAGGAGGTCGGAAATCAAGAAAGACGCCTGGCAAGCCCTCCGAAATATCCTATACCCCACTTGGTCTGGGCACGTCAATTATGCGGACAAATCGTCAAATATGGGAAGAGTCCGAAGATGTTCTGTACGGACAAAACGTTTTTATGGTCACCTTCCCGAGAACGGGTTACGTTTTCGAGAAGAGCAATTTACTAAAATACAGAGCGCATCGCGTTCCTTTACGAGGATTCATGTGCTCACTGACACGTTACAATCAAATAATTGATGATGAAAAATGTGTCATGGATGATGGTGATCTTCTCGAACCTGGGTTTGAAGAAACACTCACTAAAATTCGACGATGGAAACTCATGCTCCCATCTGACAAGGAGATTTATCAAGTCGGCGTCGGACCTTTTTGTCATCTCATTCGCCACTCAACCCTGGTCAGCCTGGATGTCACCTTCAAAGACGTGTGGTACCACCGAATGATAGGCGAGGTCAATTTAGAGACGCTGCTTAACTGTATTACAACGCTTCGTTTGAGGGGTCCAGCTAGAAAGTTTTCTATGAAATTCCCAAAACCCAATTTACTCAAGATCGAAAGGCTCCAAAGGGAACACATTCCAGGATACTGGTGGGACCTGCCAAAATCCAGCCACGAAGAAATCAGAAAGCAAAGGACGGCTTCCTTGGCAAGCCTCGAATCAAAGATAGCTAAAATTGTTTATGGAGAAACAAAGCCGGAGAGCACTATTGAGATGTACTATTGTCTAAAACGATACTACCAGGCATTCTACAGGCACACAAGTTTTGATGGCCACTTCCAGAGATCTCTAGATTCATGGAGTTCAAGTTTAGCCTCAAAAGGCCAAGCGCTACCCGAGGGTTGGTTCGAGTGGGAGTGGATCCATCACTCAAGCGTCCAGTGCCACGGACACGACAGGGCCACGAAACCTAGCGAATGGCTATACCATGCTTCTACTACGGCTTCGGAGTTAGATCCCAAACAGTTTAAACATAGAAGGCAGTGTTGTTTAACTTTCTTAGAGGACACATACAAGGACATTTTAGCTAGGCGAGATCGGCTTACTGATGTCATCAAGGGACATAAAACATTGAATGGTATACTAGCACCCTTCCAGGACTCGATTTCAGAAGGGGGAACGTTAAAGATACAGGAACGAACTTCGATGCTATTCCAAGAAGGTACCTATTCTGATGAACTAATCGCAGAACTACTTGATCCTCTTGAAGGGTATGCAAGCAAACTAAGAGACGCCTGCAGAACAACAGCAAGTCCCGAGGACTTGGACATTAAAAATTTCCAAGACCGCAAACCTGGCGCCCCATATGGACCACTCTCTTCGGACAAATTCGCCGAATCAATCACTTGGGCTCTCGAAAATGAAAATTTCGACATTTTCTGTTCGAACTACAAAGCGGCGGTAGATGACCTTGACCAGCAATGCTTGGAAATTCGAAACGCCAGAAAGTGTCTCTTCGAACACGATCTTACTGATCGAGAATGTGACATCGACCTTGAGTTATCCCGATGCGACGACATGATTGATTGGGATGTTGTTGAGCCTGATTTGTGTCCACAAAGAGATGTCATCGGAGCGAGAGATCAAACACTCACCAATCGACCCTACAGAGTTGATGTTGGACCATCATGGCCCTGTGAAACAGATGCTCGGGATGCTGTTGAGTGGATTCAACCTCAAGCATATGTATTGACAAATCTCAGCAATAAGAAGAAGGGAAAGAAAGGCAAGAAGAACAAGAGCAAGAAGGAAGCTGTACCTGAAGATTTATGAAAGGATTAGATTGATCTTTCGCAGAGAACGGTGGATAGAAATTAGGTTTTATAGTGCTTGTTAATCAAGTTAGACCGTTGCACATACCTCAATTGAAGTAACCTTACACCAGTGACAATGTAAATATAGGTCAGAAATATAGCATTAATTCGATCTTCTTGACCCGCAATAAGGATCTGCTCAGAATTCAACACAAGTTATTTCGAAGAAGAAATAACATGTTGAAAGATTTGGTCGCACACATCCACTAATAACAAGAGCACATTTGCTGCTTCCGAGCAAGTCAAAAGTCCTTTTTTAACTAAATATCCAATCGTTCGATTGGAATTTGATGGATACTGAAATGGTTCTAGACGCTATAACGAGATAAATCAGATTGAATCGAGACAAAATCTTAATGTAGTGTCACGAGATGAACAATGCTCACGTGATGCTTGTTATTATCGTCGCAACCACCTCTGACTATCTTCCCTTAATCTTCCCTCACAACATGTCAACACATTTACCTTCCTCCAAGAACCGAAATGGCTTATATGCGATTCTACACATTTAGATCAGCCGCCCGTCACATATCATCCCCGTCAAGTCCAGCTGTTTTACTTCTTGTCGCACCAGGTTCTCAAACGCGTCCGAGATGGCGCGACTTCTCGAGATGACACGGTACATCAATATCAAACCAAACATTGCGCGATCAAGTTACATGTCGATGTATGTTAGTGATAATAGGTTCGGCATCCAATCTCTAATTTCACAAAAGTGGACGTTTTCATCCGGGGTACGAACTATGTACAACCACCACTGTTTGAGCAACACGAGCCATGTGCTCCATTGACGGATTGAGATTCGACGGATCACCACAAGTGAGTAGGACTCTTGTTTCTTTAATACAGTCTACTGATACTTGGTTAGGTGGCACACTTTGAGCGGGCCTAAGCCTGAACCTTATGTTCATCAAAGAATGAAATGAGCAAATGTATACACATCGCAGAAGTCAAGGGACCGCTGAGCAAGCATTTCCCGAGTCTAGCAAGCGACTCGAGCATGTTGTTCACCCGTTGGACTACGAGACTTAGGTAGCCTTATGTTGAGCAGCATACGTGGGCCGCAACCTGCCAACTGTTTCAATTGAATCAAATTGCTTGACACCACCAGAAGTTCTTATCTCAACACATATCTAAGAAATTTTCAGAGGTATTATTAGTCTAAGCAAGTTGACAGAATACTCTATGTTGTGTCAACATGATCGATTAAACCTTGCGCTTCGCAGTCATTTATTCAACAAAAGAGCCTGTCGCACGGATGCATCTTTAAGCGCTGGGTCTAATGCTGTGCAAGTCTCCCTTCCATGTTCATCAAACATCTCTTGCGAAATCTCACAGTAAATGTACTCAACCATTATCATCATCAATCAAGATGCTCTGTGCTTGTTGTCAGGCCATTGACCTTCGAGGACGTGCAAAAGACATTGGGATGTGGAGTTTAGCTGATCACTTGGAGTTACGTGACAACAAGCATGACAGCTTCCGTTACACCAGGCTTTCTTACCATTCAACACTTGAAGCTATGTTTTCTGCTATATCACAAGGCTGTGAGTTCTGTGAGTTGCTCTGCCCCATCTACGATGAAGCCGCGCCACATCTTCGGCGCGAACATGCACATTTTTACCCAAATGGGTCCAGCGAAGCGATGCAAAGCATGCCAATTCCCCTTGATTCCAGGCCTAACCTGAGAATCATTAAAGAGGACCACTGCTCGATAACCCCGGCGACATTGATCAAGCTAGATCCAAAGTACAAGAAGGTCTTACGGAAGGCCATCGAAGAAGGTTCTGAAAACCAAAGACTGAGACAATCTTGCGCATTAGGTCTTCAGCTCGGGTTATCCACGCCCAATGATCCTTCAAGGGTCATCAATGTTGCTATACTTGGATTGCTTGCAGACAAGAGTATTTACCTACCCTTCTTGTGCGCAAATACATGTGGACTAAAGTATTTGTAGATGATCCTTTAGTTCAACAGGGGTTATTTGGTAGTCGCGAGGCTACGGTAGGAACAGATTTTAGTCTTGCTAAGGCGTGGCTGCAGCGCTGTTCTCAAGACCATAACTCATTCGGTTGCAAATCAGATAACGTTCAGCGTCCTTTACCGACGCGAGTAATTTTTGTGGGAGACAACGTCAATGAGGTTGCATTATGCGAAACAAGTGGAGGACATGGGAGGTTCGCAGCTCTTTCGCACTGTTGGGGAGAACAGGCCAAATGGACAACTACTAAGCAACATCCCAAACTCCCACCGTACGACGACTTTCCAGGCAATTTTCAAGATGCAATTGTTTTGACTAGGAAGCTGGGTATCCGATATCTGTGGATTGATGCGCTTTGCATACTGCAGGATTGTATCGCAGATTGGCAAAAGGAGTGTGCAGACATGACGAATATCTACCGCAATGCGGAAGTCACCATATCGGTACAGGATAATCCAAGCTCTTCCAATACAGGCTTCCTGAAAACCCATGCCACGTCTGCCTATAAATCGTTTGACTGGCACGGGCTCCGCGTTTCTCAGCAGGCTTCTGCATCTCGGGACCCATTTGGGTCATTACGTCGTACAGTCATAGATAGTCGGGGTTGGATCTTACAAGAGAGATTACTCTCCCGTCGGATATTACACTTCTCGAAGAAAATGATGTCGTGGGAATGTTCCCAGGCGGTATACAAGGATGATTTCCATTATCCAATGTCCGTACATCCTAGACTACCAAAGCATCAGCTCTTCGAGTTGGACACTTTGAGCAAATTTTCCTTGTGCGAATACTGGCATTCAGTGGTAGAAGACTATTCGACTCGATCTCCTACCATATCTGGAGATAAATTTCCAGCGATCTCCGGGCTCGCCGCGCTATTTGCACAAGCTTTTAGAGCTCAATATATCGCGGGCCTTTGGTGCAGACGCTTCGTACTCGGTTTATGCTGGAGAGTGATCGAACCTACAGCGTCGGATGGTGATGCATCAGCAGAGGCATGGGTCGCACCTTCTTGGTCATGGGCTTTCCAAAGAAATGTATGTTGGGCGTATTCATATGATGTCGACATGCTAGAGGACGCGCCTCATCTCAAGTCGGTGCATCGAGCTATGATGGTCAAGTCGTATGATATATCTATAGCTGGCCACGATCCGTTCGGTGCTTTAAAATCAGCTTCAGTGCTCATACTGGGCAAACTACAGTCTTGTTCTGTAGTGCAACTAACCCGTAGAGGACCATCAGAGGGTAAGCCCAGGGGTTTCTACGTCGTTGATCACGATGGTTGTCCTCTCGGTACTGTGGACTTTGACGACCTAAGCGGCAAGACAACTATGAGCACAAAGGGGCAGTCCGGATTAAACCAAGCCGCTGGCTCTGAGTTGTGCTGCGTGGGAGTCTTCACTCTTCTAGTTTATTCACTGTTGTATATCGTGAGGAACGGAGGAGGAACGGACCATACACCTGTCACACATGCCTTGTACTGCAGTCAATCAAATCTTCGGAGAACACATTCCGCAGAATTGGACTGGCAACGCTTAGTCGGCCATCTTGGGCTGAGTATGCGGAATATTTTGATGGTAGTTATTGGCGTCCCCCTCGCTTTCCGGACGACGTTGCATCGGAGTCGGTCAACAGAATACGATGTTTTTTCGACAATGTCCAACGAAGACAAGTCATATTGCTGTAGCTGGTAATATAGTACTGGTTGCTCTTGCTTGTCGCATGTCGGTCATCTTAGAGTATTCTTGCAAGCAAATGGGTCACCAAGTGTGTTGTGAGTCCGACAGGACACCTACTTTCAGGACGGTCACGATAAACCTTATCTAAGAAGATGTGCTTGCTCAATTCTTAAAGTAAATACAATATATTATCTATTCAACTAAGATTGAATATGTCAACTGAATACGCAGCGGGAGAACTTAAGATGTCGGTTTCTAAACGTCATTGTACTTGCGAATTTGGAGAGTGTCCTGTCAGTCTTATAATGCACTGGTTGGTGTATGGGCATAACGCTGAATCTTTTACTGAATCAAGTTGTCGTCGGCACATTTCTCAAAACTGACATTGATATTCTGACTTCCTGATCTTGACTCGATTTCCTTTCGTTGTGTTCAACATAGATCAACATGTGCGAAGGCTCGAATGGATTGAAGTGCCGATAGGTGCGGTGCCGAAGTTCAACAAGCCTCTTTATCCAAATCAATCAACGGCTCTCCGATCAAACTTAATATTCCTCTTGGACCACATGCAGGATCCGCAATCAACAATGTTGTTTAATTGGGCAGTTTTGTTTCTCAAAACACCTTTGCAATTGGCGCATTCTTTTGCCGTCGTGGCGTTCATCAATAGATGCACAGAATTCATCTAATTATGTCTTGATCACTTTATGATTGAGATTCGGTTTCTAAATTCAGACAAAGCCGAGCTAGCGAGTTTAGATGATTGAAGATATGGCATTTCTCGGTTTCAGTATAAACGGCCCGGGTTTACATCGATCGAGGAACTTATTTGAAGAGTCAATGTCGCTTCTGTATCACCAAAAGTCTAATAGTATTCAATCGTCCTATCAACACTATGATTTGGTCAACGATATCGCTCGTTGCGCTACTCGCGCAACAGTCAATTGCACAAACAGGATCAGCTAGAGGATCTGATTTTCTTCGCTTTGGATGTTCTCAGCTCGTCGTTGAAAGAACGGACCCTCTTGTCAACCCGGGACAAATACCATCACCTCATATGCATCAGATTGTTGGAGGAAGTTCTTTCAATACTACGGTAAGTCACTAGTCATCAATTGCACAAGGAACTCGGCTAATATGAGATACCAGATGGATATCAAAAAAGCGGACCCATCAACGACATCCAAATGCACTTCATGCAAGCTATCTGAAGATTTCAGCAACTACTGGACCGCTTCAATCTACTTCAAATCACCAGAAAACGGAACCTACAAACGAGTTCCTCAAATGGCCAACGGCCGCTTGAACGGCACGCTTCTCGAACAGGAAGGAGGTATTACAGTTTACTACATGCAGCCCTTCAGCGGCACGAACAAAAAGACAACAGTCATGAGCCCTGTACGTCCACTGCCCTCTCCTCCCAACACCGACTAATCCCCCAGGGCTTCCGCATGCTCGTCGGCGACCCTTCCCTCCGCAGTAAACCCAGCGGCTCTCTCAAAATCTGCCACCGCTGTCTCGCCAAGTCCGAGCGCATCATGGGTGGCAGTGGCGCGCCCTGCGACTCCTCCGACACCGCTGAGTTTCCCAATAAACCGTGTCCCGGCGGCATTCGCGCCACCGTCATCTTCCCGTCGTGCTGGGATGGCAAGAATCTCGATACCCCGGATCATAAGAGCCATGTCGCGTATGCCTCAGGCGCGGCGCTTGCTGGTGATAAGTGTCCGTCTACGCATCCTGTCAGGATTCCGCAGGTTATGTATGAGATTATGTATGATACTTCGAGCTTTGCGGATCCCGCGTATTACAAAGATGGAAAACAGCCGCTTGTTTATAGTTTTGGTGATACGTTAGTGCTTTTCTCTTTTACTGGTTTGAAAGTGCAACACTGATGTTGATAGAACTGGATACGGTGCTCACGGTGATTACCTCTTTGGCTGGGTGGAAGGCTCGCTTCAGAAAGCTATGGATTCCCTGGGAAAACAGTGCTTTAGTGAGACTTGTCCTGTGTTGAAGTTGCAGTCTAGTCCGGAGGCTATTGGATGTACGAAGGCGCAGCAGGCTGTTGAGGATGTTGGGACGGATACTTGTAAGTCTTGTTTCCTGACATTCGGATGATAGCTCACAGTCTTTTAGGGCTCAAGGAGATTCCAGGGATGTGATTATTCAGTGAAGATGAAGCCGGGGGACTGTCTGCAGTTACTGTTGCGTGATACGATTTCCGTTAGAATGTGTTTTGATTAGCGAGATGTGTTTATTGCAATTCAAAAATTTAACTTACAGTGTTTCCCAAGTGGACTTGCTACATATGAGATTAATGTTTCACATTCTTCGAATTTCTCGCTCCAACGAGCGGATCGTTACCCTTCTGTACCCTTTACTCGTCATCATCTGAGGTACATAACGTCTCACACGTAGCCAATTAATCTCAGGTAGTTCCGCTAGGTTCATGACCATAGAGGAGTTAAGTTAGCTCACAAGATCTTGGATTTGCTTGAACGTTTGCTTCCTTGAAAAGCACCAAGTGCCCCTTCGTGTCGAAGCAAAATCATCAATATGCAAGACACTACATACCGTTTAATGTCGACTTCAAACCTAACAACAAAAGGATTTTCAATATTATAGCAAATCTCTCCTTTGGAATTGGATTTTTCGTCCCAAAATTATAATACCTAAGACTTTACATGAAGGATAAACTGAGCATAAAATCAATTAGTACAAACATTTCATTTAAACGGTGATTAGTGAGGAGAACATCTATTTAAAAATTTAAAAGCTATGATCTACTGTCAAAGTGACTATTCTTCAGCGGAATCATTGCGTGATCTATGTGAAGAAATCTGCCACTTGTCACACCCCCTTAGAGATATTATAAGCGAGACCATGGGCCGTCAGAAGCGAGGTTAAAAAGGGGGTGGTTCACGCTCGTCCAGCCAATCAAGTAAATGCGGGGCGGAAAGCTATGATTCAAAAAAGTTCCTTCGAAGCTTCACCCCACCAACATTACAACGAGTATTCTTCAACACTACACATTGCGATTGCAACGGTTCCGCAGACTTTCATAGTCAATTATATCGATGCGGTGACCTTATAAGTCAATATTCTTCAATTAACATCCTCCCACAATGCCACCAAAAGCCGCTCGCGGCCCGCGCGCAGCTCGAGGAGCTCGAGGTCGAGGTCGCGGCAGACCAGCAGCAGAAGCAGAATCATCCGCCCCCGTCATTAAGTCGGAAGAGCCAGACACGCACTCTCTCCACGAACATACGCCTTCCGAAGCAGCAGATCCTCCATCCACCACCCCCCAAAATGTATCTCCAAATTCGTCGCCCGCGACCGTTCCGACCGAAACACCAGCGCCTACACCCGTTCGTGTTGCGCCTCCGCGAGCGGAGAGCTCGAGTCGTGGGAGAGGGGGAGCGGTAGGACAGCGAGGGAAACCGGCGGTGGAAAGTAAATTCAAACCGAGGGCTATTAGGCGCGATGCTGGTGAGCGCGAGCGCATACGGAAGGAGGAGATGGACAAGCAGGCTGCGTTGGAGAAAGAGGCAGAAGCAGAGGCGGCCCGAATAGCGAGGGGCTTGGGAAGGGGACGTGGGAGGGGTGGGAGAGGCAGAGGAGATCGCTTGGATAGGGCTGTGAGTAGTAGAAATACTAATTCGGCGAGTGGTTTGTTTGGGGTTGCGCCGGAGGAGTTGGGTGAGTTTTCTGTTTTGCTAGGCATGAGGTTGGTGTGCTGATTTGATGTAGCGAGAAGGACTGAGGGATTCTCAGCGTCAAGGATTGGTGGTGGTGCCGGTGGAGGGGGAGGGGGAGGAGGGGGTGGAGGAGGTGGATCAGGTCCTAGTGGCACAAGAATCAAGAGTGAAGGTGGTGGACTTGCTGGTCTTTCCGGGGGTTCAGGAGGACAGAATCCGTTCATGTACGGCGCAAACTTTGTACCCGAGTACGACGACGACGATGACGAGACGGAACGTATCGATATTGACAGTATGAACGATAAATGGAAACTCGACAGAGATGGCTTTGCGATTACTGGATCTAGAACGAGGGAGGCAGGGGATGGGAAAATGTCTAATATGGATCTTATGTTGCCGATTCGATTAAGTCGAATCCACCACGAGACAAAGAAAGCATATATCAATATTCCGGACGACGCAGACCTTGATGTCAAACAGGAGGAAGCAGATGGTATGGAGATTGACGAGGAAAAGTCAACCAATATTCCGGATGGCAATGAGAGCTTACCAGTCAAGTCTGAATCGGCTATGGAGGAAGAAGTCGAACCAGAAGAAGTTCCGCCTCCGGCTTCAATTCCCTCATCACCCGAATCGAAGCGAAAAGTCGCGAGGCAAATTAAGCCAGACATACCATCCAGTCCTGAAGCTCAATTCTCAGACAAAGTCAAACCACCGACAAGCCCCGAATTAAAAAAGCGCAGAGACAGCAAGAAGCACGAGGTCAAGCCAGTATTACAAACTGAAGAAGATACGGCGGAATACGAACGCCATCTTGACGAAATGGAGCATCTTGCGAAGGAACTAGGTGGTGTTCGGGCTCGTACCAGACTTGACACTGATGGAGATGAACTTATGGAGAATGAAGAAGAAGCATTTGAACTCGATGGCAAACTCTTCTTATTCCAATTTCCACCCGTCCTGCCGAGTCTCTACAATCCTCAAAAATCATCGAAGCCCGAAAGCAAGAAATCAAAACAAGATAAGAAAGCGGCCGATGCAGCTGCTTCTCCTAGCAAGAGTGGCAAACCTATTAAGGTGAAAAATGAACCTGAGACGGAAGAAAGGATTGAACATGAGGTTGAGGTTGAGGAGGAGACAAAACTTGTGGAACAAGAAGGCTGGATCGGGAAGATGGTCGTCAGGAAGAGTGGGAAGGTGGAGTTGGCGTGGGGTGGTACCAGTATGATTGTGCATGCTGGGACGGCGGGGGATTTTCTGAGCACGGCGGTTATGGTGGATGGGAGGGAGAGGCCTACGAGTTTGTTTCGAGAGAATGAAGCGAGCGAGGGCAGTGCGGTGGGTATGGGGAAGGTGTTTGGGAAGTATGTTGTTGTTCCTGATTGGGAGAAGTTGAGTTGAGATGTATTTCCGAAGTGTGATTTGGGTATGGGAGTTTTGTGTGAGCATTTACAGGTCAAAATTGCATGGACGGGCGTTTTAGCTGTAAGTTGACTTTGATGTAGAAATCAGCTTAGAGAAATAGAATTGTTACAAGAGACGGCTTGAATGCCGATGTAACTATCCGTAAGTCCTTTTTATCACCGTACCGTGTGTTCGGGCAGCGAAAGTGGACGATAAACCCCGCAATGGCGGGGCCCCGCGTTGTCGTCCACTTCAAATCTACAACTACAACTCTTCTTATATCAAGCTCATTAACACTGTTTTGACTCAGGACTTCATAAGTTTTTGTCCATTGTCATACTCATGATTTCTAGATTTGTGTCTTGATGATTGTCAGCACCTGATCCTTTCATACTATCTCTTAGAGACTCTCTAAACTCTTCAGTCAAATCGGTAATCATCAGCTCCCATTATCACTCCAATAAATATATTCGGGGTCTTATCATTAGAAGCCAGCAGTGGTTCTGCTTAACGAATCATATCTAGATCTAACACAATGTCAATACATCTCATAATCATAGGCGCCGGTCTAGCAGGCCTCTCAGCGGCCATCTCAACCAAATTAGCAAATTCAAACCACAAAGTCACCATCCTCGAATCCGCAAAGGAATTAGCAGAAGTTGGGGTAAGCGTCCCAATCGCCATCTCTAATATAAAGCTATAAACTAATCCATCACAGGCAGGCCTCCAACTAACACCCAACGCAACCCGTCTCTTCAAATCCTGGGGAGTCTATAACACTCTTCTCCCACTCGCAACAGCCCCAGCAGCTCTTCACGTCCGTAGATACGATGGCACCAAGACACTCTCTTCGACACCGGATTTTCAATCTCAGATCCAGGAACGCTACAACGCTCCCTTCTGGGGCATGCACCGCGTCGACCTCCAACACGCACTCGTATCCCGCTGCAAAGAGCTCGGCGTAACAATCAAACTAAACAGTAAAGTCGCAAACGTGAATTTCGCAACCGCAACCGTAACACTCGAGTCCGGCGAGCAAATCAAGGGTGATCTTGTCCTCGCGGCTGATGGACTCTGGTCGGCTACCCGCTCGCAGTTCCTCGGTCACGATTCCCCGCCCGTTCATACAGGCGACCTGGCGTATCGTATTGTGATCAACACAGCTGATCTCGCTGACCCCGACCTCCGCGCTTTCGTCGAGAAGAAGGAAGTTAATTTCTGGATCGGGCCTGAGACGCACGTCGTAGCTTACACGATGCGCGGTGGCTCCGTCTACAACATCGTCTTGCTTAGTCCGGATAACCTCCCTCCAGGCGTCGCGAAATTGGCAGGCGATATCGGGGAGATGCAAAGGCTGTTCGAGGGCTGGGATCCACTGCTCAGACGGTTTCTAGGCGAGGTGAAGAAAGTGGATAAGTGGAAACTCATGTATCATACCCCGTTACCGAGATGGTGTAGTGAGGATGGACGGTTCTGGATGGCGGGTGATGCGTGTCATCCTATGTTACCGTATCTGGCGCAAGGAGCTAATAGTTCGTTGGAGGATGGGGCGGTTGTGGGGGCTTTGCTGAAGGATGTGGCTTCTGCTGAGGAACTACCACGTGCGGCGAAGATTTATGAGGAGTTGAGAAAGGGGAGGGGAGAAAGTATTCAGAGGGAGACGTTTGGACAGAGGGTTGATTTTCATAGGGGTGATGGGTTGGAGCAGAGGGCTAGGGATGAGGTTTTCAAGAAGTATGAGGGGAGAGAAGTTGGGTTGGATGTTGAGGGGTGGCCTAGTCGGTGGCAGGGCGGTACGGTTCAGAAGTGGTTGTATGGGTATGATGCTTATGAGGAGGTTGAGAAGGTGCTGAAAGAGAAACATTCATAAGTATGATAATCTCAAAACCAGACCTTCCACCACTCCTTTTCCAAGTATGAGATGTACCTTATCAAAAGACATAATATCACAATCTCTCAAGTAAACTGAAGCTTTGTTAACAGGAAATCCTAACTATCGTTTGCCACGGTGGCACCGCTTCACTACTTAATATCACCCATGACGAACGCCATATCATTCCTCGAAGCACTTGACGAAATACACGATATTTCATCAATTGCTTCTAGGAAATACATGGTCTCGACCACCACTTACTAAGTAGTAGGTACTTTTCTGGGAGCAGGTGTCCCACAAGGCTCCTAAATCGCGAATTAATATACTAATAGGATTTCCGAGATTTGGATTTGTTTTCTAGAGCTGCTCTTTCTACATTATTCCCTTTAACCTAGGGAATTAATAAATAAGTCTAAGCACTAATTCATATTTGTCTAGTTAGAGGAAACGTTGTCCTAGGACTGGATTGATGGCAGGAACACACTTCCTTACTTCTTTTATAATAAATATAATTATGCTTTGCAATATAGACAATATCGCATAATTGACTTTCCAAGAGAATTAACAACATAAGAGCTTTTCTTGTAAATCATTCTTACTCCAACGTAGTAAGACGATCGTTCGATTCGCCGACGATAAGAACGACTCACTAGTGACGATTGCTTTTAAGGTAGTGATTCTTTAGTTTTAGAGTTTTATAAGGTAAAAGTAAGGCGATGATCTTGAATTCTCAGGTACAGCTTGTTTTGTACAGTATACCTACACGAGACAATTACTCTACCACGCCCTCCCACAAGTCACTCACACTCTAGCATCATCGACTAACAAGAACCAGATCTACACCGCCTCCTCATCCCTAAAACCGATTTTACAACTTCAAGAATCAGGATAGAGATGACCCCAAGGCAGAAGCTCCAGGTGGCCCTCTAAAACATTTCAAATTACATATCACAGATGCTACTGAATTTAGAATGCAAATAATCCCACCCGACCAAACCTCCAATACTTATCTACTCCTTCCCACCAAATATCTTTCTCCATCAAACATGTCATCGACATCCAACCTCATTACCCCCCAAAACCCCCTCAAACGTTGCAAGAACTTAACAACAGAGCCATCAATTTCCTCCTTGCGTATCCAGAATCGGATTTGCAAATTGCGGTGTGTGTCACCTATATCCACAATCAATCCCCTAGTCAAAGAAGACCACATTCCTCATTCCCTGCGTCAGAGAAAAACAGTACACTCAACATTCGAAAGATCAATCAAGGATGTAACGGATCGTGCAATTGATCATCTAGTATTAAAACCCCAAAGGTTACTAGACAGATTATAATCATCACATTCTCATATTTACCGTAGTATCCGTATCTACAACCAGCATAAATAGCACGGGCGATATATCATTACTTCCCATCAATAATCTTACTTACATTGTAGAATCAACGTCACTAGTAGATGACGTGTTTTAGCCGTCGTATCAAGGATGATAACATTTCGGGTAATGATTAGCAATAAAGCGCGAGATCATGCGTTTGTGTTAAGAGCACCTCTTTCCCATTTCCCCATCCCCCAAGTTTACAACCCACAAACCTCACAAAAACAACCCCTCTCACCCCCATCACCACAAGATTTTTTTTTTCAAGGCATCCATATATTTCAATCTACAAAACCCCCCATCCATAGACTATGAACCAACCCACCTACCCTAATAAAACCCTAAATCTGTCTGTCTTGTCTTATCTTAATCTCTAAGTCTAACAACAGTGACGAAACTCAAGAAACGGATAAAAAATGATAATCCCAACACACTTTGTCAATTATACACAACACCCCTTTTGCCCTCCCCCTTATCCCTCCCCCCTTATTCCCCTTACCCAATCCCCACCTCTACACCAGCCCTACTTCCCACCACCCAGCACCTTCGGCACGCCCCTCCACCCCTCCTTCCCCCCCGGCATCCCCCCAACCCCACCAAACCCACCATCCAGATCCAAAATAATCTTCAACGCGTTCCTGCTCCTCAAGAACCCAATCGGGCCGTCCTGCCCCGGTAATCCTTCGCCGGCAGCCACGACACCCTTATGCATCGCGCTCTCCTCCGCTTTCTCAGATCCAGGCATCGGCAGCAGATTCTGAAGGACCTCGTACATCGCGAGCGTGAACCCGAATTGCGGACTCGATCGGAGGATACGCGCTGGTCCACCTTTGAAGAACGCTTTGAAGCCCTCCTCTTTATACACGGTGCTAGCGCACTGTCTCAACCCAGTATACGAGGACTCACCCTTTCTCGCCTCGACCTGGAGACGGGTCTTGATAACATCGCAAGGAGTGGTGAGGTACGCGGCAGGCATACCGGCGATAGCGCCGGCGGTGAGGAGTTGGAGAATGCCGAGTTTTTTCGTGGGCGACTCGCCGTATATGTCGCGTTTGAGGTGGTTGTAGGTTGGGAAGTAGATTGCGGAGAAGGGGACGTCGCGGAGGAGACAGGCGGAGGCGCCTTTGTAGAGACCTACGAGACCGAGATTACGGACGATCCACATGGCTGAGCGACGGGGAGCGCCGTCGACGTTTTTGGCGACTTCTCCTTGGACTTGGAGACGGATTTTGACGATTTCGAGGGGGTTGGTGAAGATCTGATCTACATTAGCGTAACTCAGAGTTTAAGGGTGACAAACTTACAACTTGACAAGCACCAGCAGTACCACCAGCGAGAATCTCATGTGGAATCCAGATTTTGCCATCTTTTCCAGAGAAATGACCTCTTACAAGATCATTTACCGTCAATTTGATAGCCTTTTCAGGAGCAACACCCACAAGTTGCGGTAAGACACCAGAGTATAACCCCTTGAAACCCTCGTTCTTAATAACTTTCTTTGCACAATCCAACGAGTTCTTGTACAACATCTCCCCAACACGAGATGATCGCTGATTCTGCATTCGGGTCTTGACCAAATCAATGGGATAGACCATAAACGCACCAAACGCACCAGCCAGCGATCCAAGCCCAAAGTGATGTACTGATTCTAACACTGAATGCAGAATGCCCTGCGTCTTGACTTTCACTGCTGTAGCTCCTGCACCCGTCGCTTGGCTAAATGCATTATATAAGGGGTTCCGCCATGATGGATCCAGGACTTTAGCAAAGTCACTTAGACCAAGCTTGCCGGAAGGTTCGTCGAGACTGGCAAAGTGGAAAAGGATATCTGCTTCCATAGGAGTGAATAGCGAAAACCGGGTAATTCGAGCTGCTTCATTAAGGAAATCCGTCCTCGTAATCTTTCCATCAGAGCTCTGCGCCGTAGCTTGTCGAATAATCAACTCCACCAAATCCATCTCTCGAATCATATTCTGAAATGCTCGTACATTTGCGTATGAAATCTTGGTCCCGGCCGAAATATTACATAGGGTATGTAAATTCTCAAGTAAATGATCAGAGAGCTTATGTCTCGCAGTCTGAAGAATGATGCGTTGGAAATCTTCTGGCTCAATAAATCCATCCCCGTCTTTATCAAAATGATGGAAAGCCTGCCGTATCCGCTCTCCTTGCAGACCTCTCAGCATCTGCGAGAATTGAGGGTATGTGAGGTCATGTCGTCGTTTCTTTCCACCACTGTATAAGCTCGCCCACTCGCAGTCCCAATCAAACGGTATGTTGTCCGGACTCTTATTCATGCTATAGAGCTTCTTTAGGTTTTCATATTTGACGGTTCCCGTGCGGTCTACATCAAAAAGTCGAAATGCGATCTCGTACTCGGCGTCCGGTTTGGCGAGAAGATTCTCAAAGGTACCCCAATCGAGAAGATTGATCTTTCCAGTATCCCTTCGATCGGCCACACGAAACAGGATCGCATATTGCTCGCGCTTGATCTTATGCTACAAACATCCATCGCATGTCAGTCAATGGCTCTGTAGAGGTTGTGCGACAGAAATTCGCGAAAAAAGTGCAACTCACGTAATCTTCTCCTTCTGGCGCAACGGCATTTATGAATTCCTCTTCGCCCATAAACAACTCCCCAGTCTCAGGATCCTTTTTGGCATTGTCTATAAAGGTCGCTTTCGATCGCGCAGACATCATCGCGTCTTCTGGCACCTCTGAGCCCAGTAATGACTCCTTGACCACCTCCTTGACCTTGGTCACCTCCGTCGACACGGTAGCCATGATTGCAACCCAACCTGAGAGCTGCTGGATCCTGTATGATTGAATTATCCGTCTGTACCGCTAGGAGAATTTCGTTTCAAGCAGTGTGCAAGCTTGCGTGATTTGCGGCGGCAGAAAAATGGGGTGTTGAAGCACAACTCTGGTGGGACGCCAAACAAAAAGCAAGTAATAAAAGAATGCGCCTCTGAGCAAACAGAGCGGTGGGAAACCTTAATTAGTTGATGCGGATGTGGTAACGTCAATCTGGCGATGCGGTGAAAAGATATTGTCAGAGTCCGAGGCAGAGAACGGTGGTAATCTGGGGAAGACTGGTCAGTAGTGTTGTTATTACAAAAGAAGCTCTAATAATTTTCTAGCTTCCGGCTTGGAGCAGCAACAGAGCTTCGGTCAGGGCGAAAACGGCTGCAGGTGGACCGCAAATTTGATTGAACGGCGTTAAATCGGACATCACGGGATCGGCGAAAATTATTTATGGAAATGAGGAAACGTGACTTGCATCATCTTCCACGACAAGTCAATTTGTGATTTACATATCAGTATCCGGATCCAGTTGGAGACCTTGTCAACTGAAGATTCAACTTTCATTCATCGCTGCTCAAGTTTGAGACTGCGATTGACGAGGCTTGGCAAGCTATTTGGGCAATTTACCCGTGCATCACGCTGTGATCAGATGAACTGGTATACTAGCTAGTTCCACGGAATTCAAAACCCACTCTCGACTCCAAGAGCTGTCATACTTGCTTGGCAGTGTCTTTGATCAGATATCAGCCTCCTAGTTTGTTGTCATTAACTTGGGATCACAGTCTTTGAACTTCATTGAAACGTGTTTAGTAGTATACTATAAGTTGTATTCATATTCTCTTTGAGTGGTATCTGCAGTAACTCGAGGAAGAACGCAACCATGTACTACCTAACACCATCGACGCCATGCGAAGCAAGTGGATGACAAAAGAACAACAGCTATTACAATTGGGGGAATGGAATTGAAAAGAAAAGCACAAAACGCAATTATACCGCCCCGGTTTCTATTTTGTTTTTCTTGCATGTAGTCCAGGTAGACAAAAGTCGGGACGGAGCAAGTCGAAGTTGATCATGGTCTCGTTATGTTCGTGAGCATCGTTACGCTAAGGGTAGCAAACATGGAGTGGATCGAGAAGATCGAGCCATGCCTCGTTGATAGCTTTGAGGTAGGAAGGCCATGTTGATGTAAAGATTTTATGCATTGCAATGCCATTTTAAGCGTTGCATTTGAGTATAGGAAGGTAGTGTTGTGAAGATCCAGATGCGTGGCTATGAGATATCATATCGGCAATGAATGATTGTAAGTCGCCGTATCTGGTCCAATAATATACAAAGAAAGTAGGTTTGAATCGATCGAGATACTATACAACACATTCCTTGAGTTGGACGGTGCGCTTGAAAGAGTCTCGTGTTTCGTAAGGCATATGAGCGGCAATGTCTTCAAGAGATGGAAGAGACGGTCTCGAGTTGGAAAGTTGAACGGAAGGGAGAGTAAATCCTCTCTTCATCTCGCCTTGGACGAAGTGTGAAGCACGTTTGTAGCGACGATCAGAGTATTTTTCGAACACGGCCGAGTGGTGCTTTTCAGGATTTTCGCAGCACTCTAGCATCGCTGATACCAAAGGCCGTAACTGCTGCCATGTATAGCCAGAGTAGTGAATGTGAGAAGGACTCTGGGGGTGGGTTAGTTACAAACAACGGAAAAACTCGGACCGATTAGCTTACCCAGTCTCCCTTCTTCAAAGCCATCCGGGCAAAACAGTGAGCACCTGCGGCAACATAGCTAGGTGGGCATCCGACAAAACGCTCATCCATGATGGTAACCTCTAGGAAATATTTCGCCAGAGTTCTCGTTTCCAGATCATAGTCATCGGCCTTGCTGATTCTTCGGAGGAAGCTCATTGGCCCTGGCCAGCCAAGTTCGAATTGCAACATGCTCAACATGAAGCGTTCTGCCTTCAATATCTCGTCCACCGTATACCCACCATCAACCATGTACACAATCTCGCTGACTGCTGGGCAGTTTATTTCTTCGTATTTGGCGGCGACGAATATGGCTGTCGCACCGACCAATTGAAGTTTGCCAAGCGAAACGATTTTACATGAGAGAAATCTGTCAATGTAGTTGACACAGAGGAACAGAGTCTCTGGTAGAAGAGAGAAGCGATGATGCACTTGGATCAACCAATCCATCAGTACGGAGCGCATCGACCATTGAATCTCGGATTGGTTGTCCATGTAGTTTGGGTTGGGAAGCATCTTGATCTGAAGTCACTTAGGTTAGCATTGTAAACAGAAACCGGTGGTTATTAGGCTAACCTCAAGCTCTCGCATGTAAGCAAAGATCTCGTCTCCATACTCGGCCACCATGCTGGTATCCCAAGCTTCATCCTCGATATCCTCTTGGGTTCTTGAACCTTCAACCAATTCTGCGGCAGCGGCAATCTCTTTCTTCGACCTGGCAGTGACCTTTGGAAGAAGAATGGCACCGGTGGTAGCACCCCCTGTGGTATTATCGCCTCGAGATTTGAAGGAATGCGCAGTTGTATAACCCTGTTCGTCATACATCTCTTCCTCATCCTCCCAGTACTCCTCTGGTTCCTGTAAATGTGGTGGTGCGGGCAGTTGACGATGGAGTCTATCAGCACCATCATTCAGTGGTGCTGAAGTCTCGTACACGGACTCATGTTCATGCTTTTGCTCGGCCAATTCAACATATTTCTCATTGCTCTCGCCAGAATTAATGTCAACCTCCTCCTCAGCATCTTCGTACAAAGGGTCGCTGGTTATGATACCAGCGTAGGAATCAGGTACATCGTTGAATGTTGGCTTGCTTTGATCATGGCGAAGAGCTGGTTGCTCGGAGTTCAGTTGAGGTTGAGACTTGTGATGGCGAGGTTCGTGGGTCTTGTGGACAGGTGCGCTTAAAGCTGATTCTTGTTTAGGTATATGACTAGTAGCAGGACGCGGTTTTGCCTCAGCCTCGCTGTCCTTGTATATGATTGTGGACTTCTTGGATAATGTACGTTTGGCTGGAGGAGGCGCGTGTGCTCGCGATTCTCCAAGTGGTGCCTTGGTCGGTATTGGAGCAAGAATTGGCTCAGGCTGAAGGATCGCAACATTTGTAATCCCTTTTGCCGCTACGACATTAAGAGATCTCTGTGCTGGCCTCAACAAAGCAGCTGGCTTCTCTGGATGTGCCACAGGCTTGACCAACTCCACCTTGCCTTGCTTTCCTCCGGCAGACGAGTCGTCGTGAACGGCGATACTCTTCACAGTATTGCTGACATCCCCAAAGGCAGTTCTTTTGGCAGCAGCCTTCAGTCCGCCGACAGCCAGCATGTTCGATAGAGTTCCTGTTGACTTGTGTCGAGAGTGAAGGGTCTGCTTGGTGGTGACTGGAGCAGCGTTCTCATCGCCTTGAAGACGAAGAGGACGTATTCCTCGTTGCGGCTAACAGTCATTAAATGTTAGCATAGATCGACTCGAAGCGAAGCCTTGTTGTTAGGGTGATGTGCGAGAATGTGCCAGGAAATTAGACGCGGACGAAATCTCGTCAATAGGAAGGGTGAACAATATGAGAGTCAACAACGTACCCTCGCGTCCATTGTGATAGCGGTGCTATTAAGCTATGCTTGTAATTACAATTGCTGATTGCCAAAAGATGATGCAATGTCTACTCGTTCTTGTTGACTCGCAGATGTTATGCGAATATTGGAGAAGAGCAAGAATCGCGTCCCAAAAGTTATAAAGGGGTGACGAAGCCGACGAGGAGATTGCGGTCGTATTCGAGATAATTGAGAAGCTGCGCGTGGCTTTTAATGTTGCGATGTACCGAAGAAGCACTGCAGATAAAAGATCAGTGCATCGCAAGATTGAAATGGAGTGAGAAGGACGGAGCAGAGGAGGATGCGACGATGTAGAAGGATGGTAGAGGCTGGAACTTTGTAGCTCTCGACATCACGAACCAGGGCAACGGCCACCACAACAAATGTGCGACCCCTGCAAAGTAAATAAAGCTAAGATCTTTTGGCGTACGGCGCACGAGCCATCGAGGATCGGTGGAAGGTACCGCCGCTCCGGGATAGCAACGGCCCCACGCGCATCGTGCCTCGCGTCTCCCAAACGCGTCCTCGAAAATCAACAGAAACTGATACAATGGGATAATAACCACCACGTTATGATATTAATGTGTCTTTGACATGAACCATTGTTATGCATATGTTCTCAACCTGGTTCAATGTCAAAAAGGAACCTACAGCTTTACCTGCTCTCATCATTTGCAAATACATCAATGTGTGCCAAGCCTAATGTTGATATCAGGAAACGTTCGCGTTGTCACCTGATGTACTTTTCAATCTAATCTTTGCGCATTCGCAACGTCACCTCATGCCAATACATCTCGATACAATTGTCGCATGGCTCTCTTTTGTATACATTTCCTTTGCGCTGCTTATTGCGATTGACCTTGTTCTATTTTCATGCGTTGCGACAACTATTGGAGGTTAGCCGCTCGGAAGACGGCTTTTTGGCAATTCCTTTGTGGTGTTCGGCGCACCGCTGCCAGACAAGTCCAGACTCGCGAGAGCGACTTGTGACTGGCAAACGAAGGCTTGATTTCCCGAACGCACTTTTCTAGAGGTGGGAGGAATCGACGCAGGATCACCCGTCATTGGCTGCTATTTGCACACGTTAGATGTCCATACTTTATCATCGCAGAGCCGTTATTGCTTCCCCTCGTCCAGTCTATTCGTCCTTTTCGATTTGCTAGGCGCAGCGCAGCGCCCGTCAGGATTCCCAGCCGGACGTTTGAAGCAGAGGCGCAGAGGCGCAAACACTCGCTCAGCGCGCCCTCCCTACCAGCTTGTCCCAATCCCCGTCTCGTGAAGGGAGAAGCATGATCGCGACTTTGTTTATTATTCAGCCCGTTGCGGTCGTTGGTTGGTGACGAGCAGCTTCGCGGTGGTCAGTCGTCCTGGTCGAGGTTAGGTCTCACGGCCAAGGGCTGTTCGGGCTTCAGGAATCCCCAAAACTTCATTGGATCATCTTCTTCAGGTCCTCAAACTTGCGCCGGATCAAGAGGCATCACAACCCTGCATGATGGTAAGACAACCACCCGCATCAACGTCGACTTCGAGATACGAAGCTGGTGGAAGCTCCTGACGGTCACCAGAGAATGATCCGTCGTGTAGGAGAGCGCGCTCGAGACTCCCACAGGTTCTAGTATTTTCAGTCG